CCTCCTCCCTTATCACCCACCTACCCACTAAGCAAGTTAGATCATCACCCCCCCCATCGGCCACGCCATATTCCTTCAAGGCGGCGAAATCCAACACCTCGCGTCCCGAGCCATCGGCACCACCGAACGCATCACAACAATCACCTCCCTGCGCGCTACCACCCCGGGTCTATATGATAATAGTTATTTGACGAATGTGCGTCCGGAATCGGATCTCGGGGTGCTGTATCGCGAGTGGGTGCGGTATCGGGTCGCGAAGGTGGTGGAGGAGATGGGGTATTTTGAGGGTATGTTGGAGGGGGGAGATGAGAAGGTGGATGTCGAGACTGTGCATAGGGTGCTTGAGACTCAGATTGGGTATCTTCGACGGACGGTGGATCAGGTTGTTTCGTATGAGTTGCATGATGCTGTTATTGGGAAGTATGGGGTACATGCTTACTATGCAGCGGAGGAGTACTGGGAACAGGTGCAGAAGTGTGCAGGGTTCGGGGAATTGGTACGGATGAGTGAGGAGAAAAGGGAGTTTCGACCTGGGTCGCGGTTGTGGGCGGATTTGTATGCTTCGCGGATGATGGTGGAGAATGGTGGGGTGTTGAGGGGGCAGGTTGGGGTGGTCAAGTGGGATAACGAGAGGGACTATGTGATGGGAGATGAGTTGTTGAGGCAGGGCTTGAGGGAGGTGTTTTGGGAGTGGGTGGGGGTTGTAGGGTTGGATGAGTTGCTGGAGGTGAGTGACCTCAGTGAGCTATAGGGTGGTGGTGGCTATTTGTTGATTGCTATTGCGTTGCTAGCTAATAGGTCATATTGTTGAGGCTGGGTTCTCCAAGGTCTACTTAGAGTTGAAAATGAAGGAAACTAATGTAACTAGTCACGATCTATAAATCCCCCAACGCCAATACTATCCTCCGTAACGCCTCCTCCAGATACTCCCTCGGATGGGTAAACACAATCCGAAACCAACCACTTTTCTCCGACCCAAACAGAAAGCCACTCGCCAGGAAGACCTTCCTCTGCAGCAACAATTGCATCACCTTATCACTAATCTCATCACCCAGGTTTGCAGTCTCTTCCGGATGCAACTCGCGATACTTCTTGCCCAGATTCACCCAGAGAAAGAACGCAGCATTCGCTCCAGCGGCGTACTCAATCCCGTGATCTTTGAGATATGTCGCAGCGAATGCATACGACTCAGCCAGTTTCTGCCGATTAAGTTGGATATATCGAGTCGTAAAATCATCATCTTCCAAAACAATCGCCGCGAGATGTTCCGAAATCGACGACGAGTAAGTATATAGCGAAACGCCCTTAATCGCCTCCAACAGAACAGGATTACTCTGGGAAATAATCACACCCAGTCGTATCCCATTCGCTCCAAAATCCTTACTCATACCCCAAAGCAAATGCACCAGCCCCGGGTCAATAACGCCCGCTGTATCAATCGACAACGCAGACTCAAACGGCACCGGCGTCCCCAAATCAATCGTATTCTTCCACACCGACAGGGCATAAATCTCATCACTGATCAAATGCACCTGATATTTCTGACACAGCCGCATCAACTGCACCATCGTCTCTTTGGGATAACACCGCCCCAGCGGATTATGCGGATGACAGAGCATCAACGCCCTAACCTTCCGGCCCGTGGTGGCTTGAAAGGCCAGTAATGCCCGCTCATAACACTCCACGGCATCCACACTAAACGGGTCACACTCCCCAAACGCCACCGGAATGACCACTGCCCCCGGCCGCACTGACATATCCGGGATGAAGGTCCCATAGTACGGCCGGCCGAGGAGAATTCCTTCCCCGGGATCCGTGAACGCCCACGAGATGTGCTCGATTGCTGAGGAGACGCCGTTCGTGACGAGCAGATCATTGCTCGTGAGGGGTTTCACGGGGTGCAGATGTTTGTTGAGGAACGCGGCCATGGCGCAGCGAAGACGCTCCGCGCCAATGGCGCCGTCGTTGTAGGTGAGATACTTTGCTGGGAGGGTGAGTTGCGTGTTCATGTAGTTCAGGAGGTAGTCATGCATGAGGGCGTTCTCGGCGACCCCTACGTTGACGTAGCCGTCTGGCTTGCTGGTGGGACACCAGGGGTTGCGCATGATGTCCCACATGAGGCTGTTGGCGGAGCCGACGACATTGTGGGCGCGTTGGGAGAGGGGGGATGTCATCTTGTTTGTGCTATGACTGTACCAGGGGACTGGGATGTAGTGAAGGTGCTGGGGGGGGGATGTGTGGTGTTTGGGGGAGGTTGAAGAGTGAAGAGTTTGGTTCCGGTTGACCCTTAACCTTGTTCTTATTAGCCGGGAAGTTGTCTGTTCGGTTCCACGGGAGGTTAGAGATGATACTCGACATACTCAGTACATATTGTAGACATATATCGTTCATTTCGTTCTGCTATATCATGGGCTCGAAGTTCTGAATGATCTGAGGCACTGCAGCACATGACGTCACGCAAGCAACGAACCGAAAATTTTGTTCTGAGGTGGCGTTGCATTACTCCATTGTAGGTTTGGGGATCAGGTTATCCCCGCCATGGACAGCTGGTGGAGAACCTAGAAGTTGCGTAGAAAATTCGGTTGTGTGGTTCGGTAGACCGAGCTGGAAAGGGCCAATGTGGGTCTGCCCGGATCACCTTATGGGAGTCTGCTCGAGCAGCTGCGGAGGATGTTGACTGCGATTGCACTCTCTTGCCCTGGAAGCAATAAGCTATAGTAGGTTTCTTAAAGGCTATTGTTATCTCTTGTCCGAGAGATTGCTTGTTCTTTGAGTATCATGATGACGAGACTTCGTTCTTCTATCTCACCGGCCAGAATATAGAGCAGTCAAGGGATATGTAATAGTATGCTAAGCATTTCGAAGGTACTTGGGCTTCATGACAGGCTAACTAGTGACCAATTGGCCATGGCTATTGACAGATCTCTCTTATGCTGTCCTTGCCATATACAGCAGCCACAGTACTTGCATAGTATATAGCAAATCGGATAATTCCACAAAGAGCCCTCATATACATAGTGAATACAACAGTCCGATATACAACTACACCTCAAGCACACCACCGCACTCACCACATCCCCCAATATCATGTCAACTAATCCGACCCCGACGACGACGAAGACGACGTCGTCTCATCCGAACTAAACTCATCCGAGCACTCGGTCGACGGAATCTCCGCCTCCGTCGCACCCGGCTCCCGATCCTCAATATTCCTGGTAATCCGAGTGACCGCCGTCGCCAACGCCCGCACATTATTCAAATGCCCCGCCTCCTTCGCCACATAAATATCATGCTGAAAGTTGCGCGCAAACAGCCGCAACTGCGCTTTATACCCCTTGGCGACATCACTATCCAACGAACCATCCTCCACCGCGAGATCAATATTCCCAAACGTCCGAACCCAATCAAACCCCGTCAGCGTCGAATGCACATACTCCAACACTTCGGCATCTACACGACCCTGCAACGCCTCCTGCTGAATCGGGAATACCACCTCATTCCGCACCGACTTGGCCTCTTTCGCGTACGCCACCGCCTGCGCCATATCCGTCGTCGAGAGATTCTCGTCCGCGGCGAACGCCGCATCGGCCGCATGCAACACCTTGGTAATAATAATCGCGTAGGCTTTTTGATCCGGATCGAGATTATTCAACAACTTGCCGAGGTCGAGTCGCGCACTACCCGGGATATTCCGGTTAATGCGCGTCAACTGGCTATCATCCGGCGTGGTGGTGTGGTCTGCTGCCGCGGGCTCGTAAGACGGATACCAGTCGGCTTCGATGACGTGTTTGACGAACTCGTCGAATTTGCACATCCCGCCGCCGGTGTCCCGGGACTGGCAGTCGACGGCGATGGTGCGGGGGGCGCCGGATTGGTATTCCATTTTGTAGACGTAGTAGTAGAAGAGGAGTTCGTAGCCGATGGAGGCGTTGTCGGCGTGGACGGTGGGGAGGAGGAGGGTGGTGAGGAGGAGGAGGAGGTTGAGGGGTTTCATTTTGATGCTGCAATGAGTGTGATATGTAGAGAGTGACGGAAAGGAGTGACGAAGTAGAAATGAGTGACGAAAAAGAGTGACAGTGACAGTGACAGTGACAGTGACAGTGACAGAGGAACACAGAAGAGAGGGGGGCAAAGAGAGGGCTTGAAATAGGAACACGGCAGCCTACAGGGTTTAGGGAGTGTAGTATCATCTCACCCGATATCCGTCAGGAGTCACCTTCAAATCTCCTGATATCCTGTGTCATTCGTATTACCAGATAATCCATATGCAGCCCCCACTCACCTGCACCTCGCATCCTTCGCCCGAATTCCGCATCTAATCCCTTTCAAGGCCTCGACAAGGCTGCACACGATACCACGGAGACTACATATTCAGCTCCAACAGGGCATAACCTCGGCTAGACACCCGACCCTGCACTGCATCAATTAAACTATCTTAGCGCCGGTCTCACACCAGGGTCTTAGCGTCACTCAGGGTCAGATTTTAGGGCGCAAATCCTGCAGGATCGGTCCCGCACTAAACAAGCTCTCCTGCTTTGGTCGAATCTCGCGTGGATGCCACCACAGAGCCCCATGCATGGTCCCTGAATCCTTCCGCTTACTTCCGTACGCAGAGATAAGGCGTTCGGGCGAGGGCCGGAGCTCCGAGACACATGGCACTGCCTCGCGCTAGTGAGGGGGTTAGTTCTGCAGGTGGGGACAGATGAGGGAGGGGTGTTCAGCTGTCGGAGGCTGGAAATAGAGGACAGGTCACGGATTTAGGAGAATTGAGTCAGGTTGAGTCATCTGTCAGTTTAGAGCTAGCGTGTCGGATACGACGGATATTCAATGACATTGAACAAAACATAGTGGATTGCAGCTAGGCGGGATCACTCGGATCCACAGTACAGATAGTAATTACAGTGAATCCCTCACATCTACTAAGTGCTCGTAGCAGCAGCCATAGCCGTAGCAGATGAACAGTAAGCCGTCTCAAATGCCAGCACGGTGCTAGCCACCGCCGTCCCACAAGCAGCATTGGCACAGTCCCGGATGCCGTAGTAAAAGTCAATGTTCTCACACAGGCAGGAGGGGTCCGCACTGCTACATCCCAGGGAGGAATACTTGCCCAGCATGTTGTTGAAGCAGGTTTGACCGCACGACGGCAGCGCCGAGATGGCGGTGGGCACTGCAGTGGCGGTGGCCGTCGACGGATACGTGGTTTGCGCGGCAATGGCCGAGGTACAGTAACTGCTTTCAAAGGCAATGACGGTGCTGGCCACGTCCGTGCCACAGGCGGCATTGGAGCAGTCCCGGATGCCGTAGTAGAAGTTGATGTTCCGGCAGAGGCACGAGGGGTCCGATGTGGTACAGCCGAGGGATTCGTATTCCGCCAAGACGTTGTTGAAGCAGGTTTGCTAGACAGGTTAGCGGATGCCATGTGTGATTTAGGGCTACTTACACCGCAGCTGGGGAGCTGAGAGATGGCTGTCAGGCTGGAGGTGACGGAAGTGGTAGATGGGGCAGAGGTAGTTGAAGGAGCAGAAGTGACAGAGGAAACAGAGGAAACAGAGGAAACAGAGGAAACAGAGGAAACAGAGGAAACAGAGGTAGTAGGAGTGACGGTGCTGGTGGAGGACGTAGAAGAGACCACCGAAGTGGCCTTGGTGCCATCAAACGCCGTCGCAAAGACCAAGGTGCCATTGGCGCCCGCAATGGTGGGAATGACAGTGGCCAAAGCCGTGGAATCGTAGCTGGTAATGTCCATCAACACATCCGGCCAGATGCTGGAAGTGCAGACCGCACCCAACCCCGGACGCGTCGTGTCCTGGTAATTGGGAGCATAAAGACCATAGCCCCTATGAATCGTCAGTATTTGTTGGTGAAAGAGGAACCGGACATACCCTGGACAACAAATGATGTACGTGTCGGTGACATTGTACGTCTCCCAGTTTTCGGGACAAACCAGCTGGATGTATGGAGGCAACGTCGTCGTTGCCACGGCACTATAGTAAAATTGGCTCGGATAGCAAGACGATAGGGTCAACGTGGGCACCGGGTTGACAATGTTCTGCCAGAGCTCGGTCGACCACGATGCCACTTCGGTCATGCCCCCGGCACATCCGGTCGGCTGGGTAAAGACGGTGGTGAGAATCAACGGATTCCCAGGAGTGGTGGTACTGGTGGTACTGGGGGTTGGTGTCGTCAGGGGAGTAGAGGATGAAGACGAGGAGGAGACCAAGGGCGTGGACGAGACCGAGGTCACCCCCGAGGTGATCACGCCAATGGTCTCCAACTGACCCAAGGCGAGGGGTAAGCCCAGCGCGAGCAAGGCAAGACGAGAGAGAGGATGCATCTTGGATGGTAGGCAACAAAGAACGAAACAAGATGTGGTACAATAGGAGAAAGAACGAGGGTGCAGACAAGACAATTGACATCCCACCAAATATATAGAACCGGCGGAGTGTAGGGTTTCTGCAAAGCCCCCATGCTGCGATAGGGGCGGCTCAATTCCTGTGTCCTTTTTTTTATTTTTCCTTTCCAATCATGATATTACATCTTCTTTGGTTTAATTGTCTTATCGTTATTTAATTTTATTATTTTGCTAGTCGACCCACTCAAGACGCCAAGGAGGCTTAGCCTGGCAGGGTCAGCCAGGGTCAGAAATTAGGGCACAATTCAACGCTTAGTCGCGATAGTTCGTCGTGTTCGGGTGGGGGCCGAAAGAGCATCTCTGTGAGCCATGGGAAATTACATGACTATCAGTTTCAATTAGTCGAGTCCGTATCGAGAAGCAGATGCAGTTTGGTAAGGTCAGCTCGGATAGCAACTTGAGAGCAGCCGATCCGGCGAGGTCACCGCAGTCCAGGTATAAATATGGCTCCTGGGCTGCCAGAGAGATCAAGATTGTCTTCATTCTCATTCACTCCAGTCATTCTTTTCTTTATTCAGTCATTCATTCATCCATTCATTCATCGCTCGTTCGTGTCTCTGCACGGTTCCTGTCCCTCTCTCTCTCATCGTGATGGTATAAAATGGCCTTCAATCGTCTCCCTCTTTTCCTTTTCCTATTCTATCTGGTCAGCTTGATTGCTGCATCTCCCGCAGACCAGCCGCTGCATCTATGGCATCAACGGCGGGCCCTCGCCGATCCGCCTACCCCCAGCTCGCAGAATGTCTCGAGTAGTGCTCTCACTCAAGCCCAAAAGCTGGTGGCCTCGGCGGTAGCGCAGCAGTCCGAGTACAATGCCTACCGCGTGGCCAATCCCAAACGCAACACCTATCAATCCCGACACTCAGCTGCATCCAAGCAGAAGCGATCCGATGAGCCGGCCGCTCCCACGTTGGATGCCAACTTGCGAGCGGCGGCGGCGCTCTTGGCTGAACGCCATGCTAGGCAGCAGCTGTCCAACGGAACCCTCCACAAAAGTTATTCTCAATTCTCCAAGGTGCCCAAGCCGCTCAAAATCGCTGAACGGGATTCCTCCTCGACCTACTGGGCGGCGGAGGTCGACCACGGTCTTCCTCCTATGGGATGGAATCCGTCGTACCCCGTCTATCGCGATGTCACCGATGCCCAGTTCGGCGCCAAGGGGGACGGAGTGACCGATGATACTGATGCCATCAACGCTGCCATTGCCTATGGCGGCAGCTGCATGGAGGATTGTGCGTCGTCCTCCACCAAGGGCACGTTTATCTACTTTCCCCCGGGCACCTACCTCATCTCCTCTCCGATCAATGCTTCCTACTACTCCCAACTCGTGGGCAATCCCAATGACATGCCCGTCATCAAGACGGCGCCTTCATTCATTGGCCTGGGAGCCATCCAAAGTGATGTGTACATTCCCAACGACAATGGCGATGAGTGGTACATTGAGGTAGCCCCCCCTCCCTCTCCCCCTGGAGTGTATGGACATCACTAATTTGACAGCAAAACAACTTTTATCGCCAAATTCGCAACATCATCATCGACATCGAGGAGACCACCACCGCCTATGCGGCCGGGCTGCATTGGCAAGTCGCGCAAGCCACCTCCCTGACCAACGTGTTCATCACGGCCAGTTCGACCAAAGGCACCACGCAGATGGGCATGTACACCGAGAACGGCAGCGGAGGCTTCATGTCGGGCTGCACCATCATCGGCGGTCAGTATGGCATCTACGGCGGCAATCAACAGTACACGGTCCGCGACTTTCAAATTTCCAGTCAGACGGAGGCGAACATCTGCTTGATCTGGGATTGGGGCTGGACCTGGGCGGGGATGCACCTGTCCAGTGCGCCCGTTGGCATCAGTTTGATCAACCCGAAAGCGACCTCCGGACAGCAAGCGGGGTCGACGTACATCCTGGACAGTATGTTTGATGAGACTCCGATTGCCATCAAGGCCGAGTTTGAGAAGAAGACCATTCTGGAGACCAGCATCATCACGCTGGATAACGTGGGGGTGAATGGGGTCGATACCATGCTCGCCTTCCTGGATGACGAGAGTCTGGACCTCATGAATGGGGATATCAACTTTGTCACCGTGGGCAATCTCCACGAGGACTCCTCCAACTCCTTTGGCTACTACTCGGTGAAGGTCCAGACTCCTCCTCCCGCTCTCCTAGACGCGGCCGATGATCAGGTCATCTACCGCGACAGCTACTTCTACCGCAACCGGCCGCAGTACGAGACGCTGTCGACCGGAGATATCGTCAACGTCAAGGACCACGGCGCTGCTGGTGATGGCTCCACCGATGATACCGCGGCCATTGTGGCCGCTCTCGCCCTGGCCACCGCCGACAACCTGATCTACTTCCCCCCGGGCTCCTACATCATCACCAAGACCATCGTGATCCCCAAGCACGCCCGCATCACCGGCCAGGTCTGGTCCCAGCTCGTGGCCTCCGGGGATTACTTCTCCGACATGACCTCCCCCAAGGCCATGATCCAGGTCGGCAACGCCGGTGATGTCGGCCAGGTGGAAATCAGTGACATCCTGTTCACCTCGATGGGCGAACTCCCCGGTCTGGTCATGGTGGAATGGAACATCCAAGCCGAACTCCAAGGCTACGCCGGCATGTGGGATTGTCACTTCCGCGTGGGCGGTGCCTATGGCACCAAGCTCCAGCTGGCCGACTGCCCAACCAGCGGCATTGCCTCGGGCTGTGTGGCTGCCTCCATGATGATGCACATGACGCCCGATTCCAACGGCTATTTCGAAAACATGTGGCTGTGGGTGGCCGATCACGACATTGACGACGCCGACAACACCCAAATCACCGTGTCCGTGGCGCGTGGGCTCCTCCTCGAGTCGACTGCCGGCCCAACCTGGCTCTACGGCACGGCCTCGGAGCACTCCATCCTCTATCAATACAACTTTGCCAACGCCACCAACACCTTTGCCGGCATGATCCAGACCGAGTCGCCCTACTACCAATTCACCGACGCCACCGAGTCTCCCGGCCCCTTCAACGCCTCCATCGGCCTCTTCCCCAACGATCCCACCTTCCCGGATGCCACCTGCAACGCCACCGCCGAGCTCTGCAACTTCGCCTGGGCCGTGACCATGAACGAGGCCACCAACCTGACCATCGCCGGCGCCGGTCTCTACTCCTGGTACGACAACTACCTGGAAACCTGCGTCGACACGCAAAACTGCCAACAACGCCTGGTCCTCGACGCGGGCGAGAACTCGGGCCTCTACATCTGGAACCTGATCACCATCGGGGCCGTGGAGATGATCAGCAACACCTTCGACAACGACATCATCTTCGCCAAGAACAACACCCAAGCCATCGGCCATCCCTACTGGAGCGCCCTGGCCGGCTACCTCGACGACTACCGGCCCGAAATCCTCTCCTGCACCGACGACTCCACGGACCCAGCCTGCCAAACGACCTGGAACTGCGACCTGACCCAAACCTACCCCACCCTCGACGCCCTCAACGACGCCCTCGCCACCTCCCCCAACCAATGCATGCCCTACTACGCCCTCGACACCCTCTACCTGACCCTCAACGCCTCCCTGACCAACTACACCGCCGCCAACCACAACTACGACAAATACTTCAAATACTACCAACAATACATCAAAGAAATGGTCCCCGACGCCATCAACACCTTCATGGCCTCCTCCACGCCCAAACAACCCCACGGCGGCCCAGGCAACCAATACTTCGACTGCACCTGCGAAGGCTACGGGCCCACCTCCACCCAACAATGCCCCTTCACCTACGAACAACTCATGGGCGCCACCCGCTTCACCATGACCTACACCCTCAAGGACTCGGAGGGCTTCTACGCCGCCCTCGAATCCACCTACGGGATCAATCGCACCTGGGTCGAATTCACCAACAAAGGCGGCCCCGTCCATCAAGTCGGCCACTGCTATCCCGGGGAATGTTCCAGCGGGACCGACTACCGCTACATCAACATCCCCCAGGCCGTCAAATCCAGCAACATCGACGTAACCAACCCCAAGGACATCATCACCGCCGCCCTCCCCTCCCTCGGCAACGTCACCAATAACCTCCTCGCCCGGGTGATGGACGTCGACCTCGGCGCCTGGGACGGCGGCATGCAAGATCTCTACGAGACCTTCTCCATGCCCGTCTTCATGATCCAGCAGGCCATCGCCTCCATGGCACAGGTCAAAGCCATCGGCGAGAAACAAGCCAAGGAGGATAAAATCAAACTCATCCTGGAGATCCTGGGCATTGTGTTTGCCTTTGTGCCCTTTCTGGATGATCTCACTCCCGCGTTGGATGTGTTGGATGGGGCGTTTGAGACGATTGCGACGGCGGGGAATGTTGCCTTGGGTATTCAGAGTATTGTGTCCGATCCGGCGTCCGCGCCGATGGATCTGTTGGGGATGATTGGGGGGGGTGGGCTCCGGGATGAGGATGATTTTGCGAAGGCGGCCAAGGCGAGGAGGGCCTTGACCGAGGATGATTTGCAGAGTATTGGGAAGGATTTTAAACAGGAGGAGGATCGGTTTGATGAGGTGACGGAGCCGAAGTGTTCCGTTTGATCCTCCTTTCTTTCATTACTGGGGGGGGAGAGAATGGGGTTATCACTCTGTTGGTATCTGAGGGTGGTTGTGTTGGTGGAGCTGTGTGCTGATGATAGAGTAGATGTGGAATGTGATAGATCCAAGACTTGGTCTGGATCATATCCTCTTTTTATATGCATTTCTTCCTTTCATAATGTTATATAGTAGTAGAAGCAGCAGCAGCAACGGTAACCTATACCAAACCCTAACCACACCCATCCACACCACCATAACACACAATAAACCAGCCATCACATCACATCTGTAACCTTCCACTCTGGTCTAAGTAGTTAGGGTTGTCTTGCCTTTTTTATCCCTATTGTGCTAGTCATTGGTCTGCACTCATACATAGAGGAAGTGTAAGGGTATATGTATTAGCAATGCCTTCCAGAAGTCCGGTTATCCTACCTAGATTGTAATCATTTGACCTCTCTAGTTAATCATGTAGCGTGGATACGTATTAGAAGTAACCTTCTCTTACTACGGATAGTACGGTATATGGACGGGTGGATGGGTGGACGTAGGGATAGGATAGATCAGGTAATGTAGTACAGGGTATGGTATGCGTCTCTCTCCCCCTCTCCCTCTCTATATATTATATATGTCTCAGGTAGAACATGGCCAGTGCCGTTGATAGTCACTACGTCGTGATATAGTGTTCAGTGATCTCGATCATGTCGATTTCATCGGTAGTGGATTGGATGATTCGTCATGTTGATTATGAGGACTGATATATACCCCGGAGGTGCTCTTTGTTTCGCGGGCATGATAATAGATATTGGTGAGAAATGCATCACTCCAGTGGTATTGGTTGGATACTTGGAAGCAAGCGGGGTTTGAAATCTTGATTACATGCATGGATTCATCGCGGTGGCTGTAGGCTAACTTGGCCCTTCATCTTCTCGTTGGTAGTAATTTGGGTCTTTTCTTTTCTCTTCTTTTTTCGTGTTCTATCTCTGCAGTTTCTCGCAATGAGGTTTAAAACCCCGGCCCCCTCATCCGACCCAATTTGGTCATCTCATTCCACAGATGCTCGTTATGCAGCGCCCGACGATGCTGTCTCGCTTCCGACATCCCCATCGGCCAGCTGTCGGTCCTCTGCACGATCTCGTCAATCATCTCCCGAGGCAGCCCCGCCGTGGCCAAATCGCTGCCCACGGCTGCTGCCCACCAGTGATGCTGCTGCGGGGGCACATTACGCGTAGAACACACCCGATAATGAGGATCGACCAGATACAGCTTGAGGAAACGGTAATGCCCCGCGACAGTCGAATCGACCAGCTGGAACGGTTCCACTCGGTGCTCCAACACGTTGGGAAATGTGATCAATCGCCCTTGTGGCGTCGCGATGGAGCCGGCGTCCTGATACGGCGGATTCGCGTAATTATCAATGGAGAGATATAAGGGTGGAAACCCCAAGATTTGCTCGATGGCATCATACTCCAAGCCATAGGTTTTGCCTTGTCGATGGGCGGGCCTACAGTTGAGCAGCACACTCCGCTTGGCAACCAGTTCCTCGTGATAGCGGTAGTAGCAGCCGTGGAGGCGGGTGTACTGGCGGAAGGCGATGCGGGGGTCGGTGATATTGTGGACGTCGTAGGCGAATACGGCCACGCCGACGATGTGCTCGTTCAGTTGGCCCGGTAGCTGCCAGCGACCTTTCGAATAGGTGGGGGCATCTGGGGTGAGCTCGATGTTCTCCAGCTCCACTAGGACCTGCAGGCCTTGCTGTCGGAATGTGTCCTCGAGAGTGATCGCATAGGGAGTGTGCGGGGGAATCACTGGGTAGAAGGGCCGCTCAGGACCCCAGTCCGGCCGGTCGCGGACAATGTCGATGATGGGTTTGTCGTGGTGCTGGCCGGACTTCCACTCCTCGTAGGAAAAGGCCGTGCCTGGCTCGGGATGTTTCCAGCGGAGCACCCGCTCGACCTTTTCTTGCAGTCTGCGCCAGGGGTTGGATTGCCAGTCCTGGGGGAGTGCCATGGGAGAGGTGGATCCATCTTCCGGACGTTCCAGATACTCTTTGGCCTTTCCCCACAGGTCCGAGTCTGGAGGAGGCTTCTCCATGTTTTCTTTGCCGGCAACGTCGCAGAACCCAGCTTCTAGTGCCTGTAACTTGCGCTGCCGTTTCCTGCCTTCTTTCGTATCATCTTCCATGCTCCGCTGCAACTCTTCTCGATGTCGACGGTATATTCGTTTCCGGATGGTCGACGGCACATTGAACGCGTCCGCCCAGTCGGGAAGTTCATTCTCCCATTCAATGCCATACGTGATGATTCTCAGTGGAACAGGCCCCAGCTGTCCGTGATTGGAGTCCTTCGACCAGTCGGACTGCCCTTGCACGAGGCAATCATTCCATGGCTTGATCGCAAGAGAGATGACTTTCTCAATGGCGCCGTATAGCCCTTGATACGCGGGGTGGAGATTATTGATGTACGAGGTGATGCGCACCTCGGTGCCAGTGTCTTTGACAAACTCCACCTCGCACGGCAGACACTGGTAGTTCCAGCTCCAGCGGTAATATTCGGTCTCCAAGTGATCATTGGGAGTCGTGCCCCTGGCTGGAATTTGACCTTTATCGACCCACCTTTGCAATTTCATGAAACTCACCCGTTTATCGACCGGTTTCGGCGCCACCGTCGCATGTTTGTAGGCCCCGAGCACGTCGTGCAGGTCCACTCGTCCTCGATCCAAGACGAGGGTCTTCCCATAGACCAGGGGAAATAACCATGGATCGACAATGCTTAATACCTGCTTGGACTTCCAATCCAGACCCTGCTGTGCCTTCTGCTGTCTGAGGACGGGGGGAACTGCCCACCTGAACAAAGTGCTCAGAGAGCTGAGAGTCGGGGTGTCCGACTTGCACACACAGGATCCTGTGTCCAGCACGCGAATGTGCTGATTCTCGCGAAAGTCGATCGCTTTATCCCGCAGTTCTTTCAAACACCAGTCCCATGTTTTGTCGCTCATTAGGGCAGTCATGTCAAAGGCCTCTTTTTTCCAGCGCGCGACAACCTCATCGTTGGAGATGTCAACATGCCAGTCTAGGTGATCGGTCAGGTGGTTCATCACGGCCACCATGGCTAATTCGCGCGCTGTCACAGCCGGAGCTTGTCGCCATTCGTAAATACCATGTGCAAAGCGAGCTTCGGGGGGAAGCTCATAATTCATGGGGATGTCTCCGAAGCCGGGGACTCGGAGGGGACCATGGCCAGTATTGTCGAGTATAGATGGATCCTCGATGTGAGTGGAAGAACCTTCCATCGTGGTTGTAGTAGCAGTGGACGAGTGGGTTGGATGGAAATGAGAGGTGACTCATGGTGATCTGGATTAAATCAGCAATGAAGTGCAGGCAGAAGATAAGAATCCCACTAGTGATGCGACGCTATTTCGACAGCTTAGTCAGCCATCTATCTGGAGGGATTCATCAACTTCGTATTGAAGTAAGACATGGCTGCCTTGTTAGTAAATGGGCCGGTGTCTAGCTCGGTTGTGAAGGGAATAGTGCTTATGTTTAACAAGCTATTCGGTGGAAACCGTGGGTTGAACCTTGGCAGGATTCTTCGGAATGACGGACCGGAGTATCTCATACCTCTATTAATTGGGACTGCAAGAGTTCATCGCAAATATTATACTGTCAATTCTACAGCTTTCATCTCAGTAGTCCTATGCCAGCTTCTGATCATGTCAAAGGGCCAACTGGCACCAAGACAGTACGCCAACTGGCACCGATCGTGCCAGGGTCTGCCCGGAAACCCCGATTGGTGGGTTTCCTCCCTCCTCTTTTCTCCTCATTTCTCCATCTCATTTCTCCTTCATCCCATCGTACGATCCAGATCCAGCTTGCTTGGAGCTGACTGAATACCCAATAATCTGAGTAACGGTTGACCTCTTACCAGACTCATACCCAGCTGACAAGGCCTGCACCAGTCTATTGAGCCGTCCAACCTCGGCAGCAGTACAACCAGACATCCTAGAAGACAGAAACAGTAACCAGTTGGACAAGCACCAAGCAAACAGTCAACCTGCACAGTTGTCTTGTCCGACACTTTCAAAATCCAGTTTCAATCGTCAAGCATAGCACTCATGACATCACATGCAAATCCGCTACCCTTCCAACCGCACCAGTCTCGACCACTGCACCTCCGTGCACCGGAGCGCCTCGATTGCATGCATCAAATAGCCTAAATCAGGCGGGTTGGGGCAACTCATTGGGACACTCTTGAGCTGACCTGCAGATCTTACCCGGCCTGCAGGTGGCCAACCAGACTTCCCCGCACGAGCTGCATATTTAAACTCCTCCATCCCTGTGCTGGTTGACACCACGAGTAGGCATTGACAATGTGGCAGTTCCTCACTCTATCTCTGTTGGTGTCGCGGGCTACAGCCCTAGTTCGACCCGATGGCGTGGTATGCAGCATTCTTCTATCTACATAGTATCTCTGCTCACCCATCTATCAGGGCCGTGTGCCGGCATTGGGTTGGAACTCGTGGAATGCGTATAATTGTGAAATTGATGCAGACAAGATCCTCACGGCCGCCAATGAAGTCGTCAATCTGGGCTTGAAGAGTCTCGGATACGAATACATCAACAGTGCGCCCCCTCCTCCGTTTCTTTTTTTTTATCATAAATCACTAACAGAACAGTCGACGACTGCTGGTCCGTCAAGTCTGGCCGCGATCCCACGACCAAACGCATCATCCCCGACCCAGACAAATTCCCCAACGGCATCTCCGGCGTCGCAGACCAAGTGCATGCCCTCGGTCTCAAGCTCGGCATCTACAGCAGTATGCCTCCCCCGCACCCAGCTGCACTCCCTACTGACCAAACCACAGGTGCCGGCCTGACCACCTGCGCCGGCTACCCAGCCAGTCTGGGCTACGAAGAAATCGACGCGCAATCCTTTGCCGAATGGGGCGTGGACTGTACATCCCTCCATCCCTCCATCCCGCCCCCGTCACAAGCAATCATACACTAACAAAGAACCAGACCTCAAATACGACAACTGCGGCGTCCCCACCAACCTAACCGACCAATACACCTACTGCGTCCCGGACAGCACCGACGGCTCCTACTTTCCCAACGGCACCTGCGTGAACCTCACCGACGCCGCCCCGGCAAACTACAACTGGGCCACCTCGACCACCGCGAAACGCTACACCCGCATGCGCAATGCCCTCCTCAACGTCAACCGCACCATCCTCTACTCGCTCTGCGATTGGGGGCAAGCCGACGTGAATGATTGGGGAAATGCCACGGGAAATTCCTGGCGCATGTCGGGGGATATTACCCGTACCCTCCCCCCCTAATCCCCCACCATATGACCTATATGCTAATAAGAAGGGGTAGCAACATGGTCCCGCATCGCCGAAATCGCCAACGAAAACTCCTTCCTCCTGAACTACGCCAACTTCTGGGGCTACCCGGACCCGGACATGCTCGAAGTCGGGAATGGGAATTTGACGTTGGCCGAGAATCGGGCCCATTTTGCCCTGTGGGCGGTGATGAAGGCGCCGTTGATTATCGGGACACCGGTACCCCTCCCCCATCCTATCCCAATCCCATTCCTTTCCTTCCCTCTCCATGGATATCAACTACACACCGAAGCGCATACTAAGAGAGATGATATAGCTCAGTACTATAGATCAATCCCACCTCACCATCCTCTCCAACGCCCCCCTCCTCACCTTCCACCAAGACCCCCTCATCGGACGTCCCGCGTATCCCTATAAATGGGGGTATAATGCGGACTGGACATTCGACCCGGCGCATCCGGCGGAGTATTGGTCCGGGCCGTCGAGTGCGGAGGCATTGAATGGGACGTTGGTGGTGATGCTGAATAGTCAGGAGACGACGCAGACGAGGACAGCGTTTTGGAAGGAGGTGCCGGAGTTGAAGGATCTATATCGACGGGGGGGAGGGTTTAGGGTGCGGGATGCGTGGACGGGGAATGATTTGGGGTGTGTAAGGGATAAGTATAGTGTGAGATTGGGGGCGCATGATGTGGGGGTTTTGGTGGTGGGGGAGGTTTGTTAGTTCTTTCTATGGGGAGAATGGGAGAGGGGGGAAGTATGAGGAAGAGGAGTTGTAGTGAAGGATAGGTCAATCTGAATATTGTATGGATATACGGTACCAGTAGATACGTGCATGGTAAACATGAACAATATAAATATGAACACGCAAGTCATTATCATATCTCAACCCCATCTGGGATGGCTACCGCCATAAATCTTGTCGACTGTCCCGTCGCCATCCCCCACTACTCTTCGGTCGTCCATCATCCACCGGCACGGCCAGGAACCCGCCAAACCCGTTGCCCACCAGCACGCTCTTGCGCGCGTCGCCGCCCCACGACCGACTCAGCTGCGCGTCGTGGAAACTCACCGGCCGTGTTGTACTGTCGCGTCGTCCGCGCGTCGACGGCGGCTCGTACGGCGTGAAGTTCCATTCCAGCTCGTCCAATCCTTTGCTGTATACGTTCAGTGGTTGGGAGATCCCTCCGCTGAAGAACTGCGGTCCGCTTTCGCCGCCGCCGAAGAGGCGTGGGGGTGGTGCCAGGAGCAGAGTCTCCGGGAAGCTGGCGTCGCGCACGTAGAGATCCCGCAGAGCCGGGAGATTGTTGGACATAAGAGACGCAATCAAATATGTGTAGTAAGATGCTGCAACCGGAGCGAGACCGCAGGACCCCGCCGGCGAGGTGATCTCGTAGTGCAGGAGTTTCAGCGAGCGCGAGCACAGTGGTGGCACTTGTTCGGTAGGAAACGATCGTGTCACGTCCTGGATCACGAGCAGGCCGTGCAGCTGTGGGGCCGCAGAGAGAATCTGGTGCAGCGTGGATGGCAGAACCCCCGTCGCCGATAGTGTGAGAGACTGCAACGCCTTACGATTCCGAGGCAGAGAAAGAATTCCGGCAAGCCCGCTTGCCGTGACGTTCGGGGTATCACGTAGAATGAGCCGCTGGACGGCCGGGAAAGGGGGAAGAACATCGGAGAGGGCAAAGGTCGAGTCATCGAGCCAGGGCAGGTCTTCCAAGGTCACCTCGCGGAGGTTCGGAAACGAGGCCAGTCCCAGGCGGAGCACACGCGGCTCGACGTGCAAGCGCGAGAGCTCCAGGACCTCCAGGTTCATCCAGAGACGGGACTCGGGCAGCTGCGAGAAGCTGCCCTCGGCGCCGTGACGGTAGGTCATGCGACGCAGATCCGGACACCGACCGATGATCTCCTGTTTCAACGCCAGACACGACGCGTCGTCGCTGTATATCCCGGACGGCAGGTCGACGTATCGCAGGTTGGGTGTAACGGAAATGGTGCGAGCGATTTCCGCCTTGCTCGCCTCGCGTGTCATGTATGGCATCCGTAGGGAGAGCACCATGCTGCCCAGGTCTCGGGAATCTCGAACGGTCTGCATGAACAGGCGCAGGCGGACTTGTGGGGCGTCGATGGCCTCGCCATTGCGGTCAAAGAAGGAGCGACGTTTTCGTTTGGCGGCGAGTTCGACCTCGAGTTCGCAATAATGAACGGCATCGATGCGGACGTGGGAATACCTAGACAATCAGCAAGATCCAAGCGGATCACTTGGGAACGTACAGCAACGCTCGAGCCTCTAGATACCAGCGCTTGCACACGACGGCACAGTGGGCCAGGTCGCGCATGTCACAGAGCATGCAGCCATCCTCGGTCATGGACTCCTCGGAAGTATCATAGCTGTTATCAACGGTGTGTGGACAGACGTAGGCGAAGATGCGGGCGAGGAGCGGGCGCGGGAGCTTCTTGGTGGCGTCGGGACCGGAGGAGTGGTGGGAGTCGACGCAGAGGTGCTCGTAGGTGGCCACATTCCCGGCGCGGCTATGGCTCTTGGAACGCCGGCGAAGTCGGCTCAATAAACCCATGATGGCGAGCAGGCGGGCATGGATGGGAGAAGAAAGCTGAAGGGAATTGGAAGGTCGAGATAAAGGGAGCACAATACGAGGCAGTGAATAATCAGCAGCGGCGGTGATTGGGGGAATTCGGTGTGATGTGAAGTCGCTGCATGAACCCGCAGTTCGTCCCCATTCCAGCGCGTCGCCGGCGCCTTCAGGCTGGGCATTGGCTTTTGTCGCTGGATTGATTGGCAATGAGAACGGGCCTCATCAAGAAGCGAGATGAGGGAGGGGATTCCCCAGCCGGTCAGATAGGGGGCGCCGGTGTTTCATGTTGGAACGGTGTGGCCGATCGCGTCAGAGGTGAAACATTGCCATGTTGGATCATTGGATGATTGAACCAGAGTACCATTGGAGTACTGTGTAAGGCTGAGATACACACAGTATGGCTGGACTGGAGATTGAAGTGAGAAGTCAGGAGAAGATGGGATTCTCTCCCAGGGTCTGCGCTGGCCCCATCGGTACCTGCCACTAACCCGATGGGTCCCCCCAGCCATCCACCACCATCTACATAGGAAATCTCTATGCTTGCTACTCCGTACTCACTCTGCTCATCTTGATCTGACTATCCAGACCCTGCAGAATGTCAACCTTAAGCTTATCCGGAATAACCTCTGCCCATCGTCATCGCACTCGTAAACCGGGCATCGACTACATCGCCATGACATCATCTGCCAACCATGGCAATAAATAGCATGCACCGTTCGGATGCAACTGATGATTCTATACAGTACAGCCTGCTGATGCCATCAATGTCATCCATTGGTGCCCTCTGGACTGCCTTTCTCTGCCGTCGTCCCCTGCCCCCCGCGCCACCCTCTTTTTTCTGCCGCATCAACAGCCATCGCATCCCCACCATGGCAGGAATGGCTCAATACAATGGCTCGTCTCCTGATCTAGGAGACACCAATCCATCTCCGCCCAAGTCCCCGGCTGATGAAAGCGAATGGTCCAAGCGTCCGCCTTACAGTATCCGCTCCCCCGAGGAGTTTGGCCCTGTGAAGTGGCGCGGAAAATGCCAGTGCGGCCAGGTGACATACCAGCTCAGTCGCGACCGGCCCTTGAAGAGCAAGTTCTGTCATTGTCGGGGCTGTCAAGTGATGCATGGTGGGTGCAGTAGTTTATCACCTGAGACGTACTGACAGGGTGCTAGGCGCTCCGTTCCAATGGGCGGCCATCTTTCACAAGTCGGACCTCGCCTTCACTAGAGGGGCTGAGGGTTTGACATTTTATTCCTCCTCCGCTGGTACAAGGGAGTACACGTTACCCACCAAGGTGTATTGTTCCTTCTGTCGCACCCCGATCATGGATGAAGGACGGAATGTCTGCTTGCTGTTCCCGCAGGCCATTGAGAGTGCGGATTATGATGGAGATCGCAAGCACTGGAGAGAGGCATTCGAAATCGAGTGAGTCTGATGTTTAGTTAAAATGCATGTGCTGATCCATTAGTTGCCATATCTTCTACGGCAAGCGAGTCTTGGAGGTTCCCGATGGAAAGCCCAAGTGGTCAGGACTCGATGAGCAGAGCGATCTTTTGGATGATGAGGGACGCAAGAAAGAATGACTAGACAGGGGGTTCTCTGCCCAGCCGGATGTAAAATCCACACGACCTAGTTAGCATCACGAATCATGATCTGATCAGACCAGCATGCAGCATTCCAGCAGATCACACCCTGACCAATAGATTAGCCTATATGAAGACCACGTTCTGGTCCGGTTCTAGTCAAGATGATCGACAGGGCAGTCATCAGCATGTGCCACTACATACCACCAGTGCCGTGACCACGGGTGCTGCATGCCGCAGCTGACAACCTGAAACATGACTTCTATCCAGTTAACACGATGTCACCCTCATCGGTCACCCAGCTGCACCGATCCATCCCTGTCTTCTGGTCAGCCGCGTAGCAATAGCATCACCCTAATCACTATATAGCCCGAGATAGCTAGCCCCCATCATGCCTCACCGCAACCTGTACGATGTGGCCCAAAAGCAAATATACCGTGCTGGGTCTATTGGCGGCACCAGCGGCCGCCATCACACGGATCAGCAACGATGAGATGAACCAGTTCCTCAACCACGAGGTCGTCGAGCTCGCCAACCGCTATGCGCCCCTTTGGTTCTTCAGCCAAGCCGTGAACCAGCCTCCCTGCTACCCGACCTGGGCCTTCGGAGGCTCTCCAACCTCATCGGATGTATACGACGCAGCGCACAAAACCCCCGCTGCACCACAATGCGAATACCCCAACGTAGGATGCAAGTGTCGCAACCCCGGCGTAGCCAGAGGGAATCCCGGGCCTGCATTCCCCATCTACTACACTTTCAAGAAGTGCAACGAGACCGAAGTGAGGGTGGCATACAACCTGTTCTATGAGAAAGACGGGGCCGAGGTGTTGGACCTCATCGACACCGGCCATGACTAGTAAGCCTCTCCATCAGCCACCACTCCTATGTCTGACCATCAGCGACTGGGAACGAGTAATCATCATCCACTCGCGAGACGCGAACAACACATGGGCACCATCTCGAGCTCTCCTCTCCGCCCACAGCGGATACCACAACCTCGCCTGGGGCAGCATCCACAGCACATTGACCACAGCGCAAATCAACGCCGGAAGCGCCAGACAGCCCGACGGTGTCCGCAATAACGACCATCCGAAGGTATATGTGTCGTGGTCGAAACACGCGCATTTCGACACGCGGGATACCGTATGGATCGATCCGCTCAGTCAATCACTGGATAATGCATATCGCAGCGATGACTGGTGGTATTATGCCGATCCGAAGGACTATGTAAGCCATCCCCTAAAATATTGACCATCCAGCTAATGGATGTGCAGATTCGCTCGGATAATTCGACCGCGGCGGGGAAGGCTTTTTGGACTGTGGATTGGGGATCCGCGACGAGTAATCCGCCGTATGTGCAGGAAAGCGTATGTTCTGCTTCATAGAGTTTGCTTGATATATAGCGTAGATGAGCAATGGATATAGATGGATGGAGATGTGCTCGGCAGCCTGTAGCAGTGCAGATAAATAATCACACCGGAGGGGAAGTGAAATGACGTCGATGCGGTTCCCCACTAGAATTCCGCTCATCACAACAACAACACCCACCAACCCCTCCTTCACCATCATACAGAACCAGCGGTACGTATTCCCTACTACCCTAGCGATTGAACTATCTCCTTCGGTATACCCCTCCCGTCTACCCATTCCACTCCCTCTCACCCTGGCACCAACCCCGCAACACCACACCCACACCACCACCCACCACCAAAAACACACCTAACCACCCTCACCACCCTCACCACCACCATCACCACCTAGCTAACCCCCTCCCCAAACAGCAACACGACCCTAAATTCAATCACAAGGGAGAAAGCAAAATGTCCTGGACCCAAAAAACACTCACTCTCCCCTCCCGCTCCCGCGGCAGCTACCTCATAACCGACGAAATCATCTCCTCACTCCCAGAAATCAAAAACTACAAAGTCGGACTCCTGCATCTCTTCATCCAACATACCAGCTGCGCGCTCTCCCTCAACGAGAACTGGGATGATGATGTCCGGGCCGATATGAGTGATGCGTTGGATCGCATCGCGCCGTATGATAAGAAGGGGAATTTGTATCGGCATTCGGCGGAGGGGGAGGATGATATGCCTGTTCGTATACATTCTTTTCTTTCGTTTGACGATGTTGGTGGGGGGGGAGGGGGATAGATGATGCTAATGCGGTCACGGTGTAGGCTCATATCAAGTCGGCGTTGATCGGCGCGTCGGTTACCATTCCGATTACCAATGGACGGTTGGCCACGGGGACGTGGCAGGGCATTTGGTACTTGGAGTTTAGGGCCGCGAGGCATTCGAGGAAGGTGGTTGCTACGATTCAGGGAGAGAAGGCTTGATTTTAGGTATAGGGAGGTGAGACTGTTAGGTGGTGGGTGAATGTATAAATGGTATAGATAAATGAATTCATGCCGGTACTCTGTACAACAACCTAAGCTAAAAAAAATCAACGCCAAATCAATCTACCGCTGCTCAAATCCGCCCTCGGTCACCCGCTGGCTCTCGTTCACCTCGGCAGCATCTCCCACCGGCTTGAGGGGGTAGCTGGTGGCGGGAAGGGACTCGAGGTAGGTGCGGTGCTGCTCGTGGGCCTGTACATCGTTAGCATGCATCATTCACAGTTTCCAGTCAACACATACAAAAGGAAGACCGCAGTAGCCGCAGGTGGCAATCTCGGGCTTGTCAGTGTTGATAAAGACCTTGGGATGGCCCAGGGGACCACCACCGCCGTCACAGCTGACGACGCGGCTTTTCGTCCAGCGAACGGGTTGCTTGTGGATAAGTTCAATGGCAGCCAAGGGTTGGGGCTAAACCGTCAGTACACAATACCATAGTATCCGAGTGGTCAGCATTCCGGGCAACACACCTGCATCTCCATTATCGTCTGCTCGAAGCGAGGACCAACCATGGCCTTCTCCTTCGGCTGCTGGCTGGCAGCCCAGGTGGTGGCCCGGTTAGGCGCCTGGAGGACACGGGTACGCTCGGCGGCCTCGGGTGTTTCCCTCAAGGGCGCATCCCAGTTACCCATCGAGTCCACTGGAGTCGCATTGGTAGCAGAGACATTCGGCTTGGGCGTACGCGGGGTCGGGTCGTTGGCCGGGATGAAGTTCTCGGAGAGGCGAGGCACGGTGGTGGAGTAGCTGGCCCGGGCGGCAATCCGGGGAGTCCAGGAGAGGGCCGCAACCCGGCCTCGAACGCAGGGCAACATGCTGCAATTGGTCTGAGTAACGCGGAGGGAACGACGCGAAAGTGAAGGCAGTGAGCGGACAAGGGTCGAGGTCGGAGTTGGAGGAGGTTTCCAGTTTGCGGGAGCTGCGGCGCTTGGCGGCCAATCGGCGGCGTTCTGCGGCTGATGCGGTGGGATTCTGCCGCTTGGAATTTTGATCACGACTCGTTCACATCAGTTTCTTGGAACGTACTCTGTATTCATTAGCAGGTGACATATTCCCGACACTCATCATGCGGGGCTCACCTAGTTCTGGCTCTAAGCCAGACAAAACCATGTCTTCGCGGTTGCTGACGATGAAGGTATGCGACAATTGCGTACCACATGGCATCTCGCTAATGTTTACAGTTCATGCAACGCGCTGCCGCCACCAATGCTGCTCGTGAAGCCTCTCAGCCGACATCCACGGATGATTCCAAAGTGTCCACTCCCCCGAAGCGGCAGAGACTCTCTATCGGCCCGACCGACAGCCCCAGCACGCCTCAGTCAGATCTTGATGCGATTTCGGCGGCCCTAGCGGAAGAGGAAGAAAAGCGCAGGGAAGCACTTGCCCGTCAGGCTCAAGACTCGGGTGACACCGAATGGGTGCTGGACTATAGTGCGCCGGTGGCTCAATATGCGCCGCCGCCGTTTGTTGTCGCGGATGGATCGCTGGATGCGGATGACGATGATATCGGCGGTGGTCGACAGGCTTATGGAAATTTCAAACGGAAGAAGAGGACAGTGGTATGTCTATTTTCTTTCAAGAGGGTAATACTGTATCTGACCTTTTAGACTGGCGAGACCGACGACGAAGCTGAAGACGACGGCTCGATTAAAAAGGAAAACAAGCCACGAGTCAAAGTGTCACAACTTACAAGCATCTCGGGCGGACGACACGGAACAGTAGGAGACGACAAGAAGAAGAAACGGAAACATAAATAAGATACACCTCTTGAGACAGATATCGTACAGCTCATCCACCGACTGCATTGCTATGATTCGACTGATCACCAGAAGGGATTGGCCCTCAGTCGATCATTCAAACGGGCATCATATCCATGTCCCCTTCTGGTGGACACACTTGCAGTCCGATGAGATTCCTTTGGTCGAGCCTGTGAAGTCATAACATAGTTGTCTTTGGGTCTGACAGTGACTGGAGTGTTTCTTGGTTTCACGTCAGACCCATAGGTGTACGTGGCTGACCGCTGAAGAGTATGGTGCTTCGCTTGCTGACGCGGGACCGCTCGGTATTCTCTGTCTCGCTGCTCGATCAGTTCCTTGCACGATTCCCGGAGCTCGCGGTGTTGTCTACGACGGTCCAGCCAGGCTTCTCTGCCCAGCTCGATGATCTCGCTCTCCGGCACGAGGAACACTGCATCGATCAGCCGGTACTTCGAGCACCAGGTGAAACCTACCGCGGTAGTCAGGAGTGTCCCAAGTGATGTAATCTTCAAAGACAGGGCGAGTCTGGGGGGTCTGGGGTTCCGTGGAGCGAGCGGTCGTGCGAGTGGTCGAGCGAACTACTGTCTCCGAGCGAGCTGACTGAGGACGGACATTGGCTGGCATACTGGAGCGAGTGCTTCGCTTTGGCTTGCGGCAGAGTCGAGGGCCTTGCTCGTTGACCTCGACCCAGTATTCCATTCCATCGCAGCAGGAGAACATGTTGACTGCTTGCTGTGACATTAGCACTCCATATCACTTCATCTCATCATCTATTAGATTCATCAAGGCATACCTTGCACCTCCGTATCCCTGTAGAGCTCTCCGTGCAGAAATAGACAACCACAACACCTTCAAGTGAGGCGAAGTGAGAAGAAGTGAGGAGCGAGAGCCATCCACCACCAACACGTCCACAAGGAATTGTGACCATACGCCGAGAACTGTTTTGGGCGTCACGCCGAGCAAGCCGTATTCAAACAACGACCGTTTTATACCATATACCATATACCATATACCATAGAACTACTGATCCAGTACTGGATGCTTATACATAGTGAGCCAGAGACTTAGGTCTTGATATAGACCGAGATGTGTGTGTGGTTGATTCCTTCATCTTGGAGGATAGCTCCTATGTGTAGGATCCTACGGGAGGTTGGATTCTTCCATATCACCAGAAGAGGAGAAGTAGAGCACAAGTAGTTGTATAGTTCACAGTCCCGCACGTGATATCATCAGCATAAACATACACCACCATCTTCATCTCATACATAACAAGATAGGATCACAACTTGGCCTTCCTCTCCCTCTCCCTCCCCTCCCACCCCCTCTTCAACCAAAAATTGACCCCCAAATTCCACCCCGCCACGAGCAGCGCCATCGGCGGCACCACCCACAACAACCACGTCCACCACCCTCTCCCCCCAACCACCCCCATCGCCCGCCTCACCTCAACCTCCAAATCCCCTCGATCCCCATCATTCCAAACCACCACCCCCCTCCCCTTCCCCCTCCACTCCGCCCGTTCCACCTTCCCCTTCACATCCCCCTGACTCCTTACCCGATCCTCCGCCTCCTGCACCGAAAGATGCTTATCCCGTAACCGTAACCGCTCCATCTGCACCGCCGGATCTTTCACCCCAACCACCATCACCACCCCGCAGAGCAGATCCATCCCGCTTTCGAATAATAGTGGCACGTCGAGCACAACGGCCCAATGGCCCCGCACGTAGTAATATAATATCGCCTTGTAGATTTCTCGTCGGATCGCCGGATGTACGATCTTATTAAGGATCGCTCGATCGCGAGTTCGCGAGGCATCCGTGCCGAAGATACGCCGGCCTAGGGCAGGGCGGTTGAGTGGACGGCCTAGTTTGTTCTCGTTGTTGTTGGTGTTGATGCTGGAGGAGGGATCATCGGGGAGGAGAAGATCCGGCGTCGTCGGTCCAAAGTAATTCACGATGGCTTTGTAGCCTGGTGTACCGGGTTCGACGACTTTTCGGGCGAGCAGGTCGGTGTCGATTATCGGGAGGGAGTAGGGTGGGGAGCTGAGGAGGGAGGAGACGGTCGATTTCCCGGTCGCGATGGAGCCGGTGAGGCCGATTATTAGCATTTTGTCTTATCTTTCTTCGGTCGGTGGGTTGGTTGTAGTTGCGGTTGTGAGGGATTAGAGAAGTAATAGGTAGGTTGCTGTAGGTGGTGGGAGGTGATGATGTTGGCGGAGTTGGAGATGCGATGGGATGGAGATCTGCGGGGAGAGCTGCGCTGCGCCTAGGCTGCCCCGATCCGAACCGAGGCCAAGACTGTGCTGCGGTTTTTGGTTCTCCTTACTCTACACTGCAAACTCAAGTATACGGAGTACATTAAAGCATGTGTCATCAGTCTATGCGATTAGGTCGTCTAGTTATCGTAAGGTAAAAAAAAAAAAAGAGAAAAAGAAAAAGAGAGAAAGTAAGAAAAGAAAGAAAAAAAAAAGATCCGCTTTTCCACCACCCAAACTCCAGGTCCTCATCCACAGGCCGGCTGGGGACCTGACCTATCACTTCCGCTCTTCCAGTCGATTCGATTCCGCGTCTGTGTCTGTCGCCAGCTGAACAGGACAAAGCAGGGAATGCAGTATGGAAGGACGTGATTTGTGGTCGCCCATTGTCGGTGGGATTATTTCGTTATAAAATTTTGAGACAGCTGAGAGACTGTTAGCAATGTCTGGGGTATAGAGGAAGGCATATGCTCACTGGCTCTATCACGAAACCGAGCATCCGCAGACGTGACAATTCTTGCCTGGAATCACCCACACCTCCTGTCCTTTGGCTTCACAGCTGGGGCACTTGGCTCCGGGCATTTTGGCTGTTGAGGTCTCCTGGAGACAGTTAGTATGGTCGCATACAATGATAGATAGAACTCACGGGCATGATGGTGGTTGTCAAGGTTACGACGTTGATTGATGGACGGAGGGGAAGGAGAGAAGCTCTTGTGGACAACAGGCGAGGTCGAGTTTATAAAGTATAGACTTGTGGGTTGTGTTCAATCAACTTAATCTGGAACCGAGCAGAGCCCTCCATCTATATATAGCCTCCGTCGGTGGGAGGTTTGCGACATGGAATAATGGGCCCGGAATTTCCAGATCTTGGGTCGTTGGATGAATCGGTTCTGGCTGGAATCTGAAATCACATCAAGCCGGGAATGGATTAGCCATGATCAAATCAGGTAAAGAATCACTTGGGAAATTTTAAGAAATAAAATTAAAAAAAGGAAAACCCACGGACAGGAAATTGGACTAGGGTGGCTATGACTCGATGGATGGAGCGACTGGTCCATCGGGAGATCTTCAGCTTAGCTTGGGACTGGTCGATTGGAGACACGACCAACGATCAATCAGACATGGACCCTGGTTAGCCCAACATGTCATGTCGGCGGTAGCATATTCGGATGACTCGGATCTTCCCGTCGATGACTTGCATCTGGGGTCAACTAATCGTCTCTAGGGAGTTTCAGCTACGGATGGAATGTGATAGATGCGTCTTCATTCCAGAATGGGCTACAGCTGGTCGTGATGATGGGGATGCATGCCACAAGGAGTGCGCGATTAATCACAGAAGCATTGAAGCCAAGGGGGCATGGACATCCCACCCAGAGGACATCCGGAGTCCTGAAAAGAGACATGCGAGACAGAACCGTTTATGCAAGCTACAACGGGACTCGGTACCGGGCCCTTGCTGCCCACCCAGGATGTGACTGGTGATGATGCGAACAATGTATAGGTCACACCCAATCTAAGGTGTGCTTGATGCAAAGACGCTATGATTTAGCGCCGGCTGCAGCCCGTCTTGCGCATACCACACTGGTCACTGTCCATGCAGACCCTGGTCGATGCTGTCGAGCTAATTTCATGCGAGTCTCCCAGTCACCCAGTGTGTCTCCCCAGTCCAATCAATTCAGTGGTTTGCGGGGAGAGATTACCCACTGCCCAAGGTTCGGCTAAGATCTGATCAGTGGCTGATCCACTGAACAGGCGACGCAAGCGTCCCCTGCGGTTCGAGGCTATCGGGGGCGGCCTCTTTTTGGGCATTCCACCCCGATGATAGCTCGGTGACATTCCAAATCGTCTGCGGAGCGGATATCTAGATAGTTAGCAAACATACTATCACCGACCCGCCTGTCAGAATAAGCACTAACAACGGAAGGAATCGAAAGTCGATGCGCCAATGATCAGGTCGGATCAGTCATTGGGAGAGAGTATACACCACTGCATCCAACGGACTAGTAATCTGCACAGATCTATACCGATGCTTCGGTGGGCGGGATTCGTTGGATGCACCCTGCGACGCAACGTGCAAGGGCTACCAGGTTTCTCCTTGCCTGGGATTATTGCCATCTGTGTGCGTTATTTCTTTCTACCTCCTCTCTTCCACCGAGTAAAGAAAATGAACGAAAAATGATAATGAACCAAATTGATCGTTCGCTCGGCTGGTTTCAAGGGATGGACAGGTAAGCTGAACTCTATCACCGTTCGGTGAATTTAGCACTGCTCCACCGACGTTGATCAGTCTATCACTCACCTCTTGGCCCGTGAACTCGGGCGATGCATAGTCGGTGTTTCGCAGCCAATGTGACGGGGTTGGGGGGAATTGGATACATACACTCGACCCGGTGGGTGGTTCCTGATTGGTCGAGGTTATTCTCCGTGTTTGTCCCTCCCTGTTTTCCAGCATCCCATCCATCCTGCATCCTCCAGTCTCCCTCCCGACCGTTCATCTCCTCGCGAGCGGGAATTGGTCGGCACTCTCTAGCGGAATAAGGCTGCCACGCTAACCAGAGCCCCTCTTCTCCGAATTAAGCTGAAGCCGATTGATATTTATCGAATGTGACCTGTCAGCTGGGGCCCCGCTCCTGTCAAACAACGATGGCATCTCCAGCGATCCATTGGCCCCTCCGTCTCGCCTTTGTTTGCTGCCCTCCACTAGATTTGTCAACTCTCAACCGAATCTCCGCTGTCCCATCGGTCAGCAATGGCACCGCGCAATGAATCCACACCGCATTTTTTTTCCCCCCGATAACCCACCGCAAAACATCACCGCGGATCCACATGGTTTGGTCCCCGATATCCCTCATGTATGAACCACTGCACATACTTACATGGACCACCGACGTGGGGCCCGGTATGTGCATATGTATGTCCTCAGCTGCAGCTCGGTCTCCTCGCCAGCTCGCCATGCCAGGGTGTTTTGCATTCTGTACTCTATCTCCGACCGATCCTTGAGCGACTCTCGGTGACTGAACTTCAACAGGTTTACGGACTCCTATACACCGCTGACTCGGTTGAATGCTTCTACCTGGAGCACTTGCGACCGCGTCAAGTTCAGAATTGCCTCACCACTGACCGACCCATCCTACAGTATTCGCTCTGCAGACGCCATACATTCGGTACATTGAATACAATCCCCGCGCGATTTCTCTACACCTGCTCGACTTGCTCTTCGGTACCATCAGCGACCTCACTGTCCAGCTTCTCCCTGGCTCCATGCCCGATTAGTCGCTGCCCAGACCCCAATCCATTCTTTCGCGCCTTCGCCAGCTCCTTGGAGGTTTGCACCGCGCTCTTGCCCGGATTGGTGAACAGGTAGTCGATCTCCTCGAGGGTCAACCGGGCGGTTTCGGGATAGCAAAAGTATACCAGCGGGACAAAGGCAAAATTGGTGCACATGAAGATGAGGTAGGCTTTCCATTGGAGGCGATTGATGATGACGGGGGTGATCATCACAACGAAGAAGTTCTGTTCGTCAGTTTGGCTCACTGGAGGGGTGGTGAACTTACCCAGATCCAGTTGGAGGAGATCCCCACGGCCGTTCCCTTGGCGCGCGCATGAAGGGGGAGGATCTCTGGCACATAGCACCAGGGGATGCAATTGACCGAGGCGCCGAAGATGAGCATATACACGAAGAAGAAGGCGACAGCGGCGGACGATGTCGGATGTTCGTTGGCCTGGCCTTTGAAGCTGAGCAGGATGGAGACCATCATCATGCAGATGCCCAAGCCGAATGAACCCCACATCATGGGTGCTCGGCGCCCGACTCGATCCACGAAGAAGGTGGGGAAGATGCTTCCGACGACGAACATGATTTGGACACAGCCCCCGAGAAGATTGGAGAGATTCTTGCTCAGGCCGACGTTGGTGTTGAGAACGGTAGGGATGTAGTATCTGATTCATTAGCACAGGTCGGGAATGGATCATTGATTGCATACACGACTAGGTTGATCCCGCCAACTTGGTTCATGAATTGCATGCCATATGCGAGAAGCCTACCACATTAGCTTTGGACTGTTCTGCACGGTGACGACTTACACTCGATGACCTGTCGAGACTTCATCTTTTTTGAAAATATTTCTGACCGGTCAGCATATACCTTTTCGCCCAGTCAAGTTAAAACAAACCTCCACTTATACCCCCCATGTTTAGTCTCCACGGAAATAGCCTCGAGAATCTCTTCCTGCTCGGCCAAAATCACCGGATCGTCCTTAGGCCGCCCATATACATCACTCAGGATCTGCAGCGCCTCTTCATTCCTGCCTTCCTGGTAACAGTACCTCGGGGACTCGGGCAGTCCAAAGACCAGGATAATCACCACCTAATAGCTCCATCAGCACCCATCCCATACCATATGCGACAATCAGAGAGGAGCACACTCACAATTGCAAAAATAATCTGACACGCAATCGGCAATCTCCACGCGATTTCCCCACCTACATAACTCATACCATAATCGAAGAAATAACTACCCCATTAGCAGCCACCACCAGGCGAAAAGGAGGGGGAGATACCTAATAACAATCCCCACCCCCACCAACAACGGCTCACTACATACCATCCGACCCCTCTTCCTCGCCTCACAGAGTTCCGCCTGATACATCGGCACCGTAGACGTCTCAATGCCGGTTCCGATGCCCGTCACGAACCGACCGATCATGAGATGCGGGACGGTGTATGCGCTGCATTGGAGCGTTGCGCCGATCTATCCCACATATATTAGCAAACCCAGTCACCATATAGTAACTTAAACCAAGATGCAAAAGATGCATTGATTGACTGGATGGGGGATATACAATAACCCAAACCATAGCCAGCCACATCGCCCTGCGTCTTCCCAACCAATCCCCAAGCAGGAAATTCACCACACAGCCGAAGAAACATCCGAGGTTGTAGATCGAGACGATAATGCCGGTTAGACTGTCGTTGGGATGGGACATGGTGGCGAGGAAGGAGGTGTTTTCGATAATGCCGGAGAAGACGCCTTGGTCGTAGCCTTTACACATTTTATCAGTATGCCAGACTTTGTGCATATAGTAGACATTCAATAGAGGAAATAAAGGTGGTTGGAGGAGGCGAGGGGAGGATATACCAAATAAAATAAACGCCATCCCACAAGCAGCCCATATCGCTGCTTGAAGGGATGTGCCAGTGCCAAAGAGGTTGAATTTAGGCATTTTCTATCTTCTCTCTCTAGTTTCCTTGTTTTGATTCTGTCATCTCATAGTATGACTAGTAGAGTGGCAGATAATCCGGGCAATCCACCCAATATATACACCCATCTCCACAGCATCACCCCAGAAGAATAGTATGATGAGGAGAAGCCAAAAGAGGGGTCGGACATCCCCCGACCGGACCAGATCAGATCCGACGCAAGTTTAGATCTTGATTCAGACGGCCCAAGCCGTCTTCTGGTACGGTACGCCTCAACAGCACTGAAACTGTAAATCTGCGTCGCACGGCACCTCGTCCAGCCGCGGGTTGAAAGCATGTCATTACCCGATGCGGCAGGTCGAGGCAAAGGTTACCCCGGATTGTTGGCCCGCTAGGCTGGATTCGGGGGATCGTCGGGGGCGGGAGGGAAGACGTCATGAGGTGGTCCGTGGATTGATTTCCTGGTTGCTTGGTCGGGTAGCAGCTATGTGGGATTCCCTCAGCTGGAATTGGAGGGATGTTTGGGGACTGTGGTATTGGGTTTTTGGTTGGTCGATTCGTTGGGATGAATGATGAATTTGGTAGCAAAGGGCACTATATATATCTACCGCTGTACAAGCCGGCAATAATCACCCTCGATGGTCTAGTTGGTTATGGCGTCCGGCTGTAATGGTTGATTGTAACCGGAAAATCCCTGGTTCGATTCCGGGTCGAGGGACTTTTTTGTTTTTTTTTTGTTCCTAGGTAGAGTGAGGTTGTAGATGAAGTACTATGTAGCTAGATCGGGTCTGACGGTGCTTACAGCTTGGAATATTAGTCGAAAGGAACCTGACAGGGCTGAACTAAAGCCACCTAGCTTCGAAGGATCCCGGTAGTCTAGGAGGTTGTCCTTGTGAAACTATCATGTGACAGGTCGTTTTGATTCCTCTCGCTCTTCTTCGTCGCTTTTCTCCATCTATTGTCATCCTGGTTTGGACAGATAGTCCAGTCTCATCGAATCGATCCAGAATGAGCTTTCATCACGTCTTACATTCTACATTATGACTAATTCCAAGACCCTCTGCCTGTCACTTGCGAGAGTTAAAGAAAAGCGTTGAGCATGGTACCCAGCAAGTTGAATCTGTAGCATCAAATTACCGATCGTTCTGAATGGGCAGACTTGGGTCGTATCATGGTAAGCTCCGGACTTGATATGTCTCACTGCTTCTCAACCACCGCCAACCTCACCTCACGGTAATAGGCGACATCTCATTAAGACGCTTAAATGATCTCTCGCAATGTTCCATCTCCAACGCCCTGAGGAGTGGCTTGGTCGGATCTAGCCGGACTGCGGGAGGCATGAATCAGGCGCATCAGCAGGCGGCCACGTCACCAGCCCGACTACTCCTTATCAACCTGGGGTCCCGTCCAAGTCGGAAGCTTCATGTAGAACAAAGGCAACAAGAACTTCAGTGGACGTATGTTCACCTGGTTAACACTTCACGTCCGGCAGTCTCCTCTCGAGAGAAAGTCTAGTCTGGTAGTCAACCATGTTATAACTATTTGTGTATCCTCTTACCCCATCTATCCATCTACTCATCACGCAGCGGCCTGGCCTATCATCAGTTAACCATGTCACGCGAGATGGAGAAGCAGGAGCCTTTCTGGAAATTCCAACTGGTGCCGGATATCTTTGTGGATTACTATGAGATCGCCAACCAAAGCCCTGGACGGAAAGTAACTACCCAGCCCAACCTTGGGCTAATCGACCAGCTCTATGGGGATTCAGATGCCCTTCCCCAGTGGCAGGAACAGGACCAAAAGCCATGGGAACGATTTGTGGCCTACGTCAATCGTCTGAACGCACGAAGTCCCAAACATGTCAGCTACAAGGTCCTGTATCTCACCAGGCATGGACAAGGTGTTCATAATGATTATGAAAGCAAGGTTGGGAGGGACAATTGGAATGTGGGTAGGATATGATTACTCTGACAGAATCGATGCTGACAGAACAGGACTACTGGGCTCGTCTGGACGGAGACGGTTCGATCTACTGGGTCGACGCATGGCTCACCGCGACGGGAATACAACAGGCTCGAGAGCTGGGCCAGTTCTGGAGGGACGTCGCGCCGGAGCAGAAGATCCCACTGCCCGAGACGGTCTACACGAGTCCTTTGGCGCGATGTCTTCATACGACGAAACTCATGTTCTCTCCCGCCTTTGCGAAAGAGGGAGAGCGTCTAGCCCCCTTAGTGAAGGAAGGCCTGCGAGAACGATTGACGGATCATACCTGCGACAAGCGAAGTTCGCTGTCCTGGATTAACCGATACTATCCGTCGTTTCTGATCGAGAACGGGTTTTCCGAAGAAGACCGGCTGTGGTCGCCGTTCCTCTCAGAAAGCATCAAGGAGCACGTGGCGAGAAAGCAACGGGTGCTGGAGAACCTGTATGAGCGCGATCCTAACCAGATCATCTCTCTGACCGTTCATTCGTATGCCATTGGAGCTATCCTCCGGGCGTGTGGAGCCGAAGAGGAGTTCATCGTCCGCGAAGGGTCGACCATTGCGCTGTTGGTGCGGGGAGAGAGGCCGCCTTTGCGTCGGTATGAAGCCATGTATTATTAGCTGCTATTTCTATTCATCGTTGTGTTTATAAATGCCGTACTCCGTAGCTAAAGCAGAAACAGACCCTGGACCGGCCCGGATAATACCCCGCATGGGCTAACCCATTCGGGCGGTTCTCTTCTGTTCTTGCATCTCACTTTCATCCATCTCACAAAGCTGCAGCATACTTTAAACCAGTCTTTTTCTAGACCAACCAGGCTAATACAGATGAGAGCAGAAACACTGAGCCGACTGGCTGGCTAAGAAGAACATCCGCCCTCGGTAGTTCTCAATTTCGCTATCCGTCCCGCATTCTCTCCTCATCTGTGAATCACCGTGACCGGCGTATACCAGCAAGTATGGACAGCGAACGTCCCCTGAAGCGCCCACGCCTCGCTTCACTCCAAGAGAATGTCCAGCCAGCACCAGCAGATACCTATCCAGAATCGCCATGGGACCACCTATCGAGTCCTTATCCCCTGGCAGACTACTATAACACTTCCCCAGCAGTGAACACCAGCGACCCCTTCCAGTCCCCAGCCGCCAGCTGGACCCAAGACGGCTTTTCACAGGATCCAGGGTATCTCGCTTCCCAGGAAAAATTGCGTTGCATTCTTTTCTCCTTGGCGAACTCGACTGCTCCGACACGAGTATCCAGTCCAGACATCGGGCAAGTGAAAAGATCAGAGCCAATACCTTCATTACGACCTCAATCCGAACAAAGAGGCGAGCTCCAACCATCTCTCTCTAGCGGACGACGAATCGAATATCTAAAGAACTACGTAGCCGAGATAGCGCCCTGGGTACGTATCACCCCAAGTCTAACTCCAAACGAAGCTAACGATCATCTTCAGCTCGACATGTTCGATTCCAACTGCACCTTCCGACAACAAGTCCCAGTGCTAGCGCGCACATTCCCTCCCCTCTCCTACGCCATGCTTGCCATCTCGGCCCGACAGATCGAGCGCAAGAACGGGGTACGGAACTGGTTCGACAGTCTCGAACTATACCAGGAGGCTATTCGACGACTGAGTCCACTTCTTCAACTACGCGATCCGAAGATCGTCGCCGCTTGTGTGCTGCTTTGTTGCTTGGAGATGATGTCTGCTCGGGCACAGGATTGGCGACGCCATCTCGAGGGCTGTGCGGCGTTGTTCGATGCCTTTGGGATTCATGGGTTTAGTAAGGGGTTGTTGCAGGCGGTGTTTTGGTGTTATGCTCGGATGGGTGAGTTTATGCCCTTCGGTTGGGGTGTTGTTGGTGGCTTGGGTGTGGGCTAATGGGTTTAGATTTGTGCGGTGCGTTGATCTCGGATGGTACTCAAACTACGCTTTTGCATCCTTCGAAATGGCTTCCTGAGGGTTGTCGGCCAGAGGATGCGCATCGGCTGTTTCAGAGTGTCAAGTCGCCGGATATGCATGCTAATTATGCCGTGTATCTATGTGTTAAGGCAACGGAACTCGTGTCGGATCGGACAAAGTTTGTGGAACTGGGTGAAGATAATGGATGCACTCCGGACAGATTCTCTGCACGGTGGATGACTCTTTGGAATGATCTACAATACTGGCTATCGGAGCGTCCTAGTGAGCTGCTTCCGGTGCAGACAGTCAACCGCAAACCTTTCCCCCACATTTTATTCGTCCACTGGGCTGCTATTTCCTCGACCCAACTATATCACACAGCGTGTATACTACTCTTGAAGATGATGCCCAAAGGCATCCGGCTTCCACGGTCACCAACCCTATTCGCTCTATGGCATGCGCGTCGAATATGCGGCATTTCACTAGCTAATCCACACCAAGGGTGTCTGAACAACTCTATCCAACCGCTATGAATTGCCGGTCAGCTGTTCAGCCATACATCAGAGCATGAAGAGATCATCCGACTGATTCAGAGTATCGAGGCCGAAACAGGCTGGGGGACATGCTGGCGGATTCGAGATCTGGAGATTGCCTGGGGCTGCTCTATCAGACATGAGCCGGCAGTCTCTAGGCAATAATATCTAGGACTTCGACTTTGGAGCTGTTTAGAAACCGTCGAGAAGAGACCAATCCTCGCGCAGCTGCGTCAGATACTCATCCAAATTCCACCCCGTGATCGTGCAGACCCGCTTGAACCCTTCGAGGATCTCCTGTTGCTGAGACTCATGCGTCATCGTCCTTGCCGCTACAAGGAACGAGGCGATGAGACAAGGATCCCAGGATTCCCGACAGTCATTGTTCAGCGCGATGCCACAGATGCGCTGCGAATGCCACAGAGGAGAGAGTGTGGGAGATTGCAAGCCTGAAAGCGCCGTGCGGGGCTTACACTGCAGCAGAAGTAGCATGGCGGTATGATACAACTGATTGCAGAAGATACCCGCCCCGTTTACGAACAGCAGGAGCGGAAAGCCAGTTCCCGTCCCAGAAAGATCGTCGCTTGAATCCACCATCGGTTGGAACTCGTCTGGTCGCAGATGGTACCACTGGTCGAGCTCTTCGAATACCTGCAGCCAACTGTCCAGAGCTGAATGCTCGCTGGGTTGTTGATGATATAGGCTCAAAACTTTGCCACACAGCCAAAGGAGAACATGCGAGTATGTCCGGATTTTCTCCTGCACATCTTCTATGCGTGACATTATTGAGAAACTGGGCAAGGGACTCGGCGGGAGCTGCATCTGTATAGGCATGTCGTTTGCCAGTGCAGCACTCAGATCTGATCTAGTTAGAGCCATCGAAACATGGGATAAGGACATACCCAGACGGAAGAACATCCAATAGATCGATGACCCAATCTCTGGACTAAATGCCTGATGCACCAAGGTCTCGAAAATCTCAGATTTATACCTCCGCACGCTTTTCCAAGCCTGCGAGATATCCGAAACAAGATATCTCACCTCCTCCAGCACCGCCATCAATGTAACCTCAGTTGTGACCGGTGCAGAGTCTGGCCATAAGCCCCAATAAAATGGTTCTACACGACTCAGACCCCCTGCATACCCCATTCCCTTCTTGGTCACACACACCTCGGAAAGGCCCAGCAAAGCCCGCATCAACTGCTCCGACCCCAACGCCATTTGCACCGTCGTGATCCCAAACGGATGCCCGAGATCACATATATCAAGCTAAACGATTAGCCTAATACTTCCGGAGTGTCGGATACTTACCCACGGAGCAATCTGATATCGATAATGGCATAGGAGTTGTAGCTTTTCAATATCCGTCATAACATTGCTGGCAGTAAAATGCAAGCTTCGCGGAGGGACGATCGTATTCTCATCCCTAACGATCGATGACAATGGAGGGATCTGAGGTTTATCGTATATTGCATTTGGAATCGGCAAGACAGTATCCGTTCCTAATGCCAGAAGACCATGTACGGCCGATTTATCCCTATCGCTGAAGAGAGGGTTGTTGGTTAATGAAGCGAGGGAGGCAGTTCTATCTCCTTCGGGTATTCGTTTCGATGGACTTGGAAACCCATCTCCTGCAGCTTGACTCGTCCAGTTCCTGTCTACCTCTTCTGCATGCATAGGCACATCATCATCACCACCAACATCCCCAAGCGAGAGATCCTCATTCACAAACTACACCAACCAAACACACAATTAGCATATAATCCACCTCCCACCTCTCACATCCCAAACAATAGATAATATACTGAATCAACGAACCTTAACCCTCTTCCACCCCCGCCTCCCAAGCACATCCCCACCCCCATCCCCTACAGTGGACCCCTCCCCAGGAGGCAACACCACCAAATTCTTCTCCAAAAAGGTAACCTGCACTCCATACCGACAGACCAGATCCTTCTCGATGCAGTTTTGGCAGCGGGGTTTGGTTTCGTCGCCTATACATACATAGTATTAGTTGTCATGCGGCAAAGGAGGGAACACGAAACCGGGATGGCAAGAGAGGAGATGAGTCGGGGAGGAATACATTTCCGTCGACGCGTCCTGCATCGCAAACAACCTGTTCGACAACGAGTATGTTTTTTCTCTTTCTCTTTCTTTTTCGATATCTGGGGCTCTTGTTCTGTTCCTCTGGTGTTGGGATGCGATATATTGGAATGAGCTCGGGTAGTGGGGGTGCTGCTCGTCGCCATCATCCAAAACAAAGTTCAATCAGATACCACAATCCAGCTAACCACACTGCATAATCTTGCTATTGCTGTTTCTGTTCCTGTTCCTATCACTCTTTGAAAATGGATGGATTAGATGGCGGGGACGAATCCGGGAGTCGTAAGCGTCAGCGTCGCGGAAGCGGAAAGTGTGTCGTCGTGCGGGGGAAAACCACTACCCGCGCTTGGAATTGCCGATTCGGGACGGGGCTCGGGGGGATTTGGGACTTGGGTTTTTACCCCGGATTTTGGAGGCTTAGCTTGGGGGGTTGGGCTTGGCATTGTGATCGATTTCTATTGGGGGTGGGATTGGGGGAGGGTTAAGTGGTGGGTATGTTGCTATGTATGGGTTCTGTCGTTGGACTGGATGGTGTGTGGTGGGTGATTTTGGTTTACTGGTTATGGTTTGCTTGGTTGAATGGTTATTAGAATAGTCACTGATTGGTGTTTGATGTGTATAGTTCAGTTTCCAGAGTAGGTACTTGGGTTGGATGGGTTGGTTCAGAAAAGGCTAAGTGGGATGTTTTGTCGAGGTAGATGCCATGGATCATCCTCCGTATCCTTCCCTGCAAAGTCTTGTCAATTTGCAAGTCGGATTATCTGGACTCGTAAATGTATTTACCAGCATCTATACAAAAGAACAATGTGCATGTAATGGTATACCGGTAGATGGTTTAATGGTTGGGAACATGTCAGCTGCATCTAGCATGTCTATTCTAAACCACATCAAGTGTAGGCTTTCGTAATATGCACCAACAATGCCCCCTCGGTCGGTGCCCCCGTTGCGTCGTACAAGTTGATCACTCGATAACCCTCGCGCAGTCGATCCAGTCGAATACACGCCCATGCGGCCAGCGCATTGCGCATCCATTCATTGTCCTTGATTTTGAACCTGTCTACGTTAGCGAGTCCTAGGACGGTTGGAAAGAATACCAACCTGACAAAGGTCAACTCGTCGAGGAAGCCAGATACGGTCGGGAATTGCAGTTTCTCCCCACCGAAATCCGGATTCACCCCCGTGACGCTCTTGGTCGTGTGCTTATATCCGGTCTTTTCGGAATCACTGTCATCATCCCCCGCCGCGAAACTGTCATCTGGTGTCTCCACGTGCAATAGACATGTCAGATACGGGTAGAACTTCTTTTCGTTGGTGTGGCCCGGGGGCAACGGGATGTTCTGTCCCGCAAGAACCTCGATGGTCAGATCCATGCGTCGGGGCGGGATAATCCCGGGCTGCGCATCAGAGCCTCGATAGCCCGGGGGCTTGAGCACCCAGCCCTGTTCCCCCGCGAACATGCCTGCATTGAGCATCATCGCTTTGTCAAGGCTCTGCCAGTTCAGAGCCACCATCTGCGCACCCCGTCGCCAAAAGAAGCTGGGATCCATGTTGGAGGAGTCGACGCGCATGCCGTTCGGATAAACCCGCATGAAAAAGTGCCGGTTGTGCTCGAACAAGGCATTTCCGTCATTGGCATGTGCCTCGCGTACAGCCTTTTCTGACAACGAGAACACATGACTGGGCACCTTGGCTTCTGTCTTTCTAGTAAGCGATCCGCCTATTACGCTAATAAACAAGCAGAACCATACCGGGCTGTGCAAAATTACTAAAGTGGAATCCCTTGGTGAAAATGGCCAATTTACTGAGCGCTTGCAAGATCTTAGACGGCTTGTGGGGAGCCGGAGCGACAGCCTCGGGGGACAAGTCGTCCGGTTTCTTCGGGATACGGTCTTGCTTCAAAGCTTGCATATGCGCCGAGTAAACAGCCTTTTCATTGGCCTCGCGGTCATCATCTTCATCGGCAGAATCGACGTGCTTCACCTTGATCAAGATCTTCCGCTTCAAATCTGCCAGCGGGGGTGGAGACATTCTGGCTTCGATTTCCGGCGTCACCTCGATCAACATCCCCTTCCACGCCTCCTCCATGATCTCCACCATCGTCTGCTGCTGCTCCAGGCAGGTATGAACTTCCAGACTCACAATCACCGGGAGATCGCTCGTAACAAAGGCACTGTCCCGGATGGCATAGCACACTTCCCGGAAGCTTGTCTCCTTGGTCAGCGTGTGACCATGCAATACACGCGGCTCCAGACGTCCAGGCACAGTGATGGAGTTGGCCGACTTTTCAGCGTCGGAATGCTTGCTGATTGACGGCTTATGATGATTCAGGAATCCTTCCAATTTGCCAAATTCCTGGGAAATGGCTCGCAGATGACGATGGTTTTCACTCGCCTTCTTCAACCGTTCCGTCTTCGATCGACGAGGCTTGCAGGAACTACCCTTGTCTTCATTTGAACTTGAGTCACTAGTACTGCTTGCCTCGTTGGATTGTGCAGAGTCTGACTCGGCTTTTCCATCCCAGACATCAATCTCCACGGATCTGCACCCACTAAGGAGGACCTGAGATAATTAGCTGTGTTTATTCCACATCAACACTCTGCAACTTGTCAAGTACAGTGTGCTTAGGGCTTCGATTATCTCTTCCGAGCATTCTGCCTAGATAGCCGGGTGGCATACCACCGAACCCGCAGGCACAGCGACTTCAAACCAGCTGTTTGGAGGGATGGAATAGCATACATTGGTATAGGCACTTGCACTCGAGTCACTGTACAGCTGGTTGCCCGTCAAATACGTATTGTGACTGGTGGAGATGAAATAGTCCGTAATGGGCGCCGAGAGGTCTGGTGAACTGGCAGGGCGCATCGCCGACGCCTCGGGGCTCGCCATGTACTCATAGAACCCAGCTACGGTAGCGAGTGGATCAGCAGTTGTCCCCTGGCCTTTGGGCTCATGTTGGACCTCCGTCAGAAAGTTGGGGCGAGCCATCGTAGTCAATGAACTATAGATTTTGTCGACGTAGTTGAGCATGGATGGGGTAAACGGGAGGGTGATTTTGGCCCCAGCAGACAGGCTGGAGTCCATGGTAATGCGACTTGTCTGAGTGGTGAGGTTCTCCATGTTGTACGGCAGCCAGTGTAGCTCAGAACGAAATGGGTGAGATGAAATGAGGTGAAGTATGAGAGACTGAAGATGTTACACGACGGACGTTGAATATATGGAGGGGCCTGATGATGGCCCGATGATCGACACCAGCGGGACACGGTTCAGGGGTCGGAGAACAACTCCGAATGTCGTCAGGTGCAAAGATACGAAACCGGAGGAACGTGGGAGGAACAAAGATGGACAGCTGTCAAGTTGCAGATGGAAAGAATGGCAAAGAGAAGAACAATGGAGTGGAAGAAGCGGCTGAGACGCCGTCGAGGGGTTTCGTTGTCCGCCGAGTTTTACCTGCTCCACTCCGCGTGGACTCTTGACGGCGTTTGGCGGTGACTGCATCATCTGCAACAGGGCAGCTCCAATGGCGGATGGCTATCCTGGTGGAGGCCGTGAGAGAAGATCAGATCTCCCCTGCCCGGTTTAGCCACGAGTGACGAGGCCTGAGATCTGAACCTGGCACTGCGGGGCGTGCCTCGATCGATGCTCTAGACCCTGATGGCGTTTACACCTTCGTGCTCACGCGGTAGGTAAGTCTAATGATGTCCGAGCTTTCTGAACAGCTCACATTACAAGAATTGGGCATGCACAGGAGGCTGTGCAGCACTGACGAGTGGACAACGAAAGATGATGCAGTCCAGCGACCATCGGATCTCGAAATCGGGCATGGATCGGTGATGTCATTCACAAAGTCTTTGCCTCAGGTACGAGGCTTGCTTTCTCCGTCGTGCCCAACCTTTCAATTCCGATGCCAGATGCATATCCCAAGGGTCCCCATGAAGAGGGTCGAGGATCTCGAATTTGACAGATCGGATCTAAGCAGCTAAGCAGCGGGCGCATCGCGATCTCCACAAGGCTGAGATCCCCGCTTCCGGATGACCACAAGGACACTGCTATACACATTCCCGTTGGCCACATCTTTGCAATTTCTCAACAACACTATCGTGAATAGGATATGAGCTGACAGCGGTTACAATAACCAGATCCATCTTCCCTTGCGCCCGAGTTGACGGTATACCCCGCGAGTCCTGAGTCCGCCTAGCCACAGCGACCGTGTTATACCTCCATCGAACTTCAGTCCCTCTCGAGGCCTCATGGCTTGTTAGCGACCACTACAGGCCACCTTATCTGGATCCCCATAAATTGAATCTGAAGATGCCAGACTGGCTTATCTCCAGCACTGGTAGAACAAAGCTCTCCATGAAGTCTCGATCGCTTTTATGCAGAGGTTCCTTAAATAGGGGCAACGGTTAAAGAAACCTTGCAGGGAGGCTATACTGGTGGTTCTTTTCAGAAGTAGGTCTGTACAGGTTGAAGTCTGGTACTCTGCCAGCAGACGTTCACTTGAAGGCTCATGGTTTCCTCAACGGGATCGGCGGCAACACGTCAAGTATAGGAGCAGAAAGTCTAGCCCATAGGTAAAGTCCATTCACGCCATCTGATGAAGTATATGAATACAAGTCGCATAAAATACATTGAACATATTCAAGAAATTCTACCCTGCAGCCACGCCGTATAATGCTTGTCGAACATCGTCCAGCAAGGCCCAGAGTAAACGCAGATTGTCACATAATCTACAGACCCCGCAGGAAGTTGTCCTGCCGAATGGCCTTTCTCCGAGCCTCTCTGGCACTCCGTGTGATTTCGGTACGCTTCTCGATACTCTCGGCGGCCGCGGCAAGCAGGTCCTCGGGCACTGCGCCCTGGTTGTTGTACGCAGCTGGTGTGATATCCGTAGCGTGATGGTGAACGGGGATCTGGGGAGGCAGGTTGGCGGCACGGGCGGCCATCTTCTTCTCGTAGCGCTTGCGCTGCTTCTTGTTCAAGGCTGGGTGAAATGCAGTTAGCAGACATGACGCAACCAACATACGGGGATCTGAATTCCATACTGCTTGGGTCAACTCCTCCCTTGGCAGTCTTGCTACCCTTGGAGTCTTCCAACAACGACCACAGCCATTCAGGGTATTCCGAATCCTCCAGGGCCACCACGTCGGGCTTGTTCTTGAAGTAGTTCAGTCCGTTCATCCTCTGACCAGCGGGGCAAGAGCTCGGAGGACGTTCCACCACAGGTTTCTTAGGCTTCCCAGGGTTGACTTCAAGGTGGACACCTTCCGGAGTGCTCAACGGTTGGGAGACACCCGGGGTCGCGGACGACACGGCCGAGGGAATCGTGATATCGGCGCCGGCAGGCTGTCGGGGGGTAGGCGGAGGGGGGGTGGCCGATACGGTAGGCTTTCCATCACTGTAGTTGCGGAATTGGATGCGCTGGAAGGGAAGCTGGTGTGCGCGGGACGAGACCGACACAACGGTAGGCTGCTGCGGTATCCGGGACAGGATGCCGGTTCGGCACCGTTGGCAGATCATGGCGGATTGTAGTGTATAAAATTGGTATTAGAAGGTTAAAAATTCAACACCGTGGCCCGATCCAGCCAGTTCTCGATTCAATGTGGTGCTGGTATGAGGTGGCCGACGCGGAGAAGATCTCAAGAAAACTGCGGCGGGAATTTGATGCCAAGCCGGAGATAGTCACGTGATACAGTGCAGAATCGAGAACCAGCATATTGCCTGAGTTCGATTCAGAGGAGCTATAGGAAGGGAGTTTCATTGAGTATGAGTAGTGGAGGTTTTGGAAAGTGCTATGGTTACGTTGTTGTGGGTTTGGGGTGATATTGAAAGAGTGAGGTCATGTGACTTGGGTCGGGCATCCCCGGAAAAAGACTGATCTTGTGTTCAACTCAGTGATGCGTTAGAATTGCCTTTTCGGGTAATTATCAGGGCTTCAAGTCATGCAGCACGGCTATCTAAAGTTTCTTTTATCCAAAGGCTGGTGCATTTAGTAGCTTCCACAGAGCATACTAACATAATTCTTGGGATTACCAGTATACCACAGCAGGCGGCTCCATAACACTACAGGAATTGAAAACTGATCGGGCGTTCAAAATGAACATTAATCAGATTTACCCATTTTTGGGAATAAAGTGAACTTCAATTGAGTTGCACCCCATATTAATATTCTACTTATCATATCCAAAGGACTTAAAACCTCTGGTTCCTGAAAACATGCCAGAAAAGACATCCGATCAGGTGTTCGAGCTGGTGCCAGGTGATAGCTCAATCATTCCCTTTTCGGAAACACTGTCAGTTTCATGGTTTCATCTTCTCAAGGTCTCACAGCCAGATCACATGATAAGCATAGTCATGTGACATTCGAATCATGTTGTCGTTGCCTAAGGAATGACTTCAACTTCAGGTTATGCTGCTAGCAGTCTCCGCAAAATTGACTTTCAGCTCTCTCTGCTTCTCTGAGATCTCATAGATCCATGGTCTTCTGGTTGATCATTCTTACTTGTGCAGCGGCAGATGGATGCTTTTTAGCGCTGTCGTATGGCTGCAACAATTTCTTTTAAGTTCTAGTTGTCTTGCCAACCCCTCTATGAATCTGAGCAGCAATTTAATGGTCGGGTACTGAAGGCCTGACTAATGAGCCTAACTAACTATAAGTTCTTTTCAACAATGATTCTCTGTTCTGTTGCCTCGTCCTCCTACTTCCATTGCCCCAGCGCTTATAGAATCCTCGTATGCAGCCTATACTGTGATTTCTTTCAATGACTGAACTCTAGGATGATGATCACTCATGCCTCAGTAACTAGGTAGCCGGCCTAGCGATGGATAGGAATCCATGAAGCACCCTTTGTCTTGCAAATATATAATTCCCCGAGTAGTCGGTTAATAGACAGATGGCTCGCCACCCAATCCCCTGACCCTCCAATCAATCCATGGATATCATGATGTAGATTCGCATAGCATGTCCTACTCCATTACGTATCCTATTCACAATAGGCATCAGCACATGCAATACCGGCCGGGATATAGCATCATCAACGAACCTATCCATTCACGCTGCCACCCACCAGCCAAGTCAAAGCCAAGCTCACAACCCCGCTACACGGATTGAGTATATCATCGGACTATAAAGGGTATCAAGAACACCAGCAAACCCTGCCTGGATGAACTCCTCCGATGCATGCTGAGATAGACCTCCCTCCCACTGTTGCCCCGTGGAATGGAAAGTAGACCCGCTGCTCTGCTGGCCACCAGGCCCCACTCACCGCGCACCGCAGTATCAAGTACATCATTCTCACCCGCGGAAAGCTTGTACATGTCACTACCTCCAGCATCTAGACTGTTTCTCCCACTGTGGCGCTGGGTCAATGCCCGTGCTCGGGTCAAACGAAGCACGCGACTGGAGCAGAAAACAGGCTAAGGCAGGCTGCGCAATCACTCGAAACCCGGATATTGCTTGTCTGACAGGGAGGGGCGATTGGCTGCCGGCTTCTAATCAGCGCTAGGCGATGCTTTGTGCGTATGATCTCGGGGATTTATCAACCTGCCACTGATAAGAACACGTCGAATCCTGGACCAGCTGCTGCTGTTGCCTATCCTCTGGACTGACTACTTAAAGACAGGATTTTGACAAAGAAATTCGATCTGTTGCAGAGGTGAGATTGCAAACCTGACTAAGCTTGGATACCTGGGTTGCCTGGCTCCCCACGTTCCCTCTTCTTTCACTTGTTCAGCTTCACACTTTCATTGTGCTTTTATTTAGGCAGACACTTTAGTTCTTCGTTCCTCGCTGCTGGACTACATGCTCTTGACTGCAGGCATCATATGCTGACGGCTACTTTAGATAGGACTCGATACCTGCTATACATCGACGATCCTACTCAACACACTGAACCTTCTACACTCGATGACCGTACTCAACAAGTATACAACTCAACTGCATTATGGATGTATCCTGGGTGAATCGACTCTATAATGCAAAGCGGGTACTATAAGCTGCCGAGATATCCCAGATGCAACCACGGCATGGATATAAAGGCATCAAGACAGGGCCGGATTAGGGGCTTTTAAAGAACAAAACAAGAATGATATCCCACCAAGCGCCAATGATGACCAAATCAAACAGATCGCAACCTAGGAGGATAGGCCGCTGACATTAAGAAAATTACACAGGCTCACGCAAGCATCCTTCAGGGTCTTTTCAGTCTTCCACTCAAGCTCATCTCGCGACCTCGAGGCCACGGCAACACAAGAGCCCACATCGCCTGCACGGCGACCGGCCGCCTTGCGGGGAATCGGCTTGGAAGACACTGCCTCCATGGTGTTGACCACCTCCATCACCGAGTGGCCCCGTCCCGTTCCCAGGTTGAAGGTACGGAAGTTCTCGACCAGCTTTCCACTGTTGGCGGTGTTGAGCGCGGCAATATGTCCGCGGGCAAGATCAGTGACATGGATGAAGTCGCGCACGGCGGTTCCGTCTTCCGTGTCCCAGTCCGTGCCAAACATCTGCAGCTCCTTGTACTGCCCGGTCATGACCTTGACCACCACCGGGAGAAGATTCGTGGGGATCTGCCTGGGGTCCTCTCCCAGGAGACCGGACTCGTCGCATCCGATCGGGTTGAAATAACGTAGCGCTACAATGGTCCACTCCGGGTCCGAGGCCGCCAGGTCCGCTAAGATCGCTTCACAGATCCACTTGGTACGCCCATACGGATTGGTGATCCCGGTGCAGCCAGGCTTCACGGCCGTCTCGTGGCCGTTGTGATCCTTGAAGGTTTCCTCCTTGTGGACACAGAGTTCTTCCTTCAAGGGAAGGCCAGACGTGGCCAGGGTGCCGTACACGGTGGCGGACGACGAGAAGATGAATGTTTTGATGCCAAACTCTCCCAGAGTGGTGGCAAAGTCGATGAGACCACTGACATTGTTGGCGTAGTATTTCAACGGGTTCTTGATACTCTCTTCCACGGCCTTATAAGCCGCAAAGTGGATGACACCACCGATCTTGGACTTGGGGGTTCCCCACCGGGATGGGAGCTGGTACTGCTCCAGCAGACGACGGAGAGCCACCGTATCCCGGTAGTCATGGGCGTGCAGCTGCAACGAGGGCATGCGGGTTCCTTGCTGCTCATGATGCTTGGCCGCCAGTTGCTGAATGCGGTCAAAGACGGTCTGAAAGGAGTTGCTAAGGTTGTCGATCACAATTACATTATAATTGGCCTTGAGTAGCTCCAATGTTGTGTGACTGCCGATGAACCCGAGGCCCCCTGTAACGAGAATGTACTGATCGAGGGGCAAGTTGCGCAGCAACTCTTCCAGATTGCCATCAAACAGCACGGAGGATTGCGTGGCCGGCGTGTCGACGCACTCGGGGGAACAAGGCTCCACCGGAGTGCTTGCATCGGACTGACGAGGGCTCTCCATTATTGGTAGGGTTGAGGAGGAGGACCGGAGAATGGCAAAGCGGACGAGGGAACGCTTGATGCAAACCAGAAGCGACAGAGGTGACTCAGGACGGGATCCCAAAGCAAAGGCGTCCACAAATCTTATATTTCGTGCAAACGAGCGACAGGCTTTTCCCACTTGTTGGCCGATGTAACCGCTGTCTTCTGTGCCAGATGGGTCAGGCGAAGATATGGTGATCCGTGACTTGCTTATTTACAACGAATCAATCCCGGAAGAAAGCGAATGGATGCAAGGAAAAGCAAGATGGGCGCCGAAAAAGAAATATCAAGGCAAGCCCCGAAAAGAAAGGAACCCAGAGGTATACGTTTTAAAAACACGAATGAGAAAAGAAAAATCAAAACGAGGGAGGAGGGAGAGCGAAAAAGCAAATATAAAGACCGTCGATGTTGTCAGCGGTTCTACTTCGGTATGGAAACGGGGCCTAGAAGGCTCACTGGGTCATTGCGACGGATTTGCCTCCGTTGGGGGTAGGCATCGAAAGGAACTCTGGTCGCCTCCACTGGAACTGCAGGACGTGCCATTAGGGACGAACAGGTACTGGACCAGGGAAAAGGGAATTGTTCACCCAGCTAATCCGAGACCTGATGCATGGTCGAAACCCTGCCCCCGCTCTATTTTGGGCGCGCCGCATTCATCGGATTTATTTTTTTTTTATTTTTTTCATTTATTTCATGCTGATTTTTATTTTCTCATCCGTTCACTTGGGCCTCTACCAGAATTCACCATTGACTGGATCAGACCGGCATGTCTGGAAGACGGATGACTACTTAATTGTTAGCCCTTCCAGCCCGGCTCTGGCCCAATTCCGCTATGGCCAGAGAGCCCACTTGTTAGCTCGTTTCGTCCCTCGATTTTGGCGCGCACGGTTTCATTGCTTCCTTAGCCTTGAACTTAGCAGAATGGGGCAAGAAAAACACGTGAGTGACCGGCGGTGCCTGCAAAGCCGGCGCTCGCGACTCATTCTGGCAGTCCTTGTTTTTATTGCTCTTCTCGCCGTCGTCATACCGCCAGCCGTGGTGTTGACCCTACACAAGAAATTCACCATGGGTCCTAAGGCTTCGGTGTTTGTCCCGCTCTATGTTTACCCTGCTCCGGGAGCATGGGATCCATTGGAAAAGGTGTAGGTCATTCCTGTCCCATATCTCAACAAACCCTACCCCCATGCCCCCCCCTAACCCCCTCCCCTACCCCCTCCCCCTTCCCCCCGCCAACCACATTGTACTCCCAAACCATGCCCACGCTATCTGTCAGCCACCGGAAGCTCCGTGGCATGATACCAAAAATCTCCGAAAGATGAGCACCCAGCTGAACGCCACAGGATCTCTGCCCATCGGGATGTGAACTTCACCGTGGTGATCAATCCTGGTAGTGGACCAGGGCCTAACGCCTTGCCCGATGCCAACTACACGCGTGAAGTCCCCAAGCTGGCGGCTTATGGCAATGTGCGACTGCTGGGGTATGTTGCGACGACCTACGCCCAGCGCAACCTGTCGTTGGTGCGGCGGGACATCGAGACGTATGCAGCCTGGCCGACCAACAGTTCGAACCCCAACTTGGCGGTTCGGGGCATATTTTTCGACGAAACCCCCCAGCAATACGACAATCGTACCTTGGCATATCTCGAGGAATTGACGACAGTGGTGAAGACGACCCCAGGCCTGGGGCCGGATCATTTTGTACGTATTGTTTCATTACGGGGTAACGCCGGTAATTTACGATTACCAATTTTCGGCCCCCTTTCGACGATTTCATCAGAGCGGATAGATCTGATGATAAACGATAGCCATTGGCCATATGCTAACCAGACTTAGGTGGTTCACAATCCCGGAGCGATTCCTGATGCCCGCTACTTGCCGACGGCTGATTCGACGGTGGTGTTCGAGGCGACCTACGATACGTTCTTAGAGCGCGACGGGGCTAAACTGTTTGAGGACATCCCGAACAGTACTCGCAGTCAGCTGTGCGCCGTGGTCCACTCGGTGCCAACCAGCGTGGAAGGGAATCATTTTCGCGACCTGGTGAAGCAGGTGCGCCGGGTGGCGGACGAGATCTTCATCACCCATCTGGATACCGATTACTATGCCAGTTTCGGGGGGCAGTGGGAGGAATTTGTGGAATTGATGGCTCGATCGTGAGCTGCGTGCATTTGAGCGAGCGAATGTTTTCGGTATATATTATGACGTATGAACATCGTTGATCGGTTGTACATGACTTGGCTGGATGAATCCGACCGTGAAGACTTAGTAAATAGTTAGGCAGAAACATGCTACTCCCATACTAGCTAGCTACTGGCATACATCCATCTCTAGATCCTACTAAATCCCAGCCCATCCTCCTCTGGTATAGTACATCCGTAGTGGGTATAGTGGATCCCACCACCGTAATTTTCGCCCTTCGCCCCTCCCCTCCCGACCACCGATAAAGCCAGCCCACCACGGGACTCCACTGCGGCCATGGATGAGTCCAGAAAAACTGAAAATAGGTGCAATCCACTTTTTGTTACTAGGATGGTCAAACAGGGGAACCATGGCTGTTTCATACCCTGTGGTGGGAGTCAGTGAGGGAGGAATAAGGGGTGTGAGGTAGGGAGTGTGCTGTATGCTGTAGGTACGGTGCATAGAGGATCTATGTAAGGTTTGTTCATACGACCTGATGTGAACTGGCTCATTATGTTGGGTGGATATGTACCGAGGACTGTACCGAGGACTATGTATGTCTGGTTGGGATAGTAGTATTTCCTAGATTTGATCTATAATGAATAAAACTTGATCTATAATGAAGGAAGTAACAGATCACGCCATCTTCGTATCCCACATAGGCAATCGTAGGTCCGAGTGCGAGTCATGAGGTAAGAGATAGATGATATGACAAAGAATCGAGACGAAACACTACTGCATGTCTTATTTCTTTCATCCTAGGTATCATCTAGGCACTAGGATGTGTCTATGCATGTGGCATGGTATAGACCTGCCCTAGGGGTCCCTAGGTGCAGTGTTTAGGTGAGATGGTCCTTGGCAATTGATCGTCCGAGACCTGCAGACATCCAGCTACGCATGTATCGTTGTCGGTATTCGGGTTCCGTCTTCCACCCTATATTATTCAGTGTTGGATATCTGTCTACTTGGTGGTCATGATGCTGATAGCATGGTCACACTAGGTATAATTCAAGTATGTCGGAGTATGCCGTTATCTACCTCCACCGATGTTGGGTATTGATGTACCACATATCTACCCCGTATCGATATACCCTGCATAATGTGGCGGCCGCTGGGGAAATGTTCCGGTATGGACCCTGGTTAGACATACAGCTCTGCTTGCTCTGCTTGCTTCTGCTCTGCTTCTGCTCTGTTTACTGCTTACGCTGTAAGTTATTTTTGGCTTCATACATAGTACACCTACGGAGTACTCCGTATGGATAGCAAGTATGATCATATGCTAGAGCAAGCAGAGTTGCAACTACAATAACGACAGTTCCATCGGAGTTAAGTTTCAAGGCCAGCAGACAGACCCCAGATTCCGATCCCATTCCACCACACGCGGGGTAATGTTGCATATCTGGTGTCTCGTGATCTGAGGTATGATCATATATATTGGTAGGATTTGGAACCGACCGTGGAATACCAGTATACGGATGGATTCATAAGGCTCGATGAGTAAGATGATGATCATCTGTCAGATGAATTTTATTTCGTCGATCATGCTTTCTACCACTACATAAACAGTACACCTGTTTAATAATCTGGGGTAGATACTTGAGACATCACGAATGATCGTATCGGGCTTAAGTTCTAGAAGAATTCATATCCCTGTCTCCTCGGTATTGTGGATGTGGTGGTATGAGCACTGCATTTGCGCGACCCGGTTCTGGCGGAGTATTCTATACCACTTCATTCCAGACTATATGATCGTATGGAGTGATTGATTAAGGAGCATGCTTGTGTTTGAGATGTCACTTAGCTGCTAGTCTATTATCTATAGATAGTTATACTATGATCCGTGCATTGATAAATATATACCCGCGGACTAATTTACCCCAAACACATCCTCCATATCCTATCATATCCACTATAGCATTGATATCAACTCAACTAGATACTAAGTAAGTAGCAACCTCATAACATCCATTTCCACATTTCCTGGTATTCAGTGATAAATACAGTGTATGCACCCGTCTCACACTGGCAACCGCCCAGCCGCCCGCCCGCCCAGCCGAGCCCAGTCCAGTCCAGTCCAGTCTAGTCCAGTCCAGTCCAGCACTCGCCCGGCATCCAGCCCAAGACTGCCGCCAAGCCACGCAGTCGGTATGATCCCTCGCATCGATTCCATCTCCTCTCAACATTTCCCAATTAACTGACGTAGCGAGCGTAGCATAATCCCCTCTTTCTTTGTCCCAACTAACTACATAGTACCTAGAACCACTAAATCAAGGAAATGGACCAAAAACCAGGCCCTGATTCTTAGCCCGTCAAAAACATGGAACGTTAAGCCACTTACGGAGTACTTCCTCCAGTCTTCAACCTACCGTCGGGAAGGAGGAGGTGGGGGAGACCTAGCCAGTGGCCACTGGTTCGTTCCTGAGAGGGAAGTGGAGACAGCCCCACAAGACGACGATCTTTGGCCCGAACGGGAGGATATCCGGTCGCGGGTGGATTCAGGAACAGGTCCGGTCCAGCATGAGTACTAGTGAGGAATCAGGCACACGGATGAGAATACGGAAAAAACAATGCCGGTTGCCCCCCTGTCCTGTTGCCTCGGAGGATAGATACACTGGCTAGTGGTGTGAAGGTTATCGTTTTTCTTCCGATCTTACCTCCGTACTCTAGGGTAGAATCAAGGTTTTTGGTCGGGTTTCTCCCGAGGTAGTTTAGTTTAGTTTTAGTTTTTTGTTGGGTGGGTGGGATGGGTGGATGGGATTAGCTGTCATGGAAAATTCTGTCTTCTTCTCCTCCTTGGAAAATAGGTTCTATCACTAATCCAGTAAGTAAGGTACAGAGCAAGGAATCGTGTGTCGTGTAACGCTCGCTCGCTCGCTGCGACCGTTGGGTGGATTGGATTGATTGGTTGTAACGTGACCTTGTCGAAGACGTCATAGAGTAGTACTCCGTACTAATAGTGTAGTCGGGTAGTAGTAGACGAAACCTGATCTTGTTGTGCTGATTCATAGCTGGTTATGCTGTTCTCGTCGGAATACGAGTCAGTTATAGCAGAGTTGGAGGGAATTACGAGTCGAGGGAGATGTAGTATTGTAGACAAAGAGAAGAGGAGGGGTAGGTAGTATACTCGGACGATTGAGTTCATGACGACATTCACCCGTACCATCATTACCATTATTACGGTTGGTTGAAAAATACCATAAGTACGGCATCAAGGTATGAAGATGGTATACACTCGGATCTCTACTTGCCGTGTCTAGTTCTACTACCCAGATCCAAGCGAGCGCTAAGGTTAGGTAGCGCACAAAATTAATAATCTTATTCTTTGTCTGGAATTAGATCTCACCCGCTAGGTACTAGGTAGGTATCAGATGGGGCTTACTTATCCTATCTCGGATCCTAGTCTCTTCTCTGGTGGGAAGTATCCACGGGGACTCGATCGGATATCAGGAACAGACCAGAATCTATCCATCCCGAATCTCGGCAGTATCTCATCCAAATAGGGGCACTGGGCCGTGCGAGCCTGGTATGTATGCCGTATGAGATCATCCAACTGTCAAGCACTCGAACCGAACCGAACGATCCAGCCTCGTAGCCTAGCCAGGTGGAGGCTCACCGTGCCCGTTGCTATTGCTATTAGTCATTAACTTCTGCTCTCTCTGGTTCTACCAGTTGGTAGGTATACCCGATGTTCTGGGTGAGACATCGGCCCGGTCAATCATCTACTTTCAGGTACGATCGGCTTCGGTGGCGCCGTGGTTTGGCCGTGAGACAGCACCGTGTGGCGATTGAACTTAGGGGGAGAGGGTTGTCTATTGGTAGGATGGTGTGGCTGAATGGGATGTTTCTACTAGAGTGGACTCATTATTGGGTGCTAGATGACGGTGGGGGTATGGTGCATGGGTGGGATGGCATGATCGGATGTCGGGAATAAAGCTGTACAATGGATAGAAGGCAAGGTCGATATGCAGATAACGCCATTCATGCTGCTACAATACAATAACTCCGGCGCCTGCTAGATACATCTCCTGTGACACATCTTCAGCTGCTAATGCATTCGCTGGTATGGCTAACACGTCTCAATCCAATTGTCCAAGTCCATGTTCTTGATCACCGTGGAAAAGTTGCCAGAGCCGGTAAAGGTGCATGCACTTTCTTTCTCGCTCGAGCTCACGGACAGATTATTGTTGGTGTCATCGCCCTTAGGGTATTCGATGTGGAAGACCGGCTTGTTCTTCTGCGTAAAGGCGGCATAGGTATCGCACTCCTCGTACTCGGCGCACTGCTCGTTGACACTCCACTGCATGTTGTTGATGACGGATGGGATAATGGCCCCCGCGTTCTTCAGTCCGATGGACATGTTGCGCGCGTGTGCCTCGTTGGCCATCCAGTTCATGTAATTGATCGAATCCGCCTGGGTCAGTCCCAGACCGTTGGAGTTGTCGTATCCATCAACATTGTCCGGGTCGATGCCATCACAGCTCTTATTCTTCGCCAGATCCAAACGCCCCAGCATGATGCTCCGGATACTCGGAGAACTGATGTTGATCCATTTCTCGCCCGGCCAGCCATCCAGGTTGCTTCCCAGATCGGCTTTCTTGAAATCGTCCTTGTCCGGGCGCCAGTTCTCGTAGCTACCGGCCGAGAAGTAGCAGATGACCTTGCGACCGGCATCCTGCAAGGCAGTAATGGTGGAGCGGTTGTTGTCGAACAGATCAATGTCGTAGACATCCACATCCACCGAGGTATCATTCAACGGATACAGCAGTTCGATCTGCCAGGTGGTCCCGGCGGTAGGATTCCACTTGGCCGACGTGTAGTTGCCTGAAGTCGGCGGTGTCGTCGTCTCTCCTCCCCCCTCTTCATCCTCTCCTCCTCCGCCGCCGCCCAAACCCACGCCCAGTCCCACGCCCAGCCCAATCGCCAGGGCGATAATCCCGGCCAAGATGCCCCCAAACATGATGAGCTTCTTCTTCATGGTCCATGCCCTCCAACCCCGTGGGGTGGGGCCCTTGAGGGCCGCCTCTTCGACGGGCTCCATGCGTAAACGAGCAGTTCACAAGGTGGGTGAATACGGGAAGAAATCGGAAACAAACTCGTGTGTGCGAGGCAGCAAGATCCGGGGCTACGGGGAATAAAAGGTGGAGTGCAGATGGCCCGGGGGGGGGAGTGAAGCGTCTAGACAGGGCGGTAATGGAGTTGCCTGATGAAGTTCAGAAAGCTTCACCTGTCACACGGCTCCGTTTCATATTGCATCAGATAGCCCGAGGTTGAATGGCTGAATTGGTTGAAGTTGAGAGGGAAAGAATAAGGATAGGTGGGAGTTGGACCCTGAGGCGGCGGACCCTGCAAATCCCGCCACTTTCCGTGCAACCTGAGAACAAAGAAAGAACTCGGGAGCCTAACGGCCAAGATTCGAATCAGCCCAGGATTGACTGTCCAAGAATAGAGTCCAAGGCAATCCGCCAAGTGCCGCGGCTCGACTGAGGAGAAAGATCGGCCACAAATTGGGAACCCGAGATTGAGATTTCTTCAGGACCGTCCACGGTTCGAGCAGCCGCTCCACCGACAACCACGGACTCTCGCCTCGAGGAGCTGAAACAATCCACCGCGCACGGTGATTACTGAGGGAGATGTCTGGTGTTTGCTTTATGGTGAGATGCTAATCCAGTGTAGCGAATAGCGATGATTCGTGGTGCTCCATCATCGACGAGGCAAATCCTAAGCGAGCGACTAGTAATAAAGTTTCCGAAATGTCCGCTTTGCCTGCAGAAACTTTCTTTACTCTCGCGACCTTCGTCGCCTTATTTTGTGCGTTGGCTGCTTGTCCTCCCATCGGGCCGGAACCTTGCCAATCATCCAGGATTCAGCAGGACACCACCCCCGAGATCTGTACCGTCATACCCCGTATCGTAATTTACACCAGTATGGAAATTTAATACCTCCCGTAATTTGCAGCCCCCGCCTGGGCCAGCATCGCTTATCCATCGTCAAAACATTAGTTCGTTTGATTCTCGGTACCTCCCATCCCTTGGAAGAAGACTAGAGCCGCAGTCCACCGCGAGCCAAGGGCCTGGACTGACTGGATGCTCCGATTCGAGCCCTCCACTGGCGGGAGTCCACCACCACGTTGTTGTCAGGCGGGATATCCCATCCCATCCATCCCCTTCTATATCGAATGAGATCACTTCGGACCTGCTCCGATGGATCTTATGACCATACTATTGATGTACTTCCCTCTCACCGATCGAACTGGGATCCTCCTCCAGTGGCCAAATTCACGCATCACCTCGGCCAAGCCCGTCACACCTGGCCAACACATCCCCTGGCCGTCGTCAAAGCTTGATGTGCAGGAATGTGTGAGTTGCCACGGCCGACCATTGCAGGACTGCTCTGCTTTGGGTAGTTACCACCGATGGGGGGTGATTTCGTGGTGGATTGGGCTGCGTGCTGCAGTCGTGTTGGCAATGGTGCCATCTATCCCTGTTGTGATGTCGTGGGTTCGATTTGGTAGGACAGGCATACGATGGATACTAGTATCTCTACGTGATTGATATATGTACGGAGTAGTGGTGATGATGATGATGATGATGTGAGGTGAGTCTGTGTAACGTCTTCACCGTACGGAGTTAAGAACTTCCATCCTACAGTAATGTACTCATCCTGTCAACTCGGGTAAGAACATTCCGCCGAATAAACCCTCCCCAACACAGACTGTACTCTGTAGATAGAGCTCTAAACGAGATGTCTCAGATACCGCCACCAGCATCAAGAGTAATCTCCACCAACCATGCGCAAAACTCAACGATACACTCCACACCCAGGAAGCAAACAAAGGATGGAATGATGGATGGAATGACCCGATTAAGTTCGGTGCGATCGAGACGGACTAGTTCGATTCTGCAAGGCCCTTTCTTTCGGACCCGCCAAGATCGGACCTATCGGGTTTTTTACCAAACCAACTAGATTCTACGGACCAATCCAGATGGGAGGGATTGATCTTACTTTACTTGCTTGCTTCGTTACTTGGGATTGGAGTATTACGTATTATTATATTTTTCCCACTGAATGGGTGGATGGAGATGGGATATATATTTCTAATCCATCTATTTTGGTTCAACCATGCTCAAGTGATGGAAACAATAAGTACTCTGGTGGATTCTGCAGGGGTCCATGTTTTTGGCACATCCAGATATAAATATCCGTGATTCTTGGCGCATCGCTTGGCACATCGCTTGGCGTGGAGGGTGATGATTGGGTGGGTTTCAGTGTTTGATTCGGATGATTGGATCGGGTATCACTAGGGAGGGACAGTACGAGGTTGTGGTGGTTTGTTTGTTATTTCCTAGGTTGTGGTGGTGTTTGGTCATGGTGAGGCGGTGGTGGCGGTGAATAGGGTTTGGGTGGATTGTAGGGAGATTACTCCTTAGGTATTTGGTTTTATGCTCTGTATGCTGTATGGAGGATGGGTTGGTTGGTTGGTTAGTTTTTGTTTGTTTATGGTGATCATGTGGATGGATAGGGGATGTGGAATGTGGGCTTGTTTGGATGGTGATGTTTATTGATCAGGTACTGTACTGGGTAGGTCACACGATCATCAGAAACATCTAATCTTCCCGACGATACTGTGTACGGAGTAGTCATATGCTATAACATGCGATTATATTTCCCACTAAATACTAACCAACAATCCGCTTTTCCCAAACAAATAAAAACAAGTAAATTACATCTACATCCTACAACGCAATCGGCGTCGACAGGGTAAAGCTCACCGGGGAGCCGGACAATTGCACCCACACCGTCAAGGGATCGTTGCCGATCTGCTCCGTCGTGAAGCCCTGCGTGCTGGTGGGCGCCACGGGGAAGGTCACCGGAATCGGCACGCTGCAGGTATTACCCGTGGCAGCGACAGTCACCCCCGTGATCTGGCGGTTGGAGAAGGTGTGGCGGAGCGAGTAGTTGCAGGCATCCCGGGTGTACCGGGCCAGGAAGGAGTCGGACATCTGGAGAGGGCTGTTAGTGGGGTTCCCGGGGGGAGGAAGAGGGGGATGGAATGTGGGGAGGAATGACATACGTCTTGGTGTTTGATGGTGACCAACGGCCAGTCCACCAGGCGGACAAACTCCTGCACTTGGGTTTCCACCCACGCTTGCATGATGGAGTAATTGCCCGACACGCCGTTGATGGTGATGGGCGCCGTGTCGGCATTACGCAGATTGGCCTGGTGGAACATGTACGGGTCGTGGTGCAGCCCCAGCAGATGGCGCATCACCTCGGCCTTCTCCGTCGCCAACAGCGTGTCAAAGTCGCCGCTGGCCCCCGAGGTGTCGATCCACTCCTGCACCGTGCAGTCCGGGGTGTCGCAGTTGTAGTAGATGCGGGTGGCGAACCGTGGGTTCACCTGCATGCCGTCGAAGCCGTCGGTGACGTTGTTGGTCCAGTAGGGCCACATGTCGTTCTCCTGGTTGAGGAGGGCCGAGCGCGTGTTGTCGCCCACGCAGTTGGTGATGCCGTTCTCCCACCAGGCGCGCAGGGCATCCCCGTTGTGCAGACCCGTGATGGCCGGGGGGATGATGCCGTTGGAGGTGAAGTACTTGGCGGAGGAGAGCTCGACCTGCTTCAACCAGGCCTGGTTGAAGGAGATCTCCTTGAAGACGTCCGAGTAGGTGGCATTGTCCTGCTCCTCGTGGGTGAAGGTGTGGGAGATGTGCCCGAACTTGTCCCGGTTGGCCGGGGTGGTCCACCAGACCCGGAGAGGGTCCAGCTCGGTGCAGGCCACGGTCCAGTTGTAGGTCGTCGGGCTGGCGGGCCACAGGTTGGTGCCGGTGCCCAGAGGCTTCTTCCACTCGAGGGGCGTGTCCGCGGGCGAGTTGTACTCGATGCCGCCGCCATTGCACTCGACGTAGCCCGAGTCGGTGGACGCGGCCGACTCGATGTTGCCGTTGCCGTTGTGGCCGACCTCGACAAAGTAGCTGCTGCCCGTGTTCATCTTGGCGTTGATCTCGGGCAGCCAGTTGGCAATGCCCTCGAGATCGGTGGTGGTGATGCGGAAGGTGGTGCCGCTGGGCTTGTAGATGTCCGTCTCCAGGAACATGTCATCGATCTGGGTGTTGAGGTTGACCCGGCGATATCCCGCATAGAGACCGCGGGTCAGCCAGGTGATCCATGCGTGCTGCAGGTAGGTGGAGGTGGCACTCCAGGCGGTGTCGAATGAGATGAAGAACGCCATTTGCTCGCGGCCATTGAAGTTGTTGATGACCGCCGCAGTGGTCTCACTGCCGGTGCCATTGGCCGCAAACCGAGCAATCTCCTTGGTGGTGGTGGTGTTGGTGATGGTGGCCGGATAGTGCCAGAGGCCAGACGTGCTGACCCCCGCCCCGGTGCGCAGGCCGGACGTGGGGAAGTCGCTGATGTCGGTGAAGGACATCAATTGCTCCACGCCCGTCGCACAGCATCCGTCGTCGGTGGCGTTGGCGCCGTAGTTCGGGCCCGGATAGACGTCGTACTGCACCATGCGCACCCCGTAGGCCAGCTGATAGGCCCACAGCTGGTTCCACTGATCCGTGGTCAGGGCACTCTGGTACCCCGTGGCGTTACCATAGTTGTAGCTGACTTCACTGGCCACAACGATACCACCAAAGTTGCCCCCCTCGCTGCTGTTCAGGGCGGGCAGGCTGGCACCCGTCTGGGGAACCACCAGGGTAGTGAACGGGATGCCATAGGCATTGAGACCGGACGAGGCCACACTGGCCGAGGCCGAGTCGCGCGCAATCACCAGAATGTTGGCGGCGATGGAGCCCGCAGTGACCGGGGTGACCGAGGTGACCGGGGTGGCCGACGGGGCCACCGACACCGCCAGGCTCGAAGTGAGAGACATGGTGTCGAGTGTGCTGCTAGACACACTGGACGAGGGCGCAACGAAAGTGCTCGTCGAGCCCACGGACGTAACCAAGGTGGACGGGGCAGTACTAGAAACCGAGGAAGTCGTCGTCAACGAGTGGACGGCTGAAGTAGTACCAGGAACGGTCGTTCCGGGGGCTTCAGCGGAGGTAGTGGACGAGGAAGACGCAGTAGAGATCGTGGGGTTCTGAGCCCAAACCCCTGGGGGCGTGGTGCAGGTTATAAAGCCCAGAAAACAGCTCACACTGAGGGCCAGGGAGCTCATTGCAATGTCGGCGGCTCAGGAACTGAGCACTTGCGAAAAAAAGAAACGAAGGACAAACAAGCGACGACGAATCAAAACGAATGACGAGGGACCTGCGTTGGACCCCTGGAAAACGCCGCCAGTGGTGAGAGAGAGAGCGAGAGAGGAAACGGGGGTGGGATGTCATATGCGCATGCAATCACATTATGTATGTCTATTTATCCTGGCCGGTGGCTCAGGGGATTCAAAACCCGTCGTGTCCACTGGCGACATCGGGCCCAAGGTTCCACGATGCGGCCAGTTTTGCGGATTCCATCTCCTCAACTGGGGGGGGGGGGTGTGTGCAGACCCGCTCGTCGATTGGAATCTTGGATGGGCGAGATCAGGGACACTGGCCGGTGGGTGTCAAGATTGTGACTAGTCCTCATTCCTGAGGCTCGGACGAGAGGGGGCGTGCCTGGTGGAAATTGGTCCCATCATCGGAGTCCTGCTTCATTGGTTTAGCACCGTTCGTCCACATCGTTAGGAGAAAGGGGAAAAAGTTAAACAAGCTAGTGATGGAGGCACAAACATCATAGCTTGGCCACACTTTTTGTGGCACGGAGCTTTCCAAGGGTCGCCAAGGGCCGTGGGTTGACTCTAGGGTCCAAATTTAGTGACTTGTCCGAGCATCGCGATAGAAGCCGAGGGATCGACTCAAACGAGTGCCGATGTGGGGGAATAATAATGATTGCAGAAAGTCAGAACCAACAACTAAGAAGTAGGGTTGTTACACGATGTTGTAAGACAAACCGCCCGTCCATGTCACCGTGGTCGTTTTTTGTAAAACGGTCCCGGGCGGGATACCGTATGGTTTGGATACACTACGACGGCGTGTATCCGTATGTTTACGACGCTTGCCCCTTTTAGGAACCTGCATGGTTTGCTCGTTCCTTCGGATCTCCACCGCCGCCGCCATCTTTTTTTTTTTTTTTTTTTTTTCTTGCCTTGCCTGGTTTCCTCGTACGCCTTCCATTCATCCACTCCGTCGCCGCTGCAATCCACTTGGGCCCAAGTAAGGAGCAGCAAACAGAAAAACAAACCTCTAAGCCAATAGGAGGGGTCTAGTCCCAGCGGGTGGGCAGCACAATGACCATGCATCGAATCCCCTCCCGTCACCAGCACCACTGCTGTATTCCCTCCACCCTGGCCTGGCGCTGCTGCCATGGATGGAACCGTCTCATTCCCCAGTCTTCTGATTTGGTCATCGTTCCGACTCCTGGCGTGAGCAGGTGAAAAACTCAATGGAAGGTTATTCACCAAACTCCAAATGGCGGAATCCATTGCCACCGTCATGGCATCGCATGGATGTCTTACGACACCGGACTCTGTACACTGGACACACATAGACATTAGACACAACAGACAGACACACGAATGGTATCCCCGCTGCAGTCATGGTCAAACAGTCCTAAACCCTTAGCGCCCAGCTAGCTACAAGCTGAGACGTCGCTATTTTTGTCGGCTTCGAGGCCGGGGCAATTGCGCTGGCCGCCACCGGCCATTCCAGTGCAGCAGACCTGTGGTTCCGATCTAATGCGACCCAAACAATTCAATCCCCCAATTAGCGGCAAAAAGAAAGAGGAGACAGCAGCTTAACTGACATCCTGCAGCGGGCTGACCTCCTTTCACGCAAATCAGAGAGGCGCAACTACAGAGGCTGGCAGTTGGCGGCTCGATCATTCCTCCTGCTTCCATCCCAACCGGTTGTATATCTGAACCTTCTTTCTTTCTTTCTTTTATTTTTTCCCGTCCGTCGCCCGTCATTTCCACCTTCTTTTCTCTTGTTGATCCCCCATCCCACCATCGTTCGCTACTTTCCGCTTCCTGGTCCAATGGCCTAGGAACTTCTCCTCCCTCCCGATGATCACGACGAGCATCTAATTGTAGTCTCCCTTTTGCTCGAGCCATTCGTTCTCCTACATGTCCTTCGTTGTTGTTTGTTTACTTTAATCGCTAATCGGGATGGCGAAAATCCTCGACGTCTCCCCCGTTGGGTGGAGGTATATGAGAGAGTACTGGTGGCAGTTTGTATGTGACCGGCACTGGTTGACCCCAAGTCATGCCTTGCATTAACATCTCCTAGGTATTGATTGCGATCTTGCTGGCAAGTGTAGTCTGTGGATGCTGCTATATCGCCTACTCGGGCACGCGACGAGCCATCCGATGGTATAAGGTGAGCTTTCCTGTGCTCCCAACTCTGGTTGAAACTCTTGGCTGATCTTGGTCCAGTCGAGACCCCGCGTGGAGACCATTCCTGTCAGTGTCCTGCAACGCCTGGACAAGCTGGCAAACCAGAACTTGGCCTTGGCCGCCCATCGCACGAAGCAGAAACCCTCGTCGGTGGGGGTTTACCTAGGCACGTTGAGTACCCCCTCGGATGCCATTCACCGTCGGCTTCTCGACAGCTACGACCTCTTGATCGTGGACCCTTCCCAGTCGGGAGTGGTTCAAGCCATCTCCCATGCCGACGGAAAGCAGTTTATGGGCCGAGTTGATCTCGCCCTGGTCCCCGCTCAAGACTCCACGCTGGCTGCCATTGAAAAGATCGACAGCTTCCTGGCTGGCAGCTTCCACGGCGCTGCCTTCTCTGGTATCTTGCTGGCGAACTGGGAGGACAAGTTTACGCCCACGCTTCTGGTGAAGCTGGCCGAGGCCATTCATGGACTGGGTCTCGCCGTGTATTTGGAAACCGCACCGCCCACGTTTCTCGCGGATGGCACAGTGTTGCAGAGTCCTGCCATCTCCGGCCTGGTCATCCGAAATGCGAGCATTCTCCCCGACGGTCAGAAGCGCGACTATTTCCAGCTGAACGACTTGCGCCCCACGATCAAGGCCTTTGTGTCGGAAGCGTGCATGCGAGAATTCTCGGTCATTGCCTGGGAGACCGTCGATGATGAAGCTTATCTGTCGAACGCCGTGATTCAGCGCTCCATGGGGTGGTGCAATTTCTACAGTGCCATTCCGTGGATTGGCCGCCAGTCCGCCCTCGACAACGCCGCCCTCAACGTCAAAACGCCCGAGCCTCTGTCCTCGTTCGGATGGCTGAAGGATGCCGAAATCATGAAGGTCCACGATCGCTGGCGCACCAATCTACACACCGCCCGCGATTCCGACCCGAAGGATTCCTGGGATGCCCTGCGGCCCTACTTCCCATCGCTGCAGAAGGTACTTGCTTCGTCGGAGTACCCGTCCAGGACCAGCCGCACGCTGACCACCACCCTGCGTGAACCCCCGGAATGGGTCGCCCAAGTCAAGTCACAAGGAAGTCCGCTGTCGATTTCCATGGCCGGTGCCGAGTACAAGGAGCTGGGTTGTTTCCCTCTTGGCTCCGAGGCAACCCCGGCCGCGTTCGCAGAGATTGTTCAATCCCAGCTGCGACTGAAGTCGCTCAGTTTGCTGCATCCTGTTCCCTCGTCCAAGCTCCAGAATATCAGCCTGCTGCTCCGCCAATTTCACGACAACCTCGCTCTGTCTAGCTGGGTCCCCTCCGAACACTTGGCCGCCTCGATCAAGGAGCTGTCGACGATGGCGTCCAACGACATGTTGCGCGTATACCTGGGGTTGGATTCCGGACTTCGCAAGAGTACCGACGTTCGCTTCTGGGCCGTGTATCAGATGGATACGGATGGACTCGATGTTTTCGCCTCGAAGAATGCGCAAGGTCTGATCGGTACCGTCCTCCACACCTTCCTGTCCGCGAAAGGCTACCCCCGTCACGTTTGTTTTGAGGCGGAAACCGCGTTGGCGAGATGGTCCAAGGATTTCAACGAGGATATCGGGCTGTCTCGCCGAGTTGTGCAGGATATTGATGTCCTGAGTCCCGAGGAACGGCTCCTGCTGTTGCAGCACCTGTCCTTGACCGATGCCAAGAGCGAGGTGTCGGAAACCATCTGTGCGTATATCCGACGACAGCTGGTCGATGCACCGACGCTGGCTCAACTCAAGGAGCTCAACACGGTTTCCTATCTCGAGGGATCGACGTCCCCCGAACAGCTGGTGGAGACGCGGATCAATTGGTACAAGGAACAAGGTTGTCAATATCCGTCCGCTGCCGCTTGTCTGGCGCTGTTCAACGAGACCGAAGCCGTCTTCGTCACGGTCCTGCGCGACCGGAAAGAGGAGGATCTGGCGCGGATTTCCAGCGGCCTGTGCGAGCTCGTGCAAGACGGACCCATCGATACCTACACGGACATGATGCTGCTGTCGCTGTTCTGCGCGGCGCGCAAAGGGGCTCTCGACGAGATCTATGCCGAGGTCACCGACCGGAATCCGCTGTTCAACAGCCAGTCCGACCAAGCCGCTGCGTTTGCGGAATCGTTTGCCCTCGGTTCCCGGTGCGAGGCGTATTTCGACATCCTGCCCAGCGCCTTTGGCAAGCTCCTGTCGGATCGGTTCCGGAAAAGCTACACGGATGAGCAGCTGCCCAACTGGATCAACGGAGCGCCCGACATGGCCACCTCCTATGCTGGCGCGCAAATCGACTGTGATCCCACGCACAAGGTCAAGCCCATGCGTGGATACCAGCGGTTCACCTTCCTCAGTGTGTTCGCGTTCCCCGCGCTGATTGATATCATCCTGCTTACGATCATCGGTCGTGGACTCTACCTCTCGGCCTTTATGACGTATGACGAGCAGCAGAGTGCGACGATTGCCCTCATGATCTCGCTCCTCCTGTCCGGAGCGATTGGCACGTGGATCGCCTGCGGTGGCCCTTACTATCTCATTTCCATGGCCTTCGCGGCCGCCAACATGTTTGTCCTGATCCGACTGATTGCGGGGATTGCCTTCACCGTCGCGGGTGGACTCATCGGCTTTGTCTGCATCTCGGCCGTGGATGGTCCGCGCAGTGGAATTATCTTCTACCTCTACCTGATTGCCCTGACCATTTACTTCTCGGCCTTTGCCTCCCTGGCGAGTTTCAGCTATCCGGGCTCGACCTTCTTGTCCGGACGCAAGATCATCTTCGCCTGTGTCCCGATCCTGTTCATCTCCCCGATCGTCACCACCTTCACCGGCCATGACTCGGCGATCTACCTGGCCGTCATCTACGTCTTCATCATTTGCCTCCTGCTTGGCCTCCGATCCGTTGCCTCCAAATGGGTCACCTGGTACCAGAGTATCCGGCGAACGGATGACACGGAGATCCGCAAGTGGTACGTCGCGACGTACGGCAACAATGACGAGAAGGTATTCGGCAACTTGAGCGACCCGGCGGTCCTGAAGTTATCCCGAGAGGCGCTGCTGAAGGATGTCCTGGCGGAGACGCAACGCTGGTTCTTCAGCAAGCCCACCACGGACAAGTTGGTGCTGGAGCTCGCCAAGGATTGGGAGGCCACCAACTTCCTCCTGGATTGGTACTGCCGATATGCCGATGTCCCGCGGCCCATCCCCTTCAGCTCCTCGTGGAACATCCAAACCAAGGTCGGACTGGACGTGCTGCGGAACTCTCAGAAGGGTATCCGACTGCACAATGCATTCATCCAGTGGCGACAGTCGAGCCGAGAAATTGGATGTGGCGTGCTGTACTTTATCCTCGCCCTGCTGGATAAGTGGGTGGAGCTGCTCACCGGTGGTCATCTCGTCGGCCTGTCGGCGTCGGTCACCAGTTCGCAGCGAATGGCGGTGGGCTTTGCCCTGGCATATTACCTGATCGGCGCGGTCCTCATCGACACCAAGGCCCAGGAACTCCACGATCTCATCGGCAAGCAAACCTCGGTGGCCGTCCACAAGGCCAAGGATATCCGCTTGGTCCAGAAGCGGGACGTGAGATACAAGCGCAAGGTCTACTGGCGCACCTTCTTCAAGTTCCTCATGTGGCACGTCTGGAGTCTGGCCCTGTCGACCGCGCTCCTGTGGACCTTCCAGAACACGATGGAGGCCATGATCATCTACTGTTCTTATATTGTGGCGTACACGGGCCTCCTGTGGTACCAGTACACGAAGATCTTCTCCGGTCCTCACGCCTTCAAGACCCTCCTGATCGGGTGTCTCGTGGGCTTGCCGGTTGGCATCGCCCTCAAGGTCCGTCTGCCGCACTTCTTGTATTCGGAAGTCATCGGTCTCGGGTCAGCCACCTGGACCGTCGCCATCCTCACGGTCTTCTCCGCCAAAATCGGCATGCCGAAGAAGGTGGCTTCTCCGGTGGAGCTGGGGAAAGTGTTTCATGCGTACACGGCGCCCTGGGCCGATCCCGAATGGTCTCAGCAGGAGTTGCAAACCTTCTACGAGAAGATCTCGCTGGTTCCGTCTGACGCGCGCTTGAGCTTAACTCCGCAAGCCCATCCCGGTGTGGAAGTCAAGGAGATCCTGCTGGCACGCCGAAGGGAGCCCCGGATCGAAGAAGCCTTCCCCAAATCCGAAGAGCTCGTGAGCCTCGCCTTGGGCGCCTGGGGCCAAGGAGAAATTTCCTTGGAGCTGGTTCCCATCGGCTCTCTTGGTCCCGGTGTTCATGCGCTCAGCTGCAGTACCACCGGTCAGCTCCACATCGCCATCTGCGTGGGTCGCGGACTGGATCAACGGATCGACGTTAGTGCGAACTGCCAAGTCATCGCCGAGACTTTGCTCCACGCCGTTGCGGAGTCCATGCTCCGGATGCCGCACGAGTATGCCGTTCTGGCGGAGTCGCTTGTCACGGCCGGCGTGACTGAAACCATGGCGCGACAACTCCGTGCAGAGTCCAATACGGCCGGTGTCATCCGCTGGGCCAAGACGGAACTCCTGCAGCAACTGTGCCTCGGCTTCGAGTGTGATGCCCACTGGGAGAAACTGCCCAAGGATATCCGAACCGCCTTGATCAACCGTTGCCTGGGCCAGCCATGCGAGCTCTCGGGCGCTAGCCGGACATGGCTCGAGGGACGTCTGTGCCAGTTTGACACCGATGCTCTAGACGTGCATGTGGCCCGCAGCAATCTGGGGGCTGCCAGTGCTGTCAGCATCCTGGATTATGCGCACTACGGCACTGGCGAAGCGGCCGTCTATCAAGACCCTGAGACACCGGAGCACATCCCATACGTCCCCAGGAAGCTTCCTGCCATCATGCAGGTCCTCGTGAAGCCCTGGAACTCCTTGTACTATGCATTCGCTTCGATCATCAAGTTCATTGTGGTCGCCCTAGTCGCGGACCCCGAGTTCCAACGCGAATTCAATCATGTCATCCGCCAACACCATACGATCATCCGAGTACCAGCCACCCTGGCCCTGAGCTTGCTCTGGTCTTACTCCCGGATCATGCAGAATCTAGGGCTCTCCTTCTTTTTGTTCCATGGTCGTGATAATGTGAAGCAGCTCTGGAATGAGACCAAGGGAATGACCATCAGCATCAAGAAGAGCCGGTTCATCATCCAGAGTCTGGACGGCACATTCACTGCCTTCAAACACGACGAAGCTGATGGGGGCTTCAAGGTCTATTATTATTCCGGACAGCACAAAGCAGAGCCCGAAGGCACCAAGAGTCTTAGCTACGTCTGCGTGTACTCCAAGGACGTGCTGCTTTTGGTCCGCCAGGAATTCAAGGCTGGAAAGCTCCTCAATGAGTACCATTACGACTACCGCGCCCCGTCTAAGAAGACCTTCGGCCTGACCAAGTCCACGCAAGCGAAGATCCCCCTGGGCCGCCGTTGTGTGCGTGGAGACAACCACCTGCAGAGCGTGCAGTACAACCGGAAGGGACTCATCGAAGCCGGATCTTTCGTGAAGGATGGGAACCTGATTCGCTTCAAGTACCACTACCGCAAGAACCCCCGCTTTGGAGACGAATTGCTTCGGGCCGAGTTTGCGCTCTCGCACATCACCTGTACCGTTTCGTGGTGCGCGCCTCCTCTCCGCCATCCCGAGAAGGTCGACCGGTGGATCCCTCATTCCAAGGTCACGGAAGCGACGTTTGTGCAGGGTGCCGATGTCTACGAGGCCCGTTGGCTCTATGACCACAAGTTCCATCCCACCATCTTCACCACTCTGAACGGACAAAAGGTCCAGACGCCGCCCATGATCGAACACGACTACCTCGCCGTGCTCGCCAAGCCCAAGTACACCAGTTTTGTGCATGACAATCCTCTCTTGTATTGCGACAGTCTCAGCTCCAGTGTGTTCACCCGGTTCTTTGGACTCACCAAGAAGCGCTTCCCGGTGTCGACTTCGCGCGCTCGTTCCTTGATTTGGAAGGCGTGGAAGGAGCGTGTGGACTTTGATGGTGTCATTGTCCGCTGGATGGATGAACGACTGTTGCGGAGAGACAAGACCCTCGCCCCTTACTGGCGTAGCCGGGATCGCGGTGATCTCGCTTCGGCCAAGAAGTACCTGGATATCCGCGCCGACACTGTCACTGCCAGTGCGGATTTGGATGATAACATTTCGAGCTGGACTCCGCTTGCCGTCAAGATCAGTGATCTGTTCAACTTCGGACCGGGTGGTGATGCGGTCGTCAACACCAGATCCAAGGACTTTGGCGCCGATACGGAAAAGTCTCTGCATGTCATGGCGGCTGATAACGGTACCTGGCCCAACGAAGGAGGCGGTGTTTCGGCATGCCGACGTGATATGATCAATTCCCTGCGGACCATCAAGTGGCATATGATTTGCGAGTCGGCCAACGACTTTGGTATTCCCAAGCATCAGACCGAGCAGAACATCCTGTCGTTGAAGGTGGTTCCCCTCTGGGGTCTCGACTTCCTGACGCCCACGCACGGTCTGTTCACCAACAAGCTGGACTCGGAAGTCGAGAACGTCACCTCCGCCAGTGAGATGGACATCAAGATGAACTTTATCCCGATCCTCACGGCCTTGGTCAAGGGTGCCCGTGCGGTCCATCTCTCCAAGGCTGATATCCAGCAGGCCACTCGAGCGTTGGTGAACCTCAACACTTACTTCCAGGACTCCCGGCACTGGACCCAAGTCTGGGACAGCGAGATCGTCAAGGAGAGCTGGCGTGACCTTTGGCTCAGTCAGGAAATGTCCAATGCGGTCCCCTCCTCCGAGTGGTTCCGCACTGAGCTGCCCACGTTGGCGTCTCTGGACATTGCCCTGGAACTCTGGTATCGCTATCTGTTCATCTTCTCCATCCCGATCCCGGAGAAGATCCCCAACGTGTTCCAGGCCTCTCACCACAGTGTCAGTGCGTCTTACGGCGTCGTCTGCAAGATGAAGAGAAACTGCACCCTCCAGATTTGGGACCATGCGATCAGTTGGCGTGAAACGAACCTCTGCCTGTCTTCCGCACTCTGCAAGCTTTCTCCCTTCGTCCGCAATGCTCTGCTCGGATTGATGCGAGTCACCTCTGTCCTGACTCTGCATCATGCCGATATCATTCTGCCATGTGCTGATTTCTTCAACCCAGGCTGGGAAGTGGAGATTGGCACCTGCCAAGGCACCATTGAGCACCGCAACGTTTTCCGTCGCAAGGTCGACCCTGTCGTCAACGGCATCACTGATATGCAAAAGTTTGCCCCGGTCAAGGAGATCAAGTCCGAGCGCCCTACCGTCACCATGTTGTCCCATGTGTGGTATGCCAAGGACATCAAGATTGCGCTTCTTGCCGCCGACATCATCATCAACCAGTGGAAGTTCGATGATTACCACCTGGATATTTATGGAGCCATTGACAAGGCACCCACATACTCTACGGAATGTCAGGAAATCATTGCATCCAAGGGTCTCCGTGGCAAAGTTACTCTCCGCGGTACTGCAGACCCCATGAAGGTGCTGGAGAATACCTGGTTGTTCCTCAACTCGTCTCTGTCCGAAGGTCTCCCGTTGGCCCTTGGAGAGGCTGCTCTCACCGGTGCCCCCGTGGTCTGCACCGACGTCGGAGCATCCCTCCGCGTCCTGAGCGACCCCGACGATTTCTCTCGCTTCAGTGCCGTCGTTGCCCCCAACGATGCTCTGGCTCTCGCACGGGCACAAATCACCATGCTCGGTCTCCTCGGAGAATGGAGCAAGTACGCCGAAGATACCGAGGCGCCGCCCGTGCTCACCTCCTCTCCGACCCCTGAGGACGTCGCCAAGATCACCCGTCGCATGTACGAGAAGAGCGAGCACCGTCGCAAACTGGGCATGATGACCCGCAACATCGTCCAGAAGTCTTTCAGTGGTGACCGATACCTCCGCGAGCACGAGCAAATGCTCTGGATTGGCAAATCGGCCAAGACCATGGCCAACCGCCCGAACGGTGCCCTCAACGAGCCTATGGACGTCGCTACCGCCCTGCAGCAGACCCTGACCATCGACGAAGAAGTCATCACCATCCCCCGCAGCGCGGTCAACTCCTGGCGCTCGTCCGCTGGATCCGGCCTGTCGACGCTGTACAGCTCCGTGTCCAACTTCCCCATGCTGAACGCCCACCAGCGGCCCTCCTCCATCCGGTCCAGCGTCAGCAACGCCTCCACCGACGCCAGTTCCTTCATGCCGCTCCCCAGCAGCGCTTCCCTGCCCGTCTTCGCCCCCCGCCAAACCCTCTCCTTCTCCGGCCTGCCGGGCAGCAAATCCCCCACCGGCCATCTCTCCCCCTCGGGCCGCCTCTCGCCCGTCCTGAGCCGTACAGGCCGTCACTCGCGCACGCACTCGCTCTCCACCGCCGGTCGAGAGCAGCTGCGCGGCCTCCAACGCGAGGACCTCCACCAGTACCGCAACTCGGACGTCAGCATGATGATGCGCGAGGAATTCCTCCAATCGAGCATTTTCCGGGGCATTGAAGGGGCCGGCAATGTTGTGTGATTGCCCCCCCTTCCCTTTAAAAAAATTATACCCATGTTGTTTTTTGTTCTTGTTATATGCTTTTTTTCTGGTGATGGTCATCTTCACTTTTGGGTGGGGGATGGCATCACTAATATTCCATTGTACATACACTCCGTGTGCTGTTCTTTGCATGCATTCGGGCTTTATCAAGGCTTGGATGTCTGTTTATATTCCCGTCCGTTGTATAGATAATTGGCTTGTTTAGCTTGGTTCATCGTCATTCCTAGAATTTTTTTTTTCCTTTTGTGTTGAATAGAGATAATAAGGATTACAGGATGGTGTTGTGAAAGTTGATTATTTCATGCATTGAACTATTTCCTAGACCAATATCGCCTGCTGTATGGATGCTACTACGTACCATTGGTCGAAAGACTTGGCCTTCTCATCGTCAACTGCAGGGAGGGTTTTTGGTGCAGTGATTTGATAAATTGTACTCGTAAACACCTGTACCAATACCAAGTACCCGATCAGGAAATATAAATATGAAGCCCGAAACCTCGATTCAATGCAAGATAAGTAAACTATGCGGAACACTGATACTAGAGATATAATCTGATATGATATAAGGCCAACGCTCAACTTAATTGGAAAGAAGAGGCAGAGGTAAAGAACGCTTCACCCTTTCCCACATGGAATCATCCGGAACTGGGTTCGCGATGCGATGCCATTCATCGTTGAAGGCGTTGACGAGCCAGCTCGACAGGCCTGAGCATTCCCAAATGATTAGTTAGGTATTGATTCGTCGAATTTTGCTTGCTTGCTTGCAGAGGAGATGATCGTTTGAGAGGAAAAGGGGGGGGGATGAACGTACGCTCATAGACCATCCTATGGGCATTATGGAAGTTAATGCTGTGATCTGAGTCCGGGTAGAAGTGCAGATCGTAGTTCTGCACATTGGCGAGATCGAGCTTGTCAACCAGTTCGAGGGTGTTTTGCACATGGACGTTGTCGTCCGAGGCACCGTGGATGACGAGGAAGCGGACGGATTCGCTGAGCGCGGCCATGTCGCTGATGGAAGTGTTGTCGTAGCCGTTGGGGTTGTGTTTCGGGGTGTGCATGTAGCGTTCGGTGTAGATTGAGTCTGTTGGAGGGGTGTTAATTGAGGGGATGTGCGTGGAGGGAATGGGATGGATTACCGTAGTGTCGCCAGTCGGTGACCGGCGCGACGGCCATGCCGTATTGGAAGGTCTTTCCGGCATCTTGTTCCAGGGTCTTCAGAGTCATGAATCCGCCGTAGCTCCAGCCCCAAATTGCCATTCTAGATTCGTCCACGTAGGACTTTGCGCCCCAGAGCCGGGCGGTCGTGATCTGGTCGTAGGCTTCGTAGTAGCCCAGGTTGCCGCGGACGATGCAGCGTGTTTTCCGCCCGGAGAAACCGGTGCCTCGCCCGTCGACGGTCACTACGATGTAGCCCAGGGTTGAGGCGACGTAGGATTGAAAGTCGATGTTGAATTTGCGGTCCACGGTTTGGGACCGAGGCCCGTTGTAGAGGTAGAACAGGACGGGGTACTTCTTGGCTGGGTTGAAGTGTGGCGGGCGACGCTCGACGACTTGGAGGGTGAAGCCGTCAATGGTCACATTTTGGTAGATCTTGGTGGGAACGGCGTAGGTCTCCACCATCTGAGAGAGACCGGCGTTGTCTTCGATGGTTTCTTCGAACTTGAGTCCGTCGGTTTCGGTGCTGACGATGGCTTGCCAGGGGACTGATGGGCCCCGGTAGCTGAGCAAGGCGTAGCCAGTTCCGTGTGAGAAAGACACATCAAAGTAGCCTGGCTTGGAGGTGTCTGTCAGTGGCTTCAAGTTGGATCCGTCCAGCTGGACCTGGTACAAATGGCGCTCAGTAGGTCCTTCCTTCGTTGCGATGAAGTAGACAACGCCTTTGTGCAGGTCCACGGCAGTTGGGGCATCCACCACCTCCCACTCACCCTTGGTGAGAAGGACAGGTTCAGGATTGTCCAGGGGTGTGAAGTAGCCCAGGTGCTCATAGCCCTCGTGGATCACCGTGTCAAGGTATCCATCGTGAGGTCGTCCACTGCTGGCATCTGCGGGGATGAACCACGTGTACTGCGAAGGCTCTACCCAGCCACCATCGATGCTCGCAACATTCTCAACGCGTACGAGCTTGCTGGTCTTGGCTTTGGTGTCGAACAAGAACACCTTCAAGATATCACTTTCCCTGTTGGTCACTCGCACAAGGACCTTTCCTTCGGTTCCCCACACGATCTCGATAACAATCCGATCGTCGTCCTCGAAATCGTCGGGTGCTTCGATTGAAAAGACCTCTTGTTTCTCAACGTCATAGAACTGCAAGTTAACCACGGGGTTGGGAGCGCCAGCCTTGGGGTACTTAATCTCCCTGACCTCGGGGTAATCCTCGAGTCCCGGAGGAGGTTGTTTTCCGGAGGGCCTTGATAGATAGTACTGCACGGGGAATTCAGGGACGGCCGTCTCGTTGGTACGCAGGAAGGCCACGTATTTCCCGTCGCCAGACCACCAGGTTACACTATTGCCCGAGAAGACCTCTTCCTCGTATACCCAATCAGGAACACCGTAGAAAAGATCCGCACCGCCGTCCTTCGTGATGGGCTCAACCTTCTCTGAGGACAGTTTGCGCAGGTACAGGTTGTTATTTCTCACAAACGCAACCATGTCAGAGGTTGGTGACCAGACTGCAAGCTGCACGCGTCCATCAGGGTCACTGGGATCAAGCGGCTGCGCTGTTTGAGTAGCCACATCGAAGATCCAATATTTCCCCGTGAAGGAATGCCTCCAGTTTTTTTCTCGCTCCGATAAGATCAGCACCTTGTTCAGGTCTGGACTGGGCCATGTCGATGCCGGAAAAATTGTACGTCCATCCACCTGCACAATCGCCTTCTCCATCAGCACCTTACTGGCCTGACTGTTGACATCGTTCTTACGACTGCGAATGTCGTCAACCCGCAGATAGCCCTTCCCGTCACCTTCCCCTTGCTCCACTAAAAGCCCGTCTTCGCCATTGGGGCCCGCGATCCAGGAAACAGCATGTGAGCGAGGAAGCCACTGTCCCGTGAGGACCTGTTCGAGCGTGACCGGCTTTCCGGAGCTTGGACTTCCAGAGATTGTATCTGCCTCGTGAGACTGTAGTGCTTCTGAGACCGTCTGCTGGTTTGAGCGCGCTTGGGTCACGAATAGCGCTAACCCCCACAGCCAACCTGCCACGCAAAGTATAATCAGACCCCAGATCAGTCGAGACGTGCGGCTCCCGGAGGTAGCTGCCTTCTTGGACGAAGGAAGAAACGGCTCGTCCGCCCCTGGTTCGCCCTCCTCCACATCCCGGTATCTATTGTCGTCCGACAATCCGCCGGCTGCTGGTGTGTTTGGGGTGTATTTGGTTTCCTCCGGGTAGCTATCCACGGAGAGGCTGGAATCGGAGGATGTCGCAGACGCGGTAGATGAGGGCCGTGGGCGGCTCATGGGAAGGGACTCCGAGTCCTCATTGGTGTCAAATTTCCCCATGATGGGAGATGATCATGCAGGAGGCGCGACCAACTGGTGTGTCTGTGTCACATACGATCACGAAGGAGAGGTGGAAGGGAGTCAACCGCGGTGATAAGAGCCGAGGGATCGTTATCGTCGGCAGCGACGGAGCTTCGAATCGGTGTTGGCGGTGATGGAGAGGAGTGCGAAAGGGTACGAAGTCGTTCGGTGCACCCGCCTGTGCCCTCAGAAGACAGCGGTAGTCATGGACTCGAGGATCGAGTCTGAAGGGGAATCCTCAGAATTGAGTTCCGACACGGAGGCCGGCGAGGGTTGAGGAGGTGAAACGGGAGGCGCAGCAGATCTCCCGGCGGGCCTTGGCGGCCCCAGGCATCAATCCCTTATTCACGCCGGGCTCCTTATTGACGGCCCTTTCCGGATGGACTCTCCACAGCCCTACATAGGATGCAATACACAATCACATTGTGTGGACAAATCTTTTATTGTCAGTCCATATAGAATTATTAGCTTATGGCCATCCCACCCAGCCAGCCAACGCTCAGATAGATGAGTACAAAACAACGCTAGCAACGCTAGATCAACTCCAGAGCCTTCGAAGGAGGCCAAAACAGTCAACAGCAATCCAAAACCCGTACACCAGTCTTGTGGAGGATGAAGGTATCACTCCATTATACAAGACCCCATGCAATAATTGTACACCGATCTCATGAAGCACCTTTTGAAGGTATCACATCATGATACAAGACCCGAACCTCTCAAGCTCGGATGTACACCACCCACTCTCGGAGGTTGTATGTGGCGTCTGCCAGTCGTTCGGCTTGATTGTACACCATATACCAGGAATCTCCATCGTAGACGGACTGCTCTGAGAGAATGTGAGCCACTCGGCTGATGCTCGCAAGGACTCGGTCAATTTGGGAGGCATATTGCAAGATCATATAATCGTGCCGAAACAGATCGTCGTCGCTGCAGCAGGCCACCTCAAAGTTGGTACGTTTGAAGTACCGGAAAAGCACCTGGTAGAAATGCTTGTATTGTCGGACGATTCCGTCGCAGACCGTGTGGAGGAAGTTTCGATAGGCCTCTTCCTTCGGACAGACTTCGCATAAGCTCAGTCGTTCTATCGGGTCAATGAGACGTTTGAGTGCTGCGTATCCGCCTCTCAAAGGACTGTTGACAGAGATATTGGTATATGAGGTCTCCGCAAGAGCGCCGTCCAGGGCATCCGATATAAGAGAGCCACATCCACGCCTACATGGGGTGTAGGCGTTGTGATGGTCGGCCTTCTCTTCCTTGTCGTGCTCGGAGTAAGGGCGAAGCTGGATTGTATAAGGCTCTGTATCCGTCGATGAAGAGGCAGACAGCATTGTACAGGTCGACATACTGTTCGGTTCTCTGGTTATATAGATAGATGAATAGAGGGATAAATGGGTACGTTGAATGGTAGGATAGGTTGTACTGAGCTTGTATGTCGCAAACAGATTGCTTGAACGATGGGATAATAGGCAAAGTCTCGCTTGATGTAAATCGACCGCTGGAACGTTGAACGATGGTATAATACACAGAGTCTCGCTTGATGTAAATCGAATGCTGAAACGTTGGACGATGGGATAGTACGCAACACCTCGCTTGATGTAAGTCGAACGCTGGAACGAGACTCGCTTGATGTAAATCGAACGCTTGAACGTTGGACGATGGGATAGTAAGCAACGACTCGCTTGATGTAAATCAAACGCTTGAACGTTGAACTTTGGAGACGTCTATAGACAAGTAATTGCTCCAGGTGTAAGCAGTAGAGAAGTTGAAGACGGAGAACGAAGCGAAGGGACGCAGGCTTCCCTGCGAAGGGTATATAGTCGACCGGGTTGCATGAACCATGGTTGTATATGACTCCCTTCTTCACACCCTTCTCTCGCCGTGAGTCAACTATAAGATTCCATGATGGGAACATGAGGTAGACTTGATCGTTCCTCAGCAGTAGTCCGACCACAGCCCCGAGCCTACCGTGGATGATATTGATGCAGGCCATGACTCCGAGGGCCGGACTTGCCCGCTTTGCAGCACATCCAGGCACCCGATTCTCGGGCGGTACCGGATGCTCGCCATGAGGTATAGCATCTCTGAAAGCATATTTGGAGTCATACACAAGCACATGAATCTTCATTGGCCTAGAAGGGGCTCTTGGTCAGTGTGACGTCTATCTGTAGAAGGACCAAAACATACAGTGCTTCATCTATTATCATCTACGACAAATTGATGATTGATAATTGCCCATCGGCAGTCCTACTACTGGAAATCCGTAGAACTGCAGAAGCAGGAATGTCATATTGTATTTGTGTTCTGCCTGAGGCAACCAAGAATTCGTTGCGAGCATATCTAGCATTGCGAATACCGCATAAAGTGCGCCACACTGGGCATAAAGTAAACTCTGCTATTTTTAATGTATGCCTAACTCCAGGCTGAAGTAGAAAGATGACGATCAAGTCATACTGCTGTGTTGGTTGGTGATGGGAGGTGATGATAAGATGGACGATGCATGCAGCCGGGCAAGCGGATAGAATTGGTTGCAGCTGCCAGTCATGCGATTCGATGCCCAGGGAGACTAGCAGGAAGCTAGCAGAGACCATTGGCCGCGTGCTTGTCTTTCCGGAAGGTGTCAGTCGTCAGTTGTCAGTTGTCACTTGTCAGTTGTCACTTGTCACTTATCTGATTGAGAGAAGCTGCCGGGCAGACGTGGGGGGAAATGGATGGAGTCGATCCACCGGAGACGACAAGCCAACTAACTACTAAGCGCCAGGAGGGAAACTGGGTTCTGGAGAATGAAGAAGTCCGCGATCCGCGGAATGGCCAGGGCGGGGCCACAGGGCTGACCACCGGACGCGTCAAAGAGGGGGCAGAGCATCTAATTTTATCAATTTAATTCGCATTCTTCTGACTTGGTGCTTGGGATCGGTGGTGTCATCATCGCCCATCGCCTGCAGATTACTTACTAGTAGGAACTCGCTAGCTTGTCCGTCCTTCCCTTCCCTCTTCGCTTCCCCTCTCCAGCTCCCTCCTCTCACTCACTCCCCTGCCTTTCGTATCCTCACCTCGGCTCTTCTCTCCTTTTCTACCACTTCATTCCCCCGCGTCTCCGTCGCCCTTGTCGCTTGAAGCGGTTCCGACCGATCTTCTGCCGTTCCTGAAAGACCAGTGCGCTCTGGTGATCAGGCGCACCGAGCATCGACGGGCGCCAAAACGTCATCGTCCACAGCCCGAACCTTGGCTGTGGCTAGGCAGACGGATTCTGGGCTGGCGGTCATCTTCTAGAAGTGGATTCCATTCGTATTCTTATTTACCCCTGTGTCTGCTCTCCAGGGCTATATAGACAGTCAATGATCGCCCGCTCTCAAGGGTGAAATACTGAGCTCCAGCGATTCCACCATGGCCTCTGCCCCCAACGGAGTCCAGTCGGGCGCCCGCCCGCCTGCTTCTCCCACCTCGTCCAGCCCCGCCCCGGGTCAGATTCTCACCGGGAAGCAAGAACATTGTCGGTCCCCCCTCCTATCAATGGACTGAGCATCACTTCTGACGGTTTCAGATCTCAAGCGCGAACTCATCGCCCGCCAGGTCCAGAGCGAAATCGCCGAGCTGAACTCGCCAACCGCCCTCCAACGCTTCGGTGCCCCCTTCAAATCCGAATTCGGCGAAGTTGCGCCCGTCGATTCGGAACTCCCTATTCTGCGATACATCTTCGTCCACCATGTGCGCAACTTTCCGTTCCTCGATCAGGCCCGCGAGAAGGAGTTCTGGCAAGATAAATTACAGGTGGTGCGTGTGTCCCTTGGGAAACCCCGTACAACGCGCGCGGTCAGTTGAGCTAATGGCTGGCACACAGTTCCTAGAATCGTTTGCGAAGAAACATGTCTCGTCCTCGGAAGATCGCCTGGAAGAGACAAAGCGCAGGAAGTTGGCGCGAAAATGTGAGAAACTGGTCGAACTCATGATGGTCTCAGGAATCCCGACAGCCTCGGGCTATGAAGAGCGAATCCAATTCTCGGAGATGGAAGTCGTCGATCGCGGGGCCAACGAAAAGGGACTGTTGGTCAACATGCCCGAGGGCAATGCAATCCATGGATGGGATATTAATGTGGCTGCTGTGCGAGTCACATCGGTCCGGCGGACTGTACGATACCATCAACATGCGGTAGGTGTTTGTGCGGCGCGGCATTGGATATCACCACTGATGTATAAACCAGGAATTTATCCTTCGGGTGCGACGAGAAGGCAGACCTGATCAGTTCGTGGCTCGTCGTTATGGCGACTTTGCCAAACTCCACAAGCGACTACGCACTGAATTCCCCGGGAAGCCGCTGCCCCCTCTCCCTCGCAAGAATAAATCCTCCATGACAACTAGCTGGTTCGGATCGGCAGATGACGAAGCATCCTCGGTCTCTTCGGTGTCAACAGTCGGTGTCAGCGCTGTGGACGAGAGCTATTCGTCACGCAACCTGGCTCCTGGAACCCATCATCACCGTTCGCTGTCCCGGTCTTCTAAGCGTTCTCTGAGATCACCCAGGGCATCTAGTGAGGGGTCGAGAGAGACAGTGCTTTACCGGGAAGACCAGAGAGTTTCTCTTCGGGCGTTTCTTCGCACCTTGCTGCAAAACAAGCGGGTGGCTGAAACAAAAGCCTTGGAAGAGTTCTTGACGGCCGACCCCGTCACTTTGAACGAGGAGGAGAAGCTTGATATGCAGAAGCGCAAGGACGTCGACGCGGTGAGGATAGAAGAGCAAAAGCGATTCTACGAAATCGCACGGGCGCGCGCAGCTGAATTGGACGCCTACATGGAGAACTTCCGCCGAGACATTGTGGAGAGCAGTAAGTGGTGAAAGGCCCGCATTGATGATAATGACTGCGCTGACTAGGGTGTCCCCACTTAGATGGCCTGACCAAGTTGTTTGCCGAAATCAAAGAGAAGCCAACGGTGCAGGATCTCAGTCCCAAGTACCAAAAGTTCGCTGAGTGGCTCCGGATTGAGTGCGTTGCAGGCGAGACCCCGTTTGAACTGTCTGTCAGGCTGACCAAATTACTTCAGGGTTGCTGCGACGCTCTACCATCTGTTCCTGGCCGAGGACAACTCCCCCGAACTATTTGCACAAGCCAAGAGAATCCATTCGCTCGTCCCGTACACTTTGTTGAAGAATGTCATCCGAATTGCCAACCCGGCAGCTGTAATGGCAGGAGTGCTGGACCTCTTCCTGGCCCAGCCCTTCGGCTCGCGCTCACTCCTACAGCGGATCTTCTCGATGACTCTCAACGATGGCATTAAGGCCTTCCAGAAATCAATCGATGCGCTAGCCAGCAAGGTCGATGATCCCATCCTCTGCCAAAAGCTCAAAGCCTTCACTGATTCAAGTGAAGATCTCAAGAACGAGATTCGCGCAGAAGCTGCTGCCGAGGATGTCGATATTATTGTGGCTATTCTCCGTACCGAGCTTCTGCAGCCTGAGCTGGCTCCTGAGCAATTTGGCAAGGTGTTCAATGCCTATGTGGCTTGGAATCAAGCCGTGGACAATGTCGAGGTGGAGCTGCGAGAGGGTGCGCATTGGTTCGCGAATCTGAAGCAGCTGCTGAAGCTTTACACTCGCCAGCGTGACAAGTCCATGATGCTCAGCATCGTGGAAGAGCCGGTCACCCTCCAGCTTTTCCGCGATCTCTTCACCATCTTCTACGAGCCGCTGGTCCGCGTCTACAAGTCGGCCAACGTCTACAGCAGCATCACCGACTTCGCTCATTTTGCCGACGACGCGATTGCAGTGATCGAGAAGTGCCAGCGGCAGGATGTTTCGGCGGATCCTAACCAGACGGTGCAGGCGTTCATCGATCTCTGCGAACGTCACCAGAGCAGCTTTTACAAGTTTGTGCACGAGGTTCACCTGCACGACAATGGCCTGTTTACGTCGCTCATGGCGTGGATCGGGGATATCTTGGAGTTTCTGCGCAAGGGACCACGCGGGGGCGAGCTGGACATGAACGCCCTGCTCCGGGGAGCCAAGGATTTTGGGCAAATTGACAACAACAAGGCACTGGAGGAGATCAACGCCTTGATCAAATGGCACGAAGACCGGAAGCGGTGGCATATGAATAAGACACGACAGAAGATGGCGGCTGAGGGAACGGGCCATGAAGGATATCTGGGTAACGCGCCATTCCGGGGCAGCGACTTTGGCCTGGACGAGGCCGACCTTGAAGATCTTGCCATCTCCGACGCCGAGTCGGAGGGCTCGGAGGAGCTGGATGAGGAAGAGGATCTCGACCCGATCACAGCGGAGCGCAGACGGCGGGTCAAGCAGCAGGACCAGCTCCGTCGCACGGCTGGCGAGCCGGTCAAGCCGGACGTATCCGAGATTCTCAAGTTGTCCGAGTCGTTTGGTGTTATGTTGCGACAAGTACTGGCGGAATAAGTGTGGTTGCATTGTTGAGATACCCTAGAGTCTATACATCCCTCGTACACATTGTTGGTTCTGGTCGCTGGATTGTTGCATGGCATTGCCTGAGTGGATCGAAGAGAGGATCTGATCGGGGCATCCGGACTTTTGCATAAACCTAATATATCATTAGCATAGAGACAAGCGAGATTTTCTTGGCGTTGAACTGCAAGCTGCGTACTCCGTATAGACTATAGTCTTTGATCCGTCAGCCTTGCCCCAGATTGCCGCCCTGGCGGGTCTCCATCCAGACCAACGGTCCCCCTAGTTTCCATAGCGACAACCCTCTGCAGTCTTTTCTACTCCAGATATAAACACTGCCTTTAATCTACAATATCGAGCCTGTCATACCGAAATTATATTCACCCCCGATTACTCATGCTGTCTCCCACCAAATCCTTCAACGGCGGGGGGTCGCCTCGCTCGCCCCGCCTAGCCGTTCCTCTCTATGGGCTCTTCCTCGACGGGGTCTGGCGCTGCAACTGTCCTGACCGTCCCCCCGCCGCCAAGTTTCAAACCAAGAATCACGGCCTGAACCATGGACGATGGTGTATGCAACCTTGACATTTCCCAAATAAAGCCAAAAGGCAACGACGGATCTAAATTCCCCCGGCTAACCGAGAAACCCCGCACCCCCCCTCAGTCTACACTTGCCAAAAGCCCCAAGCGCAACGGTGTCGGTTCTTCCTCTGGGCCAGCGACGCCGAGATCCGCGAGAAACACGCCGTTTTGTCGAACTCTCACAGCGAACCAGTTTCCTTCACCCCCGAAACACCCTCCAAGAAACCCCGACTCTCCGCAACAGGTCTCCTGACTCCCCAGACTGATCGCACGGTGAGATACGGTGCCTCCATGGCCGCCACCCCCGGTGGTAGGGTAGGATTCAACATGCCCCCGCAAAGCGCCAAAGCACGTATGATGTCGGAGGACATGGAGGAGTTTGAATGGGATGATGATGATGCGGCGGTGGGGAAGATCTTCGGCCCAGGTGGGCAACAGGAACAGCAGTCGGCCCCGCTGCGACAGCCGGATTTCGGACCACCGAAGACGCCATCGGGTACGCAGTCTGCGCCGGGGAAGAGAAAGTTCTCTGATATAGATGATGGGGATAGTGAGAAGACGGTGAGCTTTACGCCGACTTCGTTGGCAAGGTCGCATACGGTGTCATTTTCATCTACTGTACCTGGGTCACCTTCGTCGATGGTATTCCCAGTGACGCCTACGCCGGTGAAGTTCCGGGGGGTTGGGCCTAGTGCTGGTGGAGGGGACTCGCCGGGCGAGGTCAAGGAGAGCTTGGTGGAAACGGCTGTCAAGATTCTCGAGCAACATCAGGTGGGGATATCGAAAGAGGCTAAAGATGAGTTGGTGAATGTCATGAGAAGTTATGAGTTGCAGATGAAGGGGATTATTCGCGGAAGAGACATTTCACGGATTGTGCTGAAGAAGAAAGATGAGCAGATTAAGGAACTAAATGAGCGGATTGCGAGGCTCGAGAGGGGACAGTAAGTATGAGAGAAAATGATCTGATACCCTGATCTATGTGTGCTTTTTGTTCTTCTGATGCATCTTTGCGTGTTGATCTGGCGATGGTTTCTCTATATTTTGTTGTCGTCTGCTGTGCAGATGCTTATTTAGTGCTTCTAGTTATAGGCTTAGCGATAGGTACCCACTGATCATGAATGATCAATCTAATTTAACCCAATAACAGTCAATCTGCCCTGGATTTACCGGCCATATCCATTCCATCACATTTCAAGTCGACTATCATGTGAAAACCCCAGATCGATCTTATCCGCGCCTATCACGTGCTGATAAGCAACGAGTCACGGCCCAAATCCAAAGTCTAAAAAATGTCGCGATCCTCCCACCAAACGATCACATCCCAACCAGCCAATGCCTCCTTCCTGACTCGACGTCCACTCGCACCGACCCCAACTCCCGGAATCAAATTACCCTACCAACAGGGTCAACCCATTTCCATGGAAATCGACTCCGAACCCACCCAACCGCTCCGCAGCGACCTCCCCGCCATGTTCCGTCCTCCAGTGAACCGGGCCATGCGAGTCCTGGACCGGTCCTTCTTCAGGAGGACGGTTCCGGTCTCTGCGGCAGCGATTTTCAAGATCTCTGATATCTCCAACGTGCGGAAGGAATTGACCAAGAGCCGGGATTTGCTGCAGCTGCCGAGATTGGGCTCCATTCGGGAAATCAAGGTGGATGATCTGGTGCACAAGTGTCTTTTACTGAAGGAGGAGGTTAAGCATAACGGTTTGTTCTATACCGGGGTATAGTTGGTGTGAGGTGCATGCGCTGATGGGTGGTTTAGATCCCGCGACGTGGTCGCCGACGATTAGCGAGCTCGTTCAGAAGGGAGTGGTTGGTGTCAAGCCTTATGATTTGACGTTGGAGTATGATTATTGGACTTATGGTGGGTTCGAATCTTTGTGTCATTGGATATTTGGTGCAAGGCCTAATTGGAGCAGCGGATATCATGTCCTGCATTCTGCCGGAGGACATGCTGGATGAGATCCCTCAGGGATTCACGCAAGTTGGTCACGTTTGTAAGTTCTCTACGTTTGGCACTGTGGATTTACACTGATGAAATAGCGCATCTCAACCTCCGCGAGCAATATTTGCCTTACAAGCATCTGATCGCACAGGTCCTGATGGACAAAAACCCCAACGTCAGCACCGTCATTCGCAAGACTGAGGACGTGGGCTCCCACAGTCAATTTCGCACGTTCCCCTTCGAGCTTCTTGCTGGTAAGAACGACCTGAACGTCATCCAGCACGAGCAAAACTGCGAGTTCCGCTTCGACTACTCGCGCGTGTACTGGAACAGCCGTCTCGAGACGGAGCACCGCCGTCTTGTGGACAAGTTCCGCCCCGGTGAGATGGTCTGCGACGTTATGGCGGGCGTTGGGCCTTTTGCCGTGCCTGCTGGCAGGAAGAAGATCTTCGTGTGGGCCAACGATCTCAACCCGCACGGGTACGAGGTGATGCTGGACGCTATCAAGCGCAACAAGGCCGACAAATTCGTCACCCCCTTCAACAAGGACGGCCGCGAGTTCATCCGCTGGTCTGCGCACGAACTCCTGGAATCTCCGCACACTGTGACTGTCGAGCCTAAGGTCCGGAGGAGCAAGAAAGCTGCTGCGGAGGAGGCAGGCCAACCGCTGCCGCAGCCGGAGGTCTTCCACCGTCCCAACGTCTTCCATCACTATGTGATGAACCTGCCTGGCAATGCCATTGAGTTCCTCGATGCCTTTGTCGGCGTCTACGCGGGCAAGGAGTCGCTCTTTGCCCCGCACACATCGCAACCCCTCCCCATGGTCCACGTCTACTGCTTCTCGGGTCACTCCGCGGATGAGCATGATGACCACGTGGATGTCTGTCAGCGCATCTCGGAGCGGATCGGATACACCATCACCACGGAGGATCGTGTCGGTGGCAGCGGCAACCAGGAAATCGAGTTGGCCATCCACAACGTGAGATTGGTCAGCCCCAACAAGCAAATGTTCTGCGCCAGCTTCCGTCTGCCGAAGGAGGTGGCATTCCGAAAGATCTGAGTCCATTACTTTAAAATTGTCTATATCATCCGATCATCTGTCGCATAGCATCAGGGCGTTTTGGCTATGGATATAGAAAAGTGTCGATAAATGTTGAATTGATACCCTTACTTGCCTTGTAGCTACATTCACCGTACCAGACTCACGATCAGGTCATTCACCTCACCATTTTCATCTGTAATTGTCCAACAACTACTCCGTAGCCACCAAACAAAGCTCACTATCTAATCACTCCCCACGATAATCATCTAGGCGGTGTACCGTTCACCGCCTACATCTGCCGCCGCAAAACTCAACGCGGCCAGAATCCCCGTCCCGCACCACCATCAACAACAGCGCCATCCCAATCAACCCAATCCAACCAGCCCCAAGCCACAGAAACCCCAATCCACAACTCAACACCCGACCAAACCACCCCGTTTCCCTCCAAAAGCAAGCAACAATGAGCGTTCAACTCCCCCCAGCCACCCACCGCAAGCGCACCCTCCCGCAAGGCGAACTCGAAGCCGCCTCGACGCTCAAGCTCGGCGCCGACCAGAACACGCACACGCTCTCACTCTCGGAAGCGCGTCTCGTTATCAATAAGGTGTTGGAAAATAAGCGCAGAGGGGGGAAGAAATATGAGGAGCCGGAGTGAGTGTTACTGCTGTTTACATGTGCATGTTGCATACATATCTACGGAGTACTGTTGAGCTAGATGGATGGATGGATGGATGGATGGGATCATTGGGCTGTGGGCGGCGCGCTAACAGATGTGGGTGTGTATAGGAACCTTACCAAGACGTTGGATTACTTGGAGGTGTTTGCGCGGTTCAAGGACGAAGAGAATATTAAGGCTGTGGAGCGGTTGTTGAATTCGCATACGGAATTGGAGATGTTTGAGAGGTCGCAGTTGGGTATGCATCCTTTTCTTTTATTTCGCTTACTTACCGTTTCTTGCGGTGCTTTTACTGTGATGGGAGGATTCAATAGGAATGGTGGGAATCAGGCGCTAACACCACATAGGAAGTCTATGTTGCGATAACGCGGAAGAAGCCAAGTCGCTCATTCCGAGTCTGCAGCACAAGATCTCGGACGGGGATTTGCAGGAGCTTCTGGATGAGTTGACCAAGTTGCGCAATTTCACCGAGTAGATTCATCTTTGTACCAGTATATCTTCTTTGTTGGTCAACATCCCGTCCATTTGTCTTTGCTTGGGTTTCGGTATAGCATGGAGTTTTGGAGTTATGACGCATCTGCGATGAGCCTGAAAGAGGGAAAAAGAAAAAAAAGAGAAAAGCACATGCATGCATCGGTGTCGGACGATCATGTCGTCATGGTGATTTTTTTGCCAGGAGCCAAGACATGTGGAATCGTCCATGCGAGCATTATTAATAGGTTGCGGTTAGAGTTTGGATGTGGATAGTGACAATCTAACCATGCGGCGATGACATGAAAATGGGACGTGCCAGATTGGCAATGGCTGCTCGTTGGCGGCGGTGATGTGGTTAGGTTAGGGGAGAACTTGATCCTTGGGGCGGTTGAGGGACTAGACAGTAACACGCAAAGTCTAAAGCAGTATCGGTTTGATAATTGAAACCTCGTGGCGGGCAAAGGATTGGGTCAAACAAAACGCTCTAGTGCACCATGGACCTCCCTGCTACGAAGAGTAAAAGGAAGCTTTCCCGCACGGCGCCCCCCCTTAATAATAGGAATGCCCGGGGATGCAGCAACATGACCTTTACATTAAGTAATGGGAATCGGGCCAGCGCGTCCAACGTGCACGCGAGCCGACGCCTGGAGGAGTGGGCTCCAGAAGCACTGACGGTCCATTTCCCCGGAGATAACAGGTACCTCCCCAGATCCTCGTTCCCATTAACAGTTTGTAGTTTGTACCCAGTACAGCGGCCATCCGCACCCGACTGACGGGCAGGTCAGTCACCCGTACCTGAATCACGACCCGAATGGCGCCGGCAGGAAACTTAGTCAAGCACGACGAGAAGTCATCACCATTATTAACTAGTTAAGTTAATCCGGACGGTCAGCAGAGGTGCCCAAGGAGGACAGACACCCACCAATCATGACCCCGGGGATTTTCCCGCCGACCTTGCAGCCAAAACCCACATGGGGCTGCTGAGGCTGTGGGGAAAGCCGCCAGCTGCAGGGCCGATCCCCGTTGCCGGTGTTGCGCTATGCCGGTTTCATGGCTTTGCGGTGGCCGTGATTGGCCGGATGTGAGCGTTATCGGGATGATGTGATTGGCACCCGGCTTGAGTAATCGCGGCTTGGTGAGAGGTCCCCGGGCTTGATAGGTCGGCGGCGCGTTTAAGGACGGCATTACGATGTAGGATCCTGGGTACTAGTGAGTCGGGGAGAGACTAGGGAAATGCACCGCGTGAAAGCCCTATTTTCTCTCCCATCATCTCTATAGTTGTTTGTTCGACCTTCAGCATGAAATCCAGCTCCCGACCAGATTCGCCCCGGGCGGCAGTTCTTACAACCCCAAACTTTCGGACGGGAGCATTTCAGTACGTAATACCAAGGCCGCCTCGGCAGCCAACCGATCGGGGATCCAATCAGGCGGACGAGGCTTATCGGGGCGAGGACTTCCAAGGGCGCAGGAACTTGAGGCGAAAGCAGACGGGCGGCCATCCAGGATGCCCAGGCGCATATCTGTTACGTGTGGGAAACCCGGCCGATGGAGAGGGTCGGAAGGCCCTCGCTGATCGATCGCTACATCCGGAGATTCTCTTATTGATCCTGATGACTGATGACTGGTCTGGTCCTGTCCGGTCCCCGACCACAGGCTCGTTGCTGGTCCTCGAGGCCCGGATAGTAATCCATTATAATCACTCGATGGGCACGGGGGAGAGAGCGACTGGTCTTGTTTTTATTTCGAATCTCGTCATCTCCAGTGGCAGATCCGATCGCCTCGGATATCATCATCATTCTCCTCGGGCCACTCCAGACGAGAAGTACAGACGACTCGCCCACTCCGTAATCTTCAGATCAGGCTATTCCATTACCTGATTCCTCTTGCCCACCGGCTTTATCTATCACAAAAGAGTATATCTCCATCTCCCCGAGTTGGCGGCTCCGGTTCCGCTGTGGTGACTGGGCTACTGAGTGGCTGTACTCCCCGAACCTCACCACTCACCACTCACCTTCTTTCCTGCTGCTCCTGCTGGCTATCTCTCCACTCTCTACTCTATCTATCGACTACTACTATCAATCCGACCACGCTCGACCTTCCTTCCTTCCTTCCTTCCTTCGTCCCTGTCTGCCTACCGGTTCCAGCTGATAAGCTTCTCCGCTGCGGTTCGTACGTGGCAGGCAACCCTGTCGACAGTGCTCCGTTAGCCATTGGTCGGTGCGTTGGATAGACGGGATCACCATCAAAGTGACCGACCCAACCTGCCAGTGCGCGTCCCGGCACAGCTGCAGTTAACCCCAGATAACTCTCTCTCTCCCTGCCTGGTCCTCCGTCCGTCCTCCGTCTCCTCCATTGCGGAGCACACACGGCGGAGTCTCCGGCTGCCCCGGTTCGTTTACGTGACTGAATCCCGTGGATTCTCGTCCCTATCGCCCATTTCCTATTATTGTTTCTGTTACGCTTCGTGAGATTGGTGAGATTGGTGCCCAGATCCGCGGCCTATCTGCGCATCTCCGCCTGTCTCTCCGGTTCTCTCCTGCACGGCCGCTCCCTTGAGTCCCTTATCTTTCGACCTGTCCAGTCGATCGCTCTGAATGGCTGCCGTTATCACCCTCCAGTCGTCCTCGACGACGGGGCCAACGGCCCCCTCTGCAGCTGCCTTCCAGCCGTCGCCTGCCTCTGACCACCAGCTCCTTCGACCCCGGATCCAACAGCAGCAGCAGCAGCAATCACAATCCCAACCATCATCACACGCTCCCCAACCAGGTTCGACCTCCACGCCACATTCGCCCGCCTCGTCCATTGGCACCCTTTCCCGTGTGACTGCGCCAGGCCGGGATGGGCCCAGTTGCGACGCCTGCGTGCGCAGAAAGAGCCGGTGTGCGATAAACGAGATGGTGAACAAGTGTTATTCGTGTGACTTCCACCGCCAGGACTGCACGTTCACGTTGTCCGTGACGAGTCGCCCCGGCACGGCGGAGGTCCAGGCTAAAAAACGTAAATTCGACGACACCGACTCCGATGAAGTGGAATCTCCTAAAAGGTATGCCGATCTCGGACGTGCCCTGATTTCAATTGGAACGCTAACTTGGGTCCCCGCTGCCAGGCAATCTACCCTCCCCCCAGTGTCCAAACCAGACAGCTCCCGCCCTATATTGCACAACCACCATATCCTCACGCCAGCCTTTTGGTTCCAGTCGACCCAACACATCGGCCTCACCACGGAACTCGAGCCCGCCCTCCTCGAGTACCTCCCATTGGACCAGAACTACGAAGGGTGCGTGGCCTCGTCTCGCGTGCGCAAATTCAGTGACGACGGCACCTTCATGCGGGTGGTCAACAACCGCTCCCACGCGGACTCCCCGCAAACCGCCACCCTGGATGCCATTGAAAGCCTGGTCGCTCCGTATGGCTCCACCTTGGTGGAGAAGTTCTTCGAGAATGTCCATCCCACCTTCCCCGTCCTGATGGAGGACAGTTTCCGCCAGTCGTACCGGGCCCGAACCGGGCTGACCCCGTTGCTCTTGTCCGCCGTCTACGTCCTGGCGTTGAAGTTTGTTGACGTGGGCCCGGTCTCGCAATCAATCCGTCGACCCGATGCCGGCCGGCTGGAGAGCACGGCCCTCAAGCTGCTGACCGAGTCGTTGCCCTATGCGTCCATGTCGACCGTCCAGGCCGGTCTGCTGCTCATGCAGCGGTCCAACCTGGCGACGGCTGCATTGAACGCGCAGTTGGTCACCGCCGGGTTTGAGCTTGGCCTGCACCAGGACTGCTCCAATTGGCGGATGGAAGCGTGGGAGAAGGGCCTCCGGAAACGCTTAGCATGGGCACTATATATGCAGGACAAATGGTCCGCTCTAGTGCACGGCCGTCCGTCGCACATCGTGTCGTCCAATTGGATGGTCCAAGACCTGGTGGAACAGGATTTCACCGATGCTTTCTCGGGGCCATCCCAACAAGATGATGCGCCCGTCGGCCACGGTCCGCTCTCCTTCTGCCATATGGTGGCCTTGACGACGATCTTGTCCGACATCCTGGATCGATTCTACACCCTTCGGGCGATCGAGGAATTCAAAGCGGCGGGCACCAATCGCACCCGCCTGATCCTGGAGCGCGCTAAGCCGGCCCAGATCCGCCTGAAGGAGTGGTTCGGTCGGCTACCCGCGCAGCTAAAGATGGACTCGGGCGGCGACCTCTTCGAGACCGTCAGCGAGGACAACTCGCGCAATGGCGCCTTGCACCTGGCCTATTTTGCCACGGAAATCACCCTTCATCGTTGCATTGTCCGGTCGCTGTCCACGGACACGGCCGACGCCTACCTCTCCCACATCTGCCGCTCTGCCGCCAAAACCCGTCTGATTTCCGCCATGGACTTTGTCAACCGACTGCGTTCGACGCATCTGCGGTCGTTCTGGCCAGGCTCCGCACGAACAAACTTTGCCCTCATCGGATCCTTTGGGGTGCTGCTTCGCGTCACCGCTCCGACCAAAGAAGAGTCGGAGTTCTACCGTCTCCGGCTGTGCGAATACCGCTGGACGCTGAGTGTGAGCAAAAAGGACGCCGAGTTCCTCGAATTCGCCCTCGAGAGCCTCGACAGTGCGGCCAACCTCGATCACTATGTCCCGGAAAAGCCCGGCATCGACGAGCTGATGACGAGCGCCGCTAAACCCACCATTAACGCTTCCCGGATGGGCACCCAGCTCGAGGAGTCTATCCTTGAGATGGAACAAACCGGAGACAGCGGACTGGGGGGCACCTCCTCCGTGATCTCCGGATTAGCATCTCCTGCCACCTCGATCAGCGACGAAAGTCTACAGGACACCTCGATTCCACCGCTATAGCCACCTCATCCTCTCCCCTGTTTACCCACAGGACTCCGATGTACACTGAACCCCATACCACCTCTTCCTACCTCCAACACCTACCTTTGATGCCCTTGATGACCACCCCCTGCATCTCTGTTTACCGATCTTGGCGCATTCTGTGATTCTCCTTCCGTGGCCCGGAGGTTCCGTTTCTTGATACCTTAACTTGATTGACTGCTTTGCTCGGAGTTGTGCTGATGATGATCACTGCTGCTTTACGAACTAATTCCCTGGATGGATGAATGACTGCACTTCCGGCATGCATTGGTATGTACATATGGGTTCGCTACTGTTCTTGCTTGTTTATGACGGATCCGGGATGGATGGATATAGACTGGTTGGCCATGGGATGGATAGATAGCGTGGATTTTTCTCACGACCATGGTCACTAAAATTGCATTTCATTAGTTTCCTTTACGTGGTATCTGTAAGAAGGAGACAGATGTGATACCCGTCGTCTCAGGTAGATGAACCCGTATCCGTATTAATTACTCACTTGGTCCGTTCGAGGATAGTGTAGCACCAACCCAGCTATCCACCTACATAGTACCTAAACAATACTTAGCAACAACCCCTTCCTGCATCCTGATAATCTTACCATCACTCCACAGATACTCCACCGTGGCACAAAGCACAGAGAGTATCTACTCCGTACTAGCAAAGACCCTCCCTGAATGAACTATTGGCTCCATATCGATAACCCCCGTCCGTCCCGTGCAGCAGGAATCGTGAAACGCCCGCTGACTCCGCAGTTAGTCCTTGGGAATTCTCTAGATAGACGATAGATAATATGTATGCTATGGGGCTATACTATAATTTAATAAAGTATAGGTGGGTGGGTGGGTATATTGTGAGTCTCATACGTCGGGATGGGATTACTCTATCTGGATAAGTAACATTAGATGGATATGGTTTGGGTATAGTTGGGTCAGGTCGGGTTGGGTTGGGTAGGGGATACATGGGGCTTGGGTGGGTATAGATATTGGGGTAGATGATTGGATTTATGGGGCTGGGTTTGTGGTGTCTGGGGAGGGTGGGATTGGCGTTCGAATATTGAATGCTAGTTGTGCAAGGTAATGCATTATGAGAAGGGGGTTGTTCGGTAGTTTGTGATGATTGAATTAGTGTCTATTCATCGCTTGTGTGTCTGTGGCTTGTATGCATGCCACTCCAACATATTGCTGTATTTGACGTGCTCAGGAACCAAGAAAGAACGAAAAGTCGCTCCCTCCAGTGCCAAAAGCGAAGTCCTCGAGGATCGTCGGGTCAACCAAATTAGCCAGTATCTCCGCCCGAGTGTTCGGCTGCGAATCCTGGTTGAACAGCGAGAAGAAAAAATCGCTATCCACGCCGGACGGGACCATCCCGGTGAGGTCTCTGTTGTTCACTGCTGGATCGGCAGTATCTAGACCGAAGGTCGTGCCCGAATTGGGAGCAATTGCTGAAGCTGGAGCTGATAACAAGGCACGACGACGGGCCACACACGCTCGCGCAACTTCAAGAACTTCTCGGATCATCTCGGCACATCGGCGAGTGACCACGATGTTGTTCATCGACTCGAATATGTCTAAGCTTTTCTCGACATCTAGTAGAAGTTCTTCGTCGCGGATACTTGGGAACCCGGATAGAACCAGGTGGAGCAAAATCATCGCCCCATATAGTGCATATGTCGTATTATACCACCTTGCTGGTCAGCACGTATTACTTGGAGAGATCATGGCAGTTGCTTACCAAGTTCGTATGTAAATCCTATGTAGGAAAGATTCATACTGCATCTGGATGCTGGTTCTCGCAGCATCAAGGCAGGTGTGGAGGTGCTGGAGTAGATTGGAGAACTCGGTGCTGGATGCTGATGCGGCGAGGAATGGGCGATGTATCAGGATCCGTGTGTTGTAGAATCCTACACATGTCAGATCGGGTGCTGCATGAACGGGCCTAAGCACTTACGTAGCCTTAATACCAATTTCTGCTTGAAAGCCCACTCGGTGTCGTTAAGTGAAGCCGCATCAATGTCCAAGAAATGTGGCAGGGTAGTTTTCCATGTAAGCAACTTGCTGTCCAAACTCATTGCAATCTGAGACATCTCCACCATAGACCGCTTTGGCGAATGATAAAGAAGATGGGATGCTTCGGACATGATTTGTGCCAAAGCTACCATCGCTGGGATCATACCAACGTGGTCGTCCTCCGCATCGGGATCAAGTGGATTGCCAGACGTAGCCTGTACATGTTCAGCATGATGTATCGAAGTGTTGCATGACAATATCACCTTTAGTGTTGGTATTGGGACTTGGTAATACTGGAGTTCCTTCATGCTGTCTAAACGGCCCGAGGAACAGCACATCTCGCTGCACCTGGTCAGTGACGGTAAAGTTTAGGCAAAGAATTCACAAACATTTCGTGAGAATATATACACCTATCCAGTCTTAGTTAAGTTCGCGCTGATGATCAAAGGACACTCACCACCAGGTTCGTCTACCCTCCCTCCGCGCATCAGGGGACACAGATGACATTCCCGACGCCAGCCCTATGGCAACCGCTGTCCTTACTGCCATGCCACTGTACATAAAGCAGCTATGCGGCCGTAACGCATTTTGACAGAATACACTCTATCGCACTCTATCAGTAAGGTGCTAATATCTCGGGTGCAATCAATAACCCACCAGTAGCAAAAGTGCCTGCGCACTCTCCAAGCTGCAGCTCTCGAACAAATCTCCCAGGGCTTGTTTTGCCTTTCCAAAGTAGTAATCTGCAAAATCCAGAGACGAAGGTCTGGTTACAGTACCAGGCTTCCCCAGGCTCGGGAGGTAGCTGCAGTAATGGTCAAGCAGAGCCGTCTCGTGAGGACTTGCATTGATAGCCCCTAGGGCAACCACGGCGAAATAGAGCCCTGAGAATTCAGATATGCCGCGGTAGAAGCCAGGCCGTCTCGGCAACAAAAAAGCTTCATTCTCGCAACGCCGCATAAAGCTGGTTTTGGACAGCATGGGATGGATATAGTGCTTGTTCGAGAAGTAACTGCTGATGAACATCTTCTCGATTTCGAGTTGCGCCTCATCCGAAAGCTTGTCAATGACTGGAGCCATTTCATAATGATGATCTGCGATCATAGGTTAACTCATGGACACGAATGCGGATAGTGGCAATTCACTTGCCTACATGGCTTGGCGCGTTATTCCTAGGGCCCTCGGCGTTTGCTGTTCCTCCCTGTCTATCATCTTCGGCCCTGCCGTTGACTTCCGGTGGGGAGTGGCTAGGGTACTTCGGATTATACAGCAGATTCACAATGGATAATTGTGCCTTGTTAGTCTGTGACCCATCCGACTGCCTGTCCGCAGGAGAATTCGGTGACAAATGGTTCAAGCCAGTCTTATCGGACTGTAATGAACTGAATGCCGGGTTGGAACCTTCATGTGAATGATAAGAGGTCTCGTTGTCAGGTATAGTCAACGCCTTTGTTTCTGCTTGGTTACGAGCCCGAGCGTACAGGTTTCCCAGAAACGCAAGATTCGAGGAAGTGCCATAGAACTCGGTGCCATTGGTATGAAGGTTGACTCCACTCAAGCCGTCTCTGGATGCCGAGTCGCACAGTTCTGGTGTGGCCGCTGCAAGGTGTTAGAATGAAACCACATATGTAGCGCTGGATAGGCTCACCGGCTATACTGTCGTCATCCCGCTTAGGGGTGAAAACACTCGGTGAACTCGCACTGATATTGCCAGCACCTCGCGGAAGCCGGTGAGGAAAGTGGTCTGGGGAGTCACTTTGCTGGGAGGCATGTTGATTACCCTGGCTCACATCCGGCCACGGCGATGGGCGGGTTTTCGGTCTGGTGATACGTCAGATCCCAGGCAGCAATGCAACAAGAGCAACGGGCTGAAGGAATACAATATATAACGACGCACCTTTGCGCTTCTCGTATTTGGGCCTGTCGCTTAGCTGCAGAAGAGGTCTCATTCGGTCCTGCAGCGCGATAAAAGCAATCTAGCGAATGGTCTAAGATGAAGGTTAGTTGGGATTCAGCTGCACGAGCCCGGCCAGATCGGGGTTCATACATGCGCAATAGGAACACGGCTGAGCTTGGTCACACTATCGTTGAGCGCGTCAGTAATCGTGGTTGGCGACGAGAAAGCATGCAGCATCCGCGAGAAGAGCGCGACAGAGGCACAAACCTTGGTCTTGCGCACCCGGCAGGTCTCGCAGGCACGTGAAGCCCGGGGCGGGCGTCGACGAGAAGCGCGCAGTTTGGCCGTCACCGGCTGCGAACCATGAGACTCACCGCCGCCGTCCATGCCTCCTCAAACAAAGGCGTCGTCTACAGGCGATCGTATGATCTTCGTGGTGTTCATGCCTGTCGCTGTTGTTGGTCAGTTCTCGACTTCTCGAGCTGCCTAGCCTTGCTCCACACTAACTTGGCCGGCCCGCTAGGATTGGCTTTAAAGCAGAGCCCGGCTGCGATCGCCACCAACCGATGATGCCCATCCCGAATTAATCACGTCGACCCAGGAACGAGACCGTCGCGGCTACCCGGGGTTTCGCGGGGTCTGGGGTCATCCAAGACAGTGCTCAACACGCGGGATTACACCGTCAATGGCTCTAGGCTACGGAAATACTGGAAACGCAAACTGAATTCTGCACTCCTGTCAATGCCTACTGAGTGCTCCTGATGCTGGCCGGAATTATGTTTTTCAACTCGCCCACCTTAGTGCTACCTACGGAGGTCCCGGGAGAGTGGCTAGCATGCCTGCTGTGCGTCCAAACAGCTCTGCCCAGTCTGGTCACTGCAATTTGCGATTCTGCAGTGCAAACAAGCTTGAGATACTCGAACTAGTTTCTAACTCGAGAACCAACACGTCATGGTTCGATTCGCATATTCAACCGATTGCGAGCAGAGCTGCAGTGCAGCTACGGTCTGCAGAATCCTCGAGCGATTCTCACATGCCTCCGCTCAGGAACCCTGCACGTCGCTCACCAATGAAACCAATAATTGCTCGCCCATAAACATACAAGTTCCCAGCTCGTGATGTGACCTCGACGGAATAACGGCATTGCTGGTCTTCAACAACCCAACAATTCCAGGAGATCCGGTCTTTTCAGGGATCAAGACAGCTGCGGAATAAGATTTCCAGGTTACAAGCAGACCCAATAATCGGCAACCTTGAAACATGGTTGCACCGACTTCCGTCATGGCCATGTCCGACGGATGAACAGCCACCCATATATCCGCTCCGACGGATGTTATTTACGGCACACATTCAGCTACGATCATCGGCATGAACACCCAAAGTGACGTCTCAACACAATGATTATAGTGCCCCGCGTTATGAAGTGCGGGGGAGGCATTTGTGGAAGTCGCGATATGTTTCAAATGGCCTTAACCGAGAATTGGTGGCGGACGAAGTATAAGAGACGGACCATCACGTCTCGGTGAATTGCTCAAGCCAAATTCTCCAGAGTCTACCTGGTATCTTTCATCCTCAGAGCGCACAATGTCTGAACAACAATCCAACGGCGTTCCCCCCGTCACCGGTCTCAGCGACCGCACACGCGCCAAATGGGCAGCGGCATCAACTCCAGAAGAAATCGCCGCCAACCTTCCCCCCATGCTCGATCTCACCATTGAGAACATCACCGAGAATGTCATGAAGATCAATTCCATGTGCGACAACCCCCGACTGCGCTACCTCATCCTGAAGTTGATCCAAACCGCCCACGACTACGTCCGGGAAGTCGGCCTCCAATTCGATGAATGGGAACAAGCCTGGCAATTCCTAACCAAAGTACACCACCCCCTCCCCTCCTAACCCACAACCCAACCAACCCTAACCCACTCCTCAGGTCGGCCAAATCTCCACCGACGTCCGCCACGAATTCGTCCTCCTCTCCGACATCCTCGGCATCTCCGCCCTCGTCGACGCCATCTCCTACCCCACCGTTCCCGGCGCCACCGAGTCCTCAGTCCTCGGCCCCTTCCACGACGAAGAAGCCCACTCCTTCCAATACGGTGAATCCATCTCCTCCGCCGGAACCCCCGGTGAACCCACCATCGTCCGCGGCTGGATCAAAGACACAGAAGGCAACACCGTCCCCAAGGCCCTAATTGACGTATGGGAAACCGACGGCAACGGCGTCTACGATCTCGAGTACGATGGCTCCCAGGACCCTAATTGCCGGGGAAAGATCCTCTCCGATGAAAAGGGCCATTACCTCTTCGTCTGTGTTAAACCCGTCGCGTACCCCATCTCCAACGATGGTCCCGTCGGAGAGCTGCTTCGGAAATTAAAGCGGCATTGGTTCCGTCCTGCCCATATGGTAACTTTCCCCCTCCCCCATCCCAACAATCATAATTACAATCTAACAAAAGAAAACAGCACTTCATGATCGCCCACCCCGACTACACCAAGCTCATCACAGCCCTGTACTCCCGGGACAGCAACTTCGTGGAAAGTGACACCGTCTTCGGGGTCAAGAAGAGCTTGATCGTGGATTACAATTGGTGTGAGGATCTGGAATTGGCCAAGTCACATAATGTGGAGCCTATTGTGAAGACTATTGAGGGACGCGAGTCAAAGGGCTTCTGGCTGCTGGACCAGGACTTTGTGCTGGTGAAGAAAAGTCCGCCGCCGCCGAGGAAGACAGAGGATTAGAGGGGGATTGGTTGGGTATAGATATTAGATGTAGTGTTGGTAGCGCAATGGATTTGTTTGATTATGTGTGCAATCTGTGGTGTTTTCTACATTGGTAAAATGAGAGTAGACTTGATGATTCAGTGTGCTTCGATCTTGATTCGGACGGATTGTCTTGCTCGTGAGTATGGCTTTACTTTGGTTCGATGCAGCAGAGCTGTCAAAGATCTGCGCACCCTCTTACATTTCACGCATTACGAAGCTGCTTGAGGGAAGGGGATCACCCCTCGATCCGAGTGGGTACTACCTCCGAGGCTCCGGCCTTCATTATCCACTCAAGGGAAACCGACTTCATTACTCTTACTCGGAAAATGAAGCACCATACTCCGGACTTCAGCCCATGTCCGACGGGTTTCTTGCGACTCTTCGATCCGATTGGCTTGTCCGGTGACAGCTTCCCCGGATTGATGTTCCCGGGTTGTGCACATCTCCGCTACCACGGATCTCGGGCATAGTGATCGGTCTGACTCTATCTCCCCTGGTGCAAGTTGGCTCTCTGTTTATCTGTAATCTTAGAGCATATCATGGATAGGGACATACTTATCTTATCGGAGCGTTCTGTGCTGTGCTAATTGTAGGTTATCGATATGACAGGATTCGGCCAGATATGCTGTTCCGAGGCGCTCCTCCTTAGTGCATAACCGGTCGACGCTAAGCGGCCAGACTGTCGCAGAACGACATATGGTCTTCGAATTAGACGTCAGACGGATGAATCCGGTTCCGACGGATGAAGACCCGAACCCTGCACGGGCGGATAGACACGGCTCTAGCGATGACGATAGAGCTCGAGTCCGGGGATTCCTGCTAATGAGCAGATAGCCTGATACGGAGGTTACTGGCTTATCGGGGTTGGTAGCGAATGGGGTGCAATGCAGTATATAGTGTTGCAAGTAAGGGATGACAAGAGGTGTGACCTCTGCTTGCTGGTTTCCTCGGATATATATCCTATCCATTCAATATCCGGGTATTGCCGAGTCGATCTGATCCAGCGTTGCTTTGCTTATATACCACGAAGCTTATTGTCGTTCATGTATCGCCTATTTTCGCGTTCGTCAACCCGTTACCTTAAGAAAGATATACATACACCCCGTCGGCAATCTAATAGACGATTATATTCCAGTATGGAGTGGGGTCAGGATACCCTGCGGGCCGGTTTCTGCCATGCCCTCTCGGAAATGTACAAGACCGAGGTCCCCCTCTACGGAGATCTCGTGGACCTGGTATGGAAGGCAGATGCTGAGGCAATCAACGCAAGCAGGAAGTTGGGGGGTGCGGGTATGATTGATCCGGACGAGGTCCTGCCTTCCAGAAACCGGGTTGAGAGACATGGTGCTATCCGTCTCGGGACTGCACAGGAGCTAGCCACGATCCGGCGCATGTTCGCCGTCATGGGCATGTACCCTGTGGGCTACTATGACCTGAGTGTTGCTGGGTTTCCAATGCACGCCACCGCATTTCGACCGAAGACCAGGGAAGCTCTGGCCAGGCATCCATTCCGGGTGTTCACAACCGTCCTGCGGATGGACCTGCTGACGGAGAGAACACGAGACTTGGCGCAGAGGGCCTTGAAGCAGAGAAATATCTTCACCAACCGGTTGGTGGCCCTGATCAACCATGCCGAGGTGCAAGGTCACCTTACCTCCGACGAGTGCAAAGAATTTATCACCGAGGGCTTGGAGACCTTCCGATGGCATTCCAAGGCAACGGTGACGATGGAGGAATACAAGATCCTCAAGGCGGAACACCCATTAATTGCCGACATTGTCTCCTTTCCAAGTTGCCACATCAATCATCTGACTCCCCGAACGATTGATATTGACCTAGTCCAGAAGATGATGCAGGACCATGGCATGCCGGCAAAAGAACGCATCGAGGGCCCGCCACGCCGGGCGTTTCCCATTTTGTTACGTCAAACGAGCTTCAAAGCTCTGGAGGAAACGGTGTACTTCCGGGACTCGAACAACACGTACGTCAAGGGATCCCATACAGCCAGGTTCGGCGAAGTCGAGCAGCGTGGGTATGCTTTGACGCGTAAAGGCCGAAAGCTCTACGACGACATTCTTGCTCGAGTCAGCAAAGAAGCAGTCGAGACAGGGGCTACCTCTGACAAGTATGAGGAGATATTGAAAAGGCACTTTGAGGAGTTTCCCGACGACAAATTTCAGTTGCAGGAGCAGAACCTGGCATACTTCTGCTATCAGACAACGCAAAAGGGTAAAGATGGTCTGGGATCGAAGACGGTCAGCTTGAGTCAGCTTCTAGCGGACAGGGTTCTGGAGTATGAGCCCATCACATACGAGGACTTCCTCCCCTTGTCTGCAGGAGGGATCTTCAACTCGAACCTAGGCAACACATCGCAGTCCAAACGGTTGATTATGGAGGCAGATGGCGACCTGGATGGATTCCAGCAGATGATGGGAACTCCTATGATTGATGAGATCAGCCTGTATGAACAGATGCAGAAGGACAGCCTTGAAAGTTGCCGGGCAAAGTTGGGGTTAACGGCGATTGTGGAGTGAAGATCAGGGCCAATTTACTGTACTGCAAGATCACATACAAGCAAGTAATGTTTCCTTCTGTAAGAAAGATGGCCCCAGACGGCAACTGCCATTGTTGCCCCCTCCTTCCTTTTCTGACCAATTCCGCTTTTATTCTTCTCTTCACCTCTTCCCTTCTTCTCCTTTTCCCTTTTCTCTTCACCCATCACATATGACTACCGTTCTTTCATCCTTACACATCCTTTACTCTTCCGAAAAAGGTGCCGACTCTAGCCCTTCCTTTGCTCTTCTCGTGTCATTGGGCATATGATGCCCACTGGGTGCCGTTGTGAGCCCTAGTTCCAGCTTTATCTACTCAAATTATCAAGCAGCCATAATGCGATCGCTTTGGTCCTGGCTGAGCTTAGCAGCCGTGGCCATTGCTCACGATGGTCCCGATCTCAATCTCTTCGACTATGGCCAGCGAGGGCCACTCTTGGGTACTTGGTTCGGCATACCCGGACAGAATGCAACATTCGACTATATCATCGTAGGCGGGGGCACCGCCGGGTTGACTGTTGCCAGTCGACTGGTCAAGAGCGGATATCTCAGCGTGGCTGTCGTTGAGGCAGGTGGCTTCTATGAAATTGACAATGGGGACCTTTCCGTGATCCCCGAATATGCAAACTTTTTCACTGGGTCAGATCCCAGGGATTATCAGCCGCTAATTGACTGGGGGTTCGTGACCCAACCGCAGCAAAGTCTGGGCGGTCGTATCCTTCATTATCCGCGTGGAAAAACACTCGGGGGCAATTCAGCGAGGAACTACATGTACTACCACCGCCCAACGATAGGCAGCTTGCATCAGTGGGCGAAAGAGGTGGATGATGAGAGCTATGAGTTTGACAACATGCTCCCGTATTATAAGAAGTCGGTCCATTTCACCCCCCCGGACGGGGAGCTGTACACCAACTCGACAAACATACAAAACCCAGAAGCCTTTAGCTTATCCGGTGGCCCTCTGGAGGTGTCCTCGGGAAACTTCGTCGATGGTTTTGGAACCTGGTTCCGCAAAGCACTCATTGCTCTTGGGTTGAAGCAGACTGAATTCAACAGCGGCAAACTCTCGGGCTCTGGATACGCAACTCTGACTATCAATCCCAGCAATGCTCATCGTTCGTCGTCGGAAACTGGTTTTCTGCAATTGACTCTTAACAGCGGCCTAGGTCCGGTAGTATACCACCAGACCCTTGCACAGAAGATCATATTTGATATGCATAGAGTCGCGACTGGCGTTCAGGTTGAAACGGCTGGAACTTTCGGCACTCCACCTGTCAACTTCACCCTCAGTGCCCGGAAAGAGGTTATATTGTCTGCAGGAGCCTTCCAGTCCCCTCAGCTGTTGATGGTATCGGGAATCGGTCCACACAATCAACTTTCCCAGTTCAACATCACCTGCATTAGTCACCTGCCAGGCGTTGGTCAAAACCTACAAGATAATCCTTTGGCTGGAACGGTACACCGAGTGGCCGTCCCAACTGTAGCCACATTAGCGGATGATGAGGCGCTGATGGAGTACAATGTCAAGCAATATATTGAGAACGCCACAGGACCACTGTCCATCCCTGGGCCAGGGTACTTTGGATGGGAGAAACTACCCAAACCATACCGCTGGCGTCTGTCAAATGAATCCATCGCAGCACTCTCTACGTTGCCAGATGACTGGCCGGAGACCTTCTATGTCGCCAGCGGATTTTCACAGGCTATCAATGCGGACGATAAACAGATATATGCCACCATCTTTTTCTCAAACACTGCATCTTTTTCCCGCGGCAACATCTCACTAGCAGGTCCAAATATGACAACTCCGCCCATAATTGACCCCCAGTGGCTCTCGAACACTACAGACATGGAGATCATGGTTGAAGCGGTCAAGCGAAGTCGCCAAATTTGGGCGCAACTGGCCGACCTAGGTGTCGCCGACCCAGTGGAATATTTCCCAGGGAACAATGTAACGACGGATGAGCAGATTCGTGACTTCGTTCGGGGAAACCTACCAGCCCCTTCACATGCGTCATGCACATGTAAAATGGGACGGAAAGACGACCCAATGGCAGTCTTGGATAGCTCTGCACGGGTGTATGGAGTCCAGGGTCTGCGGGTTGTTGATGCGAGCAGTTTCCCTTTCCTACCTCCAGGGCTTCCGCAGTCGACAGTCTATGCTCTTGCCGAAAAGATTGCAGATGATATCCTGCATGGACGGTGATTGAGTTGATCAAAGCAATGGATAGAGCGACAGTATTGTATATATACCATTCTTACCCGAAACACGGCATTACTACCACCCTTTAATGTTGGCGTCTCTTGTGATGACTATTGTAGAAGCGCAGTAGTTATCATGCCATAAATCTTATGCGCTGCCGATCCCCCTTGGTTAGCATACCGACATCGACAGACAGTGATCCGACGGACATCCTCCTGAACTTCAGAAGTCAGCAAACCAACCCAGAGCCTTTTCAAAAAGTATGTCCGACAAGCAAAAGCAAAAGGCTGCAAGGAACAAGCGAACATTCGAAACCCAATTATAGAATAAAATACAATTGCACTCCTCAACGTGCAAAAAAAACAGAAATCGTCCTATCTGTACATGGTCCACCGCTCTCCGCGGTTCCAAACAATGGATATAACACAGCATAAAACCCATCATAAGCTGTCCCACGCCTCTAACTCTAACATTGGCCCGAAGGGTGTGGCTCAGCCCATGTGTCGATCATTTTTACCGAATCTCCCGCTTTCCATAACAGTCTACTTCACGAACACTTCCCGCTCATTCATGCCTTGAGTTCAACGTTGGCAGCCGAATCCGCACTCTCAACAACAACAGCACCCTCCTCGAGCAACTCCTCCGCAGTCTTCACCTTGACATCCATGACCCGTAGAATCGTGTAGCGGTGCTTGCTAGTAACCTTCTGCACATGGCGTCGTCTCCGCTTCGTCTTCTCGGTGATGCGCAGGGGCTCGGACTCGAAGCCCATAACACGGACACGGCACTCGAACAGCCGCTCATCGAGGTACTGTGCTCCTCCCTTGAGGGTGAAATCGCGAGAACCGAGCACCGATGCCCGGTTAAAGCGGAGGATATCGCCGGATTTGACCTTGGGCATCAGGAAGGGCAGACGGAGCTGATCGCCCGCGGTGAGCAGGTAGGGTCTGTCGTGGAGGTGGGCCGTGATGAAGTGCGGCTTTTGCGAGGTGAGGTTGGGCAGAAGTTCGAGGAGGGATTGGGACACTTTCAATGGGGCGTCGAAGGTCGGGGCCACGGGCTGTTTGTTGAGGGGCACATCGGCGCGGGTCTGAGGGATGGAATTGGAGGAGGTCAGGAAGCGAGGCTGTTGGATGGGGATGGAGGTTTGGGCGCGGGGAGTTGCGCTTAAGGGCGCTTCTGGTTGCGATGTTGTTGTGGTAGTAGTAGAGGTAGCTTGGTGAAGGCAGGCCCGGAAGGTGGTGCTGGCGGAGCGGGCGGAGGAGTGCTCGATGGGAAGGGCCAATGCCCGTGCGAGCGTGGTCCGAGAGAACATGGTGCTCAGAGGGTCGAGAGAGAGGAAATTGAGGCGGTTGTGTTGATCTGGGCCTGGCTCCGAGCAATCTGGAGGATGAAATTCCGGACGGCGGCCCTGTCGATAAAGTGCTCCACGTGACTTATCGCGGTGCCAAGCCCAGGTCCCGTTGCCGCCGCATCGAACTTTTTTGCTTCTCCTCTTCGGGCTTGCCGTTGGCTTGGTTATCTATTGTTTTGGAACTCGCCTTTCGCGGTTGATTCATCATGGTACGTTGGAATGTTTGCTACATTTGGGCTGAACCGCTTGCTAACTGATCGTTTCGTGTACAGCCTCAGAACGAGTTCGTCTCACCCCTCCCCGCCCCGAGCTGTATCTATCTCCGGGGATATTGCCAAACGGAGAAAAAAAAAGCAACAAGCACACTGACCAGGAAATAGGTATATCGAACGCTGGCAGAAGCAGCACGGTAAGCGGCTCGATCACGATGAGCGGGTTCGCAAGCGCCAGGCCCGTGAGGGTCACAAGCAGTCGAAGGATGCGCAGAACCTGCGTGGTCTGAGGGCCAAGCTGTACCAGCAGCAGCGTCATAAGGAGAAGATCCAGATGCGCAAGCGCATCAAGGCCCAGGAGGAGAAGAACGTCAAGTCCTCGGCTCCCGACGAGCCTTCCAAGACCCCTCTGCCCCAGTACCTGCTCGATCGGTCCCAGGCCACCAACGCCAAGGCCCTTTCCAGCGCCATCAAGGATAAGCGGAATGAGAAGGCGGCCAAGTTTGCGGTGCCCCTGCCTAAGGTTAAGGGTATCAGTGAGGAGGAGATGTTCAAGGTGGTCAACACCGGAAAGAAGACGCACAAGAAGTCCTGGAAGCGCATGATCACCAAGCCTACTTTCGTCGGCAGTGACTTCACCAGACGGCCGGTTAAGTACGAACGGTTCATTCGTCCTATGGGTCTGCGTTACAAGAAGGCCAATGTTACGCAGTACGTTTCCCTCCTTTCCCTCCCTTTCCATTTCTGCTTCGTTCTATGTTGGATGTGGAGCTTTCAACTGACGTAATCCATTTCCAGCCCCGAACTGGGTGTCACCGTCCAGCTGCCCATCCTCTCGGTCAAGAAGAACCCCCAGAACCCTCTGTATACCCAACTGGGTGTCTTGACCAAGGGTACCATTGTCGAAGTGAACGTGTCCGAATTGGGTCTCGTCACCACCAGCGGTAAGGTCGTCTGGGGTAAATGGGCACAGATCACCAACAACCCCGACTTGGATGGCACGGTCAAGTGAGTCCTCCCCTCTTGCCCTCTCCATATCCAATCATACTAACAAAATACCACCTCAGCGCCGTCCTCCTCGTCTAATCTACCTCGATCACTTCTCGTCCATGATTATGAACCCCACCATTCTCCATACCATATCACATCATACCATACCATATCCTCATCTCCAAAATATGCCCGGTTGCGTTGGTTTGTGTTCGTCTTTACATAGACTATATCAGTGGGTGTGGCGTTAACGGCGCGCAATGAAGTATCCCGTCCTGTTTCCCGTTTTCCAAAAGGATTGATTTCTCTCTGTCTGTTTCCTTGTGACTTGACTCTCGCTTCTGCGCGAGTGAGCGAGCGTACATTTACCAATGAAAAGAGCTTGTTTGGTTCGAGTGGTATTTCGTTTCTTTTGCTGTGTCGGGTGTTGTGTAGTTTACTAGTCACTCATGGTGTGTCTCTGTGAGCAACGCGCACAGATGATACACTCGTAGGCGACAGTTATAATCAAAGTGGTAGTGAATTAGTATATTCCAAGGTATACACAATCAAAACTCCAAATACCCATGCTGCTGAAACCCACAGCGTCCAATGCAGTGAACATGCAACCAATTAATCAATCAATCAATCATCCAGGCTGAAGCGCGACTCAAGACAAAACATCAGGTTTCCAGTTCTCCCCAAACCAAAACGTGACGAAGAGGATGTATAGATCCAAAATGGGACAAGAAGTGAACAGAGTATGTCGGACAAAGGAAAGGGATATAGTGTGGACGGGAACGCCGGGTTCATCGGTTCATTCGACGAGGTATCAGGAGACAAGGAGACACAGGACATAGGAAAGAAGCAGTCGAAAGGGTGGTGGTTAGCTGCCTTCTTCCAATGCAGCTTTGATCTTGGCGAAGAATCCGGCCGGCCAGGCGGCGAGTTCTTCGTCCTTGGGGATGCCGCGTACCCGGCAGTGGTTGACCACGTTTACCAGGATCCGGTTCAGCATGTCTTGTGTGACCGGGACGGCGCCTTCGAGTTGCGCGTCCGGGTAGAGGAATGGGTCTTGCTGGCTGAGGAGCTCTTTCACGGTCGGTCGTAGCGTCTGATCACGCTGCAGACAGCCTTTCAATGTTCTGACCAGTCCAGGAGGCACGGGGACGCCTCCCACACCGAATGCGGGGAAGTCGATCTTCACATGAGGATTAGGAATAGCCAGGATGCGTTCATAATATTTTGCGATTTTGGCAAACGGAGGCTGGCCGTACACCATCTTGTAAAGAATGCATCCCAGACTCCACACATCACTCGGCTTGCCCAGTTTCATCATCTTTCCGACACTTGCAGGTAGGCCGAGGGAGGCGTTCGAGTCGATCAAGGCCTCCGGCGACATGTAGTTCGGCGTCCCCACTTGCTGCTCACGATGCACGTTCACAGTGTTGTCCTGGATGGCGTTCGCGATTCCGAAATCGATCAGCTTCAATCGGCCCTGAACCAGGAGAAAGTTCGCAGGTTTCAGATCAGAATGCACAATGTTGTGTTCATGTACAGCTTGGACACACTCCAACATCTCCTTCCAGTAGTATCGGGTAAAGTTGATGTCAAATCTAGCATCTTCAGCGTTAAGTCGGTAGGTAAGGATCTTCTCCAGATCAGATTCGCCAATCTCCATAAGGACACTCAGCGTGTGCTTGTCTTGATTGAGCTCCCAATCGAACAAGCGCACAACGCGATCGAGATTCTCCAACTTCTTAAGCAGATCGATTTCACCCTTGTATCCAGCCAAGGTGATCGGATCGACGTCCTCCAGGTTCACCCTCTTCAAGGCAAAGATCTTATAGTTCTCGGCCATGACCCGATACACCCTTGAACTTCCGCCGCGACCGATACAGTCCAGCCGGGTGAAAGGCTTATGGTTGACCGACACTTGGTTGCGTTTTTTCCGGGAGTGTGATGCTGTGGCAGCTCCTCCTGTGGCTGTGGCTGTCTCAAGAACGGACATCTTGGGGGGAGGGGGAGCCGGTCTGTGAGGCGTGTTATTATTTCTTGTTGCTAAAATCTTTCTGGGCGAGTTCCCGTTCCCTGCGGGTGTCTCTCCATGCTCTTTCTTCTCCTCGCCGTATACTACAGCCAGCTTCTCGGGTTTGTCCAGCAAATTGAATCCCTGAGGCTTGGCACGCTTGAAGGTCGGCGGCGGTTCGTTCTCTTGGTCTCGAGTTGAGGGCAACGTTGGTGGAAGAGGCACTTTGAACATAGGCTGCTCCCTAGAACTTGAGGGTTTGGACGACGTTTCTGAGGAAGACCCGGGTGTCGATTTCGAGTGTGACCCATAAGACTTGGGCGATGAGGATCTAGAAAAGGGTCCGTCGGCGCGATCAAAGGATCGGTGCTCGTCGGTCTTGACTGGTGGGCTTGGATCCGCCCATGACACCTTAGGGGACGAGGATCTCGCAGTAGTCTTATAGTGGTAGTCAGCGCTGTCGACATTCGTATCCAATTCTCGATCTTCATTATTCTCTTCACTCTGTCGACGTAATACGCCACGCCTTGCGGGGCCGTTCAAGAATGTTCCAGTGAGCCTTCCGACTCGCTTCACTCGCAGTGAGCTCTGCATGCCGATGTCCTCTGGATTCCGGGTGCGGAGTACCGATGAAGGACCGGTCCGAGGCGCATAATCATCCTCATACCGATACTTTCTTTCATCTTCCGAACGTTCCGCGCTTCCATGCTCGTCGACATAGCTCCTCTCAGCCGATCGTCTCTGGGAGGGTGATTCGGACGCAAGTGAGCGTGTGTGGCTCCGGGAACCATTGATGCGCACACTGCGGGGCCTCGGGGCAGGCGTGATAAAATCATTCGAGTCGGTTCTTGCTTCGTGGTCTGCGCTCTCGCTGTTGGACAGGAGTGATCCCTCCCGTCTAGATCTGCCGCCGCTGCTATTCAGGGATGGCGCAAGGCGAACCACACGAGGCGCGGGGCTTCCGGTCGATTGGTCTTGGGGCGAGGTGGTACGAGCTCGTCGTTCCTGGCTTGAGCGAGCCGATCCCATGCGCTCGCCGCGCAGACGCGGGGAGAGGTCGAGTCCATCCTCATCCAGGAGGGCCTTGACGGAGGCACTGAATTTAGGTTCGGGGACTTCGTCGTCGGAACTGTCACCCCCAGAGTAGTGTCTTGTGACCGAGGCATTGGTTCGAAAGGCGGTCGAGTTCTGGATCTCTGGGGAGGTCCGCCTGGACCCGGAGCGGGAGATGGCGGCGCGGGACATCTCACGGTACGAGGGCTGGCGATGCAAGCCAGTCGGCGCTGTCGAGCGTGAGGGGGGCGAGGGCTTCATTCGAGAGCTCGGTAAGACCACATTGACGTGTCAGCCCGGAGTTCCAGCCCAGTTGGCCCCAATGGTACCTGCTGCAAAGGGTTAGTAGTCGACGTCGGCGTGTTGTGGTTACTCCGTAGTAATTCGAAACATCCAACTTCGAATTGCGGGTGGCTGGGCGGAGGTCACGTGGCCGCCCCGTTGCCCCGGGCAATCGCTCCATCACAAACAACACCACGCTCGACGAGGTCTAGATAGTATCTAGTTCAGAGGGCCCCTCCTTGCTTGCACTCGCAAGATCAATTTCCCTTCATTAATTGACAGACTTCGGATCGAGCCATGTCTTCATTGCATTCTCACTGACGCATGCAACCGTGCTTTCGCCTCGATGCGAGGTTGACACCCGGAGATTTAGCGCAAATCAGCGACCACCGTTAATGGGTGTACCTCTGTGCACTGCCAGGTCTCACAGTATGGCGGAGTAGTATTCAGGGGCACCGTTCAGAGTCTTGGTCAATCGCATATTCCAGAGACCGCGTAGATGAATATTAGTCCTGCAATAAATAATAAGATCATTGCCAAGCCATATATATTATGTACTCCTACTATGGAGTAGTTAGTACGAGCGATGAGTTATATATTCCTCATGTGACACCATCCTCAATCACAATCTACTGGCAGTGATTATAGGAAATTACCATCGAAGAGTTTCACTAGGCTCCTGTATATGCTATATATACCATAAAATTAACATATCAGGGAACCAAAGCACCCCAAGCCATTGAAGATTTACAAGTTACTGTAGTTGAAGGGCTTCTATCATGGATACCGATCATTCCAAGATAAGGGAATGAAGTATGGAGGACTCCGTAAGGACCATCGGGAATATGGCAATATACATAGTCTACTGTGTGGCTTATTGATTCAATATATAATGTTGGACACCAGTTTCGTTGTCGCCTAGGGACTTTAGAGTCTGACCTCTCTTCTTCAACGAGTGCAGCATAATGTGAAGCATCACAGAAAGACTATTGACCATACGCGAGAAAATCAAATCATTACATTGTGAAATTACTGCATACCTACGTATATTGATTTCCCCTACGGAGTACAAACGAGTGAGGAAAGTGGCTACTTATGACTCGGAACCTGCAGCTCCTGTCCCGTATCTGCATGTCTTTTTTTTTCCCCTGATGGCTTGCAGGACCGATGGACTATCGATGCAGTCATACGGCATACCACGGTTGAGTTGACATGGGCTAAGATCTCGAACCGTCTTTTCTGCAAGCCTTGTCAATATAGGGAGTGATTGAGTTTTGCTAGATTCGCGCACATCCATGACTATAGAGAATATTTTGAACATCGGGTCCGTGCCGTGAGCAGAGGCTGCGGATAATCCAAAAGAGCGTGGAGAGCCTGAACATATCAGTCCAAAGTGTACCTGCTCTGGCCGATGCTAATCTGATTCGTGCCGACTGCTGACCCACCACTCATAGATCGGACAAAGTTGACACTCGATTTCTGGGCATCTCCACAGAGCAGACCAGCGTCTACCCATATCACGTTTCCTCTTTGGAAAGAACTGTTCACCGGAACCTGCTCCTGAACCATAGATAGGGGTGCGGATGGTTTCTTGAGGGATTTTTTTGCGTATGTGAGGAAAGAAACTGAAAGCGCGGTCGCGTATGCTAATTGCTACCTGTAAGTCATGACTCGTAAGATCCGGGCCGTCATCCCAGTCTCTGATACGAGAGACGGGGGTTTAGGAGTACCAAGTCGCAATGAACTGGCGGAGAAAAGGAGTGCGGTGACATGGAACACCCTGGTCAAAAATAGAACGTGGATTAAGCTCCCTGCAGTGAAGCTCTCAACACACGGGACTAGTACGACCATGAAACATGGAGAATCACCGGTGCGACTGTCAAGAGGGCTTTTGGCGTGAAGCTTGACGTGACCTGGCAGACGAACCTGACATCACTGGATGGCCTGCGGTTTCCGAAAAAGGCATGCGAGGCCGAGTCTCCAGTCATTGTCATTGTCGTCGTCGTCGTATTCGTCTTCCTCGTCGTTGTACTTGCTTCGTAGGGAGAGGACGGGAGAAGACTGGGCCTCCCGGAATTCTGCCATGGAAGTGTCTGATCCCGCTGCAGTCTGCATGCAGTAGTCAGGACTTAGTAGTCCTACTTACGTAGTGACTGACTGCCCGGATGGATTTCGCCTCCTTCTTCCCCTCAGATGACTTGGCAGCTGGTACCCGGCCATTGCTCCAGTGGCAGCCGATTCCGATTACTATTCGCCCATTTTTTAGGTGCAGGGATAGATCAATCAATATTGATTGAATCAGGAAATCTCCCGTGGTTAGTTGCCCCAAAACCCGGGCAACTTTAACTGGGATGCCTCACTGCCCACTGGGTCGGGCTTTTAGAGTTTCCACGGAACGAACACCGATCGAACCCATATCTGCAAGTGATGATGAAACCACGAAGCCAGTGATTTCGCCGATGCCATCGTTCCAGAGTCGAACAAACCGGTGCCCACTACGGAGTATCTACCCACTGCCCACTTCCCAGAGTCCAGTGTCCAGTGTCCACTGCCTTGAACCCGCTGGCTGGGGGGAAAACATCGACCAAGCAACCTCACTACTTCACTAGCCTTCGGCTAAAGCGGGCAGCCGGGCAGCTCAGGCCATTGCGGATTGGGGGGGACGAGGGGGGTGGAGCCTCAGGAACCAAAGGCACGTCGCCTTCGGGTCAGGAACGCCTGTTCGGGCAACGATTGTCCCCGGGGGGGCCTCCTTGCCATTGTCGACTAGCCAGGCCTTAATATTGGTATCGCGGAGCAGTCTAGACTGCTGCACCAAAAAGCGACAGCCTGGGAGTATAGTTTGGCCTGGTGAGATGTTCTTTTGGGTTCTCTGCTTCTCTGGGCCAGGACGCTTTACCGCAAGGACGCTTGTTAGAGGCGCTAAAGTAGTACCTCCTGCACCCGCAGCTTTTTGTCCCTGACTAAAAGCGAAGCTACCGCACTAATTTAGCGTGCTAGGACGGCCTCCACCAGGTTATGTGTGGTGGTGCACAGAGGATGTGCTTACTGCTTAGTACCTGTCCTCTTCAGTCCAAGAGTCGCCCCCCCGGAACTCCTCTAGGCTAGTGAACCCCAGCTGGCTTGTTTGATGTGAGCTTTGCTGCCTCCCTGGGGGAAATTAAATTCTTCTATATTTGGAGTGGGGGGAGGGTGACCCTGTTCAACTCTCTCCCGGAGTCCCAAGGTTTGCCGATATTACCTACCAGTCCTTCAGGCCATGACCATGGTCATGATGCACAGATCTTATCTGGGCACCTTTCAATTATTGATTAGACTATACTTTAGATACGAGGCAATGATGATGGTCTGGGGTTCTCTATCATTCTTGGGATCGCATTGGCGTCCCGCGTTCCGTTTCTTTTTCCTTTTGTTTTATTTTATATTTTTTGTTTTCCCTTCTAACGTCCGGAACTGGATTTATGCACCGTCCCGGAAATTAGTTGATCAGTCAACAACGCACATCTGTCACAAAATCTTAACGCCTTTTTTTGGTTGCTTTTCCCTTTTTTCCTTTTTCCTCCCTCTTCCCCTCTTCTGGGCTCCTAACCACACCTGGATAGCTTCGGTTATACTCCGTATTTGACTTTTTCTAGCGGTTTGATCATATTTTGAAAGGGCCCCTAAGCAACTCTAAAGTTTCATCTTGACTTCTTCCGCGGGCGTGGTGGACCTGGCTAACAATTCAGGGACAAAACACCGGCCGTGTTGATCGCCCATGGGTCGGCCTCGACGGCACCCCGGCACTGGATAAGGATTATCCTGTTGTTTACCATAATGAGGGCTGCATGGCCTGGGTGTCATTGGCCCGCTGTCCGATCATCACAGCCAACATCACTGGGACTCGAGGTACCGTGTGGTTGGCATTCCGTCGTCGCTGACCACCCCACGGGTGACCCGACGATGCTGAAGATGATGATGCTGCTGCTGCTGCTGCCGATGACAAGGTCGCTGCGGATGCCCGCCCGGCGTCTCACCCCCAATTTCCTCAATTATTAACCAGCACCCTGAAAGGCTGGCATTAGCGTCCTTGGAGTCGGGGTGGCTTGATGATACTAGTCTACTCCCTGACAACGGAGGCTCTCACCACGGCTGCTGTCGGAACTTGGGCTGTGGCTCACCGGCCTAGGCTTTCCCCCTGCTTACAGCGCCCTCTGCTTGCCCAAATGACAAACTCGAATAAGATGCACGGAAAAGGCCAGTGGCGACCCGCATCGCTCGGGACTAATACCTTCGCAGTGCAGGGAACCCCGTTCCCTGAAATAGTATGCTGATTCTGCTTAGTCTGTTTCGGATGCACCCACCTACAACGGTAGTCCGCTCTGGTTTGCCTCCTAGTTTCCACTGGCACCCGGCGAACCCACTTGGCTAGCTTGGCCTCGAAGATCCGGGTCCCTCGATCACAGATGGGCCAACATGCCCTCAGCTGGGAGCGCTGCTCCATTCGTGGGTTCCAGACTTGGGGGAGGGCTCCATCGCCCGATCCCGCAGGCACGGCAGGGAATCTGGCTCAGGGGTATATATACCTCGCCGATGATCACCTCTCCCATTGAATATCAAGTCCTTCGTCAGTCACTTTGTTTTTGTCCTTTGGGTTCTGTCCTTCCTTACCGACCCTCATTCTTTACCAGTCTGTCGTTAATTAATTGGGCTGCTTCGAGCCAGCCCGTCTTTCCCTTTTTGTCTTCTTGGATTTCTTGACAGGTTCATCATCATCCCAGACACTCGCTGACGTCTTACCAACTCTTCAATATACATTCTTTGCCCTCTCGGCACGATGCGTTCTGATAAACTCCTCGTGCTCGCCGGTCTGGCGAGCTACGCTCTCGCTCTCCCCACGAAGGACTTGGATGCCCGTACCTTCGGCCTCGTCGCCGAGATCCTGACCGACATTGGTGAGGACCTGACCGGTTTCATCGAGGCTCTCCTCGGCGGCGGTGTCAAGAGCTCCGCCAGCCTCCTCACAGGTATCAGCGCTCAGGCAGCTGCTGTCCTGGAAGGTGGTGCGTTGGGTTGCACCGCCGGCACCATCGAGGCCTCCGCACGTGCGGAGTTGGCTGCCTGGATCCGGGCTCATGCCGAATTCGATGCGTCGCTCAAGACCGCCCTGATCGCCTGGTGTGAGGGTGAGGCATCTGCCACTCTGTCCGTCGATGTCCGTGCTGGACTCTCTCTCTTCATCCCCACCTGCGCCGAGGTTGCTGCCAAGGGCGACCTCTACGTGACTGTCGACGGTATCTTCTCCGTCACCGACCTTGAGGCCGCCGTCGTCCTCAGCTCTTCTCTTCAGACTTCTCTTTCCGCTTTCGTTTCCGGATCCGTCGGTGTCGAGTTGGACGTCGATGTCCGGGCCGGTCTTTCCCTCTGTGCTGGTGGTGGTGTCGTCGCCGATCTGGCTGCCGACGTCGAGGCTGCCCTGAAGGCCTGGCTCTCTGGTTCCGAGTGCTCCCTGAGTGCTTCCCTGAAGGTTGCCGTTGAGGCCTGGTTGGAGGGCAAGACCGCCACCGGTGTTGTGACCATCGGCACCGTGCCCACTGCTGGTCTCACTACCGTCTCCGTCGGTGCCGCTATCAACGCCCTTGTCGAGTCGTCCGGTGTCCTCACCGCCAGCGCCCAAGCCTATCTCTCCGCCTTCCTCAAGTCCTCCCTCGCCGCCGACATTGAGTCCGATGTCGAAGTCGTTCTGGAGGCCTGTATCGCCGGCAAGCTTGCCAGCTCCGTCAGTGCCGACGCCCGTGTTGCTCTGGCCACTTGGCTCTCTGGATCCAGCTGCAGCCTCGGTGTTGAATTGAAGGCTGTTCTCTACTTCTGGCTGTCCTTCGCTCTGAGCGGCGACGTCACCATCGACCTGTCCACCGACATCATCACCGAGCTCGAGACTTTCATCACCGGTACTATCGACACTCTCATCGGCGTCAACATCAGCGGTATCCTCTCTCTTCTGCTGTCTGGCGAGAGCTTGGCCTCCATTTCTCTCGACTCTCGCGCCGAGCTGTCCGCTGTTATCGGTGGTGCCGCCGGTGTCGACATCAGCTCCTCCATCGAGGTGATCATTATCGAATGGCTTACCGGCTGCAGCCTGTCTGGCGGTCCTACCGTCTCTATCGGCACTGGCTCCGGCTCTAGCTCCGGCTCTTCGTCCAAGGGTATCTCCGGCGCCTCCAGCGTTCCCGTCGCCGCCTCGACTCCTGCCGCTACCGTTCCTACCGGCGGCTCCCACCCCAGCAAGCCTGCTCAGTCCGGCGCTCCCGGTCCTTCCGGCGCTTCGGCTGAACAGACCGGTGCTCCTGGCTCTCCCTCCGGCGGTGTTGTTCCCTCCTCTCCCGCTCAGTCCGGTGCCCCCGGTCCCTCCGGCGCTTCGGCTGACAAGACTGGCGCTCCTGGATCTCCTAGCGGTGTTATTCCCTCCGGTTCTCCTTCCTCTCCTAGCGGCAGCGCTGTCGTCGGTGGCGGTGCTGGTGGCTCTGTCGGTGGTTCCGGCTCCATTGGTGGCTCTGCTGGCGGTTCCCTTGGTGGTTCCGCTGGTGGTTCCGGCTCTGTCAGTGGCTCCGCCGGTGCTTCTGCCAGCGGCTCGGTTGGCGGCTCTGCTGGTGCTGGCGCTGGTATTGGTGCTGGTGCTGGTGGCTCTGGTTCCGTCGGTGGCTCCGCTGGTGCTTCTGCCAGTGGGTCTATCGGTGCTTCTGCTAGCGGCTCTGCTGGTGCCGGTGCTGGTATTGGTGCCGGTGCTGGTGGCTCTGGTTCCGTCTCCGCTGGTGGTTCTGGTTCCGTCTCTGTTGGTGGCTCCGGCTCCGTCTCCGGTGGTGCTGGTGCTGGTGCTGGTGCTGGTGCTGGTGGCTCTGGCTCCGTCTCCGGCGGTGCTGGTGCTGGTGCTTCCGCTGGTGTCTCTGCTGGTGGCTCCGCCAGCGTTGGTGTTATTGTTGGCGGAGGTGCTGCTGCCTCCGGTGGTGTTATCCCGACTGGCGCTCCCTCCGGCTCCGTTCCCTCCGGCTCCCCTCAGGGTCCCGCTGGTGCCTCCACCACTCCTTGCGATACCATCACTGGCCAGGATGTCGTTCCCGTGGCTACTTTGACTGAGGGCGGTTCCGCTCCTTCTGCTCCCGCTCAGTCCGGTGCTCCTGGCGCTCCCTCCGGCGGTGTCGTTCCCACTGGTGTTCCCTCTGCCCCTGCTCAGTCTGGTGCCCCTGGATCCCCTAGCGGTGTTGTTCCCTCCGGCGGTGTCGTTCCCTCCTCTCCTGCCCAGACCGGCGCTCCCGCTCCCAGCGGTGTTGTTGTCCCCTCCGGCTCCGCTCCCTCCGGCTCTCCCCAGGGACCTGCTGGTGCCTCCACCACTCCTTGCGAAACCATCACTGGCCAGGATGTCGTTCCCGTTGCGACTATGACTGAGGGCGGCTCCGCTCCTTCTGCTCCCGCTCAGTCCGGTGCTCCTGGCGCTCCCTCCGGTGGCGTCGTTCCCTCCGCCCCTGCTCAGTCTGGTGCCCCCGCTCCCAGCGGTGGTGTTGTCCCCTCCGGCTCTGTTCCCGCCTCGTCTCCCAGCGTTCCCGAGGGCGCTGGCGCTGGCCCCTCCACCACTCCCTGCGACACCCTGACCGGTGAGACCGTTGTCCCTGTTGCCACCCAGACCGAGGGTGGTTCCGCTCCTTCTGCTCCTGCTCAGTCTGGCTCCGGCAGCGGTGTTGTCCCCTCTGGCGCTGCTAGCGTCCCTGCTGTTGCTACCACCGTCCCCGAGGGCGCTGGCGCTGGCCCCTCCACCACTCCCTGCGACACCCTGACCGGTGAGACCGTTGTCCCCGTTGCCACTCAGACCGAGGGTGGTTCCGCTCCTTCCGCTCCGGCTCAGTCTGGCGCCCCTGGTGCTCCCAGCGGTTCCAGCCCCTCTGAGACTCCCGCCGCCCCTGCTCAGTCTGGTTCCGGCAACGGTGTCGTTCCCTCGGGCGCTGCTAGCGTCCCTGCTGCTGCTACCTCCACCCCCGAAGGTGCCGGAGCCGTTGCTACTACTACCCCCTGTGACACTCTCACTGGCCAGACCGTTGTGCCCGTTGCTACCCAGACCGAAGGTGGTTCCGCTCCTTCTGCCCCTGCTCAGACTGGTGCTGGTAGCGCTCCCAGCGGTGGCGCTCCTGCTCCCTCTTCCAGCGGTGCCGTTCCCACTGCCAGCGTCCCCGAGGGCGCTAGCGCTGGAGCCAGCACCACTCCCTGCGACACCCTCACCTCGGAGACTGTCGTCCCCGTCGCCACCAAGACCGAGACTCCTGTCCCTGCTGCCTCCTCTGCTTCCGAGGGTGGTTCATCTCCTCAGATCACCACCGCTCCTGTTGCCGGCTCTGGCTCCGAGTCTGGCTCTGGCTCTGATGTGATCACTGTCACCGTGACCGCCACCGTGAGCGTCTCTGCTTGCGACTGGTAAGCGGCCACCCGCAGCCCGAAAGTTACGACGATAGCAACGGCATCAATGGTGAATTGTCCTCCTGTATATATCTAATTTTCTAATTCTAATATGTGTGAAGATTGTCTTGAATATCTGCGCGAGCTTTGTACCCAGACGGGGGGATGTCTATAGTGGCCCTTGGCCAAGCAGGCGAAGACCTTTACATACTGGCTTGATTGTTTGGTATTATCTCACCTTTCCTTCAATGGAGTCCATTCGCTGTGCCGTTCCCATGATGTGTTATTTGAATATTTGTACAGTACTTATGATCGGGGTTGTGCGACAGCCAACCTATCTCAATGTTTTACTACTCTTCTTTGAATTTCGGTTGACATGCCATGCCAACTCCACATCCATCTTAAGACCTCCGTAGATCATCCTCGTATCCCACATCAGCAGCCCCCCAGCCCCAACCCCCAAAGCAGTAACGGGGCAGACAATCCGCAGCCGTTCGTAAGATCGTTCCGCCCGCGCCGATCCCGCCCATCATGATTTGACCCATCCACGGCACCCGTCCTCTCCTTAAGTCCAAGAAAGAATGTCTGCCTTCCTCCTTCCCTCCTTCTCTCCGGTTTGCAAACCTAACCAACTCACCCACAATCCAAGTTGTACCCCATCCCACTCAGCTGATGAGGTCTAAAGTCGATCCTAATTACCGGCCTCAGCCACGCAGGCGCGGGCGAGGACCGGGGGGAATGTACGTCACGGCCACGGCATGTGGTGGGTAGGATGACGACGATGGGGGTGTAATTACTTGGGAGTATCTTTACTTCTTTTGTTTTGACACCACATTCTAGATATGTACTATGTAGTAAGGATGTTTACTGAACTCAGGGTATGGTAATGGGTTGGGTGGAGTGTTGTTCTTATGGGTGGGTATGGGTATGGGGACGATAGTGCTGCATCTAGGGTGGGGAGATGAGGTGTCATATTGTTAGTATGGATAATATAGACTATGGAGAATAAGGATTTGTATAGACTATTGTGAGATGGTATATGATCTTCGGTATAGGACTTTTCCCTCCTTTGGAGGGATCGCTGGAAGGGATTGGACTTGCCTATTTTGTATATTGTACTGTAGGGGGCTATGGGATAGGGATAGGGATTTGAAGGGGATGTGGTTTGTCATATACTCCGTATGGTAGGTCATATTATGTCTAATCCATATGATATGATATGATATGAACTGTGTTAAATCTGAATTTACTATAGGACAGGGAGGATAGGTTCGAATGATCAGGGTTATCGATATCATTTTAGTGAGTGTAGTCCGTATAAGCAGTGTAGTCTGATCTTGTGTAACTCATCAATAGCTGTAGTTTCGAGCTATGAGATAAATTGATGCCCGAGATCTTTGGTACTGAAGTACATTGAGAGTGTGATATGGAATTTGGAGATGTAGTTTGCCTCACTACTGCCTGACTGAGCACATTACTATGTATTTTGAGAAACAGAGAATTCCTATCTACAGAGTAGGTCCTTCTTCTATGCTTTGTCTGGATTCCTATTCCTTACATAGCTGTTGCATTTTACTTGCTACTCATACTGATTGTACTATCGTGCTCAGACAATCCCTCCCTATCAACCAAACGATCAATCATAACGCATTGTACTTCATCAACTCACCCCAGTCTCATCAGTTGGCGTACTTTAGTAGCTACAGTCTGTTGAAACCAAATGTACACAGCCAGTAGACAAAACCCCATGTTCAGATTTCGAATCTACCTGCCTGCCCCAGTGCCAATATCTATTCTAACTATAGCTATCCATCTACCCTCTCCTCTACAACCCGAGATAGGGGTACCAGCCACCCACTAACCAACCACCACAGGCCACAGTGACAAACCCAACCACCCAGAGGCAAATAAACAAACCTTCCAAAATCACCGAGAAACAATAGTCCACGCCCCAAACAAATAGCGTCTCGTCTGCTGTTTATTTTCCTCATGGCCTTTAGCCTTGTGGGGCAACTCCCCCGAAAACGGTCGGTTGAACTTTAGGCCACTCGCGCTAGTCGGAACTGGATTTTGGGACACGAAAAACGATCTACTCTAGAGTCCTGATAGTCTGGGGTGGGAACCATGGGATTGCGTGGTGTCTTGAACTTTAGTTTATGATAATATCACCAGGTACTAAGATGAATGGGGAAAGGGGGAAGCGAAGGAACTATTGACGGAGATGTTGCTGGATAAGGATAATTCTTCATTTTTAGTAGCTTTTTTTGTTATTTAATTTTTTGGGTTTTGTTGGATGTACTTTTTGTTGATGACCACGTGCCATCAGTGATCGCTAATTTTTGTAAGGGTGAAAATTCCTCCAATCGTGTCCTTTCGGGGCGGAGATCTGTATGATTGGAGGTGATTACTTTGATAATCGAGTGCTACCTACCTGGTCGCTCGAGGCGGTGCGGCGCATCGCGACTATCTTCTCGCGGAGAAGTCTCTCGCGGAGTTCAGAGCTGGAAATGCGGGCTCGGGTGGGTTGGGATGGGACAGTCTACGACTATGTAGTTAGTTTAGGCCTTACAATGGAAGGAGCGAAGAGTTGTGGACATGAACGGACTTAGGAAACCATAGACACAGCGTGAAGAGTACCCTCGAAATTTTATTCACCCACCTCAGTGGCATCCTTCATCCCTTGGTCGCTTGAGCTCGGCTTGGTAGGTGGCGGGGATGATCGTCTGGCTTCCTCATCTTCATCAGCCATTCTCTTGCGTTTGTCACTGCGAACGGATACGGAGGACGTGTTGCGTCGTCTCCGGGCAACCGGGGCATATCTCTCAATGGACCGGCGTCGCTTTCGATCGCCGCGGCTGCGACTGCGGCTGCGACTGGGACTGCGGGAATCCTGACTCGGGGAGCGACCTCGACTGCGGCTGCGGCTGCGACTGACACTCCGGGACGAGGGCCGGCGTCGTCGGCGGGTGTGGTCGCGATCTCTGCTGCGACTCAAGCGGCGGTCGTCACGGGACTTGCGGGCCTTTGCAATATCAGCGGTGGATTCTTTCTTATCATCTCGTGAAGTATGAGGCGAGGATCCTCGGCGTCTGGCGCTACCATCCGACCCTTGCGACCTCGAACGCGACCTCGATCCAGAGGAGCCTCTTCTTCTACGTCGATCTCTGTAGACCGGTGAACGCGAGGCACTGCGGGAAGAAACGGATCTCCGTCTCCGTCGGTCTCTTCTGGGACTACGTGAGCGGGATGATTCACTGCGGGTTCTGGATCTTGCACGATCACCGTAATCAGGACTGCGTCTTCTGGGCCGTCTGCGATCTCCGCGGTCCGGAGACACAGAGCCGCTCACCGATCGACGTCGTCTGGGTCGGTCGTTGGGAATAGGGCGCTGTCGACGAGCCGGAGGTGGTGACCGAGAGGAGGACACGGAGCGCGAGCGAGAGCGGCTGGGGGATCGGGAGGGTAGACGGCCGCGACGAGAGCCCGCGGGCACGTAGGAGTCGAATTCGCGTCGGGCAGGCGGGCCTCGATACCGGTCTCGACTGCGTTGTCGCGGAGGCGAGCGACGTCTATCAAAATCTCGACCACCGCGGCCGCCGCCTCGTCTTCCTCCCCTTGTGCGTTCAGAGCGTTCTCGACGTCGGAGGTCCTCCAGCTCTCGCTCGCGTGCGCGCTCTTGTTCTTTCTGTTTACGGGCCTCCTCCGCGGCCTTTTCCGCCTCGATCTAACGAGGGCGTCAGCGCACGACCGCAGCAACAGCGTGGATAGACACCAAGCATCCCACCTTCTCTTGTATAAGCTCCAGCTTCTTAGCCTCCAGTAACTCCTTGGGCACGCCCTGGGGATTTTCCTGAGCACTCAGACACAGCGACCACAACTCCTTGCAAAACTTGGCCGTATCTTTATCCAGGAACCCGGTGAGTTGAATCTGAAGGGACTTGATATCGGGCTGGACAGAGCAAACGCAAAAATGTTAGCAGGGATGGCTTCTCATCAACTTTCGATTAGAACATAGCAAGCCGGCAAGCAAGTAGCACATACAAACCGCGACCCTTCCAAAAGGTTAAAGCACAGCTCAATCACCACATCGTCTTCATTTCCTAGAATCTCGGAGATCTTTCCAGCAATCCACCTGCAACAATCATCAAAAGTCAGCTCAAGTCGAACCCGCACGATAACACCATCCAGATAAGGAACCCAGGGTTTTGCAACGCACTTCTTCATCACCTCGATATTAACTTTGTTCATGTCCACCTTCCGGCTGAATTCCGGAGGGAATTTGGTCTGCTTCAGCAGTTTTGCATCCACGCTGGTCGCCATGTTTGCGAGCCGTAGTTCGAGGATCGAACAGGGATTGGGAGGTCGAAATGGTGCAGCGACCGACGCGTGACGATGCGGTGGTGAGCCTCCCACCGACACTGCGCAAGGGGGGTCTGTCACCGCCCGTACTCCGGACCTGAGTCGGTCCGAGGATAGCTTCAATCTTGCCTTTTTGGGAAGTTGAGATGCATTACTGAGTCTGTTGCTTATGCTATAGTGTGTACTGGTAGAGGCACTTGGTACTGATCCCATGATCATAGACTCCTCTTCATATTAAGATACATCCCATCAATAACAACGCCAGCCTAAACACCGAAATAAAACCAAAGACCTCAATAACCTCACAGTCGAACACCCCGTCCCTCGCTAACTGAGCTCCCTTAACACTCGAGCCACCTCTTCCCTGGCACGAGCGAGCTCCTCGTCCACCGTTCCAAGCGCATGGCGGGCCTTAATCTCGTAGTGCAAGTCGACGAGTTCTTTGGCGCGACGGAGGTCGTCGTTCTCATAACCGTCCTGTTTCGACACGGCGTCTGCTTGAGCTGTAGCAATGGAACCTAGCTGCTCTGTATCATGGGGTATTCTCTCATTGACAGTGACGAGCGCGAGGGCGTCGTGGTGATCCTGCGATGTGATTAGTTCTGTATTGCTAGACGCGGTGATGACGTTAAAGTAGATGTGGAGTAGATGTTCAACGCCATATAGTAGATAAAGGTTATTATGCTATTTGCTAATTTCTAGGCTGGTGCTGGGTTCAATATCAAGAATACATACACAGACGCGAAGGGATGTCAAGTCGGAGAGGATCTCAGCTACTTGCATGATGGCGGTAATGTGGACTGGAACAGGTTCGGATTACTGGAGGATTGGGATTCTGCTCAAGGGATCAAGTAAACGTTATCGTACAGCATGCGATATAGATACTGCCTCAGATGGGATTTCAATGGCTATGCACAGATGCAGTGAACAATGCGGCTGACTGCAGGCGTCCATCTCAACAGCAGTCAATGAATACCGGCACCGGATGACGTAAGAACAGTGAGGATAACTAACTATCTCAACCATCGCGATCTCTAAGCCTTAAACACAACCAAGTGACAATTACTCCGTACAGCCAGGTCTCCTAAACATGAAACCTATAGCAGTCATATCTCCCCGCATCTCTTATCATCGACGGCTCGACGCTCCGAATCTCGGAGAATCCGAGGTCTCCGCACGCACCGCGCGGAGGACCGTTCCGTCTGTCGCATCGGCTGAGCTCCGACTGGTGAGCCGCGAGCATATATTATTACCCGCCGGGCTCACCACTCGCCGCGATTCCATTCCCAACCCCTCGATCCACTCTCCCCTCCAGCAGACACCATGGCCGCTTCGATCAGAGCCAATTGCAGAAAGGTCATCTGTATTGGCAGAAACTATGCGTATGTTTCCCCGCAGTTGAGGTTGAGTAATGACAATGGGCTTTGATCGGTTAACATGGGCGATCGTTCGCAGCGATCACATCACGGAGCTCAACAACACTAAGCCCAAGCAGCCGTTCTTCTTCTTGAAGCCTGCTTCCGCTATTCTCTGCCCGGGCGAGGGCCCTGTCCTGCGGCCTCAGGGTACCAACCTGCACTATGAGGTTGAATTGGCTCTGGTGATGGGCAAGACCGTTCGGGACCTGGACCCGAAGGACGAGAAGGGCGCTTTGGATGCGATCCACAGTCAGTCATACTTGATACTCCCCTCGAGCCATACAGTATTGATCAGCGACTAATAATGTGTGTGCTTCGCTGCGTATAGGCTACCTCCTCGGTATTGACATGACCGCTCGCAACGTCCAAGAAGAAGCGAAGAAGAAGGGCCTTCCCTGGTCCATCGCCAAGGGCTTCGACACCTTCCTGCCTGTCTCTCAGGAGATCGCCAAGTCTCGTCTCCCCGACCCTCACAATGCCTTCCTCCGTCTGAGCGTGGGCTCGCAGGTGCGCCAAGCCGACTCGACTGGCCTCATGCTTTACCGGATCCCCAGACTCCTGGCCGAGATCTCCCGTGTGATGACCCTGGAGAAGGGTGACCTTGTCCTGACCGGTACTCCCAAGGGTGTGGGTGAAGTCAAGTCTGGCGATGTGATGAAGGCGTCCATCGAAGTCGATGGCAAGGAGCTCGAGGAGGGCCGGATTGAGGTCCAGGTCGAGGACCGTGTGGGTAGATACCGGTACAGCGAGACCTAAACGGTCGACTGAAATAGCATATGTATATCAAATAGACATCATATACTTGAATAACATTCGGATCAAGACTCGTCACGCAAGTTGGCCCTCAATGTCGAAACATCTCCATCGCAATGAGATTGTCCTCTTCATCTGGCAGCACAATGGGTATGAAACGCCTCATCTTTCGCTTCTTGTGCTTGACTTGATCCCCATTGTTCGGAGACTGCTTGCCCCCTCGATCGACCATTTTGTCTTCTGTGATAGTGACAGGTGATTCTCCTGCCCGAATCACAACCTGCAAGATAGCCCTCATCGCATCCCACGTCCACCCAACCCTATTCATCTCCTTTTCAACCAAGATCCGCACACTTAAATCGTCAAGCCCTCTCACAAACGCCCCAAGTATCTCCTCTTCGGCCATCTGTAGCGCCAAACCCGGTTTCATCCCCTCCACATCAGCCAAGTACTCAGCAATCGACCTCCCACCCTGCCTCATAACACCACCTAGATCTACACCCGACTCCTCAAGACCCCCATTCCCCCCAAAACCGTCAACCACCCCCTCTCCCTGACTCTCACTCCCCCACGTAGTATCCGACAACGTCCTCAACGCATCCCGACCACCAACAGGACCAGACCCAGACTCCATGGGCATCGAATCCGGAACCAGAACATCAGACCCCAGACAAGTCCGTTCAGTCCTCATCCTCAACACCCCAGGTATCCGACCCAACTCAATCCGCACCTCATCCAGAACCCTCGTACGAATACTCTCCTCCATCGTATACCGTTCACGAGCATGTCTCGAACACCCCTGCTCACTAGCATCAAGCCTCATTCTCAATCCACGATTCTCAGTCTCAAGACATTCGATCCGCTCACGCATAGTTCCTAGTTTAGTTTCGAATTGGATTTCAAGGTCATGTAGGGTATCCTGGAGAGTGGTTTTCTGGTCGAGGGTTTGCTGGGTTAGCTCGTTGACTCGCTGTTGTAGATCAGCTATGGTCTCGATGGCGGTAGCGAGGTCAGCTCGTGTGTTGTCGAGCTGGTTGATGAGGTGGATGTTTTCGCGCCGGATTTCGTGGGCCCAGAGGAGGGAGGGGGCGTTGGGGTCCCATGGTCGGAGGGGTTTGGACATGATAGTCCGATGGTGTTGAGGTGGGTTTGATGGGCTGATGGGATGTACATGGGTGGAGTTGGGAGTGTTGGAAGAGGGGTCTATAGGACTAAAGATTCCGTAAACCTCGGATGGTTGAACATTTGATAAGTTTAGTCTACACGACAGGTCTAAGATAGCCAACGCAACCATGGAATGGCATGTACCTCTCTGGTCTATCGTATTCAACACAGGTATACAACCAGTCCGAACCATAATCATATCTTCGTCCACCCAAAGTGCCTTGAGGAAAAGAAAGCCTGATTTGAGCTTATCACATTTTTTGCCCGACCTCTTGATCAAGTATGAACGCAGCATCCTTAACCAACCAGAGCGAGCTAGGTACAGTGCAAAGGAAAAAAGTCTGAAAAAGCGTTTCCGGAAGAGAACCATGAATTACAGCAATAAAATCGCACAAGCGTGTGTCGCATCTCCATAAGCAACAAAAGACAAAGGAAACCATGAACAGTAGAAAGACAGAAACGCGCAGGGTATACGGTTCCTGCCTGCCACTGCTAAAAGAGAAAATGCTGGAGACACAGAAAGCCACTTTTTGAAGGATTCTCCTTTACCAAGAGAAGCGCAACGATGTCAAAACGTTTTTCCCACCGCAGCTCACCCTTGGAGCGTTATTGGCAACTGCATTCGTAATCCGCATCGAGGGACGTAAGAGGATGGTATTAAGGTGTTTAGATGAGGTCTAGACGAGTTAGCATCAACCAAGCAATCATCGATGGAAAGGATCTTACCAGCAACGTTCATGGGCATCTCCTCGATCTGGGTGCTGTAGAACTGCTCGATCTCACGCATCATGCGGACATCGTCAGCGGTGACGAAGTTGATGGCAACACCCTTACGACCGAAACGTCCACCACGACCGATACGGTGGATGTAGTTCTCGCGGTTGGCGGGGAGATCGTAGTTGATGACCAGGGAAACCTGCTGGACATCGATACCACGGGCCAGAAGGTCAGTGGCGATGAGGACACGGGAAGATCCGGAACGGAACTCCTTCATGATGACATCACGCTGGCCCTGCTCCATGTCACCGTGCATGGCGGAGACAGTGAAGTCACGGGCGGTGAGCTTGTCAGTGAGCCAGTCGACCTTGCGGCGGGTGTTGCAGAAGATGACGGCCTGGGTGATGGTGACGGTCTCGTACAAGTCGGAGAGGGTGTCGAGCTTCCACTCCTCCTTCTCAACAGCAATGTAGAACTGCTTGATACCCTCAAGGGTAAGCTCCTGCTTCTTGACCAGGATACGGATGGGGTCACGCATGAACTTGGTGGTGACCTCGAGGACATCCTGGGGCATGGTAGCGGACAGCAGGGTGACCTGGGTGGACTGGGGAAGGAGCTGGAAGATGTCGTAGATTTGCTCGGTGAAACCACGCTAATCGCGATGATCAGTACAGGGTCCTTCTGCTTCGCAAGGTCGAGCGGGGTGAGGAACTTACAGAAAGCATCTCATCGGCCTCGTCGAGGATGAACAGCTTCATCTGGTCGGTCTTCAGGACACGGCGCTCGATCATGTCGTGGATACGACCGGGGGTACCGACAACGACCTGGGGGCCGTTGCGGAGAGCGGTCATGTCGTCGCGGACGTTGGTACCACCAATGCAGGCGTGGCACTCAATGTTCATGAAGTCACCGATGGCGACAACGACCTTCTGGATCTGCTGAGCCAACTCACGGGTGGGAGCGACGATCAGGGCCTGGCAGGCCTTGAGGTTGTGGTCGATCTTCTGAAGAGCGGAGATAGAGAAAGTGGCAGTCTTTCCGGTACCAGACTGGGCCTGGGCAATGACATCGTGGCCTGCGGTGCCCTAGTTAGCATCATGAATTGCCCCAGCGAGGAAGGAAACCTACCCTTGATGATGGGCATGATGGCACGCTGCTGGATAGCGGAGGGACGCTCAAAACCGTAAGCGTAGACACCTGATATGGCGTTAGAATATGTTGAGCCAGACCCTATCGGGCCGAGATAAAATTTGTATCACATACCGCGAAGCAGCTCGGGCTTCAGGTCCATGGAGTCGAAGGAGTCGGTGACCTCATCGTAGTTGGACTCGATCTGTCCTATTGATTTCGAAGATCTTGGTCAGCTCAGTTCTTTAACCGATACCCTTTTGACTGTGATGTGGCGGCTATTCCCATCGTCGTGCTCTGCCACTTTTGGGGCAGGCAATCCATCGCCAGGAAGTACACCGATAAAGACCACAAATTCGTAGTAAAAGAGAAAGAGTAGCACATACCCTCGGGGATCTCCTCCAAACCCTTGTCGTTAGAAGCCATATTTGCGGTGTTGTGTAAGATGGATCACAGGCGAGATGCTGTGATCAAACAAGACGGTGGGGTTTTAAAAGTAAAACTGAAAAGGCTTGTTAGCGACAGGCGAGGATGGTGGGGTTGGCCGCAATGCGCAGAGAGACACTGGCCAGGGAACGACGAACCTGGAAGCACAACCCTCGGGGATGAGAGATATCACAAAAGACTACTAGAGTCGTAGGGGTGGGAAGAGAAAAGAAGTTCAAGTTGGATGACCGAAGATGGTGTGGGAAAATGGGGGAGCAGAAGCGGCGGCGGGACGACCACTGCGAACTTTTTTTTTCTTTTCTTACCTTTTTTTCCCCTGCGCTGCCACTTTTCCATTCTGACGCGGTGAAATTTTTGACCTCTAGCGCCAGTTTAGCCTAGCCGATACGCACCGCCTTCTCCATCGGGCAACCTACCCACGTCCTTGGCCCGTGGGATTTTTGCCATCCCCCTCTTATTTGCTGGCTGGCCGCTGGAGGCAGGGCCCTTGTACGACCGTAGATACCAACCAGGTGTGCGTCGAGTGCTCACGGTGTACTATTCTTACGGTGGGCTTCCATTGAACCGTTGGTATCGTTGGGTTGGGCATACCCCCCGGTATCCTCCCTGCCTGACAGCCCTGGCAGTGTGTGGGCGACTTGTTACTAGTGCGTACCACCGCCGCCGGTCTGTGACCGGTCTAGTCGTTCCCCACCAAATCAGGAAAGTCTTGAGGATTCAGGTTCGTCACTTGTTTTCCTCCCAAGCATGAAAATGCCGGACATCAATTCCTTGGACAGTGCCCGGTCCCTCGACGGCGAGGCGAATTCTGGCACCTACACTTCACATCCCAACCAGAGTGTTGAGGATCTATCTGCCCATGAGGCCATTCCCGGCCATCCTCTGGGCGTCAAGCCTAGTGGCAATGCCTTGCTCGCCGCAGAGAACCTGCGCCATGCAATTGGAACCTTTAATCTGCTGCCAGATGAGTTGATATTGATGTTGCTGGAATATCTCGATGGTCCTGGTCTCTTAAGTATAGGACGGACTTGCAAGGCGTTTTATGCTTTCACCAGAGCCGAGGATCTCTGGAAAGCTCTTTTTATCGGGTAAGACATAGATCTATTGTGTTAATTGATGTTATTCCTTCTTTGGTCAACCGTGAGTTGCTGGTATTCTTGATTGGAGTGTGTCTGGCAATGTTCTGCCCCTCGTACATGATGCGACTTATAGATAGCCTGAAGCATTGCACTAACGCTTTAGTCAGGTCTCCTCCCGCCAGGTTTTCTTGGAAGGGTACATGGCGTTCCACTTATCTTAACATCCCTCCATCCGAGGTGTGCATGCTGGATTGCTCTAATCTGTTCTCGGATGTCTTGCACCGTCCGTTTCACTGTGCGCATATATCTTTAGAACCCTATGTCAAGAATATTCCGGCCCGGAACCAAATCGCTCGTCTTCCGGATCTCTCGTTTGAGGAATTCAACGAGAAATGGAGTGACACGCCGTTCATCTTGACTGAACCAGTGAAACAATGGCCCGCTTACAAGAACTGGTCCGTAAATATGCTGCTTGACCACTACGGCGAGTCTGTTTTCCGCGCAGAGGCAGTGGACTGGCCTTTCCATGCTTACGTTGATTATATGGGAAATAACTCTGACGAGAGCCCTCTTTACCTGTTCGACCGGGCTTTCGTGGCAAAAATGGGTCTCAAGGTTGGTCAGCCAGACCAGGAGCCAGAGGCTACTTACTGGCCTCCCCCATGCTTTGGGGAGGATTTCTTCTCCGTGCTGGGAAACGACCGTCCTGACAGGCAATGGCTGATCATTGGACCAGAGCGGTCTGGGAGTACTTTTCACAAGGATCCGAACGCTACCAGCGCGTGGAATGCGGTCGTCCGAGGGTCGAAGTACTGGATCATGTTCCCGTCGTCTTCGAAGCTCCCGCCGCCTCCCGGTGTCTATGTGTCGGACGACCAGAGTGAAGTGACTTCCCCACTCAGCATTGCGGAATGGCTTTTCAGCTTCCATGCCGAAGCACGGCGTACTCCGGGCTGCATTGAAGGAATCTGCGGTGAGGGCGAGATCCTCCACGTGCCCTCGGGCTGGTGGCACTTGGTCGTCAACATCGAACCAGCTATCGCCATTACACAGAACTTCATACCTCGTGCTCACTTGAGCGCTGCACTGGACTTCTTGTCCAACAAGGCGGACCAGGTCTCGGGATTCAGAAAGGATGTGCACAATCCTTACGAGCGGTTCGTGGCACAGATGCAGGAATCCCACCCCGAGTTATTGCAGCAAGCACAAGAAGAGCTGAAAAAGAAGTACGAGGGAAAGAAGAGAAAGTGGGACGAGATTGTGCACGGAACGCCCGAGCAAGACGCTGCCGGGGCTACCGAAGGAGGTGGGTTCAGCTTCGGGTTCGGAGATGATGGGAGTGATGTAGAAGTTCCCTAAGTACGGTATTCGCTACTTGAAGGTGGACGCACTACCCCATGTTCATTCGACCCAATGTGCAACTTGCTATCAACGACAACCGGTCACAGGCTACCCAACGAAGCTACTGATAAGCACATGCCGAGTCAGAGCAAGAACTGTTCCGCAAGGCTTCAGACAAGCCTTTGTCTTGCGGTCCACTAATGACAAGCAACCGATTTGCTGGCCGATGTGTTGTCTCCAAACGCCAGATATCCTACGAAGGCGCCAACAGCAACTGCAAGCATAACAAAACCATTATACGTCATAAAAAGCAGCCTGCACAGTTCAGCACTTTTGTTCAACGTGACGAGGGGGAGGGATGGAGCTAGAAGACTTACATGATGAAAAAGCTATAGAAGACCTGCACAGCGTACAATGCCGCCATGGTGATTTTTCCTTTTTGCTCGACGGCCCTTCGGCTATCCCTGCCTACAACTAGGGGTGAGCCGGCGTTCGGGACAGGCAGTGTCTCGCTAGAGGGGGCATTGGCCGTGGCAGAATCGTCGTGGATATCGCTGCCTTGACGGATGTCAGGTACTCATCTCAGCAAAGGTTGGACCAAACCAATAACCGACGCCCGAAGATGAGGGATAAACCGTGACTCCAATATCCCCCGCATGCAAGATACACCAACGCAATCAAAACTCGGAAGAACATACCTCCTACAGCAACCGTAGTATACGCGCCCAGCCTCCGAGCATGAGCCGCCTCAAACCGCCGTGTAAGCTGTCGAATGCCCTCGTAGCCCGCCGTCAAGAGCACGATAACAATAAGCGAACCCAGAAGGGACCAAGTGCTGGTGATGTGCCACTGGGGGAAGACGATGCAGAGGTCTTTCGTCGACCAGGTGAACAACATCTAGCACGAGCCTGTTAGTACCTGGTAGCAGCAAATTGAGAATACAGCAAGCAAGTCACTCGCCACCTCCATCAAGACCATAACAACTCAGAGAAAAGGACACTCACATTCATACTGCACTTTCCGCCCATATCCATATCACCATGGTCATGGCCATGATCCATGTCCATCCCCATATTATGCATAGAGTGATCCATCTCGAAATCGGAAAATAACCAACGCCACTACCAGATCAGATCGAGTGCAGCAAGTCCAGCAACTCCCACAGAATGAGAATATGATATCAAGCCACCCGTCCAGATCAGACGCCAGAACCGGTGAGAGTAGCAAGGAGGAGGAGCTGATGCAGCTCCGCGTACGTAAGTGACGGGGCCATTCATGCAAACCAGACAAACAGCGACGATAAGATCTGGCGGGCGATCCTCCACTCACAACTCGTCCTCCATCCTCACGTTCCCTTCCGCTTCTAGACTCGCGACACCACCTCCAGGCTCCAGCTACCCTCTACTGCCTCCCCTCCCGCTCAATGCGCACCATCTAAACCATCAACTGTCCAATCCTTCCCCTCCTGCAACCACACCAAAAATTTCAACCATGGCCGAACCCGCCCCTCCAGCACCCACCGCAACAACAGCCCCAACTCCAGGACCAACAACCAGCACACCAGCAGGAACAACACCAGCCCCAATCACCAATTCCACAATGCCCTCCACCACCACAGCAGCAGCAAACTCCAATTCCAATTCCAACTCTAACTCCAACTCCAACTCCAATTCCACCTCCAACGCAAACCCTCCCCCTTCCCAAGGTCCCGACTCCAACACCTCCGCCTCCTCAACCACAAACCGCGGCCTTCCCTACTATGAGAAACTCCGGCGCGAACTCCGCGACACTCTCCAGAAAAAGCGCCTCATGGATAAAAGCATGGTACTATCCCCTCCCCTCCCCTCCCCTCATCAACTCCCTCTACTTTCCCCCCACATCAACTAACCTCATGAAATAAAATACAGGCCCAACTCGAAGACCAAATCTACCGCTTCGAACAATCCTACCTCGAAGAAACCACCGCCGGAAACATCATCAAAGGATTCGACAACTACATCAAGGGATCATCGAGCGGAGCGGGGCTCGGAGGCAGCGGAATTGCGCTATCAGGCGGAGTAGGCGGCGGAGGAGGTGGTGGTGGCGCGGCGAGAAGAAAAGCGACGGTGACGGATGCGGATCGGGTGTTTTCGAGGAGTTCGGCGGGGTTTATGCGGGTATGTCGTTCTTCCTTCTCTTCCTTTGCCAGGTGTATTTGGTTGGATATGAAGGGTATGAGGGCTAATGGGGTATGGAATGGGGATAGGATTCGCCGGCTCCGTCATCCGCGCAAACGACACCGTCACATGCTGCGACTCCGAACTCGACGTATAATGGGTCGACGGGGAAACCCGGGAATGGGGACGTGTCGTCGGCGGCGAATAGTGTGAAGGGACAGTCGTCGAAGAATAAGAAGAAGTCGGTGGGGAGTAATAAGGATAAAGGGGAGGATGATGGGACGGATGGGGATAGACCGCCGACGAAGCGGTTGAAGATTACGTATGGGCGGGATTGATAGATCCGCTGGTTTGATTGATTGATTGATGGGGTTGTTGGTGTTGATGGGTTTGCTTCTCTTTTCTTGTCTGGGTTGGCGGAGGCGCAGATGCTATCTTGGGCTCGCTGCATCGGCTCGGTTTCTTATAGTTTGTGATATCCTCTGTACTACTAGATTGCATTGGCACTGACATGCTAGATTATACACCTCAAAAGGATGTTTTCATTTTGGAATCAGATACGCAAGACGATTTCCCTTCGGCTGTCACGCGATAGTGGATAGAAGCCGATTACAGCTGCAGTCTGTACGTCGCAACCTCGAAAGCCCTCAACTCGATATCAATGCTCGTAGTATCGCTATCACCCTTAGACAGCGTCAGACTCGTTTCATCATCCTCGAGCACGTTACACTTCCACGCCTTTTTGATGGGGAGTTTGGTGTTGATGGTTCCACGGCTCTTGCCACCCAATGACTCGAAAACCCGGAGGATGACGCTCCGGCCTGCGCGCCGTGGCAGGTTGTCACGAGACACGTCTTCGTCGTCTTCACCGCGCTTCACCGTGTCCAATACGAGTGATGGAGATCCCTCAAGTGAGATGGACTTGAATACGTCTGTGGCTTCCTGGGAAGATGCCGTCTCGAGGACAAGGGGATGGTTAAAGCTGTATCCTGCCCGGATCGTACGGTGACCCAAGGGTCCTGCGTGCGGGAGAATTGCGTAGCGGATGCGATGACGACCCATATCTGCATGAGCATCCGGTGCCTTGGGTGCGCGCAATAGAGAAAGGCGCATCAGGTTACCGCAGGTTGCAAACCCGTACTTGGAGTCGTTGAGGACCGAAACCCCGTAGCCGTTCTCCGACAGATCTGCCCATTTGTGGCAGCAGACTTCGAATTTGGCCATATCCCAGCTGAAACACGTTAGCAGCATACCTATACGATCATAAATCAACTCACCTAGTATTGTAATGCGTCGGACGCCTAATAATCCCGTACTGTGTCTCGTACGATGCCTCAGTATTCGTGATGTCCACCGGAAACTCGACCTTGAGGAACCTCATGGTCTCCCGCCATTCGACTTCGCTCTCCATTTCCACGTAGGATGGCTGGTCTCCCACCGCAGCAGCCAAGCTCAGGGTCGTCTTGACCCAGCTGTTCTCGCTGATCCGGGTTTCAGTGACAACGCTGACCCGATACGGATCCTTCTCGGAAATAGTAGTCTTTCCGGATTGCAACTCTTTTCTTGAGTCAAGGTGGAAGACCTCAACATCCCAGGCTTGCCAGTAAAGTGGCTTATCATCAAATATCACAAGCTGACCAGCCTTTCCACCCTTGGCAATAATCTCACGCTTTGCTTCGAGGTCATACAGGGAAGTTATGATGCCATCGTGAACATCTACCCTCAGTTTCTCATTCTGCAGACGGAATACACCGGGCTCAATCTCAGAGACAGTCACAGCAGGTGCCGTCTGAGAAGCTGCAGGAGGCTGATACTGGATGGGACCAGTCTCACCACTGACAATCGCGTACCTGGGGACACCCGCAGTGGCAAGCTCAGCAGGAACCTTGACAACTTCTGAGCGATGCCATGGCAATGTGTTGATCGCAACGAGACCTCTGGCACTCTTGCCTCCGAATCCTAGAGCCTTAAGAGCATCCTCCCGTGCCTTCTGGCCGGTTTCGAATACCTTTTTGTAGAGCTCATCGGAATCATCATAGCACATTTCAATGCAGCTACCAGGGAGGCAGTCATGGAACTGACACAAGAGGACATCCTCCCACATGTCGTCGATTTCCTTCTTAGGGTACTTATACTCACCACTAGTCTGCGTGATGGTAGCCAGAGTAGCAAGGTATTCAATTTCCCTCAGTAAGAACTCCGACTTGCGGTTGTTGCGCTTGTTGTTGGCCTGCGTAGTGTACGTGCCCCGATGCAGCTCGAAATATAACTCACCGTACCACGTAGCGAAGCGGGTGCCTTGTTCCACCTTCTTCTCGAGTTTCTCAAAGAAGTCGTCGACCGACTCCCCCATCTTCACCCGGGGAAGCAAGCCGACCTTGTCACTGAGACCACGGCAGCGACGTAACTTCTCCAGATGCTCGAAGGTCGGCCCACCACCGCCATCTCCCTTGCCAAAGACCAGAAGCGATGTGTTATCATTGTCCATCGACTTGTGTTGAGTCACGCTGCGCTTCACGTCACCAAAGTGGGCACTGGCAGTATAGGTTTCCGCCGGTGTCATGTGGCAGATAACTTGACTTCCATCGAGCGCAACCCACTGGAAGGTAGTGTGGGGGAAGTTGTTGATGTTGTTCCAACTGAGCTTCTGGGTAAAGAAGCGACTCATCCCCGCCAGGCGGCATATCTGGGGTATCTGCGTGGAATAGCCGAAGGTATCCGGAAGCCAAAAGGTTGTGCAGCGTTCTCCAAAATTGCTCTCGAAGAAGCGTTGCCCGTAGAGAAACTGTCTCACGAGGGACTCTCCACTAGGCATATTTGTGTCATGCTCGACCCAGCTACCACCAATCGGTTGGAAGTGACCTTTCTTGACCCATTGTTTCACGCGATCGAAAACCGAGGGATAGTATTGTTTTAGCCACTTGAACTGTTGCGCCTGGGAACAAGCAAAACGGTGCTCCGGGTATCGCTCCATCAGATCACATTGGTTCGACCATGATCGGGCAACCTTGCGTTTGGTTTCCGCCCAGGGCCACAGCCAGCAAGTGTCGATATGGCAATGTCCGACGGCGTAGACGATGGGCTGTGTGTCGGTCTCGTACACTTCAGAAGAATCGACCTTGTCCCCTAGGTATTTCCTGGCGATCTTGCGTGCCTCCTTGATGGATTCGTTGCTTCCATTGCCGGCAATGAACGCATCCATGATAGCATTACCTACCATATTGGCTTCATGAGACTCCCAAGAATCACCAGGGAACTCTCTGGCCGCATCTAGTGCACATATGAGTAATCAAAAACATCATGCACAGCGTGCATGGAAGGATGGCTAGAACATACCTCCAATGATCCAGAAATCGTAGAACAACGCCCGTGCCTCCAGATTGACGGCAGTGATCTGCGCTTTGCTCAATGTGTAATACTTATTAGGGTTAGGTGGCTGGATGGAATCTCCGCCCGGGGCATTTCCAAACATGCCATTGCAGGCCATCTCAATGTAGAAGGTATGCTCTTTTCCATCCCGCCAGGCATCGGGAATGATCCATTCGATGCGCTCGTTGCCGCCAGTGAGACCTTGAAGGGGGTGGCCATCTTCCGTCCAGACCAAGCCTTCATTGTTTGCATCCCAGTGGAACTCCAGGCGCTCTTTCTGACGCAAATCCTCGGGGACCGTCAGGCGGATACGGAACCAATGGGTAGACCAGCTGGGGCCAAACGAGGCTCCGATATGGGTAGGCGTAAACTCATTGGCGGTAGCCTCTTTGAAGGTCGGACGCTTGAGGTCGGGAACCGAATATACTGAAATTTTGACATGGTGTTCGTCGGAGTTGACGGCCTCGGCCAGCTTGCTAGTATGGCGTTAATGTGGGTCGGCAGGAATAAGGCCAATTGGTAGAACCACCAAATGCTGTATGGGAACCAAATTGAGGATGGACTTACGAGATGAGGTTTTGGCCTTCATACTGACCGGTAGCGGTGAATTGCTTGAGCCGGTCGGTGTAGATGTTCTTGATGCGTTGACCGACGGGGCCCGCGGGAGTCTGGGGAAGGGCGCTGGGAGCTTGCCGGGGAACGTCTCCACCCATGGTAGCGGGTCTAGTTTATTTAAATAGAAGGCTAAGCGCAACGGTTTGGATGGAAAGTGCGCAAATGTTGAAGCATTTGATGACTTGTTATGATTGAAGGAGCGCGGGGAGATGGCTCGAGGTGGAGGGAAGTGAGGAGTCGCCAGGAACGGCCAGGAACACAGCCAGGCAGGTGACGTTGGTTGCAGGCATTCCTGCGGATCCGGGGATGCTGCCTCATCAGCCACCGTCCGTGGGCTCGCAACGGCCATACACATGAGAGAGGACTGACTCGGTATTACTCTGTGTCTTATCCCAGCGACTCTGCCAAGGCTGATGGCTGGAGTCAATCGACTAATGTAGCGTGTAGTTTGAGTTGGTGTAGAAGTGTAGGATTCTGGTCCGACGGTACAGAAGTTGACACTACAAGCCATAGCTACTCCGTAATTTATCTCGTATATATGATGGACCGCAAACAGCCCCTTTCAATTAATACCTTGTAGTGCCCAGAAGCCAGCGTCGTGGCTGTTGAGTTCTCGAGTTGTCGAGTCCACCCATCTACCTGTCCGATGGCCGTTTCCGGGGTACGATTAAGGTTGGAATGCGTCTGGGGTAGACAACTGACCACTCCGGAGCAGACAGCTCAACACGCCAATAATGACCATCTGTGCGCACAAAGCAACTGCTTCTGGCACCTAAATATACGTACGGAGTACAGAGCATCCGGTTGAGGAGGTTAATAGGGAAGACAACCACCCTCACCAGCCGTCTTGTGACATCATGGGCCGTCAGCGAACAACAAACAAGCGGGGTTGAGCGAAGCCCATTAGTCAGCCAGCTTGGGCAGCAGGCCAGTTGCGCTAAACCCAAGAGGGCCAGTAATTACCGTGCAATTTCCACGGCCATCCAGCAGGCTCAATAACATCGGGGCTGAAGTAATATTAGTGCGGGGCATTGGAGAGAAGGATCACGCTGAAGTCACCAGAATCCGAGGAGAATCCCCCAGAATCTCATCATTGCCGAAAGGAGCGAGCAAGGCCTATCACGATCGGCCGATTGACTCTTTGTCTCCCAGCATTTCCTCGGGGTTGCGCCGTCCAGCGCAGATTTGTAATCCGAAGTCCAAAGATAACCCCAAAAATACCGGCGATAACATTCAAACACAATCTCTGCCACCGACCCCACCACCCAATCACAACGCAGTCAGATGACAATTGAGTCAGCCAGACAAACCCAAAAACAAGCGTCCGATCACGGTCCCGGTCATTTTGACCTCAAGTTCTCCTCCCCTCCCTTTCTACCTCTCTATTCCTCCTTCACGAACGAAATTACAGGTAGACCGACACAATGGCTCCCTCGTTCGTGACCATTGACACCACGCCCGACTTTGACATGGCGCCCACTCCTTCCTTCCAGCCCAAGTCGACCGACCCCTCCAAGCGCACCCTCCTCCTCGCACCCCCCTCCATCGCCACCCAGGAAGAGAAGCTACGAGACCTCTTCACTACCTTCGACCGCTCCACAACCGACCTGCAGATGCTCGACCGCATATCTGCCGGCTTCGTCTCTCTTCCCTCCAACACCTACGATCACATCCTCGTCCTTACCGATACCGATGGCACGCGGCGGTCGGAGGCACTCCACCTGCTCACGCGAGACGTGTACACCGCGCTGGTTCCGTGCATGAAGGCCGGAGCGAAGCTGCAGACCCAGGATAACTTCTTCGGGGAGGCTGAGGAGCGCGAGGCTGTTTTGGCGGGGCTGATCAAGACGGATGCCGGATTCGAGAAGATGGATCAGCCCAAGTCATTCGCTATACCCTTGCGACGTAATGGAAAGAAGAAGGATGCTGTGAAGCTGGAGACGGTTGCGCCTGCTCCTGCGCCCGCGCCGCCCGTCCAGCCTGTGACCGTGGGGATGATTAATAATGAAATCGACTACGATAATGACGATGATTTGATTGATGAGGACACACTACTGTCGGACGAGGACCTGAAGAGGCCCATTCAACGTGAGTTACCCTTATCACATCCATATTCTAAGCCTTGCTGACGGATTGATGTATAGCCCCCGAATGCCAGCCCAAGCCCGGTCGCCGGCGCCGAGCCTGCAAGGACTGCACGTGCGGTCTCGCGGCACGACTCGAAGCAGAGGAACAGGCGGAGAGAAAGAAGGCAGACCAGGCTTTGAACGTGCTGAAGCTGGAGACAGACGACCTGAATGAATTGGACTTCACCGTGGAGGGCAAGACTGGCTCGTGCGGTAACTGTGCGCTGGGCGATGCCTTCCGGTGTGCGGGCTGCCCGTTCATCGGTCTTCCGGCGTTCAAGCCCGGCCAGGAGGTGCAGATTCTGGAAAATGTTGCGCAATTGTGAAGTTCTTTTCATTCGGGTCGGGTCTCTTTCGGGTTCATTGGGTTGGTTCCGGACTGGCGATGTTGGGCGAACGGATAAAATATAGAATACCATAGTTAGCTTCTGATGTTACCACCTTACTGTTGATGATTTTTTTTTCTTCTATCATCACAAATACAAGTTAATCTTTCCTGACCGCGCCTGAGATACCCCTACCGAGCATACGAAGTACATCACCTACATAAATCCCCCGACGCAACACCCAAGCACACATACAGCCTACAGCACATACATAGTATCTAGCATATGCAAGATCTTCCGCCGAGCCATACCTACGCATCCCACATGAACTAAACCAAACAGCCAGCCAGTCAGCCAACCAACCATACAGCCAGCCCACCCCCCCTGCATAAGCCAAGCACCAACATCCACAGTAATTTCTCCGAAGCAAGACATTCTCCCTTCCTAGCAAGTATCTAGATATCACCAGACCCCTATCCCATATACCTACCTACCTAAGTGAGTACTAGTAGGGGGAGATATAGCTATTAGGTCGATAGGTAACACAGCAATAGTAGACCAATCAAGGAAGGTAAGGTACATAGAGGGTAAGGTAATACAACATCCCCCCACCTCCCATCCCATCCACAATACACAATAACCCGAGCTACATTCCGTCCCGTACTGTCCTGTCCCCTTCTATGGGTAGATGCATATACGTCGTACAGGGACATACTTTATGACAAATCTTGGATATGGGGATGGATTTCTTACTTACAGTAGGTAATTGAATTAAATATATAGGTGTCTATACTACCAACTCCTTTGATTGAATGTGCTATTAGTGGTCGCTGTTGATGATCTTTCTTGGGTTCATTTGAAGATCATCATGATATGTTAGTGTTAATGGAGGTGAATGTATAGGAGAAGGGGGTTTGGACAGGGGGATACGGATTGCGGAGATTATAACAGGTCAATTAATATTCCGAGTTCGCAGTGAATGATAAGTGAAAGCAGGGGGGAGAGACAGTTGGTCTCATCTGTGTGGGGGAGGTAGGATCATGCGCATGGGTTGAGATCACGCTATCGGGTCGGAGCCTTGGAGGTAAGGGGGGATGTACATGTTACATTCCTGTACTATCTATACAGATAATTGGTAGAGTGATATCTTGGTAGGCAATAAATTGAAGGTTTAAGTGTACCGATTCAATGTATAGGTAAAAGTCGTATTACAACATGCTATCAGATCCATCCTATATCCCCAACGCCGAGCGAGCAACCTGAAAATGCCAACGGGATATCACGGTGTAATGACAAGACACGAAAAGAGGTAGAGAGCGACCGGAAAAGACGGGCTAATGGCTAATAAATGACAATGAAGTAAAGGGATATCTTAAAAGGGACAACGAAAAGAAAAGAACAGAAAGAAAGAGATATGAGTAGAGAGTGGACCCGTCCTTTCTAAATCCATGGATCAGACTGTCCGTAATTGTTATTGTACGGACTGACTGGTCCCACGAGTCGGATCTGCGACTTCAGCTCAGTGTGCCGTCGATCGCCCCGCGACCCGATCATCTTCTTCCTTGCGCCATCGAGGGCACCCAGGAGATGGTGTGTCCCATCCTGCAAGGCGCGGACGCAGTCCCGGGTGTTCTGCTGGAGTTGGGACCGGGCTGGTGGCGTTAGGGGCGGTGTCGCCGAGGACACAAAGCCCTTCTTGGACGAGCTTGCTTTCCGATATCGGGGAAACCGGACCTGGTGGCTCTGTCGGTAACTGATGCGTTTCTCGCGACTGGGTGTGTCCCAGATCGCCGCGCCGTACTTCTGATACGGCGACATGGGGACGGCCAGCTGCTTGTTCCGCTGGAACGCCAGGGCCCGCGGGCGCTTCCCGCGAGGACCCATGGTTGAGCGGGTCGACAGGCGTGACAGGCGTTTCCCCGCCGTGGAGACCTCCACAGGGCTCGATAGTGTCGGACTTTCCGGGATGGAAAGCTCTTTCGATGCGGTGCTCTTGCTGGATGGAGTCGGGGTGCGCGCATGATCCGCTGGGACAGTCGCGGGGGAAGACCGGTTGCTCTTGTTCCTTTCTAAGGAATTTTTCGACAAGCGCCGTTGCACATAGGAGCGGATCGAGTTGCGGACATCGGACGAGTTCCAGCGGTTGCGGCCCTTGGAAAAGTCGAAAACGGTGAGATTTAGTCGGCTACTGTTCTTCCTGCGGGGGCGAGTCGCAAAACGCGGGGATGGCGGTAGAGCCGAGGGCGTGGCCAACTCGGGGAAAAAGTCCCATTTCTTCTCCCGGAAGTAATGATTCGGACCCGTCCGGTTGGCCGTCCACGGCGGCGGACGGTCGGAGTGGTCATCATGGAGGAATGTGGTGGTGATGGCGAGGTGGTGGGGAGGATGAGGTCCCGGGGTGGGAGAGTGAGAATGATCGACAAGCTCAGTCAGATCGTCCGAACCGGAGCGGACAAAAACAGGGTAACTTTCGGTGGAATCCTCGGAAAAGCGCCGACTGTCATAGAAGCTAGAGACGGTGCTGCTGTCATCACTCCACGCGGTGGAGCCCTCATCCATCGACGGCGTCTCAGGCAGCGGCTTAGGAGGGAGCTCGGGCAGCGGCTTATCGAGGTGCAGCAGCATCGGGCGAGCGGGGGGTATCGGGACTCGAGGAGGGATGACTTGTTCCAGTCCCTCCAGGGACCGAGATGGCCTCACCGGAGGGGCCTGGCGAGGGAGAGCCAACGAGGACGGGGAAAGCATGCTGATGGTGGTGATGGGTGGGTGGCTCGGGCACGGAAGTATATCGTGGGCGTGGCAGTAGATTGTAGTTATAAGACGGGAACGCAGGGAGGGGAAGGGCGTCTCTAATGACTACCCCCTCCTCGGGGCCGGGGGGAGGAGAGCGTGGCAAGGCAAAAAACAGAGGAACAAAAGAACAAAGCAGAAGGAGTGAAGAGAAAGATAACCACAACGTCGAATCGGGTCCCGTCGACCGGATGAGTATGTGCTCCGTTAAGCGTCAAGGACAGTCGCGAAGTACCAAAAATGTGACCCGAACACGGCCAGGTTCGTTGCTTTTTTGATTATCGCCAGTCGCCGGCCTCGTTGCAATTTTAACCTTTTGGGGCGGCCAGGATGACAGTCCAGCAAGCCAGCAAGCAAACAAACAATCAATCAATCACACGACCGTCCCCGGCCAGGTCAGCCTGTGGCCGGTGTCTTTATCCGGGTTTGCAGAGATAAAGAACCAGGCGGGACCATGGTTCGGCAAGAGGAGAACGAGGGAAAGAAAGCGCGGACGAAGGGCGAAGAGAGGAGAAGAGAGGGGGGGAGGAAATGGCAGGCGTGAAAGGGAGGGGTTAATAAGAGGAGAAGAGGAGAGAACGAGGCCGACAAAAGCAGTGGATGTGATGTGATGGGATGCCAATCCAGAGGATCCATTAGGGGAGAGGGTCGCGATGCAGCTAAACGAGGGCCGCCTGGCTGTTCCGGCCGTTCGTTCATCCCTAGATCCCAAGGAGTCGGGCGGAGTCAGATGGGTCCGCCGGATCAGGACCGACCAGAGCCAGAAAAGAAAAAGTAAAAACCGATATATCTCAAGGGCAGTTCCTGGTCGGCCGCAGGATCGTCGGGGTCATCATCATGAGCGGGAATAGCCTCATGAGACTGACACCCTCATGCAAGGGATGGCGGTGGGTGGGCTGGGTTGTTGGCGCGCCATGGGCAGATTCCGTGTAACCTCGCCTCCGGGGCCCTGGATCCAGTCAGAATGCAATGGCGCATTGATTTGAGAAAAACGATGGCTGCTGGGATGGATGGGATGGAAGGATGGAGCATGGCTGCGACGCAACAGAGTTAGGGCCGGGAAATACGAACCTCAACCAGCAACCGCACCAACGCCGGAGTGATCCAAGCCCGCAGGACCCCAGAGTCGATCGCTCCCTGCCAGTCTGAACAGAACCCACTTGGTCGATTATTATTAGTGCCTCCCGGGGCAGATCGGCCTCTCACCAGTCATCATCCTCTGATCCTTCGGGGTTATTTTTGTTTGTCGGTCGCTAGTTTTGGCTCGCCAACAAAGAACACCGTCCGCTTATCCCTGGTTGCCTCCGCCTTTCAGCTCCCTTCATCCTCCTCATCCCTGACGGCTGAACCGATTTAATGAACTCAGCCATCTCGCTAACCGGAAGCGTGGACGGGTTACCCGGCATGTCCCCGGCCTGCAGTCCGAAGAAAGCTTCCAGTCCGCGCGAATGACATACATGATGGGATAGGTCACATTGCGGTATGGAGATCGTCTTTGACAGACCCTCTTCTTTTCTTCCGTCTCTCTTCTCTGCACGCCTAGCTTAGTTTCTTAGTCGCATTTTCTCCCTTAGCTGCGTCGCTCTCGTTTCTTTTTCCCGCCAGTGCAAGGTACATATATGACATGTAACACAGATAGTCTCTCCAGAATTGCTCTGCTTTTGTTGAGAACAGACCATAATGCCCATTGTCGATGCTTAACCCCCTTCATAGCAGACACATGGCAGACAACCCACGCATTGGCCATTGACGTCTCTGACTGCAGGGAATACACTTTTGGCCCCCGCCGTGCTCTTTTCCACCAAGGAAGCCGACGCCGATGAGGTAAACCGGCGCTCATTCATTCTATGACAGGTCATTCCAGCCAAGACACGTGCTCCAGGCCGGTATCGCTCCAAGGATTTCGTGGATAGGTCACCCCCAGCGTCTCACCTTCCACGCCGTGATGTGCCTCGTTCTGGCCTCCACTGTTCGTCCCTTCCTCTCGGGTTTCAGCTGCGTGGCCACGCCTGTCAGCCCCATCGAAGCCGATACAGGAATCCAGGCGGCCGATTGATCGGTGAAACCAGACGCTGTCAACATAGCGACGCCACATTCGCCCACATCAGCAGACATCATACTGTGCGACGGACTTAGTGGATATGATTCGGACACGATCGAATCGCGATGCAGCTGAGCCCGAGAGGCGATCAGTTGGCACACGGTGGAGATAGCTGGTAGTCGCGGTATGCGCTGACTTCATGCTATCACTCGTATCCACCCAGATAACAACTCAGTCGATCGATCCGATCGAGACCATGAGCTCATGATGAGACAAGAAGGCATGCGCTACAATGCGAGCCTTCCAGGTCAAGTGTGGGGCGTCACCATTCAAGAGCGCGCCCGAATTCCACTCACGGGCATACCCGACCCGTTTCAGATCACTGGCGGATCGAGGCTGGTCCCATAGCGACCAAGCACTGTTGGTGCGGGCAATGCGAGCCGACCTGCGTTGGTGATTGGTAGGTAGATTCCAAATCTGATCCGCCATGATGCAGACGTCTCGATGGACGCCAGCTCCGAAATCCGGCCGTCTGGAATTGGCGGTGGGAGCCTTCCCTGATGGCATTGCTGGGCATTCTAGTTCCATGTATTTCCGTCATTGCAATGAGAGATCATGGCACTAGCATTGTTGCACGGGATGTCTCACCTGCACTTGGCGGACTAAAAGGCTAGGCAGCAGACGGCATTCCAAACCCTAAACCAGCCTTCGACACATTCCAGCTTGTAGACTGATGCAGACCATGGCTCGGAGGTTGGCAGCAGGTGACCATGTCTGTACTCCGTATGGAGTACTTCCTGTGCCATGTGCAAATGTAAGTGGTCCCAATGGGCGCAAGCACGACCATGTAGTAGTGCACACGGCCCGAGAGCCCAATGAGAGGTCATTTTCGTATCAGAAGCATCGATACTCCGTATTATGTGGTGATCTGCATGTCCAGCAATTAGTCATGGTTGCAATTGAGATGAGGAAAGCCGGATACTATGATCCATTTCGATCCAGCATTAGCATGACTGAAAGGGTCTAGGGTTGTTACATAATTCCTCTATCTTGAAACTGGCGAGCCAGACATCCGATAATGCTAGCAAGAGGGCCACATCAATGCAAGGTGCAGTTAGAAAGACAATTGACTTGGGATGTGCCTGAAGCAAGTTGGCCTGGCCACGTGCAGCGGCGGCGACAAGCAACCCATGCCGGTCAGGGTCATCCTTCTTCAACCATCATACCTCCAGCTAACTTCACATTGACTGAATTTCCATTTCTAGCAGCTGCGGAGATGACATGGGTTTCAGAATGCAATATCGGAAGCCACCAGTTATGCTTCTCCTCGTAAATGAGGAATCCATCCTCGGAAACAACCGTGTCTGCAGGCCAGGATTTCTGTCAACTGCGTAAGATTAGCAATGCCACAAACCCACCAGAAACAGCACGTACACCCGCTGCATGATTGCCTTTCTGCAGGTACTGATATCTTCAATGCATAGCTAGATGCCTCACGCAAACAATCCACAACCGACGACAGAGTGCGATGACAAATATTTGCTTTGTGCAACCAACAGGAGACTACAATGTGGTTCGGAGATGTGGCGTGGAAACACGCTATGGCAATTCGGAGGATGTCAACCGGCAAATGCACAACGTCGGTTATGCACCTCGAGCGTCATCACAAGATTGCTTGCGCACATCAAGCATTCCGTAGCGCCAACCTGACGGGCACCTGCAGCAGGCAATCATAGACGATCATCAGCAACCCCGGCCCGACAGCAGTGGCTGGCAGAGACAAACATGGGATTGCGAACCGCTGTCCCTACGAGCCGCCTGCATCTCAGGGGTTTGTCCTATCAACCTGCCTGTGTCTCCTTTTCTGATCGAGTGACACTGATCTCGCGTGGTGACGTCTCACAAGATACCAGACCTTCGTGCTGGGTCCGATTTGGTTGCAATGGATTTGGAAGCCACGAATTCTAGCGGGTGAAACTATCCATACAGGACATCTATTCAGGCAGGTAGTAACTATCAACTAAGCTTCGCCGCCATCCTCATATCCTCCCTCGTCAACTGGTCCCCCTTCTTCCGGATCGGACTCAAGCGGCCCATTTTTTGCAACTGCGCAATGATCGCTTCATCTCCGAAGTGGCTGTTATGCTCAAACTCGGGCTCTTCTGCATATGCAACCCGCGCCACATCCACCAGCATTCGTGCCGTCATCCCAAACACCCGGTAGCGGATTACCTGCTCGGCCTTCTCCTGTTCCTCCAAGCGGTCGATTACCTGTTTCTGCTCCTTATTCCAATCTTTCGGCTTGACCACCTCTTTAGGCCGAACCGGGACAAAAAACTGATGCACTACTCCACCGTCAGATCCAACCCCATCTCATCTCAGAAAAAGAGAACACTCACTCCGCCAATCCGACTGATGCCACTCCGTCCAAGCCCCCTTATACCAATCCGCCGGATCCCCGCCCCAATCCTCCTCATCCCTACTCCGGAGGAAATTCCGAAACGGCGCCGTAAACACCGCAGCCACCTCCCGCGCATCCAACCTAGGTATCAAGGACACCTCGGGATCGGCATTCTCACCCGTTCGCTCATCAAAAGAATGCAATAGCGCCACACACGGCCGAACTACCAGTTCCGTCCGCGCCAGATTAGCCGGGAACTCGCAGAGATGCTCGACCGTGAAAGGCTGCGACAGTTTCTGATTGGTATCAGGAAGTCCGATTTCCTCTTTGGCTTCACGTCGAGCCGTCTGGAAGGGCGTTTCTTCTAATGCATCGGCTTTTCCTGCGCGGGTCAGTGTTCTCATAGATACAATATATCCTACAGCCGTAGACAGTGGCCAGTATTCTCGACAAACAGGTTCTACACTTCGTATCTGCGAGACCCAGAAACAGAAAAGAAAAGAAGACCTACCACCCGGCAAAGCAGCCTGTCCAGCATCTACACCATCATCATCAGCCATAATCCATAATCCTAACCTACCCTACCTCATCTACTCCCCTTACGCATCCCCACCCACGTAGGAGAAGAAGAAGAAGAAGAAGAAAAACTCACACGAACTCAACGTCGCCGCCCTCATCGTCAACACCACCCTCAAATCCCCCCTCCGATCCGCATACAGCAGAACCAGCACGGCCGCACGTCTAGACAGCGGCACGGACTCATAATTCGTTGGTGGCGGGACATAGTTTCTTAATCGTGAGATGGCTTTCTGGGTTGTGAGGGTTAGCTTAGTTGGGTTGGTTACGTCATGGGGTAGTTCTTAGTACTATGTAGGAAGGGGTGGAGATGGGGTGTGACAATGAGAGGGGCATGTATATTTGATTGAGGAAGGGGAGATTATATATGTGGTATGTGTTGGGGTAGGGATGGGGGGATTGTTTGTACCTTTGATGCGAGATTCAGAGGTGGCATTATGCTGTTGTTGCGGCTGGGACTGTGAGTGGTAAAGGTGCGAATGATCCGGGGTTGGCGGCACAGTGGGATTAGGACTCGTTGGTGGCGGGGGAGGATTCGCATTGCAGGGGGACAATTCTAATAAATTAAAGCAGTGGACTAACTAGGTTCAGGAGAGGATAGATAATCAAGTAAATTGGGGTTTGGAATTGGTCTGGGGTAGATAGATCACTTGATAGGAGGGTAGAGAGTTGGGTGAGTGGTTAGGTTCCATGGCTTATTGCCGAGGTAGATTAAGGGCCGAAGGAGCCGCTCTGTTCTTCTCAACCACCAGGTACTCCGTACTAGGTATGTATGTATGCATGGATGGACGGATTATGTCTGATATCCATTAAATTTCCACTATTTTGTCCAGATCAACCGCCCAAGTATCTATTTGAGTTGGGTACATCACAAAGAAGACGGTTTAAAGGCTATAAGATAAGAGAACAGATGACGGTGTCCAACCATGGGATCCATAAAGCAGGAACAGGAAACAAACAGGAGTCTATCGTATACACACTAACACATGGGAGAAAGTAGGGAGGATGGGTGGGTAAGGAGAAAGGAGATCTATGTCACAGTTCATCAACGCGCAAAGGGGAAGAAGAATGATGGAAATCATTTCTTCTCTTCCTTGGCCGGGGCAGCCTGCTCGGCCTTCTCGCCCTCCTGCATGGCTTCAGTGGCCTCACCCGACTGGGTCTTGTACTTGGCCTCGTACTTTGCGTCGTCCTTGTCGTCAATGTCCTCGGTATCCTTGGGAGCCGCGACACCCTTCTCTTCGTTCTCGCTGTTCTGCTCGTTCTCCTCCTCGATCAGCTCTTGCTGCTCCTTGATGACCTCTAGACGCTGCTTGTTGGTAGCGGCGCCCTCGGCGTTGTGCACCTCGAGCTCAATCTCGTGGAACAGCTCCTCGGGGATGCTGGACAACACGGCCTGGAGAGCTTCGATCTGGGACGACATCTCGGCTTCCTTGCCGCCCTGGGCGTACACGTAGGCATTACTCAACACCAAGAGGGTGGATGGAACGCCCTGCTTAAGACGCAGGTCCAGCCACATCGACATGTCCTCACGCAGGCGAGCGGGTGAGACACCGTGCGTGCGGATACCACGGGAGGCGCTGGCCATCTGCAGTTCGGGAACGGACAGAGACTCGACACCCTCGTGGAAGATGGCGCGGTCATCGCGCTTGATCTGGCGCATGCGGTGGCGAATGTTGTACCGGAGCATGGCGTCCGTGCCGAAAGTGTTGAGGTTCATGTACTTGCAGATTCCCACCAGCTGAGGCCGGGACAGGTTGTCGAGCGTCAGGTCATCCTTGAAGATCTTGCACACCTTGATCACGTCTTCAGGAGTGGGTGATTCTCCCGTGGTTCTAATCTTCTTGAAGAACTCGGCAAACTCCTCGTTCTTGACGGTCGCAGCAGTGACCGGAAGACCAGACTCCTTCAATGTGTCCTTCAGGAATCCCGAAACCTCCTTGCGCGTCGAGCTCAGGCTCAGCGCCTTCTTCTCGCGCGCCTTCTGGCCCTCGTAGGTGCTAGGCAGCATGTTGGGGAACAACTTAAGGGCAACGGGGAGCAGCAACTCCGCGAAGGGAATGATGACGAACATGGAGAAAGGCACAAGGCGACCCAGATCCTTGACGGTTCTTTGGAGCTGCACACATAGGCATCGTTAGCGGAGATCAAGACTGACAGACCATGACGCCACTAACCTGACGGTGCTCTCTCCGGCTGAGTTCGTAACCAGCAGCCATCTTCAACGCGAGCCTGGAGCTGATCTTAACTTCCGTGGCCAGAAGCTTAGTGCCATCCCAGTAATGCTGGGCTTCTTTCTTGATTTTTTGACCGATGGTCAGTTTCTTCGGCTCCTTCTTCTCCTTCTTGCCCTCTACATCGGTGGCCTTGGTCGTCGTCAACTCAGCCGACTGTCCCTTGTTTTGCGCATCAATTTGAGACGAGATGGTTTGTTCAGGGTTGGATGCGACCTTCTGGACGCCCTTGGCACTGGTGGGCTGCACGGCATCCGGGGGGAGGGGCTTCTTCGCCTGTTCGGCGTTAAAACCGGGAGGGGGAAAAGAGTCTGAGGAGGATGTGGAAGTCGGGGGCTCTGTGGCATAACCGCGCTGCTGGGGGACGAGGATCGCGATGGCTGACAGTCGGGATGGCAGACCTCTGCCGTTGAATCGGAGGTTTGCGGCCGTGGTCGCAGCCAAGGCACCGGAAAGGCGTGGCCGGGCTGAATAGAACCACGGGTTAGCCATCCAACGATCAAACCATGTCAGAATTCAAAGACAAGAATCTGTCCACCTACCGATCAAATTGGGCCGCAAAACTGCATTGCCGCGCACAAGGCTAGCTGACCTCATTGTTACGGACATTGCGGAAACCTAGGGGATGGAGATGCTCGGAAGAGCGAGCGAAGACAAGAGAATGCGCAACAATTTCTGAGCCAAATGCTGGTATTTATCTTGAGCGGGGCACACCAAGTAGATCAGAAAAGAAAGGATCGGACATTAACATAGGAAGACAAGATGTCGTGGTGTTCGTCGTCTCCGAGGGTCTGGAGCAGAGGTGGCTACGCACGTGACCGCGCGGTGTCGGACTTAAGGTTTGATCGCCGCCGAACGTGAGTCCGGCCGGTTTCGCTACTGGAAGCTTCGACCTCCGATCTCACTAAGATGACTCAATCATTCCACTAACTAGTTAAACCAACTAGTTCGTAATCACTAGCCAACCAAAGTGATAATTATGATGTTGCTTGAAAAGAGTGTCATTCATGTAGGGCATAATCAATCATCACGCAAGTCTACGTCTCCAAATCATACGTTGCTAAACCAACATCATAGGAAAAGGCAAAAATAGGGGAAAGACAAGGTAAGACAACAAGAACGCAAGACAAAAAGAAGAACCCCAGTGTAAGGAACGAGTATGAGATGAATGGGTATCAGAGGGAAACAATTCCAATCTAGTCAGATCCGCATGTATGGTTATAGGCAAGACAAGGAACTCCAGACAGGTAAAAGGGAGGGCATTATGTATGGTGCTTCACGTATCGTATCAAGATCTTTCCCGGACCACAGAGTCGTTGGCGGCCTGACCGCTCTCTACACCAGTTGAATGGGCATCGAGAGGAGGAATCTGATCAATGCTGGCTTTTTCAGATCCCCCGCTGGCCGATTCTTCAACAGCCTTGAACCCCGATGCCACATTCGCAGCATTGTCGGATGTTAAAAGCGACGGACTGACATGGCCCTCCGGGGACGATTGCCAGCGAGCGACATCTTTCTTCAGCTCCTCCAGCTCTTTCTGGAAGCGCTTACCGAAAATGTCAATATAGTAGGTCGCACCGTTATGGACGCTCAGAATGAAAAGACCGGTCAGGAATAACCCGCTAGCCCACCGAGACCAGAACCACAGAGGACAGGGGATCATCGTCAAGATGGCATACACATATTGGATCAGCATAAAGGCCGGGGCCTGTAGCGATTCCGGGAGACTGAGAACGAATTTGCCGATCCAGGTCTTAGCATAGGACTTGCGGAGCCATGTGAAGCTGGTCGGACGTCCCGCAGCGATCTTTTCGGCACGACGAACTGTGATGAAACAGTGATACGCCAACTGCCAGATCATATAGGGGACAGTTGCCCATCCCATCATCTCCAGGAGGTTGAAATGGTTCGGCGAGCCAGGCTCGCTGAACTTGATTTCGTAGATTGCCGGGAATCTTTCTTTCAGTATCTCCGCGGATGTCATATGGACAAGACAATGCAAGGCCACGGGCGGCATGATATGGATGAACAGACTAAGTTCAAATCAGTTACTGATCAAACGTGGTGGAATTCGAAGCAAGCTTACCTGACCACCTTGTCCATACTGTGGAAGACCATCGAGTTGCGCCACATGGCTATGGCAACTGCGTTGTTGCCAAATACCAGACAGAACGTGCTAATAAATAGCCTCTTCGACTCGGGGAAGACCCAAAGGCTGAGCATACAGAGCATGTTGACGAAGTAGCAGAGATCAGCCAAGAAATAATGGTAGCCTCGCTTGTGGTACCGGTAGAAACGGATAGGCATGAAGTAGGCCAGTTGCACGCTGAACCAGATGTAGAAGTACTCCGGAAACCCTCCAAGGAGATAACCGCTCACAAGGATGTTCATGACACCGGCGATGAAGGAGACCTTCTCGCGCAGCGTAACTGTTGCGGTCGCGTTCCATTGTTTCCCGAGGCGTTCGACTCCGTCCCGCATACGGCGGCGATATTTGTCCAACTGTTCGTCTGCCGTCGGAACTCGTCTTTTCCACTCGCCCACAACGCGCTCCTTGGCATTTATCGAAGTGGACTTCAATTTCTCGCGCTGCCTCTTCACTTTATCCTTTTGTGCGTTGAGCGCCCGCTGTAACTTCTCCAGTCTCTGCGACAGAGAGAGGTTGTCCAGCAAATCAAACACGGTCAGTTGATCCAGAGGCGGAAATGTTTCCCAGTCATCGTGGTATGAGAAGGAAGGGTTGCGCGACAAACGCCCCGGCGAGGCAGGTGGCGAGTAGAAGGTATCAGCCGAGCCTAGAGCTTCTTCCGTTTCTGAGAGATCGTAGTCTGCTGTAGGTTGCAAGGTGGGCGAGCTGCTGCTAGCCACCGACTCCGGCTTCCTCGCATCGTAGGCGCCACCGTCCTCCATGATGAGTCTCTGCTGGAAGGAAAAGATCGTAGGACCGTCACGGGTGTGCGGGTGAGACCGACTAAGGAAACGTCCTATAGTTAGCATCGTCATGTTGTTTAGATAGAAAGCCAAGCTTCGGCTTAAAAAAGCGGTTCTGCACCAGTGCAGATAAACGTTGGGTAAAACAAGGGCGAGAGAATGAATGAATAAACAGAACAGGATCTCCGGGCCGGATGCGGATTCCTTATCAATCTAAGGCATGGCGGACGAGTCCATGGGTGACTTACCGACAAGTGCGGCGAGTGATGTCCTATTCAAAGGCCTGGCTTCGGAGTAGTAACTTTGCACGATAAGTCCAGCCAGTCTTGTTCAACGCTCGAAGCGCATGACCCTAAAAGTTGGGGAGCAGAAGGAAGGAGATGCAGAGTGTTGAGAGCAAGTTGGAAGGATGAGGTTCTCCGTGTGCACGCGTCGGCGGTTTTGGTTGGCTGGCAGTGAGTTGTCGCGCCTTTGGGGTTCCAGAACGGCGATCGACATATCGGGCCTCCCCGGCCAATCAGGCCACGCGCCATCCCCCACATGATTTGCCCCCATTGGATCCCATGGCTCACCTCCGGATGCGAGCCTGCCTCAGGCGGTTGCCATGGCTCGGTCAGGGTCTCTTTCATTTCCCATCTACCGAGTGCTATCTACGGAGTACAAAGTATCTAATTGCTAGTGCCGCCTAGTAGTATCTTTATTTCTCCGCATATATTGGATGTCTGTGCTCGATCGAATGTCGCCTGGCATTCGAGTGATCTAAGTTGATGGATATTTGTACGGAGTGCAAAACGATTCCGGGATAATGGTGGCCGATTATTTTGAGTCTCCTATCGACACCTAGGTTTCCCCTGTTGCTTTTGGCATCTCCGCAGGGGTGGCAAGGACCACATGGCCCCTTTCATACTGTCCCTGTTCCCTGGGAAATTTTTACCGCTTTTAGGATAGGCATCATGCACCTCCTTCGCTATGTCTCGAGCGATAGCTTCGCCTGGCACCGAGAACATGATTATGCATAACTAAGCTTGCCGTAGGAGTCGTCGATATTGACTCGACTCTGTCGTTAAGCAGCAGAAGTGTACCTGGAGCTCTGCATGCGGGTCACAGTCGAGCAGGTGTAACCGATAATCATCACGATCCCTCGAGCAGCTGGCAGCGGCTGTCCTACCCCGCACAACGCGGAATGGCGAGTATATCCCCGACAGAGCTCGTGTCATTTCCTTATTTACTTCACAAACCAGCAGGGAATCAGTTAATAAAAGATATAGCGCTCTTCTTCTGTTACTTGATCTCATATTCACAGCCAGTCGTGGGTAACGGAGGATAACAAAGGAAAAATGTCCCATACCACAAGAATTATATATATGCCACCTGCGCCACATGAATGCTACATAATCCCGTGTACATTGAGCGCAGCCAGCTTCCAAACCGAGAAAACACCAAGAGAGAAAGAGAAATACAACAAAGGGAAAGTGCAAGTGCTATGACCGGGAGATAAGAATCTTGGTACAAGAAAGACCGTAGAATATATACAGCGCGTTGGTAGAAAGGGAGTTTGGTCGTGTCCTCAACTCCCTATCATTAGTATCCATTGTATGGAAGCGACGCATGGGTGGGAGGAAGATTCCAATAACCAGATTGGGGATTTTGTCCAGCAGATGGAGCGGCCATTTGCTGGCCAAAGTAATCTGGAATGCATGAAGACTCGGCTGCATGGAGGTCCCTGGGAGCACAGGGGCCTCTGGTAGGCTCACTTGACAGCATCGGCGCAGCCATATTTGCGGAATATGTAGATAGTCCACTTTCTAAGGAGCTCTTTCGACTAATCGAGTGGCTGGACACCGGCGAAGGAGGATAGCAATAGTCCTGATTTGCGGGGCGTTTTGCCTGTTGGACCTCCATGGGTGGTAGACGCCGCTCATCTGAGCGTGCAGGCATATCGTTATGCGATTTCTCCGCAGTGGCCTGGGCTTCATTCTGAGCCTCGGGGCTCTTGCTACCATCCTCGGCAGATTTGGGAGCATCCGGCTTGCCATTGATGATCGGAAGAGACAGTTCGCGAGAGTTGGTGTTGACCGTCTGGTCCCGCACTTCTGAGAATAACAAATCCTCATCGAGATGAACGTGTGAAACATAGATCATGGTGTCGCCGCCTATTATAATGGTCAGTCCTTGAAGCGTTGTCTTGCGACCTTGATCAAACATGGCAGTGGGTACGTACTAATCTTTCCGTCTATGTATAACTCTTCCATATACCGAACGTATAATATCTCGTCCAAGATCTGTAGACGTCCCTCGGGTTGGATCTGACGCCGCACATCTTGGCCAGCATCCTTGAGTTTCTCGGCAGTGATCCCTCGACTCTCCTTCAACTCGCACAAAATATGGACAAGCAGCCTGATTCTCTCTAGAAATGTCCGTAGGGTTAATTAGCATTCAAACCTGTCATTTCATATGTGTAGAGGAAACGCGAAACTTACCAGCCTTTTGAAGATGGTCAGGCTCTCTATGCGTCACCCCAGTAGGCCACCATTCCGGCTTAGTCAATTCGGAGTCCATCTTCTGCGACGATCCTCCCGCAGCCCTCCGTCCATTGTACGGATGGTTGACCTGCTTGCGCGGCTCCACCAGCTTGACATAGGCCTTTGCAACGACTCTGCAGTTTAACTGCTGGAAAGCTTCGAATGCTTTCTCGTAATAGCGTCGCAGGAGCTCTGTTTGCCCAAGCCGAAGAGCGGTACGTCTTAGCGTCGGGGTAGGTGAAGCGGAGTCGAGATCCAATCCCATGCCCGAAAGTTCGTGTCTCAAACTGCGCCTATGACGCTTATTCTGCAGCGACTGCCATTCACAAGGAATAAGTCCGGGTTGTCTGGGTAAGCCCGGTTGATACCAAGTGGGTTGCAGTCCGAGGGACGGACTTGACATGAGCATTGGCTTCCCCGTGACATCGCCGTTCATGTGACCCAGTGTGTCTGTTTCGGGAAAGACCCCGGCTTGGTTACTACTTCATTCTTGGCTGGCACCCTTTCTTTCTTTCTTTCTTTCTTTCTTTCTTTCATCTCACTTACTGGCATGGAGACTTTGCAGATTGGGCTGCCACGTGGTGGCGACCGACTTCAGGAATCGGTCCTGCACATCCTCAGTAAAGATTGCCTTTTCGCAACCAGCGATAGATGGTGACGCTTCGACACGAAGCTCTCCATTGTGGTCAATGCAAAGCATCACGAAGTGTGTATAACGGAAGTTGACGGCAGTTGATGCACGTTGCATTTCCTGTTCATGATATGACATCAGTCGGATGACCCGTCCTAGTCCTGGTTGGAGAGCTTGTCCTTACCGTGTGGCTCGCCTGAGCAGTCATATCGTGATATGATAACATCTGTTGCTGGTATTTATTAGCTTTCGTCGACTGACCTATCGCACTGGTAGCACGGGCTGGACTTGTCATACTCTCTGTTATAGGAAATCGATGTCGAGCCCGAGTTACCTGCGCTCACTCTTGCCGACCACCGATAGTAAAAACAAAACAAGATACAACAACTTCACTTGAATGTTTATGGAAGCCAATGGGGTGTCGACGGCTTAAGAAGTTTCCTGGCTTTGATCTCCAAGGTTCGGGCAACGGCCTATATAGGTCTGGAACTACCAAATATATCGCGCCGAGGGAAAAAGAAATCATTGCCATCGGAGTAGTTGGCCGAAGGGCAATTACAGATGCAGACAAAAGTACGTTTGCTAACAGTCAGCCATTGGGTCATGTCATGGGAGTTCAACGCGGCCCTTTGGCACTTATGACGTGCAAACTAATGCAAGGAAAACAAATACATACAGGAAAATACTATTAACTATTACGGACAAGGCCCTATCGTCTGGCTTGTCTCCGTTGCTATGCGTGCATGGAGCCTAGTTATGCTTTTTTTCTTCTAGGCTTTCCCGTTTGAGGCTTACGTCTGGCTGCCTTAGCCCCATCTCCGATGGAGTAGAAAATCATCAGAGGGTTTATGAGGGCTCGAGCAACACGGAATGGCTGATTCGAGCATAAACAAAAACCAGGAAACATAGGTATGCCTCGCGGACCGGTTATCAGAATAATTACGTGGAATTAAACAATAACGCGGACAAGAGGGTCAGGACCAACACAGGCTATTCTTTTTAGCAAGGCACCGATTAACCCTACTTGAGATACGAAGTACTAAGTACGCGGTACAGAAGAATCTGGGCTCTCGTTGCTCCTCAGCACCTAGTGAGTTGAAAAGACACAGATCCAGATTATTGGGCTCCAAAATATAATGACAGCCATGCACTTCAGGGATCATGCATTTACGCTCGGCCTGGTTAAATTTCACCCGGGATACATGCCAAAGTGACCTTGCCCGACAATTTTGACCAAGGAACAGACTCATCTCCATCTACCAATCACAGATGTTTTTGGGATATGCGATGGTATGGATTTGACGCAATGGTGCAGCGAGCTGATACACGATAACTATCTCCTACGCTATAGCAGGTAAAGGAAGATCACATGGCACTGGAAGTACTCGGAGGTCGCGATCGAAGAGGAATGATAGGCCAATGCAGGCTCTTGCTAGCCTCTCATAGTCGTACGGCGAGCTGTGGAAATAATGCCGGCGCCCGTTCCCTCTGTCATCTCCCAAGCCTGCAGACCACTCTGAACTCTGACTGACAGCTAGATAGATTGGGTTGCTTAAGAGCGGCCTAGCAAGACTAGGGCTAGGCATGACGTTCCGCCAGTGGGAATAATTCCTTTGTCAGAGTCCTCCAATTTGGATTTGCCGGTGCTGATTCTCTTGCAGCCAGTACGGAAATTGCGGAGTTTGGGCGTAAGACCTCAAGGCCATACCGAGAGCCTGACCGCCGATCGCAGCCATACTTTGTCAAGTGTCAACGGTACCCATATTAATGTTTCATTAAGGTTCAACTGTATCGCCTTCGAGTGGAGAACGGATCAGAAAGACTCTCCTGGCGGCGGCACTTCAAAGCTAAAACATCACTGCCTTTTCCGGCCTCCCAAACAGACGCCTCTTCAAGCGACAGATTCGCACGCAGCTAGGCGTCTAGGAAAATTTGCGTCCTGATTGCTTTGGGGGGTGATTGTGCCATGTCCCACCCGGATAAGTTATCCACCCTCGGCCATTGGGGCCGGTCTTTCCATGCTCTGTGGAGCCTGCGTCAAGAACGGCTAGGCAGAAAAAGTAAGTGCTGGAGCACACGGGCCCCTTGGCTGTCTCGTCTCGCGATTCTGACCAGCCTGGCAAGCCACGGTGGACTGACGATCCACAGGATGCCTGCGTGGAACGCTAGCCGCTTGCTCAGTGGGCTCGCTAGAATGTCTATCGAGGAGAGGAACACGAAAGGAAAAGAAAAGAAAGAGGTTGATCGATATCCCTCATATTGCTGCGGGGAAGAGACTGCACCTCCATATTGCTTCTTTTATCGACCATCTGTCTGACCTTTCATCGGTGTTGAATGCCCAGACCATCCCGGTTGTAACCATCATAGAAGACATGCAGACGGTGAGACATCCACCTACGTACATCGTCATGCAAAGATGCTTCTTACCTGGAAACCCTGCATGATGGCTTGCATAGTTGAGTCCGAGCAAACGGTGACTACGGGGTAGAGCTGGCGAGGAAATGGGCAGCAAAGCCGAGGATGCCTCCTACTAACACAGTTAGAAAAATGACAGTGTGTCCTGGCGACAGCCGTCCGTCTGGTACATTACTCCTGCCCGAAGGAGACCGGACCCAGAGGATGTCACTGCGGGCTTGTCCTTGGAAGCCCGGTTCTGCGCTAGATTACGGAGTAGAGTCCGAGCACTTGCAGAAATCGATTCATCAGGCGAGTCCTGGTACTCCGACGAAGTGGAATAGCCGTCCTTCGCGCCATCCACCCAGCCCGGCCAATTGGGCCGTGGCTTGGGGAAAACTACGTATCAACCCACTAACGCAGATCATTGACTCGCTGTACACCGATCATTCGATCGATAGAATTCAAGATCCTTCACTTCGCGAGACATGCTGCGATGGTCGATTATTGATCCCCATCAAGGTTACACCCGTCTGCCCATGGGTCGACAGGTCTCTTGCACACGCCGTCCCGGGTGAGTCGCCACCGTCCGTCCTGATTTATTTTTAACATACGACACTATTTGCTCTGCACTAGTTGACAGTGGAGGAGACAATCCGAAACGTCGGTGCTTGCTCGACTTTCAAAGACCCGTTTGCCCGGAAAACCATGGCGAGGACCAAATCAGGTAATCCGCCGGACCCAGTCGCATTACATGTACTCCGCACCCAAGGAGCAGGTCCGGGGTTGATGGTTTCTCGCCTGAAACTGGCGGCTGATTGCCAAGCCCAAGAGGAGATTCGGCCTCGTACAGAGGCGACGAAGCCACCAATGTCCTGAGGAAGACAATGTATTCCAGCCATCTGTGTTCAGAGACAAGCTATCTAAACCGTTGTGGAGCTTAAAGTATGAAATACCAAGCCCCAGCTTTCCTCTTCCGTCCCGACTCCCGAGGGCCCTTGCGGACTATCAAATTCTGACAGGGTCCGGTCCAGGTCGACCATACTTTCGATGAAATGCTAATCGCGTGGGCGCCGCACCATCAATCATACGGAGACAAGGATGCCGCGGGTAGATATCTACCATGCATACTTTATTTGTAACAGCACATCGGCCTCCGCTTCGAATGACCTTTTACAGATTGAGGATCGCGGCGCTGGAGTAGGGAACCTCGATCTCCACCAACCCATCGTTGCCCACCGAGACCGCCTCGCCTGTCGTTACGTTCTGCAGTCGAACTGGCTTGCCTTGCGCCAGCTCGTAATTGTAAGACCATCCGTCCCAGGTGATCCCCGTGATGGCGTCGCTGCCGTTCGCCATCAGCCGCTGCACCGAAACCGAGGCGGCGTACGCCGACCCAGACGAAGGCAACTGGAACCTATACTTTGCGCTGGGTCTGCTCTCCACTTTCTCCGCGGTCGAATCAGTCGAGGTATAGTTGAACTCCACCATGTTGAGGACGGCCACTCGGACCAGAGAGCCATTGACATACGCGGCGTATGCGGCTTCCGTATCCGCGGCCAGCGGGAGATTGACAATTCGGACATCCTCTCCGCCGTGGAGCATGGCCGCCACCATGGCGTTGCCGTAATAAGGCGCCTTCGTGCCTATCGTGGTACGATTCGTCCCAACAGGTTGCCAGGAGATGTAACGATAGTTAAGTCCCTGGTGCATATGGGATCGACGGATGCTCTGCGAGGCGCAGTAAAGGTTGAAATCCACGCCCCAAAGCGCAGCCCCGAAGGAATTGGACAGTCCAGGCGCGCCCTCGTTGTACAAGGAGTTGGTCTCGCCCAGGATGTATGGAATATCCGTGTTCAGACCCTTCTCCGAGAGGATACGAGAGACGTTGACCTGCTGTGCGACACTTTCCACCGTCTTAGTATGGTTCATTAGTGTATTCTGCAGTGTCACTCCCGGCTGAGTGGCGCCCCCAATGTAGCTGCGAATCGCAGCCTGTTAGCAAAATCCGACCTGTACTCATTCCATTTCCAGTACAACTGGGGCTGGGGCTGGACCGGCAAACTCACTTGTGCTCGGAATTGAGGGCAATGTTCCGTCGCCTATCGAGGCCCTTTTCCCACGTCACCACGGGATTCAAGCTATTCGATACCCCAGCAAATGACGGCGCAATGTACTTTGATTCTGCGAACTCAGGGCACGCCTCGACCAATCTCCGCTCAATGGCTGAGGACTTGTTCCCCCATTCATCCACGTAATCCTGCTCCGTCCAGTTCGCCGGCCGCACAATGCCCTGCGCCGACGTCTTGTACAAATCCGGCTCATTGCCCAGTTCCCAGTACGCCAACTTGCCTCCTTCGAGCGCCTTACACGCCACGGGCACCGACTCGAGCATCAGCTCCACATCCGTCGAACTATTCTTTCCCAAGTTAAACCCATGGATGAACTTCGTCCCCGGCCAGGTGAAGTACGACTCAAAGAAGGCCGGTCCAAAGGACAAGATCAGCGGATAATCCGTAGCTATGCTGGTGATGTAGGTAGCATTCGTCGCTACCTGCAGATCCTTGTCATACAACGCGTAGTCCCTATCATCATCTCAAGTTAGCCCTACCCCTCTTTCCCCCCCCCTCCCCCCGCCTCGAACTTAACCACAGCTTGATATACAGGGTAAAAAAGGGCAATACATACTGCGTATTCCCTCCCACTCGAATAAACGGCTTCTCACCCTGCAATTCAGCCAGATTATCCAGTAACTGATTCGAGAATAAATTCGGATGTGATCGGTTTCCTACCATATCCCGCATAAGTATATATCGATACCATGGATGCACTTCCCCATTCCCATCTCCACTCCCAAACCATCAACTAAACCAACCCACAATTCCAAATAGGATAGAGGGGCAAGATGAGAAAAGAGGGGAAGGAAAAGAGAGGCGGGGAGGGGAAGGGGGCTTGTATTATACATACCGGCATAATCCGGAAAAAACGCAAACTCAATCGAAAACGACACGAACGGGTGCAGAACCGCCAGACCCGCGGTGTCAGGGACGGATGTACTCAAACGTATCGAGTCAGATTCCCGAGTAGTAATTCCCGAGGGAGCTGCGAATACACCTCCTAGGAAGAGAAAAAGAGGTGGAATTGTTGTCGTTGGATGCATTTTCAGGCTTAATTGTATCTAATTCAATTAATCCACTTTGATTTCAATATTTAGGAAGGGGGGGGGAGGAAGAGACGGAAGTCCTTCTTATATATATTAGTAGTATGTAGTATGATGCAGGGCTGTGAATGCGCTATTAATAATAATATAATTCAGGGTCTTTAGGGATGTGGGGGAATATAGCCGATGGGGGTAAATATCACTCCATTAGAATGATTGGAGGGGATACAATTGGCCGTGGGGGAATTTCCTCCGGTGCTGCGGGGTTGGAGGTAGGGATTGGGATTGGGATTGGGATTGGATTGGATTGGGATCGGAACTTGTGGCAGGGAGTTGTCACTGTAGATCGGTTTTGCTTGCTTAGTAGGTGACATGGACGGATCGTGGTTCGGCATGTTCATGGACCGAGGTTTGTGGGAAGGAAGGGGTTGCTGGTTGATCAGAAGAGAAGAGAGAACTAGGGGCCAAGAGCATGGACTACTGTTAGTACAATGTCATCCTGTCATCAAACAACGCAAATAACCATCGCATTAATCCGTAAACAGTTAAGCTGATAAAAACATGCTGCCCATCAAGCCATAGTTGGATATTCTACATAACATTGAAAGGGGGAAGAGCGGATTCCGCCAGGTGGTTTAGTTGTATTTACGGAGCTGATTGAGGAGTTAGTGATTGATTGATAACACCATGGGGAAAGAGGGGACGTACATCAAGGGTCAGCGATTTACTGCTGTTCTCCACCTGATCTCGGTAGATTCCCACCAACGCCTCACTGTTCTGGAATAGCCCGTTCTTCAAACTGATCACGATGAACTGCATTCCTGGCGCAGCGTGGTCGTGGATGTAGTTGGCGATACGGGCCACGTTGGTGTTGTCTAGGGCAGCGTCGACCTCGTCCAGCACGAAGAACGGCGACGGCTGGTAGGAGTGGATGGCGAACAGCAGAGCCAGGGCAGCCATAGTCTTCTCACCACCGGAGAGGTGCTCCATGTCTCGGAATCGCTTGAGAGGGGGCATGGCGTGATATTTGATACCGTCCAGGTAAGGTTCGTCCGAGTCCTCAATGTCGAGATAACTGTTTGAGGTTAGGTTGCTAATGCATCGAGATTCAAGTGATAGGCACTCACGCTTGTCCACCCAGCGGGTAGTTGGTGCTCTTGGTCAGTTCACGATAGATAGGGCCGATCTGCTCGGAAATGTGCGAGAAGGCCTTGTTGAAGAGATCTGATCGCTTGCGCATCGCTTCCTCAAAGTCCTCTTTGGTTTTTCGGGCATGCTTGCGAGATTCCTCAAAGTCCTTCTCCGTGGCCTTGAGCTTATTCTCCACGCTTTCGAGACGCTCCATGGCGCGCGTGTTGGGGGCCATCTTGTCAAGGTCGCTGTTGAGAGATCGGACTGTTTCGAGGAGCTCATCCTCTGCCTTGTCGTCATCCTGATGATGAGTTAGCTATGTTTCAGATAGGCAATCAGCCATATAACCTACCTTCTTGAGGGTGTCTCCCAGGGAGTCAAAGTCCACTTCAATGCCATAATCCTGCACAGTAAATGCCTCCCCGCTGCCGCCGTTCGCATCTTCGTCCACATCCATGGCATCCGGGTCTGCAGCCTGAACCAATTCATCGATGGGGAGTTGATCAAGAGGATCCGAATCCTCAGTCAGGGGAATATCGATGTCTTCAAGCTTGCAACGCCGGAGTAGAGCGTATCGACTAGACGAATTGCGCTGTATCTCCGCCTCGAGGGCATTGACGTTCTTGATCGTCCCCTCGACTTCTCTGCTGCGCTTCTGGAGCTCCCGGCGATGTTGTGCGAGGTTCTCAGCCGAGTGCGCGTAAGCCTCCCTTTGCTTTTCAAGTTTTTCGCGAAGGATGTCAAGCTCAGCATTGAATTCATCCAGTTGGTTTCGAATGTTTTCCTGCTCGGCCTCGAGCTCCTCGATCAGCTGCTCGTCGCGCTGGTGTTGTGCTTGAAGCCCGGCAACACGATCAGCAGTTGTCTGAAGGCGCTGCTTCTCGAAGCTAAGCTGATTCTCAATTCTACTCTTTTGTGTGGTGAATTCGAGCTTCTTCTGAGCAGCCTCTTCCTGTAAGGAGCCCTGCTGCACTTCATATTCACGGATATTGCTATACCCGAGGCGTTTGCAGAACTTCCGGTACACTTCATCCTCCACGCTGCTGACGGTTTCTTGGGACGTAGTAATCGTCTCATCGAGCTCTTCCAAGATTTCTTGGCGCTCAACATACTTTGGCCGTATTTCCTCGAGCTGGCGCTTCACAAAGTCCAGTTCACTATGCTTGCTTTCGAGGTTCCTTTCTAGGGCCTTCAGTTCCTCACGAGCGTAGGCGAGACGTTGCTCAAGTCCTACCAATTCACCCTGCAGCGTCTCTTCCTCAGTACCCCGGCGGTGTCCCTTGGGCAGGTTGCCCAGGTCAGCCAGTAGCTTGTCCTTGAGCTTGTACAGATTCTCCACCTCAGAATCCTCCCAGCGCTTCGAGTTCTGCTGAGGGCCGCGACCACCAGTCATCAAACCACCCTTGTGAATCACAGTCCCATCGAGAGTGACAGCCTTCGCATCGATATTCCTTTCGTAGCACAGGTACTTGGCGGTTGCCAAATCGTCGCACACAATAGCGTTTCCGCAAGCGTAGCTGATGGCTCTAGCGACCGAGTCATCATAATCAACGGTCTCGATGGCCGGGCGCATGCCCCGATGCAGACCCTTCAAGTTGGAGTTGAATGCCTTGACCTGAATCGTCTCCAGCGGAATGAAGGTCGCCTGGCCAGCTCTTTGATCGCGAAGGTGCTGGATGCACTCCTTCGCCGTCTTTTCGTTGTCGACCACGATGGCATCAAAGTGCCGACCAAGCACGGTGCTCACTGCTTCAGCGAACTTCTTCTGCTTCGGCTTGCAAAGATCACTGACACGACCTTTAACGCCCGGGAAGATCCGCTTGAGGGTCGAAATCAGCTCCTTAGCTCGAAGGTCCCTTTCGGACTGCTTCTTGCCATCGTCAGCCTCGAGAAGCTTCTTCAACACAACCTGGAGCTTCTCCTCCAGTTCCGTCCTCATCTGTGAAACACGTAGCCGCTCGGAGGTAAGAGCGTTCAGCTCCTTCTTCTTGCGTTCGATCTCTTTCGACGTAGTCTTGACAGTATCGGTGACAGACGACTTGCGCTCGGCCAGTGTCTGTGTTTCGGACTCCAGGGTCTTAAGCTGCCACTCGGTACCTTCGAACTTGCTCTTCAGGCTGTTGTAGGCTTCCGCTTCAGTCTTGCGCTGACGACGCAGATTGTCCAGGTTCAACTGTTCCGCCGACGATCTCTTGTTGACCTCTTCTTTGAGCCGCTTGTACTCCCGTTGATCAGCCTCGCTCAGCTGCCCACCTTGTTTGCTCATCGTCTTCTGCCACTCGGCCTCCCACTGAGCCTGGGCCTTCTCGACGACCTTCAGATCCTTCTCGAGCTGCTTGGCATTTGCGGCCTGGGCCTCGCGCTCTCTGGTGATTTCTGCAATCCGGGAGGAGAAGCGATCGACCTTCTTCTTCGTAATATCGACCTTTTCATCCACAGGCACCAAGGCATTCGTAGACTCTTCAATCTCTTTCTCCTTGGCGACGATGTTCTTCTCGGCTTTGGCAACATCCCTTCCCACTCTTGCATGGTCCTTCTTCGCATCCTCCACATTCTTCTCGTATTTCTCAACACCGCGGCGATATTCCTTGAGCTCATCCTGGTATTTCTGAATGTCCGCACTGGAGGCATCGATCAGACGCTGGAAGTGAAAGAGCTTCCACAAGATATGCGTAATAATGGCCTGGTCGCGCTCCTCCGCCTTCCTCGCATAGTTCTCGGCCTCGCGCTTTTGCTCCTGGTACTGTTTGATCTCCGAATTGATACCTCTGCGACGGTTCAGCTGGACGGTCTGTTGCTCCGCGGCTTCCTCAGCCTCCGCCTTCAAGCGCTCATATTCAGCCTTGTATTCCAAACTGCCGGAGATCTGCTCAATCAGCCGGGTCAAATCCTTAGGCGACTGCGAGGCAATGGCCTCAACATCACCCTGGAAGACCAGGAAGTTGCGCGCCTTGATCAAGATGTTCTCCGACTCGAGTGCCTCATTATACTGCTGCGCCGTGACAATGCGATTGTTGATCCGGTACTCGCTGACACCCGCACTGGTGATGGACCGCCGCCATTGCTGCTCCTCGCCCGCATCGTCCTCGTACACCGCCATGACCCAGGCAGTCCGGGGGTCGTTCGATCCGCTCGGGTCCTGTGACTGTTCGCCGTCGATTCCATCCTCCGCTTGATCGTCACCGTTGGCCTCTGTCTCGATGGCGTTGCCGCTCGCATCCACCTTTGACGTGCGCAGGACACGACCGCGGTAGACGAGATCGCGAAGGTTCGTGGATCGCAGATGGGACGACTTGATACCTAGAACGAATGAAATCGCATCCATACTATGAGATGTCAGCACGAGGTTTTCCGCGAAATGACTAGAGATACACACGAGTTCGACTTTCCGGACCCATTGGGTCCGATGATGGAGGTGAAGTAGGCATCACCGAATAGAAGCACATGGTGACCCTTGTATGATTTGAAGTCTAGCACGAATGTCAGTGCATTCGTCGGTGATGGGTGGAGGATGCCTCATACTAAAAAGCTCGAGACGAATGAGCTTTCCCATGTTGCGACGGACAGCCGCGTTTCAGCGACTGTGGGGAGGATAACAGATCGCGAGGGAGGGTTATTGATGGTTGTTGAGCTTCGCCTCAGAGGTTTCTCAGAGGTTAGGCGGAAGGCTGGAACAGCCCAAGGCAGGGTCGGGTGTTGTGGAGGGGCTCGCGCAGTGGCTATCTCGAAGTCGCGTCACGGACGGCGGTTGATTGATTGATTGATTGGGGGACGCGCTGCGGAGGGTCACGTGGCGCCGCATATACTACGGACCCCGGCCGCGGCTGACAGGCCACAGTCTCTACCTTTTACGTGTTTTTATGTGGGGTGTGGTGATTGTTCGGTTTTCATTGTGATTCCATATGTACATGGTGGCTTGGCATGAAGGGATTGCTGCGACGTACCGCATCGCAGGCTAATGGCAAAGGAAATGGCAAAGTATAGAGTAATTAGACATCAAAAGAAGGATATCATGGCGAGACCGGATAGCTCGTCCTCAAGCTCACATCAGCGCCGGAAACTCACGGGGTTGCCGATGAGCATAAAGTCCCGCGAGACGAAACCGCCGGAATCCATGCGCAAAACGCCCTTCTGGCCCTCAACCTCCAAAAGGATAAAGTCTTCCTGGCTAAAGATTTGCCGGACAGACCGGAACAGTCTCCAGAATGCCATGCTCGTCCTTTTCAAAGGATGCCTAAAGAAGCTCACCTTCTCTGGCTGGCCATGAGCCGCAGCTTGAGGTCCTGCGTTGCCAGCGGAGTCTGGAAGCGTATCCATAAGCGACTCTGGGAGCGAATCCGGGGAGACCACCAAGCGGCGGGAGAAGGCTATTTGGCGTGGCAAGGCGTCAAACTCGTAGGGCTTGCGGAAAGGGATCATGCTTCGCACCGTGAAGCGAAGATGAGTGTGGCCATTGATAGGAAGGGCCTTTACAGCCTTGATCAACCGGGTAGTTTTGAAGAGAAACACCGTACCCATCACGCTCATCGTTATGCAGATACCGCCAAACAAGCCCTGCTGCCACATAGGGAGAGGCACGAGCGGGTCGCGGAAGACCGCGTTGGAATTGTACACGGAGTAGGCAAAGCAGAAAGCGGCGATACCGTATGCACCCAACACGTAGCCACGCTGTGATGGTGCCCGGAACAACACGATCTCTCCCTCCTTAGCAACCTTCCGTTCCAACTTTCCGAATCCCTCAGGGCGTCTTCCGGCGAACTTCAAGGAATCTTCAGGCTCACGCGGCTTGGGCGCGGCCTGTTTGGCTCTGCTGGCGGCCTTGCCGGCGGCCTTTGTTCGCGATGCGCTAGAAGAGAAATACCTCCATGCTGGGCTGGAGGACTCGAGAGCGGAGAGCGTGCTTCGAGGGCATTGTTGGGAGAATGCCCGGAAGGCAAAGGACCGGGCAAACATGGTGTCGACCTAGCTTCTCCGATGGTTAGAATCAGGTCAAGATGCAGGCGGGCAAGCAGCCTCCGCGTTCGTTGAGCTTCACATCTCCAGACTGGCAGGCAGACCGCGCAACGACGCAGGCAGCAGACAACAGAGAAGACTCACCAAGGGAGGAAGCGAGGGGAGGGCAATGGCTTCTTGATAAGGCCAGAAGGTCAAGCCGTTGTTCTCCGCGGCAGAAAAATGTTCCCGTCCGGGCGGCCGGTGAAGCTCCCAACAACCTCAACCATCTCCGCGCTGACCCTTCCGATCGCGACGCAATCCTCCGGCTTGGACGTCTACACCGTTGAATCGCAGATCGCGACATTACCCCGAGCTCCTAGAGTCCCCGGTGATTCTGTGCGGCCCCGTTAGCCTGGTGGTGGGTATCTGTTGATCCCATCAATCCTTGTCCGCCGACTCCAACTCCAGCGCTCGCGATCCCGACGATAACCACGCCTCGGAGAACACCCTCCTCTTTCCATTCAAGGACCAGACACATCCTCGAACAGAATGGCCTCCAGCTTCTCTGTGTGCCGGCTTCCGGCCGCGCTTGCCCGTCGCCAATCCCGGGTTCTCAGCACTTCCAAGCGTGAGTTTCCCGCCGGAATATATTCAGATATCAACTTCCACTTCACCACCACCTCATTCTCGTCCACTTCCGCATAGCAATTGCCCTGCAATATCCCCCGCTAACATTACATTCACTCCCAATAGGTCTGGCCTCCACCTCAGCCCCCCAGTTCCAAAACCCCGCCTACCCACTGTATCCGTCTGTCATCCAACTCCTCCACGAAAAGGGCATTCCGGAATCCGAAGTGTCGAAGATCCCGGCGTCCGGCCCCAAAGGCCGTCTCCTGAAGGGCGACGTCCTCGCCTACCTGGGCGTCATTCCCGCCGACTACCCCTCCGCGCAAGCGGCGCGCCTCTCCAAGCTCGCCCACCTCGACCTGAGCAACATCAAGATCGCCGCGCCCGTCAAGCCCGCGGAGCCCGCCCCCGCCGTTGAGAAGCCCGTTGCGCGTCCCCCGCCGACCACGTCGGTCGCCATCTCCGTCTCCCTGGCTGCCGTACTGTCCGTCCAGAAGAAGATCCAAGAAACGCTCGGCGTAACGGTGCCGCTGTCGACGTTCCTGACCCGTGCCACGGACCTGGCCAACGATGATCTGCCTCGGTCATCGCGCGAGACCCCGTCCGCCGACGAGCTGTTTGAGGAGATTCTGGGCGCCGAGCCAGTCAAGACTTCTCGGGGCGAGTACATCCCTGAGCTGAATGCTGAGACGGCTCAGCCGGTTAAGCGCGTGCAGAAGAAGGAGGCGGATCTGATTGACTTTTTGTCCGGAAAGGTGGCCAAGAAGGTTGCTGCCAGAGTTGCGGAACCTTCGGTTGAGCCGGCGACGAACGTGTTCAGCTTGACGGTTCCCGTTGCCGAGGAGAAGAGGGCGAAGGTTTTCTTGGACCGCGTGAAGGAGTTGTTGACCGTTGAGCCTGGCAGGCTGGTTCTATAGATATTATCCAACATTTCTTTTCCTTTCTCTTTCCATTTCGTGCTGTAAGTTCTACGAGAGATGTTCCATCTTGGATTAAATCCCAGCTAATAATATCTTGCTCTCTAGTATAAACATCAAGAAGGTAATGAAATAAACTACCTCCCCCGCTTTCCAGGGGAACTGGTCCTGGGTGGTGAAACCCCAACTTGAAATACTACTATAGAATAGTGGGTCAATGCGACTCTTTACTCTTGCCCATCTCATTTGTCTCAATATATAGAAGGAATATGTACTCGAGCGCTGTGTTGTGTCAAATTACATCTACACTACTACTACTACTTTGTTTCAATTGTCGTAGAGAACGACAATTGATCATACTATCTCTTGCTTCGTAGTGTACCAATCCCCCGAAGCTCTGAGCATGCATGAAGTGAGTGCAATACGACTAAATAGCCACCAGAGGAGGGAGGGAAGGGTAAATACGTCTTGTATGTATTGTCATTTCATCATCGAGTCTGAGTAAAGAACAGGTAGGTAGGTAGGTACATGATGCAATTATGGGGAGGTGTTTGTTTAAGGTCGAGAAAAGTCCCACCACCGTTCCGTATAAGCAATGAGTAACGCCTCGTTCTGGTCAACCTAAGCCGAGGAAACACCATAAGCGCCACCGCTGATATTCATTCCATGGATAAAAACTGCGAATGTGTCTGCTGGAAAGACACTATGAAAATAGGCTCAAAGGAACAAAGGAGCAAAGAGCAAAGAGCAAGGACGAGGCCGGATACATGGATCGGAAATTCGGAGATGATGATGATGATGTTGATGACGATGATGATGATGCAGAACAAAGACCCTGTAGTAGTCACCCATGAAATGCTGTAAACCCACGAGATGCGAAAAATGCCAAGTTAGACCGTAGAAACCCTCCTCCAGACCGTCCAAGGACAGACCCAGCATCGAAAAGAACGCCAAAGCCCGGAAACGCCATATCTAATGCATATCGGAAATCCCAACGAAAAGTCCAGGACGCCATGGCACCCAATCACTGAAATGAACTGCGATTCCGTCACCGGATGGTACCCCATTCTGCCAGCTTGCTACCTTCACGGCCGTGCTCTCTACCCGGTCGTTTGTTGAAGATCTTCCAGAACCGCAGGGTTTCATCCCCGGCGCCAGTCACCACAGTTTGGCCATCGGGGCTCATTGCCAGGTAGAGCACACGGAAGGTATGTCCGGTCAGAGATACTATTTGTTCCATGCGTGGATACTTCCAGATGACAATCTGGTTCTGGCTGTAACCATGCGTGCTGATGATCTCATCGGAGTTCTTTGACCACGCCAGGTTACAGACCTGACTGCCTGTATCGACCTCCTTGATCAAGGATCCGGTCGACGTGTTCCAGAACTTGATGGTTCGATCGGCCGTACCACCTCCGGAAGCAAGAAGATGGTGCTGATGGGGTGACCAAGCGATGGCCTTGACGGCCGCAGTATGGTCGGAAAAGCGGTAGAGTGGTGTTTCGTTCAGTTTGTCCCACACCAACAGCTTGTTATCGTTTCCGCCCGAGGCCAACTGTCCATCCTCTGTGTTCCACCGGAGACCACAAACCTCTTGCTTATGACCAGATAAGCGACGAAGGTACTGGTCTGGCGAACGGACATCACGATGGAAAATCAGTCGGTCTCGAGAGCCGGATGTGAGGATATGGTCATTCCAAGCCAACGCGCCCACACGATTCGTATGCCCGATCATCGTGCGAAGACGGCGGCAGCGCTCGGCATCCCATATTTGTACAAGACCCTTGCCTGTGCCTATTGAGAGATGTGTGCCCTGGTTCAATTAGTGATTGTGTCGAGTATGATGGCATAGACTCACTCTTTGGATCCAGCTAACGCTTGTGACTGTATCATCTCGCAGCTCACAGAGTTTCGTCACTCGGCCTGTCTGTGAGTTCCACATGTAGACCGAGTTCCCCAGACCCACACCCAAAACATTACTGCTTCCCCAATCGACGAGGTTGAGATAGAAATCATCTTGCAGATCGGGCGCATCAAGGACCTTGTAGGGCACCTTGTTCACATAGCGGGGTTGTTTACGCGGAGTCTCCAGGATCCGTTGGCTGTCGAGTCGGATCGGCGATAGACTATAGAGCTCGGATCGGACATTGAGGTTCGGACCGTGCTGACTTCGGGGGGTCTTTGAAGGTGTCGGATGAGCTGATCCACGTGGTGAGGCGTAGTTGAAGAGGTTCTTGTGCGGGGTGGAGGGTGTTATGCTAGCAGGTGGTAGATTCGACACAACATGTGAAGGTGGCGTATGAGCACGGGTCTTGTCATTGATTCCATTCCCCAATCCCATCAAGGGGTCCGGTGACAGGGAGTCGAGGTCGGCCTGGGGAACAGTGTTCCCGAATAGCTCACTCCGCAACACCCTCGAGTACATGCGATTTGCTTCTTCCGCTGCACTCTCGTTAGCTAATGATCGGCATCGCCGGGGTCAGGACGGATGCGACTCACTCTTTTGGAAATGAAGCTCCGAGTGTGGGGCGCGCTTTTTCGACTTGGACGGCGTTGAAGGGCAGCCGTCCTCATGGAGCAGGCTGTACGTTGCTTGGAGGTCTTGCCCCTCACGATTGGGGATGAATCTGCATCGACATGTTAGGGAGATGATGTCAAGGCGTCTTTGCGACAGGCGCAACTATCTCAAAGAGCGCCATGGGAAGAGTTACTGACCTGTCGCCGTACACTCTCTGTCTCTTCCGACTGGGGCTGGTCCCAGGCGTTCTCTCGCGGGAATGCCCAGCATCCTCATAATCCTTCAAGGCCTTCGCAAGCGCATCGGGATCGATCGGCTCAGAGGTGTTTCGAGACTTTTGGCGCCTTCCTTGTGGTTCCGGGTAAAAGAGCGTCTTCTTCGACGGCATACTAGGGGGCGTCCTAGAGCCAGGAGGGGATGCGATGGTCAATGCATTTGGTGGAGCACGTTCCGGCGACTTCGCGGCCGATGCACCTGCAGCGGCATGGCGGGTGGCCGAACGATCGGATTTCTGGGGGTCGCCCATGGCTGCCGGAGGGGCGAACCTCACGAAGTGCAAATGGCGGTCGAATGCGGGATCAACTGAAGTAGGGTCAATGCGACAGGTCTCGAGCGTCGTCGGGTCGCAAGTGGCGGCCGTTCAGAGGAAAAAGATGGACGTAGTAGGTGGGTATAGAGATAGGAACGGATATGGGGTTGTCTTGGTGGTCAATCGGTGCTCCGGGGTCGGGGGTGTTGGTGAATGCAGAGGTTGCTGATGACAACAACCAAACCCTTGTGTTTCCGCTCCGATCAATACACCAAACCAAAGCAACTGGGGCACAAGCGGGCAGCGAAGTGAACAAAGGTTGACGACACAGTGTCTCTCACCAGACCGGAGGCAGACAAGGACAAAACACAGGATTTGTGGAGGTCATTTGAGACTGACCTGACCACCGTCTGGTGAGGATGGGAGGATTGAGACAGTTGATCCAAGGGTTGGCGATGGGCCTCTTGCTCGCCCGTTCGAAGGGGAGCCCCAGGCTGCGGTCACGCGTCGCCCGCGCTAAGCCGTTTTGGGGCGACCCCAGGAGGTTGGTGTTATTCTTACAACTGGGAGGTTTCCGGTGCAGTCATGGTGAATTTGTCCCTCGTTGGGAGCCAGAAAAAGGGTGCCATCGTGATCATGGAGGCTTTCCGATCCCTCCCCTCCACCATGAGGGGTGGTGGTGGTGATCCCGTCAGCGGTTGTCGCATAGTGATTGTTTATCTGCACCCGCCGCAATGCACGTCCATCTCTGGTCCATTGTGACCCTCCTTCCCCAAGAGACAGGTCCTTTTCTGAAATGAGCCATTGCATCCAAGCTACTAGTCCATCTGACATGAAACCATTTTCATCCAATCCCATCAGATTGCTGCTTCACCAGGAGGCGTCCCATGAACTGACGCGAAGCGCCGGCGCGGTGATTGGGCCAGCGCGCTCTACCCGTTGTTATCGATTGTCGCAGGGCCACGAGCACTATCGCGACCGCCTCCATTCCACGCGCCTGGAGAACGCGACAGCAAAGCTTGGGCCATACAGCGCTGAAGGACAGCGGTCCAAGGAGACTTTCCAGCCAAAGAAACCGATCGAGATTCCCCTCGCCATCTGCGTCGATCCCGTACAACATTAGCCTAGCATAACGGCTCAACTCGTGGCGCACATTTCCCAGGGTAAGCTGGCGATCAACCGCCGTCCTCCGTACCGAATTCTGATCTAGTACTTCACTGGTGTCAAATAACGGTCGACTACGGAGTACTTTTTGATTATTTCGACTATGATTTCGACTTGCTTTTTCTGTCTGTAGGGAAACGCCGTGTTTCAAGTTAACTACAGTGACAGTATTCTATTACCTGGGCACGATACACCGACAGTGTCTTTCAAGACCATGTCTAACTTTCAGAGAGACAGAGAGACAGAGCGACCAGGATGGTTTCACTTGCAACCTGGTGAATGGTAGGAACCCTTCGTCCAGAATGCAGAGCAGAGGGAAAAAGCAACCCCAAGTGAATTCAAATGAAACCCGGAGTATGCTAGACACAAGGGGGTTGCGGGCCCAGACCCTGTCAATCCGCATGAAGTCATTGACTCAACACCGTTTCACTGCCCCAAATCCATGATCCATACACTCACTCCATGACCTCCCATATAGGAAGGGAACCTCTCCTCGCCGCGCCAGATGGCTTCTTATCGCTTGGATTCCACGTCGGCAAATGGATAAGCGAATAAGCGAGATGACTAGGTAGATAGATTAGATTCCGTAGTCACGATACACGATACACACGACACACGACGTCCAGCTGTTCCCTCGCCAGGCAACTGACCGCCTTGGTATGATCTCATGCCACTTTCCCCTTCCGTGATCCTCATGTTCCTTTGACCACCGCCCCCAGGGTCCTTCAAGACAAAATGACTTCTAAGATCGCCCAAAACCTGAAACAGCCGGCTCTGGACTTCCTGTCCTTTGTCAATGCTTCCCCGACCCGTAATTCTTCCCCCAATTTGCCCTAAAGCACAACTCTGACGGTCCGTTGTAGCTTTCCATGCCGTCCAGTCCGCAAAGGACCTCCTCGCCAAGGCTGGCTTCCAGGAGATCAAGGTATGCAATGCAATGCAGTCAGATGATCCCGTCACCGATGTAACGCCTAATCCCGGCACAGGAAAAGGATTCCTGGTCGTCGACTTGCCGGCCCGGAGGAAAGTACTACTTGACCCGCAACCAGTCGACCATTGTTGCCTTTGCAGTGGGAAATAAATGGAAGGTATGATTTCTCCAGGTCTACTCGGGGGTCTGGACTAATTGCAGCTGGCAGCCTGGTAACCCGATCTCGATGATCGGAGCCCACACGGATTCTCCCGTCCTCAGAGTCAAGCCTGTCAGCAACAAGCGCGGAGAAGGTTACGTCCAGGTGGGCGTGGAGACCTATGGCGGTGGCATCTGGCACACATGTTCGTGTTTCCGCTGCTTTACCATGTACCTTGCTAACAGCTCCAGGGTTTGACCGCGATCTGGGAGTGGCCGGTCGGGCTATGGTCCGGAACGGTGATGGTTCGATCGTGCAGAAGCTGATCAAGATTGACCGGCCCAGTATGACACCCTGGCTTGTGTAAAACGGCATGATCTGACCACCCATAGTTCTCCGCATTCCCACGCTGGCCATCCACCTGGATCGCCAAGAGACCTTTGCATTCAACAAGGAAACCCAGCTGTTCCCCATTGCTGGTCTTGTCGCTGCTGAGCTGAACCGTACCGGTGCCTCCGACGAGGCCGGCGACAAAGCCGCCTCTAACGGAGCCAATGGAGAAGAGAAGGGCGACTTCTCTCCTCTGAAGGCCATCACCGAGCGCCACCACCCTTACCTGGTCGAACTGATTGCTGCCGAAGCCGGCGTCAAGCCTCTGGATGTCCTTGACTTTGAGATGATCCTCTTCGACACCCAGAAGTCGAATCTCGGTGGACTGCTGGAGGAGTTCATCTTCTCTCCTCGCCTGGACAACCTGAACAGCTCCTTCTGTGCTACTGTTGGTCTGATCGATTCCGTGGCTGATGCTTCCGCGTTGGACGAGGAGCCCGCCATCCGTCTCATCGCACTGTTCGACCACGAGGAAATCGGAAGCCGCACCGCTCAAGGCGCCGACTCCAACATCCTCCCCTCCGTCATCCGTCGCTTGTCCGTGCTCCCTTCGACCGCCGGCGGTGATGCCGATATCTCCACTGCCTACGAGCAGACTCTGTCCACGTCCTTCCTGGTGTCCGCCGACATGGCGCATGGTGTCCACCCGAACTACAGTGCAAAGTATGAGAACGACCACCGCCCCCAGATCAACAAGGGCCCGGTAATCAAGATCAACGCCAACGCGCGCTACGCGACCAACTCGCCTGGTATTGTCCTTCTCCAGGAGGTGGCCCGCAAGGCGTCGGAAGACGTTGGCGAGGGGGTTCCCCTGCAGCTGTTCGTCGTCCGCAACGACTCCAGCTGCGGCAGCACCATTGGCCCCATGCTGTCTGCAGCACTGGGAGCTCGTACCCTGGATCTGGGCAACCCCCAGCTCAGCATGCACAGTATCCGCGAGACAGGCGGCACCTACGATGTGGCGCACTCGATCCGGCTGTTCACTGGGTTCTTCAAGCACTACGCCAACCTCTCCAAGACGATCTTTGTCGATTAGGGTGCATATAGATACATTGCATGAACATGGCACCTTGCCTATTATTATACCAACATACCCTATATAAGCAAAATCCAAACCTCAGTATCTACGTACTCTATACATAGAACTAGCCGAACATAATAACCCGACCCCAGACCCTCACCCCGGATAGTTCGGGCCGAGAAAAGTCCGCGGCACCTGATCCGCATCATCGGCCATCATCTCCATCTCCATCTCTCCACCTCCCCCCATCTCCACCACCCAACACCACTCTCCTTATCTGCAACGGCGCCCCTGATATTCTTCCTCGCCACGCCCATCCGCCATCCATGCCCCCATGACCCTCTATGACCACACCGGACGTCTATCGTGATGCGGAATACATCGCTGACGTGTCCGGCATCATCCCCTATGGCGAGACCCATGCTCCCAGCCACAATGCCGACCTCACGGCCCGCCTAAAAAAGGTACAAACGGCCGCGAAAGTCGCCTTTATTGATCGTCTCCTCCGCGACCTGGATATATTAATTTATTGCGAGCTTTCGATTTTGTATTATATGGAGTGCGTCCACCAACCCTTAACCTAATCTCCCAGATAAACCATTTTATACCATCTCCCCACTACCCATTAACAAAATCAATGCCAATACTAACCCTACTGCCAATAAAACCAGCTGCTCAATAACCCTCCTCTCCCTCCGCGCCATCATCCAACTCATCTTCTTCACCCCCAAATCCCCCCCCTTCGAACCAACCCGCAACCAACCCTTCATCACCGCCATCCTCGGCAGTAATTTCTTCTGCATGCTCTTCCACCATTTCTTCACGCGGCCGGAAGCCGGCGAAGCGACGCGCGGATACCTCCACGGCGGACTCTTGATCGATTTCATTGGCCAGAAGGCGCCGATTCCGTTGGCTCGGTTGCTGTTTTTGGATGTGTTGGTGTTGGGGCTTGATTTGGTTATGTTGGGGTTGATTGTGGAGAGGGTGAGGATTGTGGAGGAGAGGGGCGGTGCGGGGGCGGGGACGGCGGTGGTGGTGGAGGAGGAGGGGGGGTCGAGTGAAGATCAGGATCGGGATCGGGATCGGGATCATGATTTGGAGGAGCGGGGGGAGGGGGGGGATGAGGTTAGGGAAGGGATTGAGATGGGGGATATGGGTGATGGAGAGAGGACGGAGTTGTTGGCTGATCCGGAGGAGGGTGCTGGCAGGGACGCGCATCCGATGGATACGTTTGTGTCGGGCCAGGCGGTCATCATGGATGTGGGCTTGGTGGATCTGGTTCGCGATCAGTGGCGGTATAGTCCTGCGGCGGCGCGACGGTCGACGCCGTATGTGCCTTCGGATCAGACGGCGGCGTTTTTGAGAGAGCGGTTTGGGATTCGGGTTGGGCCGGATGGCCGGATGGAGAGGATTGCGACGACGGAGTCGTAGTGGTGAATGTAATGATGGTTGTAGACTGGAGGGGATTTGTACATATTTACTATTTATGATGGATACATGGCTTGTACGCATAGGAGTCGCGATTTCAATCTAATTGCTGATGATACTGTATGTCAATCCTACCTATACCTCCATTATAGCCATAAGTCATCACAGGGATATTGATAATAACTACACCAAGACCGACAGCCATACCATATCATACCATACCTATCCCCAAGCACAACCCAACCCAACCCAACCGACAGAACAAAAAGACAAAGGGTATCCCACCAACCTGCCCTACACCTTCCCCTCCTCGCCCACCCTCCTCTCCAAAATCTCATCCACAATACCCATCTCCAACGCCTCCTTGGCACCCATAAAATAATCCCTCTCCATCAACTTCTCAATCTCCTCCAACGTCATCTCCTTCTTGCCCGTCAAATGCCGCTTATAAATCTTATTCAACTGGCTGCGCACGCGCAGAATCTCCTTCGCATGAATCGCAATATCACTCGCCTGTCCGAAGTATCCGCCCGAGGGCTGATGTACCATGATCGACGAGTGCGGGAGACAGAAGCGTTTGCCGGGGTGGCCGCCGCATAGGAGCAGGGAGCCCATGGAGGCTGCTTGGCCGACGCAGATGGTGCTCACGGGGGATGCGATGTAAGTCATGGTGTCGTAGATGGCGAGACCGGCGGTTACGGAGCCCCCCGGGGAATTGATGTATAGGTGGATGGGCTTTTGGGGGTTGTCGGCTTCGAGGAAGAGGAGTTGCGCGACGATGGAGGCCGACATGGTTTCGTCGACTTCGCCGTTTAGGCAGATGATTCGTTCCTGGGGGATGTTAGGGGGTGTTGGGGGTGGGGTTGGAAAAGGGATGTACCTTGAGTAGGCGAGAGAAGATGTCGTCTGGGGTGTGGTTAGTTGGGTGGTAGTTGCGCAGTGGGTGTAGTTGTGTTGTTGGGGGTGCGTACATGTGTGCCAGCCTCCTCCCTGGGAATCATTAGTATGTTTTCAACTATAGAGGGAGGTATCCGACTTACCACAGTCTCTGTGACAAACGGCGTCGGCGTCCAGCCCCGCGGAGGCTGTGCATTTGATAACGACGGAACGGAGCTGGTGAAGCTGCGCGACAGCGCTGGGACGACAGATTGTCGGCCGACAACGCGGCCTAATCGCTGGAGGGGACGAATGGGGTTCATGATGTGAGAACAGTAAAGTCAATGGTGAGTGAAAGAGAGAGGAAGGAGAGAAGAGGAGAAGGCGATGATGATGATGGAGATGGAGATGCGTCGGAGCTCCCGCAACTTAGCGTGTCCGGCATGTCGACCTCCGCCTTTTTTCCTCTCGGCACTTGAACTGTCTTTCTTCACCACTTCCACCTCCTCCTCCGCCCCCCTTCCCACGCCATGGCGTGTCTCAATAACCGTCTGTCATACGCCACCTGGCGTCTGAAGGTATTCCACCAGCTCTTCCGCCCTAATGGCGTGCACCCGGCTGCATACCGCACCTTTTCCACCTCCTCCGATGGATCACCAACCCCTACCCCCGACGAGCCATCAACCTCCACCTCCACCCCCTCGGACGCGCAAGAACCCGCCCAGAAACAAGAACAAGAAGAAGAAGCAGTGGAAAATGAGTCCTCTTTTCGCCCCTCCGAGCTTCTCCCTCAATCCCCCCTAATCACGAACCCCCGCCCCGGCCACGACAAGCTCCACCGAAGAAAACGTCGCCCCGACTACACCGAAACCGACATCCACCTAAACCCCTGGGCGCAGGCCCTCGCATCACCACTTCGCGCATGCAAATTGACCGGCGAGCGTATGCCGCGTGCCCTCCTCACGGAATGGGGATGTCTACAACGACCCGACGCCCCAGAGAAGCTCTGGCTTCTCCCCACGGGCCTATTCGACGACAAGCTCCAAGCGAGCGCCTCGTCTTCGCCACTCGAGTACGAACAAGAAAACCAATCAGTCCCGCGCGATCACCGTCTCCGTCTCCTCAGTCTCCGGATGGTCGACCGACTCCCCCTCCTCCGCACAGTCACCGACACATACTGGAGCATGAAGCACGGACGGAAGCGTCAGCCGCTCGCGAAACTCATCCCGCATCGGTGGAAGCAGCCATTGGGGCCGATGACGGCGCGCGACGAGGACAGACTCTTGTGGCGGGAGGATATGCCGGAATTTACGTTGCGGATGATGCGTCAGGATGTGTTAAAGTGGTTGAAAATTGCGACGGATGAGTCGGCGAAGTGGGCCGAGACGAGGAAGGTGTGGACGGAGATTCCGATGAGGCGGTATGGCCGGGGGTTTCTGGCGCGACGGACGTTCGGCATGGAGCCGTTTCATCGGGTGGAGTGTAGTGCCGTGCTGGTGTTGAATCGGAAGAAAGCCAAGCCCGGGAAATATACGGGCTTGTATCCTAGGATGCCGAATGAGGTGTATGTCTCCACGGAAAGGAGGCTGGCCCCCGTGTTCGATCTGACGGTCATGCTCTCCGAGGCAGAGCTGCAGGAGCTGAGGGAGTACCATCCACGGTTCGAGAATACGGCGTTGCTGTTTCGGCCGGATAATCAGGCGACGGTGGATGCGATGCTGGCTTTGTGGAAGCTTCGGGGCTTCATTCGGGATGATCCTGTGCTGGAGCCGGCGCCGATGGCTTTCAAACTGAAGAGCATATGGAGGACGAACTATCTCATGTGAGCCGTCATTGTATATGTATACTAAGCAGTATGTATGTGTTCTATGGTATCTCGAACAAACTACCTACATGTAATGATATCTATCAGACCTCCCTTTCATACCACCCACATATTCTCCACCCTCAACAGAATAAGTCCACCTCACTCACACTCCAACAAATCCGCCAACTTATCCAAATAAACCGACGGTCTGACCTCCCCCCCAACAAACTCCTCCTTACTACTAACGCCCGTCAAAACGCCCAACGTCCCCCCAAGCCTCCCCTCAATCCCAAACCGAATATCCGTATTGACCCGATCCCCCACCATACACGCCCTACTCCGATCAAAGCGAAACTTGCCCTCAATCGCATCCATCATCGCCTGATTCGGCTTCCCCAGAGACACCGGCTCCTTCCCCAACATCATAATCAGGGGTGCGCTCATCGACCCAGCCCCCGGAAACAACGTCCCGGAGTTCGGCAACGTCGAGTCGATATTCGTAGCCAGGAAGACCGCGCCGCGACGGATATAGTGGTACGCCAGGGCCAGTTTGAAGTAGTTGATGTGGAAGTCGAGGCCGACGAGGACGACGCCGACTTCGGGGTCGAGGAGGTCGGAGGAGCCCGCGGCGATGGCTTTGTAGTCTTCGGGGGTGATGTCTCGGCGGTAGGAGGGGTCGGTGCCTCCGATGAAGGGCACGTTCTCGGATTGGAGCTCTTGTTCGATGCCGGTTTCGCCGATCACGAAGACTTTGCGTTTGGTGGGAGGGAGGGTGAGGATGCGGGAGATGTAGATGGAGGCGCTGTAGGAGGAGGAGAAGATTTCTTCCTGTGGGGGGTTAGAGGGGGATGGAGGGAGGGGGAGGAGGGGGCGTACGGTTGTGCTGGGGATTCCTAGGGAGGTGAGTTTCTTGTTGTAGTCGGCGCGCGATTTGGTGCTGTTGTTGGTTACGAAGACGACTTGTTTGCCTGGTTTGGTGGTTAGTGGTGAGGCTGGTAGGTGATGTGAGGGAGCGGACCTTTGCTACGCAGCATCTCAAGGGTCTCGTTGGTGCCAGGGAAGACATGGTCGCCCGACCAGAGGACGCCTGAGTAGAGATCATGTTAGTATTCCGGTGTATAGGTCGTCGGCGAAGCGCGGAGGTGGTGGATGGAGGAGGTCACAAACCATCGCAGTCGAAGAGGAAGACCTGGTGCTGGAATTAGCCATTCTGCGCTCCACTCCTCCAGGTACAGGATGGAGGACTGGTATGACTCACATCAAACTTGTCAATGAATTCCCGGATGCCAGCGCCGTCGCCGGTCAGATAGCGGGGAGAATGCGTGGACGCGGGGTATTCGGAGGCGGGGGCGGAGGTAGCCATGGTAGCCTTCTAGATCTTGTCTCTATTGCGGAAATACACAACCAGCTCTAGGTGCAGAAACAAAGAACGAACGAATTGACTGAGGAAAGACTGGGAGAAGTAAAGTGAAGCGGCGCACTGCAATCCGGCGCTCGGTGAGCAGAGCGAGCGGGCCGCACGTGAGGGGCCGAGGCGGATATACAAGCCCTACGGTGACTGGTGGACATTAGACTATGGGTGGTGGTGATGCTTTTGCACATTCATTAAATCTCATACAGTCGTAAATCCAACTCCGCCCAACCAGCCACAGAATTGAATCGAGCACTTCGCTATCCTGTGGCACTGGTAGCTTGGTCGAACTGTATGTAGACAGCTCAACTGGCGGGGATTCCGCATGGCCTTCGGTGAACTAGCCTCCTCTGATCTTACTGGGATGTGGCCATCCACCGGTCCTTCCATGCCCTGCCGAGGTCTCGGCGGATTGTACTGCTTATGGAGTAGAGTAATAGGAGTCTCAGGTCCTCATCAGCCTGTCTGCTAAGCTCCACCCAGGATCCCAGAGATCTTGAGAGCCACGTCCAAGATAGACAGGTGCTCGTCTGCACCATCAACCAGACGTCTGTCCATCTCCGAGAACACCATGACGATCTTGTTCTTCTGGATGTCAGGAATCGCATCGTTGAACACCACCCGTCGATACAACTGCCCAGGTTAGCATTAATCCACATACTAAGCACCAACCCACATACCTGCAAAAGAAGCTGCGTCGCACTCCATCCATCCGCAATGATATCCGTCACCACCTTCGCGATAGCCTCATAAGAAGAGCCAATCTTCTTCGGTTGCATCGCCTGAACCAATGAATCCAGCACACTTTCCGGAACCACACCAGCAATCTCCTCAATAGTCCGGACAGTAACAACCTCCGACCCCTCATCAACCATCTTCTCATCCTCATCCCCATCCTTCCCACCAGCACCAGTCCCAACCAACTTAGCCGCACTCTGCATGTACGTAATCGCCCGTCGCAAATCACCCTCACTGCAAGCAATCAACTTCTCCACGACCCCATCCTCCAGCCTCAGATTCTCCAACTTGGCAATCTGCTCCAATCGATCCCCAGCTGCCGTGTTATCTAGCGACTTGAACCGGAACTTGCTGCATCGACTAGCCAGCGGTTCAATAATGCGAGTGACGTAGTTGCAAACCAAACAGAACCGAGTAATGCGACTGTACTGCTCCATTGTACGACGAAGCGCGGACTGCGCATCCTGCGTCATACTATCTGCTTCGTCGAGAATGATGATCTTGAACGGCGGACACGGGTATTGGGCCAGGTATTCCGCATCCATGCCCGTAGACTGGCTCAACTGAGCACGAGCGAAGTTCTTGATCTTGTCACGCACGATGCCGATACCACGTTCGTCGGAAGCGTTCAACTCGAGGATGCGGGAGCGGTAGAGGGAGGGTCCGAAGAGGGACTTGGCGAGGGCGAGGATGGTTGATGTTTTACCGGTACCTGGGGGGCCGTAGAAGAGCATATGGGGGAGCTGGGTCCGTTAGAACGTAGTTCATGATCTGACTAGCGATGGGATCGTACGTTAGAAGCTTGTAACGTTCGTTGGAGGACTTTTGTTGTGTGGTCTTGAGCGGCGACATCATCGAGGGTCTTCGGTCGGCTTTATGGATGTCAGCTCGAATATCATGCAGCTTCTCCGTAGGCAGGCATACTATTTCTCAACCCATGGCTGTTGACGGGATTGCTCTTCCTTGCTATCTGTGGGCTTCGGCTTGGAAGTACCCGCTGCTGCTGCCGCAGCCCGGGCCTTGTTGCTGAAGAAGTTGGCAGCCATGCTAGGTATTCAAGAGCAACACAGGCTTGAACAATGGTGTCAACGGTATAGCGGATGCGACTCGGAGCTCTAGACACGGCGGCGGAAGAGCGTGTCGGGACGCGTCTCCACGTGATACGCGATGGCGCCAAGCCCTTTATTGTTCGGCATCGAGGCCGAGGCAGATCTCTGTCTAGTGTCTACATGGGTCATTTGTAGCTTATTAAGGTGGGAAACATCCCATGCACTTGGCAGTATCATCAGACATTAGTGAAGCTACCTATAGTTCGTCCTTCTGCTGTGGTACATCCGTAGCCTCGAACATCCTCTTCTTGGGATTCCGAGGCAGCTCCGCCTGTCTCTGTCTTTCCTCTTCGGAGATGTCATCAATATTCGTCTCCTCCTGCTTCTCACTTTGCTCCGCCATTTCGCCGATCTCATCAATCAAGCGGTCCTCTTCGGCCTCGTCCGTAACTGGAATTTGGTCCCAGACAGCTTCACTGTCAGCGCTTTGAACGTTGGGTTCCACCTTTGGTTCAACTATCGGCGTCTCTTGTGGCACATATTCCACCACCGTCGCAGACGCAGAAGCCTGGACGGCCTTGCTCGTAATTCCGACTGCTCCCAGAATCCCAAATGTAAAGCGCGCAAATAGTCGCAATGGAAGCCAGACCAGCCACCACAAGGGACCATACAATATCCGCCGGAAAACAAGCCAAACAATCGTGCCAATTAATATGTAGAAAGCCGTCTCGAGGTACCACGTATCGGACTTTTGCGAACGAAGCAGCGAGCCGATGAGATTCCGCGACGACGAAATAAGGGAATCAAGGTCGGTGTAGGATTCCGACAAAGAAGAGATGGCAGCAGTCGATTGTTCTATCCTGATTAGCCACTTTCCACCCATAGCACAAGGGAACACCCACCTAATGTCTCCTGCGCGAACTGGCTCCGCGAAAGCTCCGCCTGCATCAACTGATGCGTCCGTCTCAGCGCAGCCGTAACATCATTCGACGCATTCACCACAATATCATCCTGAGTCAACTTCTCAGTCGACTGTTTCTTCCTCTCGGCACTTTGTGACCTCGTAAACAGCAATTCTCGCTCTTTGCGCCGGGCAACTTCAGCATTCCGCTTCGCTTGTAACTGTGCGGTACGGAACTCTCCTCTCGTTCTGCAGTAGGCCACCCATCAGTATGAAATTCAGAGCAAGACGAGCAGCGCACAGCAATCCACCTACTTCTTCAAATCCTCTGCCAACCGACCTGCCAAAGCAACAATCCGCTCTCTCTCCGACTCCTTCTCATTATCCAGACCCTTCCGTCTGGGATCCGACCCCGTCTCCAAGCCCTCCACCTCCACCTTCAGCAACTCCAATTGCTCCTCCGCCTCTTTCAGCCGAGTATGTATCTCCGTTCCCAATTCCAACCGAGCCTGATCTCCCTGCCCCACAGCCGTCGTAAAGCTCTTCAACCGAGAAACCAGCGGCTGTATTTGTGCCAGAGCAGCCGAAAGCTCCTTTAAGCGCACTTGCAGATCCAAGATGGAGGCCATGTTGCGTGATATGAACGAGGTGATTTGCAATGGTATCGTCGAGCGTAGTGGATCAAATAGATATATTCAGAAAAACCCACCTCACTCCAGCATCCCGCGGAGCAAATCACTAATAACAAGCTAATAGAGAATAATAAATGAGGGGAAAGAACCAAGAGGAGAGCGAAACGGAGACGGCCGATCTGTCCGCAACTAAGTTACTTTACAGCGTCATCGCTTCCGGTACCGTTCCTGAGGCCTACACCTATCAGTACTCCGTACAATACGATCGATCCATCCCTGTTTGCATCACAGACAAACACCCAAGGAAGGACCGCCGCCGCGCATCCGCTTTAGAGACTCACCATCAGTAAAGGTGATTATTTTCTCCGGTCACGATCGATCCCATTCACTAATAATCCACGCCATTACACGATACCCTGTCGCGATCAATTGATCTAACTCACTCTATCCCTCTTGCTCTAAACCCCCAACCCCCAAGGTAAGTCCCTCCCTCCCAAACCCCATCCACGAATCCCATAACTAACCCTCAAAAAAGCCCTCTACAAAGCACCACCAAAATGACCATCCCCCTCTCAACAATCGCCACCTTCCGCACAACCTTCAACCCCTTCGTCCGCTCCGCCCGTCCCTGTCGTCTCATCCTCTCTCTGCTCCGCAACCCCACCACCACCCCGGCCTCCAGCTCCGGCCACATCGATATCAAAGTCACCCAGCTCCCGCGCCACTCGACGCAAGAACCCGAGCTGACGATAGGCTTCAAGAATGGCAAGGAATTGAAGATCGAGGTCGGCAAGCGTCAGATGAAGGTCGGGGATGTTATTGAGGAGATTGCCCGTGTCGGGCGTGCGATTGCCAGGGAGGAGGCGCTGAAGTCTTGATCGTATACATTTGGGGTGTTTTTGTTCTTTTTCTGTGTTTGCGATTTAGACGATGCGAGCTTGTGAAGCATGGCGTGGCATGGCATGGCATGGCACGGCTTGGCTTCGGTGGGCTTTGGGGTTGTTTGCCGGGCCGATTCGAGACGACGGCGGGATTGATGGGTTTCTGGGACGGGTTCGGTGCTGTTTATGGCACATGGTGGGTGGTAAGGTGGTCCTGAGCGGCTGCCATGTCGGTCTATCTGTACTATCATGTTCTCTATGTGTATGTGTATATATTAGCCATTGAGTGATACTCCGTTTTTGCCATGTTGTGCCATCTTAGTATTTCTTGGTACTCTATACTTTGTAGAATCGGGCCAGCCAGTGAGCGAGTGCGTTTATACAAGAATTACGTGCCAGTCAACTGGCGACCCCTGGTACACTACCATCAAGCACAGCAGTTATATGAACAGGTCACCCGCAGGTGGTGGTATTTTATTTTAAGCTAGGGATAAATTTACACAGCAGCTCCAGAGATGAAGAACCACTTGTCGACACTGCCGTCAATAGGGGCAGGAGGAAGGTTCTCGCCCTTAGGAAGGGCGGCGATCTTACCGGCGTCAGCACGCTCGACACCCTCGGCGACGGAGGTGGCACTATTCTTCAGTCAGTAACTGTATTCGCTGGCTAAGAATCCAAGACACTTACATGCTGATCTCGCCACGAGGGGACTTGCCGGAGATGAGCTTCTCCCAGGCATCGGCGCACTCGCGGATGACGTCGAAAGCGTACCTGAGGCTACCCGTTAGCATAAATACAAAGGAAAGTATGCAAGGCAGCCACGCACTTCTTGTTCTTGCACTCGCCGGAGAAGGCGAACTGGTTCTCGGGCTTTCCGTCGGGGATCTTGTAGATACGGAACCACTCGTTGGTGGCACGGAGGAGACCAGGGAGGTGGCGCTCAACGTCCTCAACGTCGTTAAGCTTAGGAGCCAGGGGGTCGTTGATGTCGATGACAATGACCTTCCAGTCGGTCTCCTCCTCATCGAGGAGAGCCATCACACCGAGGACCTTGACCTGCTTGACCTGACCGGGGTAGCCAACGAGCTCACCGATCTCGCAAACGTCGAGCGGGTCGTTGTCACCCTTGGCCTTGGTCTCGGGGTGGATGGAGTTGGGGTCTTCCCAGGTCTACGCTGACGGTCAGTGCGGGGAATACAAAATTTGACGTGGCACTCGACACATACCTGGGGGAAGGCACCGTAGTTCCAGAGGTAACCCTTGTGGGGGAAGCAGTTGCGGACGTAACGGAGCTTGCCCTTCTTCACATCCTGCTTGATGGGGTTGAGGAACTCCTCCTTGGAGATCTGGGTCGCAAATCAGTATATCGATGCCACGGGACAAGGCCAGTCGCCATCCGCGGGGTGTGTTTTTCGGACGCCCGTACCTCCTGCTTGGCGTTGGTCCAGCGGGGGATCTCAACGACCATGTTGAGGATGGTCTTCTGCTCGTTGGCATAGAGGGGGATATCGTGGAAGGGGGAGACGGGCTGGCCATCCTTCTCGATGTAGACACGGTGCTCCAGGGTGTTGGCCTGGCCGATCTTGCGGACGGTGTACGACATGGTGGGCGATTGCGGCGGGGCAGCGGATGTGGTAAAGTGTCTCGAAAGAAGAGCTGCACGGGTTGAAGCGGACGAAACCGAACGATCAACTCGAGTGGAAGAGGACAAAGGAGACAAAGCTGGAGAGGAGGGGGGGAGAGAGGAAAGGAGAGGGGAGGAAGAGGGAGGGAGGGAGGAAGGAGGGGGGGCTTGCTTGGTGGGGGGAGCCAGCGTTGCGGATGTGCGAAGGACGGGCGAACAGCCAGTACGCGTGAGGATCGGACAGGCGGTGGGTGGCCGGCTCAATGGATTCACGCCGCAGCCTCCAACTCGGACTCTCGTCGTCACGGCGGTGCAGTGGCGGCTACTGCTACGGATCCTCGGGATCATTGAAGCTGGCAGAGGCTATCCCCGTATGGATTGGTTCAATTGGCAACCTGGCAGAGTGGGAATCCGCTCGAGAGACGCGGTATAAAAAGGGATGGGATCGATGGGACTCGCACGGTCGGGAAGGAAAATCGGTCGGGAAAAAGACCCAGCAGAGGGCAGCCTCGGGCTCAACTATTCCTTTTTGCTCCTGCACTTCCCCATCGCTGGGGATGCCTCCATGGCTAACATCAACTCAGTATGGCTATATCGACTTGAAGGTGAGACTATTCGCATTACACCCGATCAGGCAGAGTACGTAAGTACTAGGCAGGGGATCTGTCATCCACTCCAGGTAGTCCAATTGTCGACCTGCTTTCCCTTCATCTTAGTTGGCATCCAACCCAGCTCTGAGACTCTTCGGCGCAGAATTACTGGTCCTGGATGGACTCCCCACCGATGGCGTTCCACTACTACCCTGGCTGGTGCTGTCTCTGTTCTCTGACTGGTTAACGATTGCGACATCGATCGTAGTAGCCAACGAGAGTTACATAGGTAATTCGTGCTATGCTATACTCCGTAACTGGAGCTGCTTTAGAGCTAGATTTTATAGAAGATGCGCGCAGTACTATTGCCGCGGGAATGTATATGACATCCAAACCTCATCTGCCATATCAGTTAACTACACCCAAAAACTCTGGATCTGAAGTGTCTCTGCCTGTCGCATCATTTTCTCGTCCAGACACCTGTCATATCATCGGCCTTGGCAGGTACCCGGACGGAGCAAAGTGGAAGTAACATTCCATTGCAACATCGCCAGAACCGAAAAGGCAAACCACCATGTGACCAAAAGCCGTAGTAACCACCAGGGCACTGCCAGATGCGGAGCATGGTGTTCTCTAGATAAATAGTACGTGAGGTCGAGATGATTTCCTAAAAGGGTAATTCACAGAGATCACCATTCTGAACGGTCGATCAAGAATTTTGCAGAGAATGTTGGTGATAGTCTCACGTGATCCTAGCTCTAGTGACTGGCATCTTCATGTTCGTCAGTAGTTATCATGTGACTCTGGACCTTGAAGGAACACCACCGAGTAGGTCACATGAACTGATTGGTAGAAAAAAGTTATCCCGTATCGCCACGTGACCCGGCATTTTTCGTCTCCGCCTCCACCGGCTTTCGATCTTGTATGCGCCTGGACTGATCCATCCTGATATCCAAATCCACCCATATTTCTATACCGCGGACGCAGCTCTTCAGCATCCACCCCATACCTTCTTTACCTCCTTTCACCCGATAATGCTATGCTAAGATTCCTCCGTACCGCAATGGCCACCCTCACCACACCCCCCAAAGTTCCCATCCCCGCCAACGGGGTCGACTACCGTGGCAAAGTAGTCCTGGCCCCGATGGTCCGCTCCGGCGAACTGCCCTCTCGCCTCATTGCCCTCAGGTACGGCGCCGATCTCGTCTGGGGCCCCGAAACCATCGACCGGGCCCTCGCAGGAGCCGTCCGCCGCGTGAACCCCCGCAACGGCACCATCGAATTTACCCGCATGCCCTCCAACAGCGGGCGCGCCGAGAAAGCGACCCAAGAATCCGTGATCTACCGTCTCGACCCCGTCCGTGAGAAGGGAAAGCTCATCTTCCAGATCGGAACCGCCACACCGGAAATTGCCGTCGCAGCGGCGAAACTCGTCGCCGGCGATGTCGCCGGTATCGACGTGAACTCGGGCTGCCCGAAGCCATTCAGCACAAGCGGTGGAATGGGTGCGGCGCTACTCAGGACACCAGATAAGCTGGTCGCCATTCTGGAGGCACTGGTGCGGGAGGTCGGGACACCGTTTCAGATCGGTATCTCCGTCAAGATTCGCATCTTGAGTGAGCCGGAGGCGACAAAGGCGTTGGTCTCGAGGCTGGTGAAGACGGGCATCACAGGCTTGACGGTGCATTGTCGGACCACGCCGATGCGACCCCGTGAACGTGCGATTCGGGAGCAACTGCCCATGATTGCTTCGATATGTCGGGAGGCGGGCGTGGCATGCGTCATGAATGGAGATGTGACCTCCAAAGATGAGGCACTAGCCCTGATGCAAGAGTTTGGTGTCGACGGAGCCATGATTGCCACATCAGCCGAAGCCAACCCTTCCTGCTTCCAGACCAAAGCCGAAGGCGGCCTTCTGCCCTGGAAGGAGGTCGTGCACGAGTACATCAAATTCTGTCTCGAATCGGAGAACCGTTTCGGAAACTCCAAGTACCTTCTCAACATCCTCGTTCCCGGCAAGCTCGCCGAAGGCAAGGCCGCGAAATCGGCCAGATCGTACGCTGACACCTGCCATGCGCTTGGCTTCGAGGACCTCATGCCTGCCGCGCTGCGGGTGGACGAGATCCTCAATCTGACGGACAAGTCCGTCACCACCAAAGACCTCCAGTCCGAGGACGTCCGCAGCAAGGCCGTTCAGAACGCCATGGAGAACAATGTATCTGCCCGGGCTGCCAGCGGCGCCTCTCGAGTGAAATCCGCCTCCCCTATCGCCACCGCAGGCGGTCCCATTCGCACGAACTCCATCCCGGCTCCCACGAAGACCAAGCCGCAGGAGACCGTCTCTGAGGTGGACGTTTCCGTCCCGGCTCCTGAAGCTGCTCAGAAGCAGGAGCTGGCAGCATAAGTACCCTTGTAAAGAGTTCCATGCTCCTCCTCCTCTTCCCACCGTTTTTTTTTTTTTTTTCTTTTATTTTAATTCTGTCCCCGATGAGATGATCGCATTATCTGGTGTTGCATTCTGGTCCATTTTCTCCCTTGCATTTCCATTTATTTTCATTTTCATTTATATAGATTCCCATGGTGTGTTATAATAGAGGCTCGTTAGGTCCAAGGATTGGTTATACATACGAATACAACCTCTCAATGAAACAGATATCTAGTCCTATATCATTCATTAACTAGACCGTCAGATATCCTACCTACCAATTAACTATCAGATATCCTACCAACCAACCAACCAATTAACCAACCCTGAACCTACAAACCCCTCTCACCCACCAAAACCACCCCCAAAGAAAGACAGAAGGAAAGAAAGAAAAACAGTAAAAATCCCATCAACTCATCATTAATATCTGCCCACAAATGTAGCGATATGTATGTATCAAAACAACCACAAAAACTTTCGATCCTGCGACTCCTTTTCTATCGACGGAAGCACAAAAAGTAAAGCAAAAGAGTACAGAAAAAGAGTACAGAAAAAGAGAAGAATCAAACCGCCCACAATCAAAACCCAGGCATATCACTCGGTCTAAATATCCTAATACCAATGACGGGAACAAGTTGGGGTCGCCAACGTACAGTGTAAGGTGGGGATTGGGGGGAGGGATAGTAGTAAAGGATTTTCCAACGTCTGCCTCGGATCCTTCTAGGTAGATAGCGCCGTCTATGCGGTTATGCGATGAACAGTGTAACAAGGGAGGAGGTAGGGAGGTAGGAAGTGGTAGACCCCTGAGTAGAAGGAAGGGACTACATGCAGAAGTCGCTGAGAATGTATGTATTAGACGGAGGAGACGGAAGGAAATTGGATGAAAGAAAACATAGTATGGAATAAGACGGAACGAGATTGCACCGGTACATGTTTGGAACTAGAGGCATGGACTGAGAATGGTGTGGGTTAGGAGTCACTTGGTTTTTCGTGCTCCTTCATATCGGCAAGGACCATGTCTTCGACCACTTTCATGCCCGCATCTTCGGCCTTCTTGGATTCCGCGGCGTCTTCGCCGGCGACGGCTTGGTCGAGCGCGAGCTTGGTCTGTCCGAGGGCGTAGATTTGTTCCTCGATCGTATCCTTCGTTACAAGTCGGATGACTTCCACTTCGCGGGTTTGGCCGACGCGGTGGGCACGGTTCTCGGCCTGGACGTCCTCCTGGGGGTTAAAGCTGGAGTCGAAAATGATGACTTTGTTGGCACAGGCCAGGTTGATACCCGCACCGCCGGCTTTGGTGGAAAGGAGGAAGACCGGGATGTCGGTCCGCTCGTGGAACGCGTCCAGGATGGACTGGCGGTCTTCGACGTTTGTCCTTCCGTCCAGTCGGACGAAACCGATGTGTTGGTGCTCGAGAACATTCTCGAGGATATCCATGACTAGCGTAAATTGCGAAAAGACCAAGGCACGATCACCGTTCTCTGCAAATCGTTTGAGTAGTTCGCAAAGTTTGTCCACTTTACCCGAATCCATCCATTCGTTGTTCTTGAGAGCGAACTTGCCCAATGAATGGGGGTGCGTTACACACATCGTGTGGCACTCAAAATCGTTATAAGCCTGAAGTTCCTCGTAGATGATATCGGGATTGGACTGGGACCACTGCTCCTCTTTCAGACACGCCTTAGCCATACGGCTCAATGTGGCGTTATCGTAGTGGCGTCTATAGAGCAGCGGGTGGATGGCTGCTTGTCGGAGCTTCATGAGGATGTTGGCGGACTTGTTGCCCGTCTTCTTCCCGGCTGCGCGGTCAGCCAACAGCTTGCGCACTTCCTCCTGCTCATGGTCGTAAATCTCGCGCTGCGCAATGTTCATTTCGCAGTATTCAACATGCGAGATTTTTGCAGGCAAATCGATGACCTGGTGCTTCTTACGACGCAAGACAAAAGGTTTCAGCATGGACTTTGCTCGCTCAATCCGTTGCGCGGACAGAAGCGCCGAATGAGATTCGTCAACCGTCTTTGCCTTGTTCGCGAAGATATACTGCAGCTCATCCTTGCGTTCCTGGAACACTTTTGGGAGGATGAAACCAAGCAATGAAGCCAGTTCTTGGAGGTTGTTCTGCAGCGGGGTACCTGTCAAGAGGAGCCTGAAGCGAGCTGGGATGCGAATGAGCTTTTCATAAAGGACCGAGGTGCTGCTCTTCAGCATATGACCCTCATCGTAAACGCAAGCGCAAAAGTCCATGTGGCGGAGGAAATGGGCATCAACCTTGCCCTTGGCGATCGTGTAGGTAGTAATAATCACGTTGATGCTGTCTCGGTTGTCTTCAATCGTCTCGCGAATCACGGCCCGTTCTGCCTGACCAGCATAGTAAGGCATGACTGAGAGGGTGGGACAGAACTTCGAAAACTCTCGGAGCCAGTTCTCAATCGTCGACGAGGGCACCACGATGAGATGGGGCCCTTTGATTCCCTTCTCGAACAAGTGCGCCAAGAAGGCAATCACTTGACAGGTCTTTCCAAGCCCCATGTCATCGGCCAAAATGCAACTCAAGTCTTTCTCGAACAAAAGGGACAGCCAATTGATACCCACAATCTGGTAATCCTTCATCTTCAGATCCTCGCGCATGATGCTGGGCTGAGAGATGAAGCGGCCTTTACGCGGGCCAGGCGCAGGACCATCACTGTCATCCTCAGAGCGCTGGCTAGCAGGAGTCCCTATACCGGAGTCATGGGACTGCGATTGGGTGTCCCTAGGATTAATGGATACCAGCTCCAATTCTCCCTCTTTCTTTCCGAACAAATCGACGCCCCATTTCTTCATCTCTGCCGCGACCGGTCGTCCGAGCGCCTCACAGCGTGCAACCAAAGAATCGACTGCTTCATAGCCAACCCACATATCAAGACACTTGTCGACGATCTTCTCCCCGATTGGCTTGGGCGTTTTACGGCCACGGCCACTCTTCGGCTTCGTCTCCTCCTTCGTGGGGGCAGGTACAGCGCGGACCTTGTCCAGTGACCTGAACGGTCGGAACGATATCACATGTTTCGCAATATCTTCGGTTATCGCGGCGATATCAGCGAGCTCTAGGACGCTGCATTTATTGAAGAAATTCAAGACTTTCGCCTCCAGCTGGCCATCCCCTTGTGTCTCTTCGATACCGGAGTCAGAGTCATCCGAAATTATCATGGCTTCAGGAGACTCAGAGCGTTGCGGCGACGGGGGCTTCCGTCCCTGGACCAGACGACCGGTTTTCTTGGGGGGTGTCTCGACAACGGGCTGGGGGCGAACAGGGCTAGGGGAGGACGCCCGGGATTTAGGCCCTCTCATCAGACGTCTCCGCGGCTTGCCGTCATCCTGCGGTGTTTGCGACGGCTGCGATTGCGGCGGCTTCGGAGCCGACAGGGTCCTCTGCAAGTTCATGGCGGACCACTTGTCTTGGATGGTTCCCCGCGCCTTGATCTGCTGTTTCGCCGGCGCAACAGGCGATGCCCGCTTGTCCACGGCCAGCTCGTCCTCCGAAGAATCGGGCTTGTCTGTCTTTGCCAAGTGATCCAGGGCATCCTCGTAATTTCCACGTTTCGAGACAAGCGCCTGGATGCACGCGTGGACCGACTTGTGCGGCATGACCTTCATCATCCTCTCCACCTTGACCCGGGACTGGTAGTCATCAATGTCCTGCAACGACGAAATACTGATGCCGACTGGTTGGGCACGCGAGGGACCCTCCTGTCGAACCTTTTTCACGGCCATGCCTCGCGGCGCAGGATCCATTTGTGCCGCAGGACGCTTCGCACTGGAAGGGTTGTAAAGGGCGGAGGCGGTGATCTCTTTGAATCGATCCATAGGGGAGTCCGCGACGTTGTCCGGAGTCCGCGAAGATTTAGCGAACATGGCAGGTTTGATGTCCGTGCTCCTTGTCGTTTGACCGTCGTCGTCCGACGAGCCGCCGCGATAGGTGGGACCGTCTTCTAGATCTATCACAGGCGCACGCTTGGCAGGGCCGGCAGTGACAGGAGGACGGAAGCTGGTTCCAGCAGGGGCCATGACACTGGAGAGACGGCCGCCGTTCGGGGTGGGACGAGAGGGGGAGGAATTCGGGCCTGGGGGCGAGGATGCAGCGACCTGGACGACGGAATTGCTCTTCGCGGAGTAAGGAACTTCAATCAGTTGAGTCGGTTGCGTGTAGCGCTGGGTGGCAGGGGTCAGGGATTGAGTTGCCAGTGGCTGGAAATGGGTCACAGGCACGGTGGCAACCGTCTCATATTCTGCGTCGTCCTTGGTCGGCGTGCTGTGAACGACTTTCTTGTCGCTCACGGGGGTATCGGGGACGGTCTCCTCCATGACTAGTGATTTGGAGTTTTCGAAAGGCAGACGAGAGGATGGCGTCATGCCCCGGGGCAGGAGCCAAGGGGGACCGAAGAAACTGGCTCGAACTGGCTTCGATCTCGAGAAGCGAACGATGAACTCGACCGATCGCTTGGGATTTTCTCCGCAAAACGCGCCCGGACGCGATCGGTCACGTGGTCTGGCGCTTCAATTAAAGCCGGGGTTGGCAGTCGGGGGACCACTGGCGAAGGCGGGGGTTGGGCGCCCCTTTTTATACCGATCTACTGACGAGGCTGGCCCGGCTGGACCTATTCACTTGCCCATTTCCATCTGACAGCCTCTGCTTTTCACTGCCCTAAAAAGCGCAGCCAGAGAACCCCTCTTGAAATGGACCAATCAGCGGCCGGTATGGCCATGACTCCGGAATGATTTCATCCGCTGTATAAACCACGCCGGCAGTTCTGTGTTATGCTTTACAGACTGACAGCGTGCCTGGCGAGAGAAGTTTCTATTAATACCATCTGTGAAATCGTGCCTGGTGCGACTAATTATCTCGGGATCTAATTCACGATCAGCATCCGCCCATCACCTGCCCGTCCCTGCTTTCCAACACCAACCTGTCCGGCAACCACCATCACCGCGGCAGCTATCAACATGGCCACTCGTCGGATCGCAGAGAAATCCTCCCCAAGGGATGTTGCTACCCCTTCGGGCTCTGAGAAGCCCTCTGACTCAGATGTGACCCCTGCAGTTCCCACGTAGGTGCATCCCATTCGTCCCATCCTAGGAACACTACTATGCCACATGGCCGCTCGGGACCACTCCATGGACAATTGTGATAGCGTCGATACATCGATACCAGCCCAACATCTGCTCAAGCATACCTTGATAATGCGCATGCAATTATAACGCGCATCCTTACTGACGCTTCCGCTCTAGAAACGTTATTATGAAGTTGCTGGGGTTCTCTGTAGCCATGGTCGTCGTGCCTATTGGCAGTTACTTTGTCATGGTCGACTTTGGGGGTAAGCGACTCTCTCCCTTAGCCTATCCTGGTCACCTTGATCTATCTGTATTAATTGTCTGAACAGCAAGCGCCACTGTGGGCGGCATCGTTGCTGCCGTTATGGCGAACGTGGTCCTGGTCGCGTACATCTATGTTGCATGGAAGGACGACCAGGCAGAGAGAGAAGCCGACGCAAAGCAAAAAGCGAAGAAAGCGCAGTAGAACCGGGACATGGGCTATTCCCCAGTCCTGTCGTTTCCACTTGCTTTCGATACCTGTATTTCACTTATGGCGTTCATGGACCGCTTTTCATGCTACGTGCTTGTCAAATATCCGTTGAGAATTAGGCCGATATATGGGTTATGTATTCAGTGTAAGCTCGAATCTGTCGCAGACTTTGAATACATTCCGTCAAAGACATATATCAAGGTAGATAGGCATGTGACAGGTGTCAACAAGCTGACACCTGCGCTGAAGTATGGGTCCAATGCGTAGTCCGCCGGGGATGATATGTTCAGTTCATGTTGAATGGCTGCGCCCGGAAATGCATTGCCAACAATTCACAAAGGCAAGCATTCCATTATAATGCAAAGTATCAGAAGCCGCAGAATATATCCGTCGCTGTAGCCATTTAAGCCGGTCTCCGCTTCACAAACTCTCCCAGATCAGCCTTGGTTGCGACTCCCAGCACGAATTTGCGCGAGACATCGGTGACCACGGCGAAATCCTGCTTGGCCCGGGGCTCCCCGTTGGGGCCCGTTTCACTCTCGAAGAATTGCTCCAGCTCCTCCAGCGGCGTCTCCATTGTGATCACCTGATATGTGCCTCGCTTGCGGTTGAATCGCTGCATCGCCGCAGAGACCGGGTCGGCTTCCTTCACGGTGCCCTCCTTGAGCAGCTCCTTAAGTCGTGGAATGCTCAGGTACCCCACCAGGGACCGTTTCGTCGAGGAAGTAACCGTCAGGTGTGTGTAATCACGTTCGTAAGCGGCGATCATGGCGGTCGAAATCGGATCGTGGGGCGAGACGGACAAGGCCGGGTTGGGGTCCAAATCCTCTACCGTAGCCTACGCTGGAAGTTAGTCGACCAGGAGGCCTCTGCGCGAAAAAAAATCAAGACGGTACTGACCCCGCGGTACTTGTTTGCCCATGAAGACTGGGCAGCAGGTTGCTCTGCATTCTGCGCGAGTTGTTGCTGGGTCAGCGCCTCACTGGCGTTCATGTAGGAAGCCATGTTTTTTGGTTGCGGTGGTGGTTGTGATGTGGTTGTGGTCAACCCGCGATGACTCGATGAGGGGCACGGGAAGAGGGTGGAGAAGGGGACGTTCAATTGAGGGCCTTGAGGCTGTCAAACTAGCTCACAAGAGGGTGCAGGCACGGAGTTCCGCAGAAAACAGACAAACAACTATGACTGAATAGAGAGCCAGAGGGCTGGAATTCACTCAGGCAAGTATGAAGCACCGAGAACAGCCGGATGCTACTCCAATCAGATCAAATTCGATGGCCAAGCACATGCCGCTGACCAGTTGGCGGGAATCGCGGGGTCCCCGAAGCGGTTAGACCAGTCACGCAACGTCAGCGGCGCTAGTCAATCAGCGCTTCGCCAGGTCAGCGTCAGGTTGCCGGTTCCTCTCGATCCTACATCCCTGGAGCACCAGATTTTGCTGCATTCGGTCTGTCTTTTGGCTCTTGAGTCAGTTTGAATCAACCGAATAAGGAGACGAGACGAAGCGTGGATGTCTACTCCATACATTGGCCTCTAGTCGATCATCCCGTCAGTAGCTTGGTGAGTGGACCCGCTTGTATAGATAAGGAGCTATCACGATGAGACATCGCCATCATGCTTTATCGCATCTAATTCGAAGGGTCCTAACCTCAATCAAACAGAACTAGACGATTATCTGTTAAAATGTTTCCTTCAGAAGGGGCTATCGCCGGAGCCTTTGCCTCCCAGCATCCTCTGGGTAGGCAGTCCCAGCCGGAAGCTGCGGGGTTGAAGAAACGGGAGCCGTTCCCTGCCTGGAGCGTCATCGAGGATACCAAGAAGAAAGCAGATGCGCTTGCTAAGGAAGCGACTCGAGAGTTGGATCTTGCGAGCCAGAAAGCCCAGGCTAAGGCCGGCAAGATCGAACTATGGTCTCCTAAGTACTATGCGGCCTGCACGGTCGGAGGACTGCTTGCCTGCGTGAGTGGAGTTCCGATCCATTGATAAGCGCCAGAACGGGTCATGGGTGCTAACAGATTGTTCACTCCTAGGGTCTCACTCACACCGCTGTGACGCCTCTAGACTTGATCAAGTGCCGTCGTCAGGTCGACCCTCTGCTGTACAAGAGCAATGCTGAGGCATTCCGTACGATTCGCGGCGCAGAGGGACTCCGAGGTGTTTTCACCGGTTGGGGTCCAACCTTCTTCGGATACAGCGTAAGCCCAGTACATTGAACCCCAAGCATGCGCAGACTAACTGGATCACAGGCCCAAGGAGCGTTCAAGTACGGCGGTTATGAGTACTTCAAGAAGTTCTATAGCGACCTGGTCGGAGTTGAGAATGCGACTCGATGGAAGACATCCCTGTACCTGGCCGCCAGTGCGTCGGCGGAACTTATCGCTGATGTCGCCCTGTGCCCGTTCGAGGCCGTCAAGGTGCGCATGCAGACGACCATTCCGCCTGATATCCGTTCGACCTTTACTGGAATCTCCGGCGTTGTTAACAAGGAAGGCGTGGCCGGGTAAGCACTGATGGGTATGGTGACCGAGCAGTGATAGCTAACGGGAGCAGTCTGTACAAGGGACTTTACCCTCTCTGGGGCCGCCAGATTCCGTATACCATGATGAAGTTTGCGTCCTTCGAAACGATTGTCGAGATGATCTACCACTACCTGCCGGGTCAGAAGTCCGACTATAACAAGGGAGCGCAGACCGGAGTTGCCTTCACTGGTGGTTACCTGGCGGGTATTCTTTGCGCAGCTGTATCTCATCCCGCCGATGTCATGGTCAGCAAGTTGAATGCGAACCGTCAAGCTGGAGAGGCCTTTGGTGCTGCGATGAGCCGGATCTACAAGGACATTGGCTTCCGGGGTCTCTGGAACGGTCTCCCCGTCCGTATCGTCATGATCGGCACCTTGGTAAGTGTCTTGCAGCTTGCTTTACAGATGATAGCTAACTATGTATGTTTTAGACCGGACTGCAGTGGATGATGTATGTATTGCTTCAGGCGCCAACCCGCATGCCCCGTGTCATAGATAGCGGCTAACATGTAGCAGTTATGATTCGTTCAAGATCTTCATGGGTCTGCCCACCACTGGTGGAGGCCCTGCTGCGCAGGAGAAAAAATGATTGGAGGATGAAAGATCAGCCGCGGTTCTAGATCCTTACTATTCGCCATAAAGGGTCGTGTAGAATACGTCCTTGAAACAGGATGACAGTGGGGGGTGATGGTGAATGGGGCGTAGCTACCTGCATATAGTTTGTACCTTTGTTTCGATTTTATCTGCGATACACCTTCCTTTGCGAGATTCCTCTGAACCCATCCGAGGCCGGTGATAAAGCGGCCGTGATAGTAGACACTTAATCGGCGGGCCCAACTAAAGCCGTTAGTCACGGGTCGGACCAATCCGGGCGGACATCTTATCAGCCCGACGACGTCATCGGACGGAGTCCCGATCCCGCCATCGTTCATGCGATAAACCATGCCTCCTAGCGAGGTACTCGCCAGTTACTCGCCAGTCCACTCGCCAAACTAACTTTGGCTTCCAGGGCGCTCTAGCCCGTCTCGTGGCTGTGATCCAACCCAAGAGAGCTAAGGCAGTCACAGGCGCACTTTTATATACGAACACCCTTTCCCGCCACTTTGCGCGCTTTCTTTCCCTCCCTCCGACTTGGCAAGATTACAGTGTCGCAAACTACCTACTATCTGCTAGCACCTGTTCCACGATAAATACTACGTGTGCAACCCATTTCACTCACCTATCGCACGAAACTAGCTCACAGACAGTCCCAGAACAACCACCATGGGCGAACACGAACCCATCGTCTCCCACGGCCGAGGAGGTGCGCATTCCCTCTATCAATTGGCTCGATACCCACCCTTCTCTTCCCATGTACTCACGTAACCACCAACATATACTAATCCTCTAATCTCCCCAGGCCAAGGCAACATCGGCGCCGATTCCACCGAGTACGACCCTCCATCCCCACCTCCACCCTCCACCAAACAAAGATAAACCCCCCCATTAACCCACAAACAGATACGTTGACGGCGGTATCATCCGCGAAGGTATCTACGGTGACCAAGGCGATGGCGCTTATTCCGCCGGTGTAGGCCATCCCCTCCCCCTCCCAACTGCACATACCCATCAACCCACCTCACTAACAAACACGCCCCCATCCAGCGCGGCGGCGCCGGCAACATCGGCTCCCCGCACGTCCGTCCAACATCCAAAGTACCCCACGACGCGGAAATAGTTCCCGAGTTGGCGATTCGGCAATCCACTGATGGGGATTATCATACTGGAGTGCGTATACCTTTTCCCTACCCCCTTTTTCTTCCTGAATGTACACAAACCCCTTGGGAAATCAGGCTGATGTAAATGTATATGGGAGCAGCGCGGCGGCCAAGGTAACGTCCACCTCGATGAAGAACACAGAAAGGATAAGCATCATAAGGCGCCGGCGCATGAGGGGTTGGCGGATAAATTGAAACATAAGCTGTTTGGGCGGAAGTGAATTATCATTCCCTTTTGATTTGGTTGCAGTGGGGTGGTGGGGTGTGTGGTGTGAGGTGAGATGAAGTGAGGTGAGGATGCTGTGTTTTTTATACTATTTTTATGTGTCTTTGTGCTTTTGTTGTTGATGAGATTCCCTGTTGTGTTGTTGTTGTTGTTGTTCTTAGAATTAATATGTTTGTGTGTTATGCGCGGCTTCATGGGGTTCTTCTTCTTCAACGGAGTAGGTGTTAGGGGTTTGAGTTAAGGGTTGTATGAGATAGCCGGTATGCTGTTAATGCGACGATCTCTACTAAAAAGGTGTATGAAGAAAGACACGCCTGTATTCATGCCTAGGCATACAAGATACCTTCCCCTATACTAGCACTAGCAACAACAAACCAGCTCATTATTCATAAAGGTAAATTCACCCGGATCACGCACTCAACATCAGACTGGCTAGTATCCCATGGAAGGTCATGGCGCGAAAGAAGAAGAGGAAGGAGAGCAAACATTCCATGTATCATGGTCTCGTCAACCGCATGCAAAGACGCAAGAGAAAAGGAATCCAAACCTGACACAGTCCGTCCCGCATGCCCAGTGCTGTGCTCGAAAAGAACATGAACGCCGTGGAGGTAGTACACCCATACATATCGGATCAGAAAACACGCATCGAAGGAGAAGTGTCATAAAACAGGTGAGAGGCCGGCTCAATAGATTACTCCTTGCTGAATCGTCGCTTGAACCAGCTCTTCCGCTTGGAGTTGTTGCTCATGTCCGAATCGTTCGTGGCCTTGCGCAGATGGCGGCGGTTGGCTGCGGCGGCCGCGGCGGCACCGCCGCCCACAGGCCCCCCAGCATTGGGATCAGCTGGTGCTGGAGGCTTGCTGCCAAAGTTGATCCGGCCCCCAGCGCCAGCTTGGTTGTCCAGGTTCGGTCCACCGCCAAATCCTTGGAACCCGTAGCTTTCGGCAATCTGCTGCTGTTGTTGCTGCTGTTGCTGCAGCTGATCGATGGAGCTGTTCACAGAGCTGGGGTCGGTCGAGTTGCCGTACGCGTCGGTGTTGCTGCCAGAGCCCGAGCCAGACGCTGCGGTCATGTTGTCATACGATTTGTGATAGCCATGCTGTGAATAGCCGCTCTGGTCGGTATTCATCCGTGCGTGGTGGCGTGGTCGCGGTCGGCCGCCGCCCTGATTGTACGGGTAATAGTTCTCAGGCTGGTCGCCGCCGTTCTCGACATAGCTGTCCGGTCGCGAGTAGGCCCCGCGGCCATTGTGATGACCGCTCTGGTCGTAATGACCCCGGTGGGAATGGCCGTTGGAAGCTGTATCAACGATCCGAGTCAGTAAGGTGACCTCCCTCGAGTGTTGCGATTGGCGAGGCGACTGCACGCCAAGACAAAACAAAAGACGGGGTGAATTGAGGAGTAAATACCTCCATAATAGCTTCCTCGTCGACTGCGGTCTGGCCCCGGAGTCGCCGGAGTTGACTCTGCGGTACATCGTTAATCAACCGCCGGAGCGTGCAAACCGGAGCAAGGGGTGACTCACCTGTCCTTACATACGAAGCAGGTCTACTGCTGTATGTCCCATAAATTGCCGCCTCGAAGGATCGGATGGTCTCGAGCGGACGCTCAAACCGCGGGCGCGTGGGATTAGAGAGATCGGGATCGGCTGTGGGAGAAGAGGAAGAATCAGTACAGTGGCCACCGATGGAGTATACCCGAGTCACGGAAATGGGGGAACCAACTGATAATGTTTCCATACTGGTCTTTATGCTGCATGGTTCTCAATGAACCCAGCGTCGATTGCTCGAGAGCAACCAAATCTAAATTAAACGAGTCAGTTCAAATGCTACTGTAGAAGAAATGTCGAGAAACGCAGTCGACATGGTGGAGTTGAAGGGCTGGGGCGACAATGTTCTGGTAGGCCAACAATCCATGCCAGCAATGGGCAGAGATAAGGGGTAAAGGAGTCCGGATACGTACTAGGTTGCGCTTCATTCATAGCAACCGAGGGATCGGCTTTGGAATGTAGTTGGCGGCGGTGTTTCTCTTCGGCGGTTTCCGAGATCTGAATCTTTTTGCTGGAACTGCTGGACTGTTGGGAACGGTCCGACTTGAAACTGAGGCCACGAGAGTGCCTGCCCGGCGCGACCGGCTGGGAGGACGCCATTTTATTTATCACCCCGTCGACCTTAGCGCCTGATACCGACAGCTGGAGCAGGTTTTCGCAGGACGCTGTCTAAGCTATGGCGTCCGTAGTGGAGCGCAACCACGATCCGAGTGGAAACCGCCAAGGAATGTATGGTGATCGCGCGCGACGATTCTCGGGCCTTTTGGATCGTAGTTTCAGAATGCAGCCAGGAGGCAGCCAACGAGACGGATCAGCGCTGGCAACGTGGGGGCCGCGGCGGTGATGGATCCACGAGCTGATTTTCAATCTGATGTCCCAATCTCTGGGGAAAGTCTAACCGGTGCTGGTGGTGATGATGGTTTGTTGTTGAAGCAGAAGAAGAACGCCCGCAATGGTCTCTACACACAAAAGGTCACACAGGTTTAGGAATAGTCACGAAGAAATGGCAATCAATGCAGCTGATGGCAGGGAGGCTTGAAGCACACAGTCTGCCTGTCTGTATGTATCGTGCGATCCAGTCGATCGACCAGTCTGTCCGTGGTTAAGCGATAGTGGCCAAATGGTGGTTCGTCCGCGGTATGCAAGTGATCGACAGTAAGGAAGATGCGATAGATAACCTCAAAGCTCGAGATGCCAAGACAGTAGGAGGGCAGTAGGGAATAAAGTACTATGGAACAGCGAGAGAGATGTCGGAGGAGGGAGGAAGCCGGCACTGCAGGAGCGAAAGTACAAACAACAAGGTCCAAACGAAGGTCGGAGGGATCAGGCGGCAGTCGAAACCGAAGACAGAAAGCAGAGACCCGAGGGTCCTTGAGGCCTTTTGACTTGCACGGGCCGGGGGACTTGACGACAGGCGCCACGCAAGTCAGAGGGGAACGCTTGTTCGAGCCGATGGATGGGCGATTGCGCCTCGTCCTATCAGCTCGATTGGATGATGGCGTTATAGTCAGAGCCACTCGGCCAGAAGAATCTAGACGATCACCGGATGCCTGGAAGTTGGTCTACAAGCTGACCCTTTCACCACCGTTTCACTGTCCACACCACCTTTCCATGGTTGTCATTCCCCTCATCCTTCGTCTCCTGAAAAGTCAACCAGTCTCTTGGTCAGGAACGATGACCGATAGACTCGAGCGATGCCAGATCCCATGCATCCTCATGCTCTGTATCTTGCATTCCCCACCAAAAGTGAAGGCAGCGGCAAAAGTAAAACGAGCAGCCACTCGACTGGAAATATCATTACCCTCAGTACCAAATACCAACCGTACCAAAGGAATAAAGCAAGCAGTGCATAAAAATACCGAATAGTGTTACGCAGCTTCCCCTCCCATCCAGTCCCCGCCGGCCAATCATTCGCTGCTCGGCGGCCCAGCCACCCAGCGAACAGCCTCTGGTTGGCCTCAATCCATGGACCATCTGTCACCGTCTCAGGCACCATGCGAAAAGAAGAAAAGACAAAGAAAAAAAAGTAAAAAAAAAAGTCAAAAATAAAAAAAAAAAACTTGAAAGTTGTGCAATGATGAATTGTCGACTAGGATGCGCTGTCGACCATTTCATGTCACCAGCCATTGCTTCTTCCCGCCCGATCATCCTTTTTGTGCAATCGGAAGAAATCAATCAAACTTCAGCCCGGCGCAGAGATCGGCTGCCGGCGACATCATCCTTACCCAAAAATGGGCCAGGCAGCCAGCCTGCCACTCCTCCACACTCGGGCTATCTACAAGTCCTGTCTCACTGCTAGTACTATCAGCCGTGGATATCCCGGCCGTTGTTTCCTATTTTTAATCGGACACGCCAATGCTAGTGGTAAGATTGTAGCCAGATACGAGAAATACGACGCTGGATCTCACCCACACCTCGTCATTACCGACTGGTGCTATCATGAATGTTTATCCAGTTTCTCTCTAGCTGCACCGAGGATGTGCACCAGGTCATCCGTTGCCTTCCAATTGGTTCACCCCCCCAGAGTAAAACCTGAAATCCGGCTGCCTGTCTCAATCATGGCACCAAGGTTTGTGTGGTGTTGCATGTCCGACTGGGGCTGGCGTACCACGCAATGGCCAATGCCATCCATCATTCATCACTGAGACAACCTGTCACCCTTTCGGTTTGGCGATTGTTCTTGGCTCTGCGAACTGCACCCTGGACAGTTTTCTAGACCGGCACAGATATGCCAGCAATATACGGAGTACGCCGTAATGCAACTAGAACTGAATTAATCCATGCTTTTTCGCTGGAAAGTTTCTGGAACTCATTAAACGACTTACCGTCGCACACGTCGCAACCAAGCAAGGTACAGCCCGCCAGTCAGCAAGGAATAATTCAAGTAGGATGTTGGTCCCAAATTGCAGGCGCGAGCACCGTAAGCCAACTTGCTGTCCAAGGTTTCCCGGGTGAGGGGGATCTGTCGATCTCCATCAGTTCTTGCCGGTGGGTCACCGTGGGCGGGGATGGCGCCTACTTTAATTACTGTTAACTCGGCATCGGGAAAGGACTCCATGCAAGGAGTGCGCCCTTCCAGAACCTTTTCCTCAGCCTTATCCCCAGCAGCGGGGGTCAGGCTTGGGTGTCAAGCATTTCATCTCATAATTTTCTCTCCCGAAGGCGTGCTGTGGTGTTTTCTGCCTGAATGCCATATCGGTGGGTCCTTATATATATTATAAGTGCATCCCTTATAAGTCAGAAAATAATCTGATAGAGCTCGGCTGGAAATCCAGAATTTTTAAAGATACTATGCTAACCGAATCATCAAACGCTTACTCAGTCTCATGTGCTAACTATCTTAAAAGAGGTCATCTAATCATGTCTTGCAAGAATGCCAACCCCATGTTATTTGAGGCTTATCGGATCATTTAGCATCGGATCGTTGTTTCACCATCAATTTTGACTACAGACAATGCATTCTGTGACATGACCTAAGCTTGGATTCAGACTAGGGCCCCCTTAGCTCAGCTAAGCTCTACCAAGCTAATGCGGGATAACAGAGATCTTATTCCATTAATAATATAACGACCAATCCTGACAGCTAACACAGCATGCATCGCCTTTAAGGTATATGTCACAACAAATGTACCGTTGGGACTAATTTCATACGCAACGAGTCATTGTATAGCGCAGACAACCATTTATGAATTGGTGAATTTCCACGCCCCTTCGGAAGAAATATAGAGAAACCGGAAGAAGTCAGTATGTAGGATTCCAGATACTCGCCATTTGTCCCACAGACTCAAATATCTCGATTCGATGCACCCGCGCAATAACAATCATCCCCCTTCAGTAAAGCCAAACATAAATATGCCCTTAGAGGGCCTTATGGCATGTTCAATTACCTCGCTATCTCCTCTACCCATGGGTCTACCTAATATACATATAACAAACCATGTTGCTCAGATCCGACCATGATCCTCATAGCCCGATAAACACTCATACAAGCATGACCTTAGTCCTTCAAGAGCGCCGAATTTCAGCGATTTATACCATCCTACATACGTAAATTATGCACCTTCGAAGATAGAGCGGGAAATTCCCCCGAAACCCAGACAAGACAAAAGGCAACAATTCCTCCATGCCCTGTCACTGCATTCTCCACTCCAATATGTCCGACTTCAACACCGTATATTCCGTTACTATCACATCCCAGATCATATTATCTCCATATTAAGCAACCGATCTACATCCGATAACATCATCAAGAGAACTGCCATCAGCAGTTCAGCATGATACTACAATCAAATACCCAATACATCTGAAACCATAGCGTACCAACCCAGTCTTTGTGCGAGACTGAGATACGAACGTAACTGCAATTACCCCGGTCATGTGCGTTTCGGGTCTAGAACTCACATAGATTGTATACTATATCAGGATGATGAGTTGCAGATCTAATGTTAGGTTTATACTTGTTGATTTAAGTCGCAATAGTCTGGTTTACGTGATAGAAGAGGAAGTAGGAGAAGAGGAAGTAAGAAAAGAGGAAGTAAGAGAAGAGGAAGTAAGATAGGCGATCTGTTTATCACGAGAGACACTTCTGGGTGCATAACAGTCTGGGGAATGTTACATCCCGATAACTGGTACTGTCTCACCGTCACCGTCATGGTCGAGGCGGATAGGAGATCTAGATACTGGTAAGTGGGGGCTGTTGCGACAGGTGTGGGTATCTATCTAGTAGATGGTCCTGACTTTAACTCCTGATATGGGCGGGTGTTTGATAATGATATCGGATTCTCGATAGTGATTCTCTACGTGTGCATATACACTTGCGGGGGATAATTGCCTTCGCGGAGATGATTTTAGGCTCGAATGGGTTGGATAGTGGAGTCGAAGCCTAGATGCTGAGAAAGCCGAATGCCAGACTGATCGGGGTTGATTGATGTCATTCGTGTCGCATGGGTGACCGGTCTTAAAATCCGACATACATGTATATCCAGGACTCTCCGCCTCTCCGCCCAACTTCCCTCCAATGTAAAACTGCCGATATGTTGAAATGGTATGGATTGTTGTTTATGAGCATCAGATACACGGGGAGCCATGTTGTCGGCCCAAGGCACAGCATGCTTGCCGGTAGGGAAACCGGTGCAAGCCCGTCTGTGGCCTGACGGCCGACAATAACCATGCTGAAAAAGAAGATAAGAGTTCTTTTATTTTAATTCGTAGGGCTGAGCGGCCCTGCCTCTCCCACGAACATTATCAACCCGCCAACTCCCATCTCAACATCGGCTCATTCCGTCGACTCCTTGCCCGACCGTCTGCGCGTAGAATCCGGAGTGCCAACTAACGTAACAAAAGGGGCGTCATTTAGATGTTGGAGGGGTACAGCATAACACGGACGGTAGCACCGAAGGACTTGGGGGGGAGGTTGTGGCGGAACTGAGCGCGGACGACACCGGAGTTACCTGTTCACGAGGAGTTTGGTTAGTGCCGAAGTTCCAGTCCCGGTAACGTCGACCGCAGATTCGATGATAATCGTCGCGCAATGGGGCTCATCACATACCGTGGGGACGGGTAACCTTGCCCCAGATGACCCGGATGTTGGAGCCCCGGACCTCACGCTTGGCCCGGTAGACGAAAGCAACCTTCTTGCCCAGGTAGAAGCTGTAAATCCGTCTTAGCTGTGTGTTCCAGAATTCCAACCGATTCCATTCGCTACTCACTTTGCGGCGTCAGTGCTGTCGACACCGTCGATCTTGATCAGACTAGATAACCCATGCGTCAGATTCCCGTGTTTCCAATATTCGATGTCGAGGGTGCGGATCGGTACCTGGTGTTGGGGTTGACAGCACGCTTGGAGCGCTGGTAGCTCAGGTGGCGACCCCTGTAGAAAGAATTCGTATTAACCCATCTGTCCTGCTAGCATTCCATCGCTTGTTTCGGTATCCTTGATTGTTCGATATGGATTTTGATATTTTGGATTTCATTCTCCGAATGTGCGCGATTCGATGGCGGATGGCGGTGGTAACTTACTTGACGTAGACTGTAATTCGCAAAAGGTCCAGTTAGCATCTTCCTTCAACACTTGCCCTGAATCGCGCCCGTAACATCTCCTCTCCCCCCAACCCTATATCCAACCACCGCGCACACATGTCTGATATCCGGAAAGATGCACTCACGTCTGTGACCTTGTTCCGAAGGCATTCTGACGGCGTTTCTCTGAGCAGCAGCGGGCAACGCAAACGAAGTCGAAGGAAGGGAGATATGACCCGCAAAAGTCGTCCGGGTTGTCGTGGTTGTCGTCGCTTCGATAGGGTAACGGGACAACGCACAAGGCTCACAAATTGCGAGGTGTGTTCGGTGCGGCTCGCCCTAACCCCAAACGGGACGCTTAGCGAGCCGGGCCACCCCAGGGCAAGCCGAAGTCCCGTGATGGGGGAGATCGCTGACCGCCCCAGGGCCGCTAATCCGGTTCGGGCTTCTCCCGGAACAACCATTCCTCCCGGGTCCGAGATCGATCATTATCATCGAGTCTCTGGGACTTCCCTTTGAACCCACCCCACCTGACCTGGCCATTTTGCCGTCCGGGCTACTGTAGTCCGAAGCCTCCTGGCCGCCCGCCGGTCCCTCTGCAGCAGCGGAGAGAGCTTTGGGCTAGAGCGCCCCAAGCTGACAAAACAGCGTGCTGAATCTTCCACCCATGACGGCACCTGCCCCATCACCCTGGATCTTGATAAGGGATTGGCTTCATTGTTGGTGCCGCGGCCAGTTGCAGGATCTCCGGGTTGTCGGATAAAGAGTTTATCTCGTGACTTCCAAGTAAGCATGAAAGTAGCTGCATCTTAGCATGGCGCTTAAACTACCTCTTACAGGGTAGTGCAGCAATCGTACGGATGTGTGACTGGATGTATATAACGGGGAGGATGACTCCCTCCAGAGCGATCAGACCGGGATACATATTTGGAAATCCAGCGTCCCCAGCCCCACCAGGAAGTCGGCAACGAACCTGACATGATGGTCTACCTTGGATGGACCCCATAGAGCACGCAATGCACTCCAGGCCTCTGTCTTTCAAAAGAGGGGTAAATTTGGAGAGAACGGGGCCCAGGGAAAATCGAGGTGGCAGCGATACGAGGTCCTGGCTTCGTGGTGTCGTGGTGTCGTGGGAATAAGCACCTCTGATCAAGGATGAGGAGAATACTCCGTAGATACTCCAGCCCCGTCTCGGGATCGTAAGCGTTAACTCCGGACTTGACTGGGCCGAAAGTTCGGTTTGATACTCTGGTGCTGCGCTTATTTCACGGGAAAATAGAATCCGTATCGTCCTTCCAGATGACAAATTGGCCGATCTTGCCAACCCCACGACTTTGGTCACCGGGGACGCTGATTCAGGAGTCTTCACTAAGGTGCTGGTTCTGGCGCGATCGCTGCGATTCCCCTTTGGAATGGTCCGAAACCGCTCCTTTTTACGATCTCGTCTGGTCCATCCTGGCAATTGTAAATTGGTGCCCTGCCTCGGTGAAGAAGACTGTAGTAATTGACACTACTTATGGGCTAGATTTGGACACGTTCCCTTCCAATAAATTGGCCCTGTGGTCAGCGTGTATGGAAATGGACATTGGCCCACGGAGTACGGAGTTATCGTTATCACATTGAAAGGACAGGTCCTAAGCTGACCTACATGCATGGCTGGGAGATCCACCATCCCAGCAACCTTAGGTGCGCGTGCCCCGCGGATATACCAAGGTAGTACAGGGTCAGACCGCAGGAAACCACCCATTCAGTAATATGACCCCCTAATTATTACTCTTCGCTGGGGATGATAGTGTTGTCAGGCCAGGGTCGGAGGTTAAGATTACTGGGATAGATAGTCGGCGCGGGGGGTTCCGCATGTAACAGTAAGGTGTGCCTTTAGATGGGCATCATCCGTTCCATGTGTGGCTCCCAGTGGAGCTGGGAGGAGATTTACAGCGGACTTGGCTCGGATAAATCAGTCCGTACAAGACAAAAGGGAAGATGGACGGATGATAAGAATCACGATGCTTCTGGAAATCCGTGCTGTTGTAGATGTTGGATGATTTATGAAGAATTTCACGCTGATAAGCTTGTCGCGTTACCTAGCGATGATATAAGAGACGTTGCCACAACGGCTTTGGAGAGCGCAGAGTGGGAACGGACCTGATGACGGGGGAGGAGGCTACTAAGGATGAAAATGGAAGAGTTCCCCGGAGCAATAGATACATTGGGATGGGTTATCGAGGGAATGATATACGGGCCCGTACCTATCTATACGACGTACGCTGACGAAGGGGAGGGGAGGGGAGGGGTGGGATGGATGGAGGGAGGGAAGGTGATGTAAAATAACGCCGAATAATAGAATTGGATAACCACTGTAGTTACGGGGTCCCGCGGCCGCATCGACGTAGTGGAAGAACCCAAGCCGGCCTTCCCAGTGCCCCACCCGGGCTCATTGCCCACCCTGCAGCAGCTCCTCCTCGCCCAGGAGTCCTCCGGTGTTAAAAAGTACTTGCTCCGCCGGAACTGTTGGGATTTTTCCAACAAACCTCTCTTGTCCTTGCTGCCTCCTTTGTCCTCTCGATTCCTCTTCTCCTCTTCCAACGACCCTTAGCCTCTCCTTCCCCTCCTGTGGTGGTTCACATCGATACAACATGGCCAGCACGATAGCACGCTCTGAGGAACGCCAGAATGCTGGGTGAGTTTGCGGCCTTCCTCTCTGACATCACACCCCTCCCCCGTCCCTCTGCCCGCCGCCCGGACGTGAATATTCACCCCCTCTATTCCCTGCCGGTCGCCCACCAGACACTGGCAGGTTGCTCAGTTTCTATTTCTCTTCAATTCATCATCGAGATTCCCCTCGCGGCTTTGATCAGAGGATTTTCCTTGTGACTCACCATCAATCGACTGCCCCTCCCTGCTGTTGTTGACCGCGGGCGCCCTCTTCGATCGATTCGCATCTGTATCTGCCAAGCTATAGTCGAGCTAACATGGATGTTTTACGTAGCACCATGGAACTCAAAGATGACACTGTCATCATAGTATTGGGCGCGTCTGGTGATCTTGCAAAGAAGAAGACTGTCAGTGCCCCCCTCCAGATCCGCTCACATAATGGGATGCTAACATGCTCTAACAGTTCCCGGCACTCTTCGGCCTTGTATGTTCTGACTGATATTCACCCGCAGTCTTACTCTCCATTATGGTGACTGACCGCGCTTCCAGTATCGCAACAAGTTCCTCCCCAAGGGTATCAAGATTGTCGGATATGCCCGGACAAACATGGACCACGAGGAGTACCTGAGACGTGTGCGCTCATACATCAAGACCCCCACCAAGGAAATCGAAGAGCAACTGGACAGCTTCTGCCAGTTCTGCACCTACATCTCCGGTCAATATGACAAGGATGACTCTTTCATCAACCTCAACAAGCACCTCGAGGAGATTGAGAAGGGCCAGAAGGAGCAGAACAGAATCTACTACATGGCCCTTCCCCCCAGTGTTTTCACCACCGTGTCCGACCAGCTGAAGCGCAACTGCTACCCCAAGAACGGCATTGCTCGTATCATCGTAAGTCATTCTTGGATCCGTGTCGCCTTGCAAAGAGCATTCACTCACACCTGATTTTTGCATTCAACAGGTAGAGAAGCCTTTCGGTAAGGACCTTCAGAGCTCGCGCGACCTCCAGAAAGCCCTCGAGCCCAACTGGAAGGAGGAGGAGATCTTCCGTATCGACCACTACCTGGGTAAGGAGATGGTCAAGAACATTCTCATCATGCGCTTCGGAAACGAATTCTTCAACGCCACTTGGAACCGCCACCACATCGATAACGTACAGGTACGGATTATACGGTCTTGATGTTTGGGCTGGTCGCTAAGTCAGGATTATTAGATCACATTCAAGGAGCCCTTCGGTACTGAGGGACGTGGTGGTTACTTCGATGAGTTCGGCATCATCCGTGATGTCATGCAGAACCGTACGTCGACGATGTCTCACTCGATTTTTGTCGGGATCTATCTGACTGGGATTTTCTCTAGACCTCCTTCAGGTGTTGACGCTGCTCGCTATGGAGCGCCCCATTTCTTTCTCTGCTGAGGACATTCGTGACGAGAAGGTACGGTGCTTGCTTTGCTGTTGTTCGGCTTCCGTCACTAACGCGCTCTCAGGTTCGTGTCCTGCGTGCGATGGACGCCATCGAGCCCAAGAACGTCATCATCGGTCAGTACGGCAAGTCTCTGGATGGCAGCAAGCCCGCCTACAAGGAGGACGAGACCGTGCCCCAGGATTCCCGCTGCCCCACCTTCTGCGCCATGGTTGCCTACATCAAGAACGAGAGATGGGACGGTGTTCCTTTCATCATGAAGGCCGGCAAAGGTATGCGACTCTTTATGCACGATCCCAGTACCGGCTAGTATACTCATTTTTTTCGCAGCCTTGAACGAGCAGAAGACCGAGATCCGTATCCAGTTCCGTGACGTCACCTCCGGAATCTTCAAGGACATCCCTCGTAACGAGCTTGTCATTCGTGTCCAGCCCAACGAATCCGTGTACATCAAGATGAACTCCAAGTTGCCCGGTCTGTCCATGCAGACGGTTGTGACTGAGCTCGACCTCACCTACCGCCGCCGCTTCTCCGACCTTAAGATCCCTGAGGCCTACGAGTCCCTGATCTTGGATGCTCTGAAGGGCGACCACTCCAACTTCGTCCGTGATGACGAACTGGATGCCAGCTGGAGGATCTTCACCCCTCTTCTGCACTACCTGGATGACAACAAGGAGATCATCCCTATGGAATACCCCTATGGTACGTGCATGCCCTAACCTTTGGATCGCTGATGTGTTAACTGACTACGTGTGCAGGCTCCCGCGGTCCCGCTGTCCTGGATGACTTTACCGCGTCCTTCGGTTACAAGTTCAGCGACGCTGCTGGCTACCAGTGGCCTCTGACTTCCACCCCCAACCGGCTGTAAGTGAGGACGGTCGGAAGGTCATGATGGGCAAGGAAGAAAAACGCCGCAACGGCTTAAAAAATGTTAATGCGATTGATTTTCGTACGAGAATCATGGTATGACGGGGATCTGGGATGATATGACAGAAACGAAGCACTCGGTACTATTTATCGGTCGGCCGGGTAATGACTGGAGTTATCTATTCGCAACCCGTTTAGAAACGAATGCAGAGAACGTTACGAATCATAGGAGGGCGGTTGGGGCCCTTGGACTTCATCGGAGGCTGGGAGTAGTCATGTGGCCGTAGATGATTTTATTCTTGACTCGGATGCAACTGTTCTTCGATCGGGGGTTTACATACTTCCCCAGCTTCCGACAGATTTACTCCGTAGTGCGAGAATTAACCCCTGCCTATCCACTATAAATAAACCCAAGTACCGTCGCGGTGGTGGGTCTGGAGCGTGGCTGGAGCCGATAAGACGAGGTGCCTGACTGACGGGCCGGCCGGGGGCCCGCATGCGTACGCTTTTTGGTGGGCTCTGCCCGGCCTCGCCTGTCGTCTGTCGCCCGTCTGCCCATCCCTCCTATTTTCCTCCCTTCCCCTCTTCTCTCCGGCTTCAACTTCCCTCTGTTTCGCGTCTGAAGGTGACGGCTGTTCTCTCCATACCCCAGAATATACGAGTATTCCCGCAACACCCGTCTGTCACGACATCGGTCCATTTGCAGATCGTGGACCCTATTTCATCCTTCCGGCTATTTTTATCCCCAACGAACCGTGCGACAACTGACTTTCATCTGTTGCTCATTTTGCCTGTTCCTTCTGCTTCGAAACTCTGGAACTAGCTCCCGCACCGTCTACGGATTGAAACCACACCAACCGAGGATCCATTCACTACCATTGCACGTGGGTTGGCCTGATCGCAGGCGCAAGTCGAGGCGAGCCGGCGCGGTTCATGGGAAGCATACAAGAATCGTGAGAAGCGTCAAGTGCATGCCGGCATTCGAACTTTCAAACACGGAGGATGCCACAAGCTGCAAGATGGGTGGGCTCTCCCGCCATCAAGGGACGAAGAGAGTGGGTGCGGATGGTGTTGTTGACCTTTAGTTTGTTGGGGTTACAGTATGTATTCTCTGTGGCTGGATTTTTCTTGCTCGCGTGCCTCTTCCTCCTTGGCCCTTGTCCGCCCCTGAAGCTACAGCCCTCTATCACTTATGCGCATCAATAGACTGACCTGCTTCTTGTCGCGGATAGGTTCACCTGGGGTATTGAAATGACTTGTATGTGGCCCTGGTCCTTGTCTCCTGCGCGATAGTTTCTCACTGTCCATCAGATTGCACACCATACCTTCTTCAACTGGGCCTCACCAAATCTAAAACATCGCTTGTCTGGATTGCCGGCCCTCTCTCCGGCTTGATCATCCAGCCCCTCATTGGTGTCATAGCTGACAGGTCTCGATCAAAATGGGGACGGCGCAGGCCCTTTATGATAGTCGGCTCGTTTGTGGTCGCAATGTGCCTGCTTGTTCTCGGCTGGACGACTGAAATCGTCAACATGTTCATCAAGGACACGGAAAAGGTACTTGATAGCCTTCAAGTTGTCCCTGTGCTGCTTTTCTCTGAACATTTGCTTATTGTGGGATCTTCTACTGCACCAGGCCAAGGATGTCACAATTGCTCTTGCAGTCCTGAGCATTTACGCCGTGGACTTTGCCATAAACGTTGGTATGTCTCTATAAACCGCAATCTCTTAGCATGATCTAATTCAGTCACAGTCCAAGCGTGTTGTCGCAGCTTGATCGTCGATACATTACCTATTCCTCAACAGCAAACCGGATCAGCATGGGGTATGTTCCTTCGTTCTTTACTAGAGAGAATAACAACTAAAAGCATGTAGCGACTAGAATGACCGCAATCGGCCAGCTCATCGGATACGTCATCGGCTCCATTGACACGGTCAGCATCTTTGGCTCCATCATCGGTGATACGCAGTTCAAACAGATGACGGTCATTGCTGCATTGTCCTTGCTCGGTGCTGTTTTCGTCACCTCCTACGCGGTGAAGGAAAGGGTCTTGATCACTGCAAGGTAAGTCAATACGTGTCAAAGACGATGTCTGTACCCAGCAGTTACTGATACACAGGCGACAGAGACTCCGATAACCAGGCTGGAGCGCTGGAGGTGATTTCTCAACTTATCAAGACCACCATGGATTTGCCACCGCGCATTCAGGCCATCTGCTGGGCGCAATTCTGGGCCTGGATTGGTACAGCACCGTATTCTCTCACATCGAAAAGGACACAAATGCTAACCCAATTCACAGGCTGGTTCCCCTTTCTCTTCTACAGCACCACCTGGGTCGGTGAAACCTACTTTCGATACGAGGTCCCCAAAGATGCAACGCATCCGACCGACATGCTCGGCGAAGTTGGTCGAGTGGGCAGTTTATCGCTAGTTGTCTTTTCCTCCATCACCTTTATCGGTGCTGTTCTCCTGCCATTCTGCGTCAAACCCCCAGACAGCAAACGGCCCAGATTCACGCCTCGCCCGCCCCCGGGCATTGCCTCACTGCTCAAGACAGTCATGGCCATCCGCCCAGATCTGCAAACAACCTGGTTGATTTCCCACATCATGTTCGCCGCGACTATGATCTTCGCCCCTCTCGCCCACTCCCGAGCGTTTGCAACCTTTCTCGTAGCCCTCTGCGGCATCCCCTGGGCTGTCACCTGCTGGGCTCCTTTCGCCTTCATGGGCGTAGAAATCAACAAACTCGCCATGGGCCCCGCCCGCGCCTCTGGCGTGACAATGATCACTTCCAGCGGCCCCTACAGTGACAGGACCACCGACACCGAGATGGACGTCCTTCGTCTCAACCACCACGACCCAGACAGTGACAGCGACATCGAAGACGGCGTCTCCAACACCCCATCCACCGGCGAACTAGCAGGCATCTACCTCGGCGTCCTGAACGTCTACACCACCCTCCCTCAATTTATCGGTACCTTCATCAGCTGGATCGTCTTCAGTGTCCTCGAACCCGGGAGCACAAAACGAGACGGCACAGCGCAGGAATCCCAATGGATGAATCTAGACAAGAGCGCTCCCAACGCCATCTCCATCTGTCTGTTCATCGGCGCGCTGAGTGCTATCGTCGCCGTTGAGGCCACGAGACGCATGCGATACACCTCCTAAGTGTTCCACACCCTCTTTCACCGAAAGAGAATGATTTCATTTCACATTTAACGCTTCTTATGTGGGACATCATCCTATATACCATGACAGGACGACCCCGATGATGTTTTTTATTTTCTATCTTTTTGTATACTTCGATACCCTGATACAAGCGGCCGTGAATTTGAGTGTCCTTCTACAACTCCTACCTGCTCACCCTTGTGGAATGGACCCATTCGATGACTAGCAGGTAGGTTAGTAGACGGGAAGTGCACTCCACAGTACCATGGCTGGATTGTTCGATTATATTCTTGGTTAGTGTGACGAGATTTGATTACGCGCGTTGGAGCAGATGTACGTTCGGTATGGTGAGTGGGTAAATACTCTTATTAATGGGTCGGGTTGGGTTGGATGATGATATATGGCGATGTAATAGATAATCTTCTGGATATACCTTTTCTTTTTGATTTTGTGGAACGGAATGGATGATGTTCGCTATCTACTGCTACGATAGAATATCCGAATAAGACAGAAAGACTCTGACTGGCAACAGACAGAACTCTTAAACTCAAACGCACTAAGCAGTAAATAGTAGTAGTATGGGCTGAATACATAGCGAGAGGCGGCTGAGGTATATTGGATATATTGCAGAAACAAGTCCAACGAGCTCAACGGGAGTGAATCAAGAAGAAAAGCAGAGAACAAGGAGGGGAATATAACAAGCAAGCAAGAAGGAACAAGTCAACTGATTAAGAAGACAGTGCGCTACGTTCTCCGTAAAGGAGACAGTGAGCACACAGGAATGGAGATTAAAAAACAATCATGCGTGGAACGGCATCACGGCGTATGTCTGTCATGCGTGGGGTGCGATTTTTCAGACCTGGCCATGGGCCTAACCGGGAGAGAATAGACCTGGACGCGGAGGAGTAGTCGAAAGTACATTAAACGGCGTAGAAGGCATTCGAAGTCAGACGCAATGGTATATGGGTGATAACGACAGTCAACTGAAAGGATCAAAAACGACAGTGGCGAAGGTAAGTAAGGTAGTTAGAGACGGCGACTGGAAATCCGCTTTAAGACTGGCTTGCAGCCTGCATGTTGCCAGTAAGTTCCGCCACTCTGGCCTTGATACGAGCAGCACGGGATTCGAAGCCTGGGAGACGGGGGTTCACGTTAGAATCGTGTTAAACAGATGAAACAGTCGGGTCACTCACTCTCTTCTTCACTGGTGTTGCCATCATCCGACTGGTCACCACGAGCCTCCAGCTGAGCCGCCCTCGCCGCCGCATTCTGGCGGATCTGGGCCCAGCGGTCATAGGACGTGCTAGCGGGCTGGACGGGAGGGCTGGGCTCCTCCTCTGGCTCAACGGGAACCTGATCGTTTGCAGAATGGAATGACGCGGGTTTCTCGGGGAACCGTTCGGAAACAGGAGAGTCCTCTGGGACAAAAGCCGGCTGCTCCACCAGAGGTCCTTGGTCAAATCTTGAGAATTCCTGGTCAGCTGCTGCTCGTTCTCTGGTATCTATGCGTGAAAGAGCGTCGTACTCGGCTTGACGGCGGATTTGGGGCTCATCACTCTGCGTAACAGTGAGCTTGGTCGCTTCCGAAGGAGCTTTGGGCTCAGTGGGCACAGGTTCCTTTTCCTCCGCCGCAGTTTCAGCGGGCTTAATAGTCACAGCAGGCTTAACCTCGGCGGGTCTAATAGTCTCAATAGGCTTGGTAGGCTCAACAGGCTTGGCAGCCTCCACGGGCACATGCACAGGCACAGGCTTCTTCTTGAGTGTCGATTTGCCATTTGTTCCAGGGCGGATGGATTGCTCCTGGGCGGCTCTTGCCTTGTCCTCGAGGGCAGCGCGAGCAGCCGCAACAGCTGAGCCAGCACCAGTGGGTTTCATGGGTGGCTTCGCCTCGGGCTCGTTCTTCTTCTTGACAGTTCCGAACATGCTCTTGAACCCAGCGTTGGCGGGCTTTTTCTTGATCTTCCGTCCAGACTCCTCCGAGTCCATAGACTGTTTGGGGAGCGATTCGGTGACTGACAAGTCCGCCGCAAGGCTCGCGCTGCCATTCCTACTATGAGCAGGGCTGTTCTTGCTGGGCACTGCGGGCTTGGGGGAACCTGTGGGGGTGTCTTTCGGCAAAGGTGGCGGTGCCTGTCGGGCACTGGTGCTCGCCGTTGGAGAAGTTGGAGTGCTGGGCAGGTCGATCGGCTCTTTCGCCTGTTCGGCTGGAGCACCTGTTCCTGCACGGCTGTTACTCAGATAAGCGCTCCTGTAAGTGTTCTTATCATAATTGGTTGCCCATTTCATAGCCTGGGACGCTTCATTCAGGATCGCCGGTTGCAACGTCATGACAGAGTTCGTCTTGGGGTTGGATCTGACATCTTCCGGGACGTTCTTGGATCCATTGGCGGCCTCCTGTTCCTCCCGATGCCGCTTCTGAAGTGCCGCGGCAGCCGCCTGGATGCGGGCATGCTGATCAGGGGCGATGCTGGTCTTGCTCTGTGGTGCTTGATTGTCCGGTCGCTTGTATGAGTCTTCCACCGCGCTTACTTTCTTAGCGGAGGACTTGCGACGCCCGACACCCCGTTTACGAGTCGAGAAGCCAAAGAAGCGCTTCTTTTCCACAATATAGGCACCCGGATCCGGCTCTGGCGCCGCGCCCTTCACCTGCTCTTCCAGTACTAGCCACTTTGTATCTTTGATGATGGTCTCGAGCAACGCACACCGGCCAAACACGGCCTTCCGAGACGTTGGCTCCTCGCCGGCCAAACTACTGATCCAAACCCACCAGAAAGAGTCATCGAGGTCAAGGGTAGTGATGCTTGCGAGCTCACCGTGTCCCATGGACGGCTCGTCGTTCAAACTGCGCTTGTGGGACTGCGAGCTTTGACCCCGGACGCTGGCAATAGGGGGAAGGACCTTGTCTGGTGGAAGAAGCAAGGGAGGAACCGAGCCCTGTAGGACGTTCTCGTCACTAAAGCCGGAGGACATAAAGTCTGCCCATGATGGCGTCGTGGGACGACCAAGGTCACCTGCGCCGGACTGCGGAGCGGATCGCAAGCCACCCCCAAACTCGTTCCTTGCGAGACGGGCGGCGTTAGAATCGTCATCCAGATCGGACTCGATAGGACCGCCAAATCCAAAGTCCTCGAATCTGGACCATGAGGCTTCCCGCGTCGCTGTGCCTGGCTCTGGTGCAACTTGTTGGTTGATAGAGGAGATGCATTTCAGCACACGGAGACACTCGTCAGTCAGCGCTTTGGTGGGCTCCTCAAAGCTGGCGAACTCCTGCAGATGACGATCACTGTCTCTATACTCGAAGTTCTTTGCGCGCCGCAACAAAGCGAATGGAGTCGGTGAGACGGTGTCGACAATCATCACGACCTTGGTGGTGGACACCTGAAGAAGGGTGGGCGTCTCTGGCGGGTATTCCGTTGCCTGGACTAGACTCTGGAGGGCAATAGGGAGGGTTGAGATCGTGTTCATCCCGCGCAAGTCGGGCGATAGGGATCGCAGGTAGGCGAAGAACAAATGGCTGGTCGCATCAGCAGCACTGCGAGATGTCAGCTATACCGGGGCCCTCAAGGGGGGGCAAACAAGCCGAACCGTCTCGGAGACATACCTTGCCCAGTTCTTGTAGGCGGCCTCGAAGCCGTTGCCCGCATCCGTATGGTCAAACGCCCACCAGCCGGCATACCGAGAAAGCTTCCGCCCGCCGAGGCCGTTCGATTTGCCATGTGCTGCGACAGCAGCTAGAAGGTCGAAGAAATCAAAGATGATCTTCGACCGGGCATCCGAGTCGACACTGATAGGAATGAAGGTTGAGAATGCGTCGCGGGCAAATTGGGAATCTGAAAACCATCAGCGCAACTTGTCTCCGATTAGACATGGTTCGCGACCATACCCTGCTCGCCAACTTTGAACAGCTCATAAGCTTCCCAGGTAACAACTCCGCCAGGGAGTCTGCTCCAGCACCATTTCAGCACACTGCACAGGACCTAGAAGACAAGTGAGAAAAATGGCCTCCCAGGGTCGAGGGAACTTTAGATGTCGTCTCACCATGGGGTCCGACAGCCGTAATTCTTGTGCCAAGGCATCCCCACTGAGAGGCGACCCTCTTTCCAGCGACTGATTGAAGTAGTTACGAATGAAGGTGCGTGCAGCGCTGGCATCGGTGCTTGGGCGGAACGGTAGAAGCAAGAAAGGAGTTTGGAGAGCTGTCAAAGGGAGAAGGAGGCAAGGATCAGCAATCTGAGGAATGCGCAAAGCTTGACCTGACTTGTACACGAGAGGGGCGGTGGATCAGAGTCAAAGATAGAAACATACCTCGTGCTTTCAGTTCTTGGGTGCACCCTCTCAGGAGTTGCTGTACCTCCTCCGGGGCAACCTCTGTTCGCTGCCACGCGTCGGTCCATGTGGGCTTTGCGGGCCCTTTCTCTTCTACTTCTGGGGATTTGGTGGTCTTCTTTGACACATTGGCGTCTTTACTTCGAAAGACGCGGGTGAAGAAAGGCATTTTGCACCATGCGCACGCCAGGGTTCTTCTTGCGGGGAAGATGCGATCGGACGGAGGTTGTAAAAGTGACGGAGGCGATGCCCAAAGGCGGAGTTAACGAAGGTGCGTCTGGCCGTGTTGAAATTAGGGATCCAATGAGATCGGTAGATCGGGGCGAGCGAGTCTGGTGGAAGAGGTCCAACACTTCACAGTCTCCAACACTTGTTCAGGACGCAAGGGTGGTAGACCCGTATTAAGGAAAAAGGAAACAATCGAGGCCCAGAGGCGGAATCAACCCTGAAACCCAAGCTGGATGGTGAATCGGATACCTCAATAAAATTGCACCCTACTGGAAGGGAAAAAGAAATAAAAAAAAATTAATAAAAAAAGGCCCGATGACTGCAGTGGCAGCAAGGACCATCCAAGTGTCCCAAGAGAAGACCGTCTGCAGCCCAGGATGGGGCAGCACGTCTAGCGTGCAGCAACGCAGTTCCGTGGAGGACGAGAGCAATCGAGTTGGCCAACGAGCGTATCGCTGCAGTTAATCCCGGGCGGCAACGTGGTGGGAGAGGCGACCAGCAAACAAAGATCAAAAACAAAGACTGCAGGAGAATAAAGGGGAGAAGAGGGAAAAGCCGATGAAGCTGCCAGTTGAGATGAAAAAGGATGGCGATGATGAGGATCTACTGTGGTTTCCGTTTCAGGGGGTGAAAGATTCATACGCCCGCAAAACACAGCGCTCTGGTGCCATGGTTCTCTATCCGCGATCCAGTCGGTGGGCGCCGTTCGATTGGATCAAACGCACCAGCCGAATCGATAGGGTTCTTCTTTGCCTGGATCTGCTATCAATTCATGAGGTCACGATGGGAAAACGTGGTTCCCACCAAAAGAGAATGGGCGGTGTTGTCCGCAATCGAGCTGATAACTAGTTACTGATAGATAGTATGATCAACACTACGTACGACCTGGTAAGGATGAACGGTATCATCTTACCGGCAGATACCAACAGATACCAGCAGAGACGCCCCATCTTCCATCTACATCCAACACAGCTTGGGCACCTCGGTGGTATGAGGGGGGACGTGAAAGACCCAAGGCTGTTTCACCTGCTGAAGATTCATTATTCTCCTCGTCATAGGGTCGACAAACGGGTGCCCAGTCCGGATCATTTCACCTTGACACGGTGGTACAGCAGCAATAATTTCCTCCATGGAAGGCATACCGCCTCCCCATGCGACGCGCCGTGTGTGATAAGTTGATTAGGGTAGTGTTAGTGTCATGTACGAAGCACCTAGCCTGCTTCCTGCTGATGCGAAGGCGCAGAACAGATCCAATCTGCCAGTTGATCCCTGTGACGGGTCGAAGAGCTCGGGCCAATGAGAGTCCCTGGTGGAGGGGGAGTTTGGCCTGTTTGGTTGACCCTGTGGGCATCCGCCCAAAGAGGCAACTGACCGATCATCGAGTCACTTGGCTCGATGCGGCTAGGCGTCTCGCCCAGTTGGACTAGCCCGGTTATGGCCCCTCGATACCTGAGGTTGGCGATACGCCGGCCGGTCCCCAGTTCTGACTTCGCCGTGACTGTGCCGGCAGGCGGTAAGAGTCACGACACCACCAGCGCAACTTTGTTTGGTGGCCGGCGATGTGCCAGCCACTGCAATGTAACCTTTTCTGGAATGGCTGATCCACCCTGGGATGACAGTTGGGGGAATGTAATCCTAGTATGTAGGCTAGTTGGTCGATCTAGAGAGGGGGAGGGGAGGGGAAAGGCTGATGAGATGTGAACTTGGGTAGAGGTGAAAGGGAAGAAAAGGGAAAAAATGGGAAAAAATGGGAAAAAGACAAACGATGAGATACTTGCTGAATCGACCTCTACTCTGTACTAACTACTATGTTATATACTCCATATCGTCTGGAGGAATGAGAATCTATTAATAGGGCGGGCGGTAGTCAAGAGCCGCCGTTGGCGAGTCGGTAGCCGCCGGGCGATGGGCCAAACCTCGAACGGGCGGCAGCTCTTCCCACCGTCGGTCTATCTTTAGAATAATCTTCTGCATCACCCGCGTGTCGCCGCTCCAGCCATCCATCATCCTTCCCATCCATCCAAACCCATCCATCCCATCCCCGACACTAAGTCCCTCTATTCCATCACGTCGCCTATCTCTCGTCTCTCGTTGCAAGGTGGGTTTCCTGAGGCTACGTCTGTCTCCTCCTTTGTCTTCTCTCCTGCCCTGCCATCTGCCGCCCGCCCCTTTGTCGTTCCCCCCGACGGATCACGCCGCGCGCCCTTCTCTCAATCCCTCCTCCAAAATACCGTCGCTTCCAATCTCACCCCTCCCTCTTGTGCTCTTCTCACCACCACCCCCCGGTCATTCACGTTCCTTTTTTTTCACGCAGACATCTTCCTTCCCTCCGTAGGGGGAATGAAAGTACTTCTATGTGGGGTTTCTGAGAAAATACTAAATATAAATTCTTCCCACAGCCCGGAGGTTCCTGCCATCCTTCTTTTTCCCTAATCGCGTTCCGGAAATTCTTTCGTCGGGCGGCGCTTCCTTGGGTTTCAGCTCGCGCCGCCATTTGATGCGGACGAACCACTCCACCTTAGGCTCCTCTTGACCTTGCTCGTCACTGTTTCATCGACGCTCTTTCCGGTGGGATTCGTTCATCCGTTATCCCTCATGGGTCGGAGAAAGATCGAGATCAAGGCGATCAAGGATGATCGCAACCGCTCAGTGTAGGTGCTCCCACTGGTGGATCTCTTCATCTCCATTAGCCCTAGCTCGTCAGGCTAACGTTCTGGTGCGCTTCTAGGACCTTTCTGAAGCGAAAGGGCGGTCTCTTCAAAAAGGCACATGAGCTTGCGGTCCTCTGTTCGGTAGATGTCGCCGTCATTATCTTTGGTCACAACAAGAAGCTGTATGAGTTTTCGTCATGTGACATGCGAGAGACGCTCGGTCGATATCAATACGTCCGTTACCTACCTGCCTACAGATCCTGATGACTGTTCGTTGATCTGACATGATGCCTTTGGTTTCTACCTTTTATAGTTCGGTCCCCCACACGAGCACAAAGGTCCCGAGGACTTCAACGGTAAACGCGACGATGACGACGACGAGGATGAGACGACACCTGCCCCCGAAGATGTGCATCCGACACCTCCCAACCCCTCAATGATTCCCGCCCACCTACCAGGTCATCCCGGCTTCCAGCATGTCACTCATGCCCCGTCTGCGTCCCCACCGATTGGGAATGGGATGCCATTCGATCCGCGCCACGGTACCCCACAACCGCAAGGAGTCTCCAGACCTTCGTCCCGGAATCACCTTCGTCGAGTGAGCTCCAATATGGGGCCTCAGCCGCATCATCATGCCACACCCCCGCCGCCTCCACCGCCGCCGCAAAATGGCTTCACTTATATTCCTAATCCTTCCGTCTATAATCCCAGCGCTGCTCACACGATGGCTCAGCCTCCGCGTCCGCCTCAGTTCGCACATTATGCCCCTCCAGGACCACATCACGCTCACCCTCCTCCGCCTCCACAGCATCAGCCCATGCCGCCGCAGTCTATGCCTCCCCAGTCTATGCCCCCGCAGTCGATGACCCCACAACCTATGCCCCCGCAGCCGATGCCACCGCACGCAATGGCGCCTCAAGCCATGCCGCCACACCACCAGCCTCCTCCGCAACACATCCCCCAACATCCCCCTCATGCACTTGCACAGCAGCAACAGCCGCCGCCTCCGATGGCCATGACACAACCACCACATGTCGTCCCACAGGTCGCGCAAGCGTTCCTACCGGAGCAAGGACGAAATTCCATGCCCCCGGCATTTGCAACCGAGCAGCAACCACCGCCACCTCGGACGGTGTCGCTTCCTGAAGGGACCGCTCCGGCAGAGGCAATGCCAGGCCCGATGAAGTCGGAAGGGACCCCGTCACCCCCGCACCAGCGTTCTCTCTCCTCCAAGTCACGCAGTATCTTCACGCCTATTGACGACCGGGGCTCTGTATTGGCTCGCCATTTCGGCGTCGGACCACCGACGGAGGCGGGCGAGAACGCGGCAGCCAAGATCGAGGCACCACTTGGACCGCACGAGGTGAAGCCCGCCGGGCTACCGGCAAAGCCTCCTCCTCGAGCCGCCACGGAGGCCCCACGTCCGCCACCGATCGTTGACCTCAAGCCCCCCGCACGGACGAACAGTGGTCAGTTACCGCCGAAGCGGCCGCAGCTGAAGGTGCAGATACCGAGTGAGAACTCCGATCGGGGCAGTGCCACGGCCGATTCGTCGTCGCGCGATTCGGCAGGGAACAAGACGCTTACACCCGCCAAAGCCAATCCGGACACGGGCCATTCGAGCGTGGTATTACCGCCACCCTCGCCATCTGCTGGTGCAATTCTGAGTGCGGGGGCCCAGGGACCACCGAATCCCTTTGCGCGCCCGCCGCCTCCCGGTGCTGCACCGCAGAGCAACAATTCGTACAACAATAACAGCAATATCGATACGCCTATCTCCGCTCTTCCCAGTCGGTTTGTCTCCGATGCACTTCTTCCGTCGCCATCGAGTTTCTTTCCCGAATGGGGTTTTGGACGGTCTGGGCCGGATAGCAACATGCTACCCAGTCCACTGACGTTCCCCACGCCCGCGCTGCAGAACGGACCTGGGTTCGGACGCGAAGATGAGCAAGAGAAAAAGCGTAAAAGCCCCGACAGCGGGCCCAATGCCGAAGGGATCATGAAGAAGCCAAAGACGTAAGGCAATCCGTTGTTGCAACTACTAGACTGATGATTGTGGTGTTTTGTTCCTTGGGTGAATCGTCTTCTCCCGTGTTTCACATATGGCATCTTCTGGCGTTGGCGAAAGCTACTTGTGGTTTACTCTCATTGGGATGGGAAAGTTCGAATGAGGCTCGTTTGATTCCTTGGGATCGGTTTTGTTCCTCCGGTTCTGAACAAGTTCCTAGTCCTTCCTTGTTTGTGATAAGGGTTTTCCTTTTCAACTTTATACCCCTTCCTTTTTGCCATCTCGTCGTTTTGGCTACTGAACTCATCCTATCTATCGATCTATTTCTCTCGGCCCCAAATACATGAGAATGGTGCGATCTTTACTTCTTTCCTTTCCTTTCCTTTCCTATTCTATCTCTGCTATTGTTTATTATCGTGGTTTAAACTTAAGTACTGGACCCGGGACACTGAACTCACTCGGGTCCCATTCCAGTCTCGTCACGGGTGGCCTTCTCAATTTCTTTCTTATTCTATGTTTTATTTGGGAGTAACTTTGTACATAGAAAGATGTGCGACTAGGAGAATTTAATCTGATAGTTCACGGCAACCCCCCTCCCTTTCCTTCTAGAAAGTATAAAGTTTAAACTCTATTTGATTATATGAGGTCATCGCCATCAACTTTATTTCTATTCTTGTCCTACACTGTGGAGTAACTAACTAGAGGTTGGATGTAGTTAGTCAGCAGGTGAGCCAAGAAGTATGTACTACGTATGCATGTATGCATGATAGTTTGGTTAGCGGAATGGTTGATCGATTAATTGGTCTATTGGATGAGTCATAACATTATCGTGGTGATGACGATGATTATATTGTATTGGTATTAGTGTTGAGTAACAGATGTTGTTGAATACGGAATAACTGAGTGACTAGTAAATGTAGATGTAGATGTAATCGGGATGCTTTTGGTGTATCATTGTGCTGTTGGAATGAAGGAGGGGTATTAGGGGTTTAAATTAAGTTGAGTAATTTCGTTTCTTTCTTGTTCCATACTCGAGTGACCATTCTCCATCACACACGGAGAGAGAGAGAGAGAGGCGGAGAGAGTATGTGTGTATGTGGAGAGAAAGGGAAGAATCGAGGGAAGAAGGGAGGAGGTTGTGTTCTAACCCGTACACCAGACTCTAACCTTTTAATTGTGTGAACCATGTTCAGTCAAACAAAGAAGCAATCACAGGAAACTGAAGAACCGGGGAAAGGCGGTTTCGGAGGAGAGAATTATGTATGATGAATTCGATATGATTGGTATATATAAGAATTAACTCAATCACACTTCCTCTTTCCCTCTCACCTCTCCCCCGTCCGCCTGCTGTTTCCTCTTCTGGTCTTCCAGAACGGCCTGGCGGGCTTTCTCCTGTTCGGCGAACCCGGTCTTGGCGATGGTGTGTGACTTGCTGAGCACCACGGGCCGAATGAAGAGACTCACGATGAGGCCGAGACCTGCCATGGCGCAGTAGAAGATCCACATGCGGCTGAGGGCCAGGGTGTAGGCTTTGAGGACGACGGTTTTCTCGTCCGTGGGGAGGGCTTTGATGAGGGAGGTGGCGGAGCCGGAGAAGGAGTTCTCCAGGGTGGTGGCTTTGGCTTGGCCGATGGCGGCGGTGACGCGGGGCATCTGTTCGTGGAAGACGTTCTGGTAGATGACGGTGCCGAGGACGATGGAGATGGCGGCGGAGACTTGGCGGAGGAAACCGAAGGTGGCGGTGCCGGCGGCCATGTCGGAGGGGTGGATGTTGGCTTGGAGGGCGACGAGAGGGGATTGGAAGAGAGGGCCGGTGCCGATGCCGCCGATGATTTGGTAGATGATGATGCGGGGCCAGGAGGCGTAGTATTTCAGATCGATGAGGAGGCCGTAGCCGAGGGCCATGAGGAAGAGGCCGCCGATGATGAGTTCGCGGTATCGGCCGGTCTTCTTGATGATGATACCGGTGATGGCGGAGAAGACGGAGAGGCTGAGTACGGTGGGGAGGACGTAGACGCCGCTCATGATGGGGCTGGCCAGGAGGACGGTCTGGAAGTAGAGGGGGAGGTAGTAGGAGCCGGAGATGAAGACCATGCTGTGGCAGAAGCAGATGAGGAGCATGAGGACGTTGTGGAGGTTGTTGAATAGCCGGATTGGAATCACGGGGTAACGGGCAAGTTTCCATTCGTTGAAGAAGGCTAGAGCCCAGGTCACGACGCCAAAGACGATCAAACAGATCACGGTGGCTGAGTCCCAGGGGTAGTTGACGCCGCCGAATTCGAGGCCGAACAGGAACATCAGAGTACCGCCCAGCATGAGCATGTTGCCTGTCCAGTCGATGGAGCGGATGCCAGCCCAGAAGGGGACCTTGCCGGTTTCTATCTTAAGGAAGAAGACAAGGATGACGAAGGAGACACCGCCGATGGGGACTGAGTCGGGTCAGTGGGATTAGGGTTGGGAGGGCAGGGGGGATGGGCTTACGATTGAGGTAGAAGCACCAACGCCAGGTCACGTCTGTGGTGAAGGCACCGCCGACGATGGGGCCGAGAGCACCTGCAATGGCCCATGTGGAGCCGAATATACCGTAGTACATGGGGCGATCTCTAGGGGAGGGTGAGCCGTGACCACCGGGGGGGGGATGGAGGGAGGGCTGACAGACCTGACACTGAACAGGTCAGAGACACAGATGTTGGCAAGCACGATGATACCACCGCCACCCGCGCCCTGGATCGCTCTGCCCGAGATGATCATGGGGAGGTTGACAGCCAGCGCGCAAATCAAACTGCCCACGAGGAACAGGAAATTGGCGATGAGAATGATGCGCTTCCGGCCCCAGACATCACTGATCTTGCCCCATAAGGGGACACAGGCCGCATTGGCCAACATGTAAGACGATGCAATCCATGAGTAACCACTCTCCGAGGCGTGGAAATGCGTTGCGATTGTTGGTAGGGCTGTCGAGACAATTGTCTACAGAAGCAACACGTGTGAGTAGATGTAGATGCCGTATGCGATGAGGGATGAGTTACCATATCCAGAGCTGCTAGGAACAAAACGAGCTATAGCAATCCCAAGCAATTAGCGTTGATCCTAAGGCGCAAAGGGACAATAAACATACACAAAGTGCAGTCATCACGACGACGATCTTCTTCTTCCCCAGCTTCTGCGCCTGCGACGGCACCCGATCCAGCGGCGCACCGGGCCCAGCTTTCTCCAAGGATCCATCCCCGGTCGTCTCAGCAGCAGGCTGTTCATCTGACGCCTGGGAGGGAGACTCGATGGCATCGGGCTTCTCCGAACCATCTCTGGACGAAACACCGGCATCGGAAGGCGTCATCTTCTCCGCATTCACCAACAGGTCCTTGTCTTGATCTGCGCTCCGGACGACACGATCCTCTTCGTGAGGAGGGTTCTGGGTAACCGTCATGCTTACAAATGTCGGGGTTTCAGCTGACAGAATCAAAGAAAGACTAGCGAGGAGAGGAGAAATAAATGCAGACAAGAAATGGGGGCAGACCCCTCGCAGTGGCGGACAGAACCGACGGTTGCAGACAGGATCGGCGCGACGGAAGTCTGCACTGGCAGAGGAACTGAAGGGACTGGCAGGAGGACAAGCGGCCGGGCAGCAAGCAAGCTATAAGCTAACACTGTCGCGGCGTCGACAGCTCCGGCCAGTCCACTTAATCAAAAATTTCCGGGGCCTGGCTTTTTGGAGATTCTCGCCCTTAAGGCTCGGAGATAAGGTGAAACAGGGACGAGGCCGACGCCCAAAGAGGCAAAACGGCTATCGATCTCTCTGGAGTGGCGGCCAAAATGCCCGACAGCCTCGGGGCCAATCCGGTCCATCCATGGGCTCGTCATGTCCTGTCCTGAAAAATGGGATAAAGGCTCCCCGACTGCAGGACGCGTGCGCCAGACGCAGCTCAGGTAGATACCGTGAGGGGGCAGTCGCTGGAAAATACTCGGTTGTCATGCTCGGACATTTTTGAGGGGCCGATCCCTAACCGTTGTCCCCTGTGGGCATGCCCGAACACAACAAACAATCCGACTCGTCACATCTCTCTCGATTCATGTCGCAATGTCGCATAGGCTGGATAGGACCTAGTCTACACCGCATCTGGTCCAGCATACTATTGTTATATTACGAGCAGCATGTAAGATCAAAAACCACCTGTCATACTTTCCCGCTATGGAACCACCGGCCTGCGAAAGATGCTATGAGAACGAAGGGTATAATGTACATTATAGTTATGGAGGCACCCCACAATATCCATCAAATCAATGATATCCCCTCTAGTCCTGAAGTTGAAGGATTTCTGCAGCCACATTAGCAGCCCTCCACATACCTCACGGCAACGGGTGACTCACCGGTCAAAAACTCCTCAAAGCTCACCGTAATATAGCCATCGCGATCATCGTCATACCGCTTAAACACATCGGTCATCCGCCGCAGACTAATGCACGCCTGCACAAAAAGATCAAAGCTCATGCCCTGCTTCGCTGGCCCATGTGCATGTCCATTCATCTGCCGCCCTTTGTTCTCGAACGTTCTGAACAGCACCATCACAAAGGGCTGGCTTAGGCGGTACCCAAAGGCCACTAATGCATTCTCAAATTCATATAGGCTGATGCGCCCGCTGCGATCTTGGTCAAACCGGTCGAAGAGCTCCCGCCATGCCGCGAGGTAGCGCCACAGCGCCACAAACTCGTCAAACGAGATCGTCCCGCTGTTGTTCCGGTCAAACATGCGGATCATCATCTTCACCGTGTTGGGGTGGAACGAGGTGAAGTCCCCGTTCACCAGAGCAGAGCCCAGCTCCATCTCCGTGAGCGATCCCGAGTGCGAGGTGTTTGCAGCGCGGAACAGGGGGAACAGCTGTTGCGGATCATCGTCGGGGACCGCCATCACGGCAGGGTGTGGCGATTGCGGCGGGCGCGACGCCGGCGGACGATTGCGCACCGGCTGGGTAGGAGGAGGCCCGAAACCGTAGTTCTGGGGAGGAGGAGAGGGATGTAGCGGATGGGGGCGTTGTTGGCTCGCCGGAGGGACGTTTGCGGGTGACTGTATGCCGTGCGGGGCCTGGACAGGCGCGCCGTATCGCTGGGGGTGTGGGTTGCCAGCATTAGAAACTGGCACTCGAGGGGGGACACCGCTAGAGGAAGTATGCGGCGGCGGGCGAGGATGCTTCTGCTGATGTGCGCTGTTCGATTGCATGGCACCGAGCATTTGCGCTACCTATTGTATAGCCAAGTCAGGAGGCGCGGGGCAATCCACCGGGAGGACGAGAAACGCTAGGACTGCCGTACCTGTTCCGGCTCTGCATGTCTGCATAATGCCCTGCATATTAGCGACGCTGCTCATGGTACGAATGGGCTGTCAAAGGGTCGGACTTACGCTGGCAGCGCATCGGGGTTGTAGGACTGGTTGTATGCCATGGCCGCAAGGCTGACGTAACAGACGCCGGGCGCAATCTGGAGAGGGGCCGAAGGCAAGAGGCAGGCGTCGAGTCGATTCAGGGAGGATAAAAAAGCAGATCGTGAGGGAGAAAGGAGTGGGAGAAGATAAATCGAGATCAAAAGGAGGTCGGAGAAGGATGGAGGGCCTGATTAAGTTCTACCCATGGTCTGCTAGTCAGTCGTTAATGAACAGATTGTTTTTGCGGCCTTGAGAGCGGAGCCGTGGGGCGGCGGTTCAGCAGGAGTCGCCAAGAGACCTGCTTTAGCACCGCATGGCCTTCGCTCGCCCCTGGATGGATGAGGCTGTGAAGGTCCACGAGTGTACGAGGACGAGGCTGCCTCCGCTAGTCATAAATCAATGCATGGCCCGGAGTCCATGTAACACAATCACTGGCACTTGCAAAAGGACAGCCAGCATCCAGACGTCGTCGTGTCCGACCGGCTCTCAGCCCTATACTTGATGCTGCTTAATTTAATCCGGGAATGCTTGGCCCACAGGTTCCTTGACCATTCGCGGTGGAGCCTGACGACGGTCTGTCCGTCTGGAAATGCCTAGTTATCGAATTCTTGTCTTACACTGCCTGAACGTCTCCAATGGTCGCGCTGACCAGTCGTTCCACCGCGCCAACAAGATGGCGTAACGCTCTGAACTAGTGGACCTTAAGCGCTTTACCAACCCCTGATTGACTCCTTCAGCCCCTCGGACTGCCCCTCGAGCACCTCCATGATCTCCGCCCACGCTGCCGCCTGAAATTGCTTGCCTTCCGTTCCAGTCGTCAATGCCACTGATTCACTACTCAATGTTAGCACCACTGTACGTACGAATCGGATTCAAGAGCAGACTTACTCCAGGTATCCATCGCTCCGCCAACACTTCCCATGCGACTCCACCCCCTGATAAGTGGCACTGACCAACGACCGGCTCCCTTGTTCCGCCGTGCGAGCAAAGAGCTTATAAGCCAGCCAGGTCATCCAGCGTTCGTAGAATCTACTGTACTTCCGTCCTAACGACGAGACGCAGAACCCAGGGCTTACAGTGTTGATGATGACGGGCACGGTGCCATTTTCATTCCGAATAAGACCAGCTACCGTCTTGAGAACATATTCCAGGAGAAGCTTGGAAATACCATATTGTCTAGGGCCTCTGAAGAACTGCGGGCTATTGAGATGCTTCAGGAGGGGCTGTTTCGTCCGGAGACTCTTCGCTTTGACGCGAACAAACTGTTGGCTGGAGACGACCGTGAGATGAGTCGGGTCCGACGGGGATGAGCTACTTCTCAGCTTTGGAAGGAGCAGAAGTGCCAATAGGGAAGTGGATAGCGTGTTGACCTGCAATGTTTCCTCCCATCCCTCGGCTGAGACGCCAAAATCTCGATTCCATAGGCCTGCATTGAGCAACGCGATATCCAGCTGTTTCAGTTCGTCATTCACGCGGTTCGCGAAGCTCTTGACGCTCTGGAAACTGTTCAATTCCAGCTGCCATACTTTGATCACGCCAGGTCTGTTTGTAAGCTTTTCGAGTTCTGTCTTGGTCGCTTGGCCTCGCTGCAGGTTACGGCTGCCTATGATAAGGGACTCCACCCCTAGATTGAGGAGCTTGACGGCGGCTTCGAAGCCCAGTCCAGATGTTGCTCCAGTCAAGAGGACTGTCTTCCCTGCAAATGAAACCCCACTGGGGTCAACAGGGGGATTATATTGCGTTCGGAGGAGACGAAAGAGGCTAGCCATAATAATGATGTAATTAACGGACACACAACGATGTAGAACTGCAAGAGAAGGAGAGGCAAGCAGTCACTGATGTAGCCCGACAGAACTATCGGCCGATACCAGGCCGATCCTTGATCTATAGAGACAGGGATGCCTTCGAAGGATCAGATCCAGCCAGCCCTGCATAAAGCTGACGAAAGTTGAAGTCAATTGATTAGCGATCAACTATGTCTGATAGCTGCCAGTTGGGTTAGCTGGGACTAAGGCTGGGTCCGGCGTCTGGGCCGCCCCGCTGCCTCCGAGACGAGGACGGCTCGAGTCGGCGATACGAATACGCGCAAGTTCTGCAGGCCCCAAGGTCCTCAGCCACGAGCGCGATCTGAGTCTGGTTATGACGGGCAGAAAGAGTTATTTCCCGACCTGCAGGAGAGTAGAAAGAACACTCACAGGCTAGAACAGCCAAAAGGTTCCAAGCAGAAGCCACACCGACGGGCAATCAAATGCGAGTAGAAAGAGAGAGCGAATGAGGAACAAGGAAAGTGGCAACATCTCCAGGGACAACAAACACTGCAAACATGCGGAGGGGCAGCGTTGCCCGCCGTGGTAGAGACTGTTCGCGATGGCTTTCATATTGGCAGATCTGAGATACTCGCTCTTTAGAACGCAGTGATTTGCTTTGATTATTATTAATTGTATTGTCTAGACGGTTGGAGCAGATTCAGGCTGCGATCTCCTCTTGATCTGGCTTCTTGCTACGATTATATATTCTTCCACACCGAGTCGGATATAGTACGAAATTACCCCGCAGGACATCGAACAGCACATCAACAACCGTTAACCAAACCGCAGACCCCAATTATCTAAATATGGTATCCAGCGAGGGAGCCCACGTAGTCTCATCCGAGAAAAACTGGCGCGAGAAGTTCCCCGACGGCGACCTCTGGGTATTCGGCTACGGGTAAGCCTATCATATCGATTATCGCGATTGGCGAGATGATGATCCCAGGCCTCGTGTGACGATGTGGCTGATCCCTTTTCAGGAGCTTGATCTGGAAGCCACCGCCGCATTTTGGTACGTCCTAGTCACCCCTGGAAAATCGTTGGGCTGTCTTGAGAGGGCCTGAAACGTCTGTTCATGATAACTAACGTCCAGCGCAATGTGATAGATCAGCGAGTCCCAGGTTACATTAATGGCTATGTCCGACGCTTCTGGCAGGTATGTCGTATCGCCTCTCCCTGACTGTTTCAAACTGTGGAATGAGATGCACGTCGGCGCTGCTTGATTCAAGGCTGACTGGAGGGTTGGAATCTTATAGGCTAGGTAAGTTTAATGTGTACCTCTAAGCTACTCTGATCGTCACGTACCTGGCATGGATCTGAGCCCGATGGTGTCTCAACCCAGTAGGCTAATGCGCTATCTACCATCCAGTAATGACCACCGCGGCACACCAGAGAATCCTGGGCGGGTTTTAACCGTGATTGACCGGGAGTTCTGGGAAACCCTCGATGATCCGGTATGTTTCGTCCCCTTGCCTGTTCAACCACACATTGCCTTGACCCCGCGCACTGCATGTCATATCATACCGAGAAGGTGTCTCACAACCCAACGATTGCAACAGCTAGCACACCATGAAACGTCCCCGACCGCCACGGTCTGGGGTGCAGCGTACCATATCCCCGCCAGTCATGCCAATGAGGTCCGCCATTATCTCGACATCCGGGAGATCAATGGCTATACTGACCACTATACGCCGTTTCACCCCGTCCTGACATCTAAAGGATCCGACGCCGCGAAATGTCCCCCCACCCCGATCACCTGTATGGTCTACATTGGCCAGCCCACCAATCCTCAGTTTCTGCGTGAGCCGGCTCAACGGGAACAGCAGGCTGTGGCTGAGGTGATCAGTCGCAGCGAGGGCAAGAGTGGGAAGAATGCAGAATATCTGTTCATGTTGGAGAAGGCGCTGGAGGGGCTTGGATTTGGCAATGCTGAGATGCATGTCACCGATTTGGTGCGGCGGGTTAAGGCCCTACTGAATGAAGAGGAGGTGCTGAAGGAAGAGGCACAGGCCGAGCGGGACTTGGAAGAGTCGTTGCATCCATCGGAACAGGAGGTGCATCGGTGATTCCCGCCGGTGGAGTAGGCTACTGGTTGTGTACGGATAAGATAGATCATGACTTGGACCTAGAATCATTCCAAATTCACGATAGAACACTAGCGCTTCGTTGGACCACACCCTTTGGCTCAAACCAGGTGTAACATAGGTCAGATTACATACATGTCAACAATGACCCGAGTAAACGACAAGACACAAATGATTTAAGTTACGCGATGCGAGTCAAGTCAAAAGAGATGTCATTATCGCAATGATCAGACGTCAAAGTAAAAAGGTCGTATCGTCATGAATCTCCATCATAAAAAGCCGGTGAGCATGCGCTCGTGTTTATCCCAAACTTTATGTCCGAAGGGACGACGGCAGGTGACATGCACGAAAGAAGTAAATGAGAATGAAAGCAAGGGCGAAAGGCCGGACCATGGCGGCGGGCATGCTTAAGCAGCCTACTCGGCATGGCCAGTCTCGTCCTGCTGCTGGTTACGCCAGCCTGCTACCGTCAGCCCCGAGTCTATTTGAAGCATCACATTGGAACTCAAGTAACTTACCGCCGCCGCCGCCGTATCCACCACGGTTGTACCCACCGCGTCCATGGAATCCACCACCGGAGCGCGGGCCTTGGCGCTCCGAGGCCTTGTCGACACGGATGACGCGGCCATCGAATCTGCATAGGTTAGTGTCGCCCTTGATGGCGGTAGAGCACGGCGAGAAAGCTTACTCCTGGTTGTTCATGGCCTGGGCAGCGGAGTCGGCCTCCTCAGGGCTAGAGAAACGGACGAAACCGAAGCCACGGCTGCGGTTGGTGTCATGGTCCTTGACAACGATCTGAGCCTGGTCAGTACAAGAAGAACCGACGAGGGTCTCATGGCCCTAGTGGAACGTGGGGGACAGACAGCTTCTTCAATGTTGCCAAACTCGGAGAATCCCTGACGGAGGGTCTCATCAGTGGTGTGCCAGGCAAGGCCGCTGATCATGGTTAGTCTGACGAGGGGATAGGACAGCTAGATAGAAAGGACCAACAGACCCGACAAAAAGCTTGGACATTTTGAAATTTTGATTTCACAAAGACTGTGATCGAAACTATCTGGCAGTAAGCACCCGTGGTTTGAAGGAGTCAGAGGAGCGGGGATTAGTGACAAGCTTCGACGACTCTATTACAGTAGTCAAGTTGGAACTTGGGAAAGACAGAAGAAGAAAAAGAAGAAGGGAGAGAGAAGGTGAAGGAAAGCAAGAGTGAGGAGAGGAAGAGAAGAGGAAAGATGACAGAGGGTGGTTTTTGTGAGACCAGACCCTGCAGAGGATCCCCTCCACAACGGGGATTCAGGTGAGTCCACCGAAATATGAAACGAAAACATTCACTGGCAGCCTAGTGGGAAAAAGCGGGCGACGGGAAAAATTCAAAAAATAGTCAGACGTACCTTGTGGAAGCGACAGGTCAATTCGAACCAGAAACCGAGGGGTAGATGGAAGTTAGGGAAGTGGTTCTGCAGAATCGGGACAAGGGATGGAGGGGAAGTTCGAAATCTAGGGGAACAGGTGAGAATGACGAGGAAGAAGAGGCGGCCGACAAAGCGGGGGAAGGACTGGCAGAGACTAGTAGGAGAGGGAAGGCTGGCAGTTTGGCGTGCTCAGAGGCTCAAAGGGCCGGCCAACCCGCCAGCGCAGCTCCGGCAGCACCATCTGTTTGTCTTAATAATGCAAACGAGGGGGGCAAAGAGCGATGGGATTGGAGACGCTAAAGAGTCATGCCCGGCGCGCACCTCCGTTCCCCTCTTCTGCTTTTCGTCGTTTCTGCCCGGTCCCCTTTTCCGTGGGCTACGGCGGGTGGGAGCTGACTACGGAGTTCTGGGAGGTGGTGTTAAATAATGACTGGCGTCGCAACCTTTCCAGCAAGGTGCCTGCGTCTACGGAGTACTATCCCCACCGGAATGCCCGAGGGGAAAGCCTGGTTTGCGCGATGCAAGAGCCGAACAGCATGTCGGGACTGGAGGGAGCTAAGAGGAAAACCGAAACGATCGGCTGTGTTTGTAGTATGCAGTCGACTATGCACGGCACAGAAGCTCGTGGACTGGACGGGAATCCGTGGCAGCTCCGTTGAGTCCGTTGGCAGAGGGTGCCACTCATAGGGCTGCTGAAGAACTTGGCCATCGCCCATCTTCCTCTCACTGCACGGACTTGGCGGTTTCATGATCCTGTTTGTCTGGGGATTGCTGAACCGCATCTTACGGCCTTCGGGAAGAATTGCCATCAGCAAGGAGGAGCCTGGTATCCCTCTGGTACTCCGTACCTGACCGGCTTATCGCGCTGCCTGTCCTACTCCGGCTCAGTGTCACATCGCTAGCTTGGTAGACTGAAGGAGAACCTCCCAGATCGCGAGACTAGAATTCACAATGCTTACGACAATTCAACGTCTCCTGTGATCTTTGTATTATCTCTTCTCACCATTTCTCTCATACGCTGTACTTGATTTCCGATTTGAATCAGATGAATTCGCATGTGTTTGCACCCACTAAGCCAACTCTGTTTGGTGGGTGCAGTGAATAACACCCAATCTCACAGTGAAGGGGTTGTGCTTTCCGCTCCTTCATCTCATCCCATCTTTTTCTACTGTCTTACCTCTCTCTCGCTCTATCTCGCTCGTTCATCTTCTCCCTTGAGCTTCATCCCTGTACCCCATTCTCCAGATTGAGAACATTCACTATGGATGAGCCATCGAAGGAACTCATCCTCAACCTTTTACACCAGGAAGCTCAGCAAGAAATTGAGAGTCGGAAGGGTAAGCAAAAGGCCGGCGTTCTCTCGGATTGGGAGCTAGCTCTCAGCGAGTGGACAAGCGAGCTCCGGCAATGTTCCCAAGACCTTCAAGACCACAGAATGGCCCGGAGCGTTGCGAAAGCAGTCTATGATGACAGCGTGGCTCTGGCGGTTGCCGTACAGGAGGAGTGCAGGGCACTCGCGGACAGGATAACGGCTTTACGCCTCGGAGGGCAGTTGCAGCTAGCCCAGAGCCAACCACAGCAGCTCCTTGCTGCGGAAGCGACCAGGGAGGCAAACAAGATGCTGGAGAGCTCATACCTCACGTTTCAACAGGCCGAGTCGATGTCTGCGGATGCTCAAAGCTGTTCGCAGAGAGCTCGAAGGAGGCCGAGAAACGCCATTCCACTGACAATAGATCTTCCGAATGCGTTGCCTGCACGGAGTTGTACCCTATGAGCGACATGTTTGAGGCGCCATGCTTGCATTATTACTGTCGAACACATCAAAGCTTGTCGAGGACTCTCTCATCGGCGAGTCGCTTTCCCCTCCTCGTTGCTGCCGCATGCCGACCCTTTTGTCCCCCGTGCGAGGCTATCTAGGCCAAGGGTTAGCTAGACAATATGAAGAGAAGGGAATGGAACACGAAGACTCACACCGAACTTATTGCTCAAATGCAGCATGCGCGACCTACCTTATGCCATTTCAAGTGCAGGGCTACATTGGTACATGCAAAAACTGTCGCCAGCAGACATGCACTTTGTGTATACGACAAGCCCATCCTTGTGCCCAGTGTATCGACGAATACAACGGGGTCTTGCATTAGGCGAAAGAGCAGGGGCGAAAGAGCAGGGTTGGCAGTGATGCGCTAGATGCCGCAATTTTGTCGAGCTGGGAACAGGCTGCAACCATATCACGTAAGTGGCGTCTGAGTAGGATTGTGGCATGAACTAAGGGACATGCCCTGCCTCTCAGGTGCCGCTGCAGGTATGAGTTTTGCTACGTCTGCGGAACCAAGTGGAAGAAGTGTACATGCGAGCTTTAGAATGAGAACAGACTGCTACTCCGAGCCCAGCATGTTGCCGGCCGGGACCAAGTCGAACCTCCTGCTCCGGCCGAGGTGCAGCGGGTGGCACAAGACTTGCTGGAGCGCCATAAATGCGATCATGAAAGCTGCTGGAAACGTATCAATCGAGGACAAGTGTGTGAAGAGTGTCATGAATATCTTTCAGCTTTCATACTTGAATGTCGTCAGTGCCATCTACGGGCTTGTGTACGCTGCAAGCTGAACCGTCTTTAACTAGCCTGCACAATTGTCAGGGCTATGGTGCTGATGTCGATCCTACTGCATCCAAGAACATTACTACTCCATGAAGAGAAAAGGAGTTTCCCAACGGGTCAAATGTAGGTGAAGACAGAAGGTGATACTCGAGGAACTGTATGATATGTCAATCTCATCAAAAAGATGTTCCTTACCTGAAGCTCGGAAGCTTCTTCCTCATACTTGGCAACCGCGATATCATCTTGAAGCAATCTAACGCTTGACTCATTCTCCCATCCGAGTCGTAGCGATGTCATCGGCGAGCCCAGCAGCTCTTGCCTAACCGGCGGACTTTTATCCACATACTTCCCTCCAAATCACTCAAGCGCAGACCTGTTAATTCACAACCACTATCCACTATGGCTCAAGCCAGACTCCACCAGTATCTGTCTCGTGATACCTACAACACTATTGAGAAGTGGATCATCGAAACTAATGCCGCGCTTGCTAGCCACAGAGCAGATCTTCCTTTTATGCACTCTGCGCCTCAACGTAAGTCTTCTTGATCTCTCTTCTGGCATTAATCTAGCCTCTAACTCTTTGCAGCTATCAAATTTCCTGTGTCGCGAACCCACATTGCTCGCGTCCTTGGCAAGAACCGACCTCCAGAAACTATAACACCGGAGATGAACCTCAAAGAACTGGGACACGATCCCCTTATGTTGAAGGAAGAACAGCTTGGTCGGGAAAGGCTAAGTGCCTGCAGGCCCATACTGAAGATGAACCCTGAGGTCGCCGCAGAGAAGATCCAGGAACAACTGCTGGCTCGTGAGCATTGGCTGACTCCGTCCAAGCGGGGATTCGAACAGTCAGCCGCATACCAGGCAACTGACCTGGCACCGACTGCTTCCACTGCAAAGAAGGCACGTTACGGATATGAGCGTCGTCCTCGACATAAAACCAAGAGTGATCGATATGAGTACAGGAACAAGATGGTCCACGCGAGGAGCGACCGTGTCTTGAAGCGAGTGAAAAGGACAAGCAATGACACCTTCCACGCTCCCAACGTACCTTGTGATCGTTTGACAGTGAGTAGCCCTCCTACATTACATATTTATGAAGATGCCAATTCCACGGTAGCTGAATCATAGGGGTATTCAGGGAATCTTCAATAAGGGAAAAGCATCAGCTCCCGTCAACCCGCTCCACAGCGGTCAAATGCCGGATATTTTCGGTTTCGATACACCTTTGACTGCATGGAATTTGCACTCAGCCCACAAAGTCGGGTTCTCTGAAAGCGAATTCTTGCTTGGGAATTCAGATACCGACCAGGTCTGCGTCAACAGCAAGTCCACCTATGAAGTATGTGAGGGGGCCGATAGTGTCAAATATCCAGCCACATCCGCACCCAAGCATACGAATGTTGTCTCGGATATCCCGTGTCCAGCGTATGGATGTTGCCCTTCACGATGGGATGAAGATGTCAAGCTACTTAGCTACCATCTAAGCCCCGAATGCACATTTGGGGGCCTATCAAAGCCAAACAAGGCTATTGCGGTTAAAGACCCGCAATACTATAGCCGATTTGAAGGGGGTATAACATTTCAGGAAGGCAATTATCCCTCTTTATCTTGGTTGGAAACAGCCCAAAGGGTCGACGCAGATGAGAGGGATATGAGAATGCCTGAGAAGCCCAAAGCATTCTTTGCGCGCAACGATTCATTCCTTGAGCTGTCCGGGTTGCCTGATGTGAACACGTGTTGGCGGCCAGTCTCGGCCCTCCGAAATGGCAGCAGCTCTGTAGCTGCTCTTGGAGAGTTCGATTACGGTATGATATTGGATGGAGGAGTGCATAAAACGACTTCCAGATGCCACGACCCACTTCCGGAGCTTCGAGCTGGAAGCGACAGTAGGGAATCGTTCTCCGTTGTCGAAGTCGATGCTTTTGGCGAACCGTTGGAGCGCCATGAGAGCAGAGCTATGAAGGCCACCAAGGAGTTGGAATATGAGATTCTGGACGTCACCATGGTATCCGAAGCCATTGACTGTTCAGATATACAGAGTGTGAATGACTTAGAAGATTGTGTCACCATTGTCACCCACGATACAAACACTCCAAGTGCAACCACCCGCGACATGAGCACACGCGGAATACAGGAATGTGCTGGACCCTGGCTCGAGAGACGAAGCCCTGGGTCAGATACAACAAGAACCGCAGATTTGGTTACGGAAATATTTGATGGGCGTGGGGGGTTTTGGCAGCGGCAGAAGTTTTATTGAGATGCGTTGACATTGACTGGAATAATATGTTAAGGAGGCCCTTCTATTACTTGAGATTTGCTTGTTGGGATTGGTGTTGTTTTGCTGTGAATGGCTATTTGGCCTGATATTGGTGTATTATAAACTCCGCAAGCCTCCTATAGGCCCAATTTATCCTGACCCGCAAGTCCTAGATGACGGCCGGCCCCGAGGGCACGGATGTGCCTGGCCGATAAAACAGAGGTAAACCAATATTGAGAGGCGACAGTTGCAATTTCCTGGCCGGTTTTAGAAGCCTTCTCAGGTGCATGGGCGGCATTGCGATCGACAGCGTAGCGGCCTGATGTTGCTTTTTCGGACGCATTAGTCTGGGATAGTAGTGGCTAGCAGGCTGGTAGTCTCGACCAGGAGTCTCGACCAGCAACGGTACAGCTGCACACCATTGACACTCAATATTGGGAGCCCACTGGTGGACAACAGTGATCCCGATGGTATGGTTGCTTTGTCTGACCCCTGGTCTGTCTCGTGCCCACCCGGGAGCGCCGACGGACTGGGCTGACAAGGATCCATCCAGCCTCGCGGACAGGCAACGGCCCAGGCAGCAAGCAAAGACCTGGATATGAATCCTGCTGGGCTCAGCCACCGGAACAGGCATATTCCCAGGAAGCCACGCAAATCGCGGGTGGAGGAGATCCATGCGATGCACCACGGAACCACTCCCCCGGGACGGAGAGGAACCAGGGACAGCTCTGGACCTCTCGATGTGGTATCGATTGCCTCGACTAGACCGTCACTGGCAGATGCCCGGATGGCTCGATGTCGTTGGTACCTGATGACATTGGGTACCAGTAGGATTGATCCTTCGAGGTGACTGGGGATACCACGCCTTCGTATGTGATATCTTTCGGCTGCTTTGGACGTTCTGTATTCCTTTCATGATTGCCGTGAGGATGTCAGGGACCATTCGAACCATGGTGCATGACAGTTGCGATCTCCCGTACCTCAGCTGATCTGTCACCTCATTGCGATATCCACCAACGCCCTTGACCCAGACACGCCGGCCACAATCAGGCCACAGCGTGCGCATCTACCTGCATTAGCACCAACCCGAGAAACTCAAACTCTGTTACTGTCGATCCGGACCCGACGATCTGGCACTGGACTCGCCTGACAACGTCCCCTGAGCGCCCAAGCTCATCGATAGGCCAGAGGGACCGTTAGTTTCTCCTATTTCAGCCCGAGCGGACGGTACGCCACGACCTGCATGCGGTCCGATAGACCGATAAGCTATGAAGGGGGAGGGTAGGACAGGATCTATCGGTTGCTGTCGAGTGTGTCTCTTCTTTCCCTTCTTCGTCTGGCCCTGCCCCCTGGTTCGTTGCTCTCCTTCAGCATCGCTTGGCAGCATCGAGGAGGCGTCACGTCATTGCACGATGTTGATAAGGATGTTGCGTGCGCGAGTGTCTTTTCTTTTGCTGCCGGTGCTGATCGACCTCATGTGCATGGGGGCCAGGCTGTGTCCGAGGAGAAATGAAACCTCGCGTTTCCATTAATACCGTGAGGGGCAATAGTAGGGTGCTGTTTCGCCCGGGGTTGACTGTCTGGCTGATACAAGCGCATACCTGCCAGTTGAATGTATCCTCATGGTTGCATTAGTGCAGAGCCTGAGTCTGAGCCTGTGCAGGCAAATGCCGATGCTTGGACTTTTGTCGGGTCCATACTAGCTGGGTTAAGGTGAGTGTGAATGAGCGTGAATGTGAATGCGCGGCAGGTGGCATATAAAAGGGTGCGCTGACCACGTTCCTATCAACTTGCCTTCCTCTCCTCACATAAACACAGATCCTTGAGTTTACACAAGATAACAATTTCTCTTCCACTCACATCTCCCTCCATCTATCTCTTGAGCAAACAGAGATTAACAGACAGACAACTATCAACATGTCCACCATGTATCACCCTCTTACTGAACACAATCTCTCCCTCCACAACCAATCTCAACACCAGGACCTCGTCAGTTCCCCCCAAGCCACTCCTACTTCATCAAAATCCATCTAACAGACCCAGAACCCCCCAGTCCCCACCAGAACCTGGATCGACTCCCTCATTGCCTCTGAACGCACCCACCTCTTCACCACCCAACTCGCCCTCTCCCTATCCAACCTCCCACCCATCAACATCGATATCGACGCAGACCTCCAGCATATCACAGACCTCCCACACAGCCCATCCCTGAAGCTCTTCGAGCACACACACCACCAGACCATGCACCAGGAGACGCCATTGGAGCGCTTCTTGACCCCGGGATACAGTGATCCCTGCTACGTGGTGAAGTCCGCGTTGGCAGGTATGGGCGTGCAGTTTGGGAGTTTGGAGGGTGGTGAGGCGCGGAGGAAGATGGCGAGGGAGAATGTAGAGGTTGTGAGGGTTGTGAGTGCTAGTGCTGGTGGGAGTACGAGTGAGGGTTCATAGAATTGGGGTTGGGTTAGGGTTCTTGACTGATTGCATGGATTGTTCCAACTTGATGATCTGAGGGATGAGTTAGGGTTCTAGTACTTCTTATACTGACATGAGATCTTGATTGGATACTTTCCTGCATCAACTACAATCTACAAAGGCCCTACTATAACTCTGTCTGTGCCCGTGATATTCTGGGTATACTAAAGTAAATAAAAGTAAAGGTAATTCACAAATCAAGCCATGCTATGCCATCACCAACCCGTCCGTCGCATTGACAAACCAACCTCCTTCTAGATCCCACCAATCAACCCCAACCAACCCTTAACCATATAAAGATAATATCAACGACATCCTCCATACTTGTCCATCCTCATCCCCAACCAACTCATAGATAGCCTCATAACGGCGACAACGCCTCCACCGCCCCGGTCCCCTTAAACACCGCCTTATTGCTCACCACCACCTCAACCGGATACTTCCACTCCATGAAACGAGTCCAACCTACATCCCCCAACACACCCATTGTTAGCCTTCATCATCCACATCCACATAACCCCTCCCCTCCCCCTCCACCAAACCAACCAGGGAATAAGAAAGACCACATACTCCAATAAGCACACTTCCTCCCCAAATACTTCCCAACAAAGGGGACCAAAACCATCGTCAACAGCAACTCTAATTGTTCAATGCTTTCGCGCCATTCTTCCTCGGCATCGGAGTAATCGGAATCGGAGAGCGAGTCGAGGTCCGACGCGGAGGTGGACTCGGAAGGGAGGGAGGCGATGTCGTCGTCGTCGGAGACGGTGGTCATGTCGTGCGGGGAGGGGATTATGTATGAGGTGGAGGGGGAGGTCATTCTTTCTTCTTGTTGCTTCCTTCTTTGGTTTTGTTGGGTGGGTGGTAGGTAGGTGATAGGTGGGAAGTACTATACAGGGAGAATGGAGAAGAGGAAGTAAAGGGTAATGGATGGGTGTTGTCAAGCAGGGCCTGCCTACTGCTTGGAACGGAGAGTGTTATGGCATAGGTTGGTATAGTGGTGGGAAGTAGATTGAAGGTTCAAGGTGAAGCTATACACGGACTGGGAATGGCCTGGAATTGGAGGAATGTCATGTCTGATGTAATCACAGGGGAGTGAGGAGAGCCCCTCACGTGCCATCTCTTCCCAATACAATACAGCTGGTCCTGTAACATCAATACCAATCTGACTCACCTGGGATCATGTGATGGGAACCGCGATAACAGGAACGTTTCTTTGCCATCCAAGTCCAGAACCATCATCAAACCCAAAGATCACCCCGATCGACTCTAACTAGAGGACATCTCATCCGTTGCTCCAATCCCATCGAATACCCTCATCGTTCACGTCCTGGTGGGAAGTGAACTCCGTGCACGCAAACCAAACGCCAGCCCAAGATGGCGGAGACTGTACGTCACACCCCCGTTTTCCCTTTACCGATCGGTTCACCTCCCACATTTTCTTCATCACATTTCGCTCTCCGCTTCTCGAACCAACCCCCGAAGTTGTGCTATATCCCGTCTCTGCATTACCCCCACCTTGGACGTGGTTTTGCGGATTGAGCTTGTTGGAAGCTTGAGGCAATTTCGGGCTCCGATTTTTCTGTTTTCTGTCATTGTTTCGCCTCCCCCGCTAACGGTGTGTTGGGCTGGTCCGAGTTAGCAGGTTGAACCCGCTCCCCAAAAGCAACGCAAGTCGGTCGCATTCAGTGAAGGCGCTGTCATCATGGATACCAACGGAGAAGTCACGGAGGCTGTTCCGGCTGTTGAGAAGCCGGTTGCTGAGACTGAGGGTAACCCCCCCCCCTCCCTGTCCCCTCCCCATGGCATAAATTCGATATAGACAGTCAACTTAACCAAAAACATCAGACAAGGCCGTCGACGAAGTCACCGAACTGTTCAAGGGACTCTCAAAAAAGAAGAAGAGCAAGAAGCCCAAGGATGCCGAAGGCGCTGACGACGAGGCCGCCCCCGCCGGCGACGGCGAATTCGACCCCTCGGCCCTGAAAAAGAAGAAGAAGAAGACGAAGAAGGTCGACGCTGGTGATTTCGAGGCCAAGCTGGCTGAGGCCGGTGTTGCGGAGAACGGCGCCGCCGCCGGAGAGGAGAAGGAAGAGGAGGTCCCCGAGGGCGACCACGAAGCTGGAACCGGTATCTGGGCTCACGACGCCGCGCAACCCATTCCTTACACCCTGCTGGTGTCCCGATTCTTCTCCCTCATTCAGAGCCACCACCCCGACCTTCTGTCCAGCGGTACCAAGTCGTATAAGATCCCGCCTCCTCAGTGTCTCCGTGAAGGTAACCGCCGTACGATTTTCGCCAACATTGCCGATATCTGCAAGCGCATGAAGCGGTCCGATGATCACGTTATGCAGTTCTTGTTCGCCGAATTGGGTACCAGCGGTAGTGTGGACGGTAGCCGTCGTCTGGTTATCAAGGGTCGTTTCCAGCAGAAGATGATTGAGAACGTGTTGAGAAGATACATTGGTATGTTCCTCCTCTTCTAAAGTAGGCCCCTACGTGAATACTAACCCACGCAGTCGAATACGTCACCTGCAAGACCTGCCGCAGTCCCGACACCGAGCTCAACAAGGGTGAGAACCGTCTATACTTCGTCACTTGCAACTCCTGTGGATCCCGTCGTTCCGTCGCCGCCATCAAGACCGGTTTCCGTGGACAGGTCGGCCGCAGAAAGAGACAGGGTTAAACGGGGTAATGGATATCCTTTTTTTGTCGAGGGGGGCGAAGGAACCATGGCAGCTCCCCATGCTATGGTACCTTCGGTGGTATCTTCCGGCGCGGTTATGATTTACTTTCCCCGCCTTTTTCGTATACAAAGACTTCTTCTTTCCTTCTTCTTATCCTTTTTGCATTCCATCTTCTTATGTGGACACGTGGATGATGAACGGCGGTGTGGGATTCAAAAAGAATGGGTTGGTTGAGAGAGAGACGAAGTGAAGATCGCTTAGCATGGCATGATAGGTAAATGGATTGGTATGACCTCTTACTGCCGGTCTTCTTCACGTATATGTTAGGAGGCTGCATTCGTGTATACGAAGCATAATGCCGCGTGGTCTTGCCCCGCCTTTGAGGCATGGAGTCTGACATATTCACGAATACTGATCAAGCAAACAAACTCAAGACAATGGAATTCGTGGGCTATGCAGAAAACATAAGAACTTTGTAGAGTGCACCAAGTAGATACAGGTAATTGTGACAAGGTATATGGCAAAAATCAACATATGTCCAAGAGGCCAAGGAAGAAGATGGACAAGGAGCAAGAATCGTGATCGTCATCGTCATGTGCAGACCAACCAACTGTGTTCAAGTCTTCGCGATAACGCCATTCAGGTGGGCAACAAAGGTCGACGCATTGCGCGTCTGCATATAGACAGTGCCGGGGCCTGTGAATCTACAGGCCAGACCCTCACCGGCACTCCAGTTGGAGATGATACCTCCAGACGCAACGCGTTCAATCTTGTATTTGCAGTTCCATGCCACCAGGTGGCCATTGTTCACGAAGTAGGTTTCTTCCTCGGCGAGCTAAAGATGACTTGTTAGTTTGAGGTCATTGGCATGGATGTACATGTGGTACATGTAACTTTTAAGGGGGGTTTCACATACCTCCTTCTTGACAATCGCTCCGAAGCTTTGCATCCACACCAGCCCGGCGCCGCTGAAGTTGAACACAATGAAGCCCTCACCAGAAAAGACACCTTTCATAAGTCCCTGGGACTTGTACTCAATCTTGACACCCGTGGTGCAGGCGAGGAATGCATCTTTCCCAACAGTCCAGTCTCTTGTACCGTCTACACGGAGCACAGTAACATCTCCAAGTATAGATGGAGCGAGCAGAACCTCCCCGGGACCGGTATATGTTGATCGGGCCAGTTGGCCTCCTGCAAGGGCCTTAATCCATCCGAATGACAGTGAGCCCCTCAGGGACATTGAAGGGGACATTGAGATCATGACGCCTATGGCACGGGAAAGTGTTAGAGAAACTAAGACAGCGCCAAGCCGAGGTTGACGTACCAGGTCTTGCCTGTATTGGGCATCCCACTGCTAGCTGGATGGTCAAAAGAGTGTTTGTGTCCCGATGGCTCACTCTGTAACTGCCGCCATTGAAAGTTCCTATATCGTCCGCATAGGTTGACTGTGCTCCCACAAATGTTTTAGGAGCGAGTCTAGTTCCAAGCGACGCATCTGTCTGCGCCCGAACAAGACCGGGCCCTGGCGGTGGTTGTTTTTCTGGAGGATTAATAACAGCAGAGTTGGAAATAAACATCCCCGCATTCTGAGCAGCATAGATTGCCTTTTCGCTCATCGGCGGAGTTGACGCGCTGACCGACGAAGGGACCAGTGAAGCGTCATCCTCGCCATTTGAAGGTGTGGGCTGCTGTGGAGGCGGAGGAAAACTGAAGCTCGGAGGTGGAAAGCTTGGAGAGGCCTGAGGAGGCGGTTGAAAGGCTAGAAATTTATTAGCTGGATATTGTAAGATCTATGGTTATGCTGTAATACCGGCGCCGTTAGGTGGAGCTACACGATAGTTTTGTTAATTTTCGGCGGCGGTGACAGCAATAGGGAGCACTCACGAGGGAAAGAATGGCCTTGGCTAGGAGGAGGTGGATAGACGACTTGCTCAGACATTGTGCTGACAGTCGCTCACTGTTGTTATACCTGTAGTCCTTGTTATCGCCTGCTCTGGTCATGGGGCATCTGTGGTTGTGCATGTTGCAATGGAGTATTGTTAGGCTTGGAAGCAAATGCGCAGAGAACTTACACGCGAAAGCTGATCATGGAGGCACCTCGGTCTTGCGACTGAGCGTGCGGGGTTGATGTATTTAAGGGAAAGGTATGATGCCTTTTCTCAAATCCCGAAGAGCCGATGAGGAGAGGGCACGTTGGTGACTTGTTCAGTGCATGGAGTGAAGAGGAAAGAACAACCAAGACATTTGGAGGGGATTGATGGATCTAAGAGCAGGATCATCCTGTTTAAATTATCCGGCCGAGCAGGGCCTTGGAAAACGAGGAGATGGATGGGAATGAGTTGGGGTCTCCAACCAAGCAGAGCTACTGCATGGTGATCGCCGTCGGCGCTTAGAGGACGCCTCTGATAGCTCTGCGCCGTGACACCCAAGGAGAGGCACCGGCGCTAGAAAACATCATTGGCCGGTCCCTTAGCTCTTCGGGAGAAGTCAGTCCCCAATCCCAAAGCCCAGAGAAATCCATTCGTATCTAGTGGACAAGGTGGCGGAACGCGTCAGAGATGAGGAGGGGAAGGAGTCGGCCGATGAGGAGATTGGTTGTTGATCCTCACGATACCCGCCTTCCTTGATGCACGTGCTATCCCTACTAACGTCCTCTCTTCCGCAATTTGAGGATCGATAGGCATAAGAATAAGGAGAAATTGGATCACTTTATGCTAGTGAAGGGCTAACTCCCACCTTGTTCCCAGCACCAAACCTTCTAGATACAACTCCCCTATGACCGTCCTTGTACATCCGGTGCCTTGCGTGCAGTTTCCAGGACAGCCAAGATATCTAAGCGGTTACTGTGCCTGGCCTCATCGAAAACGGTCATGCCACTATTGTTCACTCGGTAAATGTTGGCCATGTTATCGAGCAACAGGCGAATGATTCCCTCAGACGCAAATGAGCGCACTGCCAGCATCAATGGCGTGTACCCGCAATTATCCTCAGCGTTGACTTTCGCTCCATGCTTTAGGAGAAGCTCCACCAATTCTTTTTGATTATCAATCGCGGCGTAGGCAAGAGGTGTCCTACCATCACCTGCAGCACTCTCGATGTCTCCACCCTTCTCAATCAGTAGCCGTGTTATAGCCAACTGATGGTGTCGAACTGCAAGATGAAGGACACTAAATCCTTGGCCATCTAGGTGATCAATCTTTGCCTTATATCCAAGAAGCAAAAGGGTCATCTGTTCATCCCCTTGGCTGGCGGATATGCCCAGTGGTGTTAGGCCATTGGATTTCATGCCCAGATTCGCATCCGCTCCATTGGCAAGCAGTATCCTTGTTGCCTCTAGCTCATGGCCCCCGACAGTTTCAAAAAGTGCAGTATATCCCTCGTACTCCTGGCTGTTAATATTTGCGCCGTGCCGCCTGAGTATTTGGATCGCTGAGTCGGAACCGCATCTTGCCGCAAACACGAAGGCTTTCTGGGTCATTGCCCCATAAAAGTGGCCAACCTCAGCCCACTTCACCAGAAGCCAGTGACAGAGAGCGTCTTGCCTGTTCTGCATGACCCACGTGAGGCAAGTTTGGTCCTCGTCACCTGGAGCTTGTCTTTCAAAAACGATATCCATCCCGTGTGTAAGCCAACCTAGTATGGTTTCTGTAGCCAACTCTTTCTCCCCCTGATCTTCATTGTTGATAGCAATTTGCAATTCCAAGTCTTCAAAGTTTCCAAGTGATTCCAATGATATCTTCATTGAATGTCGACCAACTTTGTTATTGGAAATGTGCCATGCAATCCAACCCAGCTGCCGAGAGAACTGGGCCCACCACATCTGCTGGCGTTGGGACTTCAGCCAGTTCATCGGTCGGAACCCTTTTATACCATTGACGTATATGGATCTGGGATCGTGCTGAAGCAGAGAAAGTAATATGTCGAGACCTTCTCTTCGGACAGTATCCTCGTTATGGATAATTGCGCGTTGGCAAAGATAACCAAGCTCGTAGACAGAGCGCTCGAACTCCTCTCCTGCGGAACGCTCACAAAGCCAGCGAGCAATGGAGAGAGCTTCAGTCCAGTCACCATTTGAAATATGCCTCTCAATCTGCACTCTCACACCGACCGAATCTGCAGCAAGCTCCGGTAGAAGCTGTCGGCATTTCAGGACTGGAACAATACATAAGAGGGCGTCTTGTCTTGAACCGAGTTTTCCAGATTCGAAACAGGTCACTAACTCATCGATGCGACTGCTATATGCAATGAATCCATTTTGTGAACCTGGACGCACATCCACGTCGCCGCCAATGGTTTGAAAGTCCCGAAGGGCGCTCTTCAGGAAATGAATGTATATATCCTGAGCGGCCATGGCAACCAGATCATTCTGTGTTTTCACAACGAGTATCTCCTTACTGTCAGGATTTCCATCCGAGTGAAGTCCAAACAAGCCACTACCAAATGATATGGTCTTGGAAGAAACCATCCTGGCTTCCGTCTGGCGAAAGATCCATTTGTGGAAATAAAGGTCTGTTTCTTCTGCGCTGGCCTCAGACTTCGTTAGACCAACAGCACGATCGAGTCCGCCCTGTAGCCATTTCGACTCAGACCTCAGAAGCGACCATGTCCATAACCCTAGTACTGCTTCAAGCTCAGTCTTGTCAACCTTCCATAGTAGGGTGTCCTCCGACTTGTCGAGCTTGATGGTGTAGGTTTCTAGTGTAGCATTAAATACGCATTTGTCAAGCGATTGGCAGGTGAGCACGAGGTCGAAGCCCTCAGTGTCTCCAGACATGGTCTTCCAGCTAGATAGTAAATCCATCGTTTTTTCAATGATGTCTGCCAAATTCCGAGCTACGTGCCTGATTGGGAGGCCATCCCAAGCCAAGCTTGACTCTTTGTCAGTATTGGACGTGAGACGTGCTAGTTGAGTCCTTGTCTGTATAAGCTTGGCCCCAAGGCCGAGCGCTTGGCTTGAAGACTGTGTTGAGGCAGCAGATGATGAAATTATCGACTGAGCCTGAGATCCATGTGGTTGGCTCGAAACCAGCCCGAAAGACCTGACTTCCTCGAGATGAAACGCAAAACAGTCGAGTTCTTGCTGATTGTGTGAGACGAGACTCCGTTCTTGAGCTGTCAGGCGATTCTCATCCGATCCAGACCGTTTAGTCCGGAGGCAAGCTCGGACAATGGACATTAAAAGAGTAGCGCCCATTTCTGCCAGGATCACAGAGGCGTGTAGCCCTCGGATACCAACGAATTGAATGATGAAACCGACCGTCGTAACTGCCACAGTAAATAACAGCAAGGGTCCCTCTCCGAAGGTTCCAGGGCTTCGGACCGACTTGATATACATAAGGTCCTCAGTCGCCTCAGACTTGGGTCCCTCGTTGACCCCAAGGAAAGCCCCAAAGACCTGGTCACCGACATCTTGTCCTCCGGGCTGCAACCAGTAAATCTTGCTAGGTGTTGCAGGACGAAAATAGCACTCAGTAGAAGAGCGCTCGATGATAAAGGCGCACAGAAACATGCCGATGCAAAGCAGGATGGACCCGCAGAAAAACAGCGGGAAAGCATAGCTAACGACCAGGCTCCCATCTTTTTTGAAATGTACCGGGTATATATAAACAGTTACTGCAGCGTATACAAGCACACCTGATGTGCATTGTTAGTCTAATTGATAAACCAGGCTGTATTGATCGTATGTAAAACTCACCTACTTGTAACCCAAGCCCCAACAGAGCAGCAGCATAGAACCAGCCCTGGCTGCTTCTCTCAATACCCTTGTTCAAGGACAGATTTGGTATATCAAGTTCGGGCAAATATTCCTTCTCATCAAGGATTAAACTTCCTTTCCCTGCTAGCCACGCGCCTTCTCGAAGGGCGTCACGCAGAGTCCCCACCCGATAGGATTTCTCCCCCGTTTGGGGATCTGTCTCTTCCCAGACGACTACCTCCAGCAGCCGGGGTCTTCCAAATACCCTGGAGATCCCTCCATTGTTAAACATTTCCGCGGTTGTTTCGGAAACACACGATAGGAGCTCATTTTCAGCGTCTCCAGGACCCTCTTGAGCCCGTCCTATAAATGCGCGGAGGGACGAGTTTCCGCAAACGCGAATGACGGAAACTACAGCCGTCAAGATACCCAATGGGGCCACGGAAAAAAGAAAGTTGTCAAGTATACTGGTCGACTCGGAGAGGAACTGTTTGCTCAGTCGGTCACCAAACAGGGAGATAAGAGGTGCCTAGAACAACAAAGTCGTCAATCATTGTTTAGCGCGGGGATAAGAGAGAGCACATACTAAGTCTGTGGCAAGATCATCTGCAAAATCATCCCAGCCAGTGGCCAATGCACCGGGGAGTATTGATAGTAAAGCAATAAGCGTCAATTGCCACAGCATAGCGAGGCACGTTGCAGGACAAACACGTTTGACACGAAGTTTCCAACTGGGCCTCCAGAGCATCCAAGCAAACAAGATCTTGCAGGATTGAATACATCTGCCTGATATAACAACATCCAGCCCTTCCAGGCAGCTGAAACTCAGCCTTGTAAGCCGCCGCTCACAGCCTCGCGTAAATGAGAATGAAACACCAGCTCATCTTGCATGCCGGCGGTTCGAGCATTGCCATTGATTTAATTGCCCGACAAATCGCCGATGAGGACTGAAGCGGAGAACTGGTTAGCCGCCCTTGTCCTGCATGGGAACTATGGATTGCGCGTTAGCGGCCACATCGTGGTGGCGTATCACGCTCGTTGGCGCTAGATAACAGGCGTTGATCGTCCCTCTAACCTCTCGATGGGCCGGCATTAACTTTCCCTGGGAAGCCTAGGATTCCAGGACAAGGAATTCGCGCAGAGCACAACGATAGTGAAAAACGTAAAGCGAGGGTTGAAGACAAGGAGAGAGGGAAGGGGCGGGCTTATTTGTTGGTTTTCGTCCCGGATACTACAGTAGTGATAAACCCGTGATGGACTACCACCTTTGCTTGGAAAACACACTCAGTTACTTCTATGACTAAGAATACCCTGCTCATTAACCCAAGCACTTTCGACGCGCTATCCCAACTGACCCGAACTGGACGGTTCTTCCGAATAAGAATGAGAAGGAATCAAACCACCAACGCCATTTCCATGATCAAATTAAAAAAAGAGCGAAAACCATCACAGAACGCCACTCTGACTTGTAGTCAAAGCCCTAGAACAAACTGAGTCTCGACTGGCGGAAGCATCTAGAAGATGCTGTTGACAAGATTCGAACCCATGGTAGCACCGGCACCGAAGATGGCTAGAGACAGTGGTCAGTAAACACGAAACGATCGAACGGTTATAAACAGAGGCGCCGGCGCATCGGTTCATCGTGCGCGAGGCTGTCCTTAGAAACGTACCGGCATTGCCCATCTTCTTGCCAAACTTCTTGCCCTGTTCCTCGAACTTGGACTTCTTGCCCTCTTCGCCGGGCGTCGAGCCACTCTGGCTGACTTCCAGAGGCATGTTTCCGTAGTTGGTCGGGGGAGGAGACGCAACGGCCTTTTCATTTAGCACGTTCACGTAGCTCCGAGGGAAGATACCCTCCAGGTTGGTCCGCTCGTTACGACCACGCCACCCTGTAGTTCATCATCAGCCAAGGTAAGCCACACGCGTGAAGGGTCACCATACAGTCGGCATTCATGTGTTCCAAAACTTGAACACGGTCATTTGGCTGCAGAGCCAAATCTCCCGGATCCGTCGGGGTATACGCATAAAGCGCCGAAGCGACAGAGAGCACCGGTGGAGCTTGGGGATAAGCGGGTGGCGGAACAGGCGGGGTTGAATATTGTTGCGGAGGAGGCTGCTGATAAGTGGCCTTCTCGTTCAAGGAAGTGTTCGCAAACTGGTTCGTAGGAGGAGAGTATGGGGCTGGGGGCTGCTGGGCAACCACCGGTGGCTGCTGCACTGGCGGCTGCTGCTGAGGCACGGGGGCTCTGCTGCGCTCATCCTCCCTCGGTAGTTGCGATAGAATTGATGAGAGTTGTTGGGGAGTAATGACTGATGAATCTGCGAGGAACTCAAGCTCCTATACACCGCGGACGTGTTAGCGAGATGTAGAAGGGAGATAAGAAGGAACAACGGCGTTTATCGAACGACAGCTATCGAGCGACGCAGACAGGGGATATCATCCTACCGATCGGACGTTACGGAGCGACCGGTTGGTCATGGCCGAGAAGAAGGCGCTTTGAGATGCCATGAGGGGCCAATGGAGGGGATGCAACAAAAAATCAGACAACGAAAGGTATCAAGCTCTTCAGATATGCAGATCAAAAATAGACACTGAAAGACAGGATGGGAGAAGTGACAGAGAGACGGATGGGGATGGAGCGAGCGGATGGAGGCAATCGATAATGAATGAATAATGTATCTGCATAGCACGCCCGCCAGTTGGTTCTCCGCTACTCAGGCTGGGTACCTGAGGTCCCCATCCCGGTGGTCGACTGCGCGGCTCTGATTGGGCCCGGGAAATTAGTCGGTCTTGTCATTTCAGGCATCACCATATCACCTGCGCCGCTTGAAACATCCATTGCCTGGGTATTTGGGTTAGAGATTTCCCCTTTTTAATGCCATGGTGAGTATTGATTGGACTTTGCACACAAGTCGCAGTGTATATCTACAGGTGCAGAATTAGCCCGCTTCGCCTATCTTCGCGGTGGAGTTAACCTAGACGGCATAATCCAGGCTCCTTCCCCATGTCCCCAGGACCCTTGAGGGTTGACCTTGCTTCTTGCGGAAAGGGGCGGTTACTTGGAATGGAATCGGATCTTTGTCTTGGTTCCAGCTGACCCAATACTCGTATTCGTATCTAGAATGTCACGGTACTACTGAGGTGAAATACCCGGCGAGCCACGATATCTCTGGCTAGTCAGATACTCTATTAGGAACTTGCATTCATCTGAGACAAATCAAACAGAAGGATTGTTTATACCTCGAAGCAATACTGGTTAGAACAGTGACTCTTTTCAGAACCCTTAACCAACTTTCATAAGCAAAGCAAATCACAGCTAGCCCGACATCAACAAATTTTATCCTAACTTCAATACAGCAAATCGCCAGTTCAATACCCTGGGAGCAAAAACAAACAAAGGCCAGAATCACTCAAGAACAGTGTCTGGCTCATCACCATCTCCTTCAACTAATGAGCTGTTGTAATAGTCCGCAATTTTAGAGGCCAGTTCTGGATCAAGAGCCTTGATGCGTGAGTCTGGTCGATAGAATCCTCGATGACGCATGCAACAGCCACATTCAGCGGTACAGTGGCCATAAAACCCGACCATCGCCTTCTCTCCTCCGTCAGGCATGAGGTACAGCCGCAAAGGTCTTTCACAGCATCTACAACTGCGACCGCAACAGCCACCAAGGGAGGCACACATGATCTTGTCCTCCTCCCACGCCAAGGTTTGCCCGTCATCGTTTCTGTGATGCTGAAGAAACTCAAACTCATCGGTGATAGGGCCCGATGGTTTATCGCAAGTCAGCGCCTTCCATGCCTTCTGGCATCGGTAGAAATGCTCTTCTAGAAGAGAGACTTGTCGTTTCGGATTGGAAGGCCCCGGGGTATGTTGGAACGGATTCTCTGGCTGCCGACTATCCCGATTTCTGATCCTTGCCAGACAGTTGATTCGCTGTAAGATCGCGAACTGCAAGTCTTCGTTTTCCTTGTAACGTTTGATCCATTCTCTTTGGATGCGGCACCTGTCTGGCTTATGCTTCTCATGAAGCTTTGCCCGGTCATTGAGACGACGCCTAATGTTATAGCGTTCGTCCTTGATCGCCCGAAACCAGACAGGCTTGAGAACATCTGCGATCAGATCGAAGGGCCGTTGAACTGATTCCTTTAGTATCATCGACGCATGTGACTCGTAAGTCGGGGAGAGTGAGTGGGTAGCCATCTTAGATGGCATCTTCTGTCTTGTCTTTGATTGTTCACGGCAAGTTCAATTTAATGAGGCAGAAGAGTTTTGTTGGGGAGGATTGTCTACGCAGACTGACGTAGTATACAGCGCGTCAGGATGAGGACATAGTGTACTCGGCCAGAGTCATTATTATAGAGAGACCTGAACCACATCGTGCAACGATGCTTAACAGTTTCACTGCTTGTCCAACTCAACTGAGACTATACCAGCCTCCATAGCTAAGTACATATGATCAGCAGGAGTCTATTGCTACCTAATAGTACTCCTCCCTCTGAAGTCTACAACATATGCAAGTCAGCCTGCAAGTCCAGATGCGGTAGTCGGCACGTGAAGTCGAAAACACATGCTAGAACCAACTCAAATTCCCGGACAGATAATATCGGCTAACACTACCACAGTAGCGGGGTCTCCATGGGGTAAAGATAACCCAGAGCCAGCACCCCTGCGACAAGTGAATGCCATCGCGACTCATTCTGAGTCATGAATAGGCTCCTTGAACGATTCACTAACGGGGAAAGATTGGCCGGGCCATGATGTCAGCAGCCCTAACCCAAAGGGGCGTAGGGCATACCGCCCCTCTGACTCCGCCATCCCAGGGCTCGAGAAGCTTCCGTGGCGTCGATATAAATTCGGCGGGCCTTGAACATCCCTCCTTACGACAACCCTCACGCGATCTACTCTACTGCCACCCTCACCTCCTTTCCACACCATTCAACCTACCACTCCAACAACCGCCCCCATCTCGTCACCTTCTTCCTCCATATCTTCAAAATGAGCGACTGGGACTCCGTTACGCGCATTGGAACCCGCCACACTGGTGGCCCTGCCACCCGTGAGACGGTCATCAAGGGCAAGAGCGCCTTGAACGCCGCCCAGCGCCAGGGTCTCGTCATCGGCACCGAGAAGAAGTACGCCACCGGCAACACTGTATGTTCTCATTTTCACCTCCCCCATTTCGCGAGGGGTACCCAAGACAACGACTGACTGATTCCCCACTACAGGCTGCCCGCTCCGGTGCCCCTGAAGGCCAGCACCTGACCAAGGTCGACCGCAGCGACGACATCGTCAAGCCCAAGACCGTCGGCATGCAAGTCGCCGATGCGATCAAAAAGCGCAGAAACGAGGACCCCTACAAGATGACTCAGAAGGAACTCGCCACCAAGTGCAACACCACCATCACCGTTATCCAGGACTTCGAGCGGGGTACTGCTACTCCCGACCAGAAGGTTCTCGGTGCCATGGAGCGTGTGCTGAACGTTAAGCTGAGAGGTACCGGCATCGGACAGGACAAGTTCCCCAAGAAGAAGTAAATTGATCGGGGTGAGCCCGCGGCTTTTTCTTAGGGGAGGGGGAAGATCAAAAAAAAACTGATGATTGAACCGATTTTCTTTTCTCTTTTTTGATGCCTCGGGGTTTCCTTTTTCCTTTTACTGGAACGTTTCGGGTGTTGTTACGTTATTTCATTTCTATTTTCAATGAGATCCCCATGATTCTTTTTTTTTTGCCCCCCTTCCCCCTCCCTCCCGTTTCTGGTTTCTGCTGGTCAGAAGAGCGCTGGCCTGGTGTTTTTTTTGATGGGAAATGACATATGTTATCGGGAAGAGATGACATAAAGATGCTATATATGAAAACCGTGCAATTTTGCGAGATTTGTGTTCTTAGAGAGATACTACTCAAGAGATATAGAACATTGTATCCATGCAAGTGAAAGTCTGGATCATAAACCTGATATATATTCATAAGAATAGAATGATAAATGGAAGAAGCAATTGTGGTTTCTTTTATTAGGACACAGAAAGCGACCAGAAAAGCAAATGGTACCAACTCCGACTTTATCATGGAAAAGGAAATGAAAAGAACTCATGCCCTGAATCGCCCCGAGGTCTTCTTCGTACCGCCGTGCCTTTGTCTTTCTACTTTTGTAGTAAAAAAGATATTCTTCGCCTCATGACACATACACACGATGCGTAACTGGTAAAGGAAAAATCAAACACTCCCGTCTTTCTCTCATCCTTCACTCACTTCACCTTCTCAGCTGCTCCCGCTCGACCTCATACATGAAATCGAAGTATGACTTGTCGAAGTGGTGCACACGCACGTAACCGTCCTCTCCGCCCGAGGCGTAGGAAGTACCGGCGGGGTGGACGTGAACGGTGTTCAGGGGACCGAAGTGACCCCTGACACGGCCGATCTCGTCCTCGAAGACCTTGTGGTAGAAACGAGCCTCGAATTTACCCTGGCGGGCAGAGGTCGTGGTGACATCCATGGCGGCCTGACCACCTCCCAGGATCACGTAGTCCTTCTTGGGCGTAATGGTGGCGCTGTTGAGGGGGGTGTCGGCAACGTAGGTCTTGAGGATGGCGAGGTTACGGGTGGACATGAGCTAGGGTGGGTCAGCATTTGGATGCGTTCGTCACTATGGAAAGGTGAAAGGAAAAAAGTACCTTGGCGGACTTGTCCTTGGAGGCGGTGATGAAGTAGGTGCGGTCTTGAGAGAACTGGATGTCGTTGATCTGGTGGTCGAACTCGTGGGCCTGGACGTTCTCCAGCTGCTCACCGGTCTGTGTCACATCAAGTCAGCATCGCGCCGCGCCCTCCCCCCCTCCTGAATGCATAGCTGAAAATAGGGACCTCCGTACCTTGCCATCGTACTGGCTGACACTGCCATCTTCGTGACCGGCAATGATGAACTGGCCGAGATAACCCCAGCCGGCAACCGTTGCCTTGCTCTCTGTGCAGGTGATGCGCAAGCTAGGCTCCTCAGCCTGCTCGCTCAAGTTCTCGCCGTAGTTGATATCCAAGACCACAATGGTACCCAAGAAACCCATACGCTTCTCCGTCACAGCCAAGAGTCTGCTTCCATCCGGGGTGAACTCGACCCGCTTAACGGCCGTAGGGAAGTCCCACACCTTGACGCACTCGCCGGTCTTCACGTTCCATAGTCGCACCGTGTTGTCTGCCGAACCGGTTGCCAGAAGAAGAGTGTTGGGGCTCACATCGACCGTCCAGATAGCACCCTGGTGTCCAGCGTAGGTACCGAGTCGCTCGCCGTTGGCCGACCACCAAGCGCACACAATTTTATCCTTAGCCACGGAGAAGATGAGATCGCCATCGCGGTTGAACTTGATCTGGTTCAGGGACCGTTCCTGTGTAAAGAGGTGAAGTCAGCGACCCAATCCTTGCTGTCTTTTCTGCCCGATTTTCCAGCTTCTTGGAGGCGACCAGTATCATCGGGTGGGTAGAGGCAAACGCACATGGCCCGAAAGCAAAATAGGCCGCATATTGGCCGACTAAGCTATGAATCTGGGGAAGGCGACGGGGGGGGGCGAGAAGAAGCTGGATCACAGGTATGTATCCTCTGTGACCGGAATCGACTAAGACCTGCGTGATGAGGCGGAAATTCCTTGCGGGGTGCTGGCGGGCTCTCGTTGTCGGCGTCGTCAGACTAGTTTGAATTTCATCGCACAGTCCCGGCTTTCTGCCAAGACTTTCCTGTTCGAGCCTGTTCTGTATGAAACGGATCATACCGGAGGATATGTTAATCCGTCTTCCGTGTTACTGGTCAGGTGAGAGCATAAGCCCTGGGCATCTCTTACCAATCGGGGCTGCGACGGACAATGACCTGACCGCCGACTGGCGCTAGACCCAATTGAGGACTCAGCCGCCCTGCGTCCCCGATGTCTTTGCAGACTGCGGCTCGGGGAAACTTTTTCCTCGTGAGCAAAAGAACAATGGAAAAGGAGGAAGCATTGAAAATCACCGATGGGGCAGGCGTATTCACCACCTACTAGACTAGAATTTAAACAGAACAAACTGATCAATTGCCAAAGTTACGGACACTAAAGGCCTTTCGGCAGTGTTTGGTCGCCGCTAATTCCATTATTCAGCGTGCTTATTTTCGTTTGCATTGATCGACTGTTTCCCTATCTCCATCTGACCCGGCCGAGGAAAGCTGGTTGGCACTGGGCCAACCGACCAAGCAGTTAGATGCCATTCCCCCCCGCCCGTTCGGCGTTTCTACCCCGCTGCGCTGTCAACGCAAAGCACTCTTATATTTGTTCTCCAAGTCACCGGTCTTACCCACCCCTGCCTTCCTTCTTTCTACGTCAATTTTCCTCGCGACGTGAGGTAACGTCTCGTCCTCGCTGTACGTCATCTTTTGTCCGACCTGGCGTGCTACTTCGCAAGAGGCTCGATTACGCACTCCGTCCACTTTCCGGCACCGGGACAACCATGGCGGCCACCAAGATCGACGGCACCCAGATTGCCAAGAACATCCGGGCAGGGTTGAAGGATGAAATTCTGAAGATTCAAGAGTCGAACCCCCGATTCAAGCCTAGTTTGGTGATCTACCAGGGTGCGTGGTCGTTGACATTTACCCCGCGACCGAGAACAATGCTGACATTGCGAATCTTACAGTGGGAAGCAGATCGGATTCGAGTGAGTCATGAACTCTCGTGTGTACTAGAGGGTTGTATATTGATGAATGCTTGTAGGCACCTATGTGCGCATGAAATTGAAGGCCGCCGAGGAGGTACGTTCGCAAATACAATGTCCCTTAATTAGTCGGCCAGATAATTGACTCCGAACAGGCAGGTATTATCTGCAAGATCATCAACTTCCCGGAGGATGTTACACAGCCCGAGGTCCTGCAGGAGATCACCAAGTCCAACAATGACCCCTCGGTCCATGGTATCCTCGTCCAGCTCCCTCTCCCGCAACACTTGTCCGAACACACAATCACTTCTGCTGTCGCCGACGAAAAGGACGTTGATGGATTCGGTGCAATCAACATTGGTGAGCTTGCTAAGCGGGGTGGTCGCCCTCACTTCGTCCCCTGCACTCCAAAGGCTGTGATGAAGCTTTTGGAGGAGAGTGGTGTCGACCCCTCCGGCAAGGAAGCGGTCGTTCTTGGTCGCAGTGACATTGTCGGAAGCCCGGTCAGCTATCTGCTGAAGAACGCCCACGCGACTGTGACCTTGTGCCATTCCAAGACCCCGGATATCGCGCGCATCGTCAAAACCGCAGACATTGTCGTTGCCGCCATCGGACAGACGGAGTTTGTCAAGGGAGACTGGTTGAAGCCTGGTGCGGTCGTGATTGATGTTGGCATCAACTATAAGCCTGATGCTACCAGAAAGTCTGGTTCGCGTCTGGTTGGTGATGTGGAATTCGAGTCCGCCGCTCAGGTGGCCTCTCAGATCACCCCTGTTCCCGGTGGTGTTGGTCCCATGACCGTGGCCATGCTGATGGAGAACGTGGTCTCCGCTGCCAAGGCATACTTCGAGAAGCAGAAAGATAGACGCATCACTCCCCTTCCCATCAAGCTGACTACCCCCGTCCCCTCCGATATCGCCATCTCCCGTGCGCAGTATCCCAAGCAGATCACAGCGCTCGCCTCGGAAATCGGCATTGAGCCCCACGAGCTCGAGCCCTACGGTCACACCAAGGCCAAGATCAGCCTCTCCCTGCTCGACCGCTTGTCCCACCGTCGCAATGGTAGATACATCCTGGTTTGTGGCATTACTCCTACCCCTCTCGGTGAGGGTAAGTCTACAACCACCCTGGGTCTTTCGCAGGCTCTTGGTGCACACTTGAACCGCATTGTGTTCTCCAACGTGCGCCAGCCCAGCCAGGGCCCTACTTTTGGCATCAAGGGTGGAGCTGCCGGCGGAGGCTACAGCCAGGTTATTCCTATGGATGAGTTCAACCTGCATTTGACTGGCGATATCCACGCTATCACCGCCGCTAACAACCTTCTCGCCGCCGCCATTGAGACTCGTATGTTCCACGAAGCTACCCAGAAGGATGCTGCGCTCTACAAGCGGCTGGTTCCCGCCAAGAAGGGCAAGCGCGAATTCCAGCCCATCATGTTCCGACGCCTGAAGAAGTTGGGTATCACCAAGACCAACCCAGACGAGCTCACCGAGGACGAGATCCGCCGCTTTGCCCGCCTCGACATTGACCCGGAGACCATCACTTGGCGCCGTGTTTTGGATGTCAACGACCGTCATCTTCGGGGTGTCACCGTGGGGCAGGCTCCCACGGAGCGAGGCCTGACCCGCGAAACCGGCTTTGATATCTCCGTTGCCAGTGAATGTATGGCTATCCTCGCATTGAGCAACAGTCTGGAGGATATGCGTGAACGCCTGGGACGCATGGTCGTTGCAACGTCGAAGAGTGGCGATCCCGTCACCTGTGACGACATCGGTGCGGGCGGAGCTCTCGCTGCGTTGATGAAGGATGCCATTAAGCCCAACTTGATGCAGAGTTTGGAGGGTACACCTGTCTTGGTCCATGCTGGTCCTTTCGCCAACATCAGTATTGGTGCTAGCTCCGTGATTGCCGACAAACTCGCTCTGAAGCTCGCGGGTACGGAGCCTGATGAGGATCACGATGCCAAGACTGGTTTCGTTGTGACGGAGGCTGGTTTCGACTTTACCATGGGCGGTGAGCGCTTCTTCAACATCAAGTGCCGGTCCTCTGGTCTGTCCCCGGACACCGTGGTCATCGTGGCCACCGTGCGCGCCTTGAAGGTCCACGGTGGCGGCCCCGAGATCAGCCCTGGCGCTCCTCTGCCGGAAGTCTACCGCACGGAGAACATCGATATCCTTCGCAAGGGCTGTATCAACATGAAGAAGCACATTGAGAATGCTCGGCAGTACGGCATCCCCGTGGTGGTGGCCATCAACCGCTTCGAGACCGATACGGAGGCCGAAATCGCCGTCATCCGCGAGGAGGCCATCGCGGCCGGCGCAGAGGACGCGGTTCCCGCCAACCACTGGGCTGAGGGCGGAGCCGGCGCTGTGGACCTGGCCAAGAGCGTTTTGACAGCTAGCTCCAAGCCCAAGGAGTTCAAGCTTCTGTATGACCTGGAGGGCAGCATTCAGGAACGCATTGAACGCATCGGCAAGGCCATGTATGGTGCGGAGAAGGTCGAGTTCAGCGAGCTCGCCCAGAAGAAGGTCGATACCTACACGGCCCAGGGCTTTAGCAAGCTGCCCATCTGCATTGCCAAAACCCAATATTCTCTCAGCCATGATCCGGCCCTCAAGGGCGCCCCCACTGGATTCACGGTCCCCATCCGGGACGTTCGGCTGGCCGTGGGCGGTGGATACCTGTAAGTTTCTCATCCCCTCACGGATTACATGTAGGCTAACCCGTTGTGACCCTTGCAGGTACGCACTGGCGGCGGACATTCAGACCATCCCCGGATTGCCGACTGCGCCTGGATACCTGAACGTGGATATTGACCCCGAGACCGGGGAGATTGACGGTCTGTTCTAGACGGTAGACTGGGCATTGCGTAGGTTTTAGTACTGGGATGAGGTTTCGTATCTAAAACTTTTGAGTTGGATTTTCATTTTTTGATTCCCTTGAGTCTTTGATTTGCGGTGTCAAGCATGGTTAATTTTTCGCTACGATGGGCACGGGAGCATGGGTGGGGGTTCCATTTCAACACTTCGTAGCATGGCTACACAGGGCCGGTGTTCTATCTTCAACAGGATGGCTGGGTCTCTTTTTTGTCGATAACATACATACTTAGAGCAGTCAATACACATAGATATCTGCTACTCGACCATCTCCGGTGCCCTGAGGAATCGATGTGATAATGGGATGGCTGGCTGTGGGGAAAGCGGATGAGTCATCGACCGGGGAGGAGGGGCGCAAGTCCGGCGCCGCAGCGACTTCGGTGCTTGATGCCCCGGCGGAGACTGTGCGTCCGTTGCCGCGGGAAACAGCGGTTGCGATCGGCTAGTCTGGCCGGAGAATTATCCTCCAGGGTTACAGTAACCATGGGCAAAAGGAAAGGAACCCTCCCCGGGGACGGTCAAAATGATCCCGGGGAAGTTGTAGTTTGGCCGTAGGTTCTGAGATTTGATGGCGGCGGCATTGAGATGAAGGCTGGACTAGCTAGCTAGATACTATCTAAAATCTAGATACTAAGTACGGACTACGGAAGGACGAAGTATAGAACTAAAAGTCCCTGACGAAGCAGGGACGGGACGAGGCCACCACGGAATCCAGCTTGACCGGAGGGACCCAAGACTTCCCCAGTTCTTTCGATTAGTCCGGCTTCGGCGACAAGCAAGTAACGGTGGGCGGAAAGGGAAATGGGCCTGACGGTGCCAGTGTGCAACCACACCGGATAAGAGGTGTTGGCTGTCCTCCATTTGCTTTCTTCCTCAGACGTATTCTCTCCTCCGTCCTCTCCTCTCCCTCCAGATTTCAGATAGAAACGATTTTCCGGCTTCTCCGATCTGCCCCGTGAAGTCCCTGTGTCCGGCTTAACGGCAGCTTCCGAACTCCACCACCACTCCTTCCAGCCGAGAGCTTCACTGCGCGCTGAGACTCTTTTCCCTCGGGTACTCGCTCTCCCTTCCCCCCCAATTTCCAGCGTGGGCTGTGATCCTCCTCGTTTCCCCGTTCCCGATAGCTGATCCGCTTGGGCAGAGTCCCCGGTTCCTCCCACACCCTCTCCCCCCCCCAGACGCATCATTGCTCCTGCGCATCCCACGCCATGTCGACCGTCCGGTTCAGTTCCGCATTGGCGCGCCGTGCCCCTCTGCCTGCCCCTCTCTCTTCCTCCGCTCGCCGCTTCCTCTCTTCTTCCTCTTCTATTTCTTCCTCCTCCTCTGCTGTCTCTACTCGCTCCCCCAGATCTCTTACCTCTGCCTCTTCCCTGCTCTCAACTCGCTCCGCTGCTGCCCGCTGGACCGGCCTTTCTTCGTTGAACCTTACTCAATCCCGCACCATGGCTACCGAAATCCCCAAGATCAAGGTCAAGAACCCCGTCGTGGAACTCGACGGTGATGAGGTATGTAGTTGAGATCCCGCCCTGCATCGGGGTGCTGCACTTCCTTTTATATGCTTGGTTCTGCATGCGCATTTTCGTCATGGCGCATTCCACACGCGGAGGAAAACGGCGGCGGCGCCCTTGTTCCCTGGCAGCCAAGCGTCTATCACTCGGCGATCCAGGGCTCAATTGCAGCACAGGAGAGGTCTCTGACATGTGCTAACATGTCCGTTTTCTAGATGACCCGTATCATCTGGCAGGAGATTAGAGAGAAGGTAAGTCGGCCCTCGGCTGCCCCGCTACGGCATCAGCTCCAGATGCCTCATCCCGTTCTCTCCCGGACCAAACCCACTAACTCGGCCCCGCTTCTATAGTTGATTCTGCCGTAAGTCTGCCCATTCGTCTGTCCCTCCGACAAGTGCTCCATCCAGTTCGAACTAAGACCTCGCCGCCAGTTACCTTGACATCGACCTCAAGTACTACGATCTGGGTCTGGAATACCGTGATCAGACCGATGACAAGGTCACCGTCGAGGCTGCCGAGGCCATCAAGAAGTATGGTGTCGGTGTCAAGTGCGCCACCATCACTCCCGATGAGGCTCGTGTTGAGGAATTCAAGCTGAAGAAGAGTGAGCGTTGTTCCATGTGGAAGGCGGACGCCTGCTAACGCGATCGTCCAGTGTGGCTGTCTCCCAACGGTACCATCCGTAACATTCTGTATGTACCTCATTGCTGGTCCCCATCCTGATGCTCAATTGCTAATCACTCCCCCTTGCAGCAACGGTACCGTCTTCCGTGAGCCCATCATCATCCCCCGCATCCCTCGTCTCGTCCCCGGATGGAACAAGCCCATTGTCATCGGTCGTCACGCCTTCGGTGACCAGTACCGCGCCCAGGACCGTGTCATTCCCGGACCTGGTAAGCTGCAGCTCGTCTACACCCCCGAGGGTGGCGAGCCTGAGACCATCAACGTCTACGACTTCCAGGGTGGTGGTGTTGCCCAGACCCAGTACAACACTGATGAGTCGATCCGTGGCTTCGCCCATGCCAGTTTCCAGATGGCCCTGCTTAAGGGTCTCCCTCTGTACATGAGCACCAAGAACACCATCCTGAAGAAGTACGATGGTCGCTTCAAGGACATCTTCCAGGAAATCTACGAGGCTTCCTACCAGAAGCAGTTCGAGGCCAAGAACATCTGGTACGAGCACCGTCTCATTGACGACATGGTCGCCCAGATGATCAAGAGTGAGGGTGGATTCGTCATGGCCCTGAAGAGTAAGTGATGAGACCATTGTCTGCCGAAAACTCGATGCTAATTATTGCATTTAGACTACGACGGTGACGTTCAGTCCGACATCGTCGCCCAGGGCTTCGGCTCCCTTGGTCTGATGACCTCGACCCTGGCTACCCCCACTGGCGATGCCTTTGAGTCCGAGGCTGCCCACGGTACCGTGACTCGTCACTACCGCGAGCACCAGAAGGGCCGTGAGACCTCCACCAACCCCATTGCTTCCATCTTCGCCTGGACTCGCGGTCTGATCCAGCGTGGTAAGGTGGATGAGACCCCTGAGGTGGTTGCCTTCGCCGAGGCGCTCGAGAGTGCCTGCATTGACGTTGTGAACGAGGAGGGCATCATGACCAAGGATCTGGCCCTCGCCTGCGGCCGCAAGGACCGCGAGGCCTGGGTTACCACCCGCGAGTACATGGCTGCTGTCGAGCGCAGACTCAAGTCCAACCTCAAAGCCCGCCTTTAAATACCCATCGCACATGTTGATTTTGCATTGATATACTAACGCTAGCGTGCGGCTCGGAGAGTCGAATCATTTCCAATATACGGGTTGCATTTGCGGAGACCACTTGTACATTTTTTAGGACGGCGGGGATGTAGAATGACGGTCCGGTCGAGCAGACCGATTGATGCCGATGGTCGTGCTCTGTGGTTGAATTCTTCTGTATACGCAGTTCTCCCCCTGCCATGTATCTGCCTTCCATATCTTACGAAGCTTTGTACATGCCATTGCCATAATGAAAAAAAAATGCAGTATTTTTTCTGTCTTCCATGTGGTTCCATCGAGTCCAGCCCCCTCCATGTTCCGATGTAACGTCTGTTACCGACGGGGTGATCCAGATGCCCAGCGGACCGAACCGTGGATGCAAGCTGGTGGTGGTGGTGGCTACCTATGGCTACCTCTGGGCGAATCTCCCCAGATCCGCGGGCGTTTGACTTCCCGGGCAGGTCCTTGACGCAATTGATTCCGGCCGAGTCTCCTGCCTGCGCCGCAGCAAGTTGGCCACCGTGTGGGTGATCCTGCACCTTCGCCGTCCGTTAAGATGTAGTCGAGGAGCGAGACCCCCAGCCGAAGTCGAACGATGTTGGCGCTCGTTGCTTTCGGCGCCGTCAAACTGCAGGATGTATGCTTTGCCCGTGGGAATCACGTTTCTCTCGTTGGCGAGTATCACCGTCGCGCTGCGGCTGTATACGCGAGTTCACCTCGTGCGGAAGCCAGGCTGGGATGATCTGCTGATTGCGGTGTCCCTGGTATGATTAGCTTTTATGATCTTATTCAGGAACAGCAACGCTAACCCCAGTTCTAGGCGACGGACATTGTCTTCTTTGTTTTTCTGGTCATCGGTAAGGTCTTCCCTTGTGGCTGGCGTCGACTCTAGAATTCCCGTTGACTTCGTACATAGAAAGCAAGAATGGCCTAGCAGAGAATCAGGCCGATCTCAGCCCCGATGAGATTCGCAACCAGCTGAAGGTATCACCTAGCTCTGTGATTTGATTCCTGGGTGATATGCAGGAGTCTAACATGCTGCATAGGCCCTCTGGATCACCATTCCATTATACAATCTCAGTCTGACCTTGACCAAACTGTCCCTGGTCTTCCTCTACCGCCGTCTGTTCCCGACCAAGACGTATCGCATCCTCCTCACCATCACCTTGGTCTTCGTCATTATCTCGGGCCTGTGGATGGTCCTGAGTACGCTGCTCTTCTGCATTCCCATTGCAGCCTTCTGGGATCATTCCCTTCCACGGACTTGCCTGCCCGCCAGCGTGGTCTGGTGTCTGAATGCCGGTCTCCAGATCAGCACCGACCTGATCCTCGTCATTCTCCCTTTGCCCATCTTGGCCAGCCTCCGGCTCCCCAAACGGCAAAAGGCAGCCCTTCTAGTCATTTTTGCTCTAGGATTCTTGTCCGTCCACCCTCCGCCTGTTTCTATCCCAACCCATCTAACCATCTCCCATAGCGTCTGCGCCACCAGTATCGTCCGTCTCACCACCATCATCGAACTCATCCGAACCCCCGACTTTACCGGTACTTCCCCTCCCTCCCCCCCCACACCCTTCTCCCCTCCTGTCTCCCCAAGCCCTATATACACCAATACTAACCACCCAAACCACAAAACAGAAGGCAACGGCCTCGCCGCAACCTGGTCCTTCGTAGAATCCAACGTAGCCATCATCTGCGCCTGTCTGCCCCCCCTCCGCCCCCTCCTCATCCGCTTCTGCCCGCATCTCATCCCCTCCCGCATGCGCAGCTCCTACAACCGCGACAAACAATCCCCCTCCAAGGGCGGCGTCGACTTTGTCACCGCCAATCCGTTCGCCCCGTCGAATACCAGTTACGTGGCGAGTATTACGGGGAATTGCTCCACGAATCACAACAACAACAACAACCACAATAGTCATGAACAACAACAGCAACAGAATCAAAATCATACCCGGGACGGATCAACGTCTACGCATCCCGAGACAGAAGGGATTCAAATCATGAGGGAATTACGCTGGGATTCGTATTCAGTTGGGACGGCGAGTATGGAGGGGGGTGTGGGTGAGGGAGGTGAGGAAAGGAAATCGGAACATCATCACCAGCAGCATATGCATCCGTATTGGGTGTTAGGCGCTTAGCTTTACATTCCTTTCTGCTTTCTGTTTAAATTATGTTGGTGAGGGGGGGGGGGGGGGGGGTGGATATATTGGATGTGATATGGTATAGTTTTGGTATGGCTAGGTTTGGTGGGTTGGGTTGGGTTGGGTTTAGACTGAATTTCTATTCCTCTTTCTATTCTCCTTTCTTTCTTCTTTCTAGTATCCCTTATTCACGTAGATAGAAATATATCTGGTATGTTTCTGCACCTCCCTTGTATACTTCCTTTCATTGCTTCTTGGAGACGGCTATGGTAGCTACAGGTGTCCGGTATGGTAGTTGGTCGTGTTTGTTCAAGGGTGTTGAATATCAGGTATACCTTCCAACCCTGCTAATCCATCGCTCACGATATCACGCATTTCTGCTATCTATATACTCAAGATGATTTGCAGGGTTTCTGTTTGATGATGTATGCATGTGTGCCAATCGTGGTGGATTGGAGGTTCTGAGGAGATTGTATTCAATACTTAGGAGCATGGAAGGGTGGGTAAGGCTTCGAGGGAGCTAGCTACAGATCTATTCAGGAAAATGAGTATACTATGTTGAGTTAGATCTCTGCCTCAAGTCAAGGCATGTCTTCATTATCGTTCTCTCCGGGGATAATAACACTAGCCTAAACTATCTAAAATCCTCCAAGCCTAGTCACTGATTGCAGACGAGGTGTCAACATGATATAATCTTCTCCCTTCCCATTTCTTCTCAACGCTCAATCACCCTTGCACCTGGACCCGTTCTGCGTCTAACAGGCCTAAGCCCCACCGCTGGCCACTCGAACCTCACACGTCTCCTCCTGGGGCAGAATAATATAGGCCCGGCTCTAGGGTTTTCCCACAGCGTGGATTCGGAGCTTGTGTGTCTATCACTTGCTGGGCGAGTGACATCAGGTCCAGGAGACGACGCTGCAGAGCGCTGTATCTCTGTCTGCATTGAAGGGGCCACCACCTGGCGTCCAAGCACGGTATCGGAACGCCCAGAGTCCGGAATCAAATTGTTTCCAGCGGAGGTATTGTTGTTATTGTCGATATCGATGGTAAAGGTCATGGTGTCCTCGAGGGGCGGAGTAGTATTTTCGTCACGCACTATATCTCGAGGCGTTCCTCGTCGCCCCTGATGACTAAGGCTACTATTATGATCACCGTTATTGTTATCATTATTGTCTCCAGTATGGCCATTATGACGGTCCCTATGATGGCCGCTACGATGAACATTATGTTGATCGCTATCCTGGCCATCCTGGTGAGTATCCTGGTGAGCATCCTGGCGAGCATCCTGATGAGCATCGTGGTTATCAGTTTGTGCGTCCTGCGGCCGTCGGAGTCTAAACAGTGACCGCAATATCGGGCATTTATAAAGGCACATTCCCACAAATGGGCTGGTATTAAAGCTCGCCTCGAACGGAGGTTGCTTAAGTATGTACGGGTGGTCTAGCACTGCTTTCTTCGAGGAAACCGCAGCCGCAAGCCCCTTGGGAGCGTTGGAGGCGTGCGAAGAGGCGTTGCTGTTACTTCGCTCGGATACGCTTCGGTGGAAACTGTCCACGGGGGCGTAGCAGTGGTGGCAGACGACGTCGTATTCGCCTATTCGCGGAAAGCAATTGAAGCTGGCAGGGAGCATAGACTCGTACAGAGCGCTATCGGTCCAATTGAAATCGCCGACTTGGATCCACCACGGCAGCTCGTCGAGAGGGATCAGAGGGACGACCAGGTAGCCGGGTCGATAGACGTAGAAACAGGGGAATGGCTGGTACTTTGAGGCACAGTTGAGAGGTTGTGACATAAGGCGAGGAAATGAAGTATATTGATAGTGAATGACAGATTCTTCGATACCAAACGAGTGGACTGGTTGAATGAATGATAGACGCTACAAGCAGTGGTTGGATATGACTAGAACCGAAGGTCGAAAGGCTCTGAAGGCTGTTGCTGCAGGGTTGTCTCAGGGCGTCCCTTCCTGGCCGCGCAGATGCGGCAGGCGTAGCTTCCTTGTCGGCGACGTCTCGACCTCAATTGGTTAATGGATCGTAAGTCCCATTTCTACATTCAAAGCCAAGCTCAGCGTTGAGGGCCGCGGTTGCATCCATGCAGATCACGCTCGCCGGTTCCAAGCTTTGTGGGTATAGCTGGAGGTTGGCCGTTACAAAGTCAGAGCAAGACTGAGTTGTATGGCACTCGAGGATGAGGGCTTCAGTATGCTTCAAGTTGGGCAGTCCAACATTGTACCAGCAGGGGTCCGACACGCAAGAGCCGTCCCCGGGCTGATATGTATTGATCGATCCAGAAAAGTCAGACCATGTGAAGTCTTCCATCATCACTGCTGAACTGGCATTGACAGTGCTAGAGCTGGAGGCTCCTTGGTCTGTATAGCTTTGAGTGACATAGATCGGGAACGTCACGTTGTAGACTCGGATGTTATTCCAGGTGACATTCTTGACGAGTCCTTGCCCTCCGCTCCATGACTTGAAACGCGCCGCGTAGAGACCGTCAATAACAGTGACATCTTCGAAGCGGATGTTGGTGACATTAGCAAATTCGGACGCATCCTCTCCCAGCGAACCAATGCTCATGCCATGAGTCTGGTACCCAATGGTGTTTCTGGTGAAGAGTATATCGTGCGATCCCGAGGCTACGGCAATCGCATCATCGCCGTTGTACACGATACTGTCGGTTATCTGGATATTGGTGCCCTCGACATCGAAACCATCCGTGTTGAATGGAAAACTGCCTGTCGAGGTAGCGTCGATGATGGCATGGCTGACCGTAATGTCTTGCCCGTACAGCTTAAAGTTCCATGCGATCGGCTTTCTAGACCTGAAGTACTTCACAGTGGCTTGGCTTGTCTTAAGGCTCAGGAGATGTGGACGTCCATCGATTCCCGTCCCATTGGCAGGGTTCGCATCCCACCATGGCTGTCCGTGCGACTCGATCCAGCCATGGTTCACGTTTTCGGGCCCAATCCAGTCCACTTGGGGGCCCTCGAAGGTAAACCATATCGAACTACCACCATTGACAATGTTTTGCACAGCAGTGATGTTCTGTGGTAGGTGTAAATTGCCGTGCATGCGGATCTCCACGTTACTGAGGTTGGTCGCTTTAATTGGATGGAAGATATTATAGCTGATACCCTCCTCGAAAACGATAACGGAGTCAGTTGCGCATTGCGCAAAGGCTTGGGAGACTGCAGGCGAGTCGTCGGCCAGTCCATTGGATGTGTTGTACTTTGAAGGAATCACGCATTGCTGGGTTCGGGATTGTGTTGTTCTGGGGGAGTGGGGGACCCCACGAACTATGGACGCAGACGCGGAAAGGAGGAGTACTAAAGTTGCCCGGAAGATAGACATGGCCAGATATGCGCGTGTAAAAGCTTCTTCACAGTTACTTTCGAGCCAATATTAGCATGCATCGACCCTTACTTATACCCCCGGCATGAGAATTGCTCTCCTCCCTGTTTCAGCATTTGAAGTCTTCAAAGCAGACGGTTAAGCATAACTGATGGCGTTCGGAGATTTGCAATCGTCATAGATCAATAAAACGGAGAATTTCCGAAAGAAGACCGTGTCTGTGCGGGAATTGATCGGCATCATCATGAATGAAGTGAGGATTGAGCCTGGTATTGGTGGAGAAACCTTGCCAGGCGCGGAGTGCGGAGAACTAGCCTCGTCAATGGTTAGCCTGATTTCCCCGATCATCCCGTGAGCAAAGATGCGATGACTCTCTGGGTGATGAGGAGGAGACGTAAAGGAACCGATGATGATGCCATTGTTTGGATGAACTGAGCGAGAAAGTAGTATACTTCCACTCTCAGGGGTGGAGTTTATCCGGGGTCACATGGCGGTGGAGCTCGGGAGGCTTCGTGGAGGAGCCTCTCCTGTCAGCCGCCAGGCTGCCTTCTGCCATTTCAACCGATGTCATAGCTCCCTTCAAGCTCTACTCCGTGCTATCGAGTGAAGTCTATTGGTATTTTTCGTCTCACATTGAGTCCCGGCAAATCGCCCCCTTTATCCGGAAATGGCTACTGGTTCACCCTCCACCAAGGCATCGCTCGCGTCCAACCCAACGCCCAATATCGCCGCGTCAGATGCAGTCGTGCACCTCGAGAGCGTCACGCTAATCGACGCCCCATTACAAGATGTCTGGGATACTCTGGTGGATACCTCAACCTGGTCAGCATGGAACAAATTTGTGCCCGCAGTGACTATCCGCCAGCAGCCCGAATCCGATGCCACGCAGAATGTCTCCCCCATCCTCCAAATGGGGACGAAGATGACATTCCACGTGAATATGAACCCGACTTCTTCCCAGTCACAGCCAAATCAAGAGGCGATGTTGACCGTGGCTGAGCGAAGTCCTCCCACCTCCAGCAGGAACCTCGGCCGGATTGTGTGGGTCAACGATGCGCCAGCTCAGGGGCGCATCATGGCCTCACTTCTGACGGCAGAAAGGGTTCACGAACTTTCTGAGGTCGAGGTTCCAGGCGCAGACGGACAGGTGAGGCGGATGACTGAAGTGCGCAACTGGGAAGCACAGGTTGGGGCTCTGGCATATGTGGTTCGTTGGATGTACGGGACGCGGCTAGCGGAATGCTTTGACCTGTGGGTGCAGGATCTGAAAGAGTACGTCGAGAACAAGACGCGGGGATGAACTAGGCTCGCACCTCCCTTCGGATAGTACATACATAACATACGAGCTTAAATGACCTCCTTGCTCGACCGGTTGGGCAGGCCCTGCTGCATGCGTTGGTGCATTACAATTGTCATCGTCCGCGACTCGGTGCTGGCTGTGGCCAGGGACCACGGAGTTCCGAGACCACCAGCCTTACAGCCACAATTAGCGCCGGTTCCGTGCGCGCTTGGCACGGCGAGATGTGTATTCCAGAGCGATCTATGGAGTATCCGTCGCGCTGGATAGGTCTTTGTGCCCCATTTTCCGTACTTGAGGTTCCGTACATTCCTGTTGGACAGATCCGAATGTGAAATATCAGTTATGAGACAATTTCCACTGCCCTTCAGCAGTGGAGCTGGATGGAAAGCGAACACCCGAGGAGCAGACGACGACTCCATCACGCTACGCTACGCGTCCAGCCCGGTCCCAGTCCCTAGTTATATGCAGAGAATTACGATAGCGAGTGGTGATCAATAGTGAGTTGACTAACGAAGCGCTCCTTTGTTGGGTAGGAGGTCCTATGCAGAGTGGAGGCGGTTTAATGGCAGCCAATTTCCCTGGCAGATTGGACCCACGTGGGGGTGGGGATTGGTTGAGGGCCCCGTCCGAGGGTTACGTCCTCGGCTCTCTTAGCTGCAGTCTTTGGTGGTCATCCTCCGCCAGCGAACGGGTGGAAGTTTCGAATTTTCGGTAGTCCTTCCCTGTACGGACGGGGTCAGGTCAAGACGGAGTATCCGTAAATTGATACACAAAGCATGAAGCATCAGGGCGCCTGCAGGACTGCGCAGGGAGGAAGAGGATGGCCTGCATAGCCCCAGCCCACCAGGTTCCATCGGGGTTGTTGCGATAAGATCGATTCGGACTGCCTGGGCTCCCTGCATTGACTCATCAGCACTCAGTAACTAACTAACTAGTTACAGCACTCGATCACTCAACCTGGGATTGCCATCCCTGCAACGGTAGTGTGTCACACTTTTCACAGTCTTCGTCATCACTTTAACAGTGGAGTCACCCAAAACAAGGATGCTTTATGGTTATTGCGAAGAAAACACACGGAGGGGAGGGTGACAGCCGTTTGTGCCCGAAAACCCCCCAGGAGTGGCCGTGAAATGGCGCCAAAGTGTTCGGGACGGCGGGGAACAACCAGCCAAACTGCACGAAATTCGAGGTTCGAGGGCCCGACTGGTCCCACCGGCTTGCCGCATTGGGCCAACCGGAGAGCCACTTTGCGCAAAAGGCGTGGGAAACTAGCGCTCAATCAGGGATAGTGTCCGTGCTGGGGGGACCTGCTTGGGAAAATGCAGAGGTTGCCAAACTTGCAACTCTCCTCGCGATCAGCATCGGGGGCCTCTCTTTCTTCTGCCTCGATTTTGATCAACTTACCCCGGGTTCATGTCTCCCACTCTCGTTAAGGTTAGAAGGGGGGAAACCTGGGAGGCGTTTCATCCCGCCCTCTTCCGTCGTCAGCAGGGAAAATGCAGGATCCGAGGAAGGTCCATCTCCGAGGATGGCGGTGGGACTACGAGGACTCGTCGACAAGAATCGCGCCGGCGGGTGGAACTATTTGCATGTCACGGTTACCTGCGACGGTTTGCTGTAATCACCCACGGTTCCTCGCCAGCAATTAAGCTATCGCCCTTTTGTCGATCTATCCAGTCTCCTCCTCGCCGTCCCCTCGACGTTTAATTAATTCTCTTTTTAAATTCGCTGGGTCGAGACTCTGCTCCATCCCGAATTTTTTTCTCCCTCCGTCTCGTCGCATCTTCCCTCACTCTATTTTGCTCAACGATGAATCTGTTGCAATACCTTCTGTCCTATTCTTCTTGTACCTTTGCCAACCAATAGTCGAGCCGCCAGCGCCATCCGGCCTCAACTCCGGTGCCGACGTCATCTCCACTGCCTTGCCACCAATTGACTTGTCATCGGCTACGGAGTATAATCCTGCTTTTAAGGCTGTCTGCTGCGTCTTCCTACTCCTCCAGCATTGCGCAACTAGTCACCGGGGCAGACGCCTCCGCGATACAGTGACTTCCTCTTATCGCTCTTGTCTTGACCGGAGATTCCGGGCTTTTCGGCGCTGAAGACCGACTGCGGCGTTGATCTAAAGTCTTGCCTCCCCCGCTATCTGTCTCCCCAGAACTCTCACCGGCGGCAAATTCTCCAGCACCATCCAGCATGGCTGCCAAAAATATGCCTTTCCCGCTATCGGTGCGCATTCAACATGATAGCGACTCCCAGATGCCGCTTCATCTAGTGGTGCCCGGGTTGACTCCTCCAGTAACCCCAACGGTGGAGGATGATGACAGTCTGTCAGGCAGTGTTGCCACCATTTATTCCGGCAGCTCCAGTCCGTTTCTGTCTCCAGTTGAAGGCAACTTCAAAGATGTTCCTGTGGAGGACCGGGCCGTGTCCACCTTTGACTCGTTCACAGATGAGTTAGAGTACCACTGTGACGCTAGAGGCCGTCCCCTTGAGTTTGGTCGCGGGGTCTGGAGTGTGGTCTACAAAGCCTCGCCTTGTCAGCCTTCGAACGCTTATCCGCTCACGCCTCCCAGCTCTCCAGCTGTCAAGGCCCACACCGTGGCGGTCAAATCCCCCGCAAGGCGGGATGCCAACTCGGTGTTGGATGCGGAAGCGCTGGCACTGACGCGAGTCAGCCGCGTGGCCGGGTCTGAGAACCATGTCGTTCCCTTCCAGGGGTATATCGCGGACTCCCACTCAATCGTCATGTCCGCGGTCCCGTTGGCGCTCTCGACGTATATCGAAGAGAAGGCCGCCACGGCCCTGAAGAATCGGACCACCAGGACCATGTTCGAGCCCATCCAAGGCATGGCCCAGTGGCACGATCTTGCCAAGAAGCTCATCACTGGACTGTCCTGGCTCCACGACGGGCCCCGGATGGTGCACGGTGACATCAAGCCGCACAACATCTTGCTACGTGCACGTTCCAGCAGCGACGATGCGGAATCTGACCACTTCCCCTACGAGCCGCTGTTCGCCGACTTTTCCTCGGCTCATCCCATCGCCAGTGCCTCCTCTCCCGAAGAGAGCATGGGGACAGCGCTGACAGCCCTAACACCACCATTTACAGCCCCCGAGCTGTTGTCCGTCTCATCCTTAACGTCCCCGGATGTAGCGCCCACCCCCGAATCCGACGTCTTCTCTCTCGCCGTTACTCTCCTGGCTGCCGCTACGGGTGACTTGCTTCTGTATCCGGGGACCAGCCACATCCAACGACTAGCGATGGCCCGTGAAGGCCACCGCGTGATTGAGTTTGCCCGCTCCGGGCCGAACGGATCGCGCGTCCCTCGCAACGGGATCGTCGAGCAGATCATCAAACCGGCCATTGCCAAAGACCCAAGCCAGCGCATCAAGCCGGATGAGTGGGTGACGCTCGTCCAGTCTATCGCGATCTAACTTGGAGCTGCGCGGTTGCCATTCGTTATCATCCTGTCTGCTTATCTCAGACTATCTCCTTTTAATCTTCTCTTATCTTTTGACTTGCTTACTCTTTTTAACTTTCCTTACCCCCACTTACTAATTTGCCAGGCACCGTCTGCTGCTCATGTCCTCTTTCTCTTTGTTTCCCTTTCTCCCTTTGTTATTTTTATTCTATATGAACCTTAAAGATACCCGTTAGATAGATGTGCAAACGAAACCAGATACAGTGAATTGATTGATTATTTTGGTTTGGATTGGGTTACATCTGACCATGTGGAAAATACGACCTGACCCACTTTGGTTCCCTTATCAGTCCGAGCTACAGCGGACTAGAGTAGTACCACTCAGGGACCAGATCCACCTCCTTAGTGTGCGCAGGACAAAGCGCCAGGGGTAATGTGAGAGACGGCGCCTTGAATGAGCTGGTTTATTGGTTGGGATCATTATCGAGGACATGGCGAAAGCCCCGAGCCTTTTGCAAGTGCGATCTTGGCAGGACTCTTGACCTTAGCGGAGATCGGATTGAAAAATCAATGGATGAACAGACATTGATGTCTGGTCTCTGGATAAGCCCAGACAAAAAGGAAATTCTAGCCGCGTGAGGATTGCACATAGTTTCTCCACCCACCAAACCGGGTGATGTCTTTTGCATCGGCGAGACCGACTGGTTCACAAATGAAGCCCTGCACCCAGCGACTATCTTGCAGCTCAACGGACCCAATGCCCAATGGCGATGGAACGGTGGCGAGGAACCCTCCCACCTTCTGGAGGGGCAATTCCCAGACTTCCACCTCAATCGAGGCGCCTGCATCGCTCACCCGCTTGAGCCCTGGTTTCGGGATTGAGGATCCGGTCTGCAGCGCAAACAATCGGTAACATGGAGCTGTTTTGGTCGTGGCCACCAGTTTGGCCTCGCGCATCACCAAATCCTTATTGAGGGGCAATCCGGAGAGATGCGCTCCCACCACCGCCAGTTGCATCGCCTCGGGTTCGACCATAGCATCCGGGGGCACCCGCTCCTCTCGATAAGACCTCTTTGTAGCCCCCAGCAAGCGCGGCGCATCTGCAAGCCACTGCCGGCCGAATCCAAGCAGTTGGGGCTCCTTCCAAGCTTCCCCGAGCAGCGTGATCCCAAACGGAAGTCCATCGGCCCGGAACCCTGCGGGAATTGCCAGGGCAGACCAATCCATCAAGTTCACAAAATTTGAGTACCTGCCGAGCCGACTGTTTGCCAGAACCGGCTCGACCTGGAGCTCCTGGATGGTAGGGAACGTCGGAGTCGTGGGCACCAAGGTCGCATCGAACCTGGCCACGAGGCGTCTAATCTGACTGGCGAGCTCTTGTCGGCGATATTCGTTCTGGAATACGTCCACAGCCGAGAATCGCTCGGCTTGAAGAATGATGCCTCGGACGACGGGGTCCATTTCCTGGGCGTGCTTGCTCTTCAGGAAGGGTTCAATCGCTGCATACCGCTCCGCGACCCAGGGCCCCTCATAGAGCAGACTGGCCAAGGCGAAGAGCGGACTGTGGCAGATGTCCAGCACAGGCTGCTGGCTTCCGAATCGGTTGACAGGCTGCTCCGGCCTGGACCTCGAGTACGCATCCTGCCCATCCGGTTCTTCCACCAGCCGTAACACCGTCTCTGCATCATCCAGCGTGAGCGCAACGATCGATACACAATCCAGCGACCTGCAGGCCGGCACTACCCCGGATGTACTCAGCGCGCCCCTCGTCGGCTTGAGCCCTACCACGTTATTGAACCCTGCTGGCACTCTCCCCGAGCCCGCCGTGTCGGTCCCCAACGCAAAAGGCACCAGTCCCTGACTCACCACTACACCACTTCCGGAACTACTGCCACCGCTCACGCGATTCCCATCAAACGGGTTTTGAACCGCGCCATATGGCGAGCGCGTCCCCGCCAAGCCCGTCGCAAACTGATCCAGATTCGTCTTTCCCAGCACAATAGCACCTTGCGCCTTGAGCTGTGCCACCACGGTCGAGTCGCTGGTTGCTACTCCTCGCTCTGCGCCAAAAGCCGGACACGCGGCGGTGGTACAAAACCCGGTGACATCGATGTTATCAAGATACTTTCCCCCTAGTTGTAGTGATATCTACAGACGAGAGTGCGGGGGTGTCACTACTTATCTCCTACGAATTCCATGCAGGCATTAGCACCGATCCCCGCTCCAATCGCCGCCGCTCCTCACATTCATGTGCCTATCTACTTACCACATCAACTCTCTGCACCCAAAAGAAACCAAATATACAATATAAGACCCAAACTCATGGCATACTAGGCTCATAGGACCCGATATAAAGAGATAAGTTGCATCACCGACACAACCACCCTATCTATCCCTTCCACCCTATTCCTTTCCTTCCATATATCCCGCTATCTATCCGCCCACCACCCAAACGTCTCACCATGCTCACCACCAGCACCGCCCTCACCCTCGCCAAACACAACCACTGGGCCGACCAAGTCCTCTTCCACGCCATCCAAACCACCCTCTTCGACACCCTCCTCGGCACCCTCAACCACAACCACCAAGTGGACCTGATCTGGCGCGCCCATCTCCTCTCCACACCCCATGGCTTCACCCACCGGCGCGGCCTCCTCTGCCCGAACTTCCCTGATCTCATCCACCACCAGATGGAACTCAACCAGTGGTATATCGATTGGGCGGGACAGCAGGATGAAAAGAGTCTGAGTGTGAAGGGCAAGTTCACGTATGTGAATGGGACCCAGGCGGAAATGGCCCGCGGAGAGATGTTTCTGCATGTCGTGACGCATAAGATGTATCATCGGGGGTGGGTCGCGCAGATGTTCTTTGGGTTTGGGGTTTGTCCCCCGGAGATGGACTTTGGTGTGTTTTTAGGGGAGAGGGTGTGATGGAGCTATGGGGTGGAGGTCGAATTGGGGCTGTATTTGACTATGGAATGGATATCTCACTTGTTTGTTTCTAGTGTTGGAGTTCGTTATGGATGGGGCCTATCGGCAAGCTCCTAGTGGTGGTTCCATCTGGATGAGGTCGTGCAAGTTTTCGTCTCAGTTTCTCCAAGGAAGCGGTTAGTGGCTACTTGATATGTGGGGATGGCTCCGTGGGTGTCGATGGTGATAGTCTCACTGGCATGGGCGTATAATCGATACCAGCCGTGTTGCCAATCCACCGCCCGTCGATCATCCGACCTCCCCTGGACCCCCTCCTTCCCTTTGTGGTTCTCCCCTTCCCATATAAATTCCACCCCGAATCTCCTTTGCATTTCTTTCTATCCATCTTCCCACTACTTCTCATCCAGCACCCATGCCAGTCACGCTCAAAACTTCCAATGTCTCTCCAGAGCGTTGGGCCGCCACCAAAGCGGCCAACGCCGAGGAGATGTTCCAACAAGCATGTCCCAAGCTCTTCGAACAGAGTGCCGGGGTCCTGCAGAGCTCATTCCCCGAGCCATCCCGTCATATTACCCCAGATGAGAACGGGTTCATTCGCGCCGTGTGGAAGGCCTATTCCCATCACCATCATCTAGTCCTACGACCCGATGACATTTGGTGCGCCATCCTAGTGCAACTAAGTTTCTACATCAACGCCCATGCCGAAGACCTTCGTTCGCAGTTCGTCACGCACCAAGGCCAAAAAGAACTGGAGGTCAGAGCCGGAGGGTCCATCCACACTGTCAATGTGGGATTACTGGCGATCCAAATGACCAACTTGATCAAAGAAAGCATCGTGGACCCGGAGCTACATGCCTGGATCATGCCCTCCTTCACCACGACCACGCAATCCGATGAGATCGTGGCCGCCGTCCTGATGATGGGCACGTTCCAGAAATACTTCTCCTACACCATGTGTTTGCTGTGTGGCATCCCAACAGTGACCTTACTGGGCGAGCGGGAGGACTGGGTCACGCTGCGGGCGAAACTCGAGAGACTCCCATCGTTAGGCACCGAGCCGGCACGCTTCGCAAGCCTCCTTGAGCCTATTCTGGAGAATTTCGTGGCGTCGTTCGATCAACCGGACTCTCCGGAGCTCGGCAAATTCTGGAACAGCTGCGTGCATCATGAATTCGGCAGTGGTTCAAGCACTCTCTCCGGGTGGATTACCGCGTTTTGCTTCTGGAATGAAGATGGTGAACCTCGTCAAGAGTCCGATGGGCTGGATGGGGAATATATATCGATTGACACGGACAGAATCCCAAGCGGTATGGTCAGTGTTCCCGTCAACCTCATTGACAATTGTGTCTCGATGCGTACTCGGATGGTGGCGGGCTCGGTGGGAATCGAAGCGACGGACTCGAACTCGAACCAATCTCGGGACTCCATTCAGCCCTACTCGGGATGGTGGATGTTCAAAGAAAAGGATGGTGAACAATGAGGATTCATAGGATGGTGAAATGGGACTATACGTATGATGTACTTCCTGGTGCTCACACGAGCTTGAAACATGGTCACCAAGTTGAAAGTATTATTCATGTCGGATGAATCGACGAGCAGTGCTTCTCATTCTATCCTTGTTCTGTTCCATACTGCTCTGGAATGAAGTTGAAGGCACTGAGCCACGGCCGTACTAGCTAGAATTAGGGACAATAGCACTTTAAAACGTAGTATAGGACTTGTTCCCTCAGACACAGTATCCGTAATATAGAGATCTCTTGATACCACTCAATCGGCATGCACTAACCATCTACCTACCACATTGTCTCTACTGGATATAACCATAGAATAAAGTTTAGCTCGTCGCGCTAAAGCACTAGTCGCAAGATGAGCATAGAGTAGTCTTCCTTCTCGTATTCCTCTATCCAAATCTATATCCAATCCCAATTCACAAGGGAAGAGTCTATCTCTAAATACCGACTGGCCCAATTAAGTTTACATATCATCATCCATAGTATACATAATCAATGAAGTCTCTGCTTGCCATTCTCGCGATGCACCCCCATCTTATACGACGTCAAGGTCCCCCCAAACACGCGATTCAACTGGACACTAGACAACGGGACGCCCGTCCGCTGATACTCGACGCAGATATCCCAGATGGTCGAGGTAGAGAGGATATGGACCCGGACGTCGCTGAGATCGTAGTCGAGGTTCTCTTGGAAACTGATCGCTGGGTCTGGGACATCGGTGCCGGGACGGGGTTCGCCGTGGACGGTTTTGGGGAGGTGGTCGAAGTCCGGTTTGGGTGTTTTGGTGGCGTATTCGGCGAGACTGGGGATGGCTTTGACGATGTCGTTGGTGGGACGGCCGGGGAAGATGAGGTTGAAGACTTCGGCGGCGGAGATGGCTTCGCGGCCGCGGCCGAGGGAGAGGGTGAGGTTTTCGAAGAGGCGGATGGCGTTGCTGCGGTCTGAGGGGTCGAGGGTGTTGATTTTTTGGATGGCGGGGGAGTGTGGGTTCGCTTCGAAGTAGATGATGGTGCGGTCGACGCCGGATGGGTAGAATTCGTCGGGTTGGATGTGTAAGGGCTCGAAGGGGCGACGGTCCCAGGCGAGAAGCGCGTCGTCGAAGTTCTGGTCGCCGCGGAGGGAGGCGCGGTGGCTGTCGTAGAGGGGTGGGAAGTGTTTGGGCAGGTCGGGGTTTTCTTGCGCCTCGGCGGCGATGGCGGTGCGGAGTGCGGTGATCTTGTCTAGGATGGGCTGTAAGGTGGTTGAGTTGGTGTTGGGATCGGCTGCAGCTCGGGATAGGGCGTCGTAGTGGGCATCGATTTCTCGCGACCGGTCGACCATTTGTTGGAGGAAGTAGGCTTGTCGATTGTCTCGGTTGAGACGGGTCTGCGCGCGGTTGCGCTTCTTTTTGGCATCGGCGTAGCCCGGAGAGGTCCGGGTCATCGTTTCCAGAGCCTGGATGTCGTCCCATAATCGGTCGTGAAGGGTAGTGCGAATGCGCGGGGTATAGGGCGTGGGTTTTCGGCCAGGATCGGGACTCTCGGGGGCTGGGAGCAGCGGCGCGACTTCTCTGCCTGGGGGCGTAATGATGTTGTTCTCGGCGGCTCTCTCCGCGACGCGGGCGGCGTTCCTTGTCGCGACGTTGAATCCCTTGTGGTTCACCCAGAATCTCTCTTCTGCCGGCGCGGCGACTTCGAAGGCATGCAACGCGACGTTTTCGGTCCATAGCGCCACCCGTCTGCGCTCGACCACGTAGCGGGGGAGGAGGGTTTGTGCTTCGTTGGAAGGGAGCGTCGCCAGCAATCGGACACTTCCGTAGGCGTGCAGTCCCGTCTGCTGCATGCATGTTTCCATGAACATCTGCAGCCATCGGCCGGCGGTGAAATGATCTTTCTCGGAGGTGCTGGTGGGCATATTAGCCAGCACCAGGAGGGTGTCATTCTGCGGCAGGGGCCCGGTCCGGCTGCAGTTGTCCGGGCCTTGCTCTGGGAAATGCTCCATGAGCACAGGTCTCCAATCGTTGATGGGGAAAATGTCCATGGAGAGCATTTTGTAGGAGGGATGGCTTTGGGCCAGAGGATCCAGCAGAGGTCGGAAGAGCTCCAGCTCGGGCTCGACAAGAAGGTGGCTTCGCGGTTGGAGAAGACGGTTTATCTTGGATGACCAGAGGCCAGCTCCCGGCCACAGGTCGAGGATGTCAACGGGACGATTGCGGAGGAGGAAGGGCGACAGGCGCTGCAGAGCATGATCTAAGCAATCCAGTCATCAGGCCAATGTCTTAATAGGAACCATTAATCAAGACTCACCACATAGTTCCTCACTGACAATTTCCGGTCTTCTGGTGTTCCTCCGTCTGAAGTGGCCGGGGAAGCATTTGGCGATGGACTTTGCGAGCGGGAATCGGGCGAGGGCCGATCGCGACGCCATTGTATATGCAACGGTCTAGAAGACCAAGGACTGCAAATGCTTAGCCTTTCTGGGATGTGAATGAGAGGACCTTGGCAGATCGAGTCATGGTTGGGCGGGTCGCATGAGAATTGGTGGAAGCGGAGATGGAAGATGGAGGAACGAAGAAAGCGATGCTCGCGGGACGATCGTCTGTCTGCAGCTCCGCCCACCTTCTTCTCCGTCTTCCCCTGCATTATCCCCCCCCCCCCCCCCGGGTCCGCTTGGTGGAATGACAATCAGACAGTGAGACAGACCATGGCCCGTGTTTTGAATCTGTGACAGTCTCCACTTCAGACTTACTACTGTGCCTGACCTTCGACCCGACTATTGATTGCATTCACTCTGCTGCCTACATGCGGCAACCCCCCACCACGACTGCCGCTGGTCCTCACGGACGTCCATGAACTGCCACTGCGACAGTGGATTCCTCTTCTCTGAACTTCTTCATCATTAATATTTACCCATTTGACTCGCATGCGTCATGGCTACCCATCTACCTGCGACCTCCGCAGGGTCCCCGCAGAGCGTGGAATCCATCACTCGAAAGGCTCAGGACTATGAGTACGACCCGTCTATTCCTTTGCGCTACTGGCTACGGACAGCGTCTACGCTCATGAGAGAGGTTGGCTAACCGGCCCCGTCTAGTTGTCGTGAAGTGGACTGACCGGGGTGGTGACTAGGCTCGCATTTACGAACGCGAAAAGCACGAAGAACAAGCCTATCTCCTATTGTTTCGCCATGCTCAGTTGGTGCTTGTCAACCTGGCCAGGCACCCTGATGCTAAGGACGAGAAGAATCGAAAAGCTCTGGTGGAGGCCGAAAATGAGGTCAAACGAAACCTGGAGGTCATGGAAGTCCTGAAACCCCGAATCAACAAACGCTATGAGCGCTATACTCAGCTGATGCGTGAACGACAAGCCCACGCGCCAGCTCCGGCCGTCACCCCATCCACCCAGCGCCAACCGCAAGATCCCGCCCTCGCAGGAGTCGTGAAACCTCTGGAAGCAGGTGAAAACAGGGACCTGGCTGTGCAACTGGCTCGGACGGAGATCAGTCGCAGAGCGACCGTCCGAAAAGCGATCCGCCAAGCGGGCATCTCCCCCGAGGAGGAGCAGGCGCGACGCACGGCTGGCGTGTGGGGTGACTGGGAACATACCCTGCGCAAAGAGAGATCAGGGGAGGATGATCTGAGCCGACGGATACAGAACGTGAGAATCCAGATGGACGATCCGCGGGCGGATCATCGTCCACAGGCCAAGCCGTCCACCGCGACCTCTTCCAGCACGGCATACAGGTATCCTACTGTCCCTCGCCAGAAGCCGCTGGGGCCAGTTCCATCTGTCACAAGGGTAGATCCTGGGGATAGGGTTGTTCCGCCCTCCAAAGCACCGGCGCTTCCTCCGAAGGAGAGCTCTCCCGCTCTTGACCTTGCTAGCCTCGATGGGCCGTCACCACCCCCTCGTCCGGACAAGATCTCGCCTGCTGCCCCCACCGAGGCTCCTGCGTTGCCTGCGAAAGTGCAACCGGCGTTAGACGGAGATGCACGTCCTTTGGACCCATCCAGTTTCACCTTCAAGCCATCGGCCTATCTCGAAAATGGAACCCCTCTGCGGACTCTGTTCCTCCCGCCGGATCTCCGAAAACACTTCATGTCGCTCGTCGCTCCCAATACGCAGCGAAATCTGGAGACGTGTGGGATCCTTTGCGGCACGTTGATCTCCAACGCGTTGTTCGTGTCGAGGCTGCTTATCCCCGAACAGACCGCCACCTCGGATACGTGTGAGACGGTGAACGAGACGGCGATCTTTGACTACTGTGACTCGGAAGACCTGATGGTGCTCGGCTGGATCCACACCCACCCCACGCAGACCTGCTTTATGAGCTCGCGCGACCTCCATACGCACTGCGGATATCAGGTGATGCTGCCGGAGAGCATCGCGATCGTGTGCGCCCCGAGCAAGAGCCCGGACTGGGGGGTCTTCCGACTCACGGATCCCCCGGGTCTGAAGACAGTGCTCAATTGCACGCAGACCGGGCTATTCCACCCCCACGGCGAGGCCAACATCTACACCGACGCACTACGACCCGGCCATGTCTTTGAGGCCAAGGGGCTAGAATTTGAGACGGTGGACCTGCGTCCGAAGGGGACTCAATCCTAAGTGGGCATCTGGTTCTGAGCGATATTGTTCGAGTTCTTTGAGCGCGATAGCATACGAATACGAGGGGCTAATGAGGAATGCACTAGTTGAGTCAGCTCTAGCACGACCTGTACATGTGACGATCGCGGCAGTAGTCTGCTAATCGGATATTTAAGAGTAGATCAGCCACTCTGCAGCTAGCATCGGATTACGTATCCCGCGCCAGTCGGATCCAGCCGAGATCCCACCATGGCTTCAGCCAGTTTCTACGATGGAGCACTTGTCCCTATCGGAACTCACCGTCTATTCCTACGGCTACAGGGTGTTCCCCGCTTCGAGGGGCAACCCCTGGTGATCTTTGTCGCCGGCGCGGGGGATGTCGCCTCGTCGTACTGCGCCGTTGCTCGACAAGTGGGCGCCTTTGCTACTGTCCTTCTCTACGACCGCACCGGTCTAGGACGCAGCGAGGACAGTCCTTCCCAGTACTATCCCAGCGCGACGCTCGCTGCCCAAGAACTACACATCCTCCTTGGCAACGCAGCCCTGCCGCCCCCGTATATCCTGGTCGGCCACTCTTACGGTGCCATCATCGCGCGGGAATACCTCCACTTGTTCTCCGACGAGATCAGCGGTATGGTGCTAGCCGATGGCTCCACCGAACGTCAACATGAACTCTTCCAAGACCCCGAGCTGGACATCAATGCTGTCCTGGGAGATTTGAATTTCGCACGTGTGACGGGGCTACGGGATAGTGCGCAACTGTCACGGGAGGAATGGCGGGCCCGGGCTATCGATATTGCGCGGGGGCGGGAGATGTGGGCTGCTGAGGGGAGGACACTGGCAACAGTCTGCCAGACGCTGGGGGAGAAGGAGCAGTATCGGACCCAGGCGCTGGGGACTCGGCCGTTGTCGGTGATCCGATGTCGTGGCTCGTTGGATTACCGACGGGTGTATGAGAAGGGGGTGGAAGCGGGGAATGGAAGCGAGAAGCAGCAGAAGGCGTTCTGGAGGCTACTAGAGCGGTGGGATGATGTGGATCAGGCGATGCAGGAGGAGCAGTTGAGGTTGTCGGGGGGAAGCCGAATGGTGTACCTGGGGCAGTGTGGGCACCAGGTGCATTGGGTGCGGCCGGATGTGGTTGCGCAGGAGGTAAGGTGGGTGATGGAGGAGATTGTCAGGGGGGAAGCTGTGAGTCCAACTGAATGACTGCACAGTCATGAGGAGTCATTCTGTTGAATGGTTGGAACTGTAGTCCGGTGGCTGACACGGGCGGTTGGTGAAAGGCAGTGCATGGAGGGGCTGGGAGTGAGTCAAGGCAGCTGGGTGAAAGTTTGGTTTCTGCTCTTATTGCTAGTAGCTGAGGTCGGAGTCAGAATCAAATGAAACTATTCCATACCGTTGGTGCTGGTATAGTTCGACTTTGACTGTCACGTCCCACCATACCCGATCAGGCAACCCCGGGCTTGGCACCATCGCAAGTCGGCGTCGACTTTCTTCTCGTCTTCTCCTCTCTTCCTCCTCTCGGCTCTCTGCTCTCAGACATCTCTTCTCCTCCCTTTGTCTTCTGCTACATTTGATTGGCAGACGCATCAATCTATTTTCATTCTCTCCGTTCACGAGAGGCTACAGAATCCTCAAAGATAACCCATCGATCACTTTTTACCTCCCGTTGAGTCCCGCCGACTCGTGCGACAGAGTGAGTGCGCCCACCCCTCACCCCTCTCCAGCGTTGGTCATCTCTACGGAGTAGCTCTGGCGCATTTGACTGCGTGTTGTGAGGGCTTGTTTGAATCCTCCAAACCCCCATCCCCAGTATACACTGGTTCGAGACATCCTGCACGTGCCGATCGTCTCATACATCCAACTTTGAGCCTGGCATCCCGTGCTGTACTTTTCAGTCTTGTCGCACCTACACTACACCACTTGCCTGCATCGGCACATCGCACACCATCAATAAGCATAAACTAACCAGATCAGGCACTGTCAGCTCTTCATCAACTTTATCTATCGATCTCGAACATCTACCATGTCTTTGGACGCCAAGGAAATTGAGCTCCGGGCCAAGGCCGTGAACAAGGCCGCAACCTCCAATGAACCTCCCTCCACCATCATACCACTTCTGAAACAGCTGCAACAAGGCGTCAAGGCCACCGAGGACCTGCTACGATCCACCCGTGTGGGTATCGCCGTCAACAAACTCAAGCAACACAAATCCCCGGAAGTCGCCCGTCTCGCGAGCGAGATCGTCTCCAAATGGCGGCACGAAGTGAACAAGCAAAAGGCCGGGCCTTCACCCGGGGCGAGCGGACGATCCAGCAGCTCTCCCCGTCCTCGCACCAATGGCACGCCCTCGGGCGGCACGACTCCCTCCGACAAGGCATCGAAGCTTTCGGTGCCGCCGGATAAACGCACCTGGAAGGCCGACGGCGTGGACACCAACCAAACGGGCAACAAGATTCGCGATAGCTGCATCGGATTGATGTACGACGGACTGTGTCTCAACTCGACCGAGGCCCCACGGACCGTGCTGGCCAAGGCATCGGCCGTCGAGGCGGCCGCCCTCAGCGCATACGGTCCGGAAAGCAAGGAACAATACCGCACCAAGATCCGCAGTCTCTACCAGAACCTCAAGAACAAATCGAACCCCTCGCTGCGCATCCGGGTGCTGAGCGGCGAAGTGACCCCGGAGCACTTTGTCAAGATGTCACACGACGAGCTACGGTCGGCGGAACAACAGGAACGAGACCGCAAGATTCAAAAGGAGAACATGGACAAGGCGATGGTGGCACAGGCGGAGCGGAGTATCAGTACGAGCTTGCAGTGTGGCAAGTGTGGACAACGGAAGGTGACCTATACGGAGGCGCAGACGCGCAGTGCAGATGAACCGATGACATTGTTTTGTACGTGTATGAACTGCGGCAAGTCATGGCGGCAGTGATGGCAGCGGTGATGGCAGCAGTGATGGCGGCAGTGATGATGTACTCTTTATATCTGGGTTATAATGGTGTTGGGCTGAGGCGAGGAGTTCGGTTGTTTAAGGTTATGTCATAGACTGAATCGACGTCATCCATACCTTCTCCAATACTACATACATCTAATCCACCTCACCATTCAATACCCTCAACATACTACCACCACCACCACCATCTACACCACACACACAACACTACACCCAACCCCCAAAATGCCCCCCACCACCCACTCCCAAAACCCCCCAAAACAAACTACAAGTATCACCCACGCCAAAAAAGCCACCCACACCTTCCTAACCACCCTCACCCACCCCCCCTCCCAATCCTCCCCCCAATCCAACCCCCTCTCCCCGCTCCTAAAAACATTCACCACCCACCCCACGCCCCTAATCCACGAACACGGACACCCGGCCCTCGCCCCCTTCCTCGGCCGAGACTTTATCGGCCAGAGTGGAGTGCAAGAGTATTTTACGACTATGGGTGGGTTGTTAGGCATCAGGGGGATGAAATTTGAGGATGAGGGGGGGTGGGTTGTTTCCTTCCTGGAAGATAATAAAAATGAAGATGGGGGGATAAGGGTTGGGGTGGTGGTGCGAGGGTGGGCGAGGTTTTTTGTCAAGGGGGGGAGAAGACATAATGGGGATGGAGATGGGGAAGGATGGGATGAGGGGTTTGTGTATCGGTTGGTTGTTTGTCCGGAGGAGAGTCCTGAAGAGGGAGATGGGGATGGGGAGTGGAAGGTACAGGAGTATCGGGTTTGGGCGGATACGGGGGCGGCGTATTTGGCGTTGAGGGGGGAGTTGGGGGGGTTGGAGAGGGGGAAGTGAGTGGTTTGGTTTGGTTATGTGGGTATGGGTTAAGCATTTGAGATATTGGATTGTGATTTGTGAAGTGGCATTGTGGGGAGTGGTTCGTGTGAAATGGATGATGTGAAGTGAAGTAGTATGGGATTGTGGAACGAGGGAAGTGGAGGTCTGCTATTTTAGCTATTTGGCGTGCAATGTATGTCTGGATATGGTAGTGGATGATGATTATGATGATGACGACTATGTATGTACATAGGGGCAGTTAAGAGTTCACCACCTCCCAGTCAATCCACGCCACATTGCCCACTCGTCCATCCGAGAACAAAAACACTCGCTCCGGATCACTGTACCGCGCGTACTCCTTGCTATCCAGCAGCACTGACACCTCGCTATCCTCTCGTCCCGTCAGGTTGAAGCCCGGCCCGTAGGCCTTGTACTCCGCCATCAAGGTCTCATTGGCCGTCCAGCGATCCTCCCAGTTGATGTAGCCCGACGGCTCGATGCTGCCGTCTTCATACGTGTTGGCGAAGATGGACCGGTGCAGCGCGTTCCAGGGTCGACCCAAGGCACACGATTCCTTGATGTCCGGCGCAATAGACGTGTTGGCGGCCCGCACCGTCGAGTCGTGGATGTACACCCCGTAGTTGTTGGGCACGCTCGTATTGGTCCCCTTCCAGGCGGTGATGCCGCCGCCGCACGAGCGGAGGAGGATCTCCGATGATTGCACGTACAGCGTGCCGAAGCCGTACAGGAAATCGGTTTGTCCGGCGAGGATGGACTTGTACATGTAGGCGGAGCCGAGTTTGCCAATATAGATCTGTTTGGGTCAGTAGGGAAGAGTGAAGAGAGGAGGGGGACATACCGTATCCTGGTAGGAGTAAAAGCCGCAGTAGTAGAAGCCTCCGTTGGAGCGGCTGAAACTGATGGCGTGCGCGGGCCCGGCCGAGTATTCGGAAAAGGTGTTGCGAAAGTCAATGTTGTAGACGCGAAAGTTGGTATTGCCAAACGGCGTGTCCGCGGGCACCGGATAGCCCGTGGTACCAGACCCCGTCAAACTGGCATCCAGCGTCGGCGCGACAATCAACACGCTGTACCAGACATTGTCAATGGTGCCGGTGCTGTCTTGGTTGGCACCGGCAAAGGTCAGGTTGACCGTGTTGCGCGCGGCATCAGTCAGCGCACTGCGGTCTGGCTGCTGGCCCAGGAGGGTGATGGGACCCGAGCGGGTGATGTTGACTTGTTCATTGTAGGAGCCGGAGAGGAGAAGAATGGTCTGAGAGGAATTATCGTTGGGGAGGGAGGAGATGGCCGCTTGGAGGCTGGTGAAATTGGACAGCGGGTGGGCAGCGTGGGAGACAATGAGGGTGCCCGGGGGACACTGCAGGTCCGTTTGGCACTTTTCACGGGCTGCGGTGGTGAGGGAGCTTGAGGACTGTCTCAGAGCTGCCGAGTGCACCAGGATGGCCTGGAGGGCCAGAAAAAGGCCGTAGAACAGCATGGTGAGGGATGAGGATGGAATTGGTCGCCATGAGTCTGATCCTTGTCGCCGTCTTATAACGATCAACCGAATCCGGGGATGCGGGGAGTCAAGCTTCTGCACATACCCCAGATGGCAGCACTGACTTGGAGATCACGTATGATGCCAACTTCCCCAGACGGCGGTCGGAGAAATGTGGATGGCGCCGGAGAATTGCATTCCACCTGTCGGATTGCATCAATCTGGTCGGGCATATCTACCTGACACAGTTAGTTGATGGAGGGGCACATCCACGATAGTCCGATCAGCTGGTCTGTCGACTTAATGCCTCATCGCTCTGCATGTCGTAGCCATCAATTCTCCGCACAGCGGCAATGTCATCTTCCACATAGTGTAGCATTAAGCTAGATCGACGTGGCCACCTCTTCGCCATCTTCAAATATCCTGCGTCTACCTAGTAGGCCAGTATTGTGAATGCTGAATCCAGATTTGCCTCCGTATCTTAATTCTTAGCATACAGCTGTCGTCGGCTTGCTTCCAAAAGACTTGATGATTTTGACGGCAGGTCGCGCTGGCTTTCATCACCCACTTCACACTGTAGGGAATATGCACGGAGATGGACTGTATGATACTCATTCCTCAACGCGACCTCCCAGCGTCTCGCTAGGCAGATCTTGCAGCTTGTCCCTCAGGACAGGTCAATTTGCGATCCGTGTATTCAATCACCAGTCACTCATTAACGACTGAATATCCAGATCTGTCTCAAGTGCCAAGTTGTTGAAGAGTAGATCTCATCCTGACGACCAGCGGTGAACAATGCGTTTCTGCATAGCTCACATGCGGGACCAAAGAGCTGCTTGTAGAGCAAATTGGCATAGACATATTCACAATAAACCACGCACTTCTTCATTTCAGTAAGAGTGCAGTCGATTTCAGCTCAAGGGCAAGACCGATTCGGGAATCCACCTAGGCAACTTTGATGCGGGTTTCCCTCGAGCAAAGTCAAATGCTGTGGGATTCACATCTTGCATTCTCAGACATCTGGAGAGCCAATCTTCGTTGGAGACCTGCTCTTGTGTGGTACATAGAGCATCAATCCAGATAGCTAATCGGTACTCCGTCCAGAGAAGGCCTTCAGATAAAGATGTCGCTTCCTAAGGCCGACGGGAAGGCGATCGATGACAATGTGTGTCGTACATAAGGCGATGAACCACCGAAATGAGCTCTCCTCACAAGGTACTTGTCTCACTCGTGGTCACACATCGAAGTAGCAGCCTGAGGCATCAGTAGGATACAACGCTCCCACCACAAATAATTATCCCTCCCCACCAGACATTGGCATTAGCAGTGTCCAAGACCATCGACACGACATCAACCTCAGCCAAGGCCAAGCGCCAGATAAGCGTCACCAAAAGCCGAGGGACTCAAAAACGCGACCGATGCGATGCGCTGATTCATTGATTGATAGGATCGTAATACGAGGCGCACGTACGGACCAAAATCAATAGTGAGCTTTGGGGGGATCCACTCTAGCTTGCGGACATCCCAGTTCCTACTATGTACGGAGTAGGTAAGTCGGGATCACATCATTCCCGAAGTTGAGGCGCACAATCAACGAGAACAACTGGCGTCGGGCGGTGTCCGAAAGTGAAAATCGAACGGCTGGAGAGTGGATGGTGACTGGCTACTGGTGAAACGGCCAGCCCGTGCCCCTGACTCCAATTTACCCGGGTCCACTCTGCGCTGTAAGGTACGGAATGCACTGCACTGCACTGCATCGAGAACTCTTGGTCCGGCGGGGGGACCGTGGGTAGTCCAGAGGGTTGGGGGCTCGGCTAACTGGTCGGCTGCAGGTCGGAAATGAGTCGTCGGAAATGAGAGTGTAGTGTAGTGTCAGTGTGCGAACTCAGAGTGCAGAGTACTGAGTAATACTGAGTAAAGTGAAGGAATAAATTTACTGTAGAGGAAAAATAATTGTGAACCCTTGATTGACTAAATTTACCACTATTAATGACATACATACATGTAAAGAGAAAGGAAATTGACTCTATCACTAGAGACAAGGTAATAAGAAAAAAAAAAGTCTATAATACGGGTAAAAGGTAGCCGGAACCCAGCTCATGCATGTATGCGCAGCAAGTGATATCCAGGTCGGATGGTATTAAGGAGCGCAATCAAGCGTTTACTCATCGTCGTCGACCTCAGCGCGGGCTCCGAGGGTGTAGCGGGTCTTGCCGTGGGCATCAACCTCGTGCTCGATGGCCAGCTTGGACAGGTGGCCAAGCAGGTTCTCGATCTGGGTGTCGGCGCGGGAGCGGGTCTTGCGGCCGAGGTTGTCGAGGAAGGGCACGATGGTGAGCAGGTAGTAGACGACGGCAATGATGATGGTGACACCGATGGAGTAACCCCAGATGACAACGACGGTGACAATGTCAACGTGGCCGTTCTCGGTGAAGTAGGCGTTGTCAGCGGGGGAGGTCTGCTGGGCACGGCCGCCGGAGAGCCAGCCGAAGACACAGAACAGGGTGGCGAGCACATCGACAATGAAGATGGCGCCAACCAGCTGCCAAGAGGGCCAGGTCTTACCACCACGGGTGACGAAGATAAGCCAGTTCTCGGTAAGGGCGATCTCCAGGAAGAGGATCTCCTGAGGGGAACCCCAGTTCTGGATGATACCACCGTTGTCAAGGAAGAGGGAGGCACGAATGATCCAGGTGGCACCGGCCAGGAGGATACCGAGGACAATGGAGATGACCCAGATCTTGGGCAGCTGCCACTCGACGGGACGCTGTTCGTAGTGGGCGTTGTCGTAGGCAATGGCGATGGTGGCCAAATCAGCGAACAGGGCGATGAAGACAATCAGATCGGCACGGACGGTCTCGTTGATGATGATCATGGAGGTGACCAGGTAGACCTCAAGGTGGAGACACAGGGCAATACGGTACTGAATGTAGGCCTTCATACGCTGGAAGATCTGACGGGCAAGCTTGATGGCATCGACGATGGTGGAGAGACCGGGGGCAAGGAAGACGATATCGGCGGCAGCCTGGGCAGCCTCGGTGGAACCCTCGACGGCAATACCACAGTCGGCCTTCTTGAGAGAGGGAGCGTCGTTGACACCGTCACCAGTCATGGCAGTCAAGTGGCCACGCTGCTGGAGCATCTCGACGACCTGGTACTTGTGCTCGGGGAAGACCTCAGCGAAACCGTCAGCCTTCTCGACGAGGTCGTGCTGGGCAGAGCCGGCGAGACCACCGTGGATGAGCTTCTCGGAATCGTAGACCTTGGTGCTGAGGGCAAGCATCTTGCAGGTCTCCTTGGCGATGGCAAGAGCATCACCAGTCAACATCTTAACGGACAGACCCAGGTGCTGGGCCTCGGCGATGGTGTGGGCAGTATCCTCACGAGGGGGGTCGAACATGGGGTACATGCCGAGCAATTGCCAGGGCTCACCCTCCTTCTGGACGGCAACACCGAGGGAACGGAAACCACGGCGAGCGAACTCGGCGGCCTTCTCACGGAACTGGTTGGCCTCCTCCTCGGAGCACTGGGACATGTTCAGGATAGCCTTGGGGGCACCCTTGGCGCAGATGTAGCGGACACCGTCGCAGGTACAGACGGTGGTGATACGCTTGGAGACAGGGTCGAAGGGAGTGTACTTCTCGGTGACCCAGTTGCGGGCGAGAATCTCACGAGCCTTGGGGTAACGACGGAGGGTCATGATGGTGACCTTGTCGATGGGGTCGAGGTTCTTGATGTTGTGGTTGGAGGCGATAGCAGCGACAGCCATCATCCAGTTGATATCAACACCCTCGTTGACGTAGGGCTCGCGGATGGAAAGCTGGTTGGCAGTGAGAGTACCAGTCTTGTCAGAGCAAAGAATGTCGACACCAGCCAGGGACTCGATAGCAGTGAGCTTCTGGACAATAGCCTTCTGCTCAGCCAGGTAGGCAGCACCGACAGCGAGGGTGGTGGTGGTGACGACGGGGAGACCGACGGGAACACCGATGATCAGGAGAATCAGGGTGTAGTGGAGCAGGTTGCGGTCATCGTTCTCGGGGGTGGCGATCTTGAGGTGACGGTAGAAACCACCGATCCAGGCAGCGAGAATCCAGAACATGACGAGAACGAGCAGGGTAGTACCGATGTTGTCCATGACAGCCTTGAAGTGACCGGAGTCCTGGGCACCCTGGACGAGAGCAGCGGTCTTACCGACGAAGGAGTGGCGGGCAGTGGCGGTGACGATGGCGTAGGCCTTACCACGCTTGCAACCGGTGGTGTAGTAGCAAGTGTCGGCCATGTACTTGTCGACAGCGAGAGATTCACCAGTGATGGCGGACTGATCAACGGCAACGAGGGAGACACCGGCACGGGCCTCAATGCCACCATCCTCATCGTCCTCATCCTCCTTCTCCTTGAGAGTGTCGTCACCAACGGTGGCGAGGTACTCCTTGTAGGTCTCGAAGTTCTCGGGCTTGTCGTAGTCGCAAATGAGGCGGATATCGGCGGGGACGACGGTACCTTCCTCGAGGACGATCTAGAAACGTTAGCCCAGAGTCACTCTCTGCATCAGGGGGTGCACATACAATATCACCAGTAACCAATTCACGAGCAAGGATCTCCTGTTCCTGTCCATCACGGATGACAATAGCCTTCATAGCAATATCACCCTTCAGGGAAGCGACAACGTCGGCAGCCTGCTTCTCCTGGTACCAACCGACGATAGCGTTGAGCATAAGAATACCAATGATGACACCGAAATCGATCCAGTCACGAAGACCGGCAGCGAGGAGAACAGCCAATTCCATAACTAGGCATTGTTAGAGATATCACTCAGCAGGCAGTCGATAGGCTTACCATAAAGAATAGGACCACGGAAGTAACCAATGAACTGCACAAAGAAGTTGGTCTTCTCAGTGGTCAGCTCGTTCCAACCGATACGCTTGCGACGAGGCTCAATGTCGCTGGAGCGCAGACCGGAGCGCATGTCGGTCTCGAGCCAGTCGTCAGGGCAGACGAAGCCCTCCTCCGCACCATCGCTCTTCTTTCCAAAGAGAGAAAAGCCCTTCTTCTTCTTGCCGGCACTCGCGCCGCCGGCGCTGGCAGTCGAACCGCGACGCTTGTCAGGGGCGGTGGAAATGTAGCGGTTCAACGCGGCATACTCGTCGAGACCGGCACCATCATCGAGTTGAGGGGCGCGAGAATGGTCACCATTCTCCACGTCGGGAGCATAGGAAATCCTCCGCTCCGCCATTGTTGCTTCGGCTCACACAGCCTTCGAACCCAACGATATGAGCAGACGCAAACAAAAAATGGCAGGAATGGCAAGAGTCGGATAATCCTATGAAGAAGAAAAGAAGAGAGGAGGGAAGGGAGGGCAGGGAGAATGTACTCTTTAATATTTGGGGGTGGGCGGCCTTCAATTGCACGGGACCAGAACAAACACGTCTGTCTCTAAGCTCCAACGGGCGACCTTCCCTGTGCGTAAGCCCACTTTTTACCTTTTGCTTTTTTTTGCCTTCTCCCGATTAATTATTTTCTGATTTTCTTTTTTTTTCCTGATTTTTACTTTTGGGGATTATTTGCTCGTTCGATTTTTCCCATTTTCTTTTGGGTCAATACCCTCGCCCGGTCTAGTCTTGGCCGGGAGCAGTAGCCACTCGATCGAAAGTTCGCTGTCCCTGGTAAGGTAAGGTTGGTGACTGGACCCGCTCTTTGCCTCCCACGCACACACACCTGGTCCTGCTTAACGGGACGCATCGCTAGCGCCGACAAAGTGAATTGGAACGATTTTTTGTTTTTCCCTTCCCATTTCCGCTATTTTTCCATTACCCTCTGTGGCCGTCCAGCCCAGTGCCAAGTGGACCTTCTTTCCGGATGGGGTTTAGCGGAGGCCGTGGAAAAACTCTGACCTTTCCCAGATGGTCACCAATGGTACGGCACCTTACGCCGTTCGCCTTCCCATTTGTCTCTGAGGTCGCTGGACGGGCTCCCATGACCGGCAGCGCGGTGCCGAGTTCGCCCCCCCTCTCCCCTCCTCCACCACTTCGCTCGTTGGAAGCCGTGAGCGAAAATCCTGGGGAGGGTAGTCCGTACGCACCCGATACGCCCCCTCGGAGCGAGATTTTTCCTTTTTTTACTCCTCGGAGTTGTTCATGTCTCTGCGCCGCTGCGGGCTGGGTCTGCCACTGTCTGGTAACGGTGCCGTACGGGGGCTGACCGTGGACGGCTCTCTCGGCCAAGCAGTGGGAAAAGAATTCCTTACCGTACAGACGTACCGTGTGAATGGCCTTTTTGCCGCGTGCGGGAGGAGGAGGGTGGCCCTCGTTAATTTTCCTGATCCTTCCCTTTCTTCTACTATGCGCGATTTTTCGCTGGTCGCCGGGCCTCGCGATTGATGAGAGTAATAATAATCAACCATCCCAATCATACTACGGCGGTTGGTGGTTTTTTCCATCGGGAGTGCGAGGCCGAGACCGACAGCAGGACGAGGAAGGGACCGAGTACAACGACTATCAGAGAAGCACCTAGCAAATCATTGGCATATTCCTTCTGTATCCTATAGTCGCTATGTACGGAGTACAGTGTAGCACCTGGCGCCGCGATGACATCGGGACTCCATAGTTGTGTTGTTCCCTTGCAGAAAAGAAATGATCGGTTATCTCCCAGACGAGACATACAGCTGAATCAGCGTCGTCTCTTATTGCAGCGAAAAGCTCCGACGGATCCTACTACATACGGAGCATGTCCTACGAGTTAGTCCTGGGGGACGGGGTTTCCCACTTTTCCCAGGGCCGTCCTACCCGATCTTGGAACCACGAGCTGAGCCAAACGGGAACGCAAGGGGCGATTCCAAGGCCTTGGATGATACCAATTCCGGCCATGCAGGGCCAAAACATCCTCCTTCAGCCCCGTTCAGTCCTACGGGATGAACTGACATCATGGTCGCATGTCGGCGACGCTGTCAGGCCATCCTTGGGAATGATGATTCATGTTCGTGATGATCGTGCCGACTCGGGATAGCCTCATAACCCGGGAAGAATGAGCCGGCTTCGTGCGTATACCTTCGTGCGTACACCATGCTGTACTGTGTATGGACCTGGGGTGGTTATGTCAGCAGGATTATTTCGCCTGCGCCGTCATTTGTTATCGACGGTTACCAATATTACTTACGCACTCGTTATCGCCTACGCACTTCCCGGTCTTGTCCCCACGCCCTGGCCCTCTTTCTCTCGCGGTCTCTCCATAGTCAATGTTTCTCATCTCGCACTAACGCCAACCCGGAGTCGATCGACCACTGCCCACCATCCTGTGAGCGTGTGATGATGGGGCACCTCCACCCTCCTTATTTACGGCGCGCCAATCCTATGCCGCTCGCCCTGATTGAGTTTCATCCGATTGCCTCTCGTGGGGAGGGCTGGGCTCCATCCGTGAGCGTCATTTTTGTCTGAGTGGTTGACGTCGGGGAGGAGACCCCGCCGGCTAGGTACTGGTTTCCCCATTGTTTGCTGGGGTATCATTGGTGATTGGGAGATTGCTATCAAGTAAGATTACTATCATGCGTTATTGATTAGTCGCGACGATAGCAATGCTGCAATATGTCCTGGATGCGTCCATCGAGGACATTACTCCGTAGTGATGGGGAATCAAGAATGGGATACGGCGTACGGAGTACGGAGTACTCCAACCTTTCTTGAATAGTTCTGGATCGTTTTCGGGCAGACAGACATACCAGCGGATGGATCGCTCCGCCGAGAACCCGTGAGGACCTCCACGTTGCGACATTTTTCTCGATTCGATTTCCTTTTCTACGACGCCATCTGGTTGACAGGTTGGCTGAGGAGGCATGCATGCATGGCCACGACTGAGCTAACCAAGATTCTGCATATTCCTCAGATGGTTGCGTCTATCAGAAACCTTCCGTACCGATCCTACCCGTGCCCAGCTCTCTACTATTGCCTTATGCCTAGATAGTGCCTGGACCATCCGATATCGTCCCCGGGGAAAAAAGCGTCATTTCATCCCAACCTGGTAATTGCTCGCTCGCTATGCTCCGGAATTCCCAGGACATCTCCATTATCTCTAGGCAGTATCCACGGAAGACCCGAAAACGCATCGTACTTCCACCCATAGTGATGGGGGAGGGCGGGCACGGCACGGCACAGATGACAAAGATATGCATGCATGCATGGGCATTAATCCACCCACCACCACGTAGCCCGCCCGCGCGCCCGCGCCCCAGATCGCCTGACAACGTACAGCAGGGGATTCCAGTGGATTCTGTTCTCAGGCAATTTAACTTTGAGGATGGTTGTTTGTTGGGGGTTCTGAACAAGGAAATCCCATGTTCGTGACCTCTCCGCATCTTCATAAGCTTCAGCGCGCATAAGGCTTGTCTTGGGCGAATGCCAAGATGATCTCTCCACATTCACCTACAGTACATAGTATTGAGTGTCCGAATCCGGATGTCTCGATACCTACCTGATGAGCGACGTGGAATCTTGGCTGAATCGGAGTTGATGGTCGGTCTCAAGTTTACTATTCCCTTGGCTCAATAATATACTCAGATCACAAGCAAAGAATACCTCACTATTGCTACAGCCTTACGAAGATCAGGGATTTCCCACGGATACCAGTAATTGCTTCTTCCAGGAAAACGAAAAGAGAGTTGATTCGGGATAAATTAAAGTAGAACCTAACTTACTCCGTACCACCAATCCACCTCCAGCTCCCAGTGACACACACCGTACGGCGTACTCGTAGAATAATGTCATCCGCCCGGTCTGGATCTTCCATCCCAGAGCATCACGATAATCCATACCTCACCTGCAGAACCACCACCTCCGATCCATCCCAGCACCAAAACAGACATGGATCCATGAGATGAGCATGATCCATTGACGCGAGCCTTGTAGTATCCCTGTTCCCGTTCCTCCGACCAATCCTCCCGCCAGCCAGCCAGCCAGCCGCCAGCCAACCATCCAACCATCCAACCATTGGGATGGGATTACCCGGCCGATCGACCCGTGGGGAGAGCTCCCTCCCTCCATCCCACCGGCCAACAACGTAGCACTTACTCCGTCCGTCCCTACCTAGCTATAGGTAAGTAGCTTCGACCTACGGACGGTAATTCCGCCCTGATTCCAGTTCCAGTTCTCACCGTGACGCTTTTCTGGAGTAAGTCCGAACTTAATCCTTAGCTGGTCCGAATGAGGTAAGACAATTCCCTCCCTTCCCCCCAAATTTCAACTTCCAAATCCCAAAGCTCCGTACAGCCTTACCCCATCAGGAATCCCTCATCACGTACCGTATTCGTAGATAGTTCTGGAGCTCCAACTTATCGTCAGACCGCGGAACCCGCACAACTTGTCCCCGGGAAGATGAACTAGGCCTAGTCCGGGTTAGAGGGGAGGTACGGTACCTTGACTAGACTTTTGGTACTTGGTAGGGGAACGGAGCTGAGGTGGTTGTCGGGTGGGATGGATGGGAAGTTGGGTTGGTTTCCTGACGAATGGTATCCTATCCTACGTTTGTCCTACGCTACTGATTACTACGGAGGATGGTATCTGGATGATGGGGTACCTTACCCCATAGTTATGAGTTGTGTGGTGTGATCACTGATTTAGAGCTATGCGGTATCTACCTACTACATAGGAGCTGCTCAGCTGTAGTGATGCTATTCCCATTCTGAGTCATTATTCCACATATTCATCAATCTACTATACTATGAGTACCTAGATTAATTAACATTGAGTAATTGACGACACAGTAATGGTATCAGCCCGTGCACCAATCCGGGGATTCTCACCGGCGGTCGCGGTCGCATCGCATCACCGTACCCTCCTCCCTAGGACTCCGTACCTAAGTACAGTTGCAGACTACCCGCCGGGGACAACTTATTAGCAATAACCTGGGGCAACAGGAATGTCGCATGTAACGCACCCACGTCAGCCAAGAAAAACCCTCCCCCCAACCCCAGCCATTTGGAAATACGAAGGATTCTATTTCTGGGGATGAGAAATAGTAGGGGTCGTTAATCGTCGGGGTACGGAGTACGGAGTAAGACTGCACATACTACGGAGTACACAGTTAGGAGAGGTCAGTCAGCTGGTTACTGTTCTAGGTGATGGTGGCCCCTCCCCCGACCAAGGGAGGCACGGCATAGCTACCATGGAGTAGGTAGCTATCGCAGTTCGTCCAGTGCCTGGATTCAGCGCAGTGGGTGCTGTGGTGTTGGTCTAACCGAAGTGGAGTGGGTGTGGAAATAAGGGCCGGTGAGGCCGTCCCCGTAGGCATTATAGCGCGGAAACTAACACTAGTACCTGACCTGGTACCTCGCCTAGTCGGGAAAGTACCTTGCCTGACCACTGCCGATGCGAAGAAGTTCCCCACATGAAACCGTGGAACTTGGCTGGGTTTCGGTCGGGATGTCAGTCCCTGAGCTCGTGTGCGTATTCTTATGTGAGGGCAGATGATTATTCTAGGTGATACGATGGATCAATCCGATGGAGTGATCGAATCTACATACGGGGTATTCCGTATCTGTACGGAGTAGAGGCATTCACATCAAGTGTACCGTACCAGCACTGACCGAGGTTAAATGCGGATATTATATCCCGCATGGGGCCTGAGCAAAGAGTGAGGCTATTCGACTGAGTGTCCGGAGTAGTCGACCGGAGTACGGAGTAGTGCTGGACTAAGATCCCTTAGTCATGCTTTATCGGGCCTGGATGAAGTTGCTAGTGGTCATTGGCCATACCCAGTCGGGCAACACGTCGCCACCGGACCGTCGACTGGCACGGCCAAGTGAGGGGCAACCCTTCTGACCGCATCGAACCCGCAGAATTCGCCTTCTCGACGTTTTCTAGAAACCTTCCACTGGGTCCCTGTTCCAGTTAGCTGCATTCTGTGGTCCTCTTAAAAGTCAGAATCCATTTGCCGCTCCCTTCATGGGGGAGGGGGGAAAGGACGGGGTTCGAGAACGCTCGCCTGAACGTTCAGAATTTTCTGGGGCTGACAGTCATCGGATGTCGGCAGCAGGTGGCACTTGGAGGGGTCCAGGCGATAGGCTACGTCATACTCGGCAGTCCCGCGCGAGAAAATCGGGTAAAGTCTGGTGGTGGTGGGATTGTCGCCCATTATTGATTTTGTCCTGGGGCAATTTGCCAATAATTAATGCGACTTTTGGGCTGGACCTGCGAGGTCAAGTGTTGGCTAACTGGCGGGCGGCTTAAACCCGATCGAGATGCCCATTCGGGTAGACACTAAACCGGATTCGATGGCTACAGTATCAGCCGTGTATACATGACGGGTGAGACAATTATCCGCACGAGGACACGCGTGTGGGCGCGTATGACGGATACTCCAAGATACGGGCGCGGTTTAGGTAATGGCACAAGCCAATTGTCCGCGCACTAACACTGCTAGGCTGGCTCTTGGCTTCTGGTACCTACAGTAGTATGATAGAAATCCTCCCACTCACCGACGTTAATTGCGAATCCCAAGTCCGATCCAGTTAGCGGCCCCCAAGAATGATACTAATCGTTGTCCCAAGTGTGCGACTACGCCGGCCCTCCCCACCGGGCGATCGCCCGTGCCAAGCTGTCTCATCGAGGATCCTGGTGAGGGATTTTCTGTCCTCTCACCCGAGGTTCAGTCGGACCTTTGCGGTCGAGGTGCTGCTAGATATAGCAGCTGTCTATGCCTCTCCGTATGTATGGAGTAGGAGTACTCCGTAGGAGTACAGAACATTGGCATGCATGCCCAGCTATCGTACAGGATCAGAGTCCGAGGCACTACGGAGTATCCGCGGCGTACCGCCAACGGCCAGCCGTCCCAGGTGCGATTAGCCTGGCTTGACGAAACCACTACTGCACTCAGCTCACTTTACCATTTTGACACCTCCGGAGAAGACTTGCTGCGCGCCCGATAGTATGAGAGATTTTCACCTCATTTCCTGCCGCCCCAGCTGCCCAGGTGCCCAGGTGCCAGGTGGCCCCGTATGACGCGCAGTGCAGAAGCACTGTCCGATAAAAGGGTTAGAGTAATCTCACTTATCCTCCGTTGCTGTGGGAGTGCTTGGATCGGGTTAGACCCGGGGATTTCTACGGTCGGCATGCAGCTACAGCGGCAAGCCGGACGTGCTTCATACTATCGCGGACTGCTATCCCATACCTAGTACTTGGTTATTAGATACTCCATCCTTACTAGTCTACTACGTATCTACGGAGTAGTAGGAACTAGACTGGCAACAGCTGCAGTGGACTAGGCAGTAGTCAGGTCAGGTCCAGTCTAAACGGATATCGGCATCAGCTTATCTCGTCGCCCACTAGCTACTCCGTACGTAGGAACTAGACTAGGCGTCGTAGCTACCCCTCCACTGGCAGTGGACGGTATCTCCAACTCATTCGCTCACGCCCCCGACTCCCCAACCCGGTTAGTGTTACACACCCTGCGTTAGACTCTCGGCCTTTTCCTCGGCATATCGGTCAGCCAGTCGTTCAGGGTACGTCCGACCTGACACGGCACTCGGCACGGGCGCCGTTGCAGCAGCAATTCTTTCCATGGTTGAGATTATGTCTAGAACCACAGTACGGTGGTACTCGTGATTTGATGAGTTGTTTGATTTTGATTCGTGAAGATTTTTCCGGGATAAGTGGACGGGATGGTGGACGGGATGAGTGTGGTGGAGGGGGGGGAAAGAGTGTAAGGCTGAGGGATTTTTCACTATCTACGGAGTACGGAGTAAGCTATCTCCATTATCGGAGGATCTCCTATCTACATACGACGTACTATTGACAGGAGGAAGAGTAGCTGTCAGTGAGAGTATCGTTTCATGTTCTTTCATGGTAGAGTACGGAGTACTCTCTAGGTAGCAAACTTGGCAGCCAATGCGTCAGTCTATCCTCTATCCTACGGTTACGTGCAAGATGTTTCAGTGACAAAGAGATGGAGGATGTTGCCAAGGGATCATCACCAGGATTAGTCGTTCTTTATACTCCGTAGAGTACGGAGGACTTCCCCGCATATATACCTTTCAGCCCATCTATGGTTACAGTTGCCACAGATGAAACCATCCAACATTCAAAGGACAGAAGTGAAGTATTCTTTCACTTTGATGTTTCATTTTGTTTCAGAGTCAGTATATCCCAATTCCTACGTAAGTAGTACTAACGTAAAGTATATCCTTTGCAACCACCAAGGGGTACATCATCCATCATACCTAGAGGTACGAGGTAGGAACCTACTTCCGCAGCAGTTTCAGGTTCACTTCACTCAAACCTTAACTCCCTGACAGATGCATCACCAAACAGGCAAGTTAAACGAATCTCCCTTCCTTCTCCCTTCTAGATGCATACATGCATGCATACATACATGTTCATTACGTATAATGAGCCTCGGAGAATAACCGTATTACAGAGGTAGATCATCATCTATATACATACAGATTAACTACTTTTTAGGGAGAAAGGAAAGGAAGTGATGTGTGTATGGTACCTGCATATGACATCAGATTACAACTCCTGAATGACAAGGATCTAGTTAAGGTTATGATTTGATGGTGAGACGTAGTCATGAGGACGGAGATACTTCTGGTATATGGGTATCTTGGCGGGATAGAGTTATTCTATCGTATGCTTTCTTGGGATGGGATTCATCTCCTTGAGAACCTACTGGATAGAGAAGATACGATGAGGATACTCCGTAGCGAGGTGAGATGGGAGTATAATGATCGACCGTTCATCAGGGGCTACTGACTTCCTTGGCTGGCGACCAGTTGGCTGGCTGGCTGATTGACCGGATACCTACATGCCAAGTCCCATCATACTTTCCGTCTTTTCTTATTCTTCTTCTTATTCCAGATACAAGAACATATATACGGAGTACACAATATACTTTGATACTCCGAAAGTATATCCCCCCCCCTATCTACTGAATCAATTCGATGATCTACTTTACACCTCGATAGATAAGTATATGGATAAGAGAAATTAGTCAACGTAGATAGTCAGTATCCAACATCGCAAATCACGCCGTGGACATCACGTCCAAGCCAATAGTGGTGCAGATTACTTTCGCCAAGCGGGAGATGTGCACTGCAGCTCCAGCAAGGCGAGGCTTGGCATCCCTTTCTTGAGTGGCAGTGGGAGGTGGCAGTGAGATGGCTAATTTTAGGTGAACTGGATTTTGAGTACAGAGTACATCCTAGATAGCTGCGTGGGTGTCAACAATGGGTGGATTATGCTGTGATGTACTCTGTATGGAGGAGTGTTTACCTACGAGTACGGAGTATCTCATTTTACTCATTCTTCATATTATTTCGTATAGAATCCAATCATATATTCTATGGTATACGATGTAAACAATCAACAAGCATAGAAACAAGGATATATACATTCCCATTCTTCACAATCACATCACTACCCCATACTACCCCATACCCCCATCATCATCCCACCCACCATCCCACCCACCATACTCCGTACGCAGTCCCAAAACAAACATCCAACACAGCCCCTTTCTTCCCACTCCCACCCGCCAAGCCTGCCTGCATTCCTCCCTTTCGTCTTCTTGGCATCCAGCACAGGGGTATGTGTCTGGCGTCGGAGAGTCGGAGCCATCATGCACCGCCCCTCCCTGCCTTATCTGCACTATGTAGGTATGACGATGATTGACTTTAGGGGAACACAAACTTGGGTATACTGCGCGGATGATCATCATTCTGTATTGTTAGGTTTGGGAAGGTGTGGGATCAGCTGGGGGATTGAGTTACTTGGCATATCTCACTACTGTGTAGGTGGTGGGAGATAAGGATAGGTGATGTGGTAATTGTGATCGGAGATGATGGATGGGGGACTTGGCGCAGGCATGGTATGGTTCGGAGCGTAAATAACAATGCCAATGCATAGTAAAGTAATTGAATTATGATCGGATATACATCCTGGTATGGTTTTATTTGCATATGTACGGAGTACTATACTAGACATATTCTATGTATGGGGCAGGAGGAGGGTATTCACTGCATTAACACCATACCATCCATCCATCCATCCATCCATACTTACTGGCTATGTACTACCAGTAGGAATACAAGGATAGTTGCACATCCTCCAACCAGCCGAGTAATGAGCCAATGATTTCTCCTCCCTATATCCCATGCATGCACATCCATGCATGCAGTATGCACCACGCATCACGTCCACGATCCATCCCATCCATCCCAACCAAATGAAATCAAATCAATCATATCGTTCCACGAAGCAAGCTCAATAACTTTATTCTCAGTGCAGCAGTCAGTTGGGTTCGTGCCCGATAGGGTGCGGTTGCAGATATGGATGGATGGATGAAGGGTGGATGGATGGATAAGTGATAGGTGGGTGGATGATAACGGTCAAGGGATCTTGGCATGGAATGTACGTGCGTATGTATGCGCTGTAGTATGTTGGTTGATGCTGGAACTGGTGCTTGGAACGGGGGTGGTATGTTGGTTTGGATTACTGGGTAGGAAGTTGATGGTGGTGATAGTGGTGGCTTTAGAGTATTGGATACGTCATATGAGATGTAGATTGGGGTTTGGTGGTATGTATAGTTGAATTGGGTTGTGGGATTGTAAGGTGGGTGGTTTTGCTGCTAACTAGGTGGATGTATGTTTGTTGGAATATGCTGTAGATTGATATATATCCTCCATGTTATATACATTCGAGTGTCAAGCTCCATTGAAACATGCTTTCAGATATATATTAATTCGTGTATATATCAACTCGATATGTTTATGCATGCAGATAAGACTTAACATGTCCATCAATGGGCGACTGTCCGTAGGATATCATATTCATACGGAAGTATATATCGTTCGTGATATCTAACGAGCTCATCGAGTATGACTCCATTGCTCGATGTACGCACCAAAACAGTGTCTACTGACATGCAATTGATGCCCTGATTTCAAGCCAGTCAACCAATTCCAGATGAGCATATCCAGGCTGACCATGCTGTATCATATCACCATACACTGTCTCACCATATACATCCAGCCTACATCCAGCCTACACCTCAGGCCGCAAAGGCACTGCTCCTGGCTAATATCTGCAGACCCCCAGTCAGAACATCAGACATCACAAAACATGGCATCTATCTCACCCTAAAATTTAATCCTCATCCCCACCGAACACGGCACCATCGCCCCCGGCATCTGCCTCTCAATCGCAAACTTAGCCCTCCACCCCGTACAATGACCCGGCAGAATGACCGCTGGATCCAACTTCTTCAAATCCTGGACCGTACTCTCCATCTGCGCCGCCTCACTCGTCGCCAGATGAAACCCCCCAATAATCGCATGCAGAGGGACATCATCCAGCAACTTCACCGCATGGCGAGCACAGTTCACCACTCCGGCATGACTGCACGCCGTGAACATGACAATTCCTTTGCCTAGATTCGTCAGCTCACCGTACCACAGCTATATTGATGCTAAGGAAATTGACGAACCCTTAAGATTACACATCAAAAACCGCTCATCGGCAATGATCTCATCCGAGAACCAATCCCCTTCCTCCTCATTCTCATCCTGATCCTTCTCGAATCTCATCCCCCCCTTCAACCCCGTCTCATAGGTCGTCCGGCGGGGAATCTCCCCCGAGATATAGAAGAAATCATCCAAGATCGTATGACCTTCTGCTTCTTTCCGTATCTCACCACCGGCGTGTTCAATCTCCTCGAACGTCGGATCCGCCTGTAATGAGATGATCTCTTTCCCGATAGCCATACCCCGGTACTCGGGTCTATCGGGATGGAGATCCACGATGGTAGGTGCAGAAGATCCAGATGCTTTTTTGGCTTCTGTGATTAGTTCGATGGCGCGGGTTAGGCCGCCTGTTCAGTCATTAGCATACCTCATCATCACCTTAGATAAATAGAAGAGGGGGGGGGGGGGGGGGGGCAACCAGAATGATCCCGATGCCAATGCGATAACATGACAACCTCTACCTCCTCTAACCCACCCCCATTTCCATTCACACTCCCATTCACACTCTCAGCTTGAAGCCCTAACCGCCTCACATTCCCCTCCCATACCCCCCCCTCCGGCCCAGCATCAAACAGCACACTATGCTGTTGTCCATCTTTCGTCGCTGTCTACCCCCAATTAGCCCCACCTAACCATTTCTCAACCCAAACTCATTCTAATTCAAAGGGAGGAATCGTACCACCAAAATCGACACCCCATGCGCGGCACAACAAATATCCTCCATTCGGAGTTCCTTGTGCGCATCGCCGCGGTCGTGCACCCCGTGCGGGGAAGAGGTTGCTAGCGTGCGTATGAGGCCATTGGTTATGTCTACGGTGTCCGGGGGGATGGGGGAGATGGGGTCGAGGTCGTTGTCGATGAGGATTGTTGCGGTTAGGGTGTCGAGTGTTTGGAGGTGGGGGAGGGGCATGGTGGTTGTATGGGTGAGGTGGGGGGTGATGTGGTTGGGAGGGGAATATAAGTGAGGGTATGCTGGTAGGGTGTGGTTAGTTGGAAAGAGTTGGGGGAGGGAGTAGGTGAGGTCATTGATGCCTTAGGCTGAACTATATTCTAAACTAGTCGAGACCATTAATGAGGCTGGTCAATGTCACATCATTCATCAAACGTATATACATCATAGCAACAAGGCAGGGTCTACATCTATGCCAGTCACTAGGCAAGCAATGCACTGCTTCTATCCAAGGTGCATGTCCTCACGCAGATGAATAGGCCAGGCGCGTCGTCTGGCGGGTCCATTTCCAGTCTGTCGGCTTCAGACCGGACGCGTCAGCGGGTTGACACGTAGATGACCATGCTCTGCCACGAGTCACTGCGTTGCACCGAGGCAAAATAGGGAGAACGAGGGATGCCACCAATCCAACCTACAGACCAGTCTTGCCTAGAGCCTCAGCAAGGTCGTCGACATCGGTGTCCTGCTTCTGGGAAACCTTTTCGTTCTCGGCCTGCTCCGTGTCCTTGAGGAGCTTGTCAGCCTTCTCCTCTTCCTCCTCTTCTTCCTCCTCCTCCTCCTCTTCTTCTTCACTCTCCTCCTCTTCCAGCTCATCCAGCTCGTCGATACCCCACATCTCCTCGGGGTCATCATCCTGTCCGTGCTCCTCCTGACGACCCTCCAGGATCTCGCGCAGGGCAGTCACGTTGTCATCGTCCTCGTTGAAGATGTTGCCGTTCAGCTCAATCCGGCGCAAGGCAGGCAGAGCAGTCTTGGTGGCGTGCAGGAACTGCTTGACACCCTCGGCGGTGATCTCGTTGTACTGCAGACGCAGCGTCTGCACCTTCTCGTTCTTGCCCTCAGCCAACGCCTGAGCAACCTTGACACCACCACGACCCGAGAGCAAGCAGTCGCTGACACCGAGCTCGCGCAGAGACGACCAGCTGGACACCACACCAGCAAGAGCCGTAGAACCCATGATGGTAAAGGTGTTATCCTGCAGGTCGAGAACCTCCAGAGCCGTGCAGTGGCGGAGACCCTCCTTCAGCAGCAGCGAGATACCCTCCTGACGGATACCGTTCTGGGTCATCTTGACGGAGCGCATGCCAGCAGCGTGGACCTCGTAGGCACGTGCCCAAGCCGCCATACTGCCGTTCTCCAAGCGATTGCGACCGCAGACGATGCTCTCCAGGAGAGGCACCTCCTTGCCCGCCTCACGGGCCTCCTCCTTGCGTTGTGCGAGCTCCGTGAGCGCCTTGGCAATATTCGAACCCGCCTCGGGGCCCATGCCGTTGTTGTTGAGGATCAGGTGGCGGAGCGGGGTGTGGCGAGCGAGAAAGTCGACGAGGGGCTTCTGGGTGTTGGCACCGAAGGCATTGTCGGACAGATTAACGGTGTGAAGAGTGGTGATGTCGAGGAGGGCATTCAGGAGGAAGGTGAGGGCGGCGGGGATCTCGCTCAGCAGACGAGAGGTGAAGATGTCGGCCAGTTCGGCCACGGCCAGGTTCTTTTGCGTCGAAAGCACGGCGGCGAGACGCTCGCAGGCCGGGACACCGAGGGTGTTACCTCCAAAGCGAATCTCGGTGTAGTCGGTGCTCTCGAGGAGCGGCTGGATATGGGCCTCGATATCCTCAGCGGTGTCGAGCTTGAGGCCTTTACCCTCGAGGGAGAAGACCTTTGGAGGGGCCATGGTGGGGTAAATGAATTTCAGGGGAAGGATTTGACGGTGCGGTGTGCAGGGGTGATGGCAGATTCAACCCAAGTGAATCAGATGCAGATCAAGAGCAGCAATGCGGCACCGCAGCGAGCAAGCAGACACAAAGAGCGTGGGAGACAGACAATGGACGTGGAGGGGAAGAAGAAGAAAGAAACGAGCGGGCGGTGGTGATTATTGACGATGGCTCCCCTGACAACCACCACCGACCGCCCTTACGCTTTGCACCCATAAATTTTCCCCGATCGCCGCTCCGGCCGCCCGCAGCAACCACTGCCGCCGTTTCCGGGAATCGCATCATTAATCAGCACCGCTTCGTCTTCTCCTGACCTTGTTTGCTTGCGTCAATTCTTCACTCATTCGTTTGTCGCTCTCTAAGTTTACTGCGCTGCCTATTCTGCATCATGTCGTGGTTGTTCGGTTCTTCCAACAGTAGGTCACCATCGCCGCGTCATGTCTACTATACTTGTGCCGGGCTGGACGAATCAAGCTGACAATTGCTGCACTATAGCTGAAAAGGCTGCTGCCGTTGCTCCGGCCGAGTCTGCGCCCGCCGAGAAGCCCAAGGTACGTGACCAGACACCGATCCGAGAACGCGGCTGATCGTCACAGCCATGCTGCGTTTGCAAGACCGAAAAGACCGCCCGCGATGACTGCATGCTCTTCTCCAAAACCGACGATCCCACCCAGGAGTGCAAGCCCATGATCGAGCAATACAAGGCCTGCATGGCGGGTTACGGTTTCAAGGTTTAAGCCAGCCCGCTATACCGTGAGGAGCATGGAACGGGTCGGACCCAGTACGAGGAGTGACTGCATGCAATCGGAGTTAGGTTATTTGGGTTACTGTATATTGCCATATTCTAGTCTTGGAGCATCTCCCTTCTTGTGCAATAAATGTATATTATCTATCGTTATGTTCTGGATATGTATGTATCAGCTGTAAGCAAGCTTTCTCTTCAGGCACACAAAGCCGCACGGTCGACAGTGCAGGCTGTCCCGAACATCAAATGGGTATCATGAGAGAATCGAATATAGTTGCAATAAATTACACCAGCCTCACTGGTTCTTCTTCTCCGTCTCTTCGGCCTTCTGGTCGATCCGGCAGCTTTGCTGCACCAGCTTCCACAGACACCACAGATATGCAATTCCAAATCCTCCAGCCCCAATCACGGCATTGAGTACCACCCACAGATCTGGCTTGCCGGGCGGGGGTGCCACAAAGGCTTCCAGAACGTGCCATGCGATCATGGCCAGGTAAAAGCAGGAATGCAGAAGCTTGGTCAGCACATGAAGTTCAGCACCCGGGATGGAGTCTTCCTGAGAACGGCTGCGGAAAGTCTCCAGCGAGGTCGGGGGAAGTCCCAACAGGTAGGCCCAGAGGAGTGTTATGACGAAGTAGGGCAAGCGAAGTTCGTCCCGCTTCAGCAGAGGATACATGGTCCATGAGCCAAGCATGTTGGCCCACCCCACCCAGGCTCGGGTCTCTTTGCTGAGACCTCCGTCTCCGGCCAAGAGAAGAGTCATGGGGAGCAACGGAAGGAGAACACTCTTCTCGTGGACCTGGAACGAAAACAAAAAGAAGCCCCAGGCCACGGTTGACAAGGCCGGCAGAAGCAGAGAAGCACGCGGGTGACGGAAGATCATGGCGCAGGGAACCACAATGGAGGCCAGCGTGGCACCGAGGGACATCCGTTGGAGTAGAGTGGCCTCGAACCGATGAAGCTTGTAGAAAGTGTGAATTGCGCACCAAGCATTTGCGACCTTGTCCTCGAACAGACCACGAGCAAATGGAAAGACACGGTGGATAATCTGTGTCAGCTGGAAGACGACCGCGTAGAGCATGGAGTGCTTGTCAAGCTCGACCGGAAGGGCCTGCAGAAGAGGCGGCTGCGGGGCCAGCGCCAGGGCCTCCCGCGCTTCGATGCTGAGCGCTCCAATAAGCATTGGAGCAAACAGGACGGCAAATGCGACAAGAGTGACAAGGGAGATGGAAATCAGGCGGAGGAAGCGGATCTTGGGGAAGATGCACACGCCAAGGAGGAAGGCGAACATGACCGGGGCATAATACAATGCCATCTGCTTGAACCCCAGAGCTCCCACGAAGAAGATGCAGGCCCACAGCATGCGTCCGGCCAGGATGGCATCCAAACTCGCAACAACCAGCCCCAGCATCACCGTGTTATATTGGAAATGACCGTGGTCAATGAGGATGGTCGCCGGTTGTAGGAGAATCGCAGCGAGGGCAATCGAGGCAGACCACACGGGAACGCTCTGCATCCGGGTGAATCGACGCAAGAAATTAACGACGGCGGGAATGTAGATGAGGTATTCCGAAACGATAACCGTGGCGCGCATGAAAACCTTCAACAGGGGATCTTCGAAGCCGCGAGACGCGTCCAGGGCAAACCATGCGGGGTTAAAGAGGGAACCACTGCTCAGTTAGCTACAGATCACCGATCAACAGAAATGACGTACAGTTTTCCCAACAGCCAGCTGTGATATGCAGTCAATGGGGGGTAATCGAGCCCCCAGTACTGCAGGTCGTACAGGTACCACTTGGAAATGGGAAGGTGAATAGTGATTTCCATCCAATGCCTCTGTGCTTCAAAGTCACCATGCATGGGGGGCACTCCGAACCCTGCGTCTGTTAGTGACACCAGCTAGTATAGAAGAATTGCTGTGAGCGCACCGGAATATCCCCACAAGCTGACAGCCCAGCGGAACAGGCCCACGGCCATCAGAATCAGAGGTAGCACGAGCCATTGAGAAACACCTGCCCGCGCAGACCATAGAAACGAAACCAAGGGGAAGGCCGGGGACGATTTGCCTCCGGAGTCGACGATGAGGGAGTCATTCGAGCCAGCGAAAGACGAGGGAAGCTTTCTCTTCTTCCGCGGACAGTGGGAGGACGGAGGAGCCATATTCACGGGAAATGAGCGAGATTGGAGGTTTCCATGGACTGCGCAATGGCAAGGCGACAGTGACAGGTATGTGGTTACTTGTTTAGCTGTCCCATCACATGATGCGTTACATAATCTTAACACGTGCCGTCTTCGACCAGTTATCGTGGTTATCCGTGAGCCCAGCTTATCCGATAGCTGATAAGCAACTGCGCCTGCGTGTCCTCTCAATTGCGCGTGCGATGGGATTTTCTGTGCATTAGAATAGCAAGGATACAAAAATGTTCCCCGGACCCCATCTGGTATGTGCTAAGATACGGTACGCGCAGAGGTTTGAGGTCGAGATGAAGAGGTCACCAGGTTTCGCTGTGGGATTCTATCGTCAACCTGTAGTAGGATTGACGCGACCTATCTGGAACTTCTTATAGAGGGACTACACCTTGAGAACCCGAGGTTGGTGAATTACGAATATCACCACGACAATAACTGTACAACAGCCAAATAATTTCACCTATGTACAAATCTAGAACCTAGACTGACCAGCCAGTCTGCACCAATACCAACTCAACAATACAATAGACGTGATCACATTTCCCAATCGACATAACATTCATCCAGATTTAACAACCTAGCACGTAAACGGCTTGCTTATAGACCCTGACTGGAATTCCCGAACCTACAATCACCTGTCAGTACTGCAACAGCCCGCGGCAATAGAGAACTCACCAACTCAGCAATGCTAGAGTAAGTACCACATCCAAAAACAACCATGCCGACGATAAACACCACCGCATTGCACAACGCAGCCTTCAAGTTGTGCTTTTCGTACCACGCGCCCTCTCTCAAGAGCATATACCACATGACGGGGGGAATGTAGAAAGAAAGACCCGAAACAAACAATGCCGAGATGATCGATAACAGTTCCGAGAAAATCGGAATCGCTTCGGCAATCACCCAAGCTAGGGCTGTAACAAGAGTCACAAGGCCAAGCCAAGTAGCCCAACCCTTAGGAGTGTTGATGAAGCGGGCGGGAGAGTCATGGTACACTTTTCCGTGGATGTATCGGCATACCACTGTTGTGTTGATGGAGCCCGAGATGAAGATGACGGGGAGTGCGATGCCAAAGACCACCCTGGAGATGACCGGACCGGCTGATAGCAAGGCAGGGGATTGCACCGCTTGCCCCACGAACGCATAGATGATCGATCCTGTGAGGGTATAGATCACGATTTGGATGCCGCCCAGCCACCACAGTGTCTTGACATAATCCTCAGGCGTATGCATATCTTCCATAAAAGATGGCAGACATCCCGCAAAAGAAAATGCGAAAACAATATTGTTGGTGGCCACAATAGCCTCCGAAAAAGTAGTGCCAGGCATCGGCCATGCAGACCATGGAATACTGTCGGAGAAGGCACTGGAACCATCGGAGTGTTGGATGCCCGTCGCAATCATCGTGACCCCTATGGCAATAATGATCGAGGCAAAGTCGATATAGCCCAGGATGGCAATTTCCGCGAATGATGGCGGAATGGCGAGCACCAGCAGAATTGCAGCCGACACAACACTAAACACCACCGAACACACGTTGCTTTCAGTGATGGTCTGGAACGCAATTGCACCGGTCAAGCAGTGAGATCCAATAACAAATATCAACAGGGACACGAAGCTGCCAACAAAAATCTTGGATCCCAGATTCCCTAACAAAAGCTGACCAACATCCGCATAGTGACCAACTTTGGGGTATTTGAGCTTAACCTGTCCGATATTGTATCCTGCATGCATGGCAATCAGACCGATACTAACAGTCAGGATCACACCAGCGACCATCCCCAGCGTAGCAAAGGCCGAAGGCAAACTCAAACTCCCCAGAGCAATTGCCTCCACTGTCGAAATAATCGTCAGGCGTTTCCAGCCCAGTCGACGAAACCTGGCATTTCCATCCAAGACATAACGCGTCTCCAAGTCATCGAGGTCTTGACTTTTAGGAAGTCCTTCACTCGCCATCACGTCAATAATATGATGTCCGTAAATTTTTTGTGCAATTGCAAAGGATTGAAATGATGGGGATGAGAGATAATCAGATCATCAGATAAGATCTCGGAGGATTTAAATCAGCCGAGGGTGTCTTTCCAGGCCCGTGTCACCCCACCGAGTCTGCAGACTTTTCAAAGCCCGCTGGGTGAAGAATCCATGGCCAATTGGCCATAGAGACGAAACTAGCCCATGGTGCCTCTTCTAGAGCGTTATCTGCGGAGACCAATATCAATTAGTCCGTAAGTGATGAGGATGTGATTGATTGAACTCTGCAACCCCGCTTCCATCGCGCTGAAGCGGCAGGGACTATACCCGGACCGGGTCCGAGTTGTCCTTGGAAGGTGCGCAACTGCCAAGGATTGGGTGGTATTTCACGGGCTTTAGCGATTAGTCCACCAGAGACAATGGCTGGCATCTATCTCCGGTGTGACTAAATTGCTAGTCCAGCGAGGCAGCCGCGCCCAGACGGCTTTCCGTCAGGTCTTGTCCCGGCGGGTCGAACCGCAACGCATCAGATAAGACTGCTGTACTGTCTAGTGGCTGGTAAGAGATGAAGAAGATAGTAAATTAACATTCGGAAAGATTGGTATGACATAGAATAAATTTGAGCAGCAGTGTGTATAACATAGGAGATTTAGATATATAGAGAAGGAATAGTATCTGGCTCCACTTACTTGAACGTTACCAAAGAATAGCTTCCCATCCCTTTAGTAGCATCAGTCTTGTCAGAGTAAGGCAAGTGTGTTCTTGGCGTGCGGTCTAAGAAGACCCTTTTCATCCCAAGAGGGAAAGGCAGGGTTCTTTCCAATCCTTTTCTGCTAGACAAGATGTCTGGTAATGTCGTTCCACTCTCTTTCTTGTCGTTATATAGGTTGCTAATATCGATTCGATGCCCTTTTCAAAGCCTACCTGTATAAACTATACACGAGTGAAGAAGGATTAGTCGAATTAGCAACTTCAACTTCCCTAGATCCGTATGCCCGAGCATAATTATGTGACACCATAATTAGCCGGGACATTAAAGTCCCCGAATGGTGCACAAAATATCATTTCTGACTATTGTTAATAGGCTAAGACCCTCTGATTAGCCTGGACTAGGAATCTGGGCTGGAAATTCAAATGTTGTCTGGTGGGTTGATAATAACTGTACCGATTATCTGATTATCTTATTAGGATGTCTTACCACCCGGGCCCACACATAAGCTAAAAATGCCTGAACTGGGCTACCAGGCGACTGTTTAAGCCCTTTATTGCCCGCTTCCCAACTTTGAGGCGGGTTGTATGAGGGAAGTGACCATCACACAACTCTTATCACTCACAATCGCGGAAAAGCCACTTGGCCATGGCATGTCTGCAGCTGGATCTCTCAGGATATCCGACACAATTGTTAGTGATGGTGATAACAAAATAGAACTGTACCCACCTGGTCAACGATGATGTTGGCACGCAAGCATATGAGAGCCAAATCGCGCAAACCGCCGGGAACAAGGTATGCCTCACTCTGGATACCTTTTATAATATGGACAAGAGCGCCATTAGCCTAGCACATATCTCGGCCAAGGCCCTTTCTCGGTGTAGGCTTTCAAAACTGATCCTGATTTGTGTCTTCCACAACGGTGGACATCTCGGAGTTGAAGGAACAGTGAGTACCACCCTTTCTCATCCTGGCTCCGATGCATTAGAGCTAATAGACCCCTCCCCCCTCATCAAGATGGAACACGTCTGCTTTTCTGCCTTCGACCCGATTTTCCTCCTGTATCACACGACTCTCGATCAGTTATGGCCTCAGTGGCAATTCAGGGATGTATCTCGTTTAACTGCCATGGGAGGGCCGCTGGTTGCGCCCGCAGTCATGCTTGGAGAGGCTCAGCCTTCGTTCTTGGGCGTTGACGTATTCGTTCCCTACTTTGGGGATAATGGAAACACAACCACGCTCAATCACCGTATGTGGATGGCTGGCATTGTCGAGAATATCACGGTGGCGGATGCCATGAGCGTTGAGATTGAGGGAATGTGTATTCAGTATGTTTAGAGACAGTGCGGAGGGGTGGCAGGGTAGGTGACAGTGTGGCCGCTTTTGCTGTTCAGGTGACGAGTGGTATGGAAACCTGTGTCTTGGGTGAGGCATGTGTCACTGTGTGTGGGTAACTGGATTATATGGCTTTGTATCTCGGGCAATGGTTTCATGATTGTCCTATATCGTTTATATAATTCACCGGCTTTGAGTTTACATTTTTCATTATCAAGCAAAGGTTTCATAAGATGAAAAGGACTAAAATCAACACAAGGAGTTTACCTTGTATAACACATAAAAGCAGACCTATGGCATATCTACAGTTTTCTTAATTACAATACAGCCTACGATGTCACCAGGTCTTGAATCAAATTAGATATGTTTGTCTTGATCAGATAGAGTCCCAGAACGTGAATGCAATCGAGTCAATGACTTCTATGATGAATTCTAATTTTTAAGTGAAGAGCATGGCATAGCCATGATATCGATATCTCCAATTGACATGACTCTCAATCCGTTGGTCCAGCCTCATCGACATATGTATCCCATCTAATGAACTTCATATATACAGCCTCAATGCCGGCAATCGCGATCATACCGATTGGTAGACCGAGCCAGAACCCGTTGAGCCCCCAGCCAGGCGAGCCGAGCTGTAGCCAGAGAGCGAGCGGCACGGCACCGAGATAATTGACGATAAAGACAACGCAAGCGGCAAAGGATTGCCGGCCTAGACCCCGGAGAATGCCGTTCGTTCCGCACATGAGTGCCTCTGCGATCTGGAAGACGGACACGGCGAGGATGGACTTGGCGCAGATATCCAGAGTCTGCGGATCGCGGGTGAAAATTTGAGGTAGTTGATTGCGGAATATGATCGTTATTAATGCGTTCAGGAAGCCTACACCTAGGAAGACGAAGCCGTGGATGATGGACACACGGCGAGCGGTCGTCGCCTGTCTTGCTCCTACTAGGTGGCCGATTCGCGTGCTCGAGACTACACTGACTGAAAATGGGGCGTGCCAGCTGACAATGGAGATGGTGGTTAGGACGGATTGCGCGGCCAAGTGCGCCGTGCTCAGGTAGGACGAGCTGAAGGTGATGATCTCGAATGCAGCGTATTCGCTCAGCACAGCGGCGGAACCGGCCATTGATAAAACAACCATGGGATACCAATCTGTGAGAGCGTCGCGCGACAGCCCGCCCCAGCAGCTGTGGGACCATTTTGCGTATCGGATAATGTATAGGAGTAACAGGAAACTCCGAAGGACTTGAGTTATGGCAGAACCTAGGGCTGCCCCATCCAGCCCCATGCCTAGCGGAAAGGCAAAGGCCCAACTCAGGAGGATATTCAATGGTGTGCAAGCCAGCGCAAGGACCATGGCGACCTGGTAGTCGTCCTGGACCTGCAGGAATCGCTTTCCGGCTTCGTAAAAGGCCTGTCCTGGTAGCCCGATGATACTGACGCGGAGGAAGGACCCAGCCTTGACGGCAAGATTGGGCTGCTTGACAACCAATGGCAAGAGAGAGGGCGAGAGCCACCAGAGGACGCCGATCGGGATGCAGATGGCCGTCATGAGGAGGATCATCCGCTGGACGTGGATGCCGACTCCAATCCGGTTGCCAGCGCCGTAGGTCTGCGCGCACAGGGTGTCTAGCGCCGTGGCCATGCCTGTGATAAAGGCAGAGCCACAGATGGCGACAGTTGTCCCGCTGATGCTGGCTGCCGCGAGGTCATCGGCACTCAGATGGCCAGCAATCAGCGTGGTCAAGATCGAGGGGAGGAACTGCAATAGATACGTGATGACGAGAGGGGAAGACTGGCTCAGCAGGAGCCAGAGCTCGGCACGGAGCCCATAGACTGATTGCCCTTCACGGGCACGGCCCTTGAGCATGGGAGTGTGCTCATGTAGGGGACCGTCATCTTCGTAGGACTCGCTTCTGTAGTCCATACCGCAATGTAGATAGGTGTTTGACCCTAACCAAGCAGAGGAAAAGCCTGTCCATCGCGGCGGCCCGTTGCGCGAGCCAGCGGGGGTGATTAATCAGCACCGCGCCGACTGATAAGAAACCAGACAATGGTGGTGTTTCAGCCTTCAACTGGGGGCCGCACATTTCTCTGGGGAGGAGCCGGAGGAGAACCCCGGGGTACTGAGTTTAGGGTGACATTCGAAACACATGTCAAGCAGTTGTTGGTCTCTCAGCTGGTGTTTTGATACAGACTGACTCGATCTCCCTCGTGGATCCGTCTCGACCCAGGCAATGTTAGTACCAGGGGAAGAGGGTCGTGGAGGATGCCTGTTCCACCTCACCGACCGTAAGAAGTTAAGAACAAATTGTAACCCCTGTCCAGGATGCAAACAATGCAACCGGGTTTGATCGGCTGCGCCACCAGGGAACAACTTCGGGAAATCACACCATCCTTCAATTCATTTATGTACACAAGAGTAAAACCCCTCCAAGGCTCCAACACATGATCGACATTGGACCGGCTGCGTCTTCCCGCACCTTAACCCGGTGGAGCACCGTCCTGCCGCTTGCCATGCGTGAACCCCTGGAGAACAAGAATCGCGAGGCGAGTCGTGAGAGGGGTGAGAGTCATGAAACAACCCCGCCCACAAGGACCTGGCAACCACCGTCAGCTGGGAGAACATCCGTAAGGCCTGCCCCCTGCTGGATTCTTACTTCTGGGCCCGGATTACTGCTATTACTGAGATGCGCGATTACTCCACTCAGGATCTAGATCCTGTAGGTGGGGACGAACCGGTTCCTGGTCTCTCTGAATCCCACTGGTCGCACGGTTTCACCATGTCCACCGGTTCATCTCCAGCTGAGCTTCCAACAAGGACCTAGCAGGGCTTTGGCCAGGCCAATGTTTGGGTCCGCCAAAGTTTACCTCCATCCCACCCAGAAAAAGGAAATGAACTCGCAGCTCGCAGCCGCATCTCCCACGTGGTTGGTTCCTCCTCCACGCCGATATTTCAGCCATGATAAGCTAGGAAGCCGGCCCTGGCCTCGCTTCTAATAAATTCTGTCTGATGCCACCCTCTCTGAGCCGTGGTGCGTTTCTCTCCCTTCTTCCCCCATCACGGCTGTCCGACGGTCATGGCTGCGCACGAGGCCGTCTTTGCCGTCTCGGCACAGGCCACCCAGCTGGGTAACCGCATCTCCGTGCACATGCTGGACTACCTGAGCACGGTCCAAAACTTGCCCGATGGCTTTCGGGAGCTGTCGCAGACGTTTCTCGACACCTGTCGCGCCCTCTGGGCCATTGATGCTGGTCTCACCGAGTCCACCGACGCCAACCGCGCCCTGCCCGAGGTTATCGTGGAGGAGGTGGCCAAGAAATTCGTGGCCGCCTATCGCGACTTTCAGCATCTCGACAAGCTTGTCACCAAATTGATTCAGTATGAGCACCGTGGCACCCTGGGGAAGCTCCAGCGAGGCTGGCATCGCCCCACCCACGAGCTCGCACGGATTCGAGAGTCGCTCCAGAAGACGACCGAAACCCTTCAGATCAGTGTTCTGGCCTTTCACTGGTCGTTGGGGGATTCAACCCTCATGGCAGAGTCGGTGGGCATTGGATACGCCGGACTGGCTGCAGCGCTCGATCGCATGGCCAAGGGTCGGTCGGTAATGGGCATCAACAAGACCAAGACCTTGGAGCGCGGAACCAAGCAGATGGAATCCTCGTTGTCAGCGTCATCATCGTCCGTCCCTTCGCTGCCCCCCAAGGAACCGCCGCCACCTCCCCCGGCCAACATTAGCAGTCCTCCTCTATCCAACCCCGATGAGACCCTTTCCTCCGTTCTCTCCCTCGACTCCCTCCTTTTGTCCAATCCCCACGACCGCGATCTCCCCCCATCTCCCCCTCTCGAACCTGTTCTTCGATTCCCGCAGAGAATAGACAGCCAGCCAACCCGGACAAGCTCGCCCGCCTCCCGGGCAGAAACGCTGACAGCACCTGAAAGCGACACTCACGGGGACATTCTCACGCAGCACCGCTCCGCAGACCCACTCCCCAGGGCGCCCCATCGCACCCCCAGCCGGACGAGCGCGGCTAGTGCCACGCAACTACGGAGCGCCCTCGCTTCCGCCGTCCGCGGTCGGAACCACAAGTTGTTAGAACAGCTGCTGGATAGTGGCGTGTCTCCTGACTTAGGGGAGCAGATCCATCCACTTAACGAGGCCGTGCGGCAGCGCGACTTCGAGGGGATGCGACTGCTGCTTCTCTTTGGGGCGAACCCGAATGCACCGGATCGAGAGGGCAAGACGCCGTTGCTCACTGCGGTGGAAGAGTCGTTTGATGATGGGGCAACCTTGCTGCTGAAGTATCGTGCCGATGCCAATCATACCGTAGAACCGGGACAGGACTCCCCGCTGAGCCGCGCGATCGCGAACGGCGAGATCAGCATGGTACAACAACTGCTGGCCCATGGAGGCAACCCGAATCACGAGACCCCGAACGGCAGCACGGTGCTGATCGAGCTGATTCGTCAGCATGCGCCACCACACCTTGTGACTCTTGTGTTAGCAGCCGGCTGTGACCCGAACCGCAAGGGCCAGCAAGGCAAGACAGCGCTCTTGGAGGCAGTCAAGAGCGACCAAGTGAATACTGTGATGGCGCTCCTGGAACACGGGGCCAACCCGAACCTTCCAGGACCGGAGCATGTTCTGTGGTCGGCCATCTACCGTCCGCGGTGCTTGCCAGTGCTGCTGAATGGCGGCGCGGACATCCACAAGACTCCAGGCCTCATGGAACAGGCGACTAGCATCAATCACATTGAAGCCGTGCGCATTCTGCTGCAATTGGGAGTCGATCCCAACACCAAGAAGGATGGGATTTATACGCCACTCTGCTCAGCCATTCGGGATGATCGCGCTGACATTGTCACCCTGCTGTTGGACCACGGGGCGGACGCCAACGTCATGGCCTCGGAGTATCCGGCCTGGAAGTGTGTCACTCACGACCGGCCACATTTTCTCCCAGCTTTACTGGCAGCCGGGGCCGATCTCCACCAACCACCGGGAATCATCGAGATGGCCGTGCAAGTCAATAACGCGGAGGCGTTACAGTGGCTGGTCGAGCACGGAGGTGCGAACGTCAACGACCGCAACGACCAGGGTCATACCGCTTTGACTACCGCCATCCGTGAAGAGCGCCCCGAGATGCTGAGCTACCTTTTAGACCATGGGGCTGACCCCAACCAGCGTGGAGAGGATTGGCCGGTATGCATGGCCGTGAAGTCGCCTGCACTGCTTCAACTGCTGCTTCCAGTGGTCACGAATCTGTCCGCTCACAAGGGCGTCATGGAAATGGCGGTGCTGGCTAATCAGCTGGAGAGTATCAAGCTGCTGCTGGCTGCTGGCGCGAGTGTCGAGTATAAGAACGGCGGCGTTTTCTCACCGCTGACCACGGCGTTACGGGAGCGTCACGTTGACATTGTGCGTTTCCTTTTGGAGGAAGGAGGCGCTGATCCCAATGCTCCCGGCGAGCATCTGCCTCTGGTCAAAGCAATCCGTCGTTGCCATAACCGTGATTTCTCGATGATCGAACTCCTTCTCCAGAAGGGAGCCGACCCCAACAAGACCTATCGGGACTGGAACGCGATTATGCAGGCCATCGAGTACCGGGACTTTCCGCTCTTGCGCCTGTTGGTCGAGAAGGGCGGCGGAGCCGATCTCACGGAGCATGATGAGACTGGCCAGACGGTGTTGGAGATGGCAGATGCCTCCGGCTGGACCGAGGCCACTCAGTTCCTCCTTGACCATGCGCGGCCCTAAATCCTTCTCATTCTTTTGAAACATCAAACTATCATAATTGTCCATGTTGACGCTGCCATGTTTGACCAGACCTTTTCTTATGTCATACCCCAATATTTGTTTCCTTTGCGCCTCTGTGTGATGTTCTTTTCCATTTCAATTCCCTGGGATATTTTAGCAGCTTTTTAATTCATCACACGATTTCAGATTATCTCGCCGTATGTTAGTACCTATCCACCACACATTACATCCGTATGAACCCTACAGAACCTTCCTCATTTTCTACCTAGATGGGATATAAAGGATGGTTGCCTCAGTAGAACAACACATTTCCTCCAATCCAGCAATTGTCTTCAATGAGCACCGCCGAATTCAAGTTTCTGCCTGAATGGGATGATGGAATCGTCTTCTGCGGACAAATACACCATCAGTGCCAATCTGGATCCGTCTCCAGGAACCTAGACTGGTACCTAGGATAGTGAGACTGGAATGTGTCGAGGTGTAACTTGGATGGTTGGTGTTTCTTTGATTTCACAGGATGTCCGACCGATGACTTGGTCAATATCTTCATCGAATAATACTTCATCTCGCGCAACGTGCAGCAATTGAGATTGCCCGTCAACGATATTATTGAGCTTTGATTCGACCCCGAATATCTCCAGAACCACAGCTGCAAATAGTCCACCTGTTGTCTGGTCAACTGCAGGTCGTTTGGATGGAGACTGGACTGGTCCAACGGCAGCGGTGGACAAATGGGAGGCCCAGCCGGGGCCTGACCCAGTTGCGTTAGTGCCAACTGCAGCTCCCCACTTAGTACCTGGGCTAGTCTCACCTCAGGAGGCGGTAAGCAATTTTGATTTTTTCTGCCAGCCTCCGGTTTTTTTTTTTTTTTTTTTTTTTTTCGGTCGCCTTATCAGAGCTGGTCCCCAGCAGTAAATTTTTCTTCTTCCTTCATTCCTGTCCTACTTTCCCCCTTCATCTTCTGTCCCATCATTTCCATCCCTATTCTTTACTTGGTTGAATTCCTCAACTAAGTCTCTTTATATTATATCTTACAAGTTGCACTGCAACAGACATCTCGTGGGCTTTTTACCTTGAGGGCTGTGGGCTGTACGTACTATTCTGTGGGATCTGTGGGATACTCTCGTGGGTTTCATATCATAGACGGTAGCATTTTCCCTGTCGTCTCGTGTGGGCTTGAACACTGTCGTTGTGGGTTACCTGTGGGTATTTCGTCTATTTCTATTACAAATCGGGTGATTATTGTGGGATTATAAAGATCTGCCGCACTTTTCCAAAGCTTTTTCGTTGTACCAGCTTTTAGTTTACATTTTACCTGGTTGGTTCTTCCTTTCCTTTTGTTGTTCTCTTGTTCCCTTGGTTGGTTTCTTGAACTAATCCTCTTTGCGTTCATAGATCAAAATGTCCAAGACCAAGTCCGTTACCAAGAAGGGCTCTGAGAAGCCGGTTGACAAGGCCCTGAGCAAGGTCAAGGATGCCGGTGTGAGCAAGGCTTCCCAGTCCCCCAAGGCCAAGAGCAAGCAGATTGCTCGTGACATTGCCTCCAAGGAGAAGAAGGACAAGAAGAAGAAGAAGGCTCCTACCCCTAGCTCGTCCGAGTCCGAGTCGGACAGCGATGAGGAGATGGACTCTGACTCTAGCTCCAGCAGCGAGAGCGAGGATGAGAAGCCCGCCAAGAAGGCTGAGAAGAAGAGCAAGAAGGCTGAGTCCTCTTCCGAGTCTGAGTCCGAGTCGGACAGCGATGAGGAGATGAACGACGCCTCCAGCAGTGAGAGCGAGAGCGAGAGTGAGGAGGAGAAGCCCGCCAAGAAGGCCAAGGCTGAGCCCAAGAAGGCTGCTAAGAAGGAGGAGTCCAGCGACTCCGAGTCCTCCGACTCTTCTGACTCTGAGTCTGAGGAGGAGAAGCCCGCTAAGAAGGAGACCAAGAAGGAGGAGTCCTCTTCCGAGTCGGAGTCTGAGTCTGACTCCGAGTCTGAGGAGGAGGCCCCCAAGAAGGCCGCCAAGGAGTCCAGCGAGAGCGACTCTGACTCCGACTCTGACTCTGAGAGCGAGGAGGAGACCAAGGAGAAGAAGGCTGAGAAGGTATGTCTGACCATCCACGACCAACGACTTGATGCTAATCGACCCAGGAATCTTCCGACTCTTCCGACTCTGACTCTGACTCCGATTCTGACTCTGACTCTGAGGAATCCGAGGAACCCAAGAACTCCAAGAAGCGCAAGGCTGAGGAGGAGACTTCTGCCACCCCTAAGAAGTCCAAGACTGAGGAGCCCGCTGCCGGTGCTTCCGCCAACCTCTTCGTCGGCAACCTGTCCTGGAACGTCGATGAGGCCTGGCTCACCCAGGAGTTCGAGAGCTTTGGTGAGCTCTCTGGTGTGCGTATCATGACTGAGCGTGACACTGGCCGCTCTCGCGGGTGAGTTCAACTATCCTACGTGGTCGTCAATCCATACTAACATCTACAGTTTCGGTTACGTTGAGTTCGTCAACGCCACCGATGCCGCCAAGGCTTTCGAGGCCAAGAAGGACACCGAGATTGACGGCCGTACCATCAACCTCGACTACGCCACTGGCCGCCCCGCCAACCGTGACCAGCAGGGTGGTGGCTTCAAGGACCGCGCCAACAACCGTGCTCGTTCCTTCGGCGACCAGGCCAGCCCCGAGAGTGACACCCTCTTCGTCGGCAACATTGCCTTCGGTGCTAACGAGGACTCTCTTCACGAGCTGTTCGGTGAGAAGGGATCCATTCTCGGCATCCGCCTGCCCACCGACCCCGAGTCCGGCCGCCCCAAGGGTTTCGGCTACGTCCAGTACTCCTCCGTTGAGGAGGCCCGCGCTGCCTTCAACGAGCTCAACGGCGCTGAGCTGGCTGGCCGCCCCGTCCGTCTGGACTTCAGCACCCCCCGTGCCAACAACGGTGGCGGTGGTGGTGGTGGTGGCCGCGGCCGTGGTGGCTTCGGCGGTCGTGGACGTGGTGGTGACCGTGGCCGTGGCCGTGGTGGCTTCGGTGGCCGCGGTGGCGGTGCCCCCAACAAGGCCCGCGGTGGTATTCCCGAGTACAAGGGCACCAAGGTGACCTTCTAAGCGGGCGGTTGTGTAAGATAGATAGTTGCTTTCATGACACGTTTTGGGCATGGGTTTCTTTTGGTTTGGGGTTGTGTTTTTTCTCAAATGTTTCTGGTACCCCAAAAGTTCTTTGCATTGTCTAAATAGCACCAATTAATGAATGGCTATGACCAGAATGACTTCGTGCAGAAAGTAGGTGGATGCTTGGCGGGCTGGGGATTCTTTGTTGGTGCTCGTGGCACGGATCGGCCTGATCTGCTGCGGGTGCCGGGAGCCAGCCTATCAGCGATGGTGTCCGGCGGGAACAAGTCAGCTGGCGGGCGGGCAGTGGCTGTCGGATGATGGACCAGCCCTCGTGCTCCCCCTTCGTTCTTCTTCTCGTTTCCTCTCTACACCTGGCTCTGGAGTTTACATATGGTGGTCCTGGTTCTCGCGTTCCACTTGGGAAGAGCAACACCTGTCCTCAAGTCCAGTTAGGGATCTTGGTGGAACTCGCCCTTGAGTGCTTGGAAACTCTGCTGCGGACTGATAAGATAATCGCCAACCTTATCCCCTCCCCTCGCGGTATACATCGTCCCCAACCCCGCCCTTCTGGCTGACCGCTCAACGCCTTGCTGGACGGTCCGCCTGCATTCCCCGTGGCCTGAGCATTGACTGACTCGGCTGGCTGCTCTGCTCGCCTTTTTATTCTCTTCCTTCTTCCTCTTCCTCATCGCTTCTTCTCCTTTTCATCTCTCCATCCATCATGCAACCTAATCACTATGACCTCCTGGGTCAGGTGCAAGACGACCCTCGAGCGGTCGGGCGACTGACGCGAGACGCCCATCAGCCGCCGCGCGATCCGGCCACTCTTCAGCAGTCCCGGTCGCCTGCTGCTGGCTTGCCCACGAGATCCGAAGGTGCGTCATCCTGGTTCCCCAGATATCTGCCCTACGTCTGCAGTTCGATCCGATCTGCATGCACTCCAGTTCCCCTTGAAATCCCTCATCGCTGTATCACCATATCACCATGTACTCACTACGATATTATATAGACTCCTGGATCGAGGTCGCCTCCCAGCCCTCGTCTTCTTCCCTGTCCTCCATCGGTACCACCGACGATATTATTACCACGGGCCTCCGCGTCCAGCAAAATGAAGCCAGCCCGTACCATCGTAGCCGTCGCCGGCGCCTGCAACGACTGGCCGCGGTCACCACCGCCCAGGTCGACTACTCGTCCCGCGAACAAAGCAGTAGTCAGGATGAATACGAGGAGAGTGAGAGCGAGTCGGACCGCGTCCTGAGCAGTTCGAACGAGGACATGGTCCCACCCATGGGAACCCCTTTCTTACCGGGGCCGGGTCTAGTCTCCTCTCCCTCCGACGATGCATCGAGCGAGGAGGATGACGACGACAACTCGACTGCGTTGGGAATGCGGATGGACTCAGCTCCGTTTGTTCCTCAGCCTAATGTCTTTTCCCACCCACCGGCATCCCAGAATCCGTCCTGGTCCAGGCCAACCGAGCGACACCGTCCTCAGCCCAGTGAGGTGTCCAACTCCAGCCGTCGGACGGCCATCCGACGCAACTCTCAAGCAAGCATACGCTCTGCCCGGCGGTCTTCCCAACAACACAGCCCGTTCAACATGATCTCACCATCCCACCATGCCGATCACGATGCTGCGCTGCGGGCCAGTCTGTCCACTCTACTCTCCTGTGCTGCTGCTGCCCGAGGTCTGCCAAAATCCGATCCTCCCCAAACGCAGCCTGGTCCATCACGGGGTCACCCCGCATCCTTCCGACTAGTATCCGAGTCCGTCGCGATGGGCGAGGAAGTCAGCGAGGAAGCCGTAGGGACGGTGGACACGAACCCCACCCGGGCCCCGCGGATGGGACCCACTCCGCAACCGGTGGCATACTCGCCGCGCACCGTCCCTTCTGCCCCTCGAGCCAAGCGACGGCCCAGCCCTTCCAAAGAACGCAGTCACTCGTCCGCGAAGAAGAGCCGTCGAGCCAGTATTGCGGATGCTGCCACCAGTCCCACCGTCATGACGTGGGTAATCAGTGCGGGTGTCGTGGTGTTGTTTTCCGCCATCAGCTTCTCCGCCGGATACGTCCTGGGCCGCGAAGTCGGCCGCCTGGAGGCCAGCGGTACGGGCATCGGATCCGTGATGGGCGACAGCGGCGTCCCGGACCGAGCCACGGGATGCGGTCAGGAAGCGGTCCGGGGCGGGCTGAAGCGGCTTCGCTGGGGATCGGGGCCTTCGGGATCGGGCATCATTGCGTGAACCATATACTGCATTACTTTTACATGTGCTGCTGGCAATAATGGTAAATACGGACAGATATGAGGTATATCGGTGGGCTGCATGTCTTACGTTTCCTATGTCTCCTCTCTGGAAAGGCGGATGCATGCATACATAGCCGGGCTTCGTCTGATCAGATATTGGATCCTGTGGAGCTCTGGATGCGATGCTGGGAAAAGTAGCCGGGTCGGGGATCTCTGTGGATGGGTGGCGTTTGGTTCTTTGGTGTTATACCCCTTGGTAGCTAGTCAATGTATTGTTCCTGGTCAGATGAGATGCATACACGTAGTTTACCCCCTCCTCTGCGGAATGTTTGGATGGATTCAACCTATATGTCAATCAAATCCCAAGAAACAAACGATGTGGTTCATGTCAATTGGAATTGAACATTGGTAGAGTATATATCTAAACAGTATATTTACATGGTCTAATACCCTGGGTGGGTGCATATGGTACAAACACAGCCGTATACTAGCAATCCTCCTAATGGGCCCCCGAATTGGCAACCTCAATCACCACTTTGCCCACGTGCTGTCCGCTCTCCAGCCTGCAATACGCCTCTCGGTATTCCGCCAACAGATACACCCGATCAATGATCGGCCGCACCTGGTGTCTGGTCATGGCCACCAGCATCGCCTCGAAATCCAGCCGGGACCCGATCATCGAACCGGTCACCGTCATGAACCGAGCGATTTACTCTTGAGACGGGAGCCCACCACCGCCACCGCTCGCAATCCCAACCAAAACCACCAGACCACCGATCTTGGTACACGCCGCCGACTTCTGAATCGTCTTTTCTCCCGCAATATCTAGGGTTCTGTCCACCCCCTTATCATCAGTCAGAGCAAGTATCTCGCGCTCCCACTCCGGCAAGATACTATAATTCACCACCGCATCCGCACCGAGCTCCTTGAGCGTCGCAGCCTTCGCCTCCGACGAGGTAATTGCCAGCACCCGGGCGGCGCAGCAGCGCGCCGTCGCGGTAGTTGAGGGAGACGGCGTGCACGCGGATCAGCACTTCGTGTTGGCCAGGGCTGGGGAGGGATTCGTTTCGAAGCTCGGTCGTCAGCTGGGTTTCTGTGGTAACAATACGAACGGCTTTTATCTGTGTCATGGTGGATGATAATATTGAATCAATAGTAAAGGTTGTTCAGTCGATCGAGGATGTCGGCCAGGCTCGGTTGATGCGGATGAAACGATTGTGTTCACAGAATTGGGTTATATCCTGCAAGGAAATGGCTTTTTATATGAATCCTGGATGGATCGCAGGACCGCCTTATCAATGGTAAGGCATATTAATAATCTTCGTAGACTCTCCTTATACTTAGTAGTATTGATGGACCCTGCAACCAGTGGGGCGTTTCACAATACTAGCGCCCAATTTGTTACCGTACGGGTTCGTACGGGTAAGTAACTCAGGTGGAGCCGTCCACGATCCCTCCGATCTACTACATCTAAAATGAAGCGTTGCTCCTACAATAACCTGTCTCCAACATTCCACAAATCCCTACATACGCATCAATCACCGAAAGATGCATTCCAAGCCATATGTATGTCGCTTTCCACGATGCACCGCAAGCTACCAACGAACGGAGCACCGTCGTCGGCATGAAGCGCACCATCATTCCCAAGGCCAAAGCTTCAAGTGTACGATTTGTGGCCGGGAATTTGGCCGGAGGTAAGCGTGGTTGCAATATCCCCAAGTAATCCTAGATACAATAAGATTTATACGATATCTAGTGACACGCACCGACGACATATGCGAATGACGCACGGAGTGGAAGAACCCGCCCGGGTGAAATTGGCATGTACCGATTGTCGGAATCAGAAGGCTCGATGTCAGGGTGGGCCGCCGTGTAGGAATTGTCTTCGGCGCGGTGTGCCATGTTCTCTGGCGCAGGAGAGTGGAGATGATGGACAGCAGAATGAAGATGACGCACAGCAGAATGAAGATGACGCACAGCAGAATGACCGCTCGACAGACACCCTGTCCGTGGATCAGAGTCAACCCCCGGTGAGCCGCTCCGACAAGGAAAGACATTATATTGGGCTTTATTTTCGGCAATTTCATCCACATTGGCGCTTCGTTCATCAGGCCACGTTCATGCAGTCAGCTGAGGCACCCTTGCTGGTGCAGTCGATGGTGGTGATTGGCTTGTGGTTGAGTAATGAGGACGGTGCGCAGTCGCGAGCGATAGCGTTGCATGAGGTTCTGAGTTCGGCTATTCATCAGCAGAAGGTTTGCTCGCGACTGTTCTGCCAGAGATGGATATCGTACTGACGAAGGTGGTAGGAGATATGGGATGCTTCCGAGTCCGACGACGCAGGCTGGTTCTGTTCCTGGCCGATCCCGACATACCAGGCTATCTTGCTCCATATCATCTTTGCTATTTTGTGTAAAGACCGTGGGGCGCTGGGCCTCGATCTAAGGCCGTGTTTATCCCCCGCGGATGCCGATCTGCTTCGTAGACTCGTCGTGAGTTGCAAGAAGCTGGGAATGCTCTATTATCCCAACATGCTGGCGCGCTACGGCCAGACTGATCCTGCTCCTTATGTCTGGGTCTGTATCGAGGAAGTGAAACGCTTTAACATTGCTCTATATAGAGTCTGCCGGGCATGCGGTGACACGGATGATAGAGATGTACTAGCTACAGCCACGGCATCGAACAGGGGTCTTCGAGCACAGGATTTACGATTTCCCTTACCGAAGAGTCCTCGGTTGTGGCACGCCATGAGCAAAGAGGAATGGGTATCTGCTATGGCAGAGGGGGTACCCTGTCACGACTTAGATGATACTTTGGAACGTGAATGGATCTCCAATTCAGCACATGTTTTGGAGGCCTTGGATGCGGCTTGATGTCTCTTCAGCGGCGGGGTTGCTGCCTTGGTCGACTCGGAAATCACTAATCTCCCCCATCTCGAGGGTATCCCGAATGTTCCTTACAAGTGGCTTAGTAAAAGCTTCTGTACGGTATTTAACTACAGGATGTTGGTTCGGAGAGCCCACATCCATCGGAGAGCCCATCGGAGAGCCCATCGGGGAGCCCATCGGGGAGCCCATCGGGGAGCCCACGCCGGATTATTCCATGTTATAGCAGTCGAAGTGAGGTCAATTAGTAAGTTAACGATTACATTATGTCATTTCACAAATCCTAAAACCCCTAACTGCGTCGAGTGTAAGCTAATTTTGGTCAGTGGCCATAGTACGGCTACTATAAATCCATCGGTGCCGCTCTCGATTGCAGTATATTCCTTCTCTTGCATTCGTTATACTCATTTGATCAAGCGAGGTGTCTCTCATCCTACCTTCCTATCATGGCTCCCTCCGTTCTTGTTGCCGGTGCCACTGGCAACACCGGTCGAAGTGTTGTCCAAACCCTCTCGGCAATGCTCGCCACGAGCGATGTCTTACTCAATCACCGGATCATCGCGCTCACCCGGTCTCTCAACAGCCCAGCCGCACAGCAGCTCGCCACCCTGCCTGGTGTGGACGTCGTCGAGAAAAACTGGGTGGACATCACTCCTGCCTGGCTCCGGGAGCATGAAGTCGTCCGAGCATTTATTGCACCACACAACAAGCCCAACCAATTTGCCGAAGAATCCACCTTCCATGTTGCCGCCCTGCAAGCTGGTGTCCAATATGTGGTCCGAATCTCGACCACCGCCGCGAATGTCAGCCCCAGCTCTACCGCCTACTACCCCCGTTCGCACTGGGCCATCGAGAGTCTTCTCAGCTCGCCGGAATTCACGAATCTGCACTGGACCTCGCTCCAGCCCAACGGCTTTTCCGCATTTTTCCTCGCTCCCGCTGCCGCCTTCATCCAAGAGTACCGCAAGACCGGAAAACAGGGCACGTTGAAACTCCTCGCATCCGAAGACGCTCCCGTGGCTGTCATCGACGCCGACGAGGTCGGCATCTTTGCTGCCCACCTTCTGTCTCAGCCCAACATTTCAGTGCATAACGGGGCCAAGTATGTTCTCAATGGCCCGGAGGACATTACAGGGAAACAGATCGTGAACCTGGTGGAGCAATATATCGGGGTTCCGGTTGAAAACGTGAGTTACAAAGACATGTCAGACCTCGACGCATACCTCGAGGCTGCGTACATGGGCGATGGACAATCGAGAAACGTCATTTGGAGTATCAAACATGCTCCCGAGACCACGTGGGAGGGGAAATGTACGGCTTCGACGACTAGCAAGGAGGTGTTGGAGATCGCGCCGCCACAGTCTACCCCGGCTCAGGTGTTGCAGAGGTTACTGCAGTATTAAAGGTTACTGGACAATAGTCTACTCGACTGACTCGGCTACATTTGGTTTATACTCTTCTCTGAGTAAGGGTAAGGGTTAGATAGTTTTATATAGAGATTAAATTGAACTCATTTCTTCTTTTCTTGTCTTCTCTTGAGAAAGACCACTAGTAAGTCCACCTGGCCTATACTAGGTTAATATAAGCTAGTCTTATCACTACCACCTCCACCCAAACAAGCTCCTCAATCCCAATACCCCCCTTAGCCCACCATGCCGAGAGAATCCAAAAGACATGCATTGCATGCTTTAAAGAACTCCGCAGGCGCTATTGAGTACCAGTTTAACAAGTAATGAGGGCTATTTCCATGACAGGCCGTCTCATGACATCAAATTCTCCCCATCGACCGAATTGCAAACGATGTCGATGAATGGATGCGTTCTACATTGAAAAGTTGATCGGGTTCTTTGTTGTATACTGTATACTTTAGTAGTAGTATCTATACCTCTTGGTATTATGTTCTGATCAGGCTAAAGCGTCAGAAACCCGATTTCTGTATTGTGGGATGGGAATGGGAAGAGGTGACTTACGACTTAATTGGCACGGTCTTGCGGATTGTGATGTGATGCTTGAGTGACTGGGATACTGATTACGGTGGGTTGTGACCTGTGCGGTGGGTTATTTAGTTCAGTGATATATAATGGGTGATAGATGTGGCTACCTGAGCGGATGTATCCTATCGATATCATACCTTCCAACTCTACACCTGGAGGCAGGCGTCATATGTAGTTTGGTTGCTGAACTGGTCCGTCGAATATGGAGCACTGCAGTGTTGTAATAGGTCTCAACGCTTCTTGTCTGCAGTGAAGAGAACAAGACGGTCATCAAGGATCTGGAATACTTATTTGGAAGCACGTGGTATAGACCAGCGTAAGAGGATCGTGTTGCCTGATGTCTTTCCAGACGCATGTGGGTATGAGAATGCAGATTGGCCTCCCATACCCTAACTGATATATTGAATTAGTTCAATTCCAAAGGAACCGTTTAAACGCATCCTGTAGTGTGTCGTCATTGTCAAGGGCACCGAGTAGTGGTATGCTGTAGGTAAGACATATTATCATGCCTGATCGTACATCCATGACTGGATAGGGTATGAAGGGATCCCCTAACTATGAGGAGATCTAAGGGTATAGCCGAGAACATGTTACGCGGATTGAAGGTTGCTCGAGCCCGCAGGTGCACTGCCGGGATGCTTCTTCGGACATTGTAGCATTCGTTTCGATGACTTCACATTGGAACCAGGGTAGGTCGAGCAGAGGCTTACGCTGGTTAATCGAATGTGTGAAATTTCATCATACGCTGTTCCTGGGCACAGGACGTGTCTTTAGTACTGGATATAGCTTGGCAATTGTCTCTAGGATACATTTCGTATAAGCAGGTGTATGTTTGTAATGATGGAAGGAAAAAGGTACGTACAGTCCGTCCTTTGCATGTCAGACTGGAGGGTTCTGTATGATTGTTGAACGTCGCCGATGACGTGCTCAAAGGTGAAGGGACGTGGAGTGTTGCTTGTGAAGGCCAAGATGTCCTAAACCGCTCTACGTTAGCTTTCAGTATCAATCGGTTACTGAAGTGATTAGACAAACCTAAGTTTTACCCTAGAATTCACTACCTCTTCCTCCGGGGGGTGAATAGATGCCATGATAATTTGATCACCAAGGATATTCAACAGGTCGAGGTGGCTAGGTACCCTGAATCCAGATCTGTGTTGGTACCACTTCGTTCCGACTCTCCTTGTGGATGCTGGGACATAGGTGATTGATTCATCGTCAGGAATGCAAGATTGGAAGCTCAGCTTGATGATCTTCCATCGCAGTTGGTGCAAATATAATGATCAGATCTAGTACCGGTGGAGAAGGTGGACAGTATATATAGTGGGATGATTCAAGTAGGAGTAAATGAAGACGTGGAACTAGGAACGAGGGAATGTCTACATTGCTTGGGCGGTGGGTATCCGGCAAGCTTGTAGAGAAGAGAGATGTGGGGAAGATGTATGGTGCTTGATAGACGATATAGCTAACATGGTGAAGATGGAAAGAGAGAGATGAGCGATGTAAAAGGGAGGGGATGTAGCCTGCTTTTATAGCAGCTTTCACGGGACTTGTGTCAAGGGATCTTGGGCTACTGGCAGTTGAATAGGCTCTGGCCAGCGTTGCACGAATATGGCCTGACTGAGGGACAGTGACACCGTTAGGTGGCAGGGTGCAATGGTGTAGCATCTGCTCCGGCCAATGGCGTGAGCACAGATCGGGAATAGAATAGATCTGAAGAGCATCGAATCGAGATCACCCTACCGTTGGATTGATCGATCAGATGGCAACTTACTAACAATTATGTGCATATACAGTCTTATCTATCTTGAACATGGTATGATTGATAAATTACTCATCACAGTACACCACCTACTTTTCCATTCCACACCCGTCAATTACCGCGACAAAGCAATATCATCAATTCTCATGATCATCTTCACCGTCTCCGCAGCGAGCTCAATCGCGCTGGTGCTGACCAAGAGCGGCTGCAAGATGTTCTCCTCGGTGATGTCGTCCTTCACACCGCCGCTGCGAATGCTGACACCGGCGTTGTGCTGGCCCTGGGCGTGGCGGTGGCGCAGCTCAGTGACAACCTTGATCGAGTTCAGACCAGCGTTCTCCGCCAGCGTGGTGGGAATGACCTCCATAGCATCGGCAAACGCCTTCCAGCAGATAGCCTCGGTGCCGGTGAGCTGACGGGCGCGCATGGCCAGGGCATGGGCAATCTCAATTTCGGGAGCACCACCACCGGCGATGAGGGCGCGCTTCTTCACCAGACAACGGATGACACAGAGGGCATCGTGCAGGGAACGTTCCGCCTCGTCCAGGATGAGGTTGTTGGCGCCACGGGCGACGATCGACACGGTCTGGTTGCTGGCAACAGCGGGGGTCTTAATTCCGGTGACCTTCACGTAGCGAGCGCCGGACTGCTGGACTTCCTCCACGAGGTCTGCGGTACCCAGCTTGTCCTCGGTGAAAGAGTCAATGTTGGCAACAGGCTTGCAACCCAGACTCTTGCACAGGAACTCGACCTCATCGCGCTCGATGTCCTTGATGGCCAGGATCTTGAGACGAGAAAGGAAGTGGAGGGACAGGTCGTTGACGGCATCACGGAGGATCGACTTCTGGATGAGGAGGACATTGCACTTCGTCTTCTGGATCTTCTTGACCATGTTGAGGAGGTATTGGCGCTCTTCTTTGAGGATCTTGTCCATCTGGCGGTAGTCGTTCACCACGATCTGGTTCTCCATCTGTAGCGTCACTGTTAGCACCCCATATCCGCGCTGAAGGAGTCCAGAAGCGTACGTCAGGCTTAGGGGGACTGAGCTGGAACTGAATCAGACCTATCCGGGCCTTCTCAATTCTGGTCGGACCGCCGCTGCTCTTGATAACCTGCTGGTTCAACACCAAGCCATCGACCATCTCACTGTCTTCAATCGTTCCGCCAACCTTCTTCACTATACGGATGTTCCGGAGATCGACATTCTCGGCGGTCTTGGGGTCGACAACCTTCAACACGGAATCCACGGCCATCGGACCGAGGAGGCTGGAGTGCTGCGACACGATTTTCGAGGAAAGGGAGGTGGAGGCCGCCTGCAGGAGGGTGGAGCGGTCCGTCAGGTTGATCGGGCGAGACATGTTGTGGAGGATTTCGACGGCGGCGGCGGCGGCCCTCTGGAAGGACTCCGAGATGACGGTGGGATGGATACCCTTGGTGAGCAGTCGCTCCGCAGCACCGAGCAGACTTCCGGCAATAACGACGACCGACGTGGTACCATCACCGGCCTCGACATCCTGAGCCGCACTCAGGTCGACCAGCATCCTAGCCGCGGGGTGCATGACGCTCATATCCCTCAACATGGTGTTTCCATCGTTGGTCTGCGGGGGTTAGCGGGGTGTAGGTGAACGGAGTGAGGTAATCGTACGATGATGGTGTTTCCCTTGGGCGTTTGGATCTATGCTATGTTAGCCACCGGCTCTGATGATTAGTCGATGCTCTTCCTACCATCTTGTCCATACCCCTGGGTCCCAACGACTGCATAGTGGGTTAGCCCCTCATTGATCATATCGATATGGAAACAAGCGTACTGTTCTGATGGCGTCGGCGACGGCTGGTGGGCAATTAGCATATAACCTCAAACGCTCCGTGCATCAAACATACCTCTAGCAGCCAAGATGTTGGCCGTACGCACCGCCATGGGCTTCTCCTTGTCCTGCTGTCTATCAGAAAACGGCCCACACGCATTTCGCTCCGCAACAACGCACCTTGAAGGCATTGTTGCCGACGGCCCCCTGGGGAGCTGTTGTCGCCATGATGAAGATAACTACGATAGGACACCGTAGATGGATGAAGCCGGGGAGAATAAAGCAAGGTGGGTGGGCGAGGGGGATCCAGAACCTGGAGGCGGCTCTGGGAATTTCTTCGGTGTTGCGTTTTGGGCGGTGTTGCTGCTGGGCTTGGCGGCCACTAGCGTCAACAGCTCGAACCGCATCAAGCTGAGCTCACCACATCACTCTTCCATCGTCAAGCTCCATCACCCCCACGCCTGTGCTGCTCTACAACCACTGTCTCATCCCTTCATTCCCTCCTAACGAATATATCTTTTCTATTTGATTTCATCCCGTCCTCCTTCCTGCCGTCTTGCCACATCCCCTTCCGTCACCATGCCTAGCGCCACGGGAGCGAACTGGGAGAAGTACAAGAAGAACTTCGCCGATGATGAAGAGCCAGAGAAGAAGATCACCCCCCTCACCGATGAGTAGGTGTCCTGGGTGTTTATTGGCGTGGACGATGGATGGTCCACTGGATGGCTAACTCGAACAGGGACATCCAAGTACTAAAGACCTACGGCGCCGCTCCCTACGCCACGGCATTAAAGAAGCTCGAAAAGCAGATCAAGGAGAGACAAGCGAGTGTAAACGAGAAGATTGGCGTCAAGGTACTAGGTTCGTCGCGTGCGTCACGATCCGGCTGACTGGCTGCTTAGGAATCCGATACCGGTCTTGCGCCTCCACACCTTTGGGATGTTGCTGCGGATCGGCAACGCATGGCCGAGGAGCAACCGCTGCAGGTCGCCCGTTGCACAAAGATCATCCAAGATGAGAAGGATTCAGAGAAGAGCAAATATGTCATCAACGTTAAACAGATCGCCAAATTCGTGGTGAATCTAGGGGAGCGCGTGAGTCCTACGGATATCGAGGAAGGCATGAGAGTCGGGTATGTCCGGTTGCTTTGTTATGTCGCGATTACGCTAACAGATTGCAGTGTCGACCGGAATAAGTATCAGATTATGCTCCCTCTCCCTCCCAAGATCGACCCCAGTGTGACGATGATGACCGTGGAGGACAAGCCCGATGTGACGTATGGTGACGTCGGAGGATGCAAGGAACAGATTGAGAAGCTGCGTGAAGTCGTCGAGATGCCATTGCTGTCACCAGAGCGCTTTGTCAACCTTGGTATCGACCCACCGAAGGGTGCACTGCTCTACGGACCTCCCGGTACGGGTAAGACGCTTTGTGCACGAGCCGTGGCCAACCGAACGGATGCCACGTTTATCCGTGTCATTGGTAGCGAGCTGGTGCAGAAATATGTTGGTGAGGGTGCCCGGATGGTCCGCGAGCTGTTCGAGATGGCCCGAACCAAGAAGGCGTGCATTATCTTCTTCGACGAAATCGACGCGGTCGGCGGTGCTCGTTTCGACGACGGAGCGGGTGGTGATAACGAGGTTCAGCGTACAATGCTGGAGTTGATTACGCAGCTGGATGGTTTCGACGCCCGTGGTAACATCAAGGTCATGTTCGCCACCAACCGACCGTCCACTCTGGACCCTGCCCTGATGCGTCCCGGTCGTATCGACCGTAAGATCGAGTTCTCGCTTCCGGATGTTGAAGGCCGTGCCAACATTCTCCGGATCCACGCCAAGAGCATGTCGGTGGAGCGTGACATCCGATGGGAGCTGATTTCTCGACTGTGCCCGAACGCTACGGGAGCGGAGCTCCGCAGTGTTGCGACAGAGGCGGGCATGTTTGCCATTCGGGCGCGGCGGAAGGTGGCCACGGAGAAGGATTTCTTGGCCGCGGTGGACAAGGTGATCAAGGGCAACCTGAAGTTCAACTCGACCGCCACGTACATGCAGTACAACTAGACGCGGTCGCCAATCGGTGATTGTATGGCTAAATGGATGTATATGATCAACTTGACATGGAACTTCAGTCTACGATTGGGTCTATAATAGGATTCTGCGGTTATACATGATAGTAATGCTTGTCACACGACATGGAGCTTGTAAGGTGCAAGCCTACCTGCATCCGCAAGGGAGGAGGCGTACCCGGCATCTTCGGATCCGTCAGCCACCACGGTCAATGGCACCAAGATGTCAGATCGAGGCATATCCGGGGCCCCTCCAGAGAAACCCTGAGGTGCTAAACCAAGCCGATCACCCCCCGTAAGCCCCCAGCAACGCCCGTCCCCAGGCCGGCCGTGTTGCTCCGGAATTCTTCGCGCTCAGCCGGGTTAAAAGAACACCGGCCACGTGCCTCCACAGCCGCGGCCAATGACAGGCTGCCAGCTGCCCGAGGTGATTACCACTCCGCGCGCGCTGATTGGTGCTTTCGGCCCCGGCCCTCCCCGTCGGCAAGTGAGAGGGTGATTATGTCAGCCATTCTTCGCTCTCTTCGCCAGAACCGACGATCCAAAAGTGCAGCTCGCAAGCACCACCGGCCTTGACCTCGCCTCTCCTCTCCCCGTCCTTGTGTGCTGGTATCCCGCTTTTACCACCTCTCCCCTCCACTGGACTCATTAGAGAAGTGTTTCTTTTCTCTTGATCCGTCATCATGAGCTCCCTGGGCTTGCGGAGCCTAGCTCCCGCATCGAAGGTCAGTATCCGACGTCCTGTCCGTGATGCCGAAATCTGGCTCGCGCTGCCCCTCTCCTTTCGAGGACCATACTGACTTGTTATGTTGCGCAGATTTCCCGCGCTTTGGGCCAGAGACGTCTCTTCTCCTCTTCCCGCCCGGCTGGTACGCATTGGACTCGCAACGTGCCCCTTGTCGCCTCTGCTAACTCGTCCCTCCGCTAGCCCGGATATTTGGCAACGGCCCTCTGCGCGCCAAGGAGGCCGAAGGCTTCATCGCACAGAAGTACCCCATCATTGTAAGCTGCTGCTGGCTTAGTATCGCGGGACGGTTGGCGTCTAATTCAATTGCAGGACCACGAGTACGATGCCGTCGTCGTCGGTGCTGGAGGTGCCGGTCTGCGTGCCGCTTTCGGTCTGGCGGAAGCTGGCTTCAACACTGCCTGTGTTTCCAAGCTTTTCCCCACGAGATCTCACACTGTCGCCGCCCAGGGTGGTATCAACGCCGCTCTTGGCAAGTGAGTCGTCCTTTGTTGAGTCCATTGCGAGTGGCGCTAATCGACTGGTAGCATGCACGAGGATGACTGGAGATGGCACATGTACGACACCGTGAAGGGTTCTGATTGGCTCGGTGACCAGGATGCCATTCACTACATGACCAGAGAAGCCCCCGCCAGTGTTCGTGAGCTGGAGGGCTACGGTTGCCCCTTCTCCCGTACCGAGGACGGCCGTATCTACCAGCGTGCTTTCGGTGGTCAGTCCAAGGAGTACGGCAAGGGTGGCCAGGCCTACCGTTGCTGCGCCGCCGCTGATCGTACCGGCCACGCCCTTCTCCACACCCTGTACGGACAGTCTCTCCGCCACAACACCAACTACTTCATCGAATACTTCGCCCTTGACCTTCTGATGGAGGATGGCGAGTGCCGCGGTATCATTGCCTACAACCAGGAGGACGGTACCCTGCACCGTTTCAAGGCCCACCACACCGTCCTGGCCACCGGTGGTTACGGACGTGCCTACTTCAGCTGCACTTCGGCCCACACCTGCACTGGTGACGGTATGGCCATGGTTGCCCGTGCCGGTCTCCCCAACCAGGATCTGGAGTTCGTCCAGTTCCACCCCACTGGTATCTACGGTGCCGGTTGCCTGATCACCGAGGGTTCCCGTGGTGAGGGAGGTTACCTGCTCAACTCCGAGGGTGAGCGTTTCATGGAGCGTTACGCCCCTACCGCCAAGGATCTGGCCTCCCGTGACGTTGTGTCTCGTTCCATGACCCTGGAAATCCGTGAGGGCCGTGGTGTCGGTCCCGAGAAGGACCACATCTACCTCCAGCTGAGCCACCTGCCCGCTAAGCTCCTCCACGAGCGTCTGCCCGGTATCTCGGAGACCGCCTCCATCTTCGCCGGTGTCGACGTCACCAAGCAGCCCATCCCCGTCCTGCCCACCGTCCACTACAACATGGGTGGTATCCCCACCAAGTACACCGGTGAGGTCCTGACCCAGGATGAGAACGGCAACGACAAGGTTGTCCCTGGTCTGTACGCTTGCGGTGAGGCCGCCTGTGTGTCCGTCCACGGTGCCAACCGTCTGGGTGCCAACTCCCTTCTGGATCTGGTTGTCTTCGGCCGTGCCGTCTCCCACCGTGTCCGTGACATTGCCACCCCCGGCAAGCCCCACAAGGAGCTGAGCTCCGACGCTGGTGCCCAGTCGATTGCCGACCTGGACTTCGTCCGTACCGCCGATGGTCCCAAGTCGACCAACGAGATCCGCAGCGCCATGCAGAAGGCCATGCAGACGGATGTCAGCGTTTTCCGTACCCAGGAGAGTTTGGATGAGGGTGTTGAGAAGGTCACCGCCATCGACGGTCTGTTCGACCAGGTCGGTACCAAGGACCGCAGCATGATCTGGAACTCGGATCTTGTTGAGACCCTGGAGCTTCGTAACCTGTTGACCTGCGCGTATGTATCCCTTGCGAGATTTGATGTGGACGTTGGCTAACTGCAGTAGTTCCCAAACCGCCATTGCCGCCGCCAACCGCAAGGAGTCCCGTGGTGCTCACGCCCGCGAGGACTACCCCGAGCGTGACGACGAGAACTGGATGAAGCACACGCTCACCTGGCAGAAGAAGCCCCACGGCAAGGTCGAGCTGGGCTACCGTGCCGTTGAGCACAACACCCTGGACGAGGCTGAGTGCAAGTCGGTGCCGCCCTTCAAGCGTGTGTACTAGACGCGATGCATGGTGAGGGGAAAAGAGCGTGACGAAAATTCGACCGTGTTTATTTGTGTTCATATGTGTATATCCAGGTTTCTTTCCCGGCGATGAGTTTGGTGTACTCACGTGTATTTCTTTATAGCCGTTACATCCCATACAATGGAGTTTTTGTGTTGTTGACCATGTGATTTCGGACATAGCTTTCTGCATTCGATGAGGCCTTCAAAGGATGGTGTGTGAGGATTGAGTCTTTGAACTCGGGCCGTGCACAAAGAAAATCACGTCCCGATGGGGACTCGATACTCGAAATGATTCATGTTGACCATAGAGGTTTACCGATTATCTAACAATAGATTTGGAGTGGTACCTGTGCGACGTGTGGAGACACTGACGACTCCTCGATGGGGGGGGGTTATAAAGACGAACGCATGAGATTCGCCACATGGAAGGATCGGGGTGGTTGTCTGGGACGCTTGACTATTCCAGTTAGGGCTTCTGGCTACCCATTGCGGGATGACAGACAAAGAATACACATGGTGGCTTCACTCATGGAGGGTGATATTCACAGAATGGTGCTGCCTTTCTCGTTGATTATCCACCTCGCTCGCTTTTATGAATACATTCGTTGAATGCACTGGTTTGATTCCGTTGCAAACCATCTGCATCTTGCCATGGCCCGGCTCTCCGTCCGCCAGAATGGGTCCTGCCCGGCCAACACGCTGTGGTATGTCTGTTCGACGGGCGGTTATACTGGTTGCTGCTCGGTCGATCCGTGTACGACCGGGGTGTGTCCAGATAGCAGCGGTGACGGTGGCAGCGACAGTAGCAGTAGCAGCAGTAGCAGCAGCAGCAGCTCTACCGTCGCTGTCATGGTCACCACGAAGGATGACCCATCCGTGACGACCGTGGTCCAAGAGCCTGTCGCTACCACCAGCACTACCAGGCCCATCTCCACATCCTCCCTCCCATCCACATCAGAGGCCAGCAAGACTACATCAAGTGTGCTGGAGACGACAACCTCGAGCAGGCATACGACTACTTCCCCAACCATCAGTCCTACCACGACCCTATCTACAACCTCCTCTACCCAAGCTCCTTTGACCACACAAATGACCTCCACCACCCCCGTCCCTACAACAACATCCTCATCAAAACCCACACCCGCCATCACCGGTGCCCTCATAGCAGGTATCGTCGGCGGCGCCTTCGCCCTACTCCTCCTCATCACCTTGATCCTCTACTCCATCCACCGCTCGCGAAAGCGACGAGAGAAGCGAACGTTTACCTTGCTGCGCTGGCGGAGTGGCTTTGACAGTAAGCCCAAGTCACCAGTTGCCCGGACCGGTACACCCCCATCAGTTTCACTCCACTCCTACAAGAATGAACCAACTGACCCTGTCCAGGAAACTCCTCGCCTTCACCCTCACCTCCATCAGCACCCACCCCTATAACAAGAACAACAACATCATCAACCATCACAACAAGCCCGTCGCTCCATCCCGCTCCTCTATCGATCCACACCCACCAGACCCTCCCTTCCAACCACAACCACAACCATCCCTCCATCTACACCTACAAGCACAATCAGGGTTACACCCCAAACACACCCACCCCCTCCACCACCATCTCCATCTCCACAATAACCCCATTTCAAACCCCAACCCGAACCCCCCACCGACCATCCACATCCATCTCCACGACCACCCCCCGATCCCTCTTCCCCTCCCCATCCCTACCCAACACCCCCAACACCAACACCAACACCAACACCAACATCAAGACCAGACTCCTCCCCCGCCCCCCCAAATCCCCCAACCGAAACCCTGCTGCCACCGCCGCCGAACTCAGCGACACCGGTTTCTACCGCCAACGCGCCGAACTTCCCGCCGAGTCCTCGCGAGAGTTAATCAATATCCCAGTGGAACGACGACATCGATTCTACGGGAGGGGCGTTGAGCATGAATATGAGTATGGATATGAATATGGAAATGGGGAAAGGGATAGGGATGGGATATATCAAACCCGAACCGGGGCCTCCGATCCAATCGTCACGAAAGATGGGGCGGTGTTGGCGGCGACGATTGATCGGGTGGAGGATCCGTTTTTGGGGGATGGGATTGGTCATGATAGAAGGGATGGGATGGGGAGGGTGGAAGTTAATCTGAAGAAAGAGAAGAGGGAAAGTGAGGACAAGGATGAAAGAGGAGAAAGAGAACGGAATTCTATCCCCCCGGTCTACCGGGATGAATGGCGGGGGGAGTTTCTGGGTGGTGGGGGGAGAGTTGATGAGGATAAAGATAAACTATAGGATTTGTGTATGTAGTAGTATATTTTCTTGATTATTTTCATATTATTAATGTGTGTATATTTGCTGTCTATCTAGTACTATGTGTTGTTTACCTTGTGAACTGATGGACTTTTCAGAGTGCGGATATATATATTGTAGGACGGGTGGAAGGGCGTGGTCTCTAGGAACAGTCAAGTGCATCAAATTGGTGATAGTAGTACTAGTATTTAATGATTGAATGATTTGATCTGATAATGTTTACTATTTAGATACCGGCCCAGATCACTATTTATGTAGGAGAGAAGAGTAGTTGTTACCCGTACGAGGGGAGTATCTGTAGACACTACTATACTAGCATGGCCAAAACATCATGAAGTACTCCCGTATATACCACCATCTATGTCCTCTAACTCTATAAAATATATAGAATGAATCACACCTCCACCACCGTCCAAGTCACCGTCCATCCCACCTCACCCCCCAACTTCTCCATCACCCTCCGACTCGCCCGATTCTCCATGGCCACATTGGCATGCACCCCTCCCCCCCCAACATCCTCCACTCCCCTCCTCATAACCTCTCTTCCCACGAACCCCGCCAATCCCAACCCCCTCACTTCCTCTTCCACATGCAACGTAGCCAAACTCCCATCCGTACCTAGAAACGCCCACGCAACTGGCTTCCCCTCCCCAATAGAATGAACAGGTGTATCACGATAAACCGCACAACTCCTCAACCTCGCCAACGTCTCCTCCGACCGCGGAATGGCCGTCCGAGCCCTCACAAGACCCAGATCCTCCCTCCTTACATTCCCATCTCCGAAGTGGAAACCACTTATCGCCTCATTCTCCGCGTATATCCTCTCTTCTGGGAAAAGGTACTTGACGTAGGGGGCGCGATCGTAGCGATGGATCTTAATCCCGTCGATGAAGTCGGTTTCTAGGTCCGCGGTAGCATACTCGATCTTTTCGCGGAGGAGGGATGAAAAGACCCCTGTGTGCAGATTCCCGATCAGAAATGCTGTCGGGGGAGGGGGCGCGAGTTGGTGGTCATTTTTCGGTGGGGGAGGGGGGAAGGTGGAGAGGTAGGGTGGGAGGTGATGGGTTTTGATGTATTTTAGGAGGGAGAGGAGTTGGGTGCGGAGGGGGAGGAGATTCTTGGTTGTGGATGGGGGAAGGGTGGATATGGGGATGGTGGGGTTGGTGATGTTGGTGTTGGTAATGGTGGTGATGGTGGTGGGATGAAGTGAGGCGCGCTCTAGACTCGAGTACAGCACGATTTGGGTCTCCCGGCCTGCGGAGAGGTCGACGTAGGCTAGTAGCCAGGGGGATACGTCATATTCGGGGACCCGGGGACTGGGACCGGAACTGGGAGCTGGCGCTGGAGCTGGAGCTAGAGCTGGGTCTGGGTGTGGAACTTGGTCTGATTCTGGAATCTGGACTAGTGCAGGGCGGGTTTCGACCCCTGGAGGAAGAGACGAGGCTGAAGACGAGGCTGCAGGAGCTGGAGCTGGAGCTGGAGCTGGACCCGGGAATGTGGTTAAGATGACGGCGGTGGGGGAGGGATGGGCGATCTCGTGTTGGATGCGACGGAGCAGGGGTAGCGAGTAGGGGAGATGGGATCGCAGCAGGGGGAGAAGCTCCGTTTGGGTACGGGAGGAGCGTGGTGAGGTTTCGTAGATGGGATTGGCATCCTGGTCGGGCATTGTGGCTGGCTGTTTGATCGACCAGTACCTTACTCCGTAACACGTATAGGATTATAAAAATCAGACGGGAAAACTAGTCAAAGACGATGGACCACGTTTATTCTTAGGAGATGGAAAATGTCCGTGACAACGACGATCAGCATTCTTAATTCGAATTGACACTGACGGGAGACTTTAAATCGCCAGATGAGTCACACCACTACCCAATCAACCAACAACTACTACGTACGGAGGATCTAAGGAGTCATATCTGGCCCGTTTGTGATAGAAGCTATCAAGTAGATTTGTCATGTCCGACCAAACAAACTAACTACCCAAACCGTCAACCGCCAGAAAATCCTCCGTCCCGTCGGGGACCCCGACTTCCCCGATGTGGCGGTGCGCTCATTCACCACTTCACTCGTTACAATCCCGACTGACAGTTCTCCGTTCCCCGGCCTGCTAAGCAGCTAAGGTTATTTTTGTCCCCGTCTAGAAACCAACTAACCCCTTAGTGTCTTCCCCGGGCTGCTGCCAAGCGGGCAACCACTGCAGTCAGCACCGTGGCTGGCTGAAGCAGAAATTTCACCTGCTAGGCATTCGGGCAAACCATGTGGGCCTGAAAGGGATTGTCCACCACCGTGATGCACGCTGTTTGGAGGAATAATCTCCTGGTCGCGTTTTTGACAGGTCCCATGCTCTTGGGTCGTCGTCATGCCCGTTTGGGTTAGGGGGAGGGAGCGAGCTTAATTAATTCATGGGGGTCAGTATTGGATTTGGGGGTGATTTGGAATTGTTGCTGGGATTGGCGTGGAGGGATCGACGCGTGTCTTAGATGGGAGGACGGAGTAGTGCAGATGGTGTTCTATATTGTCTGTACGGAGTACCTATGGGGTATGTATCCTATCCAGCTGGTTGGGTATGTGCATCTTGCATAGGGATATACATTGATTACTAAGTATTTAATACATTAACTAACTAGTTAGCAGGGATATGCGACATAAGGAATAAACTTGACAAAGGAAAATTCACATAGGAAATTCATCATCATAACTATCATTACACAATCACCACGGACTCCGAGGTCCAACCATCCAATCCTCCATCGCCAACCACTCACTCCAGCGGGATTCCGCCTCGCGTAGTTCGTCCTCCGCCGGTGCCCGCAGCGGCCGCAAAAACGGTGTCTGCTCGTCCGGCAGAATGTCGTACGCCGCCTTCGTCGACGCCCAGCCGCCGCTTTTCGCCGTAAACAGATAGTTCACCCGTTCCTGCTTGACCATGCTCCCTACTCCCCCCGCCCAATCCTCCCCGAAGAATGCCCCCAATACGCTCGGACTGTCGTGCCCCGTCACAATGAGTCGTCGGATATACGTCCGCAATGACACATGCGCTCCTGTGGACCCCGGTTGCTGGCACGGGAGTCGAATATTGAGGAATGCCGCCAGTGATTGCACGGCTGGCGTGTGTTGCGCGTGCGCGACGAAGAATTGTGTGCAGCCCAGGTAGCGCGGGTACCAGGAATCAAGGAGGTCCGACGTGAAGTCGGCCGGCGGCTCGGGAGTATCTTCCGCGCCTGTGCGCGGAAGCCCCTGGCCCTGAGAAACATATGGTTCGTGGTTGGGCCAGCCCGGCGATGACGGTGTCATGGGAACCGCTAGGGCCGGGCGCTCAGGTCTACCGGGACTGGGTTCAGTGTCCATGTCCAGACAAAGAGGTTCTGCGGAGGGGTTGGCACGGCTTCCAACGAGGGATAGAGTAGGAGATGGAAGAGGAGGACTCACTTGTGTAGGCGAGCGACGCGGCGGAAAATGGATCGTGGAATTCGATGTAGGGAGGAGAGGTTGGCCACGACTCTTTGCCGGAGGGAGGCATGTTCACGTTCATGTTCACAGCCATTGGAAAGGGACATGTGCTGTTTAGAGAGATAGGCCACGATGGTCAGGATGGAGACTGGGGTTTGAGAAGAATGTGAATCCAGGTGCTGAACCACGAGGGCAGGCCCTCCTTATACTCCTGTCCTCCATGCTGGGCAGTCCGAGAAAATTCGGGGATTAGCATTCGGAAATGCAAGGTCCAAGAACGGTGCGAGCAAGCTCACGAGGATCCGCATGGCAGGTGGAGCTGGCGCGCAAACTATTGCTCATGCGAGGATCTGAGGCTATCGCAATGGCTGCTATTGACGGGGATGGGTCAAGCCACAGCATTCCAGCCACAGGTAGCGAGCCACGATCATACTATGATAGGACTAGTGGCATAGTTCGCGATGTGGCGCCGGTGGGGCCGGGTGGCTGTGCAGCCCTACTTTGGCCTAAGGCTGTAAGGCCGAGGGTAGTCTTGCCCGTTTGGGTTACTGCCTCGACGAAAGCCCCAATCGCAGCCGTCTTCATAATTCCCAGCGTTCCCGTTAGTCCGGTGTAGTCGAGCGAGGGACCACCGCAAAGTCGTTTCCATAACCACGACCGTCTTAGTCTTGATTTGATCTTGATGATGGGCGACTAGTTCGTTCTCTTAGCCCTTTTAGTTTCAACTCATTAGGGTATGCGGTTCGCCAAAGGATGTATGGTGTATGGCCAATGGCCATTGTTCGGCGTGGCTCCCTTTGCAATTTGCTACCCGGGAACCTGGACACCCCGATGGCGCTAACCGCAGGATTTGGAATGAGCCTGGCCTCAGGCCTGTTCGCTTCTCCTCCCCCCTCAGCTCGCGAACCCATGGTTTAATCTATCGTTGATTGCGTTTAATGAACGGACCATCGCCAATGAGCGACGGAGACCCGACCGGGTGAGTTTTCCAGTCTCCTATCGCGCCCCGACCTGGCTTGGGTCAAATCCCGCCCGCCAACCAGCTAACCTTGAGCATTGCGGTCTGCCAGGCGACACCGTCACCACTCGATGGAGAATCAATAGTCGACACCGATCTGTGACAGCTCCTCTGGCCTCCCCGCACCTCTACGACGCAATCATGACACATGATTACCTGCTCCCTCCCAATCTCAACACATGGTGCTGGTGTGTGTGCCCCTGGCCCATGCGGGTGATTGTTACACCTCCCCCCAGAGTGGTACAGGCATGCACTCCGTCTTACCCTCATAGTCGTCGTACATATGCAACCCCCCAGGAACTGCAAACGTGGAGGAGATCCGATGCACCTGACTCCCAACATGCAAGGGGAGGGAGGCCTGCCAGCGAGCGAGCGACCGCCTATCGGACACACCGGTGGGTTCGGCGTCGATCAGTCGCGACGACCACTGCCAATGCCCCAGTGTCGAGTTGAGGCCGACGGCGTCCACGCTAGCCCTGGTGCTGCCCGCTGGGTTGCTGCCCGCCTGCTTCAGCCGCGCGATGAACCTACACTGGATCCGGTTTAGAAACGACTGGCGTGCCTGACGGGTGGAGACGACCGAGCCTCGCCGAACCGCTAACTGGGCGCTCACAATCCTCGTACCTGCTTGCTGGGGCGTCCACCCTGGACCTGCGACCTGGACAGACTGGACAGCCATAGGTGGGAGACCCAAGTAGCCCTGGTCGTCAGACGCTAGTCAGACCCGTCCCAGTTTTCCTGATCGGTGTCTCACTAGTCCGTCAGGCTTATGATATGATGAGATCATGACTGCCGCTAAATTCAAATCATTCGGGCGATTAGATCCATCACAGAGGACGTGCCCGCCATGAAGAGATTAAAAAAAATTAAAAATAAAAATTTAGGCCAGCCAAGCCAGCGGTAATCCAGGGTCACCCTGCCATGCGCTGGACTCCCCACCCTCATGATTACGGACCGGGTGGCTGACCTCTCCACCTCCACCACGGCATGCTTCGCTATCTCATGCTATATAACCATCAAGGTTTCTCCCGGACGGAGACACTCGTTCTCCATTCATCACAAAGTCTCTTCGGAACGTGTATCATCGCATTGACCTGTACAACTGATAAAGTGGTCTATCCACCCATCCAATCCACTCTAATACCACTACCACCACCACCACTACCATCTCTACCACCCACCATGCCTTACCGCACCAACTACGAACCTTACGTGAGTTGTCTACTCATTGGTGGTCAACCGCTTGCTAATGCCTTCTAGACCAGTCAGAGCTTCGAGATGAAGCGAGAACTCTCTACTGAGGAAATCCTCTACCCTCTGGGGACACTATACCCCCACGTCGTGGCTCTCCAGCTTCAGACCGACGAATACCCATGGTGCAAGGCCAACAACTACACGGGCTACGACAGCTCCTCCACGGACGAGTACTCGGAGGATTTGTCGGCCAAAACAACCCTACGCAGGAACAGTGGTATGTGCACACGTCCTTTATCTCGCGCCTCAGATTTCAAACCCAACCAGTCTGACCTGTCAGACGGGGTGCATATGAGCCACGCTAACGTCTGCGCAGACTCCACAGCCTGCCGCTTGGTGTCACGAATCCGACGACTGCTCAGCCGCGATGAGCTGAGACGACGCCGTCAAGCCTGAACATCCTTCCTTCTCACCTTCTTTTCTTCGACAATTGTTCTGTTCGTTTTGCATAGCCACTGAGCGATATCCGTCTGGCACGACGGTTTTTTCATTTGTCTATCACCGTCATCACCATCCTTCCAGTATGCTGGATCACTCCTTGAGACATTTCCTTATCTTGTTCATTTCTTATTGTTGTGGTTGTCACCGGTTGCACCAGGGTCATTTCGGGTTGGGTTTAGCGAGGAGTTTCGGGCATTGAAGCAAGGGCGAACCAGGCACGGCCGGTTTCGGTATCCAATGAGTAAATAATTTTAATGAATGAATGCATGTGAACCTCAAGCCTTCCATTTCCATGTCCAATTCCATGAAGCATGAGCCGATCCCTCGTAGGCAAAGAACGACTCCACCGAGTCGGGCATGCGGTCGCGCTCAACGAGGGATGAACCCAATCCTCGAACCCAATCTAATCAGGCCGACCGCCTGATCTGACCTGTTCGCGCGAGTGAAACCAACCCCTGCAGGAGCCGACCACGATGCCCCAATGAGGGCGCCATCCCAGGCCGCAAGCAGCCATCCCCGCATTCCGTGTCATATCAGGTGAGTCGGACCGATCAGATGTACGGCACGAATCATCGGACGGTGTGCAGTAGCCGCAGCTGCAAGTGCTCAGCAGTCAGCATCACTAGTGGCTGCATGCCGATGATCGAGAGGCCCCCTTCATTTCTGTTGTGCAGTTGGAGGATCGCAGGGGAATGGACGTGGCTGTCAGACTGAACGGCTGCTCCCGCGCTGGCCGCGATAGGAGATCATGATGTCAGTCGCTGAACGGGGGTGTCGATCTGAGAGCTCATATTCAGTCACAGGTGCGATTCCTTGGAATCGTCGTGAGGGGTTTACAGTCGTAGCCATGTCCAGAACCCGTGCAGAGCAGAGGCAGCTGGTTCGTCCCTCCGAGGAGTTAGGTGTCGGGGGCCTGCGGGGAAAGACTGTCGATCAATCAGGGGAAATCCGGAGCAGACCAGAGCGGAGGCTCCTTTTTTCGCGCTGCACCTCTTCTGCAGTCTGCTCTGGCGGTCTATCCTACGTCTATGCCAGTGCGCAGAGCGTACCGACTATCTACACCATGCGTCTCTTTTCACTCCTCCTTTTCTACCTCCTCCTGCCCCTAATCGCCGCGAAATTCAGCCCCATCTGCATCCGCGTGCTGGGTGCCCTGACCGGCCGCCCCAATGACTTGTTCACCAAGTTCCAGCGCGAAATCTGTGACCAAGGTTGCCAGCCGACTGTCCCTCACTGGGACCTCTGGACGCGCAACCACACCTTCCTCCCTGCGGTGCGCAGTCTCATGGAGCGCGTTGACAACCCGCGTCAGGAGGCGGCGATGGTGCGGCTGGGCGACGATGTGGCGGACGTGATCAAGCGACAGTGCGGGCCACTGTTGCAAGGCCGTGACATCTGCGCCGACGGAGAGACACTGGCGGCGTTTGGGACGTGCTTCAAGAAAGGGTTTGTGCGGGCGGCATTGACCAACCTGCCAACGTTGCTGCCGTTGGCGTCGGAGCCGGTGTGTCGGGAGCAGTACGAGTGGTTGCAGAAGGATGAGTTATGGGAGGAGATCATCCCGGGAAAGATGCGGGAATACGCGGGGGTGTGTCGGCGATTAGGGGGTGTGATGTCGGTCGAGGAGATGTTTGCAGGATAGATTAGCCGCCATTGTTGTACGGAGTAGAAGCAATAAGCAGAATCCCTCCGAGTCCGCGGAGCCTCCGAAATGCAGCTTATCTCCGCCTCCGCGATGCCCCCATCGGGCAATCCGTCATCCTCTCTCCGCCTTCACGTCATCTCTTCTCTTATTCTTTCCCTGATTCTCTTCTCTCCTCTTCCCCCATCTTCTCCCTTCTCACCTCCTATCACGGCATTGATTCCCGTGCCAACCATCGCCCCGCCATGACCATCGCTTTCCCTGTTTTCTCGTTCTGATGGCATCAGCCACCGTCTCCCGCGCCTTGCGCTCCCTCCCCTCCCAGCTCGCCCGCCCACGTCTTCACCCTCGTGCTCCCCGACCTCTCTTCCAACTCGCCCGCCATGTCCATCCAGGCCGATACCAGCCATTTGTCCCCCCTTCTCCAGCCTCCCTAGGCAAGCCCACCCGAGCTAAGACCTACGATCGCACCCGGAAATGGCTCCGTCGTCTCGTCTACCTCTCACTAGCCACCGGGGTCGTCTACGTCCTGGATACCCAATTCTACGCCGCCTCGCTGACGCGAACGGCTCGCACGTTTAGCCTGGGCCTTCTTGTAGCCCTCGACTACAAGATCAACTTCCGTCCCAACCCACCGCTGGCCAGTTCCATCAACGCCGTGCACACCCGCAATGCGGAGCGGCTGTCCGATCTGTTGCGTCACAATGGCGGCTTGTACTTGAAGATCGGCCAGGCCATCGCCATGCAATCCACCATCCTGCCGCCCGAATTCCAGAAGATGTTCTCGCGCATGTTTGATGATGCGCCTCAAAATGACTGGAAAGATGTCGAAAAGGTCATCCGTGAGGACTTTGGTCGCTCCGTCGAGGAGGTCTTTGGCGTCTCCTTCACCGGCGAGCCCGGCAAGGGAGTCATGGAGCGTGCTGCGCGCGCGAGTGCCAGTGTGGCCCAGGTGCATTGGGCTCGTCTTCCTGATGGCCGCGAGGTGGCCATTAAGATCCAGAAACGGGAGATCGCCCAGCAACTGAAATGGGATCTGTGGGCCTTCAAGTGAGCCTCCCCATCTCCCACCGCATACCAAAGCTAATGAGATCAGAGTCGTGGCCTGGATCTACAGCCGCACCTTCGACATCCCCTTCTACAGTCTCGTCCCCTATGTGTCTGAGCGCCTTTCTCTCGAGACCGACTTTGAAAACGAAGCCGACAACTCGGAGAACATGGCCCGTCTAGTCGCCGGCGAGTCCCGTCTCCGTGGCCGCGTGTACATCCCCAAAGTCCACCGCGAACTTAGCTCCAAGCGCGTCATGACCGCCGAATGGATCGAGGGCGTCCGTCTCTGGGACAAGGACTCCATCACGCGGACCTGGCGCGGTGGCTGGCGCACTGGCACTCCCGGCTGCCACGGCACGCCGCTTGACGCCCCTAACACCGAAGATCCCGTCGCCAAATTTGCCCGCAACCCGCAGCTGATCTCCAAGATCAAGCCCGAGCGCGACCACTGGCGCGGCGGGTACGCCCGTGCTGGTCTCGGGCTCTCCCTCAAAGAAGTCATGACCACTATGGTGGACCTCTTCTCCGCGCAGATGTTCCTCTGGGGTCTCGTCCACTGTGACCCGCATCCAGGCAACATCTTCATCCGTCGCACCCCCTCCGGCCACCCGGAGCTGGTCCTCATCGACCACGGACTCTACATCCACATGGAGCCCGAGTTCCGCCACCAATACGCCCGCTTCTGGAAAGCCCTCCTCACCTTCGACAACACCACTCTCACCTCCATCGTCCGCGGCTGGGGCGTGCAAAACACCGACATCTTCGCCTCGGCCACCCTAATGCGCCCCTACCGCGGCGGCGACCTCTCCACGCACCGCTCCTTCGAGGGCCTCAGCAAATCCGAGCGCGCCACCCGCCACTACGAGATGCAGCAAGCCGCCCGCAAAGCCATCCGCGAAGTCCTCGGCGACGAAGAAAAATGGCCTCGCCCCCTGATCTTCATCGGCCGTAACCTCCGCATCGTCCAAGCCAACAACCAGTTCCTGGGCTCGCCCGTCAACCGCGTCAAAATCACCGGCACCTGGGCATCCCGCGCGCTGGTCGAATCCCCCGACCTCCCAGCAGCCGAGAAACTGCGCAACTTCGCCCGCCACATGCTCTTCCGCGTGGTGCTATTCAGCACGGACCTCTTCTTCTGGTTCACCAAGGTGCGACAGTTCCTGCACCTCGGCGGCGGCATGGAAGATACCATTGAGGCGCAGATGCAGGGCATGGCGAAGGATCTGGGAGTCGAGTTGAGTCAGAATGTGTTTGAGGGATAGGCCCCAACCCCTCTTCACGCTCAGCTCCTCTTCTTTTCTCCACCTGCAAAACGGGCTGTATAAAGCGAATATACTCTCTGTACATGTACTCCCCTCTTGGATATCCCCTACTTTATTTCCTACTATACAAATCAAAATAGATAGTTCCTATACAAAAGACATAAAGGCGCTCTTTATCTAGTTGAATAAGGACGACTTTACAGACTGCACCAAACTCTCCCGCGCCCTGTTGGGCTGACTAGCGGATTGGCTAACTGGTGAGCTTGACTGCGAATACCCAAGTCTGGTAATTCCAATTCGAGGAGAGAGAGAGAGAGAGAGAGAGAGAAACATTGTCCTACGTAAATAAATTGACCTCGAAGAAAGAAAGAAGAACAATCACACAGTGATATATTGGAGTCACGATAATGCTAATCCAACAATCGCCAAGAAGGGAAAAAAAAGAGAAAAGACAAAAGTACTTGGGTATCAGTCACGTATTCACCACACCCCCATTCCATTCCCTCTAAGAAAAAAAAAAAAAAAAGGGCAGAAAAGGCAACGCAAATAACGATGTCTCCAAAACAAACAAGTCCAAGCAAATGAGCAGAACCAAGTGTATAGATCATTCATAGGTAGGCAAGATGACGGATTTAAATACCAAGTTCCTTGAATTGAACACCGAACCAATCATCCAGGTAGAATGGGACAAACCGTCTCACTCATATCCCATGTATCCGACAGGACGCCATTCCTGGCCTGGATATGCGGTGCTCGACATGACGATCTCGGGTTCGCTGGAGCTGTCGCTGCCGTCGTCGGTGTCGGCGTCAGTGGCGGGGACGGGGAGCTCGATGGGGGAGGAGACGAGGGCGCGGGGAGGGGCCGGACGGTGGGGATGAGGGAAAGGGTTCGGTTTGTCGGGGGCTGAAGTTGGATTTGAAAGAGGTTTCTCAGCGGTAGTGGGAGTGGTGGTGGAGGTGGAGGTAGTGACGGGTTTGCGTTGGGGAATGGGAATTGGCGCTGGTGGGTGACAGATGATGGACGTTGCGCATGTCTCGTCTTTGCAGATGGTCTTTGGCTGAGGGCCGGTTGATGTCAATTGCGATGGTTGTGGGCGAGGGGCAGAGGGCGGGGGCGGGGGCGGCAGTTTTGAGTAAATGTAGGTAGGAGGTCCGTCGTGAGGTGGAGATATTGCCGGGGGTGCCGTGGGTGCTGGGATAGGCGATGGGGATGGCGATGAAACTCGTGGCGAGGGGGAGCGGTCTAGCGCTGTGGTGTGGTGCTTCTCGTTGGTGGTCGTAGAATTGTCTAATCCCGCGGATTCCACCCGCGCCTTTTCTCTGGGATAGTCCACATCCTCCTCATGCTCGTCGATATCCCCACCCAGGCCAGGGATGCTCAACTTCCACGGCAACTCCTGATCGCCCACCCGGCTGGTCCGCGGGTTCTGTGCGAATCGCCCGAGCCCAATCGCCGGGTCGGTCTCGTCGGTGTTGGGGAGAGTCGTCTCCTCCGGTCTAGGCGCGGATTCATTGGGACTGCGCGAGCGGAGATGTAGCTCCTGCACGTATGTTCGAGAGGCACTTCGACCGCGCTCAGGGGAGCCATTGTGGGGCATTCGGTTCGGATGGTAGACAGTCTTGGAGCTGGGGGAGAAATAGTCACCGGGAGTCGGGGAGGGGCTGGGGAGGGTCGGGGTGGAGGTATGTGGGAGGACGATGGGCTGGTTCTGGGCCTGGCGGAAGGAATCCGGGGTGGGGATGCGGGGCAGGGCCGTGAGGTTGCTGCTGGCGTTGGGGAGGGCGTGGTCGAGGGAGTAGAAGCGGGTGTGGCCGGACGGGGGATGCACCGGCTGCGACAGCGAGGCCGGCTTGGACGGTTGGATGGGGGTTTCGGGTCTCGACTCGAGTTTGGATCCCCGGGACTTGGGGCGGAGGAAGCCCTGGATGATCCACCGCATCAGTATCTCCCATCACAACCACCATCCACGCGAAACGTAGCACAACTTACCGACAAGCGATTCCGGAGGGTCGGCTTCGATTCGGCGGTGGGACTGCTGGGTCCCAGCGAGATGCGCCGGATGTCCCGGATCTTGTCGCCGTATTTCATCTTCATGGCGGCCAGGCGCGCGTGCGGGGTGGAATCCTGCGATTGGAGATGGGCTCCTGGGGCGATCGGATGGCGACTGGAGGAGACACTACTTCTTCGCGACGGGTCGGCCGGCGGACGACGAGCGAACAGGGTGCGCAACGGGCCTGGATCATCGTCGGGCGCAGCCATGTCCACGTCGGGGGTCCGGAAGGATGGGAGAGAAAGGCTGGACGAGGCGGCGGGCGCTGCGAACACCAGTTTGTCAGTCAGGTCGGCGGTTGGCCGCGGAGGCTGTGAATCACTCACCGTTAAGCGCCAGGAGGAGGGGAGGATCCGCAGCAGCAGGAGCAGCATCGGACGTGCCCAATGACGAGATGGAGGGTTGGACAGACCCCCGCCGGGGTGGAACAAAGACTGCAGGGGGGGAAATATCGTCGCCCCCAGCCAGCATCACCTCCTGCACGCTGCCCGCCGTGGCTGCCCCTAAGCCCGTCGATTGGTCCAAGGAGGGACGCCGGCTTTGTCGCTCTGGAATCTCGTCCGCGTCACGGCCAGGGGTCACACTCACTGGACTCGGGGGACTTGGGGGGCTCACGGGGGCGCCAGTAATCACTAGTTGGATCCGGCTCGTCCCGCTGTCACCGAGTACCTCCTGTTGCTGCTGCTGCTGCTGCTCCTCGTGTTTCTCCGCATGGCGATCGTCCCCGGCGAGGTGCTTTCGACGGCCCGGGGTCGACGCCCGGTCTACAGCTCCCAAGTGAATCGAGGCCCGTCGCGGGGGCTCGTCCGAGTCGGTGGTCGTCTCCAGCTCGGCCACGGGCTCCCCCCCTGGCTGGGGCACTGCCTTGCGCTTCATCCGCCAGACCCGGCGAGCACCGGCCGCGACCGGGAGGCTGCCAAAATGGACGCTATGGCGTTGGTGGCTGGGCTTGCGCCTTGCAGGGACCGGGTCCAGGGCGGCCGCTTGCTGGAGCTCCGCCAGGGGCACCGGGCGACGATAGCCGCGGAATGCCTGGAATCCCTACATACCACCGCATTAGAGGCGATAAAGTCCCAGCAAGCAATCATAGAAACCGAAAAGGAGAACAGGCTAGTCGATCGACATCATGCATGTCACATTCTGAAGCACTGAGATATGTCCAATTACAGCGTGGTATCAAGCAAAAGAACGCAAACAGGAATCACTTCGAGCGTGGCGCTCGCGGTCAGGCCACCCATCATCATCATCGGAAAAGAGAATCAAGAATCTACCTTGTCATTCCCCCCACCCTTCAATTTACTGCGCCCCCGCGCAAAGAACCCCTTGGCTGCCTCGCCCGCGCGGCCCCCCAGGACCCCGGCCGTATGCAGCAGTTCTTTGCCCCGCTGCTCTACTTGCTGCTTGTTCATCATCGCCCCCAACGGCGCCGACGGCCGTCGCACGTGGCCCGACCCCGACGGCGTCAGATCCGCCTTCCCCAGCGCCGCCAGCTTCGGGAATTTGCCCCGCGACACCGGCGCCTTGGGCCCGCTGCTGGTCAGCTTCGTGCTCTTCTCCACCACGTCGTTGTGCTCGGGGTGCGTATGCACCGTGAAGGAGATCCATTGGTTCAGTCCCGTATCGATCGTCCCGAACTTCGCCCGCGTCTCGTTGAAGGCTCGAACACGATCCTCCGACGTCTTCATCCCGAGGATATCCCGGAACCCAAGCAAGGTCGGCTCCACCGTGGCGGGGGCTGTGAGCATGACTCGCGACGCGCGCCGGTCGGAGTCGGCTGAGATGCTCTCGTCTGCGTGCGAGTCCGGAATGGCCTCCGCGTTGTAAACCTCAGGGAGGTGCCCATCGGAAATAATGCTGCGATTGTCCGGAATGGGAGGTACGATGGTCAGCTTCGGCTTCTCCGTGGACGGCGGCTCGCTTTCTTTGCGATCCTCGATGACAGGCTCGGGATTAGGCGTTGGCTCTGCCGGCGGGGTCTCATCCTCGGTGGGAACCGGAAACTGCCCGGGCATCGGTGCAGGAGGCGACTGAACGCCCGGCTCGGGAACAGGTTCCCCTGACGACGAAGATTCCCACGAGAACCGCCGGGTCAGCTTGGGCTTCGAGGTCTGCTGGGAAGGCCCTGAGCCGGCAACTAGAGGGGCCGGTGGTGCGGGCGAATCTTGAGAGGTTGATGAGGAACTGCTGTATTCGGGAGCTGGCTGCTTAATGTCCTGAGAGGTGGAGATGGGGCCCTCAGTCCAGTACCGCTCGTACTCGTCCAGCATACGACTGCTGTCCTGCCGCGGTGCTTCGGGCCGGGGTTCGTCTTCGTAATCAGGATCCTCCGACGGCGTGTTCTCCCGACTCAACGAACGAATGATCTCCTTCCGCAGCCGGTCACTTTCGGTATCCTGCGGCGAGTTTTCCGCACTTGGCGACGGAATGATCACTGGAACCCCATCCCCGGTGGTAATGGTAGGCTCGGCGGCGGGGTTCCCAAGACCAACGCTCAGCGGCGCAGGCAGGTCCTTCCCAGCTTGTGGCAGTTGCACGGTGGCCTTTTGTGAGGTGGGGCGGATATTCTGAGGCGCGTCCGATGGCGTTTCCGTCTCCATTTCGCCGACGGCGGACGGAGGAGTTCCCTCGACGCTCCTGATGACCGGGGTCCTAGAAGGGCTATTGTTTGGACTCGGGAGGCTCAGATCGCGCCGATGGCCAGGCTTGAATACCATGTTTTCGGGGTCTTCTTTGGAGGTCGATATGCTCTCGGGCTCCTCGACAATCGTGGGTGTCTTGGTCTCGCTTGGGTTGCGCTGTGCGATGATCGGGCTGATGACCGACGTGCTATCGCTATTGGACCGAGCAATGCTGTCCACGGTAGTGCTTGGCGTCTCGGGCACATCGAAAGCTTGATGAACCACCGATCGGAAACCTAGAGAAGGGTTGTGCTGTAGTTGATGTTGCTGGGCCTCCGGCTCTACCTGGGCGGTGGCATCGAACCCGAGTGACAGGTCTGGGTTAAAACCAGACAGGCGCTTCATATCGGGCAATTTGATTATAGGAGGGGTATTTCCAGATGCTTCAGCAGTGTAAGAGCCGGGCGTGCTTTCGATATCGGACGGTCGCTCTGCACCAAGGGTCGGGTGGAGAATGCGATCGCCGGTAGGAGCCGCTCCCTGTTGCTCCGCGTGAGAGGTGGACGACATATCCTGGGGCACTGGCTCGGCTGGTGGCGCTGCACCTGGGTTTTCCACGAAATAGCCGGCCTCGGACGCTTGCTGTCTTGCTGCGCTTCCCGCTCTCATACGGTTGTAGATCTCAGCTGGGCGCACAATCGGGACTGTCCGGTTGGTAGGATCGACCGTTATGCGATCACTCGACATGGTACGTTGTGCTCCAGCAGCAGCCGCGTTCAGTGTGCCCACATGATCCATGGATCGCGACCGATCCATTGAGGGGAGGGGCGGACGAGTCACGTCTCTGGTGAACATGCTAAGGATATCTCCGGTGCTTTGGTTCATGCCGGAAGGTTGTGGAAGCGGCGGAGTCTCATCATCATCATACTCGCCATACTCGTCATCGCCCCAGTCGTTCCCATCGTAGGAATACTTTTTGGCCTCAACCCAACGTTTCGTCTTCGCTCGGTTCACATTTGGCTTGAAGGAGAGGGGAGTACCCCCGCGTGGATAAGGAGAGCTTGGGCTGTCAGAGGTGCCCGATGAGCTGTATCCGGGGCAGCGTCAGTGGATGCGGGGTCCTGCAAGAAATATATAGCATGGCTTACAGCTTGTGAAGCTCCGGCTCGTATGGCTGGAACTGGCGCGCCATTGCTCAGGATCCAATGGTTTCGACTGGATCGTAGATATTCACTAGACAGTCGGTGTCAGCGCCCGATCCGCATATCCCATGCCAAGATCTGGACTAGAGGGTGGTAGAAAGTGGGCGTCGAGGCGAAGCGCTGCGAGGTTGAGCGGAAGACGCGGGAGAACGAGAAGGGTGGTTTCACGAGATGACGTGGGAGCAAGGATGGCGATGCCCGCCAAGCCACGGGGCAGCAGCAGCAGCAGCAGCAGCGTGACGTGGAGAAGGTTATAATTAGAAGCGAAGAAGGGATGTGCGGTGTCCGATCACGACGGACGGTGAAGACGAGTCCCGAAATAAAGTGATATCTAGTATGGGGTAGAGAAGTTAATCGCAAGCGGGATAAGATAGGCGGAGAGAATGTTCCCCTGAGTCTCCATCGGCCTCCGATCTAATGCCTTGACCTCTTGTCCGTTTCCGTTTGGCCGCCTGACGCCTGGGGCACCCCGTGGCTGGTGTTGCCCCTGTGGCGAGTGTCTGGAGTGGCTGGAGAGTGCACGTGGCTGGGCCTCCCGCCTTTCCCGTTTCGGACGGAGACGGGTCGCGGACGTCGTCGGCCTCAGCTTCGTCCACTTCATCGCCATCTTCCCTCCGGTGCCTCTGCGGTGTCGACGTTGGTCTCGGATGATATGATTGATATGGCCCTTTTGTAATTCTTTCACCTACTTTGGCCTTCTTGACTCTCCTCTCTTTCCTTCCCTTTGTATACCCATCCAGCGAACGGACACGTCTCCCGTTGTCTCCTTATCGATTAGATCGACTCTGTGATCTCACGTCGCGCATTCGTTCTGCATTCGGCTATCGCCCCTGTACATCTACGACCGTATTGTGACCGACCACCTATCTCATTTCCCCGCTTGACATCATCTACAACCTCCTGCACCATGGCCGGTCCCTCTATTCAAGATCGTACGGGCGAGTTCCAGGCCATTCTGGGACAAGCCCAGAAGCGCATGGCCTCCAACAAAGCTGGGGCCCAGCGCCAGGCACTGTTGTCGGATGCTCAGCGGAAACAAGCCAATGGTTCCGCCGATGGATCGGGTGGCAAGAGACGGTCGGAGTTTGCCAGGCGAGCGGTGGAAATCGGACGAGGCATCACCGCGACGACGGCGAAGTTGCAGCGACTGGCCGAGTGTGAGTATACCTTCGGAGCAGAAAGACGGTGCTGACGGGTCTAGTGGCCAAGCGAAAGACGCTCTTTGACGACCGACCGGTTGAAATTTCCGAGTTGACGTTCGTCATCAAACAAGATCTCGCCTCGTTGAATCAGCAGATTGCCTCGTTGCAAGCGCTCACGCTTTCGCAACATCCGAAGAGCAATCGGCCCAAGGCCGACCAGGAAGGAGAGCATAATGACAATGTACGTGATATCCCCAGGCAGGAAGCGAAGCTAATGGTGTAGGTGGTGGTCATGCTACAAGGGAAATTGGCCGACGTGGGAGCAAACTTCAAAGATGTTCTGGAAGTGCGAACGAAGAACATTCAGGCTTCGCGATCCAGAACCGAAAATTTCGTCTCGTCGGTATCCTCAAAGACACAGTCCGCCCTCGATACACAACGCTCCGATTCGCCGCTGTACAACACCTCCGGACGGAGGACGCCCCAACCGGGCGGTGCGTCAGACCTGCTCACCCTGGAACCCTCGAACCCGTCACCTCTTGGTCGCCCGTCTATACATTCTGACCAGCAACTCTTGGTCATGGAGGAAGCGCAGACGAGCAATGCGTACATCCAAGGACGCGGCGAGGCGATCGACGCGATCGAACGGACCATCAGCGAACTGGGCGGTATCTTTGGGCAGCTGGCCCAGATGGTCAGCGAGCAATCCGAGATGATCCAGCGGATAGATGCCAACACGGAGGATGTGGTGGATAACGTGCAGGGGGCGCATCGCGAGCTACTGAAGTACTGGACGCGGGTATCCGGGAACCGGTGGCTCATCGCCAAGATGTTTGGCGTTCTAATGGTGAGTTGCTACGGGCTACAAAGTGGACTACCAGCTAACTTGACAGATTTTCTTCCTTCTCTGGGTGTTGATATCGGGATAGAAACACCTTCCTTCTACTATAATGTATTAATACTGGTTCGTGTTCGTCCTGCTGCGCTGAACGAATAATGCAACCGTTGCTGTCGCTTAGCCTTGCATTCTTGAGCTACCCCTGGTGGCTAGATCTGTGATGATCTTTTACTATCTACTTATGCTTCGGATGGTCTGATGTGAATAACGGTCATGATTGACTTAGATCAATATACCATTACTATGACATTGCGTATAGCCCGGTGATGTTGCTGTGAATCAAGCATAGTGATTCTTTAATCCCTTCAATTGGCACCATTCCAGGAGAATACCATTCACCTCGTACAGTTATATATGCCGTTCCTCAATTCCTTTTTTCCCTTCTTCTATCCCTCCCTATTCTAAAAACCTTGGGACATTTAGACCCAATGAGCTCTCAAGTCGATACTCAATACAAAATACCCACAGTATCTCGAAAAAGACTAACCGGCCGTACCCAGCTTGTTCACCCATTCTAATATCACGATACGAAGATATCCACCGGATTCCACTACTCCTGACCACAGATAACCCATGATATTTAATAGGTCATATAAACCATGCACTCATTTCCTAATACTAAAGCTCATCTGTACCACCGAGCAGAGACTTCGTCTCCGACATGCCCTCTGGCCATCTAGCATTAGATACAGACGAGGGGAATATATCGGTCCTTCACCGATCCATTAGAATACAACCTCGTTTTCCAAAACAATCTCGCTATCGCTGATCCAGCCGAAATTATTCTCCAGGGCATAGCAAAGACCCAGATTAATTTATACAAAGCACTACCGTGAGAAACAAAACAACGGCCTCCTCCACTACCACGACTGTATATGGATGAACCCGGGGCTTACCTCTTGCTATACATCAAGTTATGCCAAATGGGAGTGGAAATATTCAGGATGTTCCAAGGTTAAAGGAGAGTATGAGATGTACTTCTCACAGTAGCAAGATGCCTTCTCGCATGGATCTTCGGGAGGCAGTTAGCCAGTAAAGGTACTGGTTTCGAGCTGAGTTTGATGCTGACCTGACCTTTAAAAGAAAAAGCATGAACCTGATTACGGTGCAATGGGACAATATTCGAAACCAGTGTTTACAGAACCAATTACAGAGCCCACCGAGCCTGCTACGGCACCAAATCTATGAACGACGGACTCAACAGGCGGAAGACAGTATTCCTCATCAACGCACGGCGTTGATATACAACAACCAACCCGAAACTACCTAGCAGGACTGGTACTGGGAATCCACTCCGAATGGAATAAATCAAGGCATTTACACCCCCGCGATAGACTATATAGGTCTAAAGCGGAGAACATCCCCCGACAAAGTGCCAAGCATACTTTGATGAGCGTGCAGGGGTCTGCTAACATGGTTGGGTTCAGATGACTGTCTATACGCACAGCAAGCCAACTCGTCGCTGAGTATTGTGCTTGCTGCAGGGAGAAGCAAGAAGGGAGGTTTCTCAACGCTATTTCTGAATACCAGGGTTTAAACTCCTTATGCTGCTGCTGCCGCCACAACCAGCCAGCAGGTGACAGAAGTAATTGTTACTCCATGTCCTCTGGACCTGCGCATTACAGGAGATGTATTGAGAAACATATTGTTATTCGCCATGTCGAATCAATCTCATAGGGGACAACGTTGGCCGATGTGCTGTGTGGTTGTTTCTATCTAGGCCAGCTGATAGTCAGACAGACAGTCAGAGTGACATCCTAAATCAAATGACCGAGATATAATTATAGTATTCCTTCCTGTCCGCGAAACATTGGCACCTACTACAGCCCTGAGTTCTAACCGTCTTCAACCGAAACAGGCATGCATCACCACATGAACTGATGTATAGTATAGGAACAGCAGTTGCTAACCTCGATCCATTCGTCCTGCTACAATACATACCGTTGCCTGATGCACGTGGCTGGTCATTGATCTGGTGTTTGTTCTTGCTCCAGCGGACTGTACCCTCGATTTCTTTAACAAACCCGCGCTGTGCGAAACAATGTCCATGTATCGACGTCTTCCCGGCGCAGTGATACAGTTACAAACCTAAGCCGAGTATCTGGGCACGACACTGCGTATAACATTGCGCATGAGTGAAAACCATACCGCGATTCCTCAAATCGGCGGTGAAGTATTGCTCAGGCTACACCACATGTGCTCGCCTTTCTCCAAAGCTGGGAATCAACGCTCTTTTCTGTACATGGTCCTGGTCCTTCATTCATCCTTAAATGTCCTGCAGGTGATTCGATATCCAATTGTCGCCCGATGGGTCGGCTTCCGCCCTGACGCCTTGCTAGCTGTGTTGTCTGGACACTGCGTGGCCTGACCAACGGTACAGCCCACCACATCCGGTCTTGCTGGGCATACATGATGCCATCGCCCATATTCTACACCTGACGGGACGCGGGGAGAAGGCGGATGAATTAAAGCAGGACTATAATGACCTAGCTTGTCTCGCGCCAAGTGGCACCACTGATATCGAGGGGCTACTTGCCCTCTCGACTCTCGGGCCGCTGGAACTGTATACCAATCGTCAAAGACTTGCACCTACTGGGGAGCAGAAGTCTCGGTCTCAAAGCGTTAATATGCGGGCTAGGTTGCCGTCAAACGAGAACGAACGTCCTGCGTGAAGGAGAATCGCGCTACCGGAGAGGGAAAAGCATAGGAGCACCAACTGTTTTTCTAACAAGAGTGATGCGTAAACTTTGCTGTATGGCTAATTAATTCGCACAAGGAGTCTCCAAGAAGTATGATATCGACTAGGAATGCAGTGAGAATTATAGTATCAAAATGCTGGTTTTACTCATACCTTTAGTCTTCCCATCGGTCAGTTCAATGTATCATTGACGCTATCAACGATACACCCATTGTAACACAGCATACAGCAGTAACAATCCGCACAGTAATCTATCCTTTACAACTCACTGCACAATCCACAGTATAGTACCACCATCCATTACCCATAACCTATCCCAATACTATCCTATCCAATCCTCTGCTTCCTCCTCACCCAAACCTCCTTCTCCCCCTCCCCCTTCCCATTCCCATCCCTAACCTCCACCTCCCACACCTTCAACTTATAACTCCCCCGATCCCCCTGTCCGGAAAACAAATCAAACGACCAATCATGTTTCGGACAGGTAATCCCCGCACTCAACACGACCCCGAAATCTTCAATATCGAATAGACTTCCTTGGGAGAGGGGGAATGAGGAATGCGGACATTGCTGTGCGTTATTAGATAGCCATCCACTACAGCTCCTCGTTGATCCATCGCTGAGGGGGATAGAGGAAGGAAGGTATACATACATGATCAATCGCGTGCATCTTACCCTTGTATTTGAATACCAGGACTTGGTCTTTCAGATCCCCCGGGGTATCGATATCTGCTTGTATTGGCTGAGACGGGCCATTGGCATTGGGATTGGTGGTGTTGGGTATCGTGAAGGCTTTGCAGCTCGGCGTGACCCGACAAGAATCGTTATCTGGGGATGGTGGTTGGTGATCTACATCGGGAAAATCGGAGAGGAGGCCGATGCGGTACCAGCCTTTGGGGGATGGGCGTTGGAAGAAGGGGAACATTGTGTCATGCACTAGGGGTAGATACTAGTATCATATTCTTTATGGTGTATTGTGTATCTGGAAGGGTTTGGATGTGGCAAGTCAGATGCGGGCTGCGGGGAGGGATGTGATTGGTTGGGATTGACCATATACCCCGTTTTTCGGGTACTCCGGGCTAGTAGATTGTGGATGGATACGGAGAGTTTAGTTGAAGATTAGATACGGATACAATGGGAGACCATTTTCTGGATTTTTTTTTTTTTTTTTTTTGGTATTTCTTGGCTTAAATGGTTCTTTGATTCCTCTCCAAATTTGTACTATCTCTATCATCCAGTGAACATCTTTCTACTGGATATGGCCTAACATCATTCCCTATGTGGGTATTGTGAGGTTCAGCTCAATGGCTGACCGCACAATCGGTCCCCAAAGAGAAGGAACACATGCATGTTCGGATTGACTATTGTCTCTCGATCTGGCAGATACAATGCCTAATTGCTGGGAAAGTTGTGCCGTTTCATAGACTCGTCTAGTATGCTTTTGGTACGCATGCAGAACAGTGGCATGCTACCAGCTCCAAGCCATGTATAAGCAGATTTCCTTGCTTACCAGTACGTGTGGACTAGAATTTCCCGTATTCAGGGCCTTCGACCGCTGTACAGACCACTAGTATCATTCTTGAGCTAGGGTGAATCTACCATCTCGATTGGGAATCTCTACCCGGCTTTACGTATTTGACTGGGTAAGATTGCATCACTGGAAGAAAGTGTTACCAGCCCATTAGCTGGTAAAAGCCAGTTATGGACAGTGGCGAAGTCTTCGAAGGTCTTCAACCGGTATGTGTCCGGCATATCGGTTGCCATAAAAGAGAAGCGGAAACTACCAAGCTCCGTGTGGAGTGAGTTCAAGAGCATCACGACATTTCTGTGGCTATTGACATCCTCTGACAGGAAATTCAGACGAGCTCTGACGTCCGGAAAATAGCGATAAATGTTCGCCCATATCAGACAGCTTCGATATCGCTCAGCTTCATCTCTATAGGATCCTAGCGTAAATAGAAGGATATGGGCGGCCTCAAGAATACCAACAGCAGCATTTAGCGGATGTGCTTTAGATTTTATGTTATACACGCCAGTGACAACGCAGCAGTTGCCATCTCTGCTTAGATATTCAGATCGGAGACGCTCTTGGGCGTTGCGTAAGATTGACTGGATATCTCTAGAAGTAAGATTCTCTACGGAATCATCAGCTTCTATTTGCTAATCAGCTATTCCATGTAGTGATTTATCACCCAGGGCTTTCATGGGGAACAGCAGGCCTGTCTCGAGACTTTTGACAAGGTATCGCAAGTTCTCATCTGATATGCAGGATAGAACATCTTTAATGAGATTTTGTTAGCCCTGAGAAGGAAGATGTTTGAATGTTGTTTTAAGAAAGGCAGCTGTGTCATCGGTTGGGGAAATTGGGATATATTCATCAAGTCTCTTGTGTAGATTCACTTGAGCTGGGAGGTCTGGTGAGGGACTATCTTTCGTGTCATGGGGAGAAGGAATAATGGTGGCCATTGTGAATGGTCTGGATGTATAATGCTGTAGAGAGATTAAACATGTTGGTACGGCACTGTGAGTCTCAACTCGCTTATTGCTAATGTCGTAAGGATGAGATGGATGAAATCATGATGAATTTTGTCATCATTATTGTCTACACAGGCTAGTAGGCTGGTGACTCACCCATCTGCTTACTCATTGAAGAATATAGGAATCACATGAAATGAATCAACAGCAGGTGAAGATTAGCTCAAGGACGAGCGACTGGGCGAAATGCGGATATACTCGAAAGTGAATATCTAGATACTGAGATAGCCAATCAATTGAATAGGCTTTGTATCTGCCCCAGTTACACGCCAGGCTATGTTTGAAAGAAAGGACAGGCGAGGAGGCTATGGAGATACTTGCATAAGTATAGATCATCACATATGTCCAGGGTAACCACTCGAGTGTCGATGGAATATACGTAGTCTACAGCAACCCAATGACAACCTCTCCCTTGACTCTCGCATCAAGGTTCAGCTGTACCTTCGCGCGCAGGTTAATCCGGACTCGAATTTGCAAGCTTCCCTCCTTTTCCGACGACTTCCAGTTCAAGTCCTCGTCATCGATTCTCATATCCATCCCTCCGGTGGAAATCTCCTTGATGACTTCCTTCGTATGGGGTACCTTTTCGCCAGCATCCTTGGTCAGACCAGAGAGTTCGTCGGTTGGAGCGCTCATCTTGGGTTTGGTATCTTGTGGTGGCTCTTGAGAGTCTTTCTTATCGTCCTCACGCGTCGGGGTCTCTGTTGACTCAGCGGGTGGGTTTGGCGGGCTCTCTTCGGACGGCTTTAATTCTTCTTGTTGGTTCTCCTCGGACGGCTTGGATTGTTCTTGTTGGCCCTCTTCAGTAGGCTTGGATTCTTGTTGGTTTTCTTCAGCTGGCGGGGCCCCTTCCGGCGGACTCTCTTTAGGCCCCTCTTGATCTTCCGGTGGTGGATCCACGGTTCCGGTTGATGCGTTGGAGGGCTTTCGTGATTTGCGCCTCTTGCCGAGCTTGGGTGGTCTGTTTGGGGAGGGAACACTCTCTGTCGGGTTGCTTGGGGTTGCAGGTGGCTCGCTTGTTAAGACATGTCAGTTAGTTCCTACACAATTTGTATAGACATGGGCAATCACCTTGTCATGAATATACGTACCTCGGTATGTCCTCAACACTCTGGTCGCCCATTCTGCAGGATGAGAGAACCTTTTATCCGCGATCCGCCATTCAGTCATTACATATCACCGTGTAATGGTCGCCGGTTCATTGGAGTACTTAAGCATGATGGGTCATGGCCGCTTTCAGCTCGGTTACCTTCCGCTTCCGGCGAAGCTGCACATTATCAAGGAAATGATGGAGTAAATCAAGCAGCCACCACACATGACTCCACGTCGTATTGGCCAGCAGACTGGCATAAATGACGGGTTCCGAAGACGGGTCCTTCCGGACGAACCTAATATATATGAAGTTGCAGCGAACCACAGCGCGTCGATGATCCTTTTATCCAGTTGTCGGTTTGCTTGAACACGCTGCCAATATGGTTTTCTCACTGGTCATGATGTCAACATTGGTGCCCACCATCATTGGGCTCAATGAAGCCACAAAGGGTGCCCGAGACCAAGAGGAGAACCGCCGAACCGAGTCCCGATCCCAACGATGTCATTTGGTCGCCACGTGTGAGGTTTCCGCTGGATCGCAGGTCCAGAGACAGCAGGTTCATAATGCAAAGATATATCTAGACCAAGACTATAAGGTATGTCACACGTTAGTGTTGCTTCTGTCAAATGGATAGGAAATTGACAAGTTAGTTCCATATCACGAAACATCCATCCGCTCGCATGGGCCCATTTACCGGACAATATTATGAGCACCCAGCCTTTGGAGAAGATAATACTGCCGGCCTCATCACCATGAGTCCTGAGAACCCGCCGCTCGCGCGCTGGGTATACCTGGACAAGGAAACCAACGAGGTGAAATATGGCGGTCGCAAAGAGGGCGAGGACAATGTGTGTGGACCATTTGACTGGTCGGAAGATGAACAATATGTCACGCTAGAAGGAAACGAGCGATGGCTGGCTGTGCGACTGCCAGAGGATGCGCGAAAGGAACAGGAGGCTCAGGACCTGGGATTAGACGATGGCAACGACGCGAAAGGTCTCTGGAGACTTTACTTTGATCGCAGTGGGAGCGTGGGACTTCCCGAGGGAGCAGAGACGATGCAGATTCGCCTGAAGCGAGAGCTAGCGGAAGAATAGTCGATAATAGGATTGCAGTCATTGTGATGAACGATGCTTGTTCCCTGGTCATCGGTAGTTGCAAACAGGTGACGTTGCAGCGGGACCGCATTTGGTAACCCGTTAGATATCCCGGTTGAGGCCGCCCGTAGCCACTACCAGACCAGTATTCTGGCACGCTACTTAATTAAGCTTACTTATAGCTTACTGTAGCTGCTGTAGCTGCTATAACTGAATACATTATATCTGCCAGCAGAGATGAACGAATAGCAAATTGGTATCATAACAATCACGACTTTCCCCAGAACCTGCCTCATATGCGACATATCATTAATCGTGAGCATCCCATCATTCTAATCACCGAGTGGGGATAAAATCCTGCGATGCCTTTTCTTGCTCGCTAAACGACTCGCGGAATGCCGCGATCGCAGCAACAATGGCGATGGCGATGAATGCAAGGGAGATGAAAGACCAGATAATACCCCAGCATTGAGAGGAGCCTCCATAGCGCTTGGCGAACTGGCTGGCGTCAGAGGTGTTCACCTTGCGAAGGATCAGGTCATCGCACTGTCAGAACGGTTAGCATGTGGTCCAGGAAAACAAGATAGCAAAACTCACAATATCCCAAACGCTATACAGCGCAGACATAACACCGATAAAGAGCTATCACGAGTCAGTCGACAACCCCCCATCTTATGAAGAAAACATACCACAACCCATTTCAGCGCCTCACCATGCGCAATAAACCAACACGCGACGAGCAGTCCCACCGCCAGAAGAATGGTGACAATCGTCAACCAGTCCCTCCGCGCCCACCACAGCGTGAGCAGGAAGCAAACTCCCAAAACAATACTAGCCACCTTGCTCGCAACAATATCGAACCCGGCGAAAATCAACAGCGATCCGATAATCGACGACCCCAGATATCCCGCCGGCAGAGTAATGGCGCTCATTCCGCCTTGCATATGCGTGACGCCTCCCTCGTGCGGATCCAACGAAATCGATTTCACTCGGCCTCCGGTACAGCAGGCGGTTATGGCATGGCCGAATTCATGGAATGCAATCACCAACATCTGTCGCGATCAGATCATGCCCGAAACCAGTCGTCGCATTACCGAGAGGTTATGGTATATCTCTTACCTTGAACGGCCACAGCGACCAGCGCACATACGGCAGATTCCAAAGCAGCGCAATCACCACCACATATGCGGCCATCACACCCAGGGTCACAGCCTGGGTATGAGTGACGCTGAGATCGCGCTTGAGGAGATGGTGACTAGCCGTATCGACGGCGCGTTGATCGAGGACCATATAATAGGGCGCCATGGTGTATACTTCTACTCGCGTAGACGATAGTTTCTGTCAACACTGGCAGAGCAGCGCCCGTGGCATATTTAAACATCTCACATGAGCGCTGCCTACGCGTTCTACTGCCCAGCCTGTAAATTCCTGCTCGATCGGGTTAGTCCGTGGCTGGGCGTGGGGTATTTTTAGCTCCTTTTACGTGGCGGTGACTAACGCCGCATTCGGTTACAAGACAACGCATGATTGCTGTCAAGGACGGACTTAATGGTCAAGATTAGTCACTACTAGTATATAGTTAGTTATATATATGTAATGTAAGCACTTCTGCTGACATTTTCCGCCATCTCCGATCCCTTGATCTATCCTGCAGACTTAACGCGGGGATTTCACTTTCAGCCTTGTTGGGTACGGATACGTTCCACTTGCCTGATACGATGAAGGATCCACGCTGCTAATCTAAGGCTCCACTTGGCGTTTCACCAGCCTCAATTTTGGAGACTGGACCCGTGGACGGAGTATTTGGGTGGTTTAGATGATAGTTTGCCTCTGGATGTCAAAGGTTCTAGAACGGAGGATTAGTGGTTGGCGTCATATATGAACTTTACAGTATATAGAAGGTTTCTGACTGGATGAACCTGGCATGACTGGGCCTTGTTCTGTACCATGATCGCATTGGATTAAACCTTTTGCTGGAATATTGACTTTAGCTATATCCTATTAGGCAATTCGATGGTGCTTTAGTATATGACTAGCACACATTCCGTCAACAGCTAGATAAGCCTACGAAGCATCGAAAGCGAACATACCATTTCGATCCCTTCTTCATCCTATCCTGCTATCCTCCCCTCAGTACGCATATCCAACTTACTATCCGTACCACCACAGCATACCACCAACCACCTAGTAACCAACTCCCAACTCCCAACTTCAATATATTTTTTCGCTCCCCAAATCAACAACTCCAACCACAACTCACATCAGTGAATACCAAATAGTGAATACCCACATCCAACGCGTCCCCAAGAACACATCCCTATTAGCCAACCACCCAAAGTGGATTTTCGCGATTCTCTACCATCCCTCCTTTCTGAGTATATATTGGCTGGGGAGGTCATATCCGATCCTATCTCAATCTTTACGGGGATGGAAGTGAATTCTATCCCGAATGCGTTGTCTTTAACATATCTCTATTGGTCGGATTCCGAACGTGGGGGTTCGTGACTGCTGGACTGGTTAGGCTCTGGTTTCGCTTTGTCTAGTCATCTAGTTATACAAAGAATGGGGGAGTGCGTACTGGGCGAGGAGCTTGGTGCTGAGAGTAGAATTGTTTTGTGGATCGTTGGTGGTGTTGGTGGGTTGAGACACTGGGGAGATTGGCGGGATGGGCACGATATTTAGAATAAGCTTTGGGCAGTGGGGTGGGGATACTGTAGGTATGTGCGTGTGGATGTAACGGTGGAGTAGGATGTCGAGGATGGCTTAGCAGCCAGCTGGGTGGGGAAAGGGTATGTCCTAGTATTTTGCAGCCTACGGAGTGCATGTTCATACAGATGTTCGGTGCATATTATACGCATATAATAGTAACGCCATGGAAGAATAATTGTATCAATTTAGATACCATAAAAAAGTCATCGTTAGTCCCGAGATCGTAGCAAGCTATAACAACAAACAGAAAATCAACAGAACAATGGGATAAATCAAACAATATCCCCATCCTTCCCCGCTCCATCAGCTCTCCAAACAATCCACCCCAGCGTAATCGCAAACTTCAACCCGAACGCAAACCACAAACTACTCGCCATGGTGGCAACCTTGGACAACCCTCCCGCCGTCATGGCGCCCAGAAACAAGGCCAGCAAGGCCCCGATCCGTCTGTCTCGCTTGGGATTCTTCTTCACCATGAGATCTGGGTCAACCAGCAGATCACATATCAAGGCAGTCAGAACGACGGTAGGAATCTCGTCGTATGCGAGAATCCGCGAGGCGCAGATCTGGCCTCCTGCTTGGAAGGCAAGGAGGGAGATGGTGATGATTTGCATCCACTGGATCGGGGCACGGGGGTCCTCTGGTTTTGGGGACACGACTTGTGCTTCGACGAGGATGGCGGCGGTTAGGAGACAGACTGTCTGGAGGGCGAAGGAGAGGACCATGGTGGAGCGACGGAGAGGGCCGAGCTTGCGGGATGCTTGGATGAAGAGGACGTTGCTGATCATAAAGGTGGCGAGGGATATAAGGGATTTGGCCCAAAGGTAGGCTGGATATCGCGGTTGAGAGGACGCGCCGAGGGCGAGGAAGACGGTGTTGCCTAGATGCTGTTAGTTGGTGTGGACTCTAGGGAGGGGTTAGGGTACCTGTTTGCATGCTGGAGAAGCTCCCCCAGGCGTTGAAGGATAGTCCATCGACCAGTCCACCGACGAAGCCGCAGATGATCAGCATCACGTCGGCATATTTCTTGTCAATATCCTCTTTGAAGTGTTGGATTACTCTTCCAGAGAGGGATTCTGGATTCGCTGAGATGGAGACATTCGTGCTATTGCCGGAAGACCAGACGCCAGTCTTGTCTTCCGCAAACCGGAGATGTCCGGTGGTGGTCCTCGCCGGGATAGATTGAATGTCTTCTGAATTATATGGCTGCATCATGAAAGCAGACAAGAGCAATGAGGATAGGAAAACTGAGGATAGAATGCTCTGGCGAGCCGGACATAATCTATATACTCCGTAGACGCTGCGCTGCATTCATCATGAGCTGCCACGATATCCTCCACGCCAAGATTCTGGATCAGCCATCCCAACCTTATGTCGATGATCTTTGCTCTGAAGAAATGTATGTTTGGCCTGTCCTCTGGTTCGTGGCCACCGCCGAACGAGGCGTTTCAACTTCAGCCCAAGATACACTTCAGACATGCCTCATCCTGGGAAATCGAATTCATCAGGAAAGCAATACCCCATCGGTTGCAATCAGATGACCGGTTCAGGGATCGATGCTGTCCCATATTGGATGTATCGTATCGTCCGCCGCGACAACCCCTTGGCGGTGCTTGGCAGAGTCTGCCAGTGTGGTTCCGCTGGGCGGCAAAAGCTCATGTTACCCGTCGGTCGGGAGCCGCCAAGCTCATCTTCCTGAAACCCATGGTTCTCGGTCTGTACTATCCAGTGCTGAGCGGCGGAGGACAGTGGGATCTTGGCGGGTGGCTGTTCCGGGTAGATCCTCATTCCCATCGGGAGGCCGCGGGAGGTATCATCTGGGGTCGGGAGACGACCGGTCTCATCCTATGAGATGGGGGAAATCCGCCAAATCACGAAACCGTGGCTGGATAAGGCTCGTATTATACTCAACCCCAAGACACACACGACGTCACCCACACCGCGGTATCGTGGCCTCCGGCAGTCGGGCAGTCGACCGTGTCGCCAATCGTGTCGTGCACTGCGATCTGGCAGCAGGTGGCTGTCCGGGCCAGCTCCCATTCCGACAAACTTTGGGTTCTTCAGCCGCTGAGCCACGCTGGGCAGGTTCCAAGAGTCCTTGGCATCTCTTGGACGTGCGGTTTGAAACCATGTTTTGCTGGTAGATGTGGGCCTAGACCGATAGCCTCCTGGCACTAGTAGAGGAGGCGTCAAGATCCATAGCTCTTATCGGGCCATGCTTTCCATCCCCAGATAACACAGTGATGTAGTTAGTCCTCGGGCTGACGACTTATCTCCAAGCGAAGCACAACTTCCCAAGCAGGCAACCGTGATCACCTCGTATTGCCAGGAATTCCACCATTTGCATGGCAGATCGAGCTCGGGGACCGTATTCTGCACCACAATCAATGTCATCGGGTGGCTGTGAAGCTATCAGAGCTGTTTGAAGATAGCCGACGAGTCCGATTTTCTCCGCGGCAGGAGATCCAGAGCAGTGAAGGCCACACCGGCGAGGTTCTGACGGCTGCTGTTCGTCAACCCAACTTGTCATCTGACCTGTCAACTATGCTCTTGGGCTCCTACCGAAGCCACGAGGTGATCAACTGAATCCTATAGGATATCCACTGCGATCCTGAGCTGTCGTCCCGAGACGTGTGTCATAGAGGTGATGGCGTAATACAGCTCTCCGCGGGGTTGATCGTCGGCACCTTGGGGGCGATAGGGGCACATGATCGGCTTGGCTTATCTCTAACTTGGCATCAAACTTGTCTGATTCATCTGCCACGTACACGACAGAAGCATTCCTTGACAATCATCTAACGAGGTGCAGCAAGATCGCTGGCAAACATAATCATGGCTATTGGACTAACATAACGATCATAACTAACGACAATCATAGACATGCCGCGGAGTGTACACTCGGATCTTTCCAATGTTCATATACATGGACCGACGCAACGGACAGAGTGCGCGTATTTGCAGTGCCATGCGGCGCAAGCATGACAGAAAAGGCACAAGAACACAACAACCATTTTCACAGACTCCAGAACTCCACGCAACCGGCACGGGCGGTGACAAGCACAACACAGTGTAGAGGAAATGATTAAGATTATGTTCAGATCGGGTATCTTGCCGTATCTCGGGGTATCGACACGGGTGGCATCCGACTACCAACACCAGCAGCCCCCGCTCGCCCAGAGCCAGCGCGCAAGTCAAAGTCTGGGTTGTTCTCCAGAAGAACGTCATGCTTCCGTTGAGCTGGGACGGGAGGCGGCCGCCACCGAGGGTTGATAGGCCGCTCAGAGATTGATGTAAAGTGGCTTACTTCGCTAGTAGTCGGTGAGCTGGGGCCTTCGGCCAAATCTTCCATCGGTTTCCTCTCACCAATAGCACCGGGTGTCAGAACGGCCGGCAACCGGGGGTTGCCCACCGCTGACTCATTGGGGTTTGCAAATCGAGGGTCTGCATCTTCAAAATAATCCGCCGAAGGGGTCCGTGCGTGTTGCGGCCCTCCATATGCATGGACAGGTGAGGGAGAGTGGCCGACATGCGGTTCTTCTGGAGTCCATCCGGCACGTGCAGGAACATAGGACCTAAGACGGTTAGCAAACACAAACAGGAACCTGCACGGAGATAACATACGCTGACCGGCTATAGAGACTGGAAGGACTAATCGGCTCTTGATACCCATCGATCGAAAGCGCATGCGGCTGGGGTTGAAGCATCACATCATGCGCTTCGGGGTCAGCAGAGCCCACTCGTCGAGGCTGTGGTTGCATCTCAATGGCCTGTCCAATGGGACTACCGTGCTCGGGAGAGACGGCCATTCCGATTGGCCCCGGAGACGGCTCTCGAGCTGTCACAGGCGGGTGATTGTATTCGTACTCATCTTCAGGAGGGGGAGTCGGTCGAGGGGCCGGTCCAGGACCATAGCCGCCAGGAGGAGGGGGTCCCCGGTAGCCTCGTCCCATCGCCCCAGGATGTTCACCACGCATTGGTCCCGTTGGGCCACCGTTCATGCCCGGAGGTGGCCCCCTAGGACCAGGTCCTCCATAAGGCGCTCCACGACCGTAGCCTCCTCGCGCCGGATAGCCACCTCGGCCGCGTGCAAATCCTGGTGGGGGTGGCCCTCTCCGCGATCCTACGCTGCCGTCGGAATACTGATTGCGCAGGCGGGGATCAGGCGGTCCCGGGCGCATCCTGGGGCCGGGTGCATGGGCACCAGCAGGAATACCGATCTCGTCGGGCGAAGAATTATAGGCCATTCTATCGGCCCGTACCCGGGCATACTGATTGTCAGGCATCGGCTCAGTGTGTGGATTGCGTGAATTTAATGGCGTGCGATCATCATCACTGTCGTGCGTAGTCGTACGGAATGTAGCAAACGTCTGCCCTGTCTCGGACGACGGTGGGGATCCGGTGACGACAGGCTCCTTGGTATCCATGCTCAAGGGCGCGGGTTCGTGCAATCCTGCTGCTGCTGCCGCAGCATTCTGGCGGTTGTAGTAATTCTCCCCGCTCATTTCAGCGTTTTCGTTGATGCGCTTCTTCCTTGCTTTGCGGCTGACGAGCGTCCGTCGCATTGCACATGTAACCACACCACAAGTGACCAAAAGAATAGTCGCGACCAGCACAATCCATCCCGCCCAAGCCATATGCGGCACGAACAATAGAATATCCACCAGGAACGCCAGGAGCGATACGAGTAGCGTCGGGAGTAGTAAGATTAACAAGGCCAACAAATAGCGGGGCGAATGCGACGGAGCATGAAAGTGAGCCGCTGCTGCTAAGCACAGGCATATGAGGGTGAGAAACGCAGCGACCGGATGGACAATCAGGATAGCCGAGAGCGATCTGCGGGTACTAGGTGCAATGCTGAAAGTGCCATCTTCCGAGGTGATATCGTCTAACTGGACTCAGCACTGATTCGTATAGCTCCAGAATCAAGGGTATAAATTAAGAGGTAGGGACAAACCGTCAGCGTAACCAACATGAATGCTGGTGCATACATCGCCCTTGCAGTAGCCGAATACCCCATAGTCGATATTATCATGTCGCGCCAGGGCAATGCTCTTCACGATGGGAGTGGAAATGACAGAGATGAGAAGAAGCGCAAAGGCGATCAGGAGGAGGATGGTGAGGGGCGTGGCGGGTTTGAGCAGCATGGCGACTTAGAGAGCGGAGCGACGCTGTGGCCGCGATAAAGACGGCGGGGAATCGTCAAGAGCGGTGATGCAAATGGTCCGACGGCCACCAGGCGAGGTGTCCAACCAATGCAGAAAGTAGGGGAGAAAAAGGGCGAAAGTCAGAGCATTGAGTGTGACCTGCAAACCCTTGACGTTGGCTTATCCTGGGGGCCAGGGGAGACCAGCAATTCGCGACAGTAGTGTGGCAGAGGTTGGTAGCTCAGTCAAAGAGAACCAGCACAGCTCGAGGAGCAGCCCTAGGGGCGAACTAACTATCTAGGACCGTCGGAAGAATAACCGAGGAGGGCAGCATTCGAACAGGAATTGCTGGGGAACTGCCAGTGGGAAAGACGACCGAAAGAATGACTGGGTGAGTGATGGTGAACGAGCGAACGGATGGCCTGGACTGCCAGGCTGTGAGGTGATGATGGGAAGGGAAAGACGGCCTGCATCGGGGGGTCTTGATTGGCGCAGGCGACAGCGTTTCTTAGTCATCGCCGCCACTGTGCAACGGCAAGCCCGTCACTTTGCTTGACTTGCTCTCCTGCCAGTCCGGATGCTCTCGCGCCTCTGCGTGATCCTGGTGGGGTAACCCTCCCTCCCTAGGCAGTCGCCTCGCACCGGCGCCCTATCACTCTCCATTTCCCTTCCCTTGCATAATGGCATCCCTCTCCTCCTGATCCCGCTCGGGCTCCTATCGTGGCTCAGTCAGATAGCGCAGTCAGCAAAGCCCCTGTTCCACGGTAGGCCGCCCTCTGATTCGCTGGACCGCAGATAACGATAATGGGGCCGAGTCCCACGCGCCACGAGTCCAAGTCGTCCGAAATGACGATGGGCCCGGTTTGACATCTCAAGCTCGGACGAACCTCTGGCCGCAGAATTGCATGCTCCATATTCCGTACACGGGAATGTACGGAGTACTGGGGTCTACGCTGCTAATTTTAGACCTTTCACCAATATACGTAAGAACATGTGTCACGAGCATACCACTGTTCAGGCTTCAATCCCACACTTTCAAGTTCCAAGGACGGGTGGAACTTCGGCTGCCCCATCCTGCCGTCGGTCAGGTACAATCTTGGTTTCGTCTCCTCCTAAACCTATCTAGTCAGTTGTGCCGCAGAAATGTTTTAGCCAAGGGCCGGTTGGAGTTTAGAATCGACCAATGCGGGGAGAAACACGGATCATACCCAAACAAATTACAGACGGACGCAGCTGCGATCTGCCGAAGGGTGTCTCGATACGGAGTACTTTCAGGAGATTTACTAACAATCAACAGACCGTGACTAGAATAGGATAACAGGTGCAAAATCTGCACTTTCCTGAATATACTATTCTGCTGATCTGTCTTGCTTCTGCTAGGCTCCTAATCTTGTGCATGAACCACCACTCTGCACCATGCAATAGTGTCACTACACTTGACTCGATTTTGAAATAGCGCCTTAATTTTCCTTCACCAGATAAGCCATAAGCCACCAACAAATACAACCCTTTACGACTCACACACGGAATATCAACTAAACCACTCTAAACATAGTACCATCCCCCATCGGAGCAATGAAACGCAAAGTGGAGATTTCCCACTCCACCCCATTGGCCTGTGACAGAAGAGTGGATTGTCAAAAACTCTCTAATAAGAGACAAAATGGCACAATCATCAAAGTCAGTACGGAGTAGTATCCAAATATCAATCTAGAATTAGATAGTTAATGCACAGGTCACTTGACAGATAACAACCAAATACCAGATAAGCGCTCTCATCTAGATACCTACTAGTTACCTAGAGATGGATAGATACATCCCAATACCCGGAACATTGCAGCAAACCTACTTAGCCTAGTTAAATCTAAAATTACCCCTTTCCCTTCCCTTTTCTTTTTCTGTCAATTCAGTTGGGACTCAACAATGCCAAATCAACCAACCAACCAACAACTACTGAAATGAGGTAAATTTCCGACCGTGAAAGGATCACTGATCCTTGTAGGATGACTTAATTCGCGCGGGATCCTACATTCACCTGTACCTATACCTACTATGTAGATAGTACTTATCTTAGGGACCGGACCCTACGCACCAATTTACTTGATCTACCTAAGGTCACAAACCCCTAAATAACACTCTCATATACACACCATACTCCATACTCCATACCCTATAGATAAATATATAAACACCCACTCAAAAACAATACAGAGGTATATAATTAACACGCATTCTCCACATGCAAAAACACCCCCGGCAAGCCAGACCCTTTACACACGCCCAATCCATCCGACACGCGGACCACCGCCTGTCGTACAGAAACGGTTAGTCCGATGGGGCCACAAGCGCCAACTGCGATTTCGCCCCCGGCTTGTAGGACGGCGTCTTCGATGGGACCGTCGAGGGAGGGGCGGCCTGAGTGGTAGGATATGTGGGCGGGGGAGAGGTCTGGGGGTTGTTGGTGGTCTGGGGAGGGAGGGGGGAGTTCTTTGATTTCGTCGTCGTCGTCATTTTCGGCTTGGTTGTTGGTATTGGATAGGCTGGGCACAGGGGAGGCTTTCTCGTCAGTACTGTCGAGCCAGTCTGGGTCCTGCGTAATGAAAATCTTAATCCGGATTCGGATACTGGTATCCTGGAGCTTGTGTAGTGCGGCTTGCAGCTCGGGGAGCACCCAGGCTGCTTGGCGCTTTTCCTTGATTACCCAGAGGAAGAGGACTTGGCGGAGAGGTAAAGGGCCGGTTGTGGCACTATGTGCGACGTGGAGGAGGTGGGCGAGCGTGAAGGTCACACCTGTTCCACCGGCGATGAGTAACAGGGAGTCGAAAGTGGTGAAGTCGGGGGCGGAGCTGTGGTAGGGGCCGTCGATTAGGGCGAGGTAGGAGCGTTGGGTTGCTGCGGATTCGGGGTCGAGGGGTTTGGCGGTGGTGATAAGCTTTTTGGTGAAGCCTTTGTGGGCTTTGAGGAGTAGGATTAGTTCGTTGTTGTGGGAGGAGGGGATGGAGAGGATGGTGGCTGGGTGGGAGAGTTGGAGGCCTAGGCGTGGAAGGGATAGAAGGATGTGTGAGCCTGGCTGCCAGTTTTGGATCTGGCGAGATGTGATTCGGATTTTGGTCGCGTTGCCGTCCAAGGCCTCGAGGGTGGCGTGGGGAGGACGGGAGTTGGCATAGGTGTAGAAGATGAAACGCAGGAGTAGGGCTGCGAGGTAGATGCCCGCGGTAGCGTAGATGTATCGCTGGGAGGTGGGGGCCGTGCCGGTGTCCAGGTGGTAGGACAGTGCGATGATGAAACCGAAAAAGGTGATTATATGTTGTACGACGAAGAATTCGTAGCTCATGTGTCGGAAGGGGGCGAGGGTGGTGAGATTCATCCACAGGATGAAGGCGTAGGCGGCGATGCCCTTGGTGGGACAGTCATCTGTGTCCCACTCAAGTTTGCTTATATTGTAGAGGTCCCATCCGTGGTTTTGGAAGGCGAAATGAAAGGTTGAGAGGAGTAAGAGACCGCGGGATACCCAGCGATGGTAGACGTTCAATCGGACATATGGAATCCCACAGAGCATGCCAATCAGGTTTCGTTTGCCTGCGAGAGCCACCAGTAGGGGAATCTGAGCAGCGGCAAGCCATCCGGCACGAGCGCCGAGGAACTGCCAATGGCCCGCGCCTGGCATGTCGTTGTTGATGAACTCCAGCGCGATGATGAATGCAAAATAGGCGAGGATGATGTATATGGGTCCAAGGGGTGGGATTTTCACCCAAGGGGACAGCACGCGTGGAGTCCATTGGAGATACGATGGCTCTCGAGCCAACGCTGTAGTGGTGGCGAGGAATGTGCTTAAGTATGAATAGAGGTTGGCGAGGTATGGGTTCTTGGTTATACTTGGTTGAAACCTAAAAGCAACTTGTTAGCCCCAGGCCGTAATCTGAAAACAAATTAGTTGACTCACCTCAGCCTTCGAACCACCGGCGACATCCGGTTGATAATAGCCACCACGGCCACAACAACAATAACCCCATACCAGAAATACTCTGCATAGCGGGCCCCCAAGATCGGCAGATATTCCAGATGCTTAAGGTCATGCAGAAAAGTCTCGACCTGAGTGATATTGGAAAAGTCGAAATCAGATGCACGGAGGACGCCGTAATACGTCCCCCCGACCATGCCCTCCATCTGCATATTGACTGACGACTCACCACGGCGGGGATAAATCAGGACTGTGTGAAGTCTCCAGGCTGAAGTGAAGGTCTTATAGTTTGGATGGGCCCCACCCACCTTGAGCTTAGCCTCTCTAGCGCCGGCTACGTCGCCTTGATCTCGTAATAATCTGCTCACAGCAGAGCACATTTTCAATCGATTCCATCCTATTAGACGGCTGGCAGGAGCAGCAACTGCCGAGGGTGTAGTACTATTGCTTGTTCATGTTGAGTCCCCGCACCGTGACCGGGACTGTCGGCTTAGCCTGACGCTTGATACCGGCACCATGCACTCCATTACAACAAGGCTGACTTGGCGGTGACATACCAGAAATGTCAAGACAAATGGAAACTCCTGACTCCGCGTAGTCATTTCTGGTGACATGCCAGATACTCTTACCTGTGATCAGATGATAGATATTTCAATCCTCATGCCCCGCCCAACAGCGCACTGCTCGACTGCATCTACTTTACTACCAAAACAACAAGTTATCATTTGAATAGCAATCAGCATGGAGCCAAGCAAAATGTACAATCTAGTCCAATCTCGCTATAGCGAACTAGCCTCCCGATCCTTCACCGAGCACACAGCGGTCGCTGAAAACGTGGCCAAAGCCTTCGGGTACCGCCCATCGGAGTTACGCTCCATCCCCCCAAACGCGAATATGGGCCTGAGTTGCGGGAACCCCGTTGCAGTAGCCAATCTGCAAGCAGTGAGTTTCTAAGCCCCCGAAACGTACGCAATAGATATCTAGATCTGACTCCTGGTCAGGGCGAAGTCGTGATCGACCTGGGCAGCGGTGGAGGCATGGACGTTTTGCTCGCGGCACAGAAAGTCGGGCCCACGGGGAAAGCAATCGGGGTGGATATGACGCGCGTAAGAACGAACCATCCCAGCGACAGCCTTGGATTTGGATCCAGCTTCATTTTCCCAACCGTACTTATATTGTCAGAACATGATCGAGCTGGCGCGCGAGAACGCCAAGAAAGCCAACGCATACAATGCAGTCTTCCTCGAGAGCGCCATCACGTCGATTCCACTGCCGGATGCCACGGCAGACTGCGTGATCAGTAACTGCGTGGTGAACCTGGTGCCGACGGCGGAGAAACCGCGGGCGTTCAGGGAGATGTTTCGTCTGTTGAAGCCTGGGGGTCGTCTCGCCATGACGGATATTCTCGTTTGGAAGCCGCTCCCGGACGGGATGGCGATGGATTTATCCTTGTATGTTGGTTGTATTGCGGGAGCGAGTCGCGTGCAGGAGTATGAGGAGTATTTGCGGAATGCGGGTTTTGAGCGTATGGATCTTCTTGGTGTTGGTTAGACAATGCTGATTTTTCTAGAGGTTATGATTGTCGATTGCCAGAAGGACCTTAATATCTACAAGGAGGTATTTGTTGATCAGGATGAGGCTAGCTGCGGGTGTTGTCAATCTGGGGCTGGGGGCTCATTGAAGTCAGGTCAGTCGATTGCAGAGAGAGCGGAAGTTAATCTGAATGAATGGGCTGGTCAGTCTTGCATATCCCTAGCTGGTTGAAATCTACTGACACCAGAAGGCTCGTTTGAGATCTATGCCCTCAAGTCATAGCTGAATGAAAGGTTATGACGAGCTGTGTATTTTCGTTCACTCGGCTGATCATGTACTGCAGAATGTCAATACGCTCACTATTTCTCCTTGTTATACACCCTCGCGCAGAACGCTGGTAGTAGGAGAAATCACGATATAACTTTCAATGTAGCCAGAAGTACCTTGTCATCAACCCTGCACCCCTCACCTGGCGTGGTACTTTCATGAAAGCCGTGCTGCATTGAAATACGTATGACTTGCAAATCCACTTCTCTTCGATTACATTGGGCAATCAAATGATACGCAAGTGTGCACGGGGTTGTGCTCGCATTGTCACCCGTCAAAGCTCGTGTGAGCAGATCTGTCCTGCCAGGGTTACCGTGTATGTATTCTGCTTGCAGGGCATTTATATTGTTCCATTCGATACGTTCTGGTTGAGGATCGGTTCCCAAGGTCACAATATCCTCCAGCATACTCGAGTCTTGACCAACCTGTGTCACCTCCCCAGGGGATAAGTTGGGCGACATCAAGGGCTGCGGTACGGACAGTTCGCTCGAAAAGACCTTCGTGACCTTCAAGGTCAGTATTTGATACGAAGACGCTGGCAATCCGCACCTCTTGTGGAACCGTAGACGGAAATTCGAGACCCGGCATCGCAAAGTCGGAGGCACCACCCAAGGCCACAAGCCGTAGCTTGAGCAAATCATTCTCAAATTGTAGGTTCCGCAATATAGATAGGTGAAGCAGATTCTCCGTAGTGCGCGTACTCTCGTATTCCTTCACCAGTGTTTCCAGGCTCCGGATGTACTCTTGTCGACGTGCCCGTGAGCGACGTTGATTTTGGCGAATTCGCGCAAGATCCTCGCTCTGAAAATATTACCGTACAGGTAGATGGAGTAGTTGAAACAGCATTTGGCGCAATACAAACCTTAGTCTTTGATTTTGGTCGTGGCATGGTGTTGAGGTACCTGGATGAGCACAGGCGAGATGTCTAGAACCGGAATTCACTTTCCTGGAGTATTTGTTCAATGAGCAGGTTTATGATGTGAGAACAAGAATATAACAAACCTCATAAGATCTTATCGAGGGTGACCACTCGTAGATACTACCAAGTACTATTATGCCAACATATTGGGAAAAGGGGTAGCGGGCCAATGATAGACTGGCGGTATGTCACTGCTCGGTTCGTGGCAAACGCAGAGGATTGGCTGGATGGCTGCTTGTCAACTCTTCTGAATGCTTGGGGTAAACCATGGTAACCCCATGCCCAGAAACTATGCACTGCATGTCACTGATGAGTGCTGGTTGGTCGATAAATAATATTGACTTTGCGCAGGCGCGGTCAACAAACTGTCTGGGTTACATGTATCCAAATTCCTGGGCCTGCCAGTTACCAATTTCTCTACCTTCTATCTGTCGAGAGCCTCAAAAGCCATATTTCGAACCATGCAATTGTTTCTCGTTTCACAGCTGAGTTCGGAGCGCAACTCATCGACCCTTGTGTAGTTTCGGAGGCCTGCGATGATACAGGCTGCATTTTCACAGGATGTGAATTGACCAGGATCGGGTTCTTCACCGTACTCCAACACTTGAGACACCGTTTAGACAAGATCAAAGTGCAAGCTGTGGCTTTCAGGACCCGTGTATCCTGTTCTGGCTAATCTAGCGGGGTCTTCCGGCTCACCGACAACTGGCGGGGCAACAGTATCCTGTGAGTTTGTCCGCGGGACTTTAGTTGGGGCGTTGTAACATTGCATTTTCAGACAAACTTCGATTACGTCTTCGGTGGCAGTGCAACGTGTTAGAAGTGTCTGAAGCATTTTCTTTGGCAACATTTCTGCATGCTTCTTGCACCTGCGAAGCGGCCACTCCGAGCTTTTCGAATGACCGGAGCCGTTCCTCGAGGTCTTGGGTGTACTCCTTGCACCGGGCACATGAGCGCCGCTGGTTCTCTTGACTTTGGATTAATTTGGCCGCGCTACTCTCCTTCATGTTCCGTTCTGTTCTAACGGGCTCTCGGTTCTGAGAGAGTCGGTTGGCACTCTGTTGATTCAATCGAACGGGCCACTCGATCTATGCCTAAGAAGGTTAGCTTTTTAGCGTGTCAGGTCATTGAACCAATCAGAATGTAGCAGTGACATACCCCAAGCATGTCCATCTACTGCTGAATTCCCATGATTTCACATCCGCCCGTTGCTTCTCTACATCGCCATGTCGTTTGCTGCCACTTCAAGGGGGAATTACTATACCAGACTTCTGGCGTCATCTCTCCGGTTACAACCACTCCTGTCGTATCCAAAGCACTCGACCAGATTTCTCTCAGCCATGCCGCAAGAGGCAGCAAAAGTCACCCAATCCAATGACAATCATAATTCTCAGCCAGTTCCTAACCATCAAACGCTAGCTCTGCCATCTAGCGAAGATGACCCGATCATCCGGCAAAGATACCGCCCATTTATCCTAAGCGATACCACTGGCACCTGGATCGATAACCTCGAGCTGACCACGGCTCTGGACATGGCGGCGAAGAACCTTCAAGATACCAATGAGAGGCTTCGAGTCCTAGTCCTTTACGGCAGCCTCCGACGGCGGTCATATTCTCGCTTAGTGGCTTACGAAGCATCTCGCATCCTGTTCCGGCTGGGCTGTGATGTCCGCATCTTCGATCCGGACGGTCTTCCCGTGAAAAACGACCATGACCATAACCATCCCAAGGTCCAAGAGCTCCGGGAGCTGAGTGCGTGGAGTGATGGGCATGTCTGGGTCTCACCGGAGCAGCACGGCAATCTGGTCAGTATCTCCCCCTATTGATTCACCGTGAGGTCATGAAGGTTGACCTTCCATTCCCTCCATTAGACGGCCGTTTTCAAGAATCAAATCGACTGGATCCCGTTAAGCACGGGTAGCATACGTCCGACTCAGGGTCGCACGCTTGCCATCGCGCAGGTATGTGGCGGATCGCAGTCCTTCAATGCCGTCAACTCGCTGCGTATCCTGGGGCGCTGGATGCGCATGTTTACGATTCCGAACCAGTCCTCGATTCCAAAGGCCTATACGCAGTTTCCTGATGAAGGCCATCCCGGAAATCAACACCTCCTCCCGAGTGGGAACCGGGATCGCTTAGTGGACTGTATGGAGGAGTTTGTCAAATACACTATTCTCATGCGGCCGCATATGGGGCTTTTCGGGGATCGGTTCAGTGAGCGGGAAGAGAAGAGACGCAGAGACTGATAATAGAGCATGGAGTTTCTGTGAGTGCATGTATATATGTTTGACAGTGGAAGGAAATCGTAGTACATATATAGATTTGAACATATGGGAAGAAACTATCGTCGCTGAGAACCTACTATCCTAATCGCAGTCCTTGAGAAATCAATGTCTTGCTACTGCTTTAATTAAAATTCCGTGATGCCGTAAGGACATCATAAGACATTCTGAAGTCTGAGCCGACAAAAAATACAAAACCTGCCCTTGTTCTACTAGATCATATTGCGGGCTGTAATGCTCTATGGGTACTGAACCACTGATTCACGCCATCTAGATTTAGTTACTGCCGACGGGTAGAGAATGTCACTCCCTAAACATGATTGGCTATTTCCTATGTCCTTCAGGTCCCATCACTTCCACCAGCCCTAGCTACCCTCAAAGCGGTGCCTGGCCCATGTCAACCAATATAAAACCCCCCATCAACATCACAGCAGCAACAACATCTAATCACTACACTTTCTCAACTGCAATTCCCTCAAACCCACTTCCACCCAGAACCTTCTCCAGACAAGCTAAGATGCCCCCCAAACCCCGCATCCTCTTCCTCTGCATCCACAACGCCGGTCGCTCCCAAATAGCAGCAGCCTACCTCACGCGTCTCGCCGGCCCCGCCATCGAAGTGCGATCTGCCGGGTCCGCGCCCGCCGAGTCCATCAACCCCATGGTCTATGCAGCAATGTTGGAAGAAGGCATCGATTTGTCGGATCAAAGACCGAAGATTCTCACCGAGGATGCGGTGCAGAACAGCGATGTGGTTATCACCATGGGTTGTGGAGATGCGTGTCCGTTTTTTCCGGGGACGAGGTATTTGGATTGGAAGGTGCGGGATCCGGCGGGGAGGGGGGTGGGGATGGAGGATGTGAGGGTGATAAGGGATGAGATTCGGGGGAGGGTGGAGGGGTTGGTTGGGGAGTTACGGAGGGATGGGACTATTGTTTGAGGGTTGGTTGGGATGGGAGGTTGATGGGTTGTAGGGTTCGAGGTTGGTTTAAAGGGGTGGATGATGGAGATTAGAGGGTAATGATTGTTGACTGAATTGTTATAGATATTTGCGAAGAGGGGACTATGGTAGTAGATAATTACTGCATGATGAAAGTGGTCGAGGATATATATTATCAAACTTGATTGGCTCCTGATTGCAAGGCAAGATCCGACACAGTAGTGAGATTCTCTTCTGTCACGCTCACCAACATCCGCGAATGATGGTAGAAGTGTATTGAGACGAATGACAGTCCACGAAAGGGATACCAACCAGCTGATTAAAGTTACAGTTGAGTTTGAACCGAGTCCCGTACCGGAAGGCTGGCCTGCTAGCTAGCAAGATTATATCCAAGTATCCCTTGCAGACTATTCAGATGCGACGGTCATTCTCTGCTCGTATTCGGATTCTTTCTCCGCTGCCATTGAACAGCATGCGAAAGAGCCATTGAATGTGCCGCCTGGAAATCGGAACGCAGCGGTGGCCAAGAGGCGAAGAGAAATATGTAAGAAGCCATTGTTCTTAGTTGAACATGGACATTAGAATGGGAGCGTTGCTTTAGTGGGCCATCTTGGTAAGGCGTTGCGGGGATCTTGACGGTAGCGAGATTAGCGCGACACCTGAAAAAGTCAGAAGACTCAAGGCCAAGGAAACGAAATGGAAATATACGACAGCGGCGGCCAGCACGTGCCGGGATCCGCGCCGAAAGAACGCGGCCCCTGGTTCCTGGGCGGCGTGTTTACATGTTTCCCTCCTGGGTTGCGGGTCGGCATGCGCCTTGAGGTATGCAGCCATTCGTCAGGCACTTTGTCCGCCTTCCACCAGCTTGGCTGTCCTTGGTAAATCCTTTAGCTACTTGGCACCGCAGCTTTCATTCCTGCATGCTGTACACCATACAGTGGGCAACTTTCCTGTTCGGCTTGATTAATACCTACTGACCGTCCGGCCGCTTACCTTGCAGATCTCATTCCCGTAAAGCGGGCAAACTTTCCTCGCCCAGAAAGGGGCACCGATGTGATGCTTCATGAGTAGCGTCTAACGGAGAAGGCGGAAAGTTTAAGATACATAGGGGGCAAAAAGCAAACATAGACATCGGATCTGGTCTTCTGCAAGACGGAGTACCTCGGTCAAATACCTAGAATCCGCCCGAATGCCCAGGTATGCAGTCATGCCTGGCCCAAGTCGAGGTATGCAGGCCCACTCCGGGATGGCGTTCGAGCACACGCATACGCTAGCAACCATCAATTTAAGTCCAGCCATCCCCTCTTCTCGATGATACGAACCGGTGTACCGACCTGGGCCGTCAATCCTTCCATTCGCTCAGGCCCTATCCGAGTCTGCCTCATACCAAGACAGTATACGGCCTGTTCAGTTTGGTTTGGATGGATGCAGTTTTTTTTCGACGCTGTTTGTTTTACTGTGTGAACCTTTAACCGCAGCTGATAAGTGCTGATAATATGGGACGCGTTACGTCTTCTCTTCTTGTATCGATATTATGCAGCCTTCCCCTTCAAACATGGGCTGTTCCCCACGGGGGAGGGAAGAATAACTCAACCTTGACCCCCAGCCCAAGCGCAAGCCCGGGCCCAAGTTCAAGCCCAAGTTCAAGTTCAACTGAGCGAGTCCTATACTTTCCGCCAGTGACCTATGCCCCGAGCCCCTCGTGAGTTCACGTTTCCACTTTGCTGTCCGACATGGCTGACCGAGACAGGGGAATTCCTTTTCTAATCAAAAACGAATCTGCCCAACCCTGGCTGTATCGAAGCGAAGCACCCATCACTCATCCGACACTTTCGCAAGATGCCATTTGCGTGTCATCGAATAGCACATCCGGCTACTGGTATGAACAAATTGATCACGATGGAGAGTCGTCTTTCATGGACTCGAAATACAAAGACAATTACGATGTCTTTCGGAATGTCGTGGATGACTTCGGTGCCGACAATACTGGCGACGAGGACGCCGCCGCCGCTATTCAAGCGGCAATCCAAGGTACAACCAATGAGCACTCTTACCAACATCTTCTAATATTTGTCTTCGCATACAGCCGGACCATCAAACGGACCCGACCGGGGCTCTCATTCCATGGGAACTACTGGACAACCGGCTATCGTCTACCTACCATCTGGAACCTACCTCATGAAATCATCCCTACAGCTATATGTGGGAACTGTCATCATTGGCGATCCCACTGACCCTCCAGTGCTGAAGGCATCCTCTGACTTTGCGGACGATCATATCATATACGGAAAGGACCCCAATTTTGGAGGCACGATCAACTTTTACATCGGGATCAAGAATGTTATACTCGATTCGACTGATATCGATGCGGATAAAGCCATCACTCTCCTTGACTGGACGGTTAGCCAGGCGACTCAGCTTACGAATGTCGGATTCAACATGCCCAACTATAGCAGCGCGCATGTCGGCTTGACCACACAGTACGACTACAATAGTAACTTGATCCTGGTAATTATGACTTGCAGTCCATCCGCAGGATCATAGACTGACTATCGCAGAATGACCTCTGGTTCAAAGGTGGCGCGATCGGGATGAAGTTGAGTGGCCAGCAGTGGGTGTTCAAGAACATATCATTCACTGGCACAACTACCGGCGTACAAGCAGGCGGGACTGATATTGTTTTCTTGGGGTGCCACTTTGAGTCAGGTGATGTGGGAATCGACGCCCAGGGTACGTCTGGATCACTGACGGTAGTTGACTCAACTGGTGTCAGCATGGGTACCCTCGTCTCGTCGTATAGTTCAGGCACTGCAGGCAATTCAATTGTCCTTGACAACGTGCAAAATTCCGGACCCACCGTGAAACTCGGGGGAAGGACCGTGTGGAGTGGAAATGTCCCCGACACCTGGGTCCACGGAAATGTGGTAAGTTGAATCCATACTACATCAGCGGCACAGCTGATCTGAACGAACCGCTAGTATTCGTCCAAAAACGCCCAATACGAGTTATCACAAGGGAAGATAGTCAGCACTTCCCGGTCCTCATCACTACTCTCAGGCAAAAACTACTTTACCATGGCCCCGCCAACGTATCAAGACTACGATGTCGGGCAGGTTCTCAACATTAAGAATGTTCCTGGACTTCCGGTTTATGGCGACGGCGAAACCGATGACACTCGAAACATCAACGATATCTTGTCTCGCTACAAGACATGCTCTCTCATCTACTTTCCGGCGGGCACATATCTTGTGACAGATACTATTTTCGTGCCTGCTGGCACACGCATCATTGGAGATGCCTTTGCATCGACAATCAGTGCTGTAGGAAGCAACTTTGAGGATGAGTCCGCTGTCCGCTCCATGTTCCGAGTCGGATACCCGGGCGATGTCGGCGTCGCACAAGTTAGCGATATGGTGTTTACTGTTGCAGACGTTCTGCCAGGTTGCCAATTGGTAAGTACTTCAATCTCTGATATTTTGGATGGCTTCTGATGAGATGGTGTAGGTTGAGATCAACATTGCCGCCCGATCACCCGGTGATGTTGGTTTCTGGAACACTCATTTCCGTATCGGTGGCGCGGTGGGCAGCCAAGTCGAGAGCAAGTGCACCGACAGCCCCGAAGACTGCAAGGCAGCCTGGGGTCTTTTGCACCTCTCTACTACGTCGTCCGCCTACATTGAAAACATGTGGGGATGGACAGCCGATCATGATCTTGATGGAGACAACCCACAGACTATCTCCACCGGTCGTGGCATCCTGGTTGAAGGTACAGCGGCGACCTGGCTCATTGGCACCGGATTCGAACACAACACCTTGTACCAGTACAACTTTCAGTACGCACGCAATGTTTTCACCGCAATGCAGCAAAGCGAATCGCCATACTGGCAAGGGCCGGGAAGTAGCGCGCTTAACCCAGCCCCGTGGGATGAGTATCTGGGAAGTAGTGACCCAACCTATAGCAACTGCGCTGAGGATGATAGCAAATGCCGTATGGCACTGTTCGAGCGGATCTATGGCTCCTCGGATCTGTTCCTCTATGGGGGCTGCAACTGGGTCTTTTTCAACGACAATGGCGATTGCAGTGGTGACTGTCAGACGAATGCGATTGAGATCGCCAATTCTACTGCCATATATTTGTATGGCACTAACACAAAGAGCACGACCAACATGGTGCTGGAAGGAAACAAGCCGATTGCACTGGAGAGCGACAATGCCGGCGGGTGGGGAGGAGTAATTGCCGGGTATCTGTATGATGCATAGCGGGTCGAGGAGTACATATGAGTCCTGTTCCTATCGATAGTCTAATCAATATTATCTTAATTTTACTGACTGGCATAAATAATAATACGCAAGGGATGCGTCTGTCTCCGATAATAGCTGGCAAGGGACAGTGAACTCGGCAAGGTACGGAGTCCGGAGTAATATCTTAGACATAAGCCACTACTCTGTACTCGTATTATCAGAATCAGGGTCCAGCCATTTCATAATAGAGCAACCATCTACTGCCGATGCCCGTCTAATCAAACACTGAAATAAACACTGTTTAAGACAATATCGAGCTCTCCGTGCGATGAACCGAGGGTCAGAGTGGATCGGGCCGCAAGCTATCCGTCGGTTGGATCGCCATCGGGCGGTGCTCGGTCCATCGCTTCCATCGACTCATCGACGGCCACAACACCAGTCACACTTTTAGCTCTCTGGCAGCTTCACCATCATGCCTCGTTTCAACCATCCTCCAATTGCGAGCGACCATGTTGACGATCACTAGCTGTTAGGTAGGCACCAATGTCTAGTGCTGCTCGATCGGCCCTTTCCTCGTCGGGCCCGCGGTGGCTGGGCCGGGAGGCTGGGAGAAAGACATGGCCGGATAACCAACCCCCCCAGCCGTGATGCCGGCCCAATCCAGCATCCGCCCTTGCTTTTCTACCTGCTGCAATTGCCTCTTATTACCTCGTGGGCACGTTGAGGGTCCGCACCTGGGGAATGTCCATCGGATACTTCCAGTTCCACTGCAAGTGAGCCGCGCACCGCATACATTCCTCGGTTGATTTTCGGCGCCATGCTCGCGGCGGGTTCTGGGAATGTGAGTCTGAGGACTGTCAGTTGTAAGTAATCTAACTTTGCATAACCTTGGCAGCCAGCCAAGCACATATGATGTGTCTTTGAAATCAGACTGACTGATGGCGGGCCCCTCACAGCAAGTCGGCCACAACTGATGCAATCTGAATCTCAGCAGTCCATCGCCGCTTCGGACGACTACTACTCCTTCTCCAGTCCTTCCTCCAGTGCAAGATCGCGAGCCAGTGGTAGTCGACTCACCGTGGCGCGGTATGCGACACCAAACTCTCATCCTCCGACCCGAACTCCATCTCCTAGCGTCTCGCGAACGCATCTGGCCCCGCTGGCGGCTGGTGCACGATCGGAGCATTCCTTGAGCGTTCCGAGTGAGAACAGAAATTTCGCCACACCTGCATCGAGGACAATACGTACAGTTGACGAGCGAGACAATCAACCGAGCCCCATGTCGGACACCACTTCTCGACGGGAACCCAGTGATAGCTATGCGGGACGGCCACCTACGCCGGGGGTGGATGATTCACCATACATTCATTTCGCCATCAGTCAGCTAACGCGTGATGAGGAGGTAGCGGGGCCCAGGCGGCGAAGCTCAGTCACGAGTAATGACAATCCGCTGGAGCCACTGCTTTGGGACGAAGGCCTGGGCTGCTTTATTCGCTCGCCGGGACCGCCGGCAACACCCCCGGTACGGCCACCGCAGCAGTCCTCGGATTCCATAGGGAGGGCCCCTCAGAGCTCGGTCGACCCAGAGTCATTTGTGGCGGTGGAGCCCCCGGAAGACAGTCTGCTGTATCCGCCGTTGGACTTTGTTCCTCTTGTTTTACGGACATGGGCCCTGGTGGCGATCACCCTATGCTGCCTGCTAATGATTGCGGGGATATCTTTCTGCAATGTATGGTCTAGACGGCATCCGGGGCTCTGGGATTATACGGGACTCGGCGGTTCACACTATTTTGTGATGCAATTTTTGCCCCAAATATTGGGGATGATCATCACGATTTGGACGTTTGTGATCCAAGCAGCCCTGTATCGAATCATGCCGTTTGCTATTATGGCATCAGAGCGGCCTTTAGGTTATGTTTTGCAGAATCTGCCAATCTTGTCGCGGAATTTCCTGAAGCCGGACTTTTCTCATTTCCGACATGGAGAGCCGATCGTTGGGTTCTCGCTGTTTACCATGTGGCTTTCAAACCTGAGCACGCTGCCGTTGCTGAGCTGCCTCTTTCAAGCCAAGTGGTACTTGATCGATGGCGAGGGGACCTGGCGGTGGGCTTCAGTTGTGGCCGTCGGCTGGACCCTTGTAGCTATTTATGCGCTGCTGACCATTGGATTTATTCTGCTGATGTTTCGGTTTGTGCGTACCTGGTCAGGGCTGATGTGGGACCCAGTGAGTCTGGCCGATTTAATTTCGATTATCCAGCGATCGAACATCTTGCATGATTTTGAACAATCCGAGACGTTGCCGGATGTGGGCGAATCGCTTGACCCTCGATTTCTCCGATTGGGATACTGGAAACTATCGAATCGAGCGGAGACGTTCTACGGTATCGGCGAGGTGGATGCACCAGTCCGGACGCCGTCTTTACATCGCAAAGAAAAGAACCTCCAGATGCAATCGCATGGCCTGTCACGGGTGTCATTCGACCTTGAGCAGCATGATCTCGCGGAGAAGGAGGAGTACTATCAACATCTGTACTCGCCAGCCATCCGCTACCGCTGGGTTCCGTGGTTCCTCCGCGACAGGTTCGTGATTCTGTGGACGGTAATCGTTGGTGCTCTGTTTATTGCGTTTGTGCTGGTCAGCTTCATTCACGATGCCATCAAGGGCGGGTTTCCTCCGCGATTGCCAACACTACCATCGACGGGCGCCTTTTCCTCATCCAACTTTTGCTATAGCTTCGTCCCGGCTCTGATTGGGAATGTGTTCTTCCTTGCGTGGCAGCCCATCGATGTCTATTTCCGTGCGCTGCAGCCATTCGCGGCTCTGTCTTCTCCGAATGGTGCTCGAGCAGAGCAGAGCCTGCTACTGTCTTATCCGTCCTGCTACCCTTTGCAGGTGACCGCTCTGGCAATCCTCAACAGGCACTTCAAAGTGGCCTGGATCTCGTTTATGAGTACGGTGTCGGCTGCGATTCCTCTCCTCGCAGGAGGGGTGTTTATCGCTCTGTACCACCCGTCGGAAGACGCGATTCGGATCTCGGCACTCATGCCGGCTTTCTACGCCCTGGTGGCTTTCTGCGCACTCTACATGATATCGTTCCTGTGCATCTGGCCTCGTCGCTGTCGCCGTTTGCCACATGAGGTTAGCACCCTGGCCGATCAGATGAGCTTCCTATACCAGAGTCCGTTGCTCGCGGATAAGATACTGCGGGAGCCGAGGAGCAAGGCAGATCTGGTCACCCGCTTGGTCGTGGCACCGCCCGGGGATCGGGAACATTCCATGTACGGCTTTGGCATTTATGTGGGCCGGGATGGAAAGGAACATCTGGGGATCGATCGCTTCGACCGTCCTGGACGGGCGGATATGTTGATCACCACTGGATGTATGCGGAGACACTAAAAGTATGGTTTGTACGATGATTGGGAGGGTTATTGCTTTGCGATGCATGTGCGGCCATCTCACGATGATTATCTTGCTATGATTCTATGTGTTATGATGAGCGATGAGATTCACGACAGTTGCATACCCTTGATTTTGCCCGGATTTTAATGATAATGTGATAGCGATGTACTTATGAGTGATGATGTTGTTTCGGTCTGCTTATCCTTATACACTACTTATTGGTGATGTTTGTTTGATATCCTGAATGCATTGATGACGATTGGCTTGCATTTGACATATTTCCACTGCAATGTTGATTTAGACAGAACTCTGCCAGTTATGTACACCACTTATGTATCTTATGAATCTTATCAAGCCTGATAAGATGCTGACTCATGCCACGTGAGCGATCAGCCAGGCAGCCGTGCACTTGACAGGCCGGATCCAACGGTCTTGATCCGCACCACGGGATGCGTCGGGGAAATAATAAGCGACAGCCATCTGGTGCAGCGATCTGAATTATGGGCCCAGTAGGATCCGTTCCGAGAACTGTGCTTGCGTGGAATGACCGTCCAACCCAAGCTGCGTACATCAACGATTAGCCGCCTAGAGCTACACCATGGTATACGGCGGGAAGCCGAGCACGGGGTGTCAGAATTGCCGGAAACGTCGCATCAAAGTAGGTGCAGCTCCACATGTCGATTGTTTCCCGCTGACGAGGTAGTGTGATGAAACACGCCCGCATTGCAAAGCATGTGTTCGGACGGGCCGGTCCTGTCCGGGGTATCCCCATCCCCTTGATGTCGTGCTGAGGGACCAGGTCGCATTCCGTCGCAAAAAGCGCGATACGTCTAGTGCGGTCTCAACTCCGGGAGCGGTGTCAAACCAATCATCACCCGCCGTGGTAGCATCAAACGATGCGTTGTCCAACAGCAGCTCCAATGCCAGTTCGCCATCTGGCCCACTACTGCCCGCGCAGTCAGTCCCCAGGGCCCTATTCCTATCCATCGAGGATACCGTGACCTCGATGTTCTTCAACTCGTTCATCTACTCGCCGAGAGATCCGCTGATCCTGCAGGGATTCATGGATATCCTTCCGGATGTTTTTATCTATGCGCAGCCGGGGTCTCCGTTGCATGTCAGCACCCTGGCGGTGTCATTCTTTTCGGTATCGGCTTGGACGGGGAATCGGGCGTTTCTTCAGTCGGCGGAGCAGTTGTTTGTCAAGGCGTTGGCTAAGACGAGGAAGGCGTTGCAGGGCGATATTAGTCGGAATGTGGATGATATCTTGATGGCGATTCTTTTGCTGTCGACTTATGAGGTATGTCACTCTACGTACAGACAGATGGGTGCTGACCAGCAGTAGGAGTTTTGTGCCATGAAAGAGGGCAGATATCCAACGAGAACGCATCTGCGGGGTGCTGTTGCCCTGGTTAACAGCAAGAGTCCGGCTCAGCGGTCATCCATTTTGTCTTTGACTTTAGAGACTGCCGTGCAAGTTCAGCTAGTACGTTAGTCAGTCCTCAATTGAATGCAGTAAACTGACTTGCCAGGTCAAATCATCCAAAGGCCTTCCCTATCCCACCATGGCCACTCCAACCGTATGGCGCACAGCCCCAGCCGCGCCCCAGACCGCAACCACACAGCTCTGGATGGCCACCTCCGAGCTCGCCAGTCTCCGCCAAGCATGGGACCAATTCAACTATGCAAACGCCTACCACATCAAAGAAGTCGAGGAGCTCCTCGCACGAGCTATCCGTCTCGACGCCCAACTCGAAGCCTGGACCTACGCACTCCCAACACACTGGAAACCCGTCCCGGCGACCTCCATTCCCCCCTCCGTCCGACAGGCCGGCATGTACAAGAACCGCTGCGACTGCTACACCGACATGTGGGTCGCCGGAACGTGGAACTTCTACCGGGATTCCCGCATCGTCGTACAGAATATCATCCGCTGTTGTTTAGAGCTGCTGCCGGGTAGTACGTCCGAACAGATCCAGGCGTCGGTGGAGATGATCTACAGATTGTCGCTAGATATGTGCGGCACAGTGCCGTATATTCTAGGCAGCCAGACGATGTCGGTGCATGTGGGGCAGGAGAAGATCGAGTATCCTGAGGCTGATGGACGACGGGTGACGGCGGCGCATCATCAGACGGCCGCGTTGATCGGGGGGTGGGTGGTCTCGTGTCACTTGTCGAATTTGCAGCTGTTTTGTCGGGATGCGGAGTTGAATGCGTGGGCGGGGGTGCAGAAGGAGCGCGTGTTGCGGATATATACGTTTGGAGGGAACCTTCATAGTGCAGCTAGTGCAGCTAGTGCAGCTTCATAGTGCAGCGTGTGCAGCTGCAGAGGTGCATACATATCATTAATGTAATAGATGTGTATAGTATTCGATGGAACATGGTATCATCACATGACCTGACTTTCCCGATTGGTCATCATCTCCGCAGAATACTCTGCGTCAGTCACTCTCCATTGCTCTCCTCTCCTACCAGTACTCTAGGTAGAGCTAATACCTGTTCCAATCACACTTCTACACTATCCATACGTTTTCACCTCCTGGAACAACCGAACCACCACCACCACCACCACTACTACCAATCTCACCTCCGAATCAACCACCAACCACCTCCTCACCACCTCACCAACATCACAATGCTCTTCTCACTCTTCTCCTCATCCTCCACCACCTCGACCCCCCAACCAACCACCGAACCACAACAACAACAACAACAACAACAACAACAACAACAACAACAACAACAACAACAACAACAACAACAACAACAACCCCCCACTACCACCCCCCCTCCACAAAACCAATATACCCGCTCTCCCACCGATGAAATCGACCCCCCCCTCCCCAAAATCTGGACCCCGCGCACAAACCTAAAACTCCTCCTCTCCGGCCTCGCCTTCTTCACATTCAGCATCTGGAGTACACGTCGCGCCACCATCCGAAAACATCTCGCCTGCATCCCACCCTTCTACACCAGCAGCATATACCATAAACCGAAGGTCAGTGGGGGCGCGGAAGCCTTCGAGGCGTTGCATTTGGCGACGATGAATGTGTTGAGTTTTGGGATGATGGTGACGGGGGGGGTGTTGTATGGGTTGGATGTTAATGGGGTGGAGGATATGAGGAGGTTTGTGAGGAGGGGGGAAGTGGTGGGGGATGGGGGGTTGAGGGGGGTGGATGGGGAGTTGGAAAGGGAGGTGGAGGGGTGGGTTGCTAAGGTGCTGGGGGAGAAGTTTGGGAGGGAGTTGCAGAGGGAGAAGGAGAGGAGTTTGTTAGAGGCGGAGGGGGAAGGGAAGAAGGAGTAAAGGTTTGGATGTATACGGTGGTCTATGTATGATTCTTCTCTCCACTCGATTTGTATAAGCATATGCATACACTGCATCACTATCGGTCCATCTGCTCGTATCGTTCCCGCGCCTGTTGCTTCGTCTTTGCCAGGAATTCCTCGTACCGGTTGCGGGTATTCCGTCCGGCCTCCTCCGTCGCATCGCCTAACTTTCCCCCCTGCGCCCCAAGGCCCACGCCCTGTGCATATACTTCGGTGGCTATCGGCGCCGTCATGCCCGTGCCTTGCGCACCCAGACCAGCGCCCGTCCATCCCATCTTGCTGAGGAGAGATGCCCCCTTGGAGGTGGTTTGCACGGGTTCTTCTTCCTGGGGAGCCGAGGCTGGGGCCGGCCGGTTCTTGGCTGCCGGCTTGGCCGCCGGCTTGGAGCTGCCAAATGCCTTGCGGCGCTCTCGCGCCCGGTCACGGTACTCCGTGGGTGCGGCGATAATGCCGTGCTTGATCAGCTTTCCCATCGCCTTGGCAGTGAGTTCCTCGTTTTGCAGATTGCCACGATGCAGTTGACTGAGACGTTCGTGGCGGTTGACCTCCGCCGATGACTTGAACTGGCGCATGCACAGGTAGCAGCAGTTGCGGTTGGGATCGGCGTAGGACTGGGTGGGCGGCGCCGCATCCGACGGAGACGCTCCGCGGTCCGAGCCATGCTCCGTGCTCTTGTCATCCGCGTCTTTCTTCTGAATCCCGTGCAACTCGGCATGGCGGTTGCTCCAGAACTGCAGATGCGACGGGACGGCCATCTTCTTGGCGCCAGCCGCGGATGCAGCCTCCGCCTTGCGCTTCTTGGCTTTTTCTGCCTCCTTGGACTTGCTCTCGGGCTGAGCGGGTTTATCCTTGGGATTGTCCAGATCTGCCGTCGACACGGTAAGTTCGGTCACATAGGCTTCTTCATCCCAGTACATGAGTTTCAAGGCCGGGCTGCTCAGGGGGCTGAAGGTAAATCGCTCGGTGCTGGCAGTGGGATTGAGGACCGGAACAAATACACCCGCATGGATGTAGCTGACGAGAACTGGCCGAGATGAAATGGTGAACTTTTCGAACGAGTTCAGCCGGGTTACGGCAGCTTGGGCATCCTACACGGATTAGCAGTGTCAGGATCAAAAGTGATGAACATACCTGGATAGTCGCAAATTCGGCAAATCCGTAGCGCCAACTGTCGTTGGTCCGGCGGTCTCTCACCAGCAGAACACGGCGGATAGAGCCATCCCGAGCACCCAGGTTCGAATCGCCTGTCGTAGAAGCCACCTTGGCTCCTTTTTTCCCAGTCCCCGGGGCATCAGCACTAGACGTAGGACGGTACAGCTTGGCAACTCCCTTGGCCAGCAACTCTTCTGTCACAGAAGGCTCCAATCCGCGGAAAAGAAGGAACTGAGAGGCTTGATTCTCTGGCGCCGCATCGTTGTCGCCATGGTTCTCCACCTTGGGTGCGGGCAATCCAGGGGGGCCTGCCGGTCCAGCATCTACTTTTGTCAGTAGAGTTCAAACTAGGACACAAGAACATACCAGGTCGTGGCCCTTGACACCGAAAGCATTTCTGACGAGTAGAGTAATTGACAATACCACACTGCAAATGTTAGCCACGCACACTACCATGCTCAATCTCCTGTCTGCAACTTACCATCACGCAGTTCCAATCCGCCTCCGCGCGGGCACGAGCGCGGTCTTCCCTTTCACGGCTGTATGCAATGCGGACTTTCGTACCGCGGTCGTTCTGTGCGCTAGGGCCATGCAGGTAGATCGTAGGAAAGTTGCGCTCGAGAAAAGCGCGGGAGAAATTGAGACTTCTGAATCGCAAGAAACCCAGTTGTCGGGAAAGCTCTGCACTCATTAGCAACGCAACACAGAGAATGTATGCACCCACTCGTCTGCCGGTCCCGAATGACCCGGACGTCATCCAGGCCTTCGATATGATAATAATCTTTAAGTTCATTCGTAATCTGTAACCACGTCGGCCGGAACCCGGCGACATATTCTCAGCCTTTGCCATCAAAAGTGGGAGCAGACTCCCAGGGAAGGAGCTGTCGAACGTCTTCTTCCACCATATCCACCGGTAGACCATCCATCATCACCTCCCTGCTCTCGTGTCCAAAATGCGGCTGTCGGCGGCGAGGACTGCGGCTGCGACTGCTGTAACTTCTGCTCCGGCTGCGGTATCCCGGGGAGCGATATCCCTCGCGGTCGCGATCCTTGTAGGCTGGTCGGCCTCGCCGGGGCGGGGGCGAGCGCGAGTGCCGTCGGTAGTCATCGCGGTCCCGACTGCGGTAACGAGAGTCGACTCGGTCTCTGGAGAATTCGGGTCTTCTGTCCGCGGCTGGCCCTCGGGGAGGCGAGCGCGGGAGATCTTCTCAGGGCAGTGAGTCAGTAACAGCTAGATGTGAAGAGATGGACGGCTGTCCAAGGAAAGCATTCGCTCTGTGCTACTGTTGCGGGGGGAGAGCGTATACCGCCAGGCGAGCGCGATCGGGAGGGCGAACGATCGTCGTACATGCGGCCGTCCCGGTCGTCACGGCGGGGCATAGGTCGGTAGGAGGGGCCAGGCAGATACCTGGATTCCTCGGGATGAATATGCGACATGAAGGCGATGGTAAGATTGAAGGTATCGATATGGGGGTGGAGGAGAGGAGTGGACTTCGCGGCGAGAAAGCGCCGATTGGCAGAAACCTACCGCCTTGCCGTATTCAATGGTTGGACCGTCTCGATTCACTACACAGTATAGGAATGCGTTGGCAAGTCATTACACAGACATACCAGAAATCGAGTCTGAGTGTTGTCTCCATAATTGGTGTTACTTTATGATCACTGGTTGGTTGATGCACCAGTCCGTCTACCAAGGCACGAAAGATTGTTGCATTTCCTCGGCAGGGATACATATTCTCACATCGGACTAACTATCGGTGGACAGGAGTTGATGTCATCTCTTACTCCAGACCATTTCGTATCCCATCAACTTCGGCTTGAATGGCACCCTGCATGGTCATGACAAATGCTGCTTGGCATCCGACACCGTGGCTGTCTTATGAAGGAATCCTGGTGCCAAGCGCCCGTGCTGTTCGGCTTCTTACCTCCAAGGCTTGATCATGTGGTTTAACAGGTATCGTGGCTAAACTAACTGGGGTCACGTCCGCTGTAGACTCAAATTCGAGATTAGAAGCGTAAGAGTATCGATGTTGCCTGATGGAGTCCCACTCAGCCTTATGCCCAGTCTTGGCGGGTTGCCATGTTTGTATTCATCCGTGTTTCATGAAAATGCTCGAGTGCTTCAAAGGCTGTCTGATAATCATTGCAAGGTGGCATATTCTCAGTCTGTTCACAGTAGTAGCAGATCTGCAGGCGTAGGAGATAGGTAAGGGAATGAGGACGGAACCTCGAGATGCCCAGGGTCCGACTCCGGTTCCCAGCCAATGGGCATCGGACCGCCCCGTAGGGCTGAGCGTCGTTGTTGGAACTTGGGATCTTTCTCGCTTCCTCCAGTCCCTGATTCCTGCTGCCTGGCGCTGGCATCCAATCACCACTTGCATTGGTGGACCCTGAATGGGTTTGTGCTCACTAGTTCGGTCGAACGATGTCACCCTGCCGGAAATCCGAGATTATGTTAGGCAGCATAAATGAAATTCCACGATGGGCATTTGCTGCGCCTTGCCTGGAGTGGCTCTGCCACCTCACAATAAATTGCTCTAAATTGAATTCGGGCATTACATGCAAAAGAAATTGCCGGTGCTCCGAGTGTGACCCATCCATGAACTTGACTATAAAGTGACCTGGGGATCCCTTCATGTCTTTGGCACTGTGCGATCGTTGACGTGTCATTTGTGGAACTAACAGCCATGAAGCTAACGAGCGTTTCTACCGCTCTAGTCACCCTCGGGTGCATCTCAGGTATTCCGGCCCCAACAATGCTCAACGGCAGTACTGATACTGTCATCTATCATAGGAGGTGTCGCCATTCCCACAGCACTCGACCTCACTTCTACGGGAATCTCACCACGAGCACTTTCCAATGCACCCGATGGCTATACGCCCGCTAATGTCTCCTGTCCGGCTAATCGACCGACCATTCGGAGCGCTTCAACCCTGTCAGCGAACGAGACAGCATGGCTCGATGTACGGCGTCAGCAGACCGTTTCCGCAATGAAAGACTTTTTCGGACATATCAACATGAGCTCCTTTGATGCTGTCTCGTACATTAACAACCACGCCTCCAACATCACCAACATCCCGAACATTGGCATCGCCGTGTCGGGTGGTGGCTACAGAGCTTTAACTAATGGCGCCGGTGCAATCAAAGCATTCGACAGTCGAACGGAGCACTCGACCGAGACCGGACACCTGGGTGGTCTTCTGCAGTCAGCCACATACCTGTCCGGTCTTTCTGGAGGTGGCTGGCTTCTAGGATCAATCTACATTAACAACTTCACCACCATCTCGAACCTCCAAACCTACAAAGCAGGCGAAGTCTGGCAATTCCAGAATTCCATCACCAAAGGACCAAAGACGAATGGGCTGCAAGCCTGGGATACAGCCGAGTACTACTATGACCTGGCAAAGGTCGTTGCCGGGAAGAAAGATGCTGGCTTCAACACCTCCTTCACCGACTACTGGGGTCGCGCACTCTCATACCAACTCATCAACGCGACCGACGGCGGCCCAAGCTACACGTGGTCCTCAATCGCCTTGACCCAAGACTTCAAGGATGGAAAAATGCCCATGCCCCTCCTGGTTGCCGATGGCCGCAACCCAGGCGAGACCCTCATCGGCAGCAACTCAACCGTCTACGAGTTCAACCCCTGGGAATTTGGCAGTTTCGATCCCTCCATCTACGGATTCGCTCCCCTCGAATACCTCGGATCCCACTTCGACAACGGCGCAATCCCCTCCAGCAAGCCCTGCGTCCGGGGCTTCGACAACGCCGGATTCATCATGGGCACCTCATCCAGTCTCTTCAACCAATTCATCCTGAAACTCAACACCACCGACATCCCCTCCACCCTCAAAAAAGTCCTCGCCAGCATCCTCGCCGAACTCGGCGACCGCAACGACGACATCGCCATCTACTCCCCCAACCCCTTCTACAACTACCGCAACGCCACCATCGACTACGAAAAAACCCCCGACCTCAACGTCGTCGACGGCGGCGAAGACAAACAAAACCTCCCCCTCCACCCCCTCATCCAACCCACCCGCAACCTGGACGTCATCTTCGCCGTCGACTCCTCCGCTAGCACTCCCAACAACTGGCCCAACGGCAGTCCCCTCGTCGCCACCTACGAACGCAGCCTCAACACCTCCGGCATCGCCAACGGCACCGCCTTCCCCAGCATCCCCGATAAAAACACCTTCATCAACCTCGGCCTTAACACCCACCCCACCTTCTTCGGCTGCAACAGCTCCAACATCACCGGCCATGCCCCCCTCGTCGTCTACCTCCCTAATTACCCCTACACCACGTACTCCAATAAATCCACCTTCCAACTCACCTACGACATCTCCGAGCGCGACGACATGATCACGAACGGCTATAACGTCGTCACTATGGCTAACGCCACTAGAGATACTTACTCCGATTGGCCCACTTGCGCGGGCTGCGCGATTCTCAGTCGCTCGTTCGATCGTACGAATACCCCGGTCCCGGATGTTTGTTCGCGGTGCTTTGAGAAGTATTGTTGGGATGGGACGCGGAATAGTACGACGCCGGCGGCGTATGAGCCGTCGATTCTGCTGGCGAGTGCGAAGAGCGCGGGGATGAAGAGCGCCGCGCCGGGGTTGGTGTCGCTTTTGGTGCCATTCGCTGTGTTGGGGATTTGGTTTGGTTAGATTATGTTTGGGTGTCTTCTTAGTACATGAGATATGCATGCCTTCTGGAGATAGATCACGATAGTGATGATTACAACCACTAGTAGAGTCCTACTCTATCCTCGAAATATTACTAACTTGCCAGAACCTGGACCAATCCCAGCACATCCGACCAAGAACGACCCTACATACGTACTTGAAACAAACCCCGCAAGAAAATTAAGTTCACTTTTTAATTAATTCCTCAACTAACGAGCCATTCCAGCAACAAACTAATAGTTGCCAATACCACTATGACCCCACCACCATCCCACCATCCATCATCTCGAATCTCATCCCCATAATTATCAAGATCAAGCAACACAATTCGCAAGACATAACCCATGATAGCAACATCCCCGTTTACAATTCGTACGAGTGTCGCAGACGGGCATAGCTTGATTGTCATCATCATCATCATCATCATCATCATCTTCTTCTTCTTTGTCAGGAGGGGTGGTGAAGGTGTTGGATCCTAGGTTTGTTTATCATGAGTAAGGATTTGATTTCCCAACGATATTCAAAGGATAGAGATAGAGGGCAGGAGGGGGAGGAAACATACTCTTCAAACCACCAGCAGCGACAGCATCCCCCTCATTACAAGGCCGACAGAAACTATGATAGCAGCAACCGGATTTACAGTATTTGTCTTTGCGGCATTGGATGAGATTCGACAGATCGTCAGTAGGAGTAGACTCCGCCGTGTCACCCTTTGCAGATCCTATATTGTCCATTAGTCAGAGATAGTAGTAGTGAGAGGAGAAGAAGAAGAAGAAGAAGAAGAAGAAGAAGAAGAAGGGTCCATACCGCTCAACACCTCCGCATACGCAACCTCATCCCGCGCATCACCAAAACAATAAGCCAGACAGAGTCCGCGATAGCAGCATCCCGTCCCGCAGTCCCGATTGGTGTGACATTTCTGATTGTTTTGATTCATTGCACTTCCATCTTCAGACATACCAGAGCCTATATGCTATTAGCTATCCCCTAATACCAAGCAAGGAGGGAGAGAGTGAGGGAGAGGGTGGAGGAAGAACACACCACGAGCCCACAACGCAGTACCCACCCGCTTACGGGCCACAGGCGGCTTCTTCGGATCCTTAGGACAGATATGCCCCACGCAATTCCCGTGGTAGCAGCATCCGCCGTTCTTGCAGTCTCGTCGGTGGTGGCATTGGGGTTTGGTTGTGTCGGTGGATGCAATATTAGGCTCTATTTGTTGTTAGTGGTTTGGTGGGGTGTATGAAGGTGTGGATGGGATTTGGGGACATGCCTTCGATCATGCGACGGATTAGCTCGGTGTGAGGCTTCTCGTGGTAGCAGTGGGCGAGACAGAGGCTGTTGTAGCAGCAGCCGGTGCCGCAGTCGGTGTCTTTGGTGCAGATGGAGTCAACTACGGGGTGCGTTAGTGGGGTGGTGGGTATGGTGTTGGAGACTTACTGTCGTAGAGGTCGGTGAGGTGGGAAGCCTCGTTGGGGACGGCGGAGGAGGCCACTAGGCTGATGGTGAGGGAGAGGATCAGAAGGAGGAGCTTCATTTTGAGTGAAGATGGATGGGTATGTTTTAGAAAGAGATGGGAGGAGAGGAGTTGATAAGGAAGAGAGGGAGGGTGGGCAGGTCCGGGCTTATAACAACGGGGTGGTGAACGTGAATACGGTCTGAGTGCATGCGGCAATGAAGGTTGATGTGAATTTCATCACGTCAGTGATATGTGGGGTTGATTCACTTCGACTTGAAATTGAATGAGAAAGTCAACAGACATCAGGTGCGTATCCAATAAGGTATACTGCTACAAGCAAGCTAAGAATAACTATCTAATCTACATACAGATGTGGCCTCCCCTAGCCATTTGCCTCCAATTTCGTAAATCGGCCTCGTACGTCAGCTAGCACCGAAATTTAAGAGAAGCTCAGACGAGGAAATGTTGGTGTCTCCTCATATATCCACCACCCTGAGGTTGGTTGTAGTCTATCCCAGCGCTGATGCAAGAGCGGTGAATGAGGCAGGACCTCAAATCCCACCAGCCCAGCAAGCATCCTCGTCGTGCGTCTTTGGCCAATCAACGGCACCGGAAACGACACATATGCGGCCGGAATAGCCGTCACCATAAGCGGGGGATACACTAGTCCATCGAACTGAATCTGTCCTTCCTGACGGCTATCCACGTGTGGGATGCGTTTGCCATCATAACCCCAGAAGCAGAACGCCGTGATCCAGCCAGCGAGCATAAAATATTCGCGGGGGTGATTCTCGCGAAGGCAACATTTCCAGAAGTAAGTAACCTCCGATGTGTTACCATCAAACGATGTTACAAATCGACGGAGTATCGGACGAAGGGAGATGACAAAGCCCTTCAGTGGTCCGCCCCAGATTTCAATCATGTTGAGCTTGTGCAGCAAAGCACCCCAATCCTCCCGCTCACCCAACAGCGTCACTGACGGAATATTACATTCCATTAGCTTTTCGTCCAGAGAGCATCTTTTGACATCTCCCAGCATCAGCGCAGTAGCCACAACCCGGTCGTTCCGGGTCGTTGTACTGAACGATGGTAGCGCCCAAGCGCGTAGGTCCGGGTGGGTAATATGCCTCGCCAGCGCTCGTTCCATATAGATCGCCACGTCGCCATCATCAGCGCTCAGATCAAGTGCAGGAGTGGCTGATCTAAGCTTTCGATCAAAGAAGTGGGGGAGAGCCTGGGGATGGGCGTTGAAATAGACGTTTAGTTGGCTTAGGATGGAGAACCAGATGTCTTCGGGACGGATCGTGAGATGATGAGAAGTACGGTAGGCGTTATATATTGCTTGGACGAACCCATGCTCGCAGCCTATGATGCGGCGGTCTTTGAAGTCGTCTTCCTGGAAATAGCTCTCGACAATTCGCCCGCTTTCAAGATAGTCCATCGCACTGGTTCGAGAAAAGAGGGCTTTCCCGTCTTTGGCGACGGACTTGCCGGGCCACTCTTGAGAAGACCTTTCGGAGAGGGTAAGTGTGACGGGCATATTGAAAAGCTTGGTCAGATATTTAAGAATAACGCCAGCGGCGTGAAATGAGTGGCTCGATGAGGGGTAAATGGAAAGGAGCAGAAGAAGTGAGCATAAGTCGGTGTCGCTGTCTTTGATGGGACAGACTGCAAGGAATAGAAGGCGCAACCCAGATCGGCAGATGAGTCGAGGCAGGCAGTCATCTCTTAGTCCTAGGCCACTGCCATCGATATGCAAGCTGCTCAATACGATGCCGTGATCCATTCGGAGGTGTTGGGCAGGTACGATTTCAGCTCAGCACAGCCCCAGATGAACTCAACCATGAGCTGAGCCACACCGAACTGCGAATATAGAATAAAATAAAGAAAATAAAGATACAAAACGAGATGGGGAGAGTTCTATATTGATTCATTATGTTGGTCTTATGGATCACGGTTCAAGTTGCAGATATTCCACCAGTGATATATCCATTGCTCTAGGCCTGCACAAGCAGAACCACTGCCTCATAAGGCCGAAGAGACCATGTCTGTCCCGAAAACCTCTCCTTTACCCCCTCTGTGCTTTCATATGAGTTCAGCAGCACCTCCTTTACCCCCTTAATGCCATTGGTAGTGGAATCCCACTCCAAGGTACCCTCTGTCCAATTCGTGAGCACCAGGGCCTTCTGGTCCTCGTACTGACGGCTGTACGCAAATACCTCCTGGCTGTCTTTATCCACCAGGTCGTAGTCACCATAAACAAAGATGTCCAGGTATTTCTTGCGCAGTCGGAGCACCCTGGCCCAGTAGTTGTAGGTCGAATTCGGGTCATTCACCTGTGCTTCAGCATTGACCCGTACATGGTCCGGATTCACGGACATCCAAGGCTTTGCATCGGGACCAGTGAATCCACCGTTTGGCGCGTTGGACCACTGGACTGGTGTGCGGCCATTGTCTCGGGACTTTTTCTGGTACTCCTGACGGGCGCTCTTCTGAGCTTCGGTGTCTGATGGCTTATGCTTTAACAGACTAATACCGCAAAGTTAGAATTTCCTCTGTTATAGGTGTAGAGAGGTACAAACCGGTGCCAATGGTTAAGACAGTCAATGTCCTTGTACTCGCTGATGTCCCACTCGCGCGGAACGTTCCTCATTCCCAGTTCCTGCCCCTGGTACACAAACGGCGTACCCGACTGCAAGGCCAGCACAGTAGCCAGCATTTTACCCGCTTGGGTGCGGAATTCCTCCTTTGCTTGGGCATAGCGATCAATCGACCGGGGCTGATCGTGGTTCTCCCAGTAAAGAGCATTCCATCCGTCATTATCGTACATGAACTTCTGCCATCTCTCAAAGAAAGCCTTGAGGTCGGTGAGCTTCCAACTTCCCGGCTCAAACTTGTCGTATGTGCCGTGGTCGATGTCCACATGCTCAAAGTTGAAGATCATGTTGAGTTCGTTTCGGTCATAACGCACAGCGCGGAGGACCTCCTCCGTGTCCTTGACAAACGGCATCTCACCGACACTGAATGCGTCGTACTCTTTCAGGATTTTCCCCAGATCTTGGAAATATTCATGTAGTCTTGGCCCGTTGGCGTAGTATTTATCTCCCCACTGCCAGGGAGTTCGGGGGTCCTTGACAGGAGCGTCCGGGAACCGTTGGTCTTTGCTGACAAAGTTAATCACATCCATGCGGAATCCGTCTGCGCCTTTGTCGAGCCAGAAACGCATGATATCATGGACAGCCTTGCGGACGGGCGGATGCTCCCAGTTCAGGTCGGGTTGCTCGGTCGCATAGAGGTGGAGGTAATATTCACCGGTGTGCTCGTCCCATTCCCAGGCGCTACCTACAGTTGGTATTAACAAAGTTTCAAGGAAACAGGGAAATAAATCATAAAAATGAATCAATGAGCTCACCCTGAAAATGCGAAACCCAGTTATTGGGCGGTTGCCGGTTGCCCTGCTCGTCGTACCTCGCCGGCTTCCAAACGTACCAGTTGCGATACTCATTATCCTTGGAGCTGCGGGATTTTTTGAACCATTCATGCTGGTCACTGGTGTGGTTGACCACCAGGTCCATGAGGAGCTTCATTCCGCGCTCGTGGCACCCTTGAATCAGCTTCTCGACATCCGCGACCGTGCCATACTCATCCGCGATGCTGTAGTAATCGGAAATGTCATACCCCATGTCAACCTGGGGCGACTTGTAGGACGGACACAGCCAGACGATATCAATACCCAGCTTCTTGATATAATCCAGCTTGGAAATAATGCCTGGAATGTCGCCGATGCCATCATCGTTGGAATCCTTATAAGAAGCAGGCCAGATCTGATAGACCGAGCATTCCTTCCACCAGGCGCGGTGGAGCTGGGAGGCGGGCTTGGCCATTATGTTGGTGTTCGGTTTCTTGGGGATTTGGCAGGTCGAAGACCGGGGGTCCCTGCTCTTATCAGGAGCGCAGTGGGCGAGAGGGGGAGGACAGGCTGGCTGTTCTGCCCCTCCAAGGATGGGCACCGCGGGGCAGTCGCTGCTTCATCTCATTCATCGACGCTGGTGCGGAGAAATTCTCGGTGGATGCATCGTCCGCCGGTCGCACGCTCACTACCACTCGCACCCCACAATGTGGTGGACCGGTATTTCAATGGCCGAGGGAACAGTTGACTTCAACAATCCCCACCTTGTGCCTGGATGGAGAAGTTGAGCTGTTACTCGGACCGTGAACAGCCCAACCCAACAGGTGGCCGAAAAGGGACAAGCCCCGGCTCCGGATCGCCGCCATTGATTCTCCCCGGTCTATTCTCCGCGCCACCGCATATGCTAATTTGGGTTGATTACGAACCTGATTATAGCTGTTTGGCTTGTGCCTAGAAAGGTCTTCTGGATGCGGGTATCGAGTATTCTACGAATGGTCGAATGTGGGCGGACTATTGGAGGATGCCGATGTCTTTGGCATGCCCTCACAAAACTCGCACAACTCAAAAGCAATCCCATCCCTATTGCCCATAACCAATGACCTCGTTCCATGTCAGCTATGCATAAATCGTGGAAGACTTCCCCGGCTCAGACATATCAAATGCGATCAGTGTGAATTAACCTAGAAAACAGGGAAAAAAAAAATAAAGGAAGCACGCAATAGCAGTCAGTCTAAAGCAAAGAAAACATATACACTCTATGTGTTGGCAGGAGGATCACGTGATATCGGCACTTATAACTCCTTACAAGGAGACCTCCCAACTACTAATATAAAGACTTCTAGCTACTAATATAAAGACTTTCTATATTCTCTCAGAGTCTTTCTAATTATTAAAGCAGGGATTTCCTACACTATTTCAAAAATCTTAGTAAACCAAGTCTTAATAGAAAATATAAAAGATATAAATTCTCTACGATCTATTCTAGATAAATAGAGATAATTAATTAACTAGAGCATCCACTAGTATCACATGATATACTGGAACTATAAGAAGTCGACCGAGTGAAATTTCAATTTTACTAATGGGTTCCCAGAAATGAAAGCTCAACATCCCTACTTATGAGCTTACTTCCAAGAATCCCTTCCGCAGGACCCCTAGTAGCCGTCAGTGGAGGACGACTAACCTATCAACTAACGAATAGTATAACTATTCCCCACCAATATAAATGGAGTATTAATCTAGCCAAACTAAGCTTGAAATATAGGCTCAAACGGTTGGAGCTGAGCAGGGACTGATTATTCAATAACATAATGCCAAGACTAGCATTAAACATAGGTACGTTATCATTCAGTTTGTGGCTCCCCTCTATGGCCAGTGGACCCAAATTTACCCATTTGCACTAGTGCACACCCAAATTCGAGTCAGTGCCTGATAGCGACAAGCACCTAGGGTTCCCATAGCACATAGCCAATAAATATTGATGTTCCCTTCCACCCTCTCACCACAACTCAATGAAAGCCTGCTCTCTGTCAATATGCTTCTGCCTCTGCGTATTAGCGCTGCAGCCAAGCGAGCTCTCACTCAGCTCACACACATTCTCAAGCTGCGTGCCTCACGAATATTCGTGTCAAGCCTACTGCTATGGCTTCTGCTGTACGCCTACTGTCGGACCAGATTCTGGCGTGACCCGCACTCCGCCTTCTTCCAAGATGACCATGTTTACGATCTGGACTATAGCTTGTACCGCGAGCGGGAAAGCATGCATTTTCTCGCGAGGCATAATGCGCCTACCTCCCCCCCTGCAAATGAATTTTACTATTCCTATGCCAAAAACACGAGTGAGACTGAGAACAAGCCACCGGCCGTGTGCGTTGCCATAGTCACCGTACATAGAAGACAGGACACGTACTTTGACGCATCGGTCGGCTCGCTGTTGGAGGGGCTCACTGAGCAGGAGCGGAGGGCAATGTATCTCACTGTTCTGTTTGCCGATACAGACCCGATGGTACATCCCAGCTGGGGCCAGAAATGGGTCGACAGGCTTCTTGACCAGGCCAGGGGGTACAATGTATCTGCAGAGCAGCTGGAGGATCTGAAAATGTGGGAAGCGGAGAGGAACTTCTACAAGAAGGGGGTCTTGTAAGTCTCGTCCCAATCTGTGATGCGAGAGAACAAATTGGAACTTGCCAGTTGGAACTAATGCCAAGTGTACGGTTTGTGAAGTGACTACCTTTATGCACTGCGGGCCTGCCAGGCTGTCAATGCCCCTTACACGCTCGTCTTCGAGGACGACATCATCCTGGCTACGGGGTGGTTTGCACGAACGCTGAAGAGCCTGGCGGAAATTAACCGACGTGAAGCTGGACCTGACCAAAATTATAGCCATGCTGGGGAAAAGCGGAAGCCATGGCTGTACCTACGGCTCTTTTACACGGAGACCTCGCTGGGCTGGAGCAACGCTGACTTCGCATACCGAAACATGCCGTTAATCTTCCTCACACTCACTGCGTCGTCGTTCACTGTTCTTCATTTCCTTCGGCGCTATCATTGCTTGCAGCGCCTGCATCTCTACACCCTCAGCATCCTCGTCATCTCTCTCTTCTGCATTCCCGCATTCACGGGGCTGGCGTACATGATGGGAAAATACAACCTCATGCCGCTCCGCGGCGTGGTGGAGATGAACAAGTTCGGGTGCTGCACGCAAGGCCTGTTGTTCCCAGCGCAGCGGTTGGACGGGCTGATAGGGTTCTTGGAAAACAGAGGACATGGGCAGACGGACTCATTGATTGAGGAGTATGCGGACCTGAAAGGGCTGAATAGATATGCGGTCGCGCCGCCGCTACTGCAGCATGTGGGCCTAAAGTCCAGCAGGGACAATACGGATATCAATACGCAGAGTACGTGGCAGTTTTGGTTTGAAAATAATGAGCCAGAGGCCTTGAGGAGGGAGCATGCGAAGTTGTTAGGCGATGCTGATGTACAGCGGATGTTGGAGGCTGCCGCAACGTAGATTATCATAGACTGAATGGGCTTAGAGTTCGATCTACTGGAGAACAGGCATGCTAGGGTACCAGCACGACCTTAAATTCCACGTGTCCAGTTTGCCGCAATGAAGCTTGATCAATCAGCTACTGCACTGGAAGTCAATAACGCTGGCCCTGGAGTTCATAAGAAGTGCGACAATCAGGCCGTACAATCCTACCATACCAGCTCCATTAGCTTTCAATACGTTCCTCGGAGAAAAGGAGGTCAGAGCTACATACCCAAGACCTCAGCAAAGATTAGGATAAGGATCATGCCCACATAGAGTCTCGACTGCTGCGCGGTCCCTCTCACCCCTGCATCACCGACAATCCCAATTGTAAATCTAAAACAAATCAGTCAGTTGCCAACAGGTGAAACAAACGAACAGTCGGAAAGAACTTTTACCTACCCAGCAGCCAGCCCACAGAGCCCAACCGCCAGGCCGGCGCCCAGCTGAAGCAGACTCGTGTACAGAGTGATCTCCTGTGCGAGGTTGTTGGCAATCAGCACCGAAACCACTAGGCCGTAGATGCCAAGGATTCCGGCCATAACGATGGGCACAATGTCTTGAACCTGTCAGCTCATAGAACGCTAGTTGCCGGGTACTATAGATGTGGACTCATACTTTTGACGATCAAGTCCGGCCGCAAGACACCGGAGGAACAAACGCCCACCCCAGCCTTGGCAGTTCCGTAGGCTGCCCCGACGCTCGTGAAAACAATGGCACTCGTACATCCGAGGACTCCGAAGAGTGGCTTGGAAGGTTAGTATCCATTTTTGTCTGCTTCAGCTACAACGAGTATGTACCCACTCCATAGGTCGGACTGAAAATTAGCGCCGTTAGCCACTGTCTTACCCAAACTAAACACAAGAGACAAATTTCGGAGGTCCTGACCAGAATTCCGATGCCATCGCTTCTTCTCTTTCCTTCTTTGTCTTGAATGCTAGGCTGGCGTAGATGGAGGAATAGTCTGACCCTAAAGAATAAATTAACCGGTGGAGGCTAGGTAGCTTTATACCCCTCACCGACTCCAAGCCAAGACTAACTTGTGTCAGAAGACCCTTTGCCTGGACCGATTAGGCCTGCTAGTTATCCTCTGGGGTCAGCCCCTCGGCCGATGGAGCTAGTTCTCTATTTCTCAATAGGCAGGGTCCGTCGGGCGCCTACGGCTCCTGGCAGGATAGTGACCATCCTCTGTGACCGGGAAGTTGTTATATGCTTGACCCCTTTCCCTCGGAAGCTTGTGTGTTAAGGGAAGGTTGGTTTAACTAGCTAGGTATATAATAAATCGAACATAAGTGAGTAATTAAATTCCTTAATTATACACTCCCTCCTTCCCACTTACAGATACCGCGCCCTTGAGTCCGTTATAAGAATAGTGAACCGGTTAAATTTCGGCTCGTGTCTATATCTTTTAGTATAGGGAATAATTCGCTATAAGCAGTATGAAGGGGTTGGCTGAGTTAGTGCTTATAATGTTGTTTTACCGTTGGTAGTGTGACCTCCTTTTCATTCCTATCTCAACAACTAATGACTTATCTTATTGTAAGTTACTGGTATGAGGGGCCAGGCAACCGCAATTTTCTTTGAGCGGATGATCCCGATACAAGTGGGGAGTGTCTCACTCTGCTGAGCAGTGACCACTTAGGCCAGCAGGGACATTCGTACTATGTATAAACTAGGCTAGTGATAGCACCAGTCGTTTTCAGGGCTTGACTTGTCAAGTGGAGAAGCCATACATCCGTGCTTGAGATGGTTCGCTTACCTGGCCAGTGCTGTTATTACTGGGACATGATATACGGACAGGCTGCTTCAAATAGACCGGCACCGGCACGTGAATTCTGGAGGTTTGTAAATATGGCTCAAAAGGAGCGTTTGTTAAATTTCAGAAGCCATGAAGCTTCTTTAAACCTGCATAGCTAACAACTTCCACCGAATTACTCCGGCAGCTCAAGCACACTGACGAGCCTGATTTTCTCCGGGTGGAGCCCAAAGTAGGCCCCCTTAAGGGACTTCCATGTTCCCTAAGAGGACTAAAATTCCAGACGTTGTTTGTTGAGGTCGCGCCTTAGCGTGCACAAGCGCATACCTACGTGCCTAAGCGACAATCGAATACCCTGCCGGCTTTAGTACTGAAGTGCCCTGGCTGCGCTGGCCTTCTGATTATGGCCTGGCAATAATACTTTCCCTGGTGCATATTTCTGCTCTTACGTTACTTTATTCTCTCACTTCTTGAAGAGAGCATTGCATGCAGTTGATAATGAGATATCAGGTCGGTAGTATAGTAGTATTGCCCACAAGCGAGATGGGATTGTAGATGTGCATTTGCTGAATAGAGATTAGTATCCCTGGTAATCAGACCCCTGCTCTTTAATCAACCAATCAATTTATATTAGCCACACTTTTCTGGTAAGCCATTCTATATTATCAAATGTCAGACTGCCCCGCTTGGTTCAATTCCATTACTGCTAAAACGGGAAGGTGAAGTAAGAGGGCGGCCTGAGGTTCATAAGCCTCTCATCCGAAAACCCGGGCTTCTATGTGTGGGCTTATAGACTTAACAACACAAGAATATCGATGTGATGGGAATTGGAAAATGCTCATACATATCTATGATTTGAGCGAAAGCCTCCAAGGCAATGTATTCCACTCCACTTTGTCCTTTGGATCCTCTCTTTCCCTGTATATCTACGCTCACGAATTTCTCAAGTCAAACACATGGCCACCGACTGTGAATCCATTGGACGAACCAAAACATGTCCTTGACCCTTACAAGACTAGAGACAGGAACACTTGCATGACTCATAATCCTTCCGATATAACATCGAGCAGGGGTCGCTCGAGATATCTCATCCTCGAATTTATCAAAATATGGCAAGATTGGTCAGGAGAAACATATAAAACGGCCCATCTTCCCCTCTAATCATTCTTCTCACACAGCGAAGCAGTATCCCCAAGGTCTTTATAATATATTCTTATCTTCCAACACAAAGACCTCCGAAACCCAATATTAGCTACCATGAAACTTACTGCTGCCCTTCCTGCCTTCGCGGCCTTCACCCTCGTACGCACATCCTCTTCTATCCCGGTTTCACTCTTCCCTTCCAATCTATCCAATTAGTCTAACCTATCATCTCAAAACCTAAGCCCAAGCAAGCACCCTCGGGCTGGATGCCCCCATCCCCAGATACAGCATCGAAGAGTTCACGTGGGAGATGGAGACAACTCCCAGCGGGCCTACCGTGCTCCTCAACAGCACCGTCCAGGAGATCTACGCAGAGCTGATTAAGATCAACCCTTCCTATGACGGTGACTTTGCCGACAGGTTTACTGCTGCGGAAGCTGCAGCTAGTACGGAGATATAGTCTGTAACTGAGGACGGTGCTGCCTCCTTGCACAAGCGGATGCCTGTAACCTGTAATAACTATGACCAGACTATCACGTGCTGCATCCAGGAAGGCATCACGTACTTGCATGGCATTAGCAGCAGCCTAAGTAATGGCCCTGGTCCTGGAAACTGCGGTCGTGTCAGCTGCTCGTATAACTCGGCAATTTGGTGGTGCAATGATATGCGTGCTTGACATTAACCCTACCATACCCTAAATTAGAACTATGCAAAGGTACTGTATACTAACATCATATACAAAACACCGTTCCCAAGACTCTTCCCGGTTTCAACAACATTGCCGACGGTGCCCAGGTCGTCATCAACAACTGTGCGCCAACAGATGTCTAAGTTTCTAACAAGGAGACACACAGTGATAACTGGAAGGCTGTTATCCGCAGGAGCCCGTGCTAGGTTAACTTGCCATAGAGTCTACCTGATACATAAATCTGCCCCTCATCCAACAATGGTACACTATATTTATACTACATCCTCTCTTTCTCACCATCTAACTTTTCAACAAAGCTTAGGCTGGACGAGAGGGAAATAAGAATATTTACATAGGTTCTGTATTTCTTAAGTTGTGCTATAATTTGTATCTACCTTACATATCTGGTTTTATCCATTATTTGGTCCTTTCGATGTTCATAGTAAAATAATATAACACCTTACTCTACAATCTGTGGATATTTCCAGAGCTGGTTGTATATTCAAAGAGAAGAAGCGGAAGAAGCGTGAATATACCTAAAGATAGACTGGGTGTACGGAGGGAAGGCTTACATGGATGAAGGCAGTGGAGACGATGATGCCCGTGCCAAATTGTTTGATGACCGTGAAACCAATGGAGTTGGAGGTAGGGAATAGCAGCTTCATGACCACCATGGGCAGGAAGGCTCCTATCGCGCTGGTCACCAGCACCACGAACAGCGTGCCGATACGCATGGGGATGTCATAGTCTCGGGTCTGCACGCTGCAAGATTTGGTCGAGCTGCCACTTTCAGATTCGCCGGCTCCGACACAGTGTCTATAGCCTTAAGTTAATGTGGTTGATCTGTGTATTCGCCGTAGACACTCACTCAACACCCGCGTGGAAGTGGCAGTTCTATCCTGCGTGTTCGCCGCTGGACTCTTCGCTTGCTTGGTCTTGATCCTGGGCAGATTCGCCCTCTTCGAGGATCTGCACGTCGTTTCCGTCGGGATCGACACAATATCTATACAATGACTTAGTTTGAAAGAATGAGCAAAGCAAACACTGTGGTCTCACCTCTCTGAGCCGTACAAATGGCAGTCGGTGTACTGAGCTGGCATCTCTCCTGTGGGAGTCGCCGTCAGGGACACCTGCACCTCGTGTCCATCGCTATCAATGCTGTTGGAGGAGAAGCCTTGAAGCCTTACAATTCAGATGGCTACAGATCCAAGCTAAGGGTAGAGTGGTTATACCTGACCGTTATACCTTAACCGTAACCTGACCGTAACCTGGCGGTCAGGTTAAGGTATAAAGATCCTCTTAACCGTATGGTTAAGGTCAGGTTAAGGTTAAATGGTCACTTTAACCGTCCCTAACCGCAGGTCAGGAAGGTCAGGTAATCCAGGTAGGTTAAAAACCGCAAGTTAATTGGTAATTTATACGAAGACTTTACACAAATAATTCATGTAATATAATATATTTCAATTATAATAACCTCAGAATAAGATAAAATATTGATTAGTTATCAATCAATAATCTTTTGCGGATTTCCTGGCTAGTGAGACGGCCGATCAACACAGCAAAAAATGAAGTCGTATTGGTGCTACTACTCTAGAACTTTAAGCGTAAGGGGGAAAAAGGAAAACAGGAAATGTTGTGGGCGCTCACTTGAAGATAACAATAGCAAAGCAAACAAAGCAAACATAATCACATGATCCTGAACAAGGCTGCCGTCACATCTAACTACTATATAGAGATTTTTTACATTCTCTTAGAGTCTTCCCAATTATTAAGACAAAGATTTCTTATACTATTCAGAGTGTCTCAGTAAATCAAGCCCTAGTAAAAGATATAAAAGATATAACTTTTCTACCACCTATCCTAGATAGATAGAGACAATCAAGTTTTCATTACCATACTTAGAAGTCATTATCAACTATCAACACTATATCATTGTACATCTCTCGCCACTATCATGCTCGTAATCGTCTCAGCAGCCAAAATATATGTATGCCCGAATGGTACATCCCTGTATGTCATGGTACGTATATCTATAAGTCGTCTTGACGAGGAAAGCGGTTAAAACCGGATCCTCTATTGGCCAAAAGATTGTTCGTCCAGTAAAGCTCTGCGATCATTGGTCATTAAGCAAGCTTAATGCAACCGAAGAGCACCATCGCGGTCCTCGGCACTGTCAAACGCATCAGCGATGCGAGATCCCTCTCCCTCATACAGCAGCGAATCGTAAACTGTAGCCCCCAATATGCAACCAACAATCGGAGCGAAAATCGGCACGACGAAGTAATAGTTCGCGGCGGTGAACACCTCTCTGCCATAGATGAACGCGGAGAACAGTCTCGGACCGAAATCTCTTGCGGGATTGATAGCCTGCAACAGTCAGCCTAGCTTGCCCATAGCTGTAAACGGGCCACTTACATAACCGGTCTGCCAGCCCAACGCAGCTCCAATAGCAAGGAGGAGGAAGAACGTCGTCACTTGAGGCGAATGAAACCTGGTCGCATTGGCCGGATCTGAGATGCTCAAGCAGCCGAACATAAGGACCGCAGAGCCAAGCAGTTCCGAAAATGCGGCCTCCCAGTTCGACTCAAAGAACGCAGCAGGGTAGGTCGAGAAGATGCCGGCAGAATGGTGTCCACGGGGACTCAGGATCGAGCCACCGGGGATGGTGAACTCAGGGTCCCAGTCTTTGATGGCGGAGCGATAGTTGATGTACACGATGGCGGCGCCGACAAAGCCACCCAGGAACTGGGCGAAGAGTTTGCCGGGAAGCTTGCGCCATTGCCCAGGGGTAGGGCGGACGAGGGCCATGCAGATGGTGGCGGCAGGGTTAATGGATGGGCTGGGGTCAGAAAGGTAGCCCGAAAGGGCGACAGCTGCAGCCCAGGCAATGTTGATCGATAGCCAGGTGCCATATTGGTAGTCAGATAGGAGGCACTGGGCGACGACACCATCGCCGATGACGATCAGGAGAGCCGTTCCGAGAAACTCGGCGACGTAGGGCTTGAGGGCTCGCCGCGAGAGGCCGCTGTTGAGAAACATGGTTATTTGGTTTCTTGAGCCTCTCGTTGTGCCAATTGGGGACAATGACCGAGGTACCGTGGTAGCGGTGGTCGGTTTTGGAGTTTTGTTGACGGGAGGAAGAGAGGGGGGCCAGAGGAGGTTTCCGAGTCCCCTGTACGTCATGTCACTTCTCGCCATCTCTCACCGCCAGTGTCGGAGATTCCTTGTCTGGTTTAGCGCGTTGGAGATAAAGTGTGGCTGGGCCCCACCGAGGGTCCTGTTTCTGCCTGAGGTGTTAGCATAATGCGCACAGGGTGCTGTTTGAACTGTGCTCCATGGGATCTTCAACCACGAAATAATCTATGGAAAAAGCCAGGATGCTGATTCGGTGTCCTGCATGATATTCAGTCTGGAATGAGGATCGCCAATAGTAAGCAACTATGCAACATAAATGTCATGAGCACATGAACTGCCAATAAATATCCCGGCGTATATCACCAACCCAGCCCTGCGTTTCATTCCAACTATTCCAAATGTCTCGCGCCCTCCGGATCTGCTAACATCGCTGTATTCCACCGTGGATCTTCCGAATCTTGTACCGGCGCCCATCCAAGTTGAATCTGCATAACCTTCTGATCCCAATCCTTTGTAAAGCTTTTGATCTTGCCATCCTGGACTTCAAAAATAGCAGCAGCGCTCCATCTGGCCTTTTTCGGAGGATCCGACTTCTCAATCCCCTTGTATGGCTTTCCCGCGTGCGAGCCCTCCGCCGTATAGCGGAGCAAAACGTGCCCGTCTTTCGCCCACGCTTGATCGTATCGGACGATATGCAAGTTATTGACGGATGCCATGACGTGGGCGTGCGATTCGGCATAATCCATAGGCGTGGAACAGCCGGGGAACGTGGATGGACTCCAGAACCAGCTGTCCGGGGCGCAGAGGTGACGGACCGACTCGGCACCTTTGTTGTGGGTTGGGGAGTAGGCGATTGACATGTACTCCTTTGCAAGGGCGAGATTGGCCTGGATAGAGAGGGGTTGTGTCAGTGGTGCGATTGAGGGAAGGTTGATGGGTACCATGTACTTGCCTCTTCCTCCGGGGTCTGTGGTGTGGAGATAATGGTGGGTGGTTGAGAGGTTACCGAAGACATAATGACAGCTTTAGGATCTAGAATCTGTCAATGCGAAGGAAGGTAAATTTGGACAACGAGGGCATTGTGAGCATTGTGAAAACAACGCGTATGGTTGTTTATATAGCTGGATCTCTCAGCTTTGCAGTCACAATGACGTCGTGAAAGAAGTTTCAACCTTCTTGTGTTACAGTTCATATCCTAACAATTACCTAGATGCTTAGGTGATCCTTCCTAGAACAGAAACAGTCAAGTGGGACTGATGGTCCAGCTGGGAGCGGGGTAGCGGTTAGTTCGGCCTCCCATGCCAATTGTCATCCTGTCCAACATTTGAACCCACTCACATCCCTGCGTAGGTGATTGGAAATGCAACGTACTTTGTACTACGCATTTGGTCTGATAATTGGGTTGATCAAGATGCAAGGTGATAAGTTGCCGATATCCCGATTCTCCGTTCACTATAAATAGGAGAACCTGTACCATGGCTAATCAGGCTCCGGGGTCCTTTTATCTCCGATGAGCTTGACAAACAATGCTGGCCCTTGTGACCCTTCTCTCAATTCCGGTCTGCCTTGTTGCGGTCGCTTGCTACAATATCTTTCTCCATCCCCTCCGCAGATTTCCCGGACCACCCCTTGCAAAAGTTTCCAAATTATGGAGTCGAATTGGGAACCGGAGTGGTCGCAAATCGGAGCGGATTCATCAGGCGCATCTTCAGTATGGACCGGTTGTGCGAATTGGGCCAAATGAACTGTCCTTTGCAGATCCGGCAGCCGTGCGAGCTATCTATACGTCGGATGCTTTTGTGAAAGAAGAGACTTTCTACGTAAGACATTCAAACCTCATGTGTGTCGCCTAGGAGGATGCTAATGTGACCCTAGAGGGCGAAAACCATCTTCCATGAGGACCACCTCTTTTCTACACGGTAGGGCTGGTCTGTGACATTCAATCCCAGTAACACTAAATGCATTAGAGATGCACGGGCACATCGACAACGGCGAAAACTCTTTGCACGGGGATACTCCCAGGCGGCCATGCTGGAGTTCGAACCAAATATTTCGAATAAGATCGATGCACTTCTGAAACAATGGCAAGCTCGATCTGCCGATGGCCCAATCGATGTTTATCCATGGCTGAACTGGCTTGCTTTTGACGTGGTGTGTAAGTGCAATGCCTCCACGCTATTCAGTTATGTCTCTGACGATAGCCACATGCAGACCATTTGATGTTCGATGTTGACCCAGGCCAAGTGGCATCCGGCCAGAGCCATGAAGTAATGGCCTACATTGCTGCTTGGAAACCGACGTATATATATGTTAGTTTTCGGAGGGCCTCTCTTTATTATGAAACTGACCCCTTGAAGAAAGAGTTCTTCCCACAACTAGATCATTGGGGAGTGTATGTCCCCGGCTACGTGGGGAATTATTTCAGACGAGTCCGAGAGTGGAAGAATGTGAGTGACATGCCCTATTGTAACTGCATCGGTAAGATCTCGCTGAGCATCATAGTATTCTGTCAGTTTGATCAAGAGGAGCCGGGAAAAAGGCACGAAAACACCTTTCCTACGGGCTGCTTTAAATGGAGAGGAAGATGGGTTCCTCGGGAGACCTTTAACAAACTCTGAATTGGCGGAGGAGTGTATGGCTGGCATGTATGTTCATCGCCATGATAGAGTATTGTCGCCCGCTGACAGTCACTTCAGGTTCGCAGGAAGCGGAACGACCGCCACTTCATTTACTTTTCTTCTCTGGGCCTGCCTGCGGAGACCGGATATTGTGGCAAGACTCAAAGCTGAGCTGCGAGAGGCATTTCCAGATCCATCTATCATTCCTGACTATCGGGTGGGTAGCATATATATCGGAATGGCCATGGCGCGTTGGCGGCTAAGTCACCTCTAGACCTGTTCTTCTCTACCATACCTCCAAGCTGTTATCTCCGAGACCCTCCGCCGGTATCCCGCGGCTATTGCTCTACTGCCCCGAACCGCCGTCAGGGACACGGTGGTTGCTGGCGTAACGGTTCGAAAAGGCGTCAGTTTCCTCCATCCCCCCTTTATGTCACGACGCTCACACAAAGCAGACTACAGTAGGAACCCAAAACTACACGACTCACTTTAACGAAGAGGCATTCCCCAACCCTCAGGAGTTCCGACCGGAGCGCTGGTTCGAAAAAGAGGGTGAGGCACTACGGAAGGAAGCATGGACGCCATATTCTAGTGGCTCGAGAAAGTGCATAGGTATCAAGTCAGTATAGCTTTAACCATCTTTTTCCTGGCCACAAGTACTGATGACGATAGCTTGGCACAAATGGAGCTCAACAAGTTAGTTGCGGCCTTCTTCCGTCGGTTCGAAGGAACCATTGATGATAGCATTGATGAGGATGCAATGCGAATGTATGATACATTCACAGCCTCACCAGCCGGAGGAAAGCTGTTGGTTCATTTGAATGAGTTGCTTTAGGATATTAGGACCATGGGAACAGGACGTGCATATTCACGGCACATGTCCCGGAGACATAGATTGCTAGAGTGCCCGCAATGCTTGTGCTCGAGGTAGAGCCGATTTCTTTGTAGGGATAGTGTTGCGAATGCACTGCACTAAGATTAGATGGCTGGAAGATGGAACGCCAGTGATTCGACCCTCGATACAGGGTATAAATCGAGTGTCTTACCGCCACAACAGGTGTCAGCAAGCCTACCCAATAGCATTGAGAATGGATTCGAACACTCGCACATTCCGGTGCTGACAGGAGAGGGGCTGAGGGGCCCCAGGCGTGAAGGCTCAGCTTCAGGGCACGGACCGCGTGGGGACCTTTGTGTGGCGCTCGATGTCCAGGCATTCAGTATCATCCACATATCACAATCCTATTAATATCAGTCCAGGTCTAACGGGATGGGGTTTGCTGTGCGAATGGGTACAAAGGGCTATGCCGCACCATGGAATTACATGTGACTGAGGTTCAGATCACTATGAAACTTTTGCGATGGCAATGATGCCTTACCCCCCACAAAGGCTTATCCTATATAAAGTGGTTCTGCGACCGATGTCTTCTTCCTCTGGGGCTTCAACAGCAAAGGAAAAGCTTACATCGACCATTAAGCACTCCGTCATAATCGCTGTTTGGCTTGTTCCGTTACCGTTGCTTCCAAAATAGTGTGGTCGGATCTTTCTTCTGGCTCAAGCTTTCCACGACAACATGGCTGACCAGCAGACACCGAGGAAACCATTCAAAGATTGGCCCAACGACGCAGGTGTACGTATTACCAACGGCTAGAGATCCAGGTCCTATTTGAGAATCCGACTTAAACATGTCTCTAATAGTTTGAAGCCACCGTCGAGCACCGCGAGCCCATTGAGCTCCCCGTCATCGGATCGATCCCCTCTCACCTGGCCGGCACACTGTACCGCACCGGCCCGGGAACCTACAAAGTCCCCGGAAGCACATACCAACTCAGCCACTGGTTCGATGGATTTTCGCAACTCCATCGATTCCAAATAGTCGCGCAACCAACCGGATCCTGCAAAGTGTTCTATAACTCGCGACGGCAGGTTGATGCACTGATAGAAGAAGCGCGCAGGACCGGGACGATGAAAGGCATCACATTCGGACAGAAACGAGATCCATGTGAAAGTATCTTCCAGAAGGTCAAGGGGTTCTTTCGCCCTGGATTTGATACAGCGAGCCCTGAGCTTGTTAATGCCGGGGTTACTGTACATGCTAATGTAGGCCCAACTTTCCCTTGATAGGATATGTGTTCCACTATCATATTGGAGCTAATGCTACAGGCAGACCCCAGGTGCTCCGTATCTGAGAAGTTCCGATGCGCGGGCAGACTCGGCGCAATTCCAAACTCTGACGTCTCTAACAGATGCCAACGTCTTGAAACATGTAGGTTCTTGCATTCCCTGTTCTAGGTAGACAATAAACTAACTGAGTGTAAACAGATAGACCCTGAGACTCTAGAGCCGCTAGGGGTCACTCGCCAGGATGGTTTACACCCTGATCTAAAAGGCCCCGTTTCATGCGCGCATGCCGAAATCGATCCGGAATCCGGGGATCTGTACAACTACAACCTCGATTTCAGCAGGTACGCAACGTACCGGATATTTCGGACCTCCGCTACGAAAGGGAAGACAGATATCCTGGCAACCATTACAGGGGCAGCTGCCAAGCCGGCGTATCTCCACTCGTTCTTCCTCAGTCCCGAGTATGTGGTCCTGTGCATTTGGCCCAGCGTCTTTGCCGCAGGCGGCATCAAAATCCTCTGGGAGAGAAATCTGGCCGATGCGATAAGCTTCGACTCCAACCTCCAAACCCGCTGGTATGTTATCGACCGGAAAAATGGCAGGGGAGTTGTGGCCACCTATGTGAGCCCGTCATTTTTTAACTTCCATACCATCAACGCCTGGCAGAAGACCAATGACGACAATACAGTCGACATCATGTGTGACATCATCCAGTATCCAACGGACGAGGTAATCAGACGCACTTACTATGAAGCCATGGTCTCAACAGGCCGAGACGTAGAGAAATTCTATGGCAGTGAAGCATCACGGCCGGCTCTCCTGCGCTATCGTCTGGCTGGTGTCCCGAATGCAGGTGGACCAAAGACATCACGTCGGAAGCCCGATTCCAACCCTTCTAAGGCAGAGGTTCTGCTGAGGATTGAGACTCCTTTTGTTGGGGAGCTTCCCACCATCAACCCTAAATTTGCCACGCGAAAGATACGATACGTTTACAATGTGTTTCCCCAAGGGAAGGTGAGATTTTCACGCCTCATATTCCAGCCAAAGCTGAATTGCTTTAGTCCTCGTTCTTCGACGCTATCGCGAAAATCGACCTTGAGACGCAGGAAGCAAAGGTTTGGACCCGCGATAAACATACTCCGGGTGAAGCTATCTTTGTTCCTGATGGGGTGGATGATGCAGAAGATGCGGGATACCTTCTCAGCGTCGTTCTGAACGGCGAGACAGGGACAAGCTATCTTCTCTGTCTCAATGCGCGAGATTTGGCAGAGGTTGGCCGTGCCGAATGTGTTTCGGCGATCGGGTTTGGGCTTCACGGCTCTCATTATCCTTCTCATGGTTAGGATAGCCGAGGCATACTTTGGGATCTTTCACGTTGTGAAACTGTCTATCATCTATTCTATTTACCCCTTTATAATCTACCAGTAACTAAGTCTTATACACCGGATCCTCGGGCAACTCCACCTCCCAGAACCGGCGCATCCTCTCTCTAAACAACTCATAGCACGACCCCATGCGAAGCACCTTCATCTCCTCAAAGTCTATGACAATCGACGGCCGCCCATACACATGGTATCGCTGCAGCCCATAATCAACAATCAAATCCGCGACCTCCTTAATCTCATCCTCAATATCCTCCACCCGAAACTTCTGTCCCCGCCCGGTCAGATTCGCACTCGAGCCCACCATCACCTGCCCAGCCTCATAATTCAACCGACAAATCTCCCGCAACAGTGACCCCCCGCCAACAAACATCGCGATCTTGCCATCCTTGACCGCATTGGAGAGCGTGTGCGGAGTAAACTTGGCCAGAATCGGATGATCTGGATCATACGGCGCCACGATCCCCAGCCCCATATCGAAATCCTCAGTCAAGACACGAGTCATTTCAAATCTGTCCGGTTCGAGAACATGAAGCTCATGATGCAGCTCATAAGACCCAATAAGTCCTTGGACATGGCCTGGCCGACGTTGTTTCGCGGCGAAGGCCTTCTCGATCGCCTCCACGGACGAGGCTAGTAGGCCGTAGCCGACTTCAGTGGGACCGATGACGATACCTCCGGCTTGAAGAACCTGAAAGACGCGCTGTGCGTCGGAGGTGGTGTTGGGCAGGTGGCCTGGTAAGGGGATTATCTTAGCTTCGAAAGACGACATGGGTGGTGTGCGGGGAAGAACGTTAGTTGACAGAGATTGCAGTGGCTTGATGGGAGCCATGGTGTTTAGTCGCAGCCTTGCTTACGGCGGGGTAATAAGCTCCGATTCTATATATTCGGGATTTTAGGATCGTTGTGCGGTTGGCGGATCGCGTTTAGCGCGTGATTGGGTAGCTTGTGACGTACTTTCTGCTTATGTGGGGGTGTTAGGATACCCTTTGGAGATAAGGAAGGATAGAGCTGTTGAGAGGCATTCTACGTTGGATATCTGCCAAAATCATTGATACGTGAGTGAGGAATTCGGAGATATTTGAAGGTAATGCAAGTGTCTTATCGTGCCCGGCCGCTAAGTCGGATATGGCGGCCGCGTCACCAACGGCTCTCGGGCTCAGGGGCTCCCTCTTTACTTCATTATTCTCTGATGGTACTTTCAGATGGCAGTACCATCATATAACGGAGTATCTCGAGCTATCACTTCTACTTACTTTCCACCTTGATGGTGATTTCGTTGTTATCCGGATGCTCTAGAACAAGAGAATCGATGCTCTCAAAAACGATCGAGATGGCCTCCCCACACCCCACCAGAAGCTGTTTTCGCGTGGTGCTGCAGCATTAGCGCCCTTTGCGTTCGATGCCACCTACTCTTAGTCAGGGACGAGGCATATAACCAGCTCAGCTACATTCTCTTTGTGCAAACAACGACATCGTGGCCTGAAATCCAACAGTACGCCCTCATTGCCGGTGCAGTGGAGACGATAGTGGAATTTACTCGCGTGGTGGCGCTGTCGGACGCATGAAATATTGGAGCACGAGGGGGGGATGATTCAAGAGGTTATAAAGTCGTGAGGACTTGCGCACAGGCATATAACAGACGGGGATCGCTGGTGGTCATCAGTTTAATTATATCGAACAGCAGCACGCTGGACAGCTATTCATGGCTATAAGATTGCACGACAGTATCAGAGAATCCCTCACAAGAACAATGCACTTGAAGATGATGCCAACGGTGTCCAGACCTCGAGAATAAATGGGTTCCGGCGCGGGCTGTTTTCCCAATGATTTGCTGGGAACAAGTCATTTCCATCGCCGAGCACGAAGGACACCAAGCTTTTAGGCAGAACTATACTCCTAGTTATCACGGTGCATGTAGGGCTCCACCCACGTGGCAGACAGAAACACGATATATACTATCTGAATCAAGGCAGGTACCATGGTAATTGAGACAATCTCCACTTGCAGCGCATTCAACAAGGCGGTGCGCTGGGCGGACCTAAAATGGGGCACGGAGGATCACTAGCGGAAAGGCATCCGAACCCACATTCGTCTGCCTCTTCAGTTCCTCGAGGATACTCCGCACATGGCGACTTCATGCTGTATATCGTCAGATGAGTCACTATGAGTCAGTTCTCCCTGCATTGGACTTGGAATCATTCAGAATATCGAAGTTGGTTCCCTGCAGCGTCCTCATGAATGACAACTGGTAAGCAGCAACTTGGTATTAAGCCAAGATGACCAGGAATGGGGCCAAGTCCGATGCGAGACACCATCGCACGGTGTGCTAGGATTGATTGAGCGAGACGGTTCAACCTGAAGACCAGAGGGGGGTCTGTACCATCAGTACTGCACCATGCTAGACATCCATTGGTGCGTGTCCGGGGCGTGGGCATAATGCTACCCCGAGAAATGGCGTTGGTCTGCCCAGCGTCTAGCGCCATCCACTAGCGCCCACAGCCCCCAGCACCTTAAACACCTGTTGCACCACACACTTCAACGTCCAGGTTTCTCCTCCCAGTCGTCATGGAGGCCAAAGTTCGACACCGACGATCCAGCAAAAAGAGTAGGACGGGATGTCGAACTTGTCGGTATGTGACAACCGTCTCCTTCAGACCAGATGCCATCTAACCCTCTAGGATGCGCCATGTCAAATGTGACGAAACGCCGGGCATGTGCCAGCGGTGCACATCCACGGGCAGAAAATGCGATGGATACGATTCTCAGCGACTCCCCAGTCGACGGACGACTGGCGCATTGTCCGAGCTAGCCCCCGGCATTGCCCATCGCTTTCGGTGGAAGTTGACGTCCGATGAACAACGGTGCATCTCGTTCTTCCAAAACCGAGTGGGACCCGTAATTGTCGGCTACTTCGACTGCGTCCTGTGGCAGAGACTGGTGCTCCAAATCAGTCAAGAAGAACCGGCCGCCTTTCATGCCGTTGTCGCGTTCAGTGCCGTCTATGCCGACTACGAAACCAGAGGCCTACCCCGCAAGATAGACGAGCTGGACAATTCCCTGCAACGCTTTGCCCTCGACCAGTGTGCGAGAGCATACAGACGGCTGAACTCACGCTCGGAATCCCAGGACCCAGGCCTCCGCGATATCACCTTAGTATGCTGTGTACTGTTCATCATGGTAGAATGGATGCGCGGACAATACGACACAGCGTCCATCCATCTGAAGAACGGCCTCCGAATCATACAACACGACCAAACTCTAACCGCCGCCACAGCTGTATTCAGCTCCGTCCTCGCACAATGTATAGCCGACTCACTAGCCTCCCTCAAAGTCCAATCCACCTATTTCGGCATCGAAGAGCCCCCAACCCCACAACCCCCTCCCCAATCCGACCGCGGAACCCCCGAACTCGACGACAAAACCTTCCACACGCTCCTCGACGCCCGACTCACCTTCGAGCCTCTCATGGGCGAGATCTTCCAATTCCACCTCTCCACCTCCCGTCTCGCCCCGGACGAAATCGACCTCAACTACGGCCCTCTATCAGACATCCAATTCGATCTCTCCTCCCGTCTCAACCGCTTCGCCATCGCCCTCGAATCCTTCTCCATCTCCTCCTTCCATCTCATGTCCCGCAACGCCCAACGAACCATCTACACCATGCGACTCCACCATCAAGTCCTATCCATCCTCATCAACCTCACTCTTCTCAGCAACGACGAAACCGTCCTCGACTTCTACACCCCGGCCTTTGAACGCTCCATCTCCCTCGCCGAATCCATCATCGCAACCTTCACCAACCGCCCCAGCGTCTGTCTCGACATGGGCGTCATTTTACCCTTATCCTTTGCGGCAACGAAATGTCGCGAACCAGGTATCCGTGCGCGTGCACTCAAGGTTCTTCGCTCCTGGCCTCATCGTGAAGGACCCTGGGAGTCGAGGACTATTGCGGAGTGTGCTTCGAGGGCGTCGGGCGAGATGGATCCCTTTCTAGCTATGCTTGCGTAGATACGTTTTAGTGCCTCTTTAAATCTTTGATATATAATGGATCTTCCATCGAAACGTCTCGGTCGGTCTCTCCACCATACCAACATTCCTTTGTTTCGAATCAAGGAATTTCCTCCTATCAGGTAGTATCTATTTTCAAGCACTGGTTACTTTGGTCTTCATGCCCGCTCTTGTGCTGTGTCCTACCCCCATCCTCTACATAGAGGAGTAACACAGACTACGAGGCGATAAACGTCTTACCATTTTATGTAGTTTCCTGAGAGGGGCTTCATTATGTACTTAGTATGCAGCGTAGAATCGATCTTGGAAAAGATACTCTCACCCTGCTTGGTATATCATTGTATACTATGTATGAAAACAACCCTTGAAGCATCACAGACGCACAAATAGAAGTCGGATCAAAGACCTTCAAATACATGCCCTCACTCACGAATGCTCCACTATCGAACACTTCTCAGAAGAAAAAGAAAGAAATCTACAGAGAACAGCAGTCCAGACCACAGAGAATGTGAACCAGGACCGTGAAGGCATAACGGATATAAAACACATAATAAATAGTATATACGCCTCAGGCTTACTCCAACGCTAGTGGTGATGAAATCGAGGGCGTTTCGTAATCTGGTATGTAGTCATAAGTGCACGGTGCTGTCTTGGGGATAACATTATGTATATCAACCACAAGTGAACCTTGACTGCTTCAAGGGTACATCCTGCAGTTCATTTCCGGAGAACCCATAATGTCGGACGCCGTTGCCATCTCTACCATTCATCATCGTCAGTGCTAGTGCTACGCTCTTGAATTGGGGATTGCCTCCTATATCAACTCCCTTTCGTCTGGCCCTTCACTATGGCCCGGGAATGACACGTCGCACTGATAATAAGGCTAGAATAACTGGGCCGGGCATACTAGACATAATCTAGGAGGTTCTAGTCAGTTTCGGTGAAAATGCAGGGAATTGAATGTGGGACTGGATATGCATGTAGTGGAGGGGTACATACTCGATGTTGATGGATCGCCAACAGTAGTGTCTCATCATCGCCTTTCCCTAGGCTCAGAATTAGACATCTTGGTGAATGAATGGAGACTGGTATCTTCTATAATACAAGGCACCTCTGTGGGAGTCTACTTTTCAAACATAACCAGGTTAGCACATCAGATAGGGGCTCTGCATGTCACCCTACTTGCCTGAGTATCTGCTTCCCCTGCTTCTTGGTCCTCCTCATCCTCCTCATCGCCCCCTCCTTCACTGCTTTCACTCTCCACATCAGCCCCATACAGTACATCACCGAGATAATATATCAACCTAATGATATTCCTTTTATCCCCTCCATTCTGAAGCGTCTCCTTCAGCTCGACTGCACGGAGGTATATCGATTCCGCCACTTCACTCTTCCCTTGGAAATAAACCTCCCAACCGCACTTGACAATTCCATAAACGGTGTTGTAATCGTCTTCGTCATTGATTGTTATTTCCCCCACAAATGTCTCCCGAAAATGCTGCTCTGCCTCTTCATACCTTTCCTGTCTCATTAGACACACTCGAAGCCAATACAAGGTATCCAAGATATTGGAGTTCTCCCTGCCTAGGACCTTTTGCCTCCTTTCCCAAGTTTTTCGGAAGACTGTCTCGGCTTCTGCGTATTTGTCTTGTTGGAATAACGTGCGTCCAAGTTGGTGTAATGTGATCAGGGTATCTGGATCATTCTTTTCTCGGACCTTTTCTTCCCCGTCAAAACATTGCTAGAATGATTCCTCTGCCTCTGCGAATCGTTCTTGCCCAAACAATGATTCCCCAAGCCAATATAAGGTAAGAAGGGTATTGGAGTTCTCCATGCCTAGAACCTTTTGCCTCACTTCCCAGGTCTTTCGAAAAACTATCTCGGCCTCTGCGTATTGGTGTTATTAGAAGAGGGTGACTCCAAGTTGGTGTAAAGTCATCAGGGTATCTCCTCGGACCTTTTAATCCCCGTCGTAACATTGTCGAAATAATTTCTCTGCCTCTGCGAATCGTTCTTGCCCATACAATGATTTCCCAAGCCAATATAAGGTGTCACTGGTATCGCGTTTCTCTCTTCCAAGGACTCTTTGCTGCCTTCCTAGTGTATCTTGAAGAATTTTCTCTGCCTCGATGTACCTCTCTTGATAAATCAGAACGACACCAATTTAATACATACTTTGCAGAGATTCTCGGTGGTCTCTCCCTGCAGCCTTCTGCTGTCCCTCCCCAGTCATCCGCCATGATTCCTCGGCTCTGGTATATTCTCCTTGATCAATTAGAATTGACCCAGTCCGGCGGAGTACCATGAACTTGTCAGGGCCTTCCATGCCATTGACCTTGGCCAGTGCGGCTCGATAAACCTTTAATGCGTCGTCTAGTTTGTCGAGCCGTCTGTAGAAATCACCAATGATTAGGAGTGCTGACACTGGCATTTTCCGAGCAGAGCTCAAAATGAATTCGAACAAAATCTTGAGGGGTTCTTTGAGACCCTTCATGAGACGCAAATGGGTTCTTAAGATAAAGGTCATATCGAGCTGTGCCGCTAGGGAAAGTTTGTCGTGGCCATTGATGAGCTTCCGGATATGAGTGGCTACTTTGGCTGAGTCTTTGGGCCCCTCGCGAAAGGTAACGATGGAATCGCGATTATGTGCGTCCGGGATTTCATCTTTGAAGCTATCCCAGGCATATTGCACTCGCAAAGTTCGCATATCATCCTTCCCAAACCGGTTCATTCGTCTATCAAGCTCCTGCTTCAGGATGGATAGCAGTTTGCTCAATGAGGGACCTCCTTCACAATCACTCGTGTCCTTCCATAATAGAAGTGTGCGCATATCGGCATCTAGAGAGAACAAATCGTCCACTTGCAGCATCGTCAAGTATTCCACCAACACAAGAAAAGATTCTGACTCGAGCAGCCCGTCGAGCTTGTCCAAGGTCGCGGTGGAAGGCGGGCCGGACTGGACAAGATGGGACATTGCGTGTCTAGATGAGTATTGCAAAAACGGGTATCGGGTTTCAACTGCAACCAGGGTGTCTGAATCAGCCAGATTGAGGTCGAATAGGCGGGCAGTTAGATAGTCAAGACATGCGGTGCCTAACGATAGATGTGCAGCACGCATATCTATCTGAAAGTACCTCAATCCCCGATCTGCATCAGAGAGCCAATGCTCGTCTGACCTAGTGAGGAACTCTTTCACTGAAACATGGCTTATCCGCAAAATGCCATCTGTGATGTTGACCAAACCGCCGCAGACTTGACATATCAATTTCTCGGGTTGTAGAAAGCGATGGTGTTCTAGGTTTGCGATTGGCCCGACGCCTAAAGCGTAGGGATATTGCAATTCAACAATTGTCAGTGGGCGGCATGATGCAATTGCAGTTGTTAAAATTGACTTTGCCAGTTTCAACTGCATGTCATCAAGCCTTTCCAGAAGCTTTAGAAAAAAAGCCCGATACATATTTTGCAGACCTCTGGGAATATTGCGCAGTCTGTCCTTCACATGGTAAGGTGTTATCGCCCCATGCAGGTCTTCCATGGCGAACTTTACCCAAAGAAACATTCCATCTGACTTTTCGCACAAAGTTCTGACTGCATCATCTTTTAGCCCATGCGCTCTGGGGATTGGGGATTTCTCCAACTGGTCGTGAATAAACATCTCAATGTCTGACTTTACCACACTGGGGTTCATTTCAATCACCAGAGGCGTCAAGGTGATAGCAGTTTGAAGCGCATATGGTCGTCCGACCAGGGCCACGTGACCATTTGGAAATTTGGTCAGGTTCAGGATACATTTGAGTAACCCTTGATCTTGATCGTTCTTCTCGTCATCGCATTCGTCGACCCCGTCTATCATGCAGTAAATAGGCCCAGTGACGCTTTTTACTGATTTCAATAATGCTTCCAGCACATCTCCGGTTGTGATAAGGTTTCGACTCTTCAATTCAGTCACAATAGAAAGTACGCCTTCGTCAGACGTTTCCACCAGAAGATCACAAAGTAATGAACGAGCCAAGGAATCCAAAGTCTTGCGATCGCCGTCTGTTCTGGAGAAAGAGAAGTATAGAACTTGGTATTTCTTTTCTCTCATTCCTTTGACTGTAGACCTTGTCAGCATGGACTTTCCGCAGCCACTAACACCGTGTATACATAACAACCGGGTTGGAACTGGCGATGATGAGGCCCACTGGACAAACTCCGGTGAGTTCCAGATCCATTCGCAGGTTCCAGGCGACTTATCCTCATATATACAACCCGTGTTGGTGGGCCTAAGCCAAGTTGAACATAGGGCCGACATTTGTTGCCGTTGAACTAATGATATCTCTACTTGTTGATCAGCAAAGAAAAAAGACAAAGGACATTGCATACCTTGATGGAGTTGCTCGGATATACATAGATTATTCATTCGATCCATTGCCCGTTGCTAAAGATAGAAAGAAATTGTTGCCTTGGAGGATTCGAGCGTCTTGAAGGTGACCATAATATCCTTTGCATTGCGACTGCTAGAGATTGACTTCTGTCTGCGACGTAGCCAAGAGTCCCCCTGACTAGGCAAAGTTCGTTGAATTAACTTGTCGAGTACTGAAATCTGCTGAAGGCTGCTCTCCACAACGTGCAAAAGCGTGCTAGGCGCTACCGAGTCATCTTTACAGTCGTTCTTGAGGCAACTCATAACTTCAACAAGGAGTGGTAGATGCGTTGCTATGTCCTTGAATATAACCGGCACCTCTTTGGTAATCAAATAGATGTCAAGGAAACGAGCCGCAATTTGATGGCTCAGTTCCAGAATCATCGCGACCGAGACAGCAATGCCCGCGGGGGTCGCGTATAGAACCTCACTCACTTTCGGCGTTTCCATGACCCGGCGCGGCGGTATCACGGAGAGAAGCGCCCTCGCATAGGCTGCTGCTGTAGCTGCTGCATATTCCTGTCATTGTTTGTTCTTGTGGGTATCGGAGTAGTCACAAATCCCACGGATAACCAGGCAGGGGAAGTGGTCCATCAACCCAGCCGCTTCCATTTCGAAACACAGAATACCGAGCTCTCTGGCTAGTCGATCCCTTGTGACTCCATCCTTTATGACCTGGCTACCGGATGCAATGAGTCCATAATGTATGACGGGATCGCTTGAGTCTCGCGGTAATCGACCAACCAGCATATTCTTGCTGCATCCATCACATGTCTTTCCTGTCCCTTGGTGATCATATTCGGCTTCATATAGGTGATCCTGGGCTTGGCCACAATACGCAAACTGAGCCATCATAGGAGACTTCCCTACAAGCCTGTGAAAGGGTTGTCGGGATCTGGCAGCTTCCCCTTATATGTTCGGCTTGCAGATCAGAGACTGCCGTCAACAGCAGTTGCGGGGGCTTGTTGAGGCAATCTGTTCGCAAGAAGGTGCCACCACGCACCTTTTTGCCGTAATCGTATTGTATCACTCCGCCGAATGAATCTGTTGGCTTGCTCACAACAACATCACCTAGTCGAATGTCAGCCTCCTTTGTTGGCACCCCGCCGCCGATGCCCACCATCAGACTGATCCGTATGGCTCGAAAGGTACGCCGCATATCTGTCGCGACTGTGGCTGCGGAAGTAGTGCCATAGACTCCAAATGGTAAATAGGCAATAACGACGTTGTTTCCGAAGACCGAGCCAAGGGCATAATTGTTACTGTCATTGGGATCGTGTGATAGCTTAGGATGTAAGTCATCCAGCATTTCCTTTGCGACCGCCATCTCGAGCGGGAGCGCAGAGATCCACCCGACCATGTAGTCGTCATGGGTGAATACTTTCCTTTTGGATTTCATGTTAAAGTAAAATGGTAGATGCCAATAGAGTAGGATCGTATAGAGGATCGATTTGGGAAAAGATTGAAGAGAAAGGGTTGAACACGATTTTCCAGTATCCTAGTTGAATCTGGTCAAATAGAGCTTACACCCTGCCACTCCGCCGTAGTGTAGGCGTAATTATGGCCATAGCCATCTAGCTCTGTGTAGCCCGAAAAGGTTCCTTTCGAAGCTGAACCATGACGAGCCCATTATCAGGCTGAGAACTGCACACATCATCCCTTGGGCGAATATGAGGCGATGAGATCAGGTACCACAGAGCTGAGAGACACGGCCATCAGCCTTTCGGCGTGTCAGACGTGTTCGCTGTTCGTGTGATGCACGTAGCAAGTCACATGGTGTCAGTGTTTCAGCCTCAATTGAGGGAAGTCGGTGGTGTTCTTCGCCGACCCTCCATCCATCATTGATGAATCTGATGGTTTCGGTTGTCATCACTGGGCCAGCCATTTTGATTCATTGTTGTTTGACTGGGAGAAGCAACAGCCGAGGCTACCCCGCATGCCCGTGTCTCCTACTCTGCTACACTCCCCGCCTACGACTCCAGGAATAGCCTACTAATAAAACCGACAGATTCCTCACCGCTTTACAGCAATACTCGTGGCCTGAGGCTACACAGTCGTACCTGAGGCCTGTGATTCTTGCCTCAGGCTAGGGGTCGTCTCAGCGGCTACTCCGTATATAATAGCAGATTTCGCTGATAGATAGACCATACCTATCCAGTACTATATCACTCATCCTGTGACCGGAGTTATCTTTTCGGCCCACTCGGGGTCTTCTGCCATATTATTGTCGGGCATATAGCAGTAGTCAAACTTATCTCCAATCCTGGTACTCCTGCTAAGATTCATTACAGGAGTTTAATGCCTACTTTCCTAGATTTTAATACATCGTTGTCTGAATGATACTCCGTACAGTTATCTGTAAATGGCCAATTTTCGGGGAAATAGTGGAGACTAGCGCTAGTGCGTATTGCTTACATTTTTCTTCTGATTGGCTATCCGTAGTTGGGGATGATTTAGGGTTGGCCGCTAGGGGATGATTGTTCCATGGCATATCTACTCATTGAATTTTGGTCAGGTAGTCAGGTCAGTAGAAATCGCTCAAGGAGATATCATTGGTAGTAGTCAAACCCAGGGAAGGGTATATTCTTCATGAAGAATAAGGACAAATCTAATAGGAAATAATAATACAGAAAAGAAAGCGATGTACCATGAAGTATAAAAGAATAACATTTAACTCTCAACACCGTCTGACCCTGTCCTAAAATCAACCTACACCCCCACAGCCCTAATCACCACCTCGCCAATCACCTCCGCACTCGCCGGATTCTGCCCAGTAATCAACAACCCATCAAGCCCACCCGAAACAACCTTCGCCCCGAACGGCCCCTCCGCTTTCTCATAGACTCCACCATTCTTGCGCAGCTCGGTCTCTAACAGAAATGGCATGTCTTTAGTGAACTGCATGATCTCCTCCTCGGCGTCGGAAAGACCAGTGACCTTTTGACCCGCCACCAGGTACTCCCCATTGCTGAGTTTCACGTTCACTAGAGCTGCGGGGCCATGGCATACTGCGGATACTACCTTTTTGCTCTCGTAGAATTCTCGGATAAGAGTATGAGATGTTGCGTTGTTGGCGAGATCGAACATCGCTAGTTGTCAATGTGAGTGAGTTTCCTCGGGGTGATGTACATGTCCATGGGAACGGGATACTTACGCCCATGCCCACCCACGTAAAAAACGCCCGCAAATTGTGAGGTTTGGCCGACTAGGCTGTCGAGGCGGAGTGTGTTTTTCCACACGTGAGAGTTATTCTCCAAGAACGCCACGCACTCAGAGTCGTCTTTGGTGGCTTCAATCGAGTATGGATCGAGTGGCGCTTCACCGCCAGCGGGGGAGGCGACCACAATGTCAAAATGAGGGGCAAGCTTATTGTATGGATGGACGAGCTCGGGGAGATACCATCCTGTCGGGGTGTTGCGACTTGGAAGAATGGCTTGGGAGGTGAGAACGAAGAGGAATTTGGGGCGAGTGGAGATTTCCGACATGATGATGGCTGCGGGAGTAACTCGGAGGAATTCAATGATAAAGGTCAGTAAGGATCAACGTTGCAGGGCGTTGGCGCGATATTTATATCGAATCTTCGAGACAACCCCTCACAAAATTGGACGATTAGAAATACACTCTGGGCAGATACGGACTTAAACCGGCGGACATAATTGCGTAAGACCGATGAGGGTCCAGCAGAAGGTATAAATTCTACTATCCTATCTACTCCTCTGCTTGAATCTTCAATTCTCTACATCTTTTCCCCACGCACTCAGATCCTCTTTGAATTGGTTCTAGCAAGCCCCTCTGCACTTCACCATGTCTTTCACCGTGACCGTTGTCTTCCCCAACGATGCCGACGCCGAGTACAACATCGACTACTACACCCAGACCCACATGACTCTGATTGAAAAGCACTGGTCTAAGTACGGTCTGAAGGGCTGGTCAGTCACCAAATACGTTCCTGGGTTGGACGGCACACCCCCACTCTACGCGTTCGGCAGTGAAGTCTTCTGGGAGAACGAAGATGGCGCGAAAGCTGCTTTTGCCAGCCCCGAGGTTGCGGAGATCATGGGAGATGTCCCTCACTTCAGCAATAAGACTCCTATTTTCTTGCTTGGTCAGACGGTTAAGCCGGCGTTTGAGTTTTGATTGCTGTGAGTGATTCATTTGAGATGGATCGGTTTATGAGACTGACTTGATGGGAGGTACAGAAACCGTTGATATGGGATGGAAGGGAGGTTGTGGATAATGCATATGTACTGAGATTATCCACTTGGGGGACATTAGTAGTTCTGATTTTGTTGCGCATTTCTATAAGATCCTAAGATTAGTAACGTGCCTCGTCTATGTCTATTTTTCAACAGTAGAGGACTTTGTATTGGCGTCCCTCGGTTTCTATATTCGATTAGACCACATAATCAGGAGCCAAAATTGGTTCCATTGTGAAAGTTCGAACGCCCCTGTTTCCCAATATAAATGCTCTTGTGCCCATTCTGCCGCAAGCCGAAAAATAAAATTAGTGAAAGAAACTGGTCTCAAGATTTACTGCTACAAAGGCTGAGATAGATCACACGATTCCTAAAGTTACCTTGGAAAACATCAAGGTCGGACCACCACTTTCTGCCCATGTTTATTGCGATAATCATCCAGTAATTGATTAACTTTCTCCGCATCCAATCCCTCCAAGACCTTAAATTTCAACGGGCGCAACTGGCCTGTCTGCACCCATGAAGAAACACGCCTCCAAAACACCCGCGATACTTCCGGGTACAGTGCACTCAGACCGATTGTTAAACGCCGATCATACCCGGCCGTTTTGTCGCCAATAAGAGTCGGCTCGGGCTCTGACTCGCTGACCGGGTTGAGAGTTATCAAGCACCCTCTTTTCGAGTTCGACAGTGCAGCGAGTGCAGTGTCTTGTTCAGATCCAAGGCTCATCGTGTCGAGGGCGAAGATCAGATCATCACCCGTAATGGCTCGAATTTGACGTACGATCTCGTCACGATTGGCATGTCGGTCGAACACATGTGTCGCACCTAACTCTTGCAGCTCAGCGAATCTCCCCGGAGACGCCGTGGCGATGATCTGTTCGAATCCACACATTTTGGCAAACTGGATAGCAAAGCGACCACAATTTGACCCGCCGCCAACAATGAGGATGGCTTTGCTACAAGTAGAGCCCTGTGCTGATTGGAAGATACCGTCCGGGATAGGTAGACCGAATCCAGTACTGTGGAAAAAGGCAATAAATCCTGCCATCGCGCATACGGGTATCGTGGCTGCCTCGGCGTCTGTCAGACCTGCATCGTCACTCTTGGCGGCGTATCGAGAATCCACGATGGCATATTCTTGAAGACCGCCGTAGTCATCGATCACTGCTCCTGGCACAAGATTGGCGTGTGCGAAAACAACATCTCCCACGTGGAATTGAGATGTTTCTTGCTTGGGTCCCAGTTTGATCACTCGGCCGGCGATATCATGAGCCAATACTTGAGGGCCTTGTTTAGAGAATAACCCCACGTCACGCGTCTTTTGGTCAACCGGGTTCACTAGGGCACATGAGCAAGATGCCACTGATTCGGGTTGAGCAATGATGGAAATGGTCGTTACTCACATGAAGTGGCTGTTACGTGCAGTAGAAGCTGATTATCCCCCGGCTCAGGGATAGGTCGTTCAACCAGCCTGACTGGCTCTGATACCTTTTGGACGACGATGGATTTCTGCATGGTCATCAAACAAGTGCATCGAAGCATGTACCGAGATCTTGTGGAAACTGTCTCGGTCGACAGATGGTTAAATACGATGAGATGAAACTATGGGATATGCCTCTCTGCTAACTATCTATACGGAGTAGAGGGTAAAACAATACGGACGATTCCAACGGGCCGTTGACCAATCAGATCCATATTGTAAGCAACGTTTGGCTCCGCACTGGCAAGCACTTTTTGGCTTCATATTCTGACCAATTAGAGAAGAAATGTAAGCAGCCCACATGCGCCACAACGCCAAAAATTCGCCGTTGTGGGTACGGCGGGGCCCTACTGACTAATGAGAGTGAAATTGTAAGCAAGTTACGTCGTTTACAAATAGCTAACGGTTGCTTCTTAAGTTCCTTCCACATTATCCCACCTGCTGCCTCCTCAATCCAAAGTCACCAGAGTCATCGTTAGGATTGAGATACTACCCATGGCATTCTCGTCTAAATTTCCCGAGGACGATTGGTTCGGGGTTAGCGATCCTAAAATCCGAAGATTGGTACAGAACCGCTTGAACCAGCGAGCGTATCGTGAGTAATGCCAGATCCCTCGAGGTAGCTAAATGAAGTGCTTACATGTGGCAGGGGCTCGGAAACAAGCCAAGCAATGCGGAAAGAAAAGGCATACCGAAGAGGCCCCTTCTAGTCGCCCCGCACGTAGCATCAACGAGACCACCGCGACTGCTCCGATAGGATCTCAAGTCCTCCAGTGGACCTGGGCGCCAGCTAATCTTCCTGAACTAATGATACTGTATGAGCGTCTGGTCATGGAAAGCTACCAACTGGGCTCTCCCCAAGCAGACCATTTGATCAGTCTCAGCAGATTGAATATCTGGCGGGCAGCCAACGACAACATCGTTGCTGCCGGCATGACGATTGAATATCTTTGGGCCGATGAGTCTATCTCACTGTTTAGTGTCGCCTCCGTGAATGCCGCAAAGGAAGCGGTCCCTGCGAGTCTGTGGCCGACTTCCTTGCAGAGAACGCTTCCCCATCATCCTTGGTTCGACATCTTCCCGTTTCCCACAATGCGAGACAACTTTCTACGGGCAGGAGATACATTTGATGAAGACGAACTGTGCCATGACCTCATGGGATTCTGGGATCCTCGTCGCACGGATGCAACGCTTCTCGTGTGGGGAATACCGTGGGATCCCTTGAACTGGGAGGTCACCGAGGCGTTTGCCAGGAAGTGGGGGTGGACCCTCAGAGGATGCCCCGAAATCCTCAAGTCAACCAATTACTGGCGAGCGTGGAGAGGAGAGAAGCCGCTGATCTGGCGGGAGGTGCTATTTTCACCAATGCTAGACCTGAAGTCTACATGCTGATGAGTGGAGAGGCTGCTGCCTATCTATTACTCAGGTGATTCGCACACATGCTGTGGGGATCTGTTCATATATAGTGGACTTCCCCTCATGTCGACTTCCTAAGCGTCTCCATTGCTGCCATTTCGTCCTGTCATCATCCCGCCCGTTTACACCTCGCAGAGATCCAGCTTATCTCTTTCGCTTGTGTGATTGCAATGGAACGGAAAATGGAATACGTCCGGTACGGTTCATGTTGCCGACTACTGTCTGATACTCAACCTCTAACAAAACCAGTCTGGGGGACTCGGGACTCAAAGTATCCAAGGTCATCCTGGGGGCCATGTCATATGGGAGTAGCGACTGGCAGGGTTGGGTTCTCAATGAAGAGGAAGCTCTTCCTCTCCTCGAACACGCCTACAACCGGGGAATAAACACCTGGGACACGGTATGCCAATGCCTTCCTTATAAATATACTCTCCATACACATGACTTACGATGAACCTGCAATCAGGCCGACATCTATTCCCACGGCCGCTCGGAAGAAATCATCGGAAAGTTTCTCAAGCTGAAACAAATACCTCGCGACCGAGTGGTGATTATGACCAAATGCTATTTCGGAGTGGATGACCAGGGCGGCCAGCCACCTAATCGAGCAACGGTCCACAATGATAAAGACTGGGTAAATCGCGTCGGCCTCTCACGGAAACATATCTTCGATGCGGTCGAAGCTAGCTGTCGACGCCTGGGGACCTACATTGACGTGCTTCAAATCCATCGTCTGGATCGCAATACACCTCGGGTGGAGATCATGCGAGCTTTGAATGATGTCGTGAATAGTGGCGCAGTGCGATATATCGGTGCTAGCTCGGTTAGTCCTCCACAATCTATCTATCCTCTACATCGAAGAAAAGCCTTAGCCTAATGACCCGGCCTCCAGATGGCCGCCTGGGAATTCCAATCCCTACAGAACATATCCACACAAAACGGATGGCACAAGTTCATTTCCATGCAAAACTTCCATAATCTGCTTGCTCGAGAGGAGGAGCGCGAAATGATCCCTTATTGTCTGGACACTGGGGTTGGACTGATTCCCTGGTCACCTCTCGCCCGTGGTGTGCTGGCAAGACCATGGGGTGTCCGGTCGACGATCCGCGAGAATACCGATCTGAGCCTGAAAAGTATCATCCGGGATCGAGAGTCTGCTGTGGACGAGGCGATTGTGAGACGCGTGGAGGAAGTGGCGAAAAAGAAGGGGGTTAGTATGGCGCAGGTCGCTATTGCTTGGTGTTTGAGCCATCCCGGCGAGAATCCTATTCTTGGCTTGAATAGTAAGGAGCGGATTGATGAGGCGGTCGATGCCATTGGAGTGGAGCTGACGGTGGAGGAGATGGAATACTTGGAGGAGTTATATGTGCCGAAAGGTATTCATCCGTCGGAGAGGTAGGTTATTGTTCAGGCATTAGATTGCTTTCCGTCAATATGCTATTCAGACGGACATCTCTTCCCTCGCACATATCTGTCTTAGTCATGGTATGCAGTGAAATGATCGGAAGTGCTGGAAATTGCTCCTTCTAGCCTAATAATTGATCTGAAACCAAGTTAGGAAATTATCCGATGGCAATCTGCAAGTGATTAAGAATCATCCTAATTCCCGGTTAAATCCATGTCGTACACCGGAGAAATAAAGTCGATCCCTGCAGAAATGTAACCTCAACCTGCGGGGGGACATAGATCGACAGGCCCTGCGTTTATAAAAGTCCAAGGTTGACGAACAGTCAGAACACCATGTTTTCCAGGCAGCAAGTTTTCCAAAATGGTCCTCCTAGCCGGGATCCTTTTCTTTTTACCCGCCGCATATGCTACGACTTTCTCAACAGAACGCTTCACTGGGGCCTTCGACAGTGAATCGGGGGTACTAAGATCCCTAAAATCATCATTAGACCCGGCTTTTGACTTTTCTCCATATGATGTCTTTGCCAACCGCAGTGGCAACGGCCACTACCACACCGGTGACCTGACCCTGCGGTACCGGGTGGGCAATTCCAACGGATGGATCGATGCAGATACCGTCACAAATCGCGTGCCTCTCATCAACGGCAACTCTTCACATTCCATCCTGTCGTCCAATCTCGACACGACTATTGGAAACGTCACCAAAGACCGTCTGTTCATCACCCGAACCTGGACCGACTACCAAGGAGACCTAGCACTGAACTTCACCCTGAGGAACGGAAACACACAATCCATCGAGATCGGTAGTCTCGGCTTACCCATCGAGTTTAACAGCATCTTTACGGATCGAACGGCGGTCGAGACAAGAGAGAAGTGTGTCTTGGTCGATCCTTTCATCGGTCTACAGGCTGGATATGTCCAGGTCACCAGACTACTCGGAGAAGGTCCCCACCTCGTCATTACGCCTTTGAATCTCTATACGAAACTCGAAGCATGGAGATTCCTCACAGAGGCGACGGATACTTCATTAGCATACCAGAGTCAGGTGTTCGAGGGCAACTATGAGTGGCAGATCTACACAAAGGCATATGCAGACCAGGAATGGGAGGGCGTTGAGCCGTGGAATCCTCCAACCTCGCTGGTGCTGTCGTCGGGAGAATCGATTTCGTTCGGGCTGCGGTTTACGGCTGTTTCAAGTGTGGATGATATTGAGCCGACGGTTTCTTCGCTTGGACATCCGGTTGCTGTTGGGATTCCGGGATATGTGGTGCCCAGGGATCTGGAAGGGCGGTTGTTCGTGAACACATCGCTTAAAGTTGATGCTGTGAATGTTTCCCCCGATGCCTGTCTCTCTTTGACGCCTTTGGGCTTGGAGAGCAGCTCCTGGACAGGGTATACGATTGTACCCAACGAGCAAGTGTTTGGTAGATGCAGAGTAGAGCTTGTTTACAGCACAGGACTGAAGCATACTCTACACTACTATATCACTGACACCGGCCCCAAGTCCCTTGCCAATGCTGGCCAGTTCCTGGAAGAGAACCAGTGGTTTACAAACACGTCGGATCCATTCGGTCGCGCTCCTTCTATCATCACCCATGATCGGTCCGTGAATGGCCCGGTTCTCCAAGATAACCGGGTGTGGATAGCAGGTTTGAGTGACGAAGGCGGTGCTGGGTCTTTCGTGACAGCAGCCATGAAGCAGTCTATCCAGCCTGTCGCATCGGAGGTTTCTAAGCTGGAACAGTTTGTGAATGAGACCGTTTGGTCCCGATTGCAACTAACCAACGGATCAACGGAATACGGTGTTCGCAAAAGCCTATTTTACTACGATCCGAACGCCATGCCGGATTACGACTATGATCCAGATATTTACTGGCCTGGCAGTTGGGATAAAGACGCTGCTTATTTGCTCGATAGAGCTTACGATTACGTTCATGTCTCTGCTCTCTACTGGGGATTGTACCGGGCTGGCCGGATTGCCCCGAGCGTCCTTACTCTCCGGTCGCCAAAATGGTATTTGTTGCAGGCATATCAAACGTAAGTGTCTCCCAATTCACCTGGAAATATCACTAAAATGAGTGAAAAGCGTGCTGTTTGCGTTTGGAAGCCAACCCGATGGAAGCGCAAACACCTATTACAACGACCTCGGGCTGATGGGGGAAACGATGTGGATGTACCTGCTCGAGGATCTCCGGGCCGAGAACTACACGTCAGAAGCGACAAAGTTCGAGGACATCATGCGAGATCGTGCACAGGCGTGGTCTACGCAAGAAGACCCTTTCGGTAGCGAGCAGGCCTGGGATTGCACCGGACAGGAGGGGGTGTACTTGTGGTCCAAGTATGTTACTTCAGTCAGAGCTCAAGCTTATCAAGCTGCCTAACACATCTAGGTACTTCAACTACACGGCAACAGTGGACAAGACTATCTCCTCGATCAGGGGATACATGCCTACTGTAGCGCATTGGGGGTGGAACGGCAACGCTCGGCGGTACTGGGACTTTACGTATGCTTTTGTCCAATTCAAGCTTTTTGGTCTCCATTTCGATCCCGCTTGGACTTGGCAACTAACTTCGCAAAGGACTGCAGGCAAACTCTCCCGCATTGAACGGCAGATCCACCACTACGGATCCAGCCTTAACGCTCTGCCCATGCTCGATCACTACCGATCCCTCTTTGATCCTACAGCCCAATTGAGCTTCTATGACCTCCGCATCGGCTACGGGGGCAACCAAGGCCCGACGACCAACGTTGCGGACGATGGGTTCGGGTCCATGTCTTTCCACTCCTTCCCCGAGACGTTGGCATGGGATGACTACACTGGAGATTATGGCCCGGGGTTTCTGGGACAGGTGCTAGGTGCCGGGACAGTCCTGGTGAAACACCCAGAATTTGGATGGGTGAGTTTCGGAGGCAACATTGCCGCATCTTCGTCCGGTGGAAACGACAGTGTGACACTGCAACCCCGAGACACGGTCCGCAGGAAAGTCTACCTGTCCGATCTCGGGCTGAATATTGAGATTGACGCGGGTGCCATTGACGAGGTCCGGACCCTGTATGGTGCTAATCGAGTGGAAGTGGATCTGGTCGATCAGGCTGACGGCTCGGGGGCGGTGCCTGCCACTAGGGCCGCGGTGGAGTATACCGTAACCTCCGTCTCTGCAGCCAAGGATATCCGGTTAGTGGAAGATGGATTGACCAAGGGCAAGTATGGGTGGGAGGTGAAATTTGTGTCGGGCAAGGGAACGGTTGTGTTTGAGTGGTGATGTAGCTATAGTAAGATTGACCAGCTGTAATGCAGGAACGAGTTGAGCTTCATCCAGATCTCAGCCATTGTCAGGACTCCCAGCATAACCAGATCGTCCCGCAACGCTAAATCCTCAGCCTCGCCAGCTGTGTCGGTGAGTGAGCATGAACCGGTCACTCGCTAGTTTTGGTAGAACGTTGTTCCACAGTATTAAAATGAGACTTTGATATAATATGGACCAACCCTTCTTTTAATGTTTTCTCCTATTGTTCGCATGCACCATCACTTGTATCCTCTCCACCCGCCTCTCGTGTATCATCATTCCACGCCGACATGGGAACGCGCGCGACAGCTCACCTGTGCATCCCGACGACCTTGGGAATCACAGAGTCAGACGCAACAGCGACATTCTCATGCAGGCAGAGAGAAGAGACCAAGACAACCCTGGCAGCATCAATCATCGCTGCGACCCGCCGCGCCTATGATGAATTGGCAGTGCATAAATTAACCTTGGAGGTGGTAGACCGGACAAAACTGCGATTCTTGATCGCATTGAGGGAGTTATTGGAGAGGATCTCGATGCAGCCGATAATGAAGCCGGTCGTCTTGTGTTAGGCGGAACGGGCCCTGTGAAAAGGGGGAAACGGTACCTCGTTCTTGAGGGATCACAATTATTCGACACTGTCATCCGCAACAAAATCAACGAGCGGCGACACAGCGATAAATGCAGCCAGTGGTATCCTATCCACGATCAAATCACAACCCAGGTATTTCCCACGACCCACGGAATCTCCTCGTAAACCACCACTAACTTCTATCCCCCACTAGTGCTGACACCTCTCCAGAACATCAATTACTAACCCCCCCTCCCTGTCCCTACATCCATCTTCACCTCTTCTTCCCTCCCTAACACCTCCAAACCCACCACCTCATACCAATCTACACCCCCAACCCCAAACAAAATGTTTCCCCACCCGCCCTACGCCGAAGACCAACCCCTAGCCCACCTAATCCTCACCACGCACGTCCTCCACCGAGGCTTCCAACTCGGGACCGGAATCGGGTTACTCGTCGGCACCGCCCGAGCCCTGTTCTTCTCCTCCCGCTCATCTTCATCTCTACCGAAGCCTGTCACTGCGCGCTCAACACCAACGAACACGAAACTCGTTACCCGTCTCACCCAAGTCCTCCGCCCCTCCGCGCTGGGTGGTCTGGGTGGTCTCGCGCTGTTTTCTCTTCTTCTGCCGGTTCATATGTGGGGCAAGGAGATTATTGAATGGCAGGATCGCAGTTGGCGGTTGTTGGAGAATCGGGGACAGGTGGTGGTGGATTGGTGGAGTGTGGGGGGGATGGTGTTGGGGGTGGGTGTGGTTGCTTTGGGGTTGGGAGCAAGGGGGAGGAACTTAGGGAAGAGGGAGAGGGCGTTGCGAGTGTTGGGGGGTGCTGGGGTGGGGAGTTTGGGGGGGGTGCTTGGGTTGATGGGGTGGAGGGTGTTGAGCGGTAGTAAAAGATAGGGCATGAAAAGGAGGGGTAATGGGACGGAAGGTGTAATTTGTAGGATATCTATCATATGTTAAAGTCAGGGTGTGGTTGGTAGTTATCTCGAATGTGAATGGCGCGCTAGAGCGGCCATCGGGCAGATAATCAGTTAGCATATGCTAGTGGCATCTAGCATCCTTGGTACCGATGATCTCCAAAACAAAACATGACAAATGGAGATATCTTATCTTTTATGTTCTATGCCATTGGGCTATGTGGATTACACCTCGTCTGTTCTCCATTCTAAAAACACAACCCGTATATGTAGGCTGATAGTACCAGAATCTTGAATCCATCACGATTACTAAAACCTTCAGTTGGTTAAATATATTTCGGATCCAAATCAGTCGAGCTGATGACTCTCAAAACCTAATTCTACTATCCCGGAAACCCGACATCCTAATCCGCAAGGTCTAGCTGCAATATGAAGATCTGACTGACCTCGAGTAGAAAAATAGGATCACACGTTCTGAGCCGTTGGACGTAGAATCGTTGTTTTGGGCCATTCCCTTAATCGCAACGCCAGATTTTTATCTGGCAATATGCACCCGTAAAGCGCACTTATCAGTCCTTGACAGGACACCGCAGACAACCAGATACCCATACCTAGAAAGATCTCTGTGCAGCAAAGATTCACCCATGGCGATAACCCACACATAGTCGACTCAAACAGCAATTGGATTCCCAACTGATGGATTTTTCGGATGGAAGAGGTCTATCCTATCTCCTTCGCTTATCCTTTCTGGCACTTTTCCTACTTCTGCTGCAAGCCGATATATCCGCCCGAAGCTGGTCTCGGCTCGGGACTATCCGTATTTCCAGCTCCGGATGGGATTTCACATCACCATCACTACTCCATAGTACCTTATCGACTATAGATAGTTTAGATGATGACAGAGCACGTTACACTGCATCCCGATAGATATCCCGAAATCTCCCCGCGGGATATTACACCAATATACCGATCCGGCATGGGTGGAGATTCGGCATGCCGATAATTCCCCGACATGCCGGCACTAGTCCCGTTCCCGGTCCTCGTTCCTGTTCCGATGGCGGCATCGGGAAATAAGGTAATAGGTATGGGTGGACCCTGGGTTCGAAGCGAGAGCCACTGCGGGAATTTTCCGCCCGATGACGGTTGATTGATAAGGCGGGATGGATTCATTGATAATCATGGCCCTATCGAAGGTGGCAGATAGTCTAGGTTGAGACACGGGATTGGTTCGACGTGTTAGGGTCGTGAAGGGACTGCAGAGGGCAATCTACACGGTTAGTCAAGATGACTGAGTTCTGACGAATCTGAAACATGATCCTTCGGTTAGGTGATCGTGTGTAAGGATGGGGCTGGGCTTGATAATGCTTCGCGTGAGGCAATGTGTATATAAGAGCTTGCAGTATGTCTGCTGGGTAGAAAGCCACCAAATCGTTTTGTCTATCATCATGCTTCTTCCCCTGGCCGTGCTCTCGTTGGGCTCTCTGGCAGCCAGCCAGCGTGTCTCGTCCACATATGACTTTGTGATTGTGGGTGGCGGCACCAGTGGATTGGTCGTCGCCAACCGACTCTCCGAGCTGAGCAATGTGACTGTGGCCGTCATTGAAGCCGGTGACTCGGTGCTTAACAATTACAATGTCACAGATGTCCAAGGATACGGATTGGCGTTCAACACCGGCATCGACTGGGCTTACCAGACCGAGAATCAGACCTATGCGGGCGGTCTGAAGCAGACGATCCGTGCTGGCAAGGCGATTGGTGGGACGAGTACAATAAATGGTAGCCCCTCCCCAGCCCAAACTCGCCTTCCAGGATGAATATACTAATCAATCGACAGGAATGTCCTACACCCGCGCCGAAAACGCCCAAATCGACAACTGGGAACGCGTCGGCAACAAGGGCTGGAACTGGAAGAACCTGCTGCAATACTACAAGAAATCCGAAGCCTTCGAGGTGCCTACCCAAGACCAAACCGCCCATGGCGCCACCTACGACCCCAAATACCACGGCGAGAACGGTCCCCTGAAGGTCGGCTGGCCCACCGCCATGACCAACAGCAGCGTCTTCACCGTCCTCAACGACACCATGGACCACCTCGGCATTCACTACAACCCCGACGCCAACAGCGGCAAGATGGTCGGATTCACCACCCACCCCGATACCCTCGACCGCGCCAACAACATCCGCGAAGACGCCGCCCGAGCCTACTACTGGCCCTATGAATCCCGCTCCAACCTAAAGATCATCACCAACACCCACGCCAACCGCATCATCTGGTCCAACACCACAACCCCCCACGACGACGCCCTCGCCACCGGCATCGAAGTCACCGGGCCCTACGGCACCGAAACCATCTACGCCGCCCACGAAATCATCCTCTCCGCCGGGGCCCTCCGCTCCCCCGCCCTCCTCGAACTCTCCGGCATCGGCAACCCCTCCATCCTCCACCACCACAACATCCCCCTCACCGTCGCCCTCCCCACCGTCGGCGAAAACCTCCAAGACCAAACTAACAACGCCCTCTCCTGGTCCAGCTCCGACCCCCTCACCGGCCTCGCCACCTTCTCCGCCCTCACCTCCGTCACCCACCTCTACGGCCCCAACACCGCCGCCCTCGCCGCATCCATCAACGCCAGCCTCCCCGCCTACGCTCACGCCCTCGCCACCGCCTCCCACGGCGCCCTCAACGAATCCACCCTCCTCGAAGCCTTCCACCTCCAACACGACCTCATCTTTACCTCGGAGGTCCCATACGCCGAGATTGTCTTCGCCCCCAGCGGTTCCTCCTTCGCCGTGGAATACTGGCCCCTGCAACCGTTCTCGCGAGGAAGCGTCCACATCACCTCGAACAATGCCTCGGATCTCCCAGCCATCAACCCGAACTACTTCATGTTCGACCAGGATATCTCTGCCCAGACCGACGTCGCGAGATTCATTCGCAAGGCACTAGCTACCGCCCCGTTGAGTGGAATTGTCGGCGAGGAAGTCTCCCCTGGCACTACCCTCCCTGCGAATGCCTCCGACGCGACCTGGAAGGAGTGGGTGCTGGAGCATTGTAAGGCCCCCCCTTTTACCCCTTACCCCTCTACTTCTCACCCACCATAATACCATGATACAGGATTATCTTGTATGCTAATAATCCTACAGACAGACCAAACTACCACCCCGTCGGCACAGCGAGCATGCTCCCCCGGGAAAAAGGCGGTGTCGTGGACGCAGAGCTGCGCGTGTACGGAACGAAGAATGTCCGGGTGGTCGATGCGTCGGTGTTGCCGTTCCAGCTGAGTGGACATTTGACGAGTACGTTGTATGCGGTTGCCGAGAAGGCGGCGGATTTGATTCGGGGGGGGTATTATGGTGCTTAGTTTAAGGTTTTTAATTAAAGGGGTGGGAGGAAAGATGTTCTGGTTGTGTGGTTGGGAAAAGGGGATGTGTTGGGTGATAGGCTTGGATGGAGAGGTGGTTTGGGGTTGTAGATAGAGCAGACTTTGTATAATATAAGAATTGAGATCTGTGGTATATTCAGAGTTATGAAGTACTTCGCTTTATTTCGATTGGGGTCATTTTATTTCTAGAAGAGCGCCTAGAGTCTCGTTGATACTGGCACTGCACTACAGGGGATACTTCTATGGAGAGGGGGTGTAATTGGGTACTGGGCTGCACTCTTTCCCTCTTATAGTATATATTTTCATAGAGCATGGTGGGTTGAAAGGTCGGTACCTGGAATGACCGTTACAGAGTATCATGTTGAGTATGACTAGTGGTAGTCTGATTCGCTGCAGATGAGTACCCAGTTACTTGGAGTGACTATACGGTGGGTATAGTAGAACTCGCAAAAGGAGGTATCTATGCTAAAATCTCACCGGAACATCCACTACCTTGTCTCGGATATAATCCACAAACCCCTTTCCAAACCCATCCAGCCGACTACTACTACTGACCCCCCGTCCAAGAATCCCATAAATGACAAAATGTACAGCCATGATGTTTGGGAACTCGACCCGTTCGAGATAAAAACTGTCCTGCCAGTCGTTCCCGATGAGTTGGCGCATCCGGTCTTTCGTCATATACGATCGCAGCCATGGCCAGTGGTTGGGGTTGGTGACAAAAATCCCACAGTTCAAATTTCCCCCCTTGTCGCCGGATCGGCCCAGAGCAATCTCGCCCAGGCGAAGTTGCTTGGTCGGCCCGGTGAAGACATGGCAATCCGGGTCGTAGTTCTCCCGCAAAACCAGGTCTTGGTAGTGTTGTGGGTGACCGGTGTCGTACGAGCGGATGTCATCAGCATCGTTGATCAAGTTGATTGTTTCGTCAATGTCGGCCTGTTTGATCAGTGCTGGATAGTAAGCAAGGAATGGCCGCGGTATCGCTGTCCGAGCATCCAGCGATGCATGAAAGCCTACAAATTCATAAGTATGAAACCCCCGGCTAAAGACCTAGACGTACCGGAAAAATGCTTGAGGGATATTTCTTGCATGGCCTTGGCTACAGCCAGAACAGCGTTCTCGGAGCGGGAGGCCACGAATATTCGAAGATAGGTTGTGCTTTCACTCTGACACACTGGATTTGGTGCAGGTGTTCCGATTCTGGAATAATCAGTATAGAGCTAACGTATATCGAGCGACTTACCTCTGGAATTCCAAGGTCTCCAGGTTCTGCCTCGCTTCTTCTGGGAGAAAATGGCGGATTTGCCGTTCGAGAAGATCCCACTTTTTCTCGGTGGCAAACCCGGTAGCATTGAACAACAGCTGGGCCTCGTATCCTCCTTGATAGAAGACGGCAAGCTTAGTGGTGGAGGGTGGTGGACCTCCACGAATCCCAGCTACACGTACCCTGCATCCCCATCAGTAAGGCCTCAGACAAGGCTTGGGCTGGGATATTTACCGATCTTTGGCCTCCTCTTTAATAGTCACATCAGCGATAGAAGCGCTCACATCACTATTGAGATAGGTCGTTCCCTGGAGTTCATACAGGAACTGGCAGCAGACAGTCTCTGCATTCACGATACCTGGCGTACCTGGGTGCTTTGTGATAACACAAGTGCCGTCTGCGGCAATCTCAGCGATGGGAAACCCTGGAGCGACGAGGTCATCTAGTGCATATCTATCAAATCCAGCAAAGTTGGCGCCCGTTACATATGCAGAACATTCAATCAAATGGCCGGCGATGAGTGATCCGGCAAGATTGTCGTAGTCCGTCTCCGACCAGTCATGCCAATACCAGGCTGCTGCTATAACAGGGCTGGCGTCGGCAACTCGGCCACAAATAATGATGTCGGCGCCCCGGCGCAGGCCATCCACAATGCCACGGGCTCCCAAGTATGCATGTGCAGATACCATGGGAACTGCTTTCTCGGCTGGATTCAAAAATGCGTAGGTTAATTCCGACGGTACCACGTCAGGATTCCCAGAGTCAAGATGAGTCAGTTCTTCTTTCGTGGTAGGCATGTTTGGTCCAACGCGAGAATATAGGTCATCTCCAAGTAGATATGCCACGCGGAGATCCAAATTCCTATCAGAAACCTACCACAGAGAAGGTCAACACTCTCCCATCCCACATGGAGAAAATATACTTACCAAAGCTTGGGTCTTCAGTGCAAGAGCTTTAGGATCCAAAGCGCCACCGTTAATCACCACTCGAATACGCTTCTGTGCAATCACATCAATCGTCTGTCGAAGCCCTTCCCAGGCAGTTGCTTCATATCCGGGGTGCTTTCCATTCCGCCAGGCCTGAGCGTTATTGGCCAGGTTGACTTCTACATAGTCGCTATCAGCAAAAGGGTGCAAGACGGAACACATGAGGGGTAAATCACCTGCGAGATAATCCCCGGTGATAAAATCAACATCACCAAATGTGGCCTGTCGGTACATTTCATACGCTGGATCGCCTGCATAGCATCAGCATGAAACAAATGATTGACTGCAGACCACCTACCATGATAGCCGGAGCAATTGGCCACCCTAACAGGGCGCTTTTCAGAAGAGAAAGACATAGGAACAATGTGAATGCTAAAGTCCCTTAAATAACCCAGCATCACCGATAGACGAACCTGCCCTTTCTTCTGGATTCATTGCGCCTTTTGACTATTGTCCGTTGGAAGACGTCACCTGGTAGGCTAATCAGTTGCCATTGCCGTGGGCCACGGGAGTTGATGCCCGCGGGCCGTGGAGAATGTTCTCCGGTCCTTTGAGCATAACAAAGCCGCAAGGTGCGTTGCTGTCCATTTCCCCTTATTTTAGGTTCTCTGCCATTTCCAGTTGTTCTTTTGATTATTCTCTGAATTCCTCTCTATTATCCTTGCCTGCAACAGAGATATCAGCATGACAGTGACCCACGAAACCATTCCCGGAACCGAGGTATACGGACCGGGGACATTCATCGACAAGAACGTCCTTCCGGTGCCTACAGATGCTCGCCGTGTATTCGAGATCCTCGCTTCACGAACCCCCGATTTCACGAAAAACAAAGCAGCATGGGATACAGTCCATTTCGAAGGCCGGCCAGAGCCTATGGTTCAAGGGCCGATCAAGTCACCCGTCATGGCGGCCGCATTGCATGCCATGGCAGGCCTAGTTGCTAACGAGCTTCTGGAGCTGCGGGATGGGAAGCTCACCGTTCAGAATAGCGTGACTGTCGATACCGACCACGCAGGCATTTGGCTCGGTTCCGCGCTCACCACTTATATCAACGGCTCTGACGTACCTGACCTGGCACGGTCAAGGAAGCTGGGTACCCTCTTCGATCAGGATTTCGAACAAGGCTTCGGAAAGGGGATATCGAGTCGAGCAACAGCCATCTATCAGACCAAGGATCCCCATGTGTGGTACCAGCTTCATGGCTCACTCGACGCAAATACCGCCCTCAGGTCGATGGGAATCAACCCTGATGTGACCTTCGACACACCTCAAGGATACTACGACTATATTCAAGAATACGTTAGCAAGTGGACGCCCGACGAACTCGAGATGCACAATGTGCGCCACGGTCTGTGCGGAAGCATCTGCTATTCTCCAGAGGGTTGGAGGAAGACAGAGTTTGGGAAGCGCCTGTCCAAACATCCGTTGATCAATGTGACAGCTGAGACCTATGCCAGGCCTACGCCTCCAGTGCCTCTGGCCAAGGGCCTATCCGACAAACGGCCGCTAGCCGGAGTCAAGGTCCTGGAGATGGTGCGTATCATTGCAGGGCCACAAATCGGTGTTACCTTGGCATCTTACGGAGCAGACGTGATCCGGGTAAACTGCAGCAGACTGGCGGATCTTAATGTATGCTTCCATAGCCCAAATAAATCGAGAAGTCCGCTAACTAGGTAATTCATTTTCAGGTGCTCCAATTAACCCTGAATGCCGGAAAAAGAACGGTCGACCTTGACATCACCAAGGCGGAGGATATGGAACGGTTGCAAGAGCTGCTCGCAGATGTTGATATTTTCATTCAAGGATTCCGAATGGGTTCGCTGGATAGAAAGGGACTGAGTCTGCATAACATGCTAGAGATCGCAGCGAAAAGAAACAAGGGGATCGTCTACATCGACGAAAACTGTTACGGTCCGGATGGCCCATTCGCCGAGCGTCCTGGTTGGCAGCAAATTGGGGATGCTGCATCGGGTAGCTCATATGTTATGGGCCGGTCCCAGGGGTATGAGGATGGGAAGAGTGTGCTTCCACCACTTCCTGTGTCTGATATGATAACGGGTCTTGTTGGTGCGGTCGGCGCGATGATTGCAATCAGGCGACGGGCAGTAGAGGGAGGCTCTTACCACGTCCATAGCTCCTTGGTTGCTGCAGATACGATTGCGTTGGAAAAGGAGATCGGACTGTACCCTCCCGAGGTGGTTCGGGAGACGATCGAACGGTGTGGGTTCAAGGAAATCACTCCCGATCAATATGTGACCGAGGTTTTGTTATCGGTCATTGATGGTTGGAAGAAGGGACTCCCTCACGATCTGGATGAAGACTCGAGATTCATGACGACATTTGAGTCAGGACACTGGGGCCGGCAGACACTTTTGAAACCTGTTCCAAAGCTGGGTGTTGAGGAGTCGACGCCGAGGTGGACTTCTCGTCCAGTCCCTCATTGCCACCATGACCGGAGTATTGGTTGGCTTTGAATAGAATTGGGACAGGTTCTGGAGACAAGCAGTTGGATTTAATCCCAGCTAGATATATGTATCCCAACAACGACCAGGCTGGGGCCGAGCATAAATAGCAATTCCAATTAAATATCAGGCATATCCACTTCTGGTCTGTCCCCACCTGAAACAGCAGGAATGGACACACCAGGGAAAATATCCTGCCAATTCCAGAATGGGGGCAGAGACCACTGCCACTCCGCTGTCATGTCATACTCGGGCCCGAGTGTCGGATAATCAATGTCAGGATATGGTTGTTGCGGTAGCATATTGGTGGGGTTTGCACTCCGTTCATCCATCATAGGGGCGCTAGCTGACGGCGCCGATAGCGTACTATGTACGGGGCAAGCTGGGCGGCTGGTATCCTCGCTAGATTCATCGGGTCCCGGATTTTCTTTATCTGTCCCGATACCAGATTGACGACGACCAAGCTGTGCTGTCACGACGGCCTGTCTAGCAGAGCGCTCTAGGTCTGAGCACATACCCAAAATGTAGTCGACATAGGTACCAGGCTCCTCAGATGCAGTATTTGCGAGGAAGTCAACAATGTCCCGAATCATTGCAAGGTCGACACTGGCAAATGAATGTGTAGGATCTCTGAGCAGCTTTAGGGCTAATGGGACGGATGCTGCAGCAGGAAAATAGATAACATTCCTCAACGACTAGGTCAGCTTTCGACTCTTAACACATGACAGCACATATCACTTATATGTAGAACCGAGTAGGTTTATCTGAGGGAGAAGGGACAGTGCGGAACGTGCTGAGTCGAGAGCGCGCGCAAGAATCGAAGAAATAACCCCACCTGTGCCGTTCCTAGGTCGCTCGGTAGCATTTGCTTGAAATATGCACACCTGGTAAAGGTTGGAGTAACAGCAATGGTAGGCAAAGTGCAATCGGAGTAAATGTTGTAAGAAATAACTGGGTTGGCAGGAAAATGTACGCTGAGGCTGAAGAGTCGGAGGTATAAAATTCTGCCACCCCAATAGGGCCTCTTCGCAAGACTTTACTTCATCAAGCACTTTCTCGCTGGGCTGTCGACGAACAATTACTGTGTAAAGATGCCTGTAAACATGGCGCTGAACCAGGGCGAATTGCACCAGTAGACGGAAAAAGTTGATCCTGGTGCCGTCGATAGTCAATATACCCTTGCCATCGTGAGGATTCTCGGTGGGTAAAGATGTGTCATAATCTTCAATATCTTGGACCGGTGGACGACCCACTCGTATGGAGATATCTGAATCCAAGAGGAAGGCAATCCAAAACGTTCTTCGCCTTTGCTCGTCTTCGGGTGAAGTTCCATGCGCGGGGTTCCTATGCAATCCGATGGATTGGGCGAGGCGCATTGCCGTAGCCGCAAACATAAAGAGGGCCTGTGGATTAGGTGTGCCCTGAAAGTAAAGTGCCAGACCTAGGAGTCCTTGAACAGCAAGGAGGTCAGTATTTCGGAGAAAGACATCAGTGACAGCGTTTAATGCGTTTTTGACATGTCCTAGCGACTTCCTCCAGTTGTCGCTTCCGTCAGAGGATGCGTGTGCCCTTTCTCTGTATGATATGGCAAGGACAATATTGAGCGCTATCCACCATGATGCGCTATCATCAGGGTTCCATGAGTATTGTCTGTCGATGGACCGCATGAATGTTGTCTCGTCAAAAAGAGGAATGGCTTGGCTGAATGTCGAGAAATATTCTCTGGCCAATTGCTGTGCCGCTTTCTTAGACGGAAGGGGTTGGAAGTTGCGTCGCTCTAGACTGTCTTGAAGAATATGGGGCACCCAGCTTGTAAGTGGCCATGCAGTACTTCGTTGGGGTACACGTCGCCGGGCTCCCATCTGTGTTTGGTTGTCTGGTCCATTGACTGCGGTATTTGACAGAGCAGAAAATGCAGAAGATGCTCCTAACCAGAATCAGATGGCCAACGATGAGGGTAATACGGACAGCTTCAAACTAACCAAAGTAGCGCATTCTACCGTCCTGGGCGTTGATCACATAGGACTGATCATTCTCGCGGCCATCTGTGGAGAGCGAAAGGCCGGGTTCCGATGCTATCTGGTCATTCTCAGAGACATGTGTCCTCGGGGCCTGATATGCTGGTTCTCTGTCTTCAGTAGAAGGCGATGTTGATTCTCGAGGCGTTTCCGCGTTCTGCCGAGTTTCGTTGGCAGACCCGCTCAGACTCTCCAATTGCGATTGCATTCTTTCGATACGTTGCTCTAGCTCCTCTATATACGCCCTATAACAGTCAAGTTAGCCTACCTTACTAGTTAAAGACACTCAGTCTTGGGAATCATTGGGTCGCTAATCGACTTCCGCGATTCCGGCGTTCCGCGACATCTTGATAGGCACATGGCAAGCCGAAGGCGTGGCAGGGTGAACAAGCAGGCCGTTTTCCGTCACATTTGACCTTCTTTCGGCGGCAGGTATTGCATGCCTGGGTATGAGTGAATCAGTTGATGGGTAAGCTGCTTGTTACTATCCAGAGTATAAGTACCGCCTACTCACCTTGGCGCGCCGGATATTCCTCGTAGATGATTGTCCTTCGTTCATTTTTCCTCAGCCTCACTCATTTGAAGAGAATGTAGAGGTGAAGGACCATAAGGGTATAGTCTGCAAGCCCAATAAATTATCTCTCCGCGTCGTTGGGCGATATGAAAGATGCCTGATGGTCAACGAACTGTGCAACTGAAGCTACGGAGTACTTCTCCCATGATCAGCCACCGTTGCGATGGACTAACCCAAAACAGACTAATGTTTGCTCGCCAGTAGACAAGAGCTCCTCACCGCCTTCCCTATATATCAGCTCCCCGCAGGACCCTGGATGCGTGATAAGGCACGCCGCCATCTTCCACAGCAAACTTGTGGCTCTTTACGCATTCGCATCATTCTTTCTCACTTCCAGCTTTGAAGTACATTACATTGCATCTAGCATCATCCGTGGTTACATCTCCTATCCACCTGCAATCCACACCCACCACCATCCGGTATTCCCGGTATTCCACCATATATATCCAGTCACATCTCAATCCCACAACTAACCCCTCACCGGCCCATTACCACAACCAAACCGAGCCATCATGTCCTCAACCACCCCATTGAACACCCACCCGCACGAACAACCCCAATCCGACCCTCTTCCACCGCACCTAGACCCCCAAACCTACCCCCGCACAACCACCAACCCAACCCTGAACACCCACATCCACCTAACCTACGACCCCCTCGACCCAACCGCCGCACTATCCAAAATCTCCTCCCCCAACGCCGGCGCCAACGTGCTCTTCCTCGGCACCACGCGCAACTCCTTTGAAGACCGTCCCGTTGCCACACTAAGCTACACGGCGTACCCGCTTCTCGCCCTGAAGACCTTATCCAAGATTGCAGCGGATGCGGTGGAGAAACACGGCCTGCTGGGGGTGGTCATTGGGCATCGGTTGGGGGATGTGCCGATTGGGGAGAGTAGTATTGTGATTGCGGTGAGTGCGGGACATCGCGGGGCGGCGTGGAGGGCGGGTGAGGAGGTGTTGGAGTTGTGTAAGGAGAAGGCGGAGATTTGGAAGAGGGAGGTGTTTGTGGATGGGGAGGAGGAGTGGAGGGCGAATAAGGATCGCGATGCGGAGGGGAATTTGGTATGAAAGTGAGAGTGAGAGTGAGGTAAGTGGGCAGGTCATGCATCTCAGATAGATGGGTGAACAAGGCTAATTGGCAGTCCTATTTTACAATCACAGAGTAGGGTATTGCCTATGATACACGCGCTCGCAGACGATTTAGTCCTTCTTGAGCGGCTTGCCCTCCCGCTTCCAATCGTTGATATGTTCCATGATGGTTCTCGTGGCCGTCTCGGGCGTGTCCTGACGACCAATACACTCGACGAAGTCATTGTCGGGGTCTAAAAAGTCAGCTTCCTGCCACCATAAAACCAGGGAACGAAAACCTACCCATCAGATAGAAATAGATACTATGATCCACCAAATAATCCTCCCCAGGCTTAATATCCCTCGGGGTACTAAAGTACACCCGATACTGCTTGCAAACGTGCTTAACCTCATCATACGTGCCCGTCAAGCCAATAATCCCCGGATGAAACTCCTTGAGATACGCGCGCAGCACCTCAGGCGTATCTCTCACCGGATCACACGTAATAAACACCGGAAGGAAGATATTCTCCCCCTTAGTAGCCTCCTTCACCTTATCAATAATCTCCGCCATTTTATCCAACTCATCAGGGCAGATATCAGGGCAGTGAGTGAATCCGAAATACACCTATCCCATCCACCATTAGCCACAATCCCCACAATCCCCACAATTCTCCCCTCCCTCCCAATCATCCTCCAATTGATATCAAGAAAAAGGAATACTCACAAAAGCATACTTCCCCTTCAAATCCTCGGCGGTAAACTCCTTCCCATTTAAATCCTTCAACGTAAACGGCCCTCCCACCTTCGGTTTCCCCACTCCCTTACTCATCTCCGCGATGCGCTTCCGCTCCAATCTCTCCTTCTCGACCCGGAAATAAATAATCATGCCTCCGCCCGTCAACACGAAGAGCAGCGCCGCCTTCCACGAGAACGGACCCGTCGAGTGCCGTGCCTTCATTTGGCCCATTGTGCGTGCGCGGAGACAGAGCGGAGAAGTTGAGAAGGAGCGGATGCCATTGTTGCCTGCGCGGAGGTTGGAGAGGGTGCTGGTGGTGGTGCGGATGGAGGAGAGTGCGGTCCGGGGAGCGGTGCGTTCGATGGTGGGGACTAGGGTGGTGCGGGATGCCCGGGCGAGGAGCCGGGCCATGGGTCGCATTGAGGAGGCCATTGTGGTGTAGGGTCGGTTTGGGGAGGCTTGGTTGCGGAGTTTTCGTGGTGAGGGTGTCGGAGACTGCGCGGAGGTTTGGATGCTCTAGCTCGGTCCGGAGATGGGATGCTTGAAGGGGTTTAGTGTGGTGCCTGAGGCGGCAAGGTTAAACATCACGTGTTATGTTGTTACGGCTGAGTGAACGACTTGGTTTTATCACGTATACTCCGTAGTTAATCTGGAAACGATACATATTGTGTATTCATATGCAGAAGAAAATATGACTGTAGAATTACAAGGCTTACACCCGCCCTGTTAACGCCTGTCCAAAGCACTGCGAGAACCAAAGACGTACATGCCTGGTATGCAATTTATTGCTCGATAGGAGCCTGGTCGCCGAAGGAATAACGCGGGTTGATATAATGGAACAAAGAAGTGTAAAAGTATAAAACCGGGAAGCGACAAGTGGTATTCTGGTATGATTTGAAGCGAAAAGCAATGCGAGATTTGGTATAGAAATAACAAGGAAACACGCGTCTTTTGGTCCCAAGGACTGCTCAGAGCTGTATGTACGGCGGCAAAGTATAGACCTCACTGTACACTTCGACTCGCTAAGCTGGCACGGCTAGGAGTTGTCCGTGGCTCCTCTTCCTCAATCACATCGCTGAGACGTGTCGGATGGCGATGGCGGGGGGTCATGGACTCCCAACCTGTCCCTACACCCCATCCTGAGCCACTATAATCGACGGACGGGATCTGGCCTCCGTACAACGCCCCCGATGTTGCGGGCAGAGTACTCGGGGGGTATCCGCCCTCTTCCACGGATCCCTGCTCATAGTCGTCGCTCCCTTCTGACATCGCCGGTGGATATGCAGTAGAATGACCTTGCGGGTTGCGACGGTAACTGCTGCCAAGGTCCTCTTCGCCTTGTTCACTGCTGGCAACGCTGGGGCCATACGAGCGGTCATCATTCTCGGACGTTGGCCGAGCAGGGTAGGCAGGCTCCTGCTCATAGAAATGTCCAGGGTATTGCCTCTGGGGTTCAGCAGATGTCGATGCTGGCAGATCCTGGAGAGGTCTCTGTCCTTCAACGAATGGGTCGGTCCCGGTAGGGGAGGCAGGAGTGTCCGCATAGTACTGGCTTTCGGTCACCCCTGTGGTCGGTGCTATGCTCTCACCACCCGCATATGGGCCATCTCGAGTCGGTGGGCGATTGGAATTCTGCCGATGAGGGGGGCCCGGGATCATGGGTACAACTTGAACTCCTCCCACCAAGGTGGGCTCCCCGTTACGCAGGGAATTGGTCCGATCCCGTTCTTCCTGTTCCCGCCGGCCCAGTTCTTCCCAAGCCCGGCGAGCCTCTTCCTTGGAGATTTGCAGCTCGCGGCGCATCTCTCTCAGCAGCTCTTCTGCGCGGACCTTGTCGCCCTCTGCCTTTTGCGCCGAGGCAAGGGCTTCGGCTCGTGCTTGCCTTTCTGCTCGGACTTGTCGCTCCAGCTCTGCGAGCATTTCCTTCGACCGTTCTTGCTCGGCACGGGTGTCGAAGAACCAACGCTGGAATTTGCGCTCAGATGAGGCGCGCAGGCGCTGCAACTCCACCACCGCATGAAAAAGGTTGGCGCCCGCGGCAGAGAGATCGGTCACTTGGCGGGCCATTTGCTGATTGAGAGGGTCACGCTCCAGCCCTTCATTGTTCTGTTCAAGCTTACGAATCCAATACCCAGTCAACCCTTCCCAATGAGACGACAGCGTTTCCCATCGTTCAAACGCATGGGGAAATGGAATGCGGCGAGATTGCTGGGATTGCGGATCCGAGGAACCCTGGTTTGGCTGCTTGGTTGGGCCTGCAGAGCTCGGTGGGGCAGCCTGGATCGGTTGGGCTGGGTTGGGGCCGGCCGAAGTAGTTGGTCGACCCTGCGTTCCTGATACCTGCGCTGTGGCTTGAGGGTCTGGTCGTCTTGTGGTTGTGGAAGAGCGCTCGGGGATTTGCGCCCTTCGTTGCGAAGTTCGATCACCCGCAACGCCAGCAGCATAGTTTTGAGCTTGGCCCGGGGCCTTGTTCTCCTGCTCTCTGCGCTCCGATTCATCCTGCTGCTTGTCCCTTGCCTCCTGTTCCGCTTTCTTGCGAGCCTCTCGATCCCGGCGCTGTCTCATGATGTCCGTCGGCGTCCGCACACCACTTTGGGGGTGTGGGTTAACAGGGACCGGGCCTTGAGGGGCCCGAGAGGACCCATTCTGGGTACGACCATTGGCTCCAAAGCCGGTCGAACCAGAGGGACCTGCTACGTCAGACATGGACGCATTCACTTCCTCCAGATCTAGCGTGAATGGAAATGGCTTGCGAATTGCCTCCTCTAATGTCCAAAGTATGGCCGACGCAGTGCGTGGGGAGACTCGGGTCGTCCTATGGGGCCAATATGATCCGCCCGATTGCTGAGTGTGATATTCAGGGTCCGAGTCGGCGTCTTCGTCGTCTTCTTCAGTTTGCGCCTCGGAGAGTGCGGGACGCAATCCAGCAAGTCCGCTTGTAGGCTCGGAGACGGGTCGCACCAACACAGGGATAGATTGTTCTATGTGAGCCGGGCGTCCGGAAACATCTACCGAGGGGGGTCGTTGAAAAAGCCGAGATGTTCTCCGCAACGAACGAGTACTTCCCAAAGCGCTCGAGGGTCGAAGTGACGGATGAGGAGTAGAGTCAGGAAGGGCGTGGGAAGCAGCCTGCTGCTGGCGTTGCGGTCGAAAGGTCGTAAGTGTAGGGTCGTTCAAGTCGTAGGTATCGTTAAAGGCGCCGCGATTGCGATGAGACACCGCTGAGGATGGAGGTGAATGGGACGGGATATGCGACGACAACGTGTGAATGGGACAGCCCCCACGAAATGGGACCAGGAACGCGGGCCCTGCACCGTCGGTGGGCTTGTCAACGTGTCAGGAGAAGCTGCAGAGCTCCAACAGAATTGCGACTAGGAAGAGGGTCTCCAGTTCCAGCACACAAATTGAGCCCCGGCTGGGTGACGGATAGTCAGTACGAGAATGCTGCAATGTGGGTATTTTGATTCGAAACACGAAAGGACAGCACAGGGGAGAGCGAAAGCATTTTCAGAGCGAGCCACGCAAGTGAGAGTAAGAGAGGGTTGGAGGCAGTGGCTGGTCGAATAGGAAGAGCCGTCGCGGAATTACGATGGCTGGGAATCGGGATCTTACCTGTACTCCGTCCCTGAGCGTACCTGAAAGTACCTGAGAGCGCCCTGCCAGACCGCAACGAGCACCGCTAGAGGCTCGGGGCCGTCATGGAGCAGAGCAAGACAGCCCAATGGCTCCCGTGGAAAATGGAGGGCCGGAGAACGGCGGTCTGAGTTGTATGGACACCAGCCAGGTGTGAGGCGGACGACGGAGGAGAAAAGGAAGGCAAGTGAGACGGGAAAAGATCGGGGAAAACCAGTGGAAGCGCCAGTCACGCCCGCTACCAAATTTCACCCGATCGACGACTCCCACCCACGACAGCGCCAGTTTGGGGTTTGGGAGCCGACAAGCACTTAAAAAGGAGGGCCGATGACCTGGATGAGAGTTTCAAGGCTCTGGGACTCCAGTACGCCATCCCTACGACACGCCTTACCTTCCCACTCCTGGGTTTCAGAGGTCGCACAGATGGACTACGATGATTCAGAGAGCCGTTGGTTGGACAACAACTACTCGATCTCTACCCAAGCTGAATCAATTGGTTTGATCAGGCAATATTAGTGTTGGGTTTCGAGCCCATGCTGATGGCTTCTAGAAATCATTTCCTGGCCCGATCTCGGGGGTCTCATCCGCTCGTCTCCCACAGACAGTGCACTCCTAGTCTCCTACATCATACGAAATCATATCAGTATTCAGTCCGCTGAAGACAATTGCATCATGGTCCCATCGGAAAAGAAATAAATATAGAAACCAACGCTAGTCCACGCCTTGTCGTTGCAATGGCCCAATCCCGGCCGATGTGCTGGCACTGCTGGCTGGGTTTTAGTCCCCCGCCATGATTAGGTAGCGGCCAACTACTAGTATGTCCCTGGCCAGTGGCCACCAGGCACTCGATCAGGTCGCGATCGCTTTGCGAGGAGTCGGGCTGTGGTTCCTTGTTAATGATGCCCATTTGCCGGCGAGATCGAGGAGTAAAGCAGAGGCAAAAGACCCCTTGATAATCTGTGTGGGATTTCGATTTTCGAAAACCTGGGCACTGGCCAGGCAAATTGAATTGACTCCACTCGGCTCCATCCAAAGCACAGACCCGATGACGCTGGAGCGCTATTCTTTCGCGGTCGCACGAGCAGCAGTACGACCATACGGAAAATATATCGAGATAGTCTCCATGAGGATCCAAGTGAATGGGTCTTATTAGCTGTTTGGGTTGTGCGAAACAATCGCTAGTTGAACCAGAGTAATCTCAGTCCTGTGGACTGACCTTGGTTATCGTGCGTTCTAGACGTTCCAACACAAGCGAACTCTCGGGATAATAGCGCTCATCACAGGCGTAACCTTTTTCCAAGGGACGAGTCACAGCAAGGGCCATCCGAGTCGGGTATTAATTGAGTTCAAGGAAGGCAAGCCGTCCGGCCCGGTTTCAGACCTGTCCAATGCCTTGCAGCGAGTCTCACCCACCACTCTTCTACATAGTACTGGCAGCATGGCATCATCTGCTGTACTGCCACTGCGATTGATGCTGTCTTCTTATCCCACGCATAGGCTATGGACAGGTACAGGGTATAGAATTGGGCTATACTCGATTACAACCAACCATCAAAGCACTGGTAGAAATGACATCCAAGGGACAGGCACGGGAATCCCTGGCCAGTGCAACGAGTCAGCTCGACTTTGCATGCAGCTAGAAAGGTCCGGCAGCTCAAGACTGCGTCGTCTTCAAGAACCGGCAGGATTGCGCAGCTGCCCCGTACTACCCGTGAAGAAACCAAGGAAAGATGCAAAAGACCGTTGGATAGTTAGACTGCATGAAGCAATGCTCTATTCGCAGATGACATTCAGGAGACCCTAAGACCATAACCTCCTGAGCGCTTGTTGCACCAACACAGTCAACATACAAGCTTCCTCACTCAATTGAGGTGCAAATCTATTCGTACGTGTGACCGCGGAACGGTTGTGGGAGATGCATGAGTAAATGCAAAACCGCATCGTCATGCACAGGCTCGGAATGCGGGCCATGCAACACTTGCTTCCCCGGCGGTCTAGATGCCGTTCAATTGCACAAACTGCCTTCATAGTATGCAGACAGCAAAGTTGAACACAGAAAGGGTCATTCAAATGGAGGCCGAGGACGTGCTCTCCTCTCGAGCAGTTCCACATAATGATGGCAAGTCCAGTATGCAGTGCACAACATTCATGAGCCTGGGATCATGTTCCATGCGCAGATTGAATAAATCTCATGTCGCCCACAGACATATAGCTCACCCTATGGGATAACAACAGACAGAATCGGTCCAAGCAGAACAAGGTAACATCAGGCCAATATTCTGCAGACTCGCCAGCAAGGACTCTCAAAGTCTCTATTGGGCGGCAAGCCAACCTTCGGAAAATATATGCGTGGGGGCAATGCCTTCTTATACCCAGACCACGACGAATTCTCGTCCAAGCAAACAGACAAAGAACCAAGCAGATCCCTCTAATGCCAGCCTGCAGTATCGCAGCAACCTGGAATTCCGGCATGCGGGTCGTGGCATAGCATCCATTGGTGTATAGCCAATTGACGCGAAGTACCGGTACGATAGTCTCAGCCACAGTTGAGTTTGCCCTTGAATCGTATATCGGCCACAACTGGACTAACCGTATCATTTACAGTTTACTGTCCCTTTGATCGCGACCATCAAGCGCAATCGAGGACCGAGGCCAGGCCAACGATCGGCAACGATCGCCGCCGAGCCGTGGTTGAGCGCGCGCTAAGTTGGCGCAGATCCTGGGCCGGAGGTCGGCATGTCCTAGCGCTTGAGATCTCATATTTGCCATCACGCCCGCTCTCCACTGTCTGTACCAGGTTGCTGGGAGCGGACCCAGTGATGCAGAAATTCCAGCCACAATTCAAATGTCTGTTTACGAGGCTCAGCACCCGACGCGGTTGACCTCGAGCAATGCTCTCTATGCGGGTCCCTTCTAACGGGACAACATGCAGAGCCGGCTAATCTGCATGCAGGGCCATTTTTGAGCTGCCAAACTGAACATTGGGAGTAGCTGATCTGGAGCGTGAGGATACTCCGTGCACGTCCCACTTACACGTTTGCACGAGTCGCAACAACTAAAGATGTTGACGTTTCTCCATTTCAGGCACCTGAAGCAGCCGAAGAACTACACAAAGTTACTCTGTACAAGCGATGACGAGTCAGAACCACACAGAACCACCCCGCGTCGACAAAGTTGCGGATCGGTATTCCGGAGGCTCCCTTGCTGTAGCATCGATGGCCTGCCGCCTTGCTGCGCATCCATCCCTACCCAAGGGACCATGTAAGGTCTGATAGGTCATTGGCGTCTGTGCGCTCGGACGTTCGAGCTTTGTTTACGCCTTCTGCATTGGCATGCGCCGTGCTCCTCCCCGACTAGCCACCAGGGCCAGCAATGGGTCTGCCCTAGGCCCGGAAAGGCATCACAGTTATTTTTGGGCAAGCTATGTATAAACATATCCCCTTCCCTGGGGCCCTTTCTGCTTTCTGGCCATTCTCATTCCTTTGTTCCACGTCTCTCGTTTTGAACCTGTATGGGCTGCATCTGTGTCTTTCCCTTCTGATGAGCCTCCTGCGTGTCTGAATGCACAAGATCGAATTTATCCTGGCGTCAGAATCATAGCTCATGGCTGACGGATACTCTCGGCTTCCCGGCGAACCGAACGCTTTGTACAGCAGCCGGAACCGATCGCAGACCGCAGTGGCGCCCACCAAGCGGGCATCATCGTTCTATCCCCCCAGAGGTCCCGGGATTGTAGACGAGTCGAATCCCGATCCCTTCTATCTGGAGAACACGCTCGCGGGCGCTGCTCCCTGGGGGATTCGCCGGCCGGGCAGTCGGGATGTGAGGTGCAGTGAGGAGGCCCACCCATATTCGATGCTCTCCTCGGTGTATTCCAACGAGATTCCCTTTGCACCTACAGCCCGCGGTGAAGCGACCCGGCTGCGGTCCAATATCAACCGATCCACACTGTCTGTGGTTGAGCTGGAGCATCAGCTCGGATTGCAGCAGGTCGCCGCCCGTCCGTGGGGAGCATCGGCAGTGCATCACGACCAGAGCTCTTTCAGCTCGGTGCAGACTGAAGCTACCCCAGACTTGACCCCCAGCAGTTCCTTCTCATCCAATCTTTCGGCTCCCATTTACCCGGAGAGCCTTCCGCCCACCGAGCCCCTTCCAGTGCCACCTAGCCCTAGAAACAACGTATATCCTTGTTCGTCCACTCCCTTCAACCAATCCCAATCCACTCTGTGCACACAGTCCTCCACGCCGGTGCGGAAGGGGAAGCCTCAGACCGTGGCACCCAACGCGTCGTCGGACACGCTGGTCATGCATCGGGTCGACAGTCACGAACCCCCGCCCCATCTTGGGAAGCCATTGCCATCTCTGCCGAATGGAGCGGGCAGTAGCATCGCCCACTCCAACCGGAAAGGCCCTCCTCCCCCCATCCGGCCTCCCATTGCTCCGTCGATGATCTCGCCGCCGTCTCGGATCAATCCGGTGACCATGGAACCACACGCCTCTCATTTTGACCAAGCGATGTTTATCCCCGCCAATGACTGTCCGAGTCCTGTGCCCAGCCCGGGACCGGCGTCGCCCGCGCTGGAACGCTATCCCACCGCCAATTCCGGTCGAGAGCGGCCGTCCACATCGGCGTCGCGTGCGGCGTATTGTGAGCAGTCCGTGTGGGAATCCGACTCGGACAGCGAGTCGCCGGACCCCAAATCACTGTCGCGGAAGCCCATGGATACGTTGAAGAAAGTCCGCAGCCGCGTGCATCTACGCGTGGCCAAGTCGGCCCCCAAACTGCAACCCACGCAGACTGCCAGTCAGCCGACACACTCTTTGGAGAAATATTCGTCGATGCCGGACCAGCCCCCGGAGGAGCTATGTCCGTCGCCCACGCGGCACACGACGAAGGGCCGCTCGCGCGACGCTCAACGACATCACGCGCCCACGTTGCGGCTGGTTGATCCATCCGTAACATCCCTGGTCCTGCCACAGTCACGTCGGAGCAGCGGTCAGGCGCGCACCATTGACATTGACCGAACGACTGCGGCCGCGATGCAAGCGAAATCGCGCCGCCGCCCGCGGTCCGACTCGAAAAAGTCGCTCCCACCAGAGCGAGAGAAGGTATGCACCTTCTGTCGCGAGGATCGCTCTGACAAGGCGATCCTGTCCCTGGCCCGGCCGCCGCTGTACAAACGAGTGTGGGACTCGTTGCGGGTGCTCGGCTGCCACGGGGAAATCCCACCGCGGTCTCGCAGACCGATGTAGTTATGCTTTGCTTTTCGAATAAAAGTCCGGAACGGCGTTGAATGATGTACGGCTATGCTACGACTACCGAACGGCCCAGCCGGATACCAAAGGGTATATGATTGACCTAATGTTTTATGAGCTGAACACCCGGGAGCCGGGTACGACCAATGGATAGATCCATGACTACGAGATGATGCGCCGGGATGGACCCGGCGTCGATGATGCACGCATGCGTGCGACGACTCATGTACGATGAGGCAACGATTGAGATGATGTTGGTCTCATACCATTCTTTACTGATGTCTGTTGACACATTTCCTTGCTGTTATTCTGACCCACGACACTCACTTCCGATGTTCTGGCACGGCCTGTCACTCTTTGACTCTTGATTTCATACATACCACTATACCAGTATACCATTGATCCGCGCAATCTCATTCCGATGTAACCTGTACTTGTCTTACCTAATTGGCATAAAGCAAAACAACGCGCCGGGTGGAAATTCCGGCCAGTGAAGTATTTCGAAAGGAATGTGTGGGGTTTGACCGCAAGGGTTGCAATGAAACACTAGTGTGGACGGGAATATCCCTTGATGACGGTTGGCCAAGCATCCCTTGGGTATGACTCGCGTTAACTAATTTCACTGAAGTTTTGTCTGTCCAACTACATAGGAAGACTATGTATCTAGTATTTGAGTGTGCTACATATGTTTTCCTTATCTAGTCCCGTAAAGCAAATGCGCACCACGGCATCAATGCACCAGCCGTGTTGTATCAATAGCCAGTGAGCCACTGTACCAGCCAGCCATACTTCCCCTCAGCCATCACATCGCGTACCTTGCAGATACGACCGTCGAGACCCCGACAGCCTGCCTACTGCCTACTGCCAAGTGCCAACCTGCTTACCTGCCATCCACGGCATCAGCAGGGGATCCTCGACGTATGCACGCCCGCGCACTCCGTCTGGGCTGACATCAACCCACCCACCCGACGCAGGGGCAGGCAGAATCATAAAGTACCATCCATCGATACCTAGAGAGCCAAGAGTATCCCACTTCAGCTCTCCTCAACCACCTCCTTCTCATCACCCTCAGCATCCTTCATCTCCAAAGCCTCCATATTCTCCTCCCACCTTGGAACCCCCACCCTCCCCTCCCACCCGCCAATAACCCCTTCACCCTGCCTCCTTAACCTCTCTTCCGCCTTTTCCTCCTTCGAGGATAACTCCCCCTCTTTGATCCCCTCAAAGACCTTCCGCACATCCAACTCAGCAACAGCTCGCTGATAAAGCGCCAGGAGTTCTGCGCGTTTCGCGCTTCGCGACTCTTCCGAAGTATCACCCTTCCCCGTCCCAGCTTTATCCCCTGTACATGTAGATGTCGATGTAGACTTCCTCCCGGGTAAGGACTTCTTGATCACACCCCGCGACTCATACCCCCGCAGCACTCCCTCTAAAATGCCGAGGATGGTTCCAGCCCGCATACCGAGTTGTGCGCCGACGGGAAACCCGGCGTCGAAGCCGGATTGTACGTGTGTCGATTTCGAGGCTTCGATGCCGTCGCGGTAGCCGGCGGTGACGTGTTGGCGGCGGAGGGAGGGGAGGTCGGAGGGTTCGGTGTGAGATGGGGGGGTGGATTGGGGGTGGGAGGGGGCGGGCGGGGAGGAGCCGAAGATGTCGTCTAGGGTGGACATTTTGGTTTCTGTAGTGGTGTATTCGGTGAGTGTGGTGATATGGTGAGGTGGGTGTTGGCGTGGTGGTGAGGGGAGGGGGATGGTGGTGTTGGAGAAAAATTGAAGGCGGGGAAGAGTGGATGGGTGGGGCGGAGATTATCGGGTGGGGAGATTGTTATCTGGATCTGAATTATCAGAACGATACCATCGATGAAGTATTTTGGTGTGGAGTAAATGAGGCTTATATTGTGATTTAGTTATCTGATCAAGCTAAACCTATTAATGAATTCAATGAGAATGTACTAGTATGTGATACCATGTTTGTTGAGGGACTAATCATCTTCCCCTCTTACATCTCACATCATCCAGGCACCGCAGCTAAATCCTTCAACTATCAACAGATCATACGACGTATCCAGTATCCACCCGGAGGACTCGGGCATTGTTTACCTCCGCTGATCGTCCAGCCTTAACAGCATTACTATAGCAAACTTCGTCTTCATATATAACCAACCTTCCTCACCTCCATTCAATCCACCCACCATCCATATTTATATACAACTTATACTACACAACATGCGCCGATCAACAAAGACAACCAAAATTCTCCTCCTCACACCTCCCATCCTCCTCACCTACACCACCCACCGCTTCCTCTCCACCCTGGAAGCCAAATACCCCCCCACCGACCCCACCACCACCACCAGCCTCGGTCTCCGCACCCCGAGAAACCCAGCCACGCAACACTGTCCGGCGATCGATGTCTTCGAGGCGCGTGCAGTGCCTGTACAGTCTCTTCTCAAACGATACAGAACTCTTCTACAAGCTCATCCACAATCTCCACCCATCACGACCGAAACCACCGAATTGGAGAATAAAGAAAAGAAAAGAGAAACCCTACTCAAAGCCTGGATCCTCACCTTCCTGAACACCCCACCCCTCCTCCACGAAGCGAGCATATTCAATCTTTTTAAGAACAGAACCTATGACCCCGGGGATACAGGCCTGATTACTTTCTCCCCATCTACCACCCCATCCCAAAAGATGCTCAAAGAAATCCCCATCCTAAACGACATCCTCACCATCGAATCCTTCACCCCCTCCAACCCCCTCCCCAGCCTCCTCCTCTCCTGGACCCTCCCCCCCGAACCAATCCACTTCTTCGAGACGCTAAGTAGATGGGGCTACCCCTTCCGACTCATGAGCGGGGGACGTCATGAACTGAGCATATCGCCCATCTATACCCATAACGGGGAAGAAGTGGTAGATGTGCGATTTGCCTCGGCCCATGACTACGAGGTGATCGAGCATGAAGGCGGGGTAGACTCGCAGAAGATGATTCCTAGATGGGTGGGGAGGTTGCATCGGGGTTATGCTCGGTTTTTGCTTCATGCTGCGGTGGGGGATGTAGGAGAGCCTGTGAAGATTCTGTTGTAGTTTTGCTGTTTTAGTTTAGTAATTTTGTTTACTTCAGATGTTGTACTATTATTAATGACTATCATTGTTTCCAAGTAAGTAGAAATTTCTTATTCTTTAGTTTTATACAATCTTGTGTTATACAATCTTGTGTTAAATCCTAAGCTCCTGTATTGATTGTAATAAATTGGCCTATCAGAACACCTATCACTATACACATTTCAAGAGCCTACACATTGTTCGTAGGAAGACAAAGCTATCTCCCACTAATATCACTTAGACCCACTAATATCACTTAAACAATACGCAGAGACATAACAAAAAATCCAATGAGCCATGATATATCGGTAAAGCTTCAAACCCTCCGATCTCCCCCATGAGTTTTGCTCCAGTAAAATCCCCAAACCATTCTATATCCCTACCTCTGCTAGATCTAGTTCGGGTTTAGCCTGCGTTGGCTGACCTCAGACCCATCTTTAGTATTTGATTTAAGAAAGAAAACTAGTATCCGTTTTGATTCCTTGTTCAAGTGCTTGCCCCTGATGCTAGTAATTCTACTAGGAAATCTTGTTTCTGGGGGTTCCCGGAGTGCCAGGTCTTCTCCCGGCGCAGCGCCCTCCATTTTTTTATTTTTTTTAGAGATATTCTAATGATTTCTGCACAGACCTCATTTGAAGATGCTATTTGTGATTCTGCCTAGTAATATATCCGGCAATTCTACCAGTAAGTCCATCAGTTGTATACAGAGCCTTAAAGGGGCTCTCTGGGGTTTTCTGGAGGACTCGGGAGGGCTGAGGGCACTAGGCGGGTTTCGTAGGAATCAAAGAGTGGTAGCTAGCTGTATATCTCCCGATAAGCAAATCCACTTGCTTACAGAATTACATGACTGGCTATTGCAATTACCTATGGAGGTTTAGCCTGGGACTAGAGTGCGGCAGTGCTACTCGTATAGCTTAGTCGCAAGGTACAATCATACGATGATCGAAGAGAAAGTCACTGTTAGGACCTGCTCTAGCTTTGTAGCTCAGGGCATAATTTCAAGCACAGATAATAGATACGTGTCAAATTACTATTCATAACTTGTTGACTCTGTAGTCGGTGCTGAATTGGCCGGGATGAGCCCAAGTACTCAACTGTTTCATGTATATGATGCATGGGGCCAAAATGCGGATCACTAGAATATGGAGTACATGGGGCCAAAAGCATGGGGCCAAATAAAGGCTGTTGTTGAGAGCCACAAAATAGTCTAGGCGTCTGCATAAGGCTGGGAATGCATGTGACTGTGGAGACAAGGCTGAGAATAATTCAGTTACCTAAACAAAACTATCATTGTATTAGTTTAGAGGCTTGTAAGCTCACTTATGGGCAGCACAAATACTAATTCTCATTATCTAAATGAATAAAGATTCTAATATACAAGGCTCTAACTGCCCTCAATCAGCACCGACATATTACAACCTGAATCCTATAATCGCAAGGCGAAATAAGCTTTCTCGGAAGGATTTTCGAGGTCTGTTCTCATTCGTCTCCTAAGTCCCATCCCCTAAGTTATAAGTACAGTAAGTACACTAAGTTTAAACCTATCTATATCTTAATACAGTCCTCTATTCTCCAGCGAGTTTATCCTCTAGTACTGATATAATAATATCTCTGTAATCAAGCCTCCAATGATTACCTCAGACTTCGTTTTCTTGTTACGTAACTAGCGGTTAAGAATTGATACCACAAAAATCATAATGCTAAACTGCATTGGTCTAGTACTTTTGGGTGGGGTAGAACTGGCATTTGTGGGGCTAATTCTAGCATTTCTAAGTAGTATCTCGTTAGGTATTTCTTTGTTCACTCTTATGATACTAGGAGGCATTTAATTAGTAGTAATATATAGTACTTCCCGTCTCCGGGTATTTCTTTGCTTCTTGACAAGCTACTACTTGCTACGCTCGCAGTTCTTCTCGTCCAATCCTTGTCTAAGACTGCACACAGTACAAAATGGCCACTGCATATGACTTTGTCGTTATTGGCGGCGGTACAGCTGGCTTGGTGGTTGCTTCTCGACTCAGCGAGGACCCCAGCATATCTGTCCTGGTTCTTGAAGCAGGCGCCGACATGACCGCAGATCCTCGCGTGAACATCCCCATCTTTTATGCCGCACTACTTGGATCTGATGCGGATTGGAAATTCCAATCTTCCCCTCAGGTAAGAACCGTCGGTGTCTTGAGAAAAGGGGTGTATGGGCTTATTCATGATTTCTACAGCCGGGCCTCAATGGCCGAGTGCTTGGTCTCAACCAGGGCAAAGCACTGGGAGGATCCAGTTCATTAAATGCACACGTGTTTGTTCCTCCTTTCAAGGGAGCTATTGACTCCTGGGAGAAACTCGGCAATCCTGGATGGAATGGGACGATGTTAAAGGACTATTTCTCAAAGGCCTATCACAGTCCGACTGTCGCACAGGATGCTAAAGAAAATCTGGCAATTGAGGACTGGCCTGAATTGAACGAAGCGAAAGGTCCGATCCAAACATCTTTTGGTGACGAGACACACCCGATTCGCAGGGCATGGGCCGAACTGTTCCGCAGCAGTGGGCAATACAATGCCGGGGACCCGTTCATTCACAGCGAGGTAGGCTCCTTCAGTTGTCTGGCGAGTATTGACTCGGAAGGGAAGAGAAGCTACTCTGCCTCGGCCTATTATAAGCCTGCGGAGCTTCGACCAAATCTTCATGTTCTGACGAACTCATTTGTGGAGAGAGTTCTGTTTGATGACAGCAAGCCTCCCAGAGCCATTGGAGTCCAATACAATCTCGATGGCGTCTCAAAGTCTGTTCAGGCAAAGAGTGAAGTGATACTTGCTGCTGGTGCTCTTCAATCTCCGAAAATCCTCCAACTTTCAGGAGTTGGTAGAGCAGAACTTCTTGAACAGCATGGTATCGATCTAGTCATGGACCTTCCTGGCGTTGAGCAGAATCTTCAGGGTATGTGAACAGCTTCCAATTTAGCACCAGCTCTTCCATAACTTGAAACCATCTCTCTTTGACGCATACTCGCTTTGGGATGGGAACTGACATCTCCTCCTAGATCATATGATATCGTACACCGCATTCCAAGCAAGGCCTGACCTGGAGACGAAGGACTCTCTGGTTAGACAAGAGCCTGAGGCCATTGGTCAGGCTATGCAGGAATACGCCGCCACGCAATCTGGGCCCCTCGCGTCCCTCGGAGTTCATACCTACGCCTATTTGCCTCTGCCTGAACCGGACAGAAGTGCCCTCCAAGCATTATTTACGAACGACACCCCTGAGACCTCACCGCACAGGGCGACACAAGCCTATGATGACATCGCCAAGACGACTGTTCTTGACCCCACGCAACCATCCGCTGCGTACCTGGCCGCCTTAGGGCAGACGAATTATTCCACAGACCTCAAGGACGGGACGATTCCAGCTGCTTCGCCTGGAAAGTTTGTCACGCTGGGAGTCATGCTCTCTCAACCGCTTTCCCGCGGAAGCGTTCATATGTAAGTGTTTCTTCCCTGCTAGAGATGGTGAGGTAATCTTCCTCCTGATTCTTCACATTTCACATGCTACCTTCCCACCCCCCTCAACAAACCGTATATCCATCAAATCTGATGAAACGAACTCCAGTACCTCTAACAACCCTGAAATCCCTCCAATCATTGATCCCGGTTACCTGTCAAATCCTCTCGATCTGGAAGTCATGGCCCGGCACTTGCTCCGTATCAAGAAACTGGCACAGTCCCCTCAGCTCGGGGCACTGCTCGAACAGCCACTGAAGTTCCGAGACCCAGAGGCAGACTTCCAGGGCGACTTAGATGCCGCCAAGAAGTACGCGCGGGACAATTTAGTCTCCATGTGGCACTTTGCGGGGACCTGTTCGATGCTGCCTCGCGAGAAGGACGGAGTGGTGGATTCCAATTTGAAGGTCTATGGTATTGAAGGCCTGAGGGTTGTGGATGCGAGTGCGATCCCGCTGGTCAGCACCGCGAATCTGCAAGCCACTGTGTATGCGTTCGCAGAAAGAGCAGCAGATCTTATCAAGCAGGGCTGGAAGAGTAAGTAGGCTTTAGAAGATATCTACACACAAGCTATGCTAGTAGTACTGACCGGATATGCATAGTGGTCCAAACCACGTGACAAAATACTTGAGCGGTAAGCTAGAAGCCTAGAAACTGCAAATTACAGATAGAAAATACTAGCTGTCTATACTCCGTAATGTTTGACGATGTAGCCTCAGTAGCAATCAATCATTCCACCATTATCCCTCACCCCCCTCATACACCACACCCCCCACCATATTCACCACCCCTTTGAACGAATCAAACACCCCTAAACCCATCAAACCCATCAAACCCATCAAATCCATAAAAAAAAAAACCCTACCTAACATGCCCCATCCGCCTCCACCGCCCTCCACCCCCTCCACCCCCAATACCCCACACACACCTCCCATCCATCCCTCACGACTTCCACCCTCCCAGTGCCATCCTCCCCACACCCCTCATACAAACACAGATCATACCGCGTGGCCCCCGGACTCTTCCACGAGAAACTATCCACCGAGGATACATTCACGCTGCTGTCGAGGGGCGTGCAGCCGTCTGTGCCTGATACCCCCTGCGCGTGGAAGACGGAGAGATCCAGGCTCGTGGTGTTGGGGTTGCAGCCCGGGGTGAAGAGGCGGAGGTCCCACTTTCGTTTAGTGTTAGTTATTGGGGGTGGTTTTTGGGTGGGAGGGGGGGGGATTAGGCAAGGGTAAAGGTTAGGTATGGACGTACGTTTTTGAAGCGGAGGGTGTCTAGCGAGGAAGAGAACACCCCCGGGAGGAACGGGAGGGGGAGGAGGAGGAGAAAGGTAGAGAGATGCATTTTTGTGTTTCTTTGAATGGATGAAAGACGATGGAGGGAGAGGAATGGAGATCATCATATACCCTGCAGATCAGCATAGTGTGGTACGCTAGTGCTTCATATTTGGGCTAATCTCGGCATACAGGGTCTGCCAATCAGCTTCTACCGTGGTACTCATGTCACACAATCATCTTGCATGCATCTATAAATAAACTAGTGTCTGCCCGGAGCTAATCTCCACGCCCGCAATGGGAGTCCCTGCAGCTTGAGGACGGCCGGTCGGATGAACAGGACAAAAGTCACCACCCCAATCACCACACACAAAATGTTCGTCGTGTAGTACCCATCATGTTGGATATCGCAGCTGCCCCCTCCGTTGACGCAGCGCGTCCGATCTGGCTCCAGTGCGCAGGAGAAGGCCTCCGTGACCAGGTCACCCTTTAGGTTGGTGGGTGGCACCGTCGGAGGGACACAGGTCGCTTCCGTGAACATGTCCACCAGCTTGAGAATAAAGTATCGAGGGAATGTACCACCCAAATTCGAAACCCTGCATATGATTAGTACGGTCAGCGAACGGAGCGGGAAAACTTACGTCGCGAGCATCGTCATGTAGGTACCCCCAATACTCGGGTCGGCAATGCGCGCATGGAACGCCGACACCGCCACAAACATCACTGTGTTCATGAATGTTGAGAACACATGCTCGCCAATCACCATCAGCAGGTACCAGGTCGGAATCTGATCGCCCGACGGAAAAATCATCACCGTCGCCTGCGCAAACACGGCCGCCACCAGTCGTCCGATAAACGCCCAGCACCACAGCCGCATCGCGGTGTACTCCGTCGACCACTTGCCGGCGTAGTAGCCCAGTCCGATTTCAAACGGAAAGTCGATCAGCACCACCAGCGCCATGTTGTCCTGGCCAAATCCCTTGTCCAACAGCTTGAGGCTGGTGACGCCGTCATTGGCCTGGAACCCAATCTTGGCAATCAGGTGCACGAGGATAATGGTGTGGACGTGCCGGAGTTTCAGCACACTCCACATGCTCCGGTAGACATCCATAATGCTGTCACGCTCATGGGTCCGGTCTTCCTTCTTCATGACGGCCAGGCAGGTGGTCACCACCAGATACCCCCAGCCCCAGAACTTCAGGTACGTACCCAGCGACAGCAGGCCTCCCTCCGCCGGGACCGCCCGGAACCAGCGGTTGGCAAAGTCGGCCGAGTTGAAGGCCAAAAACACCGTGTAAGACAGAAAGTGGCCGGCAGTCAATCCCACCGTCTGCGCGGTCGATGCGTAGGAAATGTTCGGTGGCGACATCAACGTAATCGCCCACCCGTCCACGGCAATATCCTGCGTGGCGCAGAAAAAGACCAGCAAGAACCACCAGTAGGTAAAATTCCACACGCCCGCGCCGCCATTGGCGCCAGCCTCCTTCATCATCTCTTCGATGCGTCCGCCCATATAGATCATGGCGATGCCCGCAATCACCTGCACCGGAGTGATCCAGCTCTTGCGTCGGCCGAACCGGCGGCTCCAGATCGCGTCGACAATCGGACTCCACAGCAGCTTCAACGAGTATGGATAGGATGCGAGAGAGAACACGCCAATTTGTCCGTAGGAGAGGTACGGCTTCAGGAGAAACGGAACCGACCCGGTGGCCAGCCCCATGGGAATGCCCTGGAGGAAGTAGAGCACGCACAGCAGGAGAAAGTTCCGGCGATCGCTGGCGGGCAGGTTTGTAAACGAGGTAGTGGTCATCGCCGGGGTCTGTGGGGTAATCGGGGGATCATGGTCGAGGGTGAAGCTGGAACGCGACATGAGGCGATTGGCCCGCGTGGCGGTCGACTCAACCGAGGTGTCCCTCTTGCGCATTTCAATGGAAGAATCCATACTGTCACTGCCGTAGCCGTTCTGGCCCGTGGCGATGGTCAGGGATGGCTTCGAATGGCGTTTCGAGACCGTACGGCCTTTGCGCTTCATGGGGGATTGGCCACGAGGCAGTCGCGTGTGTAGGGAGGGAATGGAAGCCGAGTCGGAGTCGAGTTCAGAAGGCGAAAGAAAGGCGGAGTCTCCGGGACGATCGGAGTGGTCTGTGTAATGAAGGAAACGGTCGCGTTCAGACGTGTCGGTGCATGCTAAGGACTGGAGTTCCACCTCCTGAGGACGATCCGCTGCGGACGGACGATGATCGTGGGAAGCGTAGGGATCCGCAGGGACATGGAGGGAGGAAGAAGCGGAGAAAGGGGCAGGGGAGGGAGAGGAGGGATGAACTGGAGCATCCATCGACGTGGTGGAGAGGATTTGAGGCAAGCTGGCCTCAAGAGCCTCGTTTGGCTGGCCGAGAGGTTGCCGCTGTGATTGGCTGATCCGTCAATAAATGAATGTCCGCATTACTTGCAGCTCTGCAGATGTCAAATCTATCCATGATTCAATTACCATAGGAGTGGTATATACAAGATGTAGCATCAACTAAGATCTCATAGAGATACAATAACAAACACGACAATAAACATCGCAGCCTCTTTCCATTACCATTCGAAACCACCGACCCGTATTCACGCCTATTCACAAACCAGATTCCCGACCCAACACAGTGGATCAAACCCGGATCGCCTCTTCTACCCGCCAATCGAACTGCAAGTCGAGAGCCGCCAATAACCACGTGACCGCTGTCAACAAACACGCCTATCACGATCACCACCGCTATCATCATCTCCGCATCCAAGCTGGAGCTCTCACCACCATCAGCACAACCCATCCACCCCCACCTCAACCACTTCAACAAAATGGACCCCGACGACCTCGACACCGAAATCTCCTCCATCCGCGCCGAAAGTTCGTCCCATCCTTCCCCGCTCCCCAACCCACCCCACTAACAGCAACCCAAAACAGTCCGGACCCTCCACCACCGCCGCCGCATCCTAACAAGCAGCCTCCTCTCCTCACGTCCTCTACAACGCCTCTCCAAAACCCACTCCCTCCCCCCGCCCGCAAACCAATCCCATCGCCAACAAGAATGGACCGACATCTCGCCCCTCCTCCAAAGCAGCGCGTCGCATGCCCAAACGAATCATCACCGGATCGCCTTCTCGACGACCACGTTCCCGTTCACGGATCCGTCGCCGAATGCGGAAGGGAAGAGTTTACTTGGGATCAGGATTGATATTTGTGCGAGGGATGGGAGGTATATGAAGCCGTATTATGTGCTTTTGAGACGGGTGGGTCGGAGTCAAGGTGGAGATGGGGGTGGGAAAAAGGAAGTGAAGGTGCTTCGACATACGATTCCGAGTGTGGTGGATATGGCGAGGTTGGAGAGGGTGTATTTGCCGCTTGAATCTACGGCCGAGGATGGGGAAGAGGAGGAGCAGCTTAAACCGTGGAAGCGCAAATCACGGAATCAAGATCTCAAGAGTTTTGTGCGAGAGGTCCGGAAGGGGTTGGTGGTGTGGCATCTGCGGTGTGATGCGGTGCGGTATTTACGGGAGACGCTGGGGGTGGTGACACGCGGGGTGGATGATGATGCCCTGTATGAAGACGATGAGAGGCCGTGGGAGAGGGATATTCTTGGTCCGACTGCGAATACCGATGGTGCGGGGGAGACGCGCATTGCGAAAAACAAATTTGGGATTGTGTCGCTAGGCCCGACGTCGTTGGAGGCGGTTTATGTGCGGCTGGAGTGGGAGGATGGCCGCGTGGGAAGGTTCAAGATCTCCAATACAGGGGTGGTGGAACGAGCGGTGGTTATTGGGGATGCTGGGCGGGATAAGCTGACTGAGGGAATTCTTACGGGGGGTGATGGTAGGGTTGAGACTCTGCTGCAGCGGTTGGAGAAATCCACTGTGCCGGCATCACCCGAGGTCTAGTATGTGCCTTTGGTTCATATTGCTTAAGGACCTATGCTTCATATATTAATATCTGATATCGAATTCCTCTAACGTGATCCAGGTATCAAGCAAGTCTATTATAATGCTATGCACATGTAAGCCGGCGTATATATGATGCTCGCTGAACAGCTTCGCAGAAGGATGTAAGTGAAGATAATTACAAAGTATAGAGTATGAGACATTAGTGTAAATGCATATATGCATGATGACCAAAAAGAAAGGGTATCACTTAGGCATCACATCGTAATCAAAGCACCTGTCCCCCTCTCTTTGGGTGCGCCGGTCCCTCATCCCCGCTGCCAGCTTCAGCGTCGGCCACGCAAATGGCCGAGTCACGCGTGTCGTAGTGCGAGTCGCTGAACGACAGAGGGGGCAGCGGCCCATAGGTTTGCCCGTGTTCACCCTCCAGTTTCTTGCGCAGGATGGCCTCTTCTAGGGTCCACCGATGTCGTAATTTGGACTTTTTCGCGTCAAAGGCTTGGAGGATTTCTCCTTCTTCTTGCTGATGCTTTTCTTGCATCTGGGCGAATTCCAACGCATGTTTGTCGATCAGATCGTCTAACTCCCGTTCCATTCGCGCGATCGCCTCCTGCAGGCGCAGTTCCTGCCGCTCACGCAGCACTTTGATCTTGGCCTGATGCAGCTGATCCATCGAGTTGTGGTCGTGATATTCCTGCGCCAACTGAGCCTTGTGTTGCGCCGTATACTTGCGACTGGGTGTGTCCACAGCCGAGCTGACAGGGGATGGCGGTGGACTCGTGTTGTTAAAGTACCCTTCCATGTATTTGATGCGTGTGCGCGAGTTTAACTTGGCCCGTTCGAATTCTCGCATTTGCTCCATCTCCACCGTCAGCTGCCGCTCCTCCATCCGAGCCGCATCGGTAGTATTCTGCCAAGTCAGCAACTAGATACAACTCTGATGAGAAGTGCATACCTTTTCGCGTTTCTTCACTTCGAGCCGTTTGTTCTCCGCTAGTTGGTCGGCGACGATGGATTGCTGGCGCCGCCGTAATTGTGCCATAAATGCATCCTGGAAATCATTGTGCCTGTTCCTTTCTGCCACATGAGCCTCGCGCATTTGGCGCAATTGTGTATCATCCAGGCTTCGCTGTAGCGACTCATTGTCAAAGACGGGAATCTCCAGCCGCAAGACCTGGTTCTCTACCGGGGAATCGGGGTTCTGCGATTCTAATGGCCTCGACTCCACGTATACTCGTTCAACGCCCTTCTCGTTCTTGGCGACAGTGATCTGCGCGGCGGGCGGAAGCAAAACGGAAGAAGGCGACCGCTTCTTTCTGAAATGGATCTTCCCGATTGCCGACTTGAGCGCTGATTTTCGTCGTTCCCTTTTGTCCGCCGAGGCGACGCTGAACATCGACGCCCGATTCCCTGGTGTCCGAACCGCAAGACTGTCAATCCCGCGGCCCAACCTTCCCTCACATGAGCTATAGGATGTCGGCCGAGTGGACAATGAGGCGAGCGATCGGGTACTGCCACCCTGGACCGGCTCGGAGGCCACGGTAAATGCAGAGAGAGATGAGGCGAGCTGATCGATGGGCGGCGGGATCTCGAGGGACGGGGTGGTGACTTCGTGCGTCGAGTTGCGATCGGTAGAGGAGCCGGAGGATATGGTCGGGGAGGACAGGTCCACCATTCCCGAGGCAATGGACGCGGCCAGCGATGCCACCACCTCGACTTCCGGCACCTTCAGACCTAGCTGGCGGGCATCGTCTACAAGTTTCTGTTCCTGCGCCGTCTCCGATTCCTCGGAGGACAAGAGGAGAACCTCACTGCGGTACCGAGATTCGTCGTCTTCGGTAAAAACGGTCGGCTCCATGATGCAATTGCAGATAGGCGGGATCTCAATCACACATGGAGCTTAATCCGACACTAAGAATAATCCTGCAGAGAGCAGTAAAGGGGGATGGGCAAAAGATATAGAAAAGGGGTTCAAAGACGCGAGTCGCACGACGCTAGAAGGCTCGTCCACAGTACTAGAAGCACGGTGGACGAGATGGAGGCGCTCAAGAGCAGCATCCGACTTGCGGGGAGGGGCGAATCCTGGCAAGGACGGGATGGGAGAGGGAAAGGGAAAGGAGGGCGAGTCGTGGACGAGGAGGAGCAGAGGGAACGAGCTAATGAGAGCGAGGATGACTCTGCGGCGGGCCAACAGCAGCAGCAGAGGCAATGCGACAACCTGATTTGGGCCTCACGGTCGTTCTTGTTATTATTGCGACCCACGGCCCGCCTGACCGATTCTTCCTTATTAAACGACGCATCCACTCTGGGGGGGATGGAGTAGGCGCTAGAAACTTGGAAGGTGGTGCAGACTGCAGAAATCAGACTGCAGAAATAAGCACGGAGATGATCAGACCTTGTCCGTGAATGATTGCTTCCCCTGTTGAAATGAAGGAATAGAATGGAATGGACGGCATAATGGGATTGTGAGGAGGAGACGACAGCCTGTCAGCCATTCCATCCCCGGGTCCGACTCAGGCACCCGATCGTTGAATGATGGATACAATACCCGCGTATTTCCAGAGAATTACCCGTATGGTCGAACCTAAACCCCTCCCCCAATTAGGCCCTGTCTAGGGTATAGGGCAGGCCATAGGACACCCGGTCACCCGGCATCGCACAGCTCAATCGGAACCATGGTTTCAGCCACTGCAACACCATGGCTTAAGGCCAGGCACCGCCGCTTCAGATGCCGGCGGCATCCTCTCAGGATGGTCTGGCGGCCCACTGTTCCTGAGCTTGCTTCTCGTGCGGACCCTTCTCTTCGTCACGTTTCGCTTTCCTCCAGTAGCGTGTTGATCATTCCTACCAATACGTGGGGGACACTGGGTCGCCTAGTGCCAGACTAGGTAGGAGGGGTGGTCTGATGTCGTGATGGTTTGATGCCAGCCTCACCGTATTTTACTGATTACAATGGACTCGTGAAATGAGGGAGAAAAGTAGATGAGATAGGCTGTTTACAAGGCTTCTATGATACAAGGTTACCTCGACAACATTGCTGCCGCCATGGCATACGTCTTCTCTCTTGCATCCCACTGCACCGTCCCCGCCCGAGCAGCCTTATCCCAGCCGTGATTGCAGCCCTGCATCCGCTGCTGCACCACCAGCTTTCCGGGTTCCTTGGCAATCTTCTCCGCCAGAGCCTCCGCTTCAGGCGCCAGGTTATCACAGGCCGCAGTAACAATCATGACTCGGTCAGGGAATCGGTCTGCACTAGCATACAGCGGAGAGATCCTCGGATCCCGCGTATCATACGCGGCATGCGTGTAGCACCTGTCAAATATTCTCGACATTCTAGCCGGGATTGGTCGTCCTGAAGTATCGGGCGCAGTCTTCATGGCAGGATCCGTATCCAAGTCCACGACGGGATATATCGCCAGAACGGAGTGAAAGGTCTGCGAGGGGAACAGATTGGCTGCCGCTGCCAAGGAGAGATTACCGCCGGCGCTGAAGCCGGAGAGAGACACCCGGCGGAGGTCGAATTTCTCCGGCTGTCCTAGAACCCACTTGGCAGTATCCTCGGCATCGTTGAGCGCCGCGGGAAACGGGTTCTCGGGTGCTAGACGGTACTGGACATCGAGGACGGTACGGCCAGTTTCATGGCTCATCTGACGACAGTATGCGTCGTCGCTGCCGTGAAGGGGAAGCAGAAACCCACTTCCGTGAAAATTGATCAGCACAGGGGTCGGCTCGGTGGATGCGGATGCGTTTCGGTAGACGTGGACTTTGATAGTCCGCTCTGCATCGCGTGACGGAATTTGATAGACGTCATCTGGCGTGGCCTTGATCTCTCGTTTGGGGCCGAGGAATGTTCTGATCACGACCGCGAGGATTTTGTAGTAGAGGTAGACGAGGAAGAACATTGTGTGGTGACGTTTTGAAAAGATCAACTCGAAGAAACACAATAATTATCGAAACAGCTACCAAGAGATGAATGGATGTGGTGGGAGAAGTGGAATAGGAGACATGAGGCACCAGAGTTGTGCCGAGACTAATTTCCCCTCAGTGGTTTTGGTCCACGTCGATGACGAACATTCCGCGGCCGGCAGCGGCATTCGTCGGTTCCACTAACGGCCACGGTCAGATACTCCACCCACGCCAGTTGATTGAGGCGATTTGGCGTCTTCAGTACTACTTATACGGAACGTATCTCTTCGAACGTGCTAGTTTGGTAGTGCTCAACTAATTGTGTCAGACGGGGAGGATTCAGCAGCGTGGCATTTACGCACGGGCATTCCAGTGTTCCATGGGCTTGACAACACAGCCTGACAAATACAGTGCTGATGCTTATGTCTCAGCATAAAACGTTCAGGAAGGTCTTATCATCAATTATCCAGTCCACTGATCCCCCGAACTGGCCAAGCTTCTTTTGCACCGCCAAAGAAGCCTAACGCCGAAGGCTCAACTCGCTCAACTTGCTTCACTAAGAATAGTATGATGCTTCCAATTCTAGGACGAAAACTGCCTATCTGGACCTACCCCTCTGCAGTGGCCTGACAATCGGAAGACTCGGCATGGCGATGATATACCTGCGTCGAGTGCGGCCAACGAGAGCGGATGCAGATGCACTTGTGTGGGATATCAGCCTTCCAAAGCCTAGGCCTAGAATGCGGGATTGATAAGAGCCAGACGGATGACCATGAAGGACCTCTGCAGACAAGCTAACACAATCAAGCATTCTCTTAACTCGGCTAGAAGAGAGGATTCTAACTTAACCAAAGTCAATATGAATCTTTCGCCGTGTCTCAGCATCCGCAAGACAAGCATCGCCGCACTCAACGCTTGCTCGGAGATGATCCGCCCACCGGTCTGGATCTTGCACCCCACGGGGATATTGATATCAGATGATCTAGGTCCGATTCTACATTTTGACTAGCGGATGCGGTGACTGCGTGGAGACTAGTCGACTTGGGTGCGTTATTATGGACCAAACCCAGGAAGTTCGGATTAGATTGCCGAAAAGGACCTAAGCGGCAGAACGTCGGGCGATCGGGCCAAAATATTTGGCCGAAGACTAGCCTGGCTGATAGCTGTGGCCTAGTATCTGGCCGGGCAGAATGCCTATTCGACGAGGTCTGACTGTTCGACTATAACAGCTTGTCTAATGGAGCCATAGATGCCGTTGTGGAGACTGACGCAGAGACCGACCCAGATGTGTGCTTTCCCCGCACGACATGTCAAGGAACATCGGGTTGCTGGACCTCAGAGGCCTATTGTCGGGGCCAAGTGCAGTTGCTTCTCTCCTCACTACTTGCAATCACTTTGGGCTACTGCCCGAGGGATTCTAACGAAGAGAGGAACAGGAATATAAATACCCCGAGCCTCTCTTATGGTATCTTGATCTTTCCTGCAACCACGTTTATTCTAAACAGTTCTGTACTCGCTTTCTGTCCAAGGCTCCAAGCCATGATGCCTCAGTTTCCTACATGGGCATTTTCTTTCACCAGCGTGCTCTATCCAGCCCTGGTCGGTGCCGCCAGTGCCAACCCTTCTAGTCACGACTTGACCGTTTTCTTCCACAACAACGGCAACTGGTCTACGCATGGAACACAGCCCAGCGCACTTTTTGTCAATGCCGCTGTTAGCTATTCTGAAGCCGTCAGTGCCTGTGAGGCCTACAATGAGACGCTGTTGAGCTGTGAGGACTTCAGTGCCTACGCGTATGAATTTTCCTACCAGCAATATCTTGGGGTCATCAATGATAACCAGACCTTTTGGTCTTCATGCTCATCTGATCCCGTGAATTGGCGAGGTACCACGTCCAAACCAGGTTCTGCTGCATTCCTCTGCACGAATAGCGCCCCCTTTGTCAGCGTCGTTGATACGGACTATTCCAAATTTCCCACCATTAGTGTAAAGAGCAATGGCACTGTTTTTGAAGGTCTTCGGGACCACATGGCGTTTCGCTTCATTGGGATCCCCTTTGCCAAGCCACCCACGGGCGCGCTACGCTTTAGATATGCTGAGGACTGGAATGGAAGCTACGTGAATGCAACACGTTACAGTGCCGGCTGTCTGCAATACGGCTGGTTCGACGGTAACGCGTATGGACTGAATCCTTGGGGCAACAGTGAGGATTGCTTGTACTTGAATGTGTACAGCTCCTCGCTTCCTGCGGCCAATTCTTCGGCGCCCCTCAAACCGGTGATGCTCTGGTATCATGGTGGTGGTCAGACCACTGGGACTGGTACCGACTCTACCTTTGACGGAGCCAGCCTGGTCAGTCGCTCAGATGTCGTGCTCGTCGTGCCTAATTATAGACTCAACATCTTTGGATATCTTACCACCGGTGACGATATTATCCCGGGGAATTATGCTCTGACTGATAAGCTGTCTGCGCTGCGATGGGTGCAGAAGCACATTGCTGATTTTGGCGGGGACCCCAACAATGTCACCATCTTTGGCCAATCTGCTGGCGGTGGCTCCGTTATTGATGTACTTACCTCTCCGAAGGGAGAGGGCCTGTTCAACGGGGTTATTCTCCAGTCTGCTGGACGTGGCCATGACACGACCCCTGAGGTTGCTGCTGCTACCAATGTGCCCGTTCTGGATCGGTATTGCAATAACACTGGGTACGAGAGACTGCAGTGCCTGCAGGAACTCCCTGCGGAGACGCTCCTTAACTTGACTTATAGTGAGCTCACTTCGTGGAAGACCATTGTCGACCAGATCTACGTGCCTGATATACCCTGGGCTCAGTTGGCCAAGGGCCAGCCGTACATCAGCCGCAACATCAAGTACCTGAGCGGGCATATGCCGGAGGAAGCCCAGTCTTTGCTGGAAACCCTGCTGAATCCGAATGTCACGAGCTGGGAAGAGAACCTGGAGATTCTCTTGAATAACTCGCAGATCACCCCTAAGCAGGCGGAAGCAATTGTGACTTCGGGCCAATGGCAGATCGAGGGCTATCCCAGCAATTATACCAGTGATCTGGCCAAGACCTTCTCCGATGTCTACAACGCCAGCATCAACGTTGCAACTGATGCTCAGATAACCTGCCTGGGGTATGAGTTTCACGAGATCGGTGCTGCAGTCAGTGCTTTCGAGGTGCAGTGGATCTACGTGATGCATCGGGGCTACGCGCTTTCTTATTACGACTACTATGACCTCTGCACATTTCCTGTCGGCAAGCCCGAGACGCCATACTACCGATGCCACTCGAGTGACCTGTATGAGGTGTTTGGCACTTACTATCTGTTTGATCAGCCCGTTCGGGTAGACGAGGATGTCTACTACACCAACGCTGTGCAAGACATGTGGGCATCGTTTGCTCGCACCGGAAATCCCAACGTCAATACGGAGTATCTTAAAGCTCGGGGGTATAACAGCACCTTGGAATTCTTCGAGAATTGGTCGTGGCCCGAATATACGACGTACAGTCCGGAAATTGCGAACCTGCAGTATCCTCCGTTGGCGCAGTCGATGCTCCCTGACCTGGCACATTGCAAGATTTTGCTTCCGTATACTACCTTGATCTAGGAGTTGATGGAGGAATAGATAGCTATCCTAGGTGTGCGCATTGCCAGTGTGCTTATGGAGTGTTGTCGTGGACATTCGCAGATCAGTTGAATTATATACAGCTTGCAAAATAAACTATCAAGCTTCTAGAATGTCCCAAATAAAAAACCTCAATTACATACAGAGTATCACTCCACCTTCTGCCTCCTCCACGTCATAAACACCACATAATACTCCTCCTCCACTTCAGGATCATAATCCAACTCAACCTTTCCATCCTCACCCCCCTCCCTCAAAGGCATCAACTCCGGCACCCGCCCCGCCCCATCCTCTCCTTCTTCCTCTTCCACTCCACCCCTCTCCGTCTCCGCCCTCAACACCTCCTCCCTGGCCCCCACCCACCTCCACGCCTCCCTCTCCCCCCCTTCCTCCCCCGGAACCAGAAAAATCCCCTCCTCCGGCACCAGCGGAAACCTCCAACCGGCAGCCATCTGTACAATCCAATCCAACTGATCCCGCTTCCTCATCACGGTCTCAAACTCCACCACCAACGTCTCCAACCCAGGCACATTCACAAACTGATTCCCCCACGCCCTGTCATCCATCTGTCCTCCCTTCTGCCCCTGCCCGCTCCCGCTCCGCATCTGCCGCGCACTCACCCTCCCCGCCCGAAACGGATCAATCCCCAACTCCTCATTCCTCTCCCAAAACCACCAATCGGAATGTCGTAACGTAAGGGTAATCTTCCTCGGCCGGACCCCTCCCCCTCCCCCTCCTCCTCCTCCTCCTGCCTTACCCAGCTGCCCCTCCCCATCCGCATCCCGCAAACTCCGCAAAATCTCACCCCACCTTCCCTCCAAGAAAAACTGCTGCGTGAAGAATCCCACCTCGCGCACCACACCCCTTTGTTCCGGGGTCATCCGGGCAAAATACTCCCCCGGGGCCGCGGCATGGCGGACATGTGGCGGGGCACGATAACACCAGAAGGTGTGGGTGGTGAGGAGGGCGGGGAGGAGGGATGCCTCGGCGTAGATCTGTTGGCAGGTTTGGAGGAGGGCGGTGGAGATGCGTTTGGGACGTTGGAAGCCTGGACGGTAATAGAGGGCGCGGCGGCGGTAGGTGCGGGTGGAGGCGGTGGGGGAGGGGAGGGATTCCAGGGTGTAGGAGTAGATTTTGTTGCGGAGTTCGGGGGGCAGGTGGAGGAGGGGGCTGGTG